TTGAAAACGAAAGGCAACACGCCAAAGTATGGTCTTATTTACCATTCGTCACATATTGGTAAAGCAAATACACAAAATAAGGGTCGCATATCTCGATATCTGGCAAATAAATGTGCAATTGCATCCCGAATTGATTGTTTTTCAGGTTTGCTTGTCTGCCAAATTAATGACAAATCTTATGTTTACTTCTTGTAGACATTCCGACTGCTGTGTTCGGTGATCATTTGAAACAGCAGGTATCTGATCGTCTGAAATTCTATGATAGTGGCGAATTACCACCGAAAAATGTCGATGTTATGAAGATTGCTTTGGAAGAAGCAGAAGTTGAACGTGAACAAATCTTAGTCAAAGAGAAGAAACGCCGGAAAAAGGAGAAAAAACGGCGTAAGGCAGCCGAAGCAGCAGCCGCTGCTGCTGAACTTGCCGAATAGAATCTTGGTACAATCAGTATCCTTAAAGCGAACTTGTTTCTTATGTTATTGTTGTTTAATTGAATGAATTCAAATGCTTTGTCGTAGAGTCGGAAATTAAAAAATCACATATCAAACTGATGACTTCGGTTTTCGTGCATAAAAAAATCATTTGTAGGACGTCATGTTTTATTTTCTCTGATATCTTTACGCATAAGACATAAATTTTGACGATTACGAAAAGCTTGACAAAATAGGAAAGAGAACTACGAGTGAATTGTAACAAATATGTATCACAACATTTATATTCATAAGAACGAATACGTTTTGTGTCAGAATGCAAAGAGAAATAGCCAATGAACGAACATTATGATTGAGACGCTTAAACTATACTATTGGCAGGATTTGTATTCCATCGTTTACATGGCAATTGATTTTGTTCGCCCATTTTAACGAATGAATAAGAAAATAAACCAAATAATGTCAATAAAATACCAATGAATTGTTTGTAGTTCAACGTGTCATTGAATAGGAACCAGCCACCAATGAGTATCGAAACAGTTTTCAAATGTCCAATCATATTGTACGTCAAGGGTGATCTACAGGGGAAATACAGATCATATTTCAATGTAAGAAGGAAAAAAGCAAGATAACATTATCAACAACTACTTACGTGTTTTTAATCACCCAATAAACGGACAGGTTGACTGCGAATGCCACGAAGCCAGATGCAACAACTGCAAAGAATGCAGTTCGCTGTTCTTCACTTGTTTTGTACGACGGCAAACTTTCCATTATCAGAATACACGGTATCAATAACATCGCGGATAGAGGTGCTTGATAAAATAGTAACTGTTGTGAATTCATTTCTAACTCTTTCAAACGTTCACCAACCCAAACTTGGTAGAGTGATGCTGCGAGTACACCGATCGATGCAATGATTGTACCAAAAAATGTCAGTTTAATATCGTTAACTGAATGTGTGCAAACACCTACGACAACAGGTATCAATGTAGCGATAACCATTCGTGAATATTTCTCTTTGTAATATTGCCAGGAGATCAATGCGACAACGGGCGTTGTTAAGACTTTGAATAGTTGATATGTACCGATCGTATTGTATTCAAGGGAAAGATTAGTAAAGACCACGAACGCACAAAAAGCGGCAGCTAACGGTAAAACTTTCATCAATGGCACACTTTTGCGTACGAACGTATTCATTTTCAAGCAGATGACCAATCCCAATGAAGTGATCGCCATTTGAATAGCTGTTAACGTCATCGTTTTGATCTGGCAATGGGAGAAGATATATTTGTTAAGGAATATAATACCAATTGAAGACAAGATATTGGATGCACATCCTAATACAATGCGAATGTGTTCTTGTAGTGCGTCTGACGGAGGTTGTCGCTTATTTGATGAGTAAGACGTTGGTGGATCAGATTTAACCTACGAAAAATAGGCAAAAATATTAACTTCGATGAAATAATAATCAAAATACATACAAATGGCGCATCGCCTGCATTAGTTTTGCCATTATTTATAGCCATAGCTGAATTAAACAATCCCAAGCAAATATTAGTGTAAGTAGGTTAGATCATATCTACAAAGCACCGGAACTTTTTTGAAAAAAAAAACTTTACTTTATGTGACATGTTGATGATTAGTTGATATGATTTATGGAAGAGAGTGGAAGGGATGGAGAGAGAAATTGAAAAAGAAGAAGAGTATGTAAACTAGGTAGGTAAAGAAATCGCCGTGTTCATGATAATTTGATAAAATGTTACGCATCGCTTCATCTTTTCTTTTCCAAAGGACGGCGAAATGTTACTCTTAGGTACGGCGACACGTAAAGCGAGAAAAATAAACTTGCACATGGCAAGATTACCTGCATGTTGAATGTGAAACGTAAGAAATAGAAAAAAAATACGTGACATTAGTAGAAAAAAAAGAGAAGGAAGAAAGAAAAATGTCCTTCGAAATCAAGTCGACGAATGATTGGGTTCACTATTTGAAAAGAAAAAAGCAAATAACAATCGAATGTACGCTTGTTTAACAGAAACCTTATGGAAATTGGCGAACGAGTAGGAGGTACACTTAGATTATAACCGCGCTGGATCTGAGTGTGAATTAATTGTTCCACAGCAGTGCGCCCATGAGTTTGGTCATATTTTTCTTTCGCAATTTTTTCATCGCAAGGACGGCAGCGGATAATGCCAATACCTGTGTAGATTGAGAAAGTTTGTTAATCTAGAAAAATGAAATCTGCTTACGAGCTCGTTCGATTTGGTTATTTTTGCCACTGCGTCGAGCGACATCAATAACTGAGTCTTGCCGATCGAATGTATACAGATCAAGAGGCGCATTATGCATCAATAAACAAGCAAAACATGTTCCATATCCTCGACTAGCTGCGAGATGAGCCATGGTATAACCATCATCTAATGGTTAAGGAAAGGCAAATGTTATTCTGCTCTCTGTTGAAATCATTAACTAACTGTCTGCTTGTTCAATGTCGATTATCTTCAATTCTAATAGCCAATGTAAAACATTCGCTGCACCAAACAGAGCTGCCTAGAACGATTAAGGACAAAAACAGAACGGTAGAGTTTGTCTATCAACATCAATAATATACCATATGCATTGGCGTTCGGCCAAGATTGTTTTTGTATGTAAATAAATTTCGTTTATTTTTCCATATCAATCGAACACAATCAAGTTGATCGTATTCACTTGCTTCATGTGCAATCGTATTTCCATGAGCATCTGTCGCATCGATCATTAATTTTGATTGAAAACAAAAATTGAGTACACTCCTAGAACCATTTTTAGCAGCATAATGGATCGATAATTTCGTTTCGTTCGTAGCAATAGTTAGATCAATGTTCTTAGCATTTATCAGATATTTAAAGGCATCCACATGATTATGCATTGCACAGTAATGAGCAGGTGTTCGACCAAAATTATCTTGAGCATTGATATCACATCCTAGTATAGACAATAACTGAAGTCAATCGAACACGAAGATAGAAGAGCGCAAAGCAGTAGTAATCATGAGAAAAAGTAGCATATTGTTATCCTACCATTGTACAGACAATCGACGTCTTATTCTATAACGATATCTGATTATTTGAAATTGTTCCTATTTACCTTTTTCGATTAGTACCCGCACACACTTTGTCGATCCGTGACTAGCAGCAATATGTAGCGCTGTCATTCCTTGAGCGTCTCGTTGGTCAATCAACGCACCATTGTTCAGCAGTTCGGCAACTAGCTGATGATTACCACTAGCAGATGCTTCATGCAATGGTGTACGTTCCAAAAGATTTTGTGTATGTACACTTTGACCGCCCTAGAAAGATGGAAAATTTCTTTTAGAGACATGTAGTATGAAAAGTACGAGGTGGGTAACCTCAATCAACTCTCGAACGACATCGCGATGTCCATATGATGCTGCTTCATTGATAATTGGTTGAAATGATTCGCGCAATTGAAGTACTTTACTCGCATCGTATTCACCTTTTGCATTTCTCAATTGTAATGCATTGACTGGTTCAGGTGAAATGGGTTGTTCATCAAACATTTCTAGCGTTTCGTTGAAAACTGAACATGTATGTTCTGATTTAACTGGAGTTTCAACAGGAAGCATTTGCCCCTCAGTGTCATTCAAATCTTCGTCTGACAAGTGTTGAGAATCATTCTCACTACGCAGTAAGGCGGACGTGTTGATCGATGAACTGGACGCAGACGAGAGCCGTGATGATTTACCTTCTTCTGTTCCAGTGCGAGATCGCGACGAAAAAGCGGTTTTTGGACGTGATGAGGATGATTTTATACGCTCTTCTTTTTTGTTGCTCGACATGGGCGATGACTTTTGTCGTTGTGTAGCTCGAGATGAAGAAACTCGATCGATGGATTTTCGTTGTTCTTCCACATCATTGATGTCTTCAACGCTAGGTGGCATGTGTGTTCGTTGTGATTCACGAGACGGGTTCGTTGATGTGATCGTATCATTATTCTTTGGTGTGGAAGATTTATCAGCAGAATTTAATGGTGATTTAGTAACCTGCTGTTGCGGATTTTTGTCAGGAATATTCTTGAATGAAAAAAAAAAGAAATATACATCGATGATGAAATCGACCCATTCTATGTAGACTTACCACAGGTTTATCCGATTGAAGTTCTTCTTCGTCATCTACTTCAACCGTATTAGCATCATCTAATCCAGTTAGATGACTATCGGCAAGTTTTGACATCGTACCGAACGACGTACTATCAAATTTTACTGATTGTTTACCACTGGTCGATGAAGTTTGCCGTTTATTAGTTGCTGATGTTCGAATACTCGAAGGTTTCTTATATTCGATCATTTTCACTTCATCACTGGAAATTGGCGGATTGTTTTCATTGTCATCATCATCGTCATCATTACTGTCTTTGTTGTCAACAGGCACATCTTTGACTAAGGCAACAATATTCGGATTTCGAACGCCATACAACGTGGATGATGGTGGCACTTTTTCTTTTGATTGTTTTTTTAATTTCAGTCGATCGCTTTCAATCTGTCGTTGTAAGAGATGATCGCTGACACGGCCATGTCGACGACCATGTTCATCCAAATAGACTACAGGTTTGAATTGATCAAGTGATCCTCGTAACGGTTGAGCGAACAAATGATCTTGTACGCAGTTAGAAAATGTTGAATTAGCTGGAGCAGTTAGTTTAGTTCGGCGTTTACTTCGAATTGGACTGGCCATCAACATAAACTAGAATAAATCAATGTAATAGCTAGGTATCGACATTTTGCTATAGGTCCCTATTGACAACACTGAATATAGTATCTCCTTTCGTCCTGTTCTACTTGATTGACCTGTTTGCTCTCTATTTTGCGTTCGTTTGATAGATACTAGTCACCTTTGTCACTAACATCCATCAAGCGAATATACGAGACAGAACAAAGAGGTGTCATACGTGGATGGTATGATTATTCTTATATACTATTTAAACTATACGGCATCTGAACCAATGTCGATTGTATTTCATAGGGAACTTTCTTTTGCAATTGATTGCTAGGTAACGATAATCATGTGAAAGTGGTTGAATGATTATGATAATAAACAACAAATACTGATTAATTTATATTCAGAAAGTTATCCATTTGGTCTACAGTTGTTGAACTGAACTAAAATTTGATATCTTTTATATATTAACGACATCTATGATAGAAGTGACTCTGTTAGAGAAATTTCCCATAGAAAAAGGAGAAAGTGTTCATCGTCGCTGTACATTCAAAGAATCATTCCTCATATTTTCTGCTTATTAGGTGTATTGCATCAGTAGTACGACGAACGTTTAAGTTAGGAGTGGTCAGTATCCATGATCAGTTCGAACGGTTCAAATGTCTTACTATCTTTCTCGATTGTACATCATTCGCATTCAAAAGCGCATAAAAACCGATGTGACCGTGCCTTTAAGTTCATGAGAATAGTATCTCGTCGAAGTTTTTTTTAATTTAAGATGTACTGAGATGCGACATGTCTATCTGATCAACGTTTGATGAGAAAAAAAAAGTGTTTTCGTGATATTATTTTTTGAATGAGAGACTTTATTTTCTTAGAATTAACTTTTATACAATCCGACAATTCGTTTGCCTTCGCGTATACCGGTAAGAAAAGCACCATGTGCTGTTCCATAGAATCTTTCATGTGTGCCTTCACCTGCAAAGAGAACCAATGGTTCTGCTGACTTATCCGGCCATGGCATTGCTAATCGTTTGATATCATGAACAGTCGAACCTATTTTGATAAATGTATGTGAACCATACGTCAATGGATTATGAAACCATGTCGATCGAATTAATTTCTTCGGTTTGGGTATTTGATTGTCAGGATAAAACCTGCCGAACAATTCTTGAAAACAATTCGACAGTAAGCCATCGGGAATAGTTTCGATATATTCGCCCGCCTCGCCGCTAATTTGTGTTACAAGAGTATTGGACAAACGATGATGAACGCACAAGCCCGTTAGACTTTTACACCATCCACTCTAAAAGAAAATATTTCTAACTTTTTAAAACAAAGTTTTGTAAATTACATGATAAGGTGTATTTTCAAGACAAGTTAATTTGCCCTCGGTGTTTGTATTCCACAAGAAATTGAACGAATTGAAATCAACATCCCAAAATGGTTGAGAAAAAACCAGATAAATCTATCATAAAGGAATATGTTAATCGAACGGGAGAATGACAAACATACTTTATTGACTGTTCCAAAGCCGAGTTTTTCAATCGAAACTTGTTTCGAATACGGCAATGGTGGTACAAACATTTCGTGCATTGTTTTCTTCAAGCAGCCAATGGATTGTGTACAAACAACATGTTTTGCTTGGTAAGTAACGATTTGATGATTTTCTTTGATAATTTCAATGTTAACCGATTGATTAACTTCGTGAATAGCAACACGTTTCACTTTTGAGTTGAAATGAAACTTTTCTTTAGCAATTTTATTTTCAAAGATCGTTTGCAAAAATTTGCAAACACCGCCTTGAATATATTTGTCATTTGTCGATAAATTCTCAAATGAAATCCATCCTAGAACGATAGACAATAAGTTCTAAAGCCAATTATAAAGAGAAACAAACTGACCTTGAACTGATACGTCGGTTAATTTCTCACTACCGATTGTATTTAAAACCGGATGCTGTTTTCCAAGCCAGTCGATGACTTTTTCTCTTTGATCAATCTCGTTCTTGTCCAGTGAAACTTTTTTCAATTGTAAATACTGATCAAATTCCGCTAGAATGAATTCACCTAGTGACAAATCGGGATAGTTCTCATACGGATAAGTCGGAACTTTCTTTTCTAAAATTTCGTCGTAGATCGTTCGAATTTCGTTGATGATATCTTCGTCGATCGATTCGCCATCTTCGTCATGATAACAATCATCTCGATCCAATCCGTCTAGCAACAGCAAAGAAAAAACAAAGTTACCCTGGATGAGTTAGATAATTGGATATAATTATCGGCGGATAACGATAGTTTTCGCGTTTATAACATCAAAGAAAGAGCAAAATAACAAACTTACCATCATTCTGATCGAGTAAATGCTGTCCTTCAGCTAATTGGAACAAAGGATTGTTCGACGAATTACCTTGGAGTAACTCAGTGCCTAGTTCGATCGATTGATCCACTAAAATATGATGTTTTACCTTTAGTTCGTTAACACTCATAAAACACGTACTGAATTCAACCGTTTGACAACGTCCACCAATTTGATTGTTTGCTTCCAATATGACAAAATCTTGTATATCATTATCGGCCAGATATTTTGCACAAGACAGTCCTGCAACACCTGCACCGATGATCACGACACAATAATGATTTTCCATTCCAGTAGTTCGATGAACGTGAGTATGTGTAAAGATCGATGAATGTCAACGCTAACGAAGAAAAAGAAAAAATGCTACTTTGATTTAGTCATTCGAAGACCGCAAAAAAATCTTCTGAAATAACAGGAATCCGACATAGATAATACACACCGGAAAATGATGATCATATGTTATTAGATTCTGCTTTGAGAGATGCATCATTTGACTATAGTAATGACTGTCATTGATGAAAGACTGAAATAAAGGTAAAAAGTCATGCGTGATGTCTAGAAGATTCATCAATATACCGATAAATGCGCACAGGTTTTCCAGTTTATAAAGAGCTCCATGATCATAGTAGATCACTCGATAGACGTCCTTTGAAAGCATTTCGCATCGTGATTTATTGCTGACTGTTCGCATTCTAACTAGTGATTAATTGTTGCAAAAAAACTGTATGATTAACATGAAAGGCGGGGGAATGATGACATATGAGTTAGCACTCTTATCATTTTTCGTCTCTTCAAGAAAATGAGTGCCCGTATAGGTAACGTCATTACAGAATAAAATTATATCATAATTTCGAGTGTGACACTATTAGACGTGGGCGACATCTATTTGAAAACTTTGTCAATTCGTATGAGAAAATCATGCTAGACATGTTAAAAGTACATTTCTCTGTCGTAATTGTTTTCTTGTAATTTTTTTTTTGGTGATTCATTGGAAATCAGCAACGTTCATTTTACCTGTGACGTGAACAAACTATTGACACAGTTCGTCAGTCAGTGATCTTGACAACATGCACTTGGTAAAAATTGGACGTAAGTATTTTAGTGTTCTGTATTCTTTTTAAAGAACAGTCGACCTTAATGGCATTGAAAATTTATTGTTGATCATATAAAGCACTTTTCAAAACTAATGACTATTATTGTTGTTTAGTCGAATGAAACCGTTGGAGAGTTCATTTTTTCTGCATCGATGTCGAATGAGCGAGAATCTGTTGATTTTTCACACTCATTTGCTTTTGTTGCGTTCGGTATCTGGTTTTGATCGTCTAACCAACGGACATTTGCCAAGCATGCGTTTTTTATTCGTTCGATAGGTTCTTATAAAAACGGAAGAGAAAAAAAGCACATTGTGAGATAGAATGTGTACATCGTGTTCGATTTCAACCTTATTTTTCTTATTCCGCTGAAGCATATGAGATATTTTATATCAATAGGTATTTACTAACCATCGTTTGATTTCGTACAGCAGCAGGAGAATAAGAGGCGAGTATTCTTTTCACGTTTTGCATTTTCTTTCCTTTTCATGATTTTTTTCTTTGACTCACGCATAACACAATGTTCTGCATGAGTGAACTAGCACCTGAAACGAAAAAACTGTCTAACATCATTGTGAAATTGACTCTCGAAATCACAGTTCTTGCTTCATTTTTAATTTGGTTCATTACGTATATTTTCGCACTGATCAATTATTCATAGGTTTGATAAACGCTTCTTTTCGTAAACTTCTACTCTTTAGATCAAAACGTTACGTAAGCGATATGGTATGGATGTGGGTGCTTATTATTATTTTTCTTGCGTTGAAAACAAAAATTTTGAATTTATGTGGAATTTCCGTTTCAGATAGACGAGACGATGCGATATCGCCTATTAGGTTTTCTGTATTTGTTTCTCTTATTTACAAGTAGCTTCGCGGAGAGAACTCGTGTTAACGACGATGAAGATGATAAAGATGTCGACGATGAAAAAGATCTTAATCAAAATAGTCAAAGGCAACAGGAACCACCGGTAAATAAAGTTCGGTCTCAGAGTCGTGTTTCATCGAATAATAACGACGATGATCAACGTGATGCTGTTCAGCGAGATCCGGATCAACAACGAATGGGATTGTCCAATCGAGAGTCACAACAAAACACAAAGCAACGACGTCCAGCATCTCCCGCCATGCCACTCGCGACAAGCGATGAATGCCGAGCTGATGTTACAAGATACTGTGCCAAAGGTAGCAAACAACCACTGTCGAATTTAAAAGTCCTGCAATGTATTGATGAATTGGATAATGTAAGTCTATGGAATTCAATTTCCTGATATTTTAGTCAAAGTATTCTATTTGTATTTAGGCTGTTAATCTCATCACTAAAGATTGTCAACACGTAAGTAATTGAAGTCTTTTTTCTGTAAAAATGTAATTCGATCGTTTGGCGTGATCTTTTAGTTAATATACAGTTTTAAATACAATATGACTCATGATCCACGTTTTGATGATGCAGCGGAAAGGCAATGCAAGAAAGATATCCAGTTGTTAGATGTCTGTGATGAATTCGTCGGTAAAAAAGGTTCCGGTCGTCTTGTTTCATGTCTATATGACCAATTGAACAATATCACTGAACCATCATGTCGATATTTCATCAGTCAAATGCAAGTAGTTGTTTTCAACGATTGGCGACTATCAGAATACTTCGCCGATGCATGTATCAGTGACATTAGAAAGCTGGATTGTGGCCGATTGGATGATGATGATCAAGCAGTAAGCGAAAACAAATCAAATTAACAAATTGAGGAGTTGAACTATCTTTGTTGTAGATTCCACATGAGCAAGGCGCTGTTATTGCATGCTTATCACAAAACTATGGACAATTAAATGGTGGATGTAGAAAAGAAATTTTTCGCTTAACTGAAATGCAATCAAATGATTATCATTTGGATCGAGCTTTGTTTGCTGCATGTCGTGAGGATCGAGAACGTTTATGTTCCCAAGTTCCTAGTGGAAATGGTCGAGTCTATCGATGTTTGTATGAACAAAAGCTTAACACCATGATGTCACCTGCCGTAAGTTCTCCGAACAAATCAATTTGTTTGACTAAGATCATGAGCGTATCTCTTGGTTTTAGTGTCGCAAAGAAGTCCATCGTCGACAATCGTTAGTTGTTGCCAATGTCAAAGTCGATGTTCCGTTGATTCGAGGTACTACTGATTGAATAGTGTGAATAATTGCATTGAACATTTCATTCGCTATTCTAGCATGTAATAGTGAAATGCGTGAACACAAATGTTCAGTTGATCCTGATGATAATGACCAACGTTCGTCTCTCATCAAACTACTTCTCTGTCTTGAGGATACGATGAAGAAAGGTAACAGATCGATTCGATAAATTTCATCACTTTCATCAAATATTTCAGGCAATCATATCCAAGACGACTGTCGACGTGAAATGCTTGTTCATCGGCGTATGTTAATGTCCGATTATGCTCTCTCTCCCGAAATTGTGTCGCAATGTAAAAAGGAAATGATCGACCATTGTCCATCTTTACTTCAACAAGGCGCTAGTGGATCCGTCGATCAGCGTGGTGGCCGTATGATTCATTGTTTATTGAGTGCAGCGCGAAAAGAGAAAAACTTCAATTCACAATGCTTAGTTGTACTTAAATCATTGATACGAGCAGTTGATCCAGGTAACGACATCCGATCCGATCCGTTCCTTGAAACTGCATGTCGGCCTGTTATTGATACCTTATGTCCAAGGATAAAGCCAGGCGATTCGAATGTAATCATGTGCCTATTGGATAATCTAAAGAATAACCGCATGACGGAAGAATGTGAGAATACATTGATGGAAGTAGCATATTTCATGGCACGAGATTGGAGGTAATCAAACAGGAAAAAGTCAATTTGAATTGCTTCATTAATCAATCTTGTTTATTCAATTATAGATTGACACCGAAATTGTTACGATCTTGCCGAACGAATCTGGTCAGTTTATGTCAACTGCCAACAAATTGGTCGATGTCAACAGATCTAAGTGACGTTCAAGTTGGAATGTATTTAGGCTGCTTGTATCAACAACGGCAACAGGCATGTCGCAAACAGTATCATTGGGAATATTTTTGTTAACTGAAAGATTTCATTGTTTAGCTCGATAGTGATTGTCGCACTGAATTGAAACGACTTATGCACATTCGCTCACAAGCCATTGGCCTAATGCCAGAAATCGAAGACAATTGCATGGAAGATTTAGCCACGTGTAAAAACCCTGGCATTAAAGGAGAAGTATGAAGAGATATTCAAATAGTTTCATCTTGCACGTTTGCTTTTCTAGGAAATGAGGTGTTTGCAAAAGAAATACAACAAACTCGAAGAAAAATGTAAAGCTGCTGTGCGAAACTTTACACAAATGACTATGACTGATCCAACCCTTGATTTTCTGTTGATGAAAGCGTGTGAACCGATGATTCAACTATTCTGTGCAGTAAGATTAACTTGATTATCGATAAAGATGTTGTTTACACATCGATCTGAGTAGAATATTGAAGGTGGAAATGAAAATGATTTAATACGTTGTCTGATCAGACACAAAAACGAACAAAAAATGGATTTTCATTGTAAAGCTGGTATCGATCATCATCAAATAGTAAGTCACTTTGAAGTCAAAAACCAAATTTAATTTTGCAAATGCATAGACAAGTATGAAAGATGAAGCTTTTCTCAGTAAACAATTCCGAAGTAGATGTAGCAACGAAGTGAACGATCATTGTAAAACCAAGCAAACGAAGTAAGACACGTTTACTGTTCCTGCTCGAAATTCAGTTGAATTCTTGTCTTTCAGAGCAACTGTTATTCAATGTTTGGCTGATTTGATGCTAGCTGATGTTCTGAAAAACCAAAATCGAATAAATGAAGCGTGCCGTGATGAATTGAAATTTGAACTTCTCCAACGAGTTGGTTTTCTCATCTATTTATTAGTACGCAAACTGTTAGTTTCTATTTAGAGTGAAAGCATCAACTTTGATCCAATCTTAGCAAAAATATGTCATAAAGATATCAAACGATTTTGTTCCGATCGTACTCCAGGCAATGCAGAGGTTTATTTCTTTGCTCGACATACATTCGGTTGATAAATTTCGTTCATTGCTTGTCTAGGTACTCGATTGTTTGAAAGACCGACGTAATGATGTATCTCCTCAATGCTATACCAAATTGCAGCGACGAGAGAAACTTGACGTTATCCTACCCGAAAATGATTATAGTTTAATGTCAAAATGTGATTCGGTTATCCAAGTAGGTTTACTCAAATGTGACACAATATTTTCCATCTAGCTTGACTGTTATGTCTTTTAGAAATCGTGTGCAAATGAAAAGAAACAAAATATCCTGGCATGTCTACGTCGTCATGCAAATCAAGATTCCATGCCTGTTGTTTGTCGACGAATCTTATACCATCGACTAATGATTTTGAACAGCGGTGAGAACGATATAATTTTCGATGACTGTTCCTAACTGAGGAAAATTTCCTTGGATTTAGATGCTCGTTTCAACAAAGGCTTAATCAACAGTTGTCAAACGGATATTTCGAAATATTGTAGTGATGTTGTCGTTGACGATGATGACGACGACAAGGACAGCGACGATGATGCAACTATGAAGAAAGATGACGATGGTAAAATTCAAATTCGACTAGTTCGCTTCGAATATCTTATTTATTTAGATGATGGAAAAGATGATGACGCTAATGTTTCCGATGGCGGTGATACAAGAGATCGTGACATGGGTGGTCGAGTGATTCAATGCTTACGTTCGAAATACGCGGATTCAGCAGTCACATTAGATTCTCAATGCGTAACGGAATTGATTGACGTTATTCAAACATCAAAATTGGATATTAAACTTGACTTAAAACTCTATAAGAGTTGTAAACAAGAACTTACCAACGAATGTACGGGTATCGATCAAGAAGATTGTTTGAAATTGCTCTACCAAAAGGGTAAACTGCAAGATGATGAATGTCGTGAACAAGTTAAACGCATCATCAGAGAAGGACAAGCCGATATCCATGTAGATCGTGCATTGGCATTTGCTTGTCAAACTGATGTATTGAAATATTGCAACGACATACCAATCGGTAAGTCAATTCGTAAGGAAAGATCTCTGAAATGCATCTGAATGATTTTTAACAGGAAGTGGAAAACAATTACAATGCTTATTGGATATGAGCAATACAGTGACAATTCAATGTCGAAATATGTTGAAACAAAGACAACAATTATGGGGACATGTAAGTGACAATGAGCAGATGAAAGTTTGATATGGGCATGTTCGATTCGATTTTAGATTCCGAATGTCGATGGTGTTGTATCGTTAACGAAAGAAATTCGCAAATCAAACAATAGTATTTATCTTATCAGTGTTATACTTTTGATCTTATGTGTGATGTTCATGGCTGGTTGCATTTGTCGTCCATATGTTCAATATAATCGTGTCAGAAAATACAAATAAGCGAGCAAAATCAATCAACAAATGGCAAAAATAGACTGTGAAATTATTTCGTTTTTCTTTTCTTTATCTTTGACGCTTTCTTTGTTCTACACGTTTTTCTGAATCTCGCTCTTTTCTTGGCATTCCAATTATTGTATCGATCAACGAGGAAGAGATGTAACTACTTTAAAAAGCGCACAAAAACGTATGATTTTGAAGTATTTATTCTGTTCTACTGTTACCTTTTTTTATCTCTTCTTCGCTGTGATAATCTACATTTTCTTCTCGCCTTTCTTTTTCGAATGTTTAATCTTCGTTAGTATCAATTTTTATTTATGTGCTTGTCGCCCATCGATATTCTATTCAAATCATTCTTGTTTCATGAATTATTAATAAATATATATAGAGACAAAGAGACACAAACAGCAAGTGATTAATCAAGGGGCAAAATAAAACGAATTACAATAAACTTTGCATTTCCTTTTGACCATCCTCAATACCATCATCTTCAAGATCGAACTCATCCAGTTGAATATTAGTCGTTGGTTTCGTTGCTAGTGGAAAGTTTCGCTGATTTTCTAGGAAAAACAAAGAATAAAATGCATATGTTGTCATCATGTGAACGCATTTCTTCTTTCGTACTTGATTGTTCATCCTCCGATTCATCGTCGTCGTCGTCGTCATCATCATCGTCACTATCAGCACCTGTTGCACCACTACTATCGCATGGATCCTCATCTTCTAAACAACCGCATGAATCAGCTGGAACATCGGAACAATAGATAATTTCATCTTGACTGCAATCTTCTATTCATACAAAGTACTTGTGTAAAAGAACTTTCTAATAAAATGACAAACCTTCATCGTCGAGGAGCATACGAGCTTTTGAGTTCTGGAAACAAGGATTTCTCTCGTTCTGTGCGCTTCCCACCGGTGTAAGAGTTTGCCGAATACCAATTGGTACATCTTGACTTCGTATGATATCGCAAACTGAATGAAAATAGAAACTGATTTTTAAATATTTTCCTATACAATGTCAACATACCAACAGTATCACATAGACCAATGCGTTCTAATTGTCGGTAGACCAATAAATGACTATTGTTCAGAGCAAACCATTGATTGTTATGTGCACAGACTTGTAATTTCGGTGGCGAAACACTTTCGATTAGTTTTGTTGATATGTCAATCATTAGTTGCTCATCAATCACTGAATGTTTCAGATCGCCGAGACTTGAATCCGTAAAATTAATAATCGATGGTGCTAACGTTAACGTTTGTGTATGCGGAGCATTTGCCGACGACTTCCAGAATGGTTTCCAAGACGAAAAGTAACTTTTCATGTTTTGCATGGGTTACTCTCGATAATCTGAAGAGGAGAAACATATCTCATCAAATTCTTTTTTTCTTTATATACATCTATACATAATCACAAAAGATTGTGTAACGCTCCTAACTGGTCACTAGTGTCAGTTATCAATGCAATGCTCCTATCAAATTGAGTGTGAAATTGTCTGTTCAATGTATTGAGGATAAGATAGAAGTCGTCTAATATCTCTCAATGAGATTGATATTATGTATCTCAAGTAGTTCGATGGTCATATGTGTTGTACTATAATAAATTATCTTACTCGTTAGATGAAATGGATACATTTCCGAAACACAAACGAGTGTCGATCAAAGTTTTTTGTTCGAATGTACTGAGGTCATGTTTTATAGAGAAGACTCTTCTTTCTTCTTCTTCTTCTTCTTCTTTATTCTCATCATCAGTAATATAGTTACGAGAGATAGAAGAGGAAAAAAGAAGTCAAAACGATTGGGAGAACAAGTTCTTCTCCTATTCTGTCTCGCATTTTTTCCCTATACTCATACTTGTAACAATCGAATAGAACTATTTAGAAGCGAACGATAGTCAAATTGGAATAATTTGATAATACGAACTGTTTATGGATAAACATCGATTGTTATTTTTCATCACAAAATTCACTAGTTGACATGTCGATGAGGAATCCATCAGACATACAATAGATATGTTTACAAGAAATAATTGCTATCATGTTGTGATCAACGATCATTTGTTGTTGTTATTGTAATTCTTCAAGAAGAGAATGTGTTGTCGAAGCAGTTTTCTTAATGACTGACACTTTCGTAGATTTGACTAGACAGTAGTATCATGATCAAGGCTCTTTGGGTTATTTTATTTTTGTTTCGAAAATTCGGTCAAACTGATCTGTACAATAATGGAAAAATCCAGTCGTCAACACAGTTTTTCTTAATAGATTTTTACGCTATTCGTATTCGATCAATGTATAAAAGTGCTTACGCATGCATTCTGATGTCAACTATACTATGCAATCTTCTAATCAAATTTATGCTCGTTTTCATAAAGTTCATTGGCATTCTCTCTTCGTGAGAGAATGACGAAGGAAATAAATGTATCGATAATTGTAGCTCGAAGAAGTACGTTGAAATCATCGACGAACATATGTGAAAATCTAATGAACTTGTCCATATAAAAAAAGAAGAACTCTTTTCCCCAGTGAGATAATTCCTAATCGAATTTTATCTCGTTCTCGATGAATATATGCACGTGCGTCAAAGATCAGATGAATGCATTGATTATTAACAACATAGAGTTAATGAACATTTCCGCGAATGTCACTAACTGAACAGATTTATTGATATTCAACCTGGAATACGATTAAAAGTTGAATAGCCTTGGCAGGAACGGACAGACACAAGTTACACTGATTAACAACTAATGTCAATTGGGAGAAGATGAAAAGTATTGATAAAGGAAGATGAAGAAACAAGGATACGATGTATGTTTGCGCAAAGATACACGCATAGCATTCACTCGCTATTCTATAACAGATTTTGACTTCTCGCCTTACTCTAATCGATTGACAGCTACGTCAGCAGCATCATGCCAGTAATTACTGTTCTTTTCACGAGACAGGAAACAAAGAATTGATACAGATAACTGTGTTATTCTCCTCTTTCCACTTCTATCATTCCTGATAGTATGCTAGCGTAGTCTTGATGATACTTGATGTATTAATATCCGCTCGGGATGATAGAATAGAACTTAGTTTCCAAATCATCGACGAGATCAAGACATCTGAAATTCTATTGCATTGATATTCTTGATGTTTTATATTTTAAAAAGTAACTTGTAAAGAAAAAGAACAATTTCATTATTATGTACAGAAGCACGAACGTTTTTTCGTTTGAGACAATTTGTGAAGTAATTTCACTGAAGAACGTTTTCGACGTTTGTCTTGGCCAGTCAGTACGTTTAGAACAGGTGATTTGGGATAAAATTTCTGCATTGACGCATCCATAAATCGAAAGATGTCTTTGATCAACACACGAAAAGTTTCTTGAACATTCGTCCCAGTCACTGCACTTGTTTCAATGTACGAGATTCGAAGTTCATTTGCTAATCGTTGAGCACGAATCGTATCCACAATTCGATTGGTAACTAAATCAATTTTATTGCCAACAAGTAGAACTGGTGGACAGATTTCATCATCCACTCGCGTGTATGCATCAATATACGTCAACCATTCTTGTATGGACAGAAACGATGATTCGTTAGTCACATCATATAAAAGTAAAAAACCCATACTGTCACGAAATAACGATTTTGTTAAACTACGATAGCGTTCCTGGTAAAAGAAAACAATGCAGTCGTGAGAGAAGGAAAGAAGAGATAAAATTCGAGTGTAACCTGTCCAGCAGTATCCCAGAGTTGTAAGAGAATACGTTGGTCATTATCACCGGTAATGTGCTTTTCGAAGACATCGATTCCAACGGTTGAACGGAAATTTGCAAAATTATCATGAATGTACTGATGAAGAAACGTTGTTTTACCGACATTTGCTTCGCCGATGCATAATATTTTGAATAAATAATCGTGCGAGTCTTTCACTGGAACATCCATGTGATGATGAATGTAGAAGTTGAGAGAGAAAAACGGTGTGCGTACAGATCTCAACAAAGAACATATCCAGGGTATTAATGTAGATTTAGATTGGAGAAATGAATTTTGTAGTTCTTATCGCGATTCTCTTCATCGTAAGAGGTCACCAGTAAAAGCAAACATAACTATTTATTGGATTGGTTATGCTTTTTGACAAATTAATCAGTTGACCAGAAGAAACAGCTGTAGATATCTTTTTCAGTTTATATCTTATCATGAAACAGAAAGTTATAGTTTACTTGTAATAACATTTTTTTTTCTCTCGCGACTTCATCTAATGATAACAGATCTTACAATAAACTCCCATATGGCTACGGAAGAGTCTGTATTCGAAGGAGCACCGTACGTGTTAGAAAAAAAAAACTTCAAACGTAATTCGTGTTTTTATATTTAGATTCAAATGTCGACTGAGTTTTTATGGGCGTGGTCAAAGTTTGTTGACATTATCAAATAATCTATTTTCTTTTCGAATGTATCTATGTTTAGACGCAACTCCAACTGCACCAACATTGGTTACGAATAAAACAAATCTTCGTAAGGGAGACATTGTTGTCATTAGCTTAGATAAAGACGAAACTCAGCAAATTGTCATGCAAGTCGATGATGAACGTCCAGGACCATCACCAGATCCAGGTACTTCATTTAATGATGAATTATATTTGGATTTTCATTCATGAACTTCTCTTTCAAAGAAATTCTCGTTGACGAATCAATCAAACGAATATTTTCTGTCAATAGTTATATGAGAAATTTTCACACAGTTCAAAAGGTTCTTAAAAAAGAGGTAAGCTTCGTGATCGAACCATTCGCATTCATGAATAATGTTAATAATGTAATTCAGTCTAACCTATGTAACACGTGCTTTGGCTGTTAATAGATCTATTTATTCAGTTGGACTGTATATGATAACATTACGTAAAGAAATGGGGAAATATACTAAAAATATCATAATCAGTAGAACGATCAATGAGATATGTCACAGTTAACTAATTAATGTTTGGTTTATTTAGAAATTCGCACTGTATCTAGTCGAATTACAAGTCAAAGAGCAGTATTTAAGCCGCGGCGATATGTGGCGGTTTACTCGGAAATTGGTAAGTTTGAAAGATGAAGGATACAATCGAACATTTTTCTATTGTTCAGTTGAACACAACTGTCTATTACAAAAAACCGTTAGAAATGTACAGCATGCGGTAAGATATTCTTGTGGTTATCATTGTCTAAAGGAAAGTTTAGATGTACGGCAACGGTTTACGGCTTATGGGTGGATGCTGCACCCTACCGTGTATCATCTGGGTATATTACAAAGGATACAAAAGTAATTGTGATGGTTTGAACGGATGAGGATAGCGAGAGAGACTGATCTTTCGTTTCCATTAGATTGTTTTTCGCTCGTTGAGTGCTTGTTGTACCATCTTTCTTCAAATGTCCAAAGAGATGTGGGATTTCGATCACCACGGTGACACGTACTATGAGAAAGCTGTCGATGGATTTCTCTTTGATTTATTTACTCGATGGAAAGTGAGTGATCGACAATGAGAGTACCCGCAGGGTTCATCCATTTGAATTGCTAATTTATATTCTAGTCAATGAGTTGCCAACATGATGTAACAATGACATTATTCTCACGTGTGTTCTACGATGCCAAATCTTTAGAAGAGTTCCCTGTAAGTTTACGTCAAAATATCAATACAGACCATCGAGGAAGATTTTACGAAGATTTTTATCGGTAAGCATATCTGATTATCTATTTATTAAGTATGATCGAAATGTTAATACACATATACACACAGCAAGGTAATTTTTCTCTCATGGGTCCGATAACCCGTGCATACTTCGGCAGTCAACATTCTTTCAGATGAGATTCCCAGCCAATGGCATAAGTCCCACATTGGAATATATACATTTCATAATGTAAAACATGCCATACATGAGCAACATGTTGACTGAGTCAACACAACGAAGGATTTCTTCTAAAAATTCTGATCAGACAAATATTGTAATTAATACTTTCGTAAATGCATACAGACTGTAGATGATTTACATTAACACGTACACTATTAAGATAGTTCCAGCTTATCTGTCCGTTCTGATGTTACACTCGACGAAGATAAATCGATTCGATGTATGTGTCATTACTTCTCTTTCGTTCTAAGAGATCAGAATACGTCTTTCGCTTCGATAAAACAGCTTTATCGCAGACGATTGATTCGGAAGGAACTTGAAAAATGATATCAGGAATAAAAATTTATCTTGTTTAGTGTAATCTACCAAAACGAACGCTATGACGATTGGTTACCTCGTTTAGCTAAAATAAAACAAGTCCTTGTGAACTATAAAGAAGATCTACTTACTTATCATAAAAAGAAATTGCCAAAATCTGAAGCAGAAAAGATGCCTAATGGAACGGTCTCATGTGCCGCGGACGGAAATTTCCTTGAAACATTAAATTTATCATCTAGTGGTTTGTAATTCACATTTATCGAGTTGAAAGTTTCAATCCGAGAAATTTTCTACTTAGTATTCGAGCGTCATTTCATCGATCGCCCGTTCGATCGTCTTGGACAAATGTCTTTAATAATCACACCTGGTGCAGGTGTCTTCGAAGTCGAACGTGAATTAGCTAATATGACTAAACAGCGTGTGCTAGATAATGGAATTGGTAGCGATTTGGTGTGCTTAGGCGAACAACCGTTATTTGCGGTGCCACTTTTTAAATTCTATAAAGAAAATCCTAATGCAGCCGATGATTATCAAATACCACATTGGATGAACTTAAGGTTTGTTCGGAAACATTTCTCGAAAGATGATTGTGATCGTTGGGCAATTTTCTAGTTATTATCATTCGGCAACAACACCTTCGTGTTTTCAACGTTATGTACCACGTTTACCATTTCCGACTAGCCGAATTAAAAGCGGAATGCTGGGTAAAAAATTTCATATTTATGTGTACTTTTGTTGACCATGCGATATTTCAGAGGTAAAAAATGTAATGAACTCAATTGCAGAAGAACCTTTCATGAAACCATTACATGTTACCATGGAAGAATATGATGCTCAAGTATTTCGTTCTCAATCGAAGTCGTAAATAAATCTATGGAGATAAACTGTCCGATACGATCAAGTCTTTTTCCTTCTGCATAGATTATCAAAGGACAACCATGTAGAAAAATCAATGAAAAACGAATCACGCTTGCCACGACGACGACACATTACAGAAGGTCCTCGATGTGAGTTAAACTAAGATCGTCAATCTCTAGAGTACAATGAATTCGATCAATTTTTCGTATGATTTAGATCCAGCATCGATCGAAGAGGAAGACGACTGCGTACAAGATCAAAACGGGCTAGTCATCGTTAATAGCAAAAATCATTCAATGTCTGTCGTTCACGATGATTTACGTCATTTCAATGCAAATGTCAAAGATGACATGATACTTTCAACATCACACGCAGGCGCCCCATCGAGTATTATCAATAATATTCCATTTTATCAAACATTCAATCAAACCTCACAAGTCTTATTTTCAAATCCACATAGCTTTTCTCGCGCAGCACAAAGTGCTGATACATACTTTTTAGTATCGAATCTTTTCGCGCGCTTACAAGCACGACCTAAAGCCTTGACGAATCCGTTTGCGCCAGCTAGTATACGAATACCGATGGTGCCTGGTCGACGGCGATGGGCTCACACATTTCCAATGGGTAAAATGGAATACTTATGAATCTACATGACGAATTTTTTGCAATGGCTTTTAGGTCCAAATAAATTACCATGGCATTTTCATCATATGCGTCAAACCGAAGGCGTTACGAAGCAAGAACTTACAGTCGGAATATCTACCTGTGCACATCTGGTACTTCCTGGTACATCTAAAAGAATTATCAATGGACTTGTATCGAAGCGCACACGTCATTATGGAAAACTGAATACTGACTTTTCTTCTCGACATAAACGGTAAATGTAACTACTTGAAAATTGCGCATGTATGGATCAATTGTTTTAGTATCCTCAGTCCATCTAACTACGAACTGAAACGACAAGCATCTGAACGTAAAGACAGCGTCTCCGATGATATTCGACTCAGTTTTAGTAGTACTACTGGCGGTCAAAAGAAACATAACGCTGATGGATCAGCTAAATCATCTATATCCAAAAGTTCGTACATTGGAAAATCTCGCTCATCTGTTCGAAATTTGACATATTTTCAGAAAAGAAAGAAGCCATTATTTGGGGACCTACTGGAGTTGAACCGTGGAGTGCATCGATGATTACAGGTATTGATTGGAAATCGTTGACAATTCCAGCATCGCTCCCAACAACATTTGATGTTGTACCATGCGCTGAGGAACTAAACCGTGATTATATACATAATTCATATGTCCTGATTCATGCTCTACCGCCTTACCACGAATATGAGCGTAAGAAAAAACATCTATCCAATGGCAATAATAACTGTAAAAAGGAAATCGAGTAAGAATTTTATTTTGAAAATTTGTGAATCATATGAATGACTATTCATTAGTGATCATATGGAACGACAGAGAATCACATTCGATGAACTGATTGATCAACGATTGTCTCAAGTGAGAAATGGAATCTCTTTCATTTCAGTTGAATACGTTCGCTTGTACAGGGTTTTCAAATGATCGTAGAAATTCCAGGACATGTTAAGCAGAAAATGATTGACACAATTCGACGTGCTGGCTATACTGAAACCGAATACAATCGCTTATTGAGTATTGGTCGAATCTATCATACGCTAAGCCTAGTCATAGAAGACAATCAATCCCAAGACACCGTAGTTATCTACGTTCAACAACATAAACCTCAGTTCGTTGGATTCATAGTAATAATTATACACGCTTTCTTCGACTCATTTTAGACATCTATTTCAACCTAAATCTGTCGATTATAAATATCGCTTTCAATGTCCCGATTCGTCTGATTATGATCTGGCTCAGTATGAATTACAACTAGATAGTTTAGAGAGCTTTCCATGGAATTCAGTTGATAATATTGTTGGAAATCATGGTACTGGTGATCATAAACTCTCGGGAGTATGTTTCGAATTCTATCTTCGAGTCGATTTTCTCCGGTGTATATTTTTAGTTAGTAAAATATTGGCACACCCGGTTAGTTATTATGCCTGTCTCTCGCGATTATACAATCAAGAATATTGAATCTGGCCAAACCAAATGTGATAGTCGGGAAGAAATGTCGCATGAAGATTTTTTCCTTTATGTCGAACATTTCGTTCGATTTTTATTCATGTTGAACAAACTCAACCGTCTACCGATTGGTACAACTGAGTCTATCCATCGTGTATGATCATTTTTTGCTGCCATAGTTCGGCAGAAAGAAATTTGTTATTCTTGTAGCCACTCGATCCAGTTACAGGTAAAAAACGTACGGATACACCTCGACGACAGGCAAAAACTACGTAAGATATTTCCCCTTAACATTTCTCTTTGTTCCTATTCGAAAGCTTTCAGAGTATCCATGCAAACATTCCAATTGGGAAATATTATGAACGGTGATGTTGACGAAATAAATGCTCTCTTGGCTTTATTTCGAACTGAACATCAAGGCTTACTATTTGTTAAAGATTCTGTTCTACCAGAGTTTACATTCATTGCTATTGAAGCAATCTGGTGGTCGATTGAGCGTTGTGTAGATATACAAACTGAACAAGCAGCATTAGATCTTTTTCAAGTGAGAGAAATCAAGCGAAAACTTTTGATAATAATGATCGCTTGTTTTAGTATTTATTCAGCAAAGGATATATCCGACATTGTACAAACACCGAGACGACCTTTCGCTTTGGATTCTTCCTCTATTACATCGTTACAGAAAAGACGGCCAATTGTAAATATGCGTTCATTTCATTCCCTACGAGATCATTCTCGAATGTTGCTATTCTTTAGTCCGTCTTGACGCGAATGATTACGCTGAAGTGGAATTTCATCAAACTCAGTCATACATTCCCTCGATGGATTATTTAGGCTTTGCTGAATGTAAACCAATGCGGCAATTGCCAAAACTGATCGAAAATCCTCAATCGAAACCTCGACCCACACGACTGGCAAGTACTGGAATTACTTCTCCACCTCTACAGAACCCACCTCCGCAAGATCCACAAACGCCGTCGATTGTTCTCAAACGTGATTGTAATGTCGATGTCGATCCTAAACATATATCAGACAGACATGAATGGGCAACAGCACATTACCATTCATTCTATAATCCACATTGTCTATTTGAATTGGAAATTCGATGGCTAGTTGCCACTTCATGTATACTCGGTGATTTGATCATGCAATGGTCACAACGAACGGGCACAATACTTGGTTCGAATCAAGTAGCTTTCCATTTAGTGCCAATTCCATGTGATCCATTTGCAGAATTCGATGCACTTAGAGGTAAAGCACTCATTTATTTCGATCTCACAAATGCTGATTGAATATCTTTGTTCAAGGTCCGATTTATATTAAAATCGATTCATCATGTCTTGTTGATAAACTTGCTGATCTTCCAAAAGAAAAACAAATCCTTCGAATAAATATCTTCCAAGAATTGATATTAAAACGGTTTGTTCCACTGGATCTCGACACGATTTGTTCATGTTTTGTTTTAGCTATGGTTTTATTCTGAATGCTTGTGTTAGTTACAAAGAAGAAAACATCTACTATGTTCACATTAGTGGTGGGATGTTAGTTTACATTATATCTGATGTTTACAATGTTCATTTCAACAACCGACCGTCACGTATTGCATCGATTGGATCATCGAATGGCAATGGTCAATTATCACCACTTGACTGTGGATTTTATTGGTGTTGGAACTTTTGTCTTGGCAAAAAATGGCGAAGCACGCAGACAGGAGAGGAGAAGTATCAAGATATCATGTTAGCGGACTTTCGTGCATTTTGTGCTAACGACAAGAATCGTTTAGTAAACTTTTGGAACGAATCAAGTAATCTAGCAAATCAAAAATTGGCTGAAAAACAACAAAATTCTGATGTAGATAACTAATCAAGTGTATTATCTAGTCTTTTTGTGCTTCCTATTATCTACAGTGTTACGTAACTATGACAGTAACTGTCGTAATTTTTGACTTTTGTACGAAACCGGACGAGAAACAACGCGAATCGTATTCCAGTGTAGTTTGTGAATATATAAATAAATTTTACAGGAAGAGACGCTCTTATTCTTTGGTAAATTTCAAAAAAGATGAAGACGGCAAACGTTCGGTTTCTTACGAAAATGCACCGGATGACTCATTGCATCATCACATGGGTATTAAGCAACATTCACATAGTTTTGCACAAAAAAATGCACCTACTGGGAATCGAACCCAGATCTTTCGGGTGGAAACCGAACATTCTACCATTGAAACACAAGTGCTCGTGATACATCCGTGAGTAGTTGCTCAAAATAATTGAGTAAACTCATTTACAATGCATCGGAGAAGAACATATCTGTGTGCCTTCTTGCTTTCAATCAGAAAGAGTAAATTATCATGTGTATTGATATTGTACGCCGAACAACGATACGAGACAATTTGTAGTTTCGAAAACCTCGTCATACAACTTTCTCAATCATCAAAAATTAATTGTTTCGGAAAACGTCTAACGATCGATTTTATTAATTTTTTTTATGTAGAAGCTACGAAGGTAAAAAGAAAAAGCGAATTCTAGTCAAGCAAAAACTGTTTTTGTTTTTTATGTCAAGCTTAAGAGACAATACGAGGATCAGTCATTTGACTCATAATACGTAGACCAAATTTGGCTGTTTTATAATCGAGATCCGTTTCACGATTGCGCTTATTTTCCTTTGTTTTTACAATTGTAAGTAGATACTTCTGATATGGAATGTGTTCACGAACTGATTTTTCAATCACTACTTGAGCATACGGCTGTGTCCATCCAGTCAATGGATCATTGGATTGAGAAAACTTCTTGATGATTTGAATAGCTCGTTTCGCTAATAAATACTTGTTCGTTGACAATATGAATGGATGTGGAATGATTTTCAACAGTTGTCTGCCAGTTTTATCCGCGCAGCGTTGACAAACATCGCAAACGCTGTTATTGGTTGACATACTGAACCGAGTGCCTTTGAAATCAGTTTCCGAACAGCAACTGCATCTTGTATCTAGATGAGTCAAATTACTGGCAAGTTGTACAAGTTCACCATTTGTAATTTTCTTCGAAAATGTATGCGTTGATGGATGATGTTTACTCATCAACGGCATGCATTGTTTGCAAACATTGAACATGTCATGTGTGCACTGGTTGCAAGTGAAAAATTCATCTTTACCACCGACGATGACTTTTAAACAGTGATTGCAATAACCTAAGAATTGAGTGAGAAAATCTCGACTTGTAAATATCGATGAGCCTGTCGTTGATACGTCCGTTGACATATCCGTAGACACAGCCATCTGCAATTAAAAGAAGGGAAATCAATCAACAAAATTGCAGTAAAACAACATTTACATCAGTATCGAATGATATGGGCTTCTTCTTTTGTTCAACGATTACATACGAAGTTGGCGCAGGTATTTTGATCACAGGATCAATCTGTAAGAAAAGAGAAATGTCGTGTATTTCGCGTTTGATACGAATCTCTCACTTTGAACATTGTATGAAACGAACTGCTACCAATGTTATGTCGCTTGTGGAAACATGAAGTACAAACGTTGTGATTAGTACATTGTATGCATTTGTACAGACCTGCCGTTGGCGGAATACACGAACCACATGAAGTGCATTCTAAACTCATTCTTGCGTCGACAAATGATTGATTGAGTGGCTGTTGTGGTCTGATATTTATACGCGTAGATTTTTTCGAAAGATTGAAATTCGATGTGGAACAGTGACAAGCGAAACAGTGTAGAAAAAACAGAAAATATAGCTGTGATTGCTCATTGGTCTTGTTTCCATATTAAATGACGTAAAGGTCATGCATATTATTACAGGAAAATATTTGTTCTGCAAATCAGAAATAGTCACGATTTGTACGATGTTTTCAATAGTTGTTATCGGACATTCGATGGCAATGAGTGCTGCTGTAAGAACGCTTGCGGTCAAATCGGATGATTTGACTCGAATACTCCTATGTCACGTTTGTTTGATTCCAGTAGAGATCTAGAAATGAAAACATGTGATTGTTCTTTATCATATGTTACGATGAAAGTACAAATGACCTTGAAAAAACGTAAACATCGACCGTAAAGAATTGCTCGATCTCCAGTATAGTTTCAATAATGACTTCATTATGAAATATATTTTATCGAAGCTAATAGATTTTTACTATATGCAACACTTGTCAATAGGTTCGGTCTTGAACTTTGTGTCTTTGATGTGACGACGAGCAACGGTCGTACGATCCGCTTTGCACATGATGAAATCTTGACTTTGATGATGTTCAGATAGTCGATATCGATAAATATTTTATTCGAAATATACAAAGTTTCACAAGGACAAAAAAAAGATCATTCAGGATATATTTCATTAAAAGAGAAGCATCAATTTCACTTCCGTTGTTTACACTGTAAAAGAACGACGTATTTACATTCCTTCCAATTTCTTATTATCATTATCTAATAGATTAGAAAAGATATTTGTCAAAACTTGAGTATTATTCAATGAACAATTATCTAAATCATAGAACAATCGCTGATTTAGTATAAGAAAATCAAATGCAAATACCTAAAACATCATTGAATGAATATGTTCCGTCGACTAGAACGCAATTCTTCAATTCCACAGGCAAACCGCATGGATCCGTGAGAAAGTCGGTTACGAATATTTCGAAATCTTTTGTTACTATTCGAGGAGATGAACGCGTCAGTTTCGTCGAAGCTCGACGTTTTGCTGGTTGCAGTTGTTGTCTTCTCTTCTTCATATCACGACCGATAAAGTAGGATGTAGGAGAAAAGAATGATTTTATTCATTGGAAGGCAGAGCGTAAGATACAATGGCGATGACGAACACCAATAAAAATCGTGCATGAATCATTTCATTCTTTCATTAATTTATTTCTTTCGACGGTGATGGCCCAACAAGAGCAACTCGCTAAACAACGACTGATCTATTCCATTTTGAAGTTTCTTGATAAAGAAATTCAAGCTGAATCAGCCAATGCTGAACGACGTGAGAGTATTGAAGGTAAAAGTTTACTTTAAGAAAAAAGAAAATGTATTTATTTAGATAAATCTACTTCTAGTTGCCGTGCAATGTATCGAAACGGCATTTGAAGTATCTCTGGCCAATCCACCGAATGATTTGAATCGCAATGAACCTATTGATCTTTTGTCCGTTGTATCAAATAAAACAGTACGAGATTGTCTACGATTTACTGTTATCTATTTGAAGATTTTTGTGTCTAGTCAATGAACATGCCATTAACTGATGACATGCGTCAGCAAGCTGATAAATTCAAAAATCAAGGAAATGAATTTGTTAAACAAGAGAAGTATAAAGAAGCTTTAGAAGCGTATAATTCCGCAATACAAATTGATCCAAACAATTCCATTTATTATTGCAATCGGTATGTATTTTCCTTCTATTTCAATAGCAAAAGAAAACGAATTCGAGTATCTTCTGTCTCTCTCTCTAGTGCCGCTGCTCATAACAAATTAAACAATAATGAACAAGCATTGAATGACTGCTTCCGTTCGATCGAGATTGATCCCAATTACAGTAAAGCATACGGCAGACTTGGGTACATTTTTATGAAAGATTCTTCTTGAAATTAATTAATCTTTTTGTGTCCAATAGTGTGATCTATCTGTCATTGGACAAAGTCCATGAAGCGTTAGATGCTTATAAAAAAGCGCATGGACTTGAACCAACTAATGACAATTATAAACAATCGATTAAACTTTGCGAAGATCGACTCAGTGGAGCAAATAATGCCGGTGCAGCGGGTGCAACTGGTGTAAGATGACACTAACATGCTTTGATGACATGGAAAATTTGATGTTTTCATCTAGGGTTTCAATTTACCACCCATGTTCAGTTCTTTATTAGGTGGTGCTGCAGGTGGACCTGATATGATGTCCATTTTCAATAATCCAGCTTTAATGAATATGGTTCGTAATTTTCGACTGATTATCGGTGCATTGAACGATCATATTTTAGGCATCACAGTTTGTTCAAAATCCTCAAGTTCAAGGATTGTAATCGATTTTTGAAAAATATCGATTGTTATTTTTGTATGTTGTACTTTTAGAATGGCTAATTTAGTAACTAACTTAGGTGGACAAGAAGGTGGTCAAGTTGGTTTGGAAACTTTATTACAAACGTAAGAGTTCGCATTGGAAAGATTTCTTTCGCAGTATTTTGTTTTTGTTCTAGTGGTCAACGTATGGCAAGTGAATTGTCTGCTACAAATCCTGATTTGATTGAAACACTTCGTCGTAACATTGGCAATCGTCCACCCCCAAACGGTGACAACAATTCATCACCAAGTTTGTAGATAATAGTAATCGCATACACATTCATTTTATTCTTTTCTTAAGATTCCGATCAAAACAAACCATCATCATCATAAAACTTTTATGTTACCATTTTTTTTTAAATAAAATCTTCATACAAGAAAGTTCAAATGAAACGAACGAGTTCAGTCTAAGTTAATTTACCATAAAAAGCCATAGACGCTACTCCACACATGTTACCAGAATCTTTTGCTAATCGCAGATATCCATGCTCACCCCATTTTGTTCCCCAGGAATTCTTAATGATCCAATAAGGCATCTTCAGAGCATTGTCATAACCATAACCAACGACGACCATAGCATGATCCATATCTTTTCGATGAGTGGGACAGTTTTTGATTTGAAGTACCCCTGATTTGTAAAACATAAAAAGACGCGATTCTGCATCGAGACCAATAAACAATGGACCGTAATTGACTAGTGCTTCAGCCATGGTTTTTTCATCGCCCTCAGGAATTTCACCATATTGAATATTACCAAGTTGAACTTCATTGAGACCATTTATTTTGCAAGTTTGCTTTTGTGTTGCAAAAGGATACGATGCTTCAGTTGCTATCTTCCCACCTTGTCCTGATAAGTACTGAACACTTGGCGGAAAGTTTCCACCGCGACAACCGTTGTTTCCATTACTTGAACAATCGATTATTTGTTGAGCACTAAACTCAATAACTGTTGTTGAATTTGTTTTCATAGCATAGAGCGTTTCCATGATGGTCGCTGTAGCCAATGCATAGCAACATCCGCATTTGAGTTGGTTTTTCACGCTACTAATAGCAATCTTTGTGCGCCAGTCAAATATCGTCACAGGCTGACCTGGTTTATTATTTCCGTGAATTAAGTCTCGAAACCAATCGAGAAGAAAGCGTTTATTCTTTATCCGCCTTCGATTCCAATTTCGTTTCAATCGTTTGACATGGTAATGATGTTGAGAAAGCTTTTTTGAACTACGTCGGATTGAGTGATCCTTGTCGTCTTCAATCAACTCTCGTCGTGCACTTGTTGACGGAATCAAACCTTTTTTCAACGAGTTAAATTCTTCCATTGTCCAATCAGCGAAATCATTCAATTCTAATTCGAACGTACTCAATCGTTCCAAATTGGATTCAACTATATAGAAAAGATGGTCGCGAAATATACGCAAACGTTGTTTTTCTTCCTCTAAAAGACGCAAAAATCACTGTTTAGTAAAACTCAATTCAATCCACACGATACAAACCAATCGATGAATAAGCTCGGCCATATTTCGACTTAAAAAATGACCAGATTTGTCCAATACTCGAATCATTCAAGCTCAATTTGCCCTCGATTTTATATTTTGCGGCATCAACAAAACTGTCGATATAATCTTGTAAAGACGCACCACCAAAAAGCTCTTCACTCGGCGTACACAAACCGATGAGAAGAATCACAATATATAACATTCGATTCATGTTTATACCTTGATTTTTGCTATATGATTACAAACATGGATATAAATACGACTCTTTCTGCTTTCGTATTCGAAAAACCACTTTCCCTTCTTGAGTCAATATGTGAAATTCGACAAGAAAAGTATTGATCAAACAAACACGAAATCAGTTATGATGCTAATCCAGTTATTCATACTTTTGTGAATAAGTATATTGATTAAATTTTGCGAATGGATGACATTTTTTTTTCAGTACATGTTAACGAAGAAAATTATGCTTGAATTATTCTTAAGCATTCGGCTCGTTCCGATTCATTTCCTTCCTCGATTTGAATTCAAACTAATTTGATGAATCTCAGTTCATAAGTCTAATCAATTAGCAAGTGTAGGTGGCAATTGCCGACATCACGCGAAACTTTTCCGATTGATGTCTACTGACGGCTAGATTTATTCTTATTCATTCACTTGTTGTATGAATAGAGAATAACTATTCATCTGAAACAAGAACGTATTTACTTTTTCAAACCTTGAATGTCCTACCCCAGTCACTGATTACATTAAGAATTATTTCTGCCTGTCGGTAATTAGAAATGTTAGCTGAATGTCACTGTTGCCGATGATGAGCTTGATGTAGACGTCATAGTACTTTATGTTTGACCTACACAACATATCTACACCCATAAACTAGATTGCGTCCAAATCGTAAGTACAGATATATTCGTCATTGTATTTTGAATTTTAATCTGCCTGATTGTAGGAAAAAAATAATTTAACTATTTTCCTGTTGAGTCATAAATAAATGAATACAATTAATATTTCATTCGATAGACTGAATAATAATTCTATCTCTCAAATAAAAACAGGCAATTGATGGATATACTATTGAATAGGCGACTAGTTCTTTTTTTGTAAGTCAACGGAAGGTAAGACTAAAATCAATCGATTGATCACTTAGAATAATCAGATAGTCAGGGTTAGACTTTTACATATGAAAAGTCTTTTGATTTTCAATTCATATCATGTATCTTGATGACATTTCGAAATAAACGATAATGAATAATGATAGAAAACCAGCACTCATTCATCGGATTTTCTTTTTCGCGCATCACGGAACATCCTACGCATTTATTAAGTAAAACATAGATTGTAAAAATAGACAAGATTAGCGGAATTTCCATTTGCATTATGATGTCCTATTGTTCTTGACGAGCTGTCGCTACTATTTTACTTATCGAATCTCCATCATCACTCGTTGTTGATGATGATGATGTTGTTGTTGTTGTTGGCTTTTTTTTTAGAACATCTAGTCAACCAACTTTCCTGTATACATCAGAAAGAGAAGCACATCAAGACCTCTTATTGACATGATTAGCAACTGTCATTGTTTTGAAATATATCCATTGATCCTTAGCGAAGATCCAACTTGAACCTCTATTTTTACAACAGAACAATGAAGGGTGTTAACTTAGACTGATTGCTTGCCATCATCATTATCTATAACCGAAGGCACCATTTCGAGTAATACGAATACATCATTATTCTTTGAGACGTATCATTGTTTGTTCAACGACAAAGCGAAGATAGAAAAGTATAAGGAAAGCAGCTGTGTTATGTATGATACTGGAATAGATCGCTAAATGAGACATGAGAAAGTAGACATAACATTTTTGGCGAGAAAATGGCATCTTTATCTACAAGGTATCGATCTTAACATTATCAATAAATAGAGAATGATTAGTTTGTCTTTGTGTCTAATTAGAAATTCTATTTAATTGACGCTATATATCATCGAAACAGAAGAAGATGAGGGTGTTTTATTGATAATTTGTGACATCAGAATAATTCCTCGAGTTTTAGAGAGAAAGAGAGAGAGAAATTGTATATGTCTGTAGTTTGGATTACATTCTATTTATACAAGAAAGATGATGACGTAAGTGGTGGTAATAGAGAATTATTTATGGATTTATGCAAACTATAAAAGTGTCATTATTCGAAGATCTTGTATTGATGATTGGAATCGATTCTAATTGATTTTCTTTTCTTATTAAAAATATCTTTTCGAGGTAAATACAAAGCGTGATATTCAACTAAAAAACAAACTTTATATTTTAACTCCTATTTTTGACGACTAACATGCAAAAAAGATGTGTTTCTCTTTGCTTGCCCTCTTTCCCATTTTCTTCTGCTTCTCTTTCTCTAGTTCTTTACTTCGAGCACTTTTTCCTTTTATCATTGTCGTCGCCATTATTCTCTTGTCATCGTTATTATATGACTATTGCAATCATAGTACTCGCCTTACTAATGGGATTGGAATCGACGTTCTGTCCGGGACCGGAGATCAAGACAGGATAGCAGAGCACATCGTACGTCATTGATGAGCAACAGAAACACTTATTTTCTCTTTTTTTTTCTTAAAAGAAACTCTTCTCTCAGACTCAAATACTTTTCTCACCACATCCTACTCGAATGCTAATGATTATTATAGATTATAATTACCTATGAACATAGACATAACCTGATCAGTGATGGATATCATTGAGATGATTGATAACACCACAGTAACCGATAAACAAGGCGACGGCATGGACGATGGATTGAAATTTGGTATTGCGAAAATATGTTTGTTTAGTACATTTTTTGCACTTGGTCTTATTGGTAACTCTCTTGTGTTAATTGGCATCGGTCTCAATAAGGGCATGCAAACATCTACTAATTTGTTAATCTTCAATTTGGCACTTGCGGACATCTTGTTCATTATAGTTTGTATTCCAACAACTTTATTTAGTTTTTTTGGTCGCTGGCCATTTGCCGAAATTGGTTGTAAAATCGGTAGGTGTAAATCATTTTTCAGATCAGTTTTCACATGTTGATTGAAATCTTTCCTAGCACAATTTATCAATCATTTGTCAGCTTTCATGAGTATCTATTTACTTGTATTTATGTCTATCGATCGTTATTTTGCTGTTGTACATGCTATTGATTCGATTTCAAATTATCGCACTACGAAGAATACAACGATCTCAATTATGTAAGAGTGCTTTTTCTTCTGTAGCAGAAATCGAATTTTTGGGTGGATGTCTCTTCTTTTAGAGTGCTTTGGCTAATAGGAATAAGTATATGCGCACCTATTGGTTCCTTATTTACAGTTATTGAATTCGGATCACCGAATTCCATGTATTGTCTCTTGTGTTACTTTAAACCGGAGATGAGTAATGTTTCAAATTTGAACAATGCAACGAATACCACCGAAATTGGAACGTTACCGATTGAAGCGAGTTTATATTGGATTTGTTTTGTTATTTTTCTCTATGCATTACCGTTGACAATCATTGTTATTCTGTACGGTTTCATGCTAAAATTTCTACGTGGCGCTCGTGGTCAATCTGTGGGCAAAAGTAAACGACGTGCTACACGAATGATTTTAGCTGTTATTCTAACATATGCATTGTGTTGGTTCTTTATGCAACAATTATTCATTTCGAATATCATCCTTTCGAACAATACGAGTCATCATTTCGCCACTTATATCGATATTTTGACAACGATTGCAAATGTGTTTGCTTACCTAAATTCGGTATGTAAATCAAAGCGTTTCATCAGTATTCAATCTTGTGATTTTTAGTGTACAAATCCTATTCTATATGGATTCATGTCGAAAAATTTTCGTTCGTCGTTTATTGATCTACTTTGCTGTCGGTATTCGAAACGAAATCTGTTTGGACCAAATGAAAGCATGAGGGCTCGAAGAGCACTTGATCAAAATAATAATCAGCGGCATTCATCAAATTGTAAAAGTGATTATTTAGTACGGACATCTAATGCGTCGCGTTTCACTCAATTGACTCCAATGATAACAACGAGTGGACCAACAACATCGCCATCGTTGTCTCGTCTTGCCAATGAATTATCTCCCTTGTACAATCCCAATCACGAAAGAAAAATGTCATCCGACAATGATAGTTCACAATATATTTCAGTTGAATTAAGTGAAACATGTCGACGACATATTCCCAGTGATCATTCACCGGTAGACTCCTATTCTTCATTTGAATCAAAACCTATCGAGGTGCTATGTAAATAAGAAACAAACAAAAAAAATCTTGTTGTCGTTATCGATGTTTCAAATATATACTTTTACGCATATATCTATAGCTAGAAATATTTCATACCAGTTCAAACTATAAAAGGGGTCGGGGGTGTGCGAGTAAAAATAGTCGTTAAAGTGTCGCGGTGATGAAACGGAAAAGAAAAGAAAAATTTCGAGGTGACTGAGACGGATGCTTTTAGATAATGAAGAAGTACGAAATTATTGAATTACAATAAGTTCACTTACGGTTATTTCGTCATACGTCAACAATCATATCAATCAGATTCTTCGCTATTGTGATTAATCTGGTAATTATCAAGCCACAATGGGAATGCAGAAATAACATCACGCTCTAGTTCACATGAACGACGTTGCCAATAAGACTAGATAGAATCATACTTGACATGAACGATAGCGAAAAACAAAATATGTGAAAAAGTCATATGATGGAGAATATTCGAGTATCAGCATGCTTGTTGTTTGAAAAACGTGCAAATAAAAGAAGCTATGGAGGAGCTCGGTTTTTTAATAAGAAAGAAAAAAGAAACGCTGCGAGTAGGATTCGAACCTACGCGGGAGAACCCATCTGATAGCTTGACACTCGTGTGATTCAAGTCAGACGCCTTAACCACTCGGCCATCACAGCACGATTATTAACTATGATTAAAGTATTGTTATTCGACGATTTTATCGTTCCTGCAAGAGAAGAAAATAACGCGAAGAAACAAAAAAAAAGGAAGCGCTGCGAGTAGGATTCGAACCTACGCGGGAGAACCCATCTGATTACTATGCATCATTTTCATGATTCTAGTCAGACGCCTTAACCACTCGGCCATCGCAGCACGTTAACTTGATGCATATTTTTTTATGTAATGAAGATTCGAGTGAATTTGACTATTTTCTTGGCTACGTTTGCATACTATTCAGTAACCTTGAAACTGTTTTTTACAATGATAATTATTCATATATTAAAATAACAATCGGTGTAATTTACACCCGCTTTATGAAATTTCGAATATGATAATTCTCTTCGTCAAGTTGTGCTTAATGCATATGCCTTGAAAAGATCCATTGTAAAAACAAATTGTCTTCATGCTATCTCAGTTGCATCTCACTCATTTCTTTCTTATGCATTCAATAGTGGTAATTAAACAGATATTTTCCTTAATTTACTGGTTAGTTCTTTCCTCAAATGTATCGATATCTATCAATATTTCAAACTCTCAAAATTAACACAAATATTCCTCATTATGTTGTGAATCTGCTCGAAAAATATACAAATCGTTCACAAACGCTACCATTATTAAGAACGAACAAATTCCACACAAAAAAAAAGTTGAAAATGAATAGTTTATGAAATGAATATTGTTTGGTATTCCGCGCTTGTTCTATTAGCCAACACATGAAATTTCTCCATTAGCAATTGTGACAACGCCATTACCACATTGAATAGCTAAAATAAAGATACATCCATCACCTGTCTTCAAAACAAGGCTAGTTAGTCGCTATGATACTTACATTGTCGGCGAACACGATGATTTTCAGGTAATGGTGATGATGATGCCGATGGTTGTTCTGTATCTAAACATACACAATAAAACAGTTATGTGCACAAGATATGAGTGTGCATGGAAACATACGGTCGAGAAGTGGTTTGCGATCAGTTGCAGCTGCATTGCTTTGATGAACAGCAAAGATGATCATGGTGCACAAGAGTAAGCAGTAGACACTGAATGAGTTCATGGTAGTTGATTGAGAGATTGAGAGTGAGTTGAGCAGTTGAAGAGAAGTTGTGACGAACGAATGATGGTGTATGTTGAGATAGCATGGCTATTTATATGGTGAAAAAGAGGTGCAGAGACCAATGAAGTGAAGATGGGAAATTATGATTTTCTCCCTTCTATCAAGTGAACAACAGGAGTGCGCGTTTGACACATAGTCATGAGTCATGTTCATTGCTTTCTTGTCTACCAATGAAATCAATGATTCGAATCGGTAATACATATATGTTTGTCCATGAACAGAAGGAAAGGAGGGAATGTGGGACAAATAAACACGAGAAAGAAAAAGTGACGTCATTCTCATGTGCTTTGAGAAATCGTATGCGGTGGATTTTACTGTTCAACATCCGGATATCTATGAGATTAACAAACTAAGTGTTTCACCGCCCATTCCATCGCAAGCATTCGTCGCTCAACTGAACTCACTATACCTTCTTCATACTCGCCATCCTCAATCATCTTCTTCAATTCAGTCTCCGATCAACACCAATTATAGACGCTCTTGTAGTGTGTATCAGATATTATCATCATTTCGTCATGCTCTTCTTTCATTCACAAACAATTCAACTACAGTGCAGTTTCAGTTTATTTATCAAATCGTCTATGTTCACATCACACATCTGTGTATTCATCATCAAGAAATACAAAACAAAAAACAAGTTTCGAGTTGAGAAAGTTCTTCTGTTGGATGGATTGTAATAGATCGTCGATCAACATGATACTCCACCACCTTGCACCATACCCCAGTTGCATACTCTCACTTTCAAAAACAAAACAGATACATCTTTGATATCTGAAATCTGATTAACACTTACCTTGCACATCACCAGTACCCATGTTCGATCCATCCACTACAACACAAAAATAACACATATGAAAGGTTCGATCATAATCAACAGATCAAGCAGAGCTCTTCAACACGACATATTGGCAAGGATACTATGTTTCCTCCATAGAGATGTTAGTGAGCACCCCTTTTACCTGTGATCGAAGATAGAAGCAATGTTATTCACTTACGAGAGACTATACCACCGAATCCACGCTTTTGTCTATGTAACTCTGTCTCGGCGGCAGTTGGTGGCTCGTCAGCTAAAGCACAAATCATTGATGAAAGCATTGGAAGATATACTTGTGTGCTTACTAGTGAGCTCGATCGGTGAGTGATTGAGTGCTTGGAATTTGGTGTCGAGTGGCGCTGCATTGATGTGATGCAAAACACAGATCATTATGGTTACCGATAATAAACAACGAACGGCGAATGAATTCATGGTAAGAGATAACGTTAAGGTGATCAAGTAAGGTAATTTGCAAGTGAATCGATAATAAAAGTTATGGTGGCTGGATGTGTGTATATTTATAGGTGAGTCAGCTAGCGTTTTTCTCTGTTATTGGGCGAGAGTACTCTTAGAGAGAGAGAGAGAAACATATCATTGAATGTCATTATAAGTGTAGAAGTGGGAGATTCTGTTTCTCTCCCTCACATCAAACGTTCGACGACAAGCAGTGTCATGACTCATATTGAAATGTGAGAAAAAGTAATCCCAATAATGTTCAGCTAGTTACTGATATTAGTTANTTATAGGTGAGTCAGCTAGCGTTTTTCTCTGTTATTGGGCGAGAGTACTCTTAGAGAGAGAGAGAGAAACATATCATTGAATGTCATTATAAGTGTAGAAGTGGGAGATTCTGTTTCTCTCTCTCACATCGAACGTTCGACGACAAGCAGTGTCATGACTCATATTGAAAACACGTTCACTTGCAGTTAGCTGAGCGATAGGTGTGTTAGTTGAGGGGAGTAGAAAAGAAATCGAAAAAGGAGTGACGTCATCAACGGTCAGTGAATTGGTGATGTTGGCTGATTCAACGTTTCTAACATTAGTTTCTACAAAGCAGATAAAGATACGCTTCTCTTGCCGTATATCTTTCTATTCTTCTCATAACAAATACGTCGTTGGAGACAAACACTATTTATTCTTTGTGTCCATTCGTCCTATCCGCACGATAGATATGAAATAAAGAATAACAACATTTAGTTGTGTTTCAGTTGTGTACAGAAAAACATCTCTTATTTATGTCTAATCACATTCATTGATCTCTCTTTTCATTTAGTTCCTTACACTCGTGTAACAATTAGCATGCATTGGTTCCGCCCTCACTTCCTCGTATCATGTAGCGTCTTGTTTCTTGTCTTTGGTGGTTTGGACAGCGCTTCGATCATGATCGGACCAAATGGTATTCAATTGAGTGGACAAAACGGCAATGATCAGTTTATCAACATTGCTTTGCCAATTAATGGTTTCAAAGTACAAATTAGCAGTGACGGAGGAGCAGTTTCTAGTTCGGTGGTGAATGTACCAGTGATAGAAACAGCTAATTACCGAGTAGATGCATCTTCAGCTGGAATAGGTACGCAACAAGCTGCGTCTGCTGGGACTGTCAGATGGTATCCTCAAATGTATTCGAACCTCGGTTTTACCGCTAATACGTCAATCAATAGGCAAGCCGATCCTTCTGTCAACACTCAACTCGAAACTCATCGCAGTTCACAAACACATTCGTCACCGAACGTTCAGGTTCAATCTCCAAATCGCTTCACTGTCAATGAAGCTATACCTCATGTATTCGTCTCTTCACCTGCTCCTCAAGTCCAAAGTATGTCAACTCTCAAATATACCTTCTCACGCTGTTTCAGTCATTCCACAGCACTTCACACACCACCCTCATCTATTTCCTTCTTTGTGTTCTAGGCAAACCTTCAAACAGCAATGGATGTGAAACACAAGGTAAGTTTCACTCTTCGTCTCCTTTCATTCCATCGAACATGATCAGCAACTAACTTTTGTCTTTTTCTCTGCTCTGTCGTTTTAGTTGGTTCAAATGGTGAAAAAAGTGAGTTTGATGGATAATGAGAGAGAGCGAGGATGATTGTGTTTGTTGTAAATGTAGCGATCAGCATGGCTAATGGAAATGTGAACATTGTTGGTCAAAGTTTGTCATGCAACTAAACAAACAATACTCGACGATGATGATCACGAAACTCATGCTCATATGCGCTCTTTTCTTCTTCTTCTTCTTCTTTTTTCTTGTACAATGAATTCTAATGTGAAATTAAATAAACTAGAGTATAAATGATAAACTCAAGTTCGAGTAACATCAGACTTTGACCTTACACATTGAGTCAATCGTTTCCATGTGTGACTTTGAATAAATACTCCCATGCATTACGGTTGCATACAAATAGTATTTGTTTTGTTGCTTATGTTTTGGAAAATGAATTCAAAATAATGCATCGCATCAGCCAGCTCAAGTTCGTGATTTGTGTTCGGATATGAGCTTTACAATTTCGGCCTCTTTTAATTTGAAAGGTCGGTGATGCGACTGTTACCATTACTGGCTTGCTGTTGGGTTGTTCATACCACTTGTACCTATTGCTGCAGGATCATTATTAGCAACGAGTGAAGTTGATTTTCATACATATTCACATGAATGTAATCATTGATATTAGGTATTACTGTCGGTACCTACAGTGCTGTGCGCAGTTCGGGCAAACTTATCGACCGGGCTAACTATGACCAGTCAATAAATCCTGTTGACAAGAAGGAATCGTTGGTATCGATGTGTCGTTTACTGTAATGAGAGTGAAAAAAGTGCGTTGTCTTTCTTTATCGATCAGGAAGTAAAATAATATAGGATGATTTGCGTTATGTATTAGTACATCACAGTAATGGCTGAGCAAGGCAATCATGTGAATCAATTTACTCGAGTAACTGTTATTGTAGCTCTTTTCAGCAGTTTTGGAATCAGTGCTATTGGCATGAGTGTTGCAAGTGCGAATACAATTGTGAAAATACAGAGTACAAAGCTTAATTTTGTCTTCGCACATTGAAAACAAAAATTCAAATGTTTGTAGAGTGAAATAGTGACTCCATTAGAATTCGTTCAAGCGGGTGCAAGTCTCCTATTCTATTTTAATCAAGAATTGAACATTCAGACTGCTAGCGATATCATAAAGAATTTGAGTTTGTTATTCTTATTGATTCTATTGACAAAAACGTTTGATGCGATGGAGTCTTTCATGATCGAAGATAAAAAAAAAACAGCATTCAATGCACAAATTAAAAAAAGCAGGAAGGTGCCTGCAGATTGGCAAATCGCAAGACCGGTTCGATTTAATTGACTTTTCAATACCAAAGTTGACTGCCAGTTTGTTTAAATCAAATGTACCCAGAGTTCAAAATTCATGAAACGAAATTCACAACTATCGGTAGTAACAATGAATTTCCAATTCGACATGAATTTAAAACATTAGGTGTTGAACACATTGTAAAAACGACACAGTGATCAATTCCAGAAGGGCAGTTATACAAATAACGCCGAACGTAGCAATTTGTATTATGGTTAGTATCCTACGAGAGAGATTTTCATTAGCATGAAAAAAGGCATCTTTTAATAAATAGAAAATCAAGATGAGAATGCCCGAAAGTGCATAAAATGAAAAGAAAATTACAAAGCGCTGATAATAATGTTGCGTATACGACGTCTTTTAAATTAGAAATTTCACGTCCGGTTTCCTGCCTAATTACATTTATTGGAAACACAGCGCTCAAATGTGCATCTTAGATCAGCGAAAGCCATTACTTAATGCGTTCCAGTGACCTGTTCCCATTTCAGCTGTTCAATATGCCAATGGTTAAATTACAGTTAGCAAAGGAAAGATCGGGTACGAAGCGTGAAATATGAATGTCGTGGACAAATCGATACAGAAGGGAACTTGTGGAATGAAATCGACGATATAAAGATTTGAATGAGACGGATTTATGGAAGTGAACTTTAACTTACACATATTGGTCGTACCAAATGTCATGTGAAAAAGCTCATATCGATCGGTAGAGTTACCGTAGGCATTGAGGACGTTGTAAAACAGAGAGAAAAATGTGTAACAGTCGCTGAAACTAGTCGAACTCTTATTTGTCTATATAGATGTGACACGACTACATAGGTCCACCGGCCTGCAGTTAAGTTCCGTGTTGTTAAACTTATCATGGTAGGAGAGGACTAACTATCTTACTGTATAATTACGCAGCGGGGTGATTAAAGTGATACGAACAGTTATGAATCTTGCATTTGATTTGGGTTCGTCAATTCTTTCTATTGAACAGATATCCTTTTGTTTCTTTCGGTCATTGACGAAAGAAAGCAGGAAAACTGTACTTTGTGGTTGTAGATTATTTTGAAACTGATTCTGAATCTATTTGATGAACTATGATTTGCAAGACGTCCAATAAGTAATCAATTTATTGATCGCGCCAACTGCTTTGGTAATTGAAATCTAGTGTCTTTATTTCTATTTTTCAAGATATCCACATCCAGCAATATATATTTAAATGGCAAATAGAAATATAAATCACATCAACCGATCGGTCCTCACATTCCGAATAATACTCATCTACTTCAGCATTCACGCTGCCACTCAAATAGTTTCATCTTTCAACGAATTCATAAAAAAGCGTTTTCCAATTTCACTTTCAGCACTTTATTTAGAACGACTTAATTGAAAGCGATCAAGAGAAAGCAAACAAATTTATGTAACAAAAGTGGGAAGAAGATAGTTTGTGAAATCGAATTGGTTTGGTATTCTACAGTTGACTTATTTGCCGGCGCATGAGATGTTACCATCAGTGATTGTGACAACACCATTACCACATTGGATATCTGAAACAAAAAGATACCCGTCAGATATAGCGGAAACTAACCAAAGTAATTCTTCCTATACTTACTCTCGCTGCCAAATTCATCGAATCCGTCAACACTTGCAGCTAAAACACAAACCAGTATCCATTTAATCATCAAGTACTCTTCTTTTTCCTGCATCGGAAACCACATGACTACCACTTACCAGCAATAGCAGCTCGTCGAGCACGAAGCTTTTCAACCAATGGCGATGACTGTTTTGTATCTAGAAATAGACAAGAAGTGCTAGACATTCGCGATTTTTTACGTTCAGATATATACCATCAAGAAGTGGTTTGCGATCAGTTGCAGCTGCATTGCTTTGATGAACAGCAAAGATGATCATGGAGCACAAGAGTAAGCAGTAGACACTGAATGAGTTCATGGTAGTTGATTGAGAGTGAGTTGAGCAGTTGAAGAGAAGTTGCGACGAACGAATGATAGTGTATGTTGAGATAGCATGGCTATTTATATGGTGAAAAAGAGATGCAGAGACCAATGAAGTGAAGATGGGAAATTTCGATTTTCTCCCTGAGCTCATACAGTTCAACGCGATAAAATCATGAGTCATGTTCATTGCTTTCTTGTCTACCAATGAAATCAATGATTCGAATCGGTAATACATATATGTTTGTCCATGAACAGAAGGAAAGGAGGGAATGTGGGACAAATAAACACGAGAAAGAAAAAGTGACGTCATTCTCATGTGCTTTGAGAAATCGTATGCGGTGGATTTTACTGTTCAACATCCGGATATCTATGAGATTAACAAACTAAGTGTTTNTTATAGGTGAGTCAGCTAGCGTTTTTCTCTGTTATTGGGCGAGAGTACTCTTAGAGAGAGAGAGAGAAACATATCATTGAATGTCATTATAAGTGTAGAAGTGGGAGATTCTGTTTCTCTCCCTCACATCAAACGTTCGACGACAAGCAGTGTCATGACTCATATTGAAATGTGAGAAAAAGTAATCCCAATAATGTTCAGCTAGTTACTGATATTAGTTAAGGCAACTTTTCAGCATCGTCCTTTACTAACCAATAGACGATAAACTTCCGTTGACATCCATGTTTTTACTCTTTTCTTTTTCGAAACAGATAAGACATCTACTGTTACAAATATCGATTACAACGGACTCCACTCTCCCAGGCATGTTCGTCTATACGATCATCTTCTTTCTATCTCTCGTTTTCGTCGTCCGATTCGCGCGATAGACAAACGATCGAAACACTTCTTTCTGGCACATATCGAATAGAAAAACACAACAACATTTACCCGTGTGTCACTTGTGTATAAAGAAACGTTAAAGATCAATATCTTATCACATTCATTCGTCTTTATTTTCATTTAGCTCCTCTTACTCGCATAACAGCCATCATGCATTCGTTACCCGTTCACTTCTTCAGCTCATGCAGTCTCTTGCTTCTCCTCGCTTGTGCTTCAAACGCTGCTCCACTCACGCTCAGACCCAATCACGTTCAGACCGCTGCAACCAAAATTGGCAATACTCAGTTCATCAGTGTTACTGTGCCAATCAACGGTTTCGAAATACAGATCTCCACCCATGATGCAGCTGCACCAACTTCCGTGGTCAGTGTGCCAATGGCAGAAACACTCTCTTCACAGGTTCGTGTTTCGACAGTTACAATAGATGAGCCAGAAGCTGTACCTGATGATAATGGTGCATGGTTTGCTCAAGTCAATCCTCAACTACATTCAAAACTTCGTCTTCCCACCACCACGTCATCCAATCGTCAGGTCGATTCTTCTGTCAACACTCAACTCGAAGCTCATCGCAGTTCACAAACACATTCGTCACCGAACTTTCGGGTTCATTCTCCAAATCGCTTCACTGTCAATGAAGCTATACCTCATGTATTCGTCTCTTCACCTGCTCCTCAAGTCCAAAGTATGTCAACTCTCAAATATACCTTCTCACGCTGTTTCAGTCATTCCACAGCACTTCACACACCACCCTCATCTATTTCCTTCTTTGTGTTCTAGGCAAACCTTCAAACAGCAATGGATGTGAAACACAAGGTAAGTTTCACTCTTCGTCTCCTTTCATTCCATCGAACATGATCAGCAACTAACTTTTGTCTTTTTCTCTGCTCTGTCGTTTTAGTTGGTTCAAATGGTGAAAAAAGTGAGTTTGATGGATAATGAGAAAGAGCGAGGATGATTGTGTTTGTTGTAAATGTAGCGATCAGCATGGCTAATGGAAATGTGAACATTGTTGGTCAAAGTTTGTCATGCAGCTAAACAAACAATACTCGACGATGATGATCACGAAACTCATGCTCATATGCGCTCTTTTCTTCTTCTTCTTTTTTCTTGTACAATGAATTCTAATATAAAATCAAATAAAATACCACAGAAAATGTGAAAACACAACCCTCGGTTCGATCCTTGATCATAAACTGCTCTGTTTTATCATAACAGTGCTCTACTCTTCATAGTTCATTCGATTTTTGTTGACAGCCATTTCTTATCTATAAGACAAACATCGACTGACTGAGAAATAAAGAAACGTTTTTAGCGAAAAGATCTGTTGTTTCGCATTTCCGGAGATATTGACGCTCTTTCTATAGAATACCTTCACAAGTAAATGTAGCAACTGGATATAGTCGACACAACCAGGGTGAGAGTGACGTCACTTTTCTTTCATGTCTATGTTTCTCTTGCGCATGAACGAATATATGTGTTTGTCGTCGATTCGAATGGTCGATTTCATCGGTGAGAACGAAGAACTGAACATGAGTCATGACATTGATCGTGCTTCAATCGTGTTCTCTTTCATTGAAAGGGATAAAATCGAAATTTCCCATCTTTACCTCGATAGTTTTGCCTCATGTATAAATACGCCTGCTCCTTCAACACACCTCCCCATTCATTCATCTCGACTTCTCCTCATCCGATCAACTGCTCAACGCATTCACACACACACACACTCTCTCACTCAATCAACTATCATGAACTCATTCAGCGTCTATTGTTTATTATTGTGTTCCATGGTCATCTTTATTGTTCACCAAAGCAGTGCAGCCAGAATTCCAGCCAGTATCGACACAGCTGCTGCTGCTGCTGGTAAGTCATACCATTCTAATTATGATAGACCATGAAAGACAGAAGTACTTTCCCGAATTCTATTTACTTATTTGTTGTCATCTTTTAGACGACGGTGACGATGATGATGGTAGCAGTGCTGCTGCAGCTAGTAGTGTGGATGCAACTGGTGCTGCTGCTGCTGCTTCTGCAGTCAGTCGCCCTCGCGCAACCGTTCGTGTTCAACCCAAACCTAGACCCAGACCAAGACCCAGCAGTGAGTGCTCTGATCGCTCATTTTCATCACACGTACACCCTCTGTTTCTATTTCAGGTGTTCAATGTGCCAATGGTCAAATCACAATCACCAACGGAAAGATCGAATGTAAAAAATAAAAGATCAAGCCACTATACTTTACAAACTATTGGTTTCAGTCTCTCTCTCTCTCTTTCTTTTTGCGAAATTGCTTGTTTCCTGTTGATTTACGACGTTTGTCTCATTGTGAATAAAGCATTGTGTTTTGTGAAGAGTAAAACATACTTTTGTTTATATCAAATGACTGAATGATCGTCGAATGAGGAAAGCATTCGAATATGAGATGTAAATGTCATTAATGACTTCATACGGAACAGAGTTTTCAGAACGAAATCGGTGACAGAGAGAGTTGAGTGCAGCGAGAAATGGTGGAAAAGATCACTAGCTTGTGTGAGAAAGAAAGAAAGAAAGAAAGAACGAAAGAGTGCTTATGACTACTCTTTTCTGACAGCACTGGTGGGAGACATGCATATTTGTAAACTGATAATATAAACACATATCTCCGATCGTCTATGATCCAGCCTAGTGCTGCTCAACTTTTCCTGATGTAAGAGAAGTGATTATCTCGCTGTCCAGTTGGACAGCAAACTGATGAAACTGCTACAGACAGTTTTGGTACTAACTAGAATAAGAGACCGAGACAACTTGGATGTTCATCAAGCGGTTCAGGTGTACATGGAAAATGAAGTCAAGGAACACTTATGTCCGATCACGAATGGAAAATAAATGTTAGTTCATCATGCGTCAATATTCGTATTCTGTTGTTTATATTACACTTCTCTTTTTCCTAATGAATGTTATGTTGGAAGAGATTTATACCATCATTATTTCTGTTCTTGTAAGTCACTTTAAAGTATGTAAACTCAACTCTACATTCACAGAAACGTTGAAATAGTCTGATTTTTGGATTCTTTCGCAAACGCTACTTTTATTGAGAGATACACAAACGATGGTAATCAAGAACAAACACATTCCACGCAAAAAAGTTGAAAATGAATAGTTTATGAAATGAATATTGTTTGATATTCCGCGCTTGTTCTATTAGCCAACACATGAAATTTCTCCATTAGCAATTGTGACAACGCCATTACCACATTGAATAGCTAAAATAAAGATACACCCATCACCTGTCTTCAAAACAAGGCTAGTTAGTCGCTATGATACTTACATTGTCGGCGAACACGATGATTTTCAGGTAATGGTGATGATGATGCCGATGGTTGTTCTGTATCTAAACATACATAATAAAACAGTTATGTGCACAAGATATGAGTGTGCATGGAAACATACGGTCGAGAAGTGGTTTGCGATCAGTTGCAGCTGCATTGCTTTGATGAACAGCAAAGATGATCATGGTGCACAAGAGTAAGCAGTAGACACTGAATGAGTTCATGGTAGTTGATTGAGAGATTGAAAGTGAGTTGAGCAGTTGAAGAGAAGGAGTTGTGATGAACGATTGATAGTGTGTGTTGAGATAGCATGAGTATTTATATGATGGAGAGAGCAGCAGAAACCAGTGGAGTGAAGATGGGAAATTATGATTTTATCCCTTCTATCAAGTGAACAACATGAGTCATGTTCATTGTTTCTCTTCTTCAACCAATGATTCGAATCACCGAGACGATGCATATGTTAGTGCATGAACAGAGGCAAAGAGGGGAATGTGGGAGAAAGAGAGATGAAATAGTAAGGTTGTCTAGTACAAAGTCTCTGTATTGACGATTTCATCTAACGGTTTAACGTCAAATTTGTGTAAACTATATTTTATTTAGTGTTATGCTTATAATACATGAATGTTGGAAGCAAAATATTACGAAAATATCAACTCATTTAGGATATTCAACTTCACAATGAGAACGTTTCCACCATTTCGATGATGACAATGTACTTGGATCGACTTTTGTGACACGCATCATGAGACCATAACAAATAATGTTATTCGTGATGAATTCCTCTGCGCCTTCACCTATAATAATCCATTCAAGTTCAGTATTGCTGAAGTTTGGATCGATCGTAACGGTCGCTTTATATTGGTCGTGGATCAAGGTTTCAGGGCCGATCTTTTTAATCGATGATGGATTTACACGACATTGAAAAACTAATTGATACCACAATGATTGACCATCCTTATGCGTTCGTTTCCATGGACAAGCATACCGAGGGTGTCCACAGTATTCAATACTGGGTGAAACGTATACACGTGGGATTCCGTCAGCAAAAAAACATCCTTTTCTGCTAACTTTAAGTCCTGAAGTGAGAATTTTTGATGCGTTTGCACCTTGCGTGCCATGGTAGGCCAAATACCAATCACCCCATTTCGAATCAAATTCTTTGTCATCTTCAGCTACTTTAACACCGAAACGTTTCCAACCTAGAGAGAGGATTTAATCGAATTCACAAAAGATATGCTTACTAACCTAAAGGACAGAAATAAGGTCTCCCTCCTCGGTTTATCGGAGTGGACCAAAACTCGGTACCGGCTTCCCCTGGTCCCCAACCATATACCTTATTCCATCTTGGATCCATAAGTCTATCTTCAATTCTTAATCCAAATTCACCAAGTGTTATTGATTCAACATTCGCATTCATATCCAAACAGCATTTACGCACAGCCTGCATTCGGGCATAAGCGTCTGCAGCTCCACCGTTAAGGCCATCGACAACTTGTTTACCAAATGGTGGTAGAACACGTAGTTGTACGATACCTTTCTCACGATCAATACGATCGAAACGTATCTTTTTGTTTGGGATACCAAATGCTTCACATAAATTACGAATGAACACGTCACGCATTCCATTATGATTGTTCACCCACTGATCCATCTCAGCGTCATTTGCGTCCAATTGAAACATGAAGCCTAATTCGTTCTCTAGAAAATTATTAATTGGAGAATGAGATTTAAACTGTCAGAACGATGCGAAGCTCTTCGTTATTTACCTTCAGGATCCCGAATTTCACCAGAAATGACTGGTATACTCTGTTCATTATCACGTCGTTGTTTTTGCACCGTTCTCTGAAGTTGACTATCGAATTGTTTATTTTCACCCGATCCCACGGCTAAACGGCATAGAAGAGCTGCCAAGGCCAGTTTCTTCGCCTCCTGTGCCATTCGTTTTCGACCGCATTCGGCTTTAACTATCTCTATTTTCTCCTCATCTATGTCAAAACAAGCAAAAAGATATCATATAGAACAAATGAAAAATTTCCCACGGCGATCTACATACATGGATCCTCTTCTTTCTGATTTCGTATTGCATCTCGCTCCGCGAACCATTTTTCAGCATATTTAATAATCTCTTCAATTTCCATACCATTCAACTGATCTGCTAGTTCATTAGCATTAACTTCATTCCGTTTGTCTTCATCGATCGCGAGGAGTTTTCGAACGAATTTACGTACGATGTCGAAATATGCCGGTTCGATAGGTATAACCTGTCGAGCAGCAATTAGTTTTTTTGCGTGTGCTATGACACGACTTGTTGGCGATAGAACAGCAAAATTGGGTTCTGTAATAGCGCCATTGAACTTTTTGTTACGTTCATTGATATTCGCTATTCGAGATCCGTAAGTATCTTTCCACCATCGATGAATATTTCGAATGATCTCGTCCGAATCGCTTTGTTCTACTAGTGCATACAAATCTTTGAAATTATTGTCGAAATCTTGTTGACTGCGACAATAGTCCATTGTGTCATTGCAAAGCTGGACGAACTTCGATGAATTCGGCAATGGATCAGCTAAATTACGTAATCGAGTGAGGTAGCCAACACATGAATTAACCTTTGCTGACAGTTCGGCGCGCAAAGAAGCTATACAAGCCGGATCGTCTATGACTGTTCTCGTTTTACTCGGCTCAGAGCCAGCTCTTCGAAGGTCGTCACAGAATTTATCCACCAACGCCTTCTCTTCTTCGTGTGAGCCTTTATCTTTGGGCGGTGGTCGTGCTGCTATGTACTTCACTTGTTCTTCTTCAAGTTTTCCACATTGATCTTCCTCTTCTTTCTTGATTTCTTCAACACAATCATCGATTAGTTGAACCTGTTCATCGATAAATTCATTGAGACAAAAGGCTAAATCATCGTCCATGTTTGCGCTCTGGTAGGAAGTGGAAAGAGGTTATTGATTAAAGAAAAACAAATGTCGATTTGCATCTTGTTTTGTTCTATTTATATATTGTTGAGGAAAGGAGAACGAGAAAAATCGTCGAAGCGACTTCTCCAATTGTGAAATACAAATAGAAGCTCTTTTACTTGGAAGAAACATCGAAAAGCATGTCAAAGAAGTATAAACAAAAGTCATGAATTGTTCTTTTTTCGATTTTCTTCCAAATCACATCAGAGGTATGACTAATTCCTTCGACCATGGTAAAAGTCACGTATGCTGAATTAGAAAAATTTGCTTTGCATGGATAATCAGTTTTTATTCAAAACAAAACATATCTTTTCCATTGTTCAAGCAAAATCATCAAGTGCTTTGAAATAATCTCCTAAACGTTTCGTTACCAGTTTTACATGAATATTTTCATTTAATTGTGTATCGCGATTCCATACTGAACAAACACCGGTTTTCAACGAATTGTCATCGAGTTTAACGTGAAATGGAATGTGATCTGCAGTTTGTTCATCGGTTAAACGTACGACACGTAAATGATACTTGTACGTTAGTAATTTAGAGATATATTGAGAAATTTCAGCTGATTTCATCGTTGTTTGAATTCCAATTTGATGTGGTGCGAGTAATGGATGTAAAGATTTCATTTGAGAATCGAGTAATAATGCAATTAACGAGTGATTGATGTTTAACGATAAGTTCAGGGATGAATCATTAGCATCGAATCGAATAGTTTCGAGTAGATATGGTTCGGTGTCTTGCGAAAAGCGATAGTTAATGTCGAATTGATTTTGTTTCGATGACAAAAATTCGAGTTTATCACGACTGGAAAAATACTTTTTCCAGAAACATGTTCGTTCGTTTGCTAAGCGTATTAGATTGATATCTTCAGTAGGCTTGACGTATTGTAGACAGAGATGGTCGTCATCCCGAACGTGTTCGTCACGTTTAAGAATCAATGGTAGTTCAAGAAGATTATTTGTTATTTTAGTTTGCCAAGCAAGAGTCATATTCGGACTTGGATTGGGAATTTGATCGATTGAGTCAAGCCAGAGAAATTGATATCGACCGGAGCTATTCCGTATAAAGGATTGAACCCATTCTTGACGAAAATTGAAAAATAAATAAGATGTGAGCGGACCATAATTGAAGGCCGGCGAGGAAGAATTAGAAGAAGTAGCTTTTAGAAAACCAGAGGTTAAACCTCTTTCAATCAGATGTTGAATTGACAACATGAAAGTGAAGGATGTTTGTCAGTCTTTTCCAATTGGGAAAACTTATCATATTCGTCCATTACATTTCGAGTTGAATCGTTGTAGATGTCACTAGTTGTTACTCAAATACTGCTGAGATGATAAATTAATTTCAAATTCTCAACGGATGCAAAACTCTAATCAACATCATTGTTTTTAACTACGAAACGTTTCAATGAACAAAGTAACTTTTTCTATTGCTTATTTCATTGCCAGTTGTCAATCCAATCATAAGTGAGCAGTTGTTTTCATTTCAAACAGTAAAACAGTCCATTACTGACGCTTCTTCAGTCAGCAGTGAAAAATAAAAATAGTCTCTTAGTCATCCGTCATATTACGATCACAAGATTGCCTATTTTCAGATTCAAATGTCGACGTCACGAAAAAGATTCAAATCCGATCATGACGAAGACTTATTCTTGTTTAACTTATCTGAACGTTTTCATTCATTTTGTTACCCGCAAATGGATGATGAGACTTCTTCGACATCCTTAGATGATCTTTGTCAACGTCTGAATGAACATGATCTTCAGTACCGTTCATCGATAAACTTGAATCTTCAGAATTTGAATCAAGAAATTCTCTCCAACGAAGAAAAACTTTTTCAATTAAATCAATCAATTAATGAAATTAAGGAGAGCTTAAATCAACGCAAACAGTACTTGAAACAAGCAAAACTAAAGCGTCGACATCAATCAGATTACTTAACAATGTACAATGTAATTAATCGCTATTCGTCCCGTGATGTTTTACAAAATAAATTAGCCCAATTGAATGCCGAATATGAACAACAGAAATCGGAGTTGAACCATTTAAATCAACGCTTGGTTATTTACCAAAAACAATCGAAAGTTGTATTGTATTCTCTACTCGAACTCGTCGGCTTCATAGATGTTAAATTACCGATTAATTTTGAAGATGAAATTGGTCGTTTAGACAATAATCCATTATTAGAAAGTAATGGAGATCGATAGGCCTTTGATCAATGTATCTTCTTGTTGTTATTGAATAAAATTCTTTCTATTGGATTTGTTTACCTTGACATGACATGTGTTATAGATGGTTTTTAAAAGGACTGATGCTGTGAAGTAACATTAGCCATTCGATAGGAAGGAAGTCAATCCTTTTTACAGTATAGTTTCCTAGAGTGTTAATATCTAATGGATTTGCTTTTCGGAAATGACTCACATTAGTTGTGTTCTGTTTCATTTTTGTAGATTATGAATTTTGTACAGATCTGAACTCATTTTATTTTGTTAGTATTTCATAAATGGCATCAGCAAATTATACTCGTCCGCAAAACTACGTAAATTTCGATGATTTTCAAGAATGATTTGTCTTGATTTTAGTTGTTTTAGTCATCAGTTCGAGATGATGATGATGAAGCACTCGATATTCGAGTCAATTCGTAAGTAAATATGGATAAATTTATTCCAACAACGCCATGCTATTTATCCATTTTAGAAATAATGCTCAATCAGGTGATGATAAGAATGTGAAAGCGTAAGTATAATGATAGATGTGTTCGTTTCTGTAGCTTTTACTTCCTTTCAGACTTCATGGGCAAGTTCAAGAGGTTGTTGGCGTGATGAAACAAAATATTGATAAACTATTGGATCGTGACGTGGCATTGAGTAACCTTTCGTCACGGGCTGATGAACTTCAATCGTCAGCGACAACGTACAATCAGACAACCAAACAATTACGAAGAAAATTTTGGTGGAAAAATATGAAAGTATGCAAATGCGTTACCCCTTCGTGCAAAAAAATCGAATGTTCTCTCTTACTCTTTGTAGACAAACGTCTGTATTGCTGGTATCATCATCACAGTTCTTATAATCATCATCAGTATGTTCCTTTTCATCCTATAGAAGAACTAATTCGTGAGATTTGTTTTGAATTTAGTGTCAATAGCATTGAGCCGTCGTGGAAAGAACTGAATTCTCATTGGTTTTACTTATCTACATAAACTTTTGTCTCTCTCGAAAAACGATCTTTGATTTTATTTCTTCTTTCTTTCTTTCTTTCTTGCTTCTTCTCATTTTAACAAGGAAAAACAAGAACGCAATCGGATCTGTTTTCCTTCAATGAAGAACGACAACGATCATCTCTAAGTAGACAATTGAAAAATTGATTAAGGAGAATGATGTTTAATTCTGTATGAACCTTAGTAATTGAACGGCCGTCTCTATAGACATGGCACCCTGCTAAGATTATTTGTTGAACAATAGAATACGAAAATCAATAGGTGCGAAAGAAAAATCGCAGTAGGTGGCGTTCATAAGAAAGTTTTATTTCAATATTTGATCCATCCGCATTGAAGAGAAAGTAATTATATGTTCAATTCTGCGGACGAGAATTAATTTCGGTGAACGAATGTATATATATATATATATTTGTTTAATATAAAAGAACAACACAACAAACACGTTTTTTCTTAAAACTGAAGTCCAGAATAGTGTGACGGGAAAGTGGATGCATGATGATATGCATGCATAGGCGGCATTATCATGGGAGCAAGATTTTCAAACGACGATGACGAAGGCGGCGAACAACTATCTGTCGCGACAGAGTTATTTACTGGTGGTGATCGAGTGCGACGGAGATTATGAGATCGTTTTGTTGTAAATTCATTGTTTGAATCGGAAGATGCCTCATGCATTTTCATATGCTTTCTCAAAGCTAGAAAGAGTTGAGTTTAGTTTTAGTTTACATTGCGATTTCTTTTCGAATATGAATTGACTTACATGATGGATGTGTATAGGTTTTACCACAACCATCGACACGGCATGTATATGGTTTATCAAATGTATGTACATGTTGATGTTTTTTCCGATCGGAACTGTTGGCAAAGCTTCGGTCACAATATTGACATGGAAATGGTCGTTCTCTGAAAGAATGGTCATGAGTCGATGCGTTATGTTACTAATTTGAAAAAGAAAACTTACCCTGTATGAGTGCGTTTATGAATTTTAAGGTTTTCTGATCGTGCGAAAACTTTTCCACAACGAGCGTATGGACAAGCGAATGGCTTTTCACCGGTATGAACACGTATATGATTGACAAGTTTGTATTTTGCTTTGAACGCTCGACCCTGCCGAGGACAGTCAAGCCATAGGCACATATGTGTCGATTGTTCCGATGCACTAACATGTTCAACCGTCAAATGGGTAACTAAAGGAAAAAAACACCAGCGAGAATTCTCAGCGATTTATTGTTTTTAGTTTGAAATCTTACCAATATCTGACATGCAGGAAAATGTTCGATTACAGATTTGATTGGTATCAGGGTCAACCCATTTGCATAAATAATGATCAGCTTTTTCATCGGGAACAGTTGATGTTGGATGGAGATTTGAACGATACGGCGGATAAATATAAGGAAAAAATGCTGTCTGATTGGTGGAATCGATATGCCGAGGGTGGTACGGATTATTTGTATACTGTTCAGCATCGAACATTGGATACGATCTAGAAATATCCACATAAATAAATAGAAAAGAATCAAGTGGGAATACTTTACATCATATCTGATGTTGGATTTGGATAGGAGGAAAATTCGGCGAAACGTTGCTGTTGGTCATCGATGGAAGCTGTTGGTATATTAAAAAGAAAAGATGATGATGAAGTTGATGTGAACGGGCGATACGCTGTTGAAGTGTAAGGAGTGGCATAAGGATCAGTTGATGGATTAGGCAAATCGAACATTGTTGTGCGCACAGTTGAAATTATCAAAGACAAACTTAATAATTATCTTCACTGTGTGATTGATCGGTAAGAAATTAGCAGTTATTAGTTCCTATTGAGCCAGAAGGTAAGCAATGCTTTTCAAACTCCACAGGATCGAACTATTGATTCGGCAGTGATCACTCCAGTAGGTAGCCTTCAAAAGATTGATACATATACAATAGTAGACGATGTGACAGGATTAATATCTATTGAGAAGAAATAGAAAGGAAAGTCACTGATATAGTTGTATGTTCGGATTAGATGATGAGATTCCCCGAGGTGTGAATCGAATGATAGGAGAGGAGGAAATGCATGTGTTATATCCAGCGAAGTTTTTTTTTTGTTTCAGAGAATATGAAAGAGAGAGAAAGAGGAGAAGAAGGAGAGAAAGAAACGGTAGGACGTTGATTGGAGAAACCATGCTGAGTTGTTCTTTACATCAGTTCTCTTTTCTACCAATCGATATATTTCTTGATAAAGCTACCAATAAGAAAGAAAAGTTTCTGCTCACTCGTAGATCTTAGCACGAATTCGTGGAGGAAAAGTCATGTAATGATTATTCCAAAAATCGAGCATTCTTCACTACCTCCTGTTGTCCACTTGTCATGCTCATGCTTATATAAATGAATCGTTTGATCATATGACATCATTTACCTTTAACAATGATCTCTCGTTATTGTTTGATCGAAATCGATGAGTCGGAAAAGGAAAATATGAAACGATTGCAATTCGTTCATTAACAAGTTGTGAGTGAGTTCATTTTCGTTTTTTTTTGTCTTCTATTCTAATACGTTCTACTTGAAAATATAATTCATAATCGATGAACAAATTAGTTACATACGACGACAGGATAATTGAATTGCCTTCATGAATAATTTTCTTCGTATGATATCATTTGACATGTCGTCTTCTCCCATCCAATTGTTAATTGCCATACATGTACTTATCGAAATATGAATACATGTTGTCTCAATATTTTCTATTATGATTCGTAAATTCGAAACAGATTCCATTCATCGGAATCAATCATTCTAGAGAATAAATATTATTCATCTGCTTTTCGAATCCAACTTTTTCTAAATAAACATTGCCATCTCCTATTCCACATTGACATATAATTATTCCAATGAGACGAGCAGCAGGTTCATATGCTATGTCTAGTGAACAGCAATGGTAGGGGGTAAGCTAACAAAACACTGTCTTTGGTTTAAGAAAATAAACATCGACGATGACAGGAATAGTCAATGTCAATGATTATGCAAAAAGGAAGCGTCTGTCGATCAGAATTCTTTCGTTGGACTAGTTAGTTAATTTGCGAGACAAGGTGATAAGTCATTTTCACCTCTTTCACATTCATGTGTGATATTCGGATGTGGAAATATGTGAGGTAAAAAACAGCGGGACGTTCATGTAATCGATTATCATAGCACACAAATAGATTGACTTCTTGAATACAATGAACAAATGTTGTTACACATATGAAAAGAATACACAAGGAGATCTTGTTTAATCCGAACTAATCATACAAATATAATCGATTCGTACATATCCATGTCATACCGATCAGCAGGGAGGCATGAACTGAATTTACCTTCATCAGTTCTTCCTATAAATAACAAATTTCTTTCCGCTTCATTCTGTTTTTTGTAGCTTTGCACTTGGAAAGATGATGATATCGCTTTCACGCTGTTATTCGTTACCAGAAAAAGAATAAATGGACCTCCTTTGTTGTTTTGCATTTAAGAGGAAGTGAATGACATATGCATTAAGAACAGAAAAGGAAAAGTTGTCAAAAATCTGAGATTTACTGTGAATATCCGCATAGGTTAAATTTATTCGTAAAAAATATCAAGATTCATTCAGAGAGTCTATATTTCTGATTATTTTGATCATTCACGGCTTTTTTCTGCTACTGCTTGGTCTTGGCGGGTAAATTTCAGGTGAATTAGGAGGACGTCGTTGGGTATCGTCATGCGTCTGCGTTGGCGATCGTGCAGATCGATCACCTCGTGAACCGGAAGGCGATCTTCGTCTTGATTTTGACGGATCAGATTGTGACAAAGGTGACTTCACTGACGATCGTTCGCGTTCGTTGGACGCATTTCGGCCTGTTCGACTCTGTTGACTCAGTGATGTCATTTGTAATGGACGCACTATATGAAATACATGAAGCAATATTATCTGACAAATCTTATCTTACTTGGTGTTGCTGGATTGGACATTCCTTCGAGGTAATACTTCAATTGTTGCAGTTCTCCGATGAGACGGGTAACGACCGAACCGACTTTGACTTTACGTTTTTCTGTTTGCTTGAGTAAAGCGGTTAGAATATCGATGTATTCCAAATCTTTTTGTGCAGCTGTATTTTCAATTTGTCGATCTTTGTTCCAACCGATTTTTAGAACTCCTAAACATAAGCAATAGGAACCAATTATAGGAACAATGAACAATGTCACGAACCGAGTAGATCGAAATTACTGGAATCGATACTTTGTAAATCAGCACTGGAATGATTGGTAAATCGATTGAATAAATCAATTTGAGATTTTAAATACTCAATCGTCTATATACATTTATCGGATTCAATTCTTCTAAACGTCATTATAATCTTACTCTTCGAAATCGTTCATTTTCAGCTTCTAGTGTTTCCAATCGACAACCTTTATCATAAATATCTTCTTCGAGTTTTAAAACTTCTTCATGCGTTTTTTGCATTTGTTCTTGTGTTTCACGTTGACATTCTTTGACAGCGACGATGGCAATGTCACGCGACTTGATCTTCTCACGTATCTCGCGTTCAACTTGAGCGATTTTATCCAGTACATCTTGCTTTTTACGTTTTGTTTCGATCATCAATTCTTTAGCAGCTTCGTACGCGGCGCTCACTTTTTCGTGTTCGACTAGCAAGCGTTCATATTCGGGAGTGTTATCGATGATTTTCTCTCGATTTGTATCGATGGAAATCAACAATTGAACTGTATCTTCCTGCGAGAAGTCAGATGCAAATGCAAATCGAACTTCAACTGAGAGAAATTACTTCGAGAAACTTGATTTCTTTTTCTAAACGTGTCTTCATTTGCTGATATTCTTCTTTCAAAGAGGAAATTTGTTCTTGTAGTTGTGTTAAGCGTATCTGATCTTCTTGAGCAGTTTGTTCCAAGATGGCTTTCTTTAAAAAAACAAACAATTGCAAGTGAATTATTGAAAGTTTAATGCACACTCGTTCAGTGAGATCTTTGATTTTCGCCGTTGTTTGAGTCACAAATCGGTTATGTTTGATCTCGTTATCTTTCACTGTTAATTTGGCCTTTTCGATTGATTTCAACAATGCTTCACGTTCCTTCTGTTTCGCAACTCTACAAAACACTTGAATAGTTGATTGTAGTAGTTAAATGTCCTTTTACCGGGTGTTCCGAATAGTTTGCAGTTCTTTATCTAGTGTTTCCATTTGAATTTTTAGCGAGTCGAGCATCATGTAATGCGCTTGCCTCATAGCTTCAAGTTCTTTCGTCGCCTCAGCATTTTCCATGTTCAATTTGGATGTTTGTTCAAGTTTTTCGGCAATGGATTTCTTGATTTCTTCTAACCTGTGAAAAATCGAATCGGCTAAAGCTTTGAGTCAAGAAAACATTCAAAACAAACTCTCTGCCAATCGCTTCAATTGAATTTTCTAAACTTTTCATCAGTGCAGTGCGTTCTTCAACTTCTTTGAGAAGATCATCATGTTTCTTTTTCAAAACTTTCAAATTTTCTGTTTCTTTACTGCTGCCTTCATGAGCCTAACAATATTCGCAAAAAGATCAAAGAACACATTTCTACAAAACAGAAACTTACAGCTTTAGCTCGACGCTCGAAATCGGCCTTTTTGGCTTGATAATCAAGTAAAGCTATGGCAGCTGCTTCAGTTAATTCAAGTCTAAAAGGAAACAGTAATGAGAATGTTTTCTGAAATCTTCATGTACTGTTCGCGTAATAGTCGATCATGTTCTTGTTGTTCCATTTCGAATAGTTCAGTTTGTTCTGCGACGTGCTGTTGCAATTCATCACGTTCATTTTCAAACCGTTCGCGTTCCTATTGATACAGAAAATCTTCGATAGACTCGCACAATCGATCGACGATATACTCAACTCTATACACAGTACGCAGTTGCATTTCACTCTCGGCTAGCTTATTGGTTGCGAGATCTACATCTCTAAAGGTAGAGAGAAATTTTGCTTGAATGATCATTCAGAAAGACGAACCTTTTCAGGACTTGATTTGCATGATCTTGTTCTTCGAATTGTTTAGTAGTCGTGGCCTGGTAAAGTAAATGAATGATTCAATGCGAAGTCTTGCACTGATAACTTACAATTTCTCCCTCAAGACGCGCTTTCTCTTTTCGAGCATCGTTTCTTTCTTGCATAATGCGTTCTTTTAATGCCATAATGTCTTCTTCTAAATCGAATGTCTATATCATACGGAGAATGTATTTTAGTTGTAAGTTTGTTAATAACATACGTGTTTGTTTGTTTCTCTAACAGCATCTCTAGTTTCGTTCAATTTGATTTGTAATGCAGCTTTTTGCGATAAACGCTCGTTCACTTCATTGATTGTTGCATTATATTGATCTTGTAATCTTTTCTTCTCTGCTCTTGAAAGTTTACAAATGCAATCAGTTTGAAAACGGTTTCGAGATATTCCTTACTGCAAATCTTGTATAGCTTTGAGATAGTTTTTATCCTGTTCAGTACAATCTCGTACTTGTTGAAGATACTTATCAAGTTCATTTTGTAATTGTTGAATAACACTCAAATTCGATACTCGTGCCATTTTAATTGCCTCTAGAATCCAAGATGACAAAACATACAAGAAATGAATCAATTTAGATGACTCTATTCATTACCTTGGATCTCATTCTTAATTGTGACCGGTAACAGCTTCAATCGGTGACGAAGTCGACTAGAATCGATTGATTCGGTCTCATATTCACTATATAGTTTTAATATTTCTTTTTCCTAGAGAATTTTATTCAGATATAAGAAGAAACAAGTCACATGTAGTTTGTCACCTACCAATATCATGAGAGTTTCAGCAACTGAATCAATATTATTTAAGTCATTTTCTGTAAACGTATTTGTTTGAAATGATCCACCTACATTCAAACCGATGAGAGTGTTTATCACAAGTGTTCTAGCCTATTTACCAAGCTGTTTTAGATGACGAACAGCACTTTTGATGGATGTAGTTAGTTCTGAGCTATCCATAAAAACCATTTTAGCAAAAGTAATCGGCAGAACTTTGTTTCAGTTCACAACACGTTTAAACGGGCAATTTGCAGCCATTTATATGTTCGAATCAGCGAGATGTATTGGTTACCGCTCAATTGCCATACATTTTAAAAGGACATCTTTTAATCAATCGACTGCAAGTTGCGCTGATGTAAACTTGTCGCTAAATGTACCTCTATTTAAGTTAATACATATTCAATACAACGGTAACGTTATTGGAATCCAATCCAATCAACGTGCTGTGATGGCCGAGTGGTTAAGGCGTCTGACTTGAATCAAAGAAGTGTCAAGCTATCAGATGGGTTCTCCCGCGTAGGTTCGAATCCTACTCGCAGCGTTTCCTTTTTTTTACCGTTTTTCATAGTCTATTCGTGCGCTCCATCGGTGATAATTCTCATTATTCGAATATTTCATAAACATTATTTTATTGACAATTAGACAAACATTCATAGCTATCAACAACAAAACAAAAAACACACAGCAACCATATGGAGATGAATATTTTGTAAGAAGGATTATGTTTAGTGTGTTACAGCTGATCTACTTGCCAACACATGAAATTTCTCCATTAGCAATTGTGACAACGCCATTACCACATTGAATAGCTAAAATAAAGATACACCCATCACCTGTCTTCAAAACAAGGCTAGTTAGTCGCTATGATACTTACATTGTCGGCGAACACGATGATTTTCAGGTAATGGTGATGATGATGCCGATGGTTGTTCTGTATCTAAACATACATAATAAAACAGTTATGTGCACAAGATATGAGTGTGCATGGAAACATACGGTCGAGAAGTGGTTTGCGATCAGTTGCAGCTGCATTGCTTTGATGAACAGCAAAGATGATCATGGTGCACAAGAGTAAGCAGTAGACACTGAATGAGTTCATGATAGTTGATTGAGAGATTGAGAGTGAGTNTCTACTGCTTACTCTTGTGCTCCATGATCATCTTTACTGTTCATCAAAGCAATGCAGCTGCAACTGATCGCAAACCACTTCTCGACCGTATGTTTCCATGCACACTCATATCTTGTGCACATAACTGTTTTATTATGTATGTTTAGATACAGAACAACCATCGGCATCATCATCACCATTACCTGAAAATCATCGTGTTCGCCGACAATGTAAGTATCATAACGACTAACTAGCCTTGTTTTGAAGACAGGTGATGGATGTATATTTGTTTCAGCTATTCAATGTGGTAATGGCGTTGTCACAATTGCTAATGGAGAAATTTCATGTGTTGGCTAATAAAACAAATAAGGAATGGTTGATATACATGAGTCCACAAAATACTTACTCGAATTGTTTTTTTTTTGTGTGCATTTGTTCATTTATCATATCCCAGCACTGTTTAATTTGAAATAAAGTAATAATCGAAGAATCGCAAAACATGTGTGTTTGATGAAACATCAGAGTTGCTATGTGCTCATTATTCGAACTATGATAATTGTAGGAAAAAGAAACTCTAATGAATATTTTGTCCTCTTTGCCTGCCTTTAAAGTAGATTTCGGCTCAGTATGAAAAAGACTAAGCCGGCAGAAAATGTTTGCTTATTTTTATTAGGTAGTTTATTGAGAAAAACCAGAAAAGTATCAAAAAACTTCACCTTTGCTTGACTCGATACTTGGTATGTATTTTTCAAATGCATCGTTCTTCCAATCATCAATAGAAACGAACCAGATATGTTCAAATGCATAACGGATCGGTCCGTTCGAACCCATCATGTTCATGTCAAGCACTTTTTTGAAAACTTTAGCTATTTTGTCAACATCATTTCCAAATGCTCCAGTACCGATAGGACCAAGCAAGAGGTATGTATTTTTGCCATCACCAATTGTATTTGCTACAGCTGCAGAAATGAATGCACGAAATTTCGCCACATTATTCTTTTCCAACTAAAACAGAAATCAGATGCCAATAGTTGTTCTTGATGACATTTTCAATATGTACTTCGTCGTCATTTTCTGGATTATTATACAGCTCAGAACCATGTAGACAATAGCATGCAGAAACCAACATATCTGTTTTACGGTATTTTTTCTCGTCATGTGCATCGAAGAAGCGCATATTGCGGACATAGGCCAACCCAAATTCAGGAATGGCATATCCTCCGCACATTCGTTGATATTTCAGGTCGAGCAATGCTCGATAGCCATCAGAATTATATAGAATAACTTCCTCCTGCGCCACTAAGCGAAAAAATAACACCAATCGAATCTATGTAGTACAATTGTCACTTACTTGCACGACGTAGATAACCACCACCCGGTGATTGTTCATTCTAAGAGTCAGAAATACAGTCGATAGGAATTATTAATCAAAAAATTTACTGCAAAATTGAGAACGATAATTTGAGCGTCTTCGGGTATATCAAACACAGCTTTTTCAATGCCATTAGTGACATAGGTGATTTCTCCGCGGTTTCTCCGAGACGCAACTGGATATTGTCGAAGATTCTCGTAAGCATCCTTATCGGATGGATCATACGAAATTTTATCTTCATCTTCACCCTCTGTTGGACACAAACTCTCCAATTGTTCTGCATTCCAATAAACTTTCAGCTCTTCCGGTTTAAATCCTTCTGCACGAAATTTCTTCATATATTCACGCGACTGTTTGACAACTTTATGCGGCTAAATATAAATCAATGTGGTTATTTATATACTGGACTATGATGTAACCTACAGTTTTCATATCTAACTCGAAGTATGGATTTGCATTGTCAGCATGATGATAATTTGCCAGAGCATCGTGTTTTTTGTCACATGTATCATCATAGTTCTTCTGAAGTTCTTTCCAGTCCAATGGTTGGTTGTTTCTATCAACGAGCCACGCACGAACTTGTCTAGCATGCTCAATTATCCGTTGGTCCAGTTTCTTCTCATCGCTCTCGAAACTATTTTCAATGTCTGTCAACTTTTTGTTCAATGCAAGTAAGAATATTAGTAGCGTACGTTCGCTATGATCCCAATTGAGCGAATAATGTGGAACTACAACATTGATAACCGAACGGACAGTTGGCTCGGTGAGTGACTCAAGTGGTATATAAACTGAAGATGGATCACAGTTTTGTGTTCTGTGTGGAGGGTCTTCAATCATTCTTGTAGAGTTACTGCCCATCAAGCATAATCGTATGTATAACGGCAGTAGATCGATTAATTACCCACTTCCGACCACTCATCCATACTGAGTGTCATGGAGACATTAGAAGATTTATCATGAAAATAGATGGCGTAATGTCGCAAGCCTTTTTGCTATTTGAAATATCTCGGTTATACTATGATTTATTTTTGAGGATCGAAGTATGCGATTACTTCACAGAATGAAGGAAATGATGATTTCTACTGAAATACCTGTTATAATATTTTACTGGACAAGATCTTTCATCATTCCCGAGGTTGTAGGCCGATAAGAGTTGCTAGTTTATTGTTGAAATTCTCTAACTATGTTTGCGAACAATATAACTTTTTGTAGGGTGATCGTCTGCTGTAATTAAACAAAGTGGTGTGAACATAAATGTAAGAAGCAAGTTTCTTTTTAATTTTCATTAGTACTTTCCACAACTCCGTCTTTTTCATAGTCAAGGAGATGCTCTGCGAGGCATATTTAAAGCACGTACCTTGCGAGGAAATCATATATTCGCCATTGTTTTCAGTCGCAAGTAGATCAAATGTCTATACAATTTGTTTTTCTTTGGTTATTCTTCGATCGAAGGTTGTTCACGAACTGCTTTTCTCCTGACACAACTGATTATGACACGTATGGTTCGAAAATTGCATTAAATGACAAGATTTTCGTCCAAGCAAATGGTGAGGGAGAAACATTTCTCGTTCAATTTTCTCCATATAACTATACACTCGATTCTCTTCAATGTTCGTTTGACTACGACGATTCCTCACATTATATTTATTCGGTTGGTGTGGGACAAAAGCAAAATACGAGCCTGAACGTTTACTTTTACGTTATTGGAGAAGTTACGTCTGACGAGGATGAATCAGGTCGAAATGGTTCATTTATTGGCGTTTGGATTAATCAAGATCCACATAGTATTGATTATTACCTGATGACGAGAGAGTTCCTGTCTTGCCATGATTTTGTAAATAAAAATTTTCAATTCTTGACGTCCTACGATCATCAGGAGTTTTTTGTTATGGCAGTCGAACCGTATGGGCGATATGCGATTGGATTAGCAACTGATTTTGCGCTTATTTATACACCATTTCCAAGCGCCACGATAAGAACGCTATCATCCGCACAGATTTGGCCAAATAATGCAACTTTTTATCCATTATCAGCCGACGCTAGTGATACATTTACGATCGTCGCCGGCTTTGTCGCTGGCACCGCCCGATCACGCGTACGTGCTACACCAACTATTTATTTACTGTCTAATACCGATCTAAAAGTCCTGTCGACATGGTCCTATAGTGCTACTAATAGTTCTTGGCAATCACGCCTAACTTACTCCGGTGTTGATGTTTGGAACAGTAAATATACCATATCAGTAAAGATCAATTCCGATGATCCAGCAAAAGTACTTGTTGGAATGCCATTTTTGAATACAGTTTTCTTCTTTACAGTTACCAACAACAGCAATCTTACATTAGCGAGTTATCTCGATGATGGTGAATCAGTTGGCTATGGTAAAAGCGTAACTTGGTTGACAAACTCACAAGCAGTCATACTCGTATCATCGTATTCATTTGATTATCTTACATGGTATTCTACAAAAGTATACGTCTATACATCATTGAGCAATACTACACTACCTTCGTCGCCGACTGTTGTCATACCGAATACTCAACAACCTATACCATCTACAATTAATTCGAAGTTAATACGCCTGGCTTCGTCGCCTTCTTCATTGGCTATACTTGATAATGATGGTGGTGTTCTGATGATCATACCTGAAGATGCAGGTTATTATGCATCAACAGATACAACCGACTCGCCGATAGCTGCATCGATGCCTGTCATTAGCCATTCAAGTAGTTGTATAGCCGGTACTTATAAATCCGATGTTGGCATCCATGCCTGTCAACCTTGCGCAAGTGGAACAAGAAATCCAGGTGTGACGTCTGCAAAATCATGTATGAATTGTTCATCAGACAGCTTTTGTCCTCTGGGTGCGGCTTATGAGCTCAACTCCAGTTTTCTTATACCTATCAGTCAAGCATATGCTTATCCTCGTTCACCGGATACAACTTCATTCGAAGATATTCTTCTACAAAACATGTTTTCTTTTGGCACAACTCCATCTTGTTTGCTTGTTTCACCGATATTTTGGACGCTCATATTAATTGTTCTATTTCTTATTCTATTTCTTGTTATGGCGTCATTGAATTGTTGTGTACAACCACCCAAACGAGAACTGTATCGAGCAGCTATTAAGCATATCTTTCGAAGCACAGATCTTGTCGTAAGTAATTCTATTCATGATACTATTCTATTCTAAAAGAAATAACTTAGGGCGAAGGCGAATGGTGGGTTGGTGGACTTGCATCGATAGCAGTTGTTTTAGTATCTGCTATGGCTTATACATTTGCTATATCCTATATGTATCAATATCCCATCGAGACAACTGATGGATCAAAATTTGCTTGTGATTCTACTCTTCGAAATGCGAAATTCGAATCAAGTCTACAACCATTGGCTGTTCCGCCATCTACCCAAGTGCAACCAATGTTCGATATGTTAGATACACAAAATTTTACTCTTCAATTTGATTTACTCAATACTGTCTTATCATGTATGCGAATTACGTTTTACAAACTGACAGATTCTTCAACAATATCTCTTTCACCCTTGTCATGTTCCCAGCTGAATGGAACAGTTTCGACAACCATCCTTTTACCTGACCAGCAGATCACTATCAGAGTAGTCTTCGATGACATTCAATTGATCGGCGGTATACGCGTAGGTCTCTCTGGATCAGGCCAGAATAACGGATTCTTCACATTGAAACAACTGAATTTTCTTCAACCCATCTACAGTCCATCGAAACTAGCTCTTGGACAATCAGCAACGATCAAAATTTCTATGACGAAAGTAATCATACTATTGTAACAATCTTCATTTCTTGCAAACTTGACTTTTCTAGGTTATAAATGAAACTGATCCTTTGTTTGACAGTGATCCTGTTCAGTTTTCAGGAATATGGTATCCCACATTTACATACAGTTACTCTGAAATGTTCATGACAGCTGCGCAGTATGCAACCACCATCAATGGCACGTCAACAGATATAACAATTGCAACCAGTGAAACATCGTATTACATCAAAAATATACAATCACCTATCGCTAAACAGCCCGAGGTGATTTTTCGTACTCTTTTATTTGCATTCTTATGTTTGGAATTATGTGCCATGGCATTTATACTTTGCAAATTACTCATCATTCCATTAATAAATAGAATCACTTCAAAATGTTGTGGCCAACTTCTGAATACTGTAGAACCGATGAAGCTTATCGTACCTCAACATCATCATCATTAGTATTGATTTGATTATTATGAAAACAATACTTCTCAAAATTTATATTGGATACAAATTTAATGCAAAGTTTATTACTTAACGTAGATTATGATTAATGATATCAAGTGAGCGACTTCGATGATTCATGTATACTATGATTGGTATCTCTCTCCCTGTACGCCTTTTTACGTAACTGCATAAAAAAAAAACTTCCGATGTGATAATCGGGCAAAAAACTATTATGTACTTACATTTTTACTCGTTATAACGAACTTCGACTGAGTTAATCTATAACATTGATAGAAATCAACTGATTATGTTATTTTCAGAATATCATAAGTGTCCAGGCTAAAAAATTTCTTCTATTTTTCAGTTTGAGATTATATCAGACAGAGATTTTTATCTTTCTCAAATGTATTTGACTTGTGCAACGCATCATGTCTCTTCTTTTTCTTCTTCACGCTTGGATGAGAAAACAAAACACGCAACTTAGTTGCTTTAATTATAATGTCGTTTTACTTTTGTAATTTTCTCGCTTTCTCTTTCTCCCTGCGACTGCTCGTGACGTATGTGCAGGTGACTGATATTTAGATGAAAGAAATAAAAACAATTGATTGACGTTAGTCTAATGTAGACATTCATGTGCATAGATTCCTTTTCCTTCTCGTCAATTTTGATAGGATCAAAAATCGTACGAGAGAAGACGAAAAAAGATGAAGCGCTTCTCATGCATAGAAATATCATAAGAAGAGAAGAAAATATTCTAAATATTTTCGCACTTATATGCGTGTGCGCCAAACAGAAGACAAAATGCAACTTCAGGAGCAGTACCTTTGTGATACAAACTCAATTACGCATAGTCCGTATTATGGTTGTACGGTGCGAGTCGTTTCCAAAGCACAAGTTTCCTATGAAGGTGTGCTCGATGGAATCAATACAGAGAAGAACCGCATTTTTCTGAAAAATGTCCGCGTAAAGGGCAGTTCTATGGACTTACCTGATCGAAGTAAGTTTGACGAAAAATGTAGAGAATGATTCTAAGTTGTTTCTCTTCAGTAAATTCAATTGAAGAATCTGACACAGCAAACACGGTCATGATCGATCATCTTACAAATGATATGCGGATTTATGAGCAAGTCTGTTTGAATGTTCGAGACATTCAAGAATTAAATCTCATTCGCTTGCCTGCAACATTTCATGAATCTCAAGCAAAGCTACGTTCTATTGATCCGTGTCTTCTCGACATTCGTCTTTCACCGACGGATGAACAAGGGAATCAATCAGAAGAGTATACTCAACCGATTCCGATTACACGACGCGTTCGTGGTGAATCTTTAGGAAGCATGGGCGGTGGCCCCTTGGCTTCTTCAAGTTCAAATGAATCGACATCATCGTGCGGCTATCGACCGAATGAAAGTTGCTTTGATTCGTTTGATGAACAATGTGAAAACTTCAGTCGTCTTTCCACATCACCCGTTACTCAAAACCCGCCCACATTATTGGCGAAAAAAGTTCTGGCGAAAAAAATCGAGCGGAATACAATTCCATCTTTAGTGCCTGAAACTCGTCCAACGGATCATCCTACCATTTTGAAAATTGTTCCTTTAAATAATCAACGCAAGCCATCACCTATTCGTGTTACAATAACCAGTAAACTGAATCCAAATGCGACGCCATTCTATGGTCAAGAACAAAAACGGCCAACACACCAACCGAATCAAAATTCATCATTCAAGTTCTATGCGCACAGTCGATTTCAACCACGCTCTCAACTACAGAATCGATCTCAACAGGGTAACCAACCGGTTCCGTATCCTCACCAACATCAACGCTTTGTGCCACCGCGACAAATGGCCATCAAGAAAAAGTTCAACAATCAAACACCACCATCTGTAAATAAACGACCACAACAACAACAGCAACAACAACAACACCAAAACAGACACAAAGCAGCGAGCCATGAACAAATACCAGGTATAATTTCGATCGTGCATTCTAGTTTTGTAATTCAACTTTATTCAGGATTAATGCAACCACTTCCTTCATCGATTATGGATCAAATCTTGACAAGACCACCTCTTCGAGAACGTCTATCCGTCCCGAATTACAATCGCCATAATCAATCTCCTGTTAACTTACATCCAACTAGTAGTTTGCCATATCAATATGGAATCATAGGAGATTCAAATCAACTACAAGTTCCATCGTCATTTGTCGAACCCATTGGCTCTCACCGTGGCCCGCGTACTGTTTCGGGAACTAGCAGTGCTAGTAGTATGAGCATTGAAATAGGCCCTCATTCAATTGCTCAACTTGATTCATCGTCAAATGCATTGATATCACCCGATGGCCCGTACGATTTCGAAAAAGCCAACGAAGAATTTCGCCGTTATCTAGAATTAGAAGAGTTGGTTACACGACATGCATCATCTGCTGGTCCAACAGGTTCTCACGCCAATGAGCAATCCAATTCCCCACAATCGCAAAATCATTCATATAAGAAAGAAATTTCGTTTTTTGATCGCATTTCATGTACAGCTACGACCGGTACAGCTGTTGCCTACACTGAAATGGATGCTGACGAGAAAAATCTGGAAACATTCGGTGATGATGCCCTTCGTCTTGTGGCGGAGATAGATAATGAAGAATGGTAAATCTGAAACGATATTTACCTTTTCAGCTGGTTTGTACATTTTGTTCAGTCCATTCTACCACAGCAAGGTTTTCATTCTGTCTGAAGATATCTAACTAATCGTGTTTGCTTCTAATCCTCTTCTTTCTAAATAAAGACGAATATGACGACATCTGCTGTTTCATCAGTCTTGCGTAATTCACGCACGTATAAAGAAAAGAAAGGATTTGAGTCATATGCAATCTATGGCTACAGCAGCAGCAGCAGACACAACCGACACGGCTCCGTTGAGGATTGGCATTGATTTCGGTGGCGTTCTTACAATACATGACAAAACTCGTACATCTGAAGATGATGAACATCGATCCGTCGAAATCAATATGCCAGATGCAATGAAAAGTTTACTTCAATTGAAAGAATCAGGTCACAAACTTTATTTAATCTCGTATTGTGGCGAACGACGCGCACAAGAAACGAAAAAAAGCCTTTTAAGAACTCTTCCATCGAAAAACTTCTTCGATGCACTTTACTTCACCCAACGAACATCGAACAAACTCGATGTTTGTCAAGCACTTGGTTGTGACATAATAATTGAAGATCGATTAAAAACCTTAAAACACATTCAACATACCGTTCCAACAATGAAATTCTTATGGTTTACATCTTCCAATGAAACACAACCTGATGACATAATCAAGGTCGAGTCTTGGTCAGATGTGATGAAAACGATAACTGATACACTTATTCACGACTCACATCGACATCAACCTGATCGGCGTGTTATACTAACTGGCAAAGTCCATGTTGTTTGAATGAAAGGAAAGAAAAACAACTCCAAACTTTTTTCCGTATTATTTTCACTCTAAATAAACCCCATTTTTTCGTGACGGCACGCATAGCGATACTATAAGTTTGCGGTCACGGATGTATGAGCATAGCAAAAAGACGAAGAAAAGAAAACGAAAAAAAAAACCGAGTAAACCTGTATGCAACAAGACTCGACTCGACCATATTTATTACCAATCACTGGCAATTTTCTCGTTTTTATATAATTTGAATTGAGGATGTTTTCATCAGTGTACCTCTATGGTATCTGTTCATTAATTTTGATTGAAGCTGTACAGTCAAGTTACAACGTTTTTACGTACAAAGGTGATGGCGGCGACGGCGACGACGAACATTGTTGTCTTGTGCAATTAGATGATAAATTTTGTTTGGCACAAGTATTAACCAATAGTTTAATTCAAGTTGATCGAGATTGTCAACGTCTCAATGCGAATGATAAAAGCAAAACTTATCTAAATAAAGTCGTTCGTCGATTGCCTGTTGTGTCGTCCGAGAAAGTTGGCGACCAAATATTAATCGAATTAGAAAAACCATTAGATAGAGATATCCTCAAAAACGACCTCTTATGTTTAACAACGGAGAATAATAATAATAATATCAACTTACAAAAATGTCATATTATCCTAGCTAATGTCGAACGAAAAAGTAGCAGTAAGACGAATTTTCTAGAAAGAAACTCGTCCAAGATACGAATCTTTGTCTACGTTTTTATTTAGAACGAAAAACAAAAAATGAAACCGCAAACGAATCGACTAACGATCAGCCTGAAGTTCAAAGCGTAGATATTGCAGAAGCAGTGCAAATTTATCAAGGTCAAGGCGTAGCTGTTCGTCAAACATTTCAGTTAGATTTAGTTGACGTTGAGCCTAAGAGTCGAGAGGAACGTGAGTATTGGTCATGGTATCGTACAAACACGAAAAAAATCTGCAATCAACCGCAAAAGACGAAGAAAACCTGCATACCATATACTGATCAAAATGCAAACTATCTTCGACAAATTTTCAATTCTACAACCAATGAAAATGAAGAATTCTCTCTGCCATTAACAGTAACCAAAGGATCGAAGTTATTTTGTGAAAATAATAACCAACAAACAAGATTACTTGGTTATTATCAAAAGAGTCGAATATGTTTTCAAGCAACTCATCAAATATATATCGAACATGACTTTACCGATTTTGTACGTTTGTCCAATGTGAAAAGTAATCAACGAGTGCTTCAGTTCATCTCTAACAATTCAAAACTAACCAATCAATACGAGCAGGATTGTAAGGATAAAACCACATTAGCTGATATAAAGAAAGCGCTGGAACAAGAAGCTGAAGCGAAATCTGCAGCTAAAGCCGCAGAGGAAGCAAAGAAGAAGGCAAAGGCGGAAGCCAAAGCCGCTAAAAAAGCTGCTGCGAAAGCTGAAGCTGAAGCGAAAGCTGCGGCTAAAGCAGCTGCGAAAGCTGAAAAGAAATCTAAAAGAGAGAAAGTTGAAGTCGAAGCCGAATCTGCAGCGAACGCCGAAGTCAAGGCAGCTGAACAAGAGACTGGCTCGTCAACATAAGTAGACGATCGATGAAACACATTGACTTCATTCTTCTTTCTCTTTACTTTTTTTCTTTCCAAATTATTTTCATTAAAATAAATGTAGTGGTATAATCAAACAAATAAAAATACGAAAATTTAATCAAGTCAATTTGCCGTTTGCTTTTCACGTGAGTACAGAAATGGTTATGATGAAGATTATATAGATGACTTGTGACTTTCGAATCGATGGTGCTGAAATGAAAAGAGGAAAACAACAATGACGCTGTCACGTATTATCTTTGACTGTTATATTTACTGTCAATCTCATTACAGTCAAATGAAAGGTGTACAGTTGCTCGCTGACATACCCGAGATTCTTCTCATTATTCAAAACGAAAAACAAAACATCACTTATATGTCTTGTCGATTGTGTGACAAATGATAAGATAAGCAAACAAGAACGATTGTAGTCATCAAGAGAGCAAGACGAACGAACGCAAACCATGATGTATAGTAGAAAATATTCAAATTATCACATAGGTTTTTTTTTCTTCAAGGTTAAATATGTGACATTGGTATCAAAATGTCTAATTTGATCATGATACTCAAAAAGATATAGTCCAAGATGATTTATCATCGACGATTTCATCCTCATAATAACTTACCTAAACAAGGTACTTGATCAGCTGGTGTACACTTCCCCATATTCTTATTAAAACGTTGTCCGCTTGCACAGCGACTATAATTTGCCACACGATAATCTAAACATTGTATATACGATTGACAATTCGGTTTGGTTGGATCAAGGTAAAACCCATTGCTATGGCCAGCACACGATGGCGAGAAATCGCACGAACTTTTTCGATCATCATGTTTCGATGTATAATGGCCTAGAAAGGTGATAAATACAAAGGATTGGCAATCATAGACTTACATTTGTTCAAACATGGCCGCCGACCAGCACATTTTACTTGTCTATATGACACACATCGATGAGTTTGTATATCGTATAAATTCGGGTGCGGACATGTCTGCAGAGTCAATTTTCCGGAAATACACTCATAAAAATGGCAACAACTGGCAGGATCAATGAATCGAGCGCCGTCGTTTTCTATTGTACACTTATTCTTACCTAGCAAGAAAAAAAACGGACATATTGACTTGAATAAGAAACTCGAATTGAACGTTTTTCTATACATTGTACATTATGTGCATGGTCGCATTTTTGTTTTTCAGGATTATATTGTAATGTGGCTGGACAGTACGATATGCGGTCAGCACCACGATAACAATCATGATAAATCGAACAATCATATGGATCTGGAATGCGCCAGGATTTCGTCGGCGGGCAAAGATCTGATGCCGGAGGGTTGGTCGAAACATAAGAAGATGGATAGACTGAACCTCGAGGTATGTATAACATATCTCGTTCAGCTGGTTCTGCGGTGGGTGGCGCTGCACTTGTGCTCTTCGCCGGACCTTAAATTATGAAGGAAAAGGTGAAGATTATGCCTGAAAAGATTGCGTGAGACAAACTTACAATCTGATTGAGCAGGCCATACACACATTCTTTCGGTTTGTGACCACAGGAGATTCTTTTTACATATTTTCGTTTGTGGAACACCTGTAATGAACAAAAGAAACTGGATTAATTTTGATCTTCGAAAAGCATATATATCCTTCTCTTCTCAACGGTCAAATATATACAATATCAATAATCTGACCTGACTAGACTTTCTTTTTCCTTAGTAAACAAACGTATCGTATCGTTTTCTTCCGTTTAATTGCCTGAGATATCCGCTTCGATGTCACGTCTTTTGCTTACCGTTTGCACAGTAGGCATATTGTTTACAATCTGATGGGTGAGCAACATAGTCATTAGCAACGGATTGACACAAATAATCAAGAACTGTTTCATCTGGTAATTTGTCACTAGCAGGTATCTTTGCATCTAAAATAGAACAGGAAAATGTAAGGAAACACACACATTAGGTCAAAATGGTTTCCAACTTGATGTAGAAGGTGGAATGTGCGGTGGTGCAAATGTGGTTGCGTGAGAATTCGTGCAGTTTACCTAAAGAATTCGATGATTTGACTGTGTTGATGATAGAAAAGAATCGATATTTTTACATTCATAGCCCAATCACATTCGTTTTTGACTGGATTAAACAGGAGATCATCTTTGCAAGCTTTTACTGAATGTGACGATCCCACGCAGATATGATAAAGCCAACAATCGCGTTTATCCGGAAAGAATCCATCTTTTTCGCATTTAAAAGTCTCAGCTATTCCTGATTGTATCTGAATAGCTATGATGAATACAAAATCAAACGTTATTTTTTACCTTCAGCAAGTGTAAACTTACCAATGATTAACAGATGGAAAAGAAATTGTTTTGCCATAATGAGCGTATATTTAGTTTGGACATTTTGATTGTAAGATCTATGAAATACTTTCATTTAGAATAAACGACAAAAAAGAATGTTCGAGCAGTCGCATTGAATGTGCATTGTTGTATGAACTAACAGAAAAAAGAAACAATGAGACAAATAAGAGAAAGAAAAAGTTATACAAATAAATGTTAATACTTACATGAACAACGATGAGGAAATAATGAAGAAGAAGAAGAAGAAGAACAATGACCGAACGAAAGGAGGAAAGAACGAAAGTGATCATACACACCTGAATAAGAATGGATATTGTCAATGATCTTGAACGTAATCTTTTATTTGTTTTTACGTTGATTTAACTCAACGCAGTGAAACATCTGTTAGAAAGTTCAGGTACTGTCTAACATTCATCGGATGACATTTTTCAAATAGTAAAGAACATTTGTCTGGGAAAATTTTCGACAATCGAAAGACACGATGAGAATTTCTCTTTTCTTTTTCTCACCGTTAATTAAATACGTTGTGAAGACAAGTGTGTGATTAGCTAAAGGTCGATTATGCAACACCTTTTTTTTTCGGATTTATAATCACTCATACATGTGTTTTGTCTTCTTTGTCGTATCTTAAACACATTGTATTGTTCTTATAATCAGTCAACATGTCTGAACAAAAATCTTTTCGGATGAAAATCTTCTTTTATTTAAAAATGACTTGTGCATAATTTATTGTAGATTAAATCGATTGTATCGCGTTCAGTCATTGCTTTCACCAGACGTTTCAATAACGCATCATTCTCCGATGTGTCCGCAGATCCTTCTACCACTTGCGCTTCGTTCGTAGATGATAAGCCAAGTTCCCCAAATGTAATACTAGTTAGACGTTGTTCATGAACATGGTCTGCAGGAGTTATAACAGTGCGCAGCCGCTTCGGTAAAGGTTCATTGCTTTCATTCGATTCGGTTCTACTGAGTAGACCGGACAGTATTGTTAAATTTGTCATGGGATCGGTGACCATCTGAAAGTAAAAGTCGGATGAATAGGAAAAAGGTGCGAATCGTGTGTCAAACCTCGTTATGATTTAACCAGTCATCTGTAGAGTAATCATGTGCTACAATGGCTGATGTAACGATCTGTCGAACAAGCATCTCTTTGATTTGTTCTTCGTGATCACCAGGCTACGTAGGATGATGAAAATATTTGATGAGTTTCCTTCAATTTACGCATTTACTTGTTTCAACCAACTATTCACTGAGATTGTTACGGAATCCAAAGACGAAACAAAATGCCACCAATGTTTCGGAACAAATAGCACATCGCCAGGTTCGAGTGTAACATCATAAACATCGATATTCTACACGAGATCAGTTAATTGTAAAAGTATTCTATATAATTTTTACTTTAAGTCGATCTAAAACACTTGGTTCGATATCAATATAAACACTTGATTCTTCATACGGTATTCGTGTCTGTAGCTGACCGATCGGGCTGTGGGATGGAAAGAGCAACCATCGTTTTCTATGCACAAACGAAAATCATCTTTTCCAATGAAGATTTTGTTTCTATTATACCTGCCAACAATTTGGGCGACAAAGTTAATTCCATACGTATCATAATGACATGGCGTATGTGCTCCCTGTGAACCAATCCATAGAGTTGATTCTTTTCCATCACGATCTTTCATGCCCATATCCCCCCAGTTGATCATCTACAAAAAAAATAGATTGCTCATTTTGTAAAGTAGAAAATCTCCATTCATACATTTATAAGAGCGTGCTGCTCATCACCAAACAATTCAGGCAAGTGCATGTAGTCCGCATAAGCGAAATAGTCCTCCACTGGATATTTATGTAATGGATGATCGATCGGAAATGACTTGCAATCGTTCGTGGTTGTCCAATGGAGAAAATCATTGATAGTTGATTGAATATGACTACAATCTTTTTCGAATTGTACACGATTGCCTAAAACAATAATTTCGATACTTGATAAGTATATCGGTCTTGAATCGATCGTATTTTTCTCTTGTTAATGATTAAAATTTATGTAAGTATCATGGTCGGTCTTATCACGACAAGTAACCTTGGCTAAGCGTAATTTTTCTCGATGTCAAATGACTATTATTTCGATAACAATCTTTCCTTTAGCTCAAATTCGAATGACGCTTGTGTCGGTAATTAAAACTTTAGTTTTGTTCTGTTGTTTTGTTAAATCATGCATATCATAAGGACAAAACAACAATATTCTTTACTTAAGCATAAAAGTTTTTTCTTTAACTACCGAAAAACGATTTATGTCGTTTGCCAATTCTGAACGATAAGGGTTTTCCGTCGAATAGGTCAGCCAGTCGTTGTCCATCTGTCCAGGAACATGTGTCTCGAAGGATTCGTGCACCTTTGAATACATATGGAACATTCCAACGCGTATCGGCTACTAAATCTGATGTCGATGATGTCATTCGTAATCTAAATGTTTTGATTGGAATGCATTAAATAGAATATACCAAATTTCCTCGCGATTGTTATATATTTAGTGATATGCAGACATTTTTTTTACTCCTGTACGCTCGGCTGCGTTTTCTTTTCATATATAATGGAAAAAAGACGCATGCAAGTGTGAATTAGTGGTACCTGTTCGTTTTCGTCGACGCTCGTTCTCTTTCTTCCTCTTCTCAACATTCAAGGTGAATCATTCGAAAGTGATATTTCTTCAATCAATTGAAAATTAACCTCAAATTATGTTCAACAATTAAATAAACGATATATTCCGTCATTCATCTATTTCATTAGTTGGTTAACAGTTTCTTCGACCGATCTTGACATATAAAATGGGAAATCGGGTAAGATTACAAAAAGAAAGTCGGAGACGATATTCATTTCATAGATTTATTCATTTTTGTCCTTGACAACTACAGACATATAGTTAACATCAAGAGAGAAGAGAGATAGAGAAAGAAAACTGAGATATACAGACACATATATATTCATATTTATATAACAATTAGTGTTCGACCTCTCCGTCATCATGTTCATCTTCGGGGGGTTGTTGAGGTTGCTGCTCCTGCTGCTGCTGTTGTTGTTGTTGTTCCTGTCGCTCTTCTTCCGATTCATCATCATCTTTAACTACCGCTACTTTTCTTTTTCGGCCACGTTTGGATACTTCACCATTTGTCGTTATGGGTGTGATCGGTGTTCGTACAGTACGAGCTCGTCGTCCTGATGTACGAGGAGTTGTTGTTGACGTTTCTGCTGCAGCTGGAGTCGATGGTGTTGCTGTGGCAGTAACTGCTGTGGACATTGATTCATTTGACGGTATTTCGATAAGACCAGCATCTAATTGCTGACGAAGGTCTTTGTAAACTTTGCCGATTAAAATCGAATCTTCGAAAATTAACGACGTTTCACAATTGAACGTTTGAGCATTCTGTACTAGTAATTCAATGTCGGCTTCGAATTCATCTAGACTTGAATAACGATAGGTATCGATTTTTCGTCGTATACGCTGAAAATCAATTGGATCTTGTATAGTTTGATAATAGATCGGCAATTGCTTCTGACCAGGTAAACGTATGAATGGCTGTGCTAGTTGTCGATTATCTTCCGTGCGATAGGCTAAAATACGTTCGAGAATTGCTCGACATTGAGGTGCAACTTTAGGATCAACCGATTGTAAACGTTTTTTAACACTACCACGTTTTGATCCAAGGTTATTATGATTAGCCATTGGCGTTGAAGGATTGTCAAATGACGAACGTGCTTCCGTTTCATCAAGATCGATATCATCATCTTGTGACGATAATAGAGCGCTTTTTCGTGATTGTTTTCGCACGCGTTTTTGCTCGACGGCATCGTCTAAATTGCCTTCTTCGAGTGCTTGAAGAAATTCTCGTTCGGTTAAATTATCGCTGTAATCAACATCTTTACGTTGTCGACGACCTTTACCGAAATCTTCATCGTTCTCGAGAGTCTTTTCCACTTCTTCAACATCATTTTTCAACCATTCTGGTAGTTCATCTTCAGTGATCAGACGACTGACTTTCATTTTACGATGAATGCTTGGTGTTGCTTGTGAAAAGTCCACATCCTCTTCATCTTCCAGATCATCTAATGGTGAGGGAGTGGTTTCATCATTGGTCGTCGTTGTTGTGGTCGTTTCTTCTCCACCTCGAGTACCATCATCATCACTTTGATCCATAAATTCTGTAGTTGATTTACTAAAATAAACCAAACGATGAGAAAAGGTATTTTCACAATTGTGCACTTACTTTTCTTTCGAAGAAGTTTTTGCCGCTTGATCCGTTGAATCTTCATTATCACTATCCTTCTTCTGACGTTTGACTCGAGGTGTAATTGGCTTATTGCCGGTGTTTGCTGTCGATGGTGTAGCATCGGATAGTTTCCAATTTCGACGTTCATTTGCGCCATCGCCACCACTACCAACGCCATGTAAAGCTTCGTATTCTCGTCGAGCAACATCCATACGATTGAACAGATTGAATTCCGCTTCAGTTCGAGCAATCATCTACATCGAAAGAAATTCGCTTTGAATTCTGATTTTATACTTTAAATTGTGAAATCTAGTACGGTTCAGAAATTCTACGGTCAAGAGCACTCTAAATCCTTGCAAGAACCGATCGATAGGATCATTTTGAATAAACAATCAAGATGAAAGTGTCAACCGATAACATCATTCAATTAGAAATATTAATTTCAAATTTGTTCATTGACCTTTGACTGCGACTTCTATCAGCAAATGGGGTCTCATCACAGAGAGAAAAAAAATGACATACCTGATTGAGAATTTCGTCATCAGGTATATCTTCGTCATCATCTTTACATTCCTCGTCGACTTCCATCAATTGTGCCAGATAATCGTGTCGTTCACTCGACGTCGACGATCGATTGAACATACCAGCTTGAATAACCTTTTCATCAACGTTTAATTTGTACCTTGCACATGCTAAGATCTTTTCTTCGACGGTATTCACAGTCATTAATCGTAACACTCGTACTTCGTTCTTTTGTCCGATACGATGTGCCCGATCTTGTGCTTGCTGGTCTTGATGCGGATTCCAATCGGAATCAAATAGAATAACTGTATCAGCACGTTGTAAATTCAAACCAACACCGCCAGCTCGTGTCGATAGTAGAAAGATGAAACAGTTTATACTATCATCATTAAAACTTCGTAATAATTCACCTCGATCGTCAGCTTTCGTCGTACCGTCCAGTCGCAAATATGTATAGTTACGATAAGCAAAATAAATTTCTAATAAATCCATGACAGCTGTCATTTGACAAAACATAAGAATTTTATGTCCCGAAGCCTTTAATTTTGGTAAAATACGATCAAGTAATTCGAATTTGCCCGACACACGAAACAAATCGGGACCATCGATAATACCCGTTTTGTAGCCAAGTGATTGAGCTAGTCGATCTTCGATTTCTTCGAAAAGGAATGGGTGATTGCAAATTTTACGCAGTTGCATTAATTTATTCATTAAAGCTCGACGACCACCTTTGCCATTTTGATTTTCAATGATTAGTGTACGATTCTTCGACATGGCATGATAGAGACAACGTTGTAATGCAGATAATTCGCACTTAATTGTGTATTCAACCTAAACATAGACCAATAATATGGAAGAATTGGTTTCTCAATGATACGAACCTTATCTGGCAATTGAGATTCAACTTCTTTTTTAAGTCGTCGAAGAAGAAATGGCCGTAGAACTTTATGTAAACGTCGAATGATCAACAATGTTTCCTCATGATTCAATTCGACCTTTTCACTTGGTAATGTTGCGAACGGTGCATTGAACCAGTCTGTAAACGTGGTCGCCGATTTAAATATCGTCGGGAGAATAAAATTCAACAACGCCCATAACTCTGGTAAATTGTTTTGTAATGGAGTTCCAGTAAGCAATAGACGATGAGAAGCATTATTGTAATATGTATTTAAAATTTGCGTTAATTTACAATGGTGATTTTTCATTCGATGACCTTCATCGACGATTAAATATTTCCATGGTGCTTTTGATAAAACCGCACGATCCCGCATTATATATTCATAAGTAGTCAATAAAACATTAAAACGATTTGCACGTATTGTCTGAGCAAGCATTTTGCGTACGTGTGGTAAACCTTTATATTGAATCACGCCAACTTCTGGTGCCCAACGTTGAAATTCCGATGCCCAATTCGATAGAGTTGATAGTGGTACAATAATCAACGATGGGCCCGGATTTTTCTTATAATCGATCAAATGTACAATTAAAGCAATTGTTTGAATAGTTTTTCCCAAGCCCATCTCATCGGCAAGGATACCATTGAGGTTATTATTGTATAGTGAAACAAGCCATTCGAGACCTTGTAATTGATAGGGTTTCAGTTGACCGCCAATAAGCATCTTGGATTGTTCGGTGATGGGCTCGCGAATTCGATGTGCAATTGAATAGTAGGATTCTTTCGCATCGTATTCGTCATCTTCATTCGTGGCTGCTATTTTGACAGCGTCACGAATAGCTTCATCATTACCTGTTTGATCAATATTTTCTCTGAAACAAAAAACAGAATAAGTCACATTAGTAGAATTTGTCAATAGACTTACGGTGGCCGCTGTTCTCCATCTGTTACTGTTGTTGTTGTTGTTTCTGGTGGGTTAACAACTGTCGTAACAGATTCTTCCGGCTTGTCAGAAAGATTTTTAGCTGGTCTTCCTCGACTACGATTGACTTGTTGATGTTGTCGCACTAGTTGTTTTAAATTATCAATGTATGCATCAGTTTGTGATAATAACAATGATAAACGTGCATCTTTCTTTTCGTCAACTAGTTTTCGATAACCTTCTTCATCTTCATTCATCAAACGTTTAATACGTTCTTTCTCTTTACGTTCTTTTTCTTTCAATAATTCTCGTTCACTATTAGCAAAATAGGTTTGTATAGCTTTGCTCATTCGCGTCGTGGTCAATGCTAATTGACGATGATATTCACGAAATTCACGCGCATGATTTTGAACAGCATTGAGAAAGTCCTGATGTTTAGCACGTTGGCGTTGTTCGATATCAATTTTACGTTGACGTTCGTACTGTTCAGTTGCACGTGCTTCACGAAGATGATGACGTTTCGGACGTTTGTATGCACGAGGATTGAGAGCTGTTTGAATTAATGTATCTTTCTATATGAAATTATGAAATAGAAGAAAAGGAAAATATGAATGAATGAACAATCGCGAACCTTCATGGTGTTGAGAACCTCCCCACGAAGTTGTTTTTGAAATTGAAGTAACTTGAGTGATTTCAGTTCGATTAACGCTTGTGTTCGTAAATCAATACTCATTTGTGCTGGCATATGTTCGAGCTCTTGAAGACGATTCGAAATACGATTAAGAACACTAAAAGATTGAGAAGAAAAAACACACAAGCGCTTTTACTTAAGATCAATATTAAGCTTTCATTCTACCGTTTTTCTCGTTCTTGTTGAACATACAATGGATTGAGACCAATTGGATGTTGACGGATACGTGCCGGAGTTTCATCTCCATTGTGTTTATTGATTTCGTTGACTCCTACTAACCATTGATACATATTCGTTGCTGATGAGAATGTCAATGGCGAATCTTTGTTATTCTGATGCGTTTCAAGAACGATTGCTGTTGGCTTGGATGCTTCGCATTCTTGCTCCCGCTGATCTTGCAAATGATTTTGAATCAAATTTGCTAGCTGGGCTTTGTATGAGCATGATTGAAGTAATGAATCTGACACGGGCAAATTGCGAGCAAGTAAACGATAAGTAGCGATTTGAGATTTCAGAACATCGACTCGAAGATGCTCCAGTTCAGACGGATTAATCAGAACGACAGAAGTGGAATTGTTATCCACAGATGTCATTTTATTTTGATTTATCTGAAACGTAAAACGAAAAGAATTACATTCTGTTTCTTTCGTTCTAGTCCGGTAGACGAGCATCAGTAGGTGGATCAATAGGAAGATTGGGCAGAAAAAGTCAAGTGCCAAGACCTTTTCCAGTTATTACTGCACAATCCTATATACCAGGCTCAGCTGGTGCCGCACTTGCGCGTGCACCACCTGTTGGAGGTAATCCATCGTCAGGCATTCCTCCGAATATTTATCCTCAACCGCCACCTGCTACTTTTCAACCGCCAATGAATCTAAACGCAGGACCTGGCTATTACCCGCCACCAGGTCCTGTTCCTATTTCTCGTCAAAGTCGAAATCTTTTACCAGGTCAAGATCCATCTTACAGGCCACGATTTCATTCTCAATCACATAGTCGTCCTACGGTACGTGTTCATCGACATCGTTCGCGTCGTTGCCGGCCTGTCATCCATATTATCGAATCTGACTCTTGTTCCTCACTATCTACCTGTTCATCCGTCAGTTCTTGTTCACCATATTACCGGCGATCGTATTCTTGCCCGAGACGTTCTGGAACATGTCCACAACAACCTATCATTTTTCTACCTGTACAATGTCGACAACAGCCAACTGCCATTGTGAGTTCGAATCAAGATCAAGCACAACCATGCATTGTACCTTCGATGCAATTTCTACAATCAAATCTTGCTTTACCATCGATTTCAGCAATGCAACCATCTCTATCCATGCCACAAATAGTATCGGGTAGAAAACCACAACTGTATCAAGCTGGTCCTATCACATACGTGCAAACAGCACCGAAATTATCTTCATCGCAGCTACGCCCTATACCGACACAGTCTCGTTCGAACATACCACAACAATCTGATTTGGTTGATAGTACAAATACGAAGCAACCAAATATAATCAAACCGATCCCACGAGCATGTTCAACGCAAGCTCTCCCGCAAAATGATATGAAATTTCGCCGATATGAAACTGACGGACAAGAAACATTTTCCAAAGAAAAGCTAAACATTGAAAAGCGACGAGAAACACATTTTCCTTAAGGTTACAGAAAGAATCTTTCTTTCTACATTCAAATCACAACCGTAGAAGAGATGCAAATCATCTCGAATATGTTGTACTTTTTCAAGATTAGTAAACAATAAATATTGTAAACAAAGGATAAATCTCGCACGAAAATCAACCTATCCAAAACAAATATCTCCATTCGTATCATCTACGTTAAAATATATCAAAAACAAAACAAACTTACTGATCAAATTTGAAAAAGACAAAGGCAAAGTAACAGATCTTGATAATGTATTTGTGTATAAGAATGAATGAATGAATGAAAACTAATCGATACTTTTCATTAGCTCGTTATTTCAAACAATCAGACAAAGACCTTTCGAACGTGTCAATAGATGGCGCACATGTTCGCCCATTAGCGTGCGGACGACGTACGAATATTCTCTAGGCATGGAAATAGATTCGATCATCCAAAAAGCACAGAATTAAATGATAACATATATCGCATTCTCTCGCCTACTCGAAAACACACATTTTGCTACACTTCTCATATTGCCTCTATAGTTGATAGCTTTGACTGTAATCGTTCTCTTATTTTATCAGTATTGTTTTTCTTTAGAACCTTTTAGTCATTTTTTGTTCTACTTTAATCATGGATACTCTATCGACCCGTGCACAAGAAATCGGTGGAACCTTATCGCAAATACTGAACAAATTCATGTTAGTACAAAAGAATACCTACGATCATGAATTAAATACGAATGGTATATGTAATTTGGGTGTGGCAGAAAATTATCTTTGTGAGAATGAATTGATTTCCAAATTACAATCGATTCAAATATGGAATACAAGTCATATATATTATCCGAATTCCGTTGGACTTCTCTCCTTCCGAGAAACTTTATGTCATTTTTTTCAAAATACATTTCATCTTAATTATCAATTGAATCCCGATCGAATGCTTATATCAAGTGGTTTAAGTGGTATCATGTCACTGATCAGTTATGTTATCGGAGATAAAAATGATGTACTTTTAATCGCATCCCCATATTATACCGCTTTCGATCATGATGTTTCAGCTTTTTCGAATTGTGCAATATTTCGATGTCCGTTGCTGGAACAAGATTCGGGTCAATTTATTCTGTCTGTAGAAATTTTCAAACATGGCTATGAAAAGGCAGTGCGACAAGGTCTTCGTCCTTGTGGAATTATTCTCGTTAACCCACACAATCCAACCGGTGATATCTACGATGAAGAAGCCATTCAACCTATTTTAGAATATGCTGCCGAAAAACAACTACATGTTATTATCGATGAAATCTATGCATTGAGTATATTTGAAGATGAAAAACCGTTTCAGTCGATGTTAAGTTACAAGCATATTATCGATCCTCAACGCACACACTTTGTTTGGTCATTAAGCAAAGATTTTGCTTTGAGTGGCCTGCGCCTAGGCGTAATCTATGCTGGTTCCGAGATTTTATGTTCTTGTGCAGCGGCACTTAATTTCCTTCAAGTTCCATCAACCATTGTTCAAGATATTGCCAGAATGATTTTTTCTGATCAGTCGTGGATTGATTCATATGTAAAACTCAATCGTTCACGTTTAACTGCACGATACAAGATTGTAAAGCAGAGAATTGAAGATTTAGATGAACGTATTCGTGTTCGCCAAACCAGAGCAGGCTTTTTTATTTGGGCTGACCTTCATTTACTATTACATGCGACTACATTTGAAGAAGAGCAACGGTTATTTGAAACTATATTCAGTCATGGCATCTATATGAGTCCAGGTCAATTTCTTGGATGTTCGCAACCCGGATGGTTTCGTATTATATTTTCTGTTCGAGAAAAATGGATTGACGAAGCATTCCGACGATTAAAGCTGGCATTAGATGTTTACAATCAGTCACCGATTCCTTCAACGGCATAAAGAAACATGTTTACATAATATAGACACGTGTTTTGCTGTTTCTTTAGTTTTTTGTTTAACGATGACTTTGTTATCTATAAGCTTATCGAGGGTATCGATTATCTATCCAATTATTCTTCTAGTCTATTATATAACACGTATAAAAAGCGAAGAAAATCCTCGTTCACGACATAATTTCGGTGAACTTTCTGTAATCTGTGAGTATCAAACGCATGTTTATTTTTCCTCTATTAAACTTTCTTCGATCGGCTAGAAACATGTCCACATTGATTCTCGTACTATTATTCATTGGTGCTATCTCTGCTGGCTTCAACCCCGAACGGGAATTTGAAGTGAAACAAGGTAGTTTATTGAATACTGGCCGAAGTTACACGTTCGTATTTTGTTTCTCGTCCGGTGAATTTTGTGATTCATCGAAGTCTCGTCTTTTAGAATAACTGAAGTTAGTAAAACACTCAACGGTCAAAATCCCAGTCGTTTTTCAATTCAAAATGAATTATTAAGTCTTGGCAAAAAACTCATTCTTCTCGATAACGGCCAACCACTCTATGAATTCAAACACGACCTAGGTCATCTCTATCAAAAGTAAGTCTACCAAAAATATGATTCAACATGAAACTATGTTTCTTCAGGTGGAGTATCTACGATCCACGAACTGGAGATACTGTTGGAACATTGAAACATCGTCCATCAATTATTCATGATTCATATAAATTGAAATCAACAAAATTGGGTACTTACCGTATTACCGGAAACATTGGTAGCCGAACATTTTCAATTACAAAAGATGGTCACAAAGTATGTCAATGCAGTTTTGTTTTATTGTAACTTTCGTATGATGGTAAACTTTTTCTAGGTTGCCGAAATTCACAAGAAACACTTTCATGTTCACGATACATATAGCGTTAAAATCGAAGCCAATCAAGATCCTGCTGTTATTCTACTTGTTACCATCGGTATCGATGAAATTCGTCAACATTAGTCTCTTTTTTTTACCTATATTTATTTACACAATAAATCAAGCTTTTGAAAACTAATACGATTTTCTTACATCGATGTGTTAAAGATAAAAAGAAAGAAACCTGTAATAATCTGCCGCTCAGGAAAATAATTGACTTTAGTGGTACGATTGATCATAAGCCGTTTAATCAGAATATATCTTATTAAAGATCAAATCACGGAGAAATGAGAAGAACAAAACGCCAACGTTATCTCGATGTAAAGATTATACTTTTGCGTTTTCTATTTCAAGAATGGCAACGACTTAATTATTCATCTGATCGGATATAGATCAGATCGAAATATTCTCTTTTTCTCTTCCGGATTGCATCATCATTGGTCACTATTTATTCTATCCGCATAAATAATGACCAATCAATGACAACGAATATCATACGAAAAAAGAAAACACTCATATTTAATGATCGACACTTGACGTTTTCTACCTCAAAATTTGAAAATACAATGTTCGGTGCATCAGTTTCTTCAATGTACGGATCTCCCAATGGAAAAAGTATGCAATCACAAACATTGAAAAGGTATTTGTCTGTTGAACATCCTGTAACCGAAATTCACTCATCCTCAATATCATTTTAGATCACAACCACATAGTCCGAAACGAATAATCAAAAAATGTGCATTCGATATTGAATCTCTATTAAAACCGACAAATAATTCCAGTTACATCGATGATACGGAAGATGGTTCAAGTGACGATGGTCATGCACAATTCGAATCATCGTTTTGTACTTCATCACCTATTTTATCATATGCACTTTTTAACCAGTTGAAAACCAATGAAAACTTCGCACTGTCGTCTTCATTTGAATCTGAACATTGCACTATGCAAAAGAAGTGCAAACGTATTCGCACGATATTCACTAGTGAGCAATTAGAGAGACTCGAAGCAGAATTTGAAAAACAACAATATATGGTCGGCAATGAACGGTCTTATTTAGCAAAGAAACTTGATTTAAGTGAAGCGCAAATCAAGGTAAACTTTAATCTTCATATTTTCTTTTACATGACTTTTCTTTTTCATTTCAACAAGATTTGGTTTCAAAATCGACGTATTAAATGGCGTCGTCAAACAATGGATAATCATCAACAATGATCAACTAAATTTTTTTTCTCCTTATTGACTTTTTGGCATGTGTTAAACTAATAAATTGTTTTTCCACATCCTGTAAATGTGCATCTTGTTTTCTTGACTTTCGATATTGTTTACCTGCTGGTGGAATCAGACAATTCACACATTGTTGTCAGTAAACAAACTCGCATGACGAAGTGTGAGTATTCTCACCGAAGAGGAGCGAACGAAATAATCATTGTTTTCATTTTCTTTTTCATTACTACTCATAACACTTTCGATCATTGCTGTGAATGAGAATTTGAACCGATCAAATTTATGTTATTAATCTTTTATGAAATGTTGTTAGCCAAGGAGATAATTGATATTGAATTGTTAAACAATTGCGAGTGGACGCACAAGAAGATACACTATGCCATTCTCTTTATTCTGAGACGATCGTAGTGTATCAAGTGATCTATCTTTCTTCACAACGATCGAACCAATGATAAATCATAAAAGCATAGAGACTAAAAGTTTCTCGATGTGTATTTGTGAATACAATAAGAGAACACGCTAACCTATTTATTTCATGAATATTTTATGTGAGAATGACGATTTTGTTGCGGTTCTAATTGGATTTTGACGATGCAGTAAGGAATGAAGGAAAATACCAAAACAAATGCCTCGAAAACTTCAAATAGGATGACATACACAGACAAAATGAGTGAACTGTTCGTCCATATCATATGTTAACTAATTCTGTCAACTGAGTTTCATAAGTTAAAACATAGTTCCTAATTTACTGACGTCTTTTTTGAAGTCACCGAGAAATCATGACGAGATAGATGGTGATGATGATGATGTCTAGTTATGATCATGAACTGTACATATAAAATCTCCAGAGTCGATAGCTCTTATAATAAATAAAATTGACGAGTCAGAACTTTACCGACAACTTGTTCATAAGAACAAGAACAGATGTCACAAACAGCACGTGCACACTTTTCATGTATGATGTCAAAATTTTCTGTCTCGCAATATGTTAGTATGATAAATAACATACTGTAATGTTTTTGTTTGTTAATTATGAGAATGAAGCTTTATAAGTGAGTTTTACCAAAAGTAGAACGATTTTGATCTTCTTCGCGCATGCTTACAATCTCCTCAGTGCGAATTATTCCCTAATAGGACAAGAAGCTTACATCAATAATTATCATGAAAACTGTTCGGATAAACCTTGCTGTTCTACTGCGATTGAGCTACGACGCTCAATTGAAGAGAATTACACTGAATTTTACAAATTGCAAAACACGAAAGAATTGTGCACAAATAGGATATGTTCATCAAATTCGAATATTTTCCACTTTATTTCTTTTTGTTTGTTGAAACATTTTGAATCGAAGTAAAATTCAATCAAGAAGACATTAAACGCGAAAAAGAAAATGTTCAATAAAACAAATTTTCCGGTCACATGAACCATCTTGAAGGATCTGAAATAATTCATGCAGAATAAATCAACCCAAAATAAACAAATCCCGGCAACTCTCCATGATAATATCCAAACGATGATATTTAGTCATCTTATTCAACGTTAAATGATTAATCATATTTTTATGTTAAAGTATGAACCTGTTCATTCCTCAGATTGCGATTCGATGTTACATATGCTAACGATGATATCGTATGTAATGGTATAAGTCCATCAACAATTGTTCGTCGTCTTGATAAACGTTCCGACGGTATGCGATAGACACGCATACCTGTTAATGTAACTGAATGTGGTGAACTGACTTCAACGTATGGTGTCGAACGTGTACATTCAATAATTTGTGGATAAAAATCTTCTTTTAGAAAGCTATATAAAAATGGTATACATGAAAGACACACAGAAATCGTAAGACATGATATTAAACATGTCAGAATAATTAACCAATCCGTTCGATTCACCTTGGTTTGCTCGTTACATTCGTAACCGGAATAGCTCGATTGACAGAGACAAAATTCATACCAACTGATAAGAAAATCGTCTACATGAACACATTCGCCATGAAAACACGTTTCATTGGCAATACATGGGATATTGAAGTATGGAATACGCATCATGAACGATACAGTTGTTCAAGCGCCAAAACAGCCTGTGTTTTTTTTGTATTCTTATTAGACGAGCTTTGTTTTTTTTAAATTGCTGTGATACAGACATATATATATAAAAACGAGAGCGAAGAAGAAAAAAAAGGAGAAAGAAACATCGACAAACAAACAACAATAATAATAGAGAAGCAAACGAACTTTTGTATTTTGGTTTTATGTCTCTCGTAGGAAAGAGAAGAAAAAAGATGGTAAGTGATGGACAAGAAGATGAAGATCAAGAAGAAAGATAATAGTCAATATAAAAAACTATACATGATGTGACAATTAGAAGAACAACAAGACAAGAAATGAATCAAAGGACAAATACAACTTACATAATACAAACAGAGATACATAGAAGAATAAAACTGAATGAAGATAACCTTAATGAACCCTGAGATTTCACCGTTGAAATATTCGTGCGAGTATATTCAATATTTTGTTCTTAATTTCATTGTCTTCGTACTGGTATTGCTGTTGTTGTTGTTGTTGTTGTTGAAGTTTTCGAATTATCATTTGTCGATGGGTTCAATTCAAATTCGACTAAGAGCGAAAAGTGATCCGATGGAACATTCGGATGTGGACAACCGACTATTTTATTTGTTTGAAGCCATTCAGGATCAAGTGGTCCCAAGACGCCGAGAACACGCATTAACTGTGTCGAGAAAAAGACATAATCAATGATTCCTTTGAAATCATACCTAGAACGAATCAGGAGAAATCGAGTCTATCTATCGTTTTTCATAGTGAACTACTTACGTAAAGTTAGTATAAGGCATAATTGGATCTGCTGTCGTTTCATAAGCTGATTGCAATTTGAAATGGTGCACAATGTCATTACTTGGTGTCGGATTTCCATCGACACGACTATATCTTTGTAAGTATGTTTCATAACTAAGATCTTTGAAATCAGCATGAGTCATTGATATTTTTCCACTACGCATTAATTCAATGACGCCTTATAGTTGAAAAAAAACAAGAACAGCATCAAACAAATGACAAGAATATGTGCAAACGTTCATTCTACCTGATCCTGGTAAGGAATTGAAATCTCCGCAAAGAACCAATGGGACTGTTGAACAGTCAATTGACATACTCGAATTAGGTCGATGTTTTTGTATCGCATCTTCTATAATCGTTTTCAGTTCTGATAACAACATGAGGGTTTGAACAACTTTCACATCACAATATTCAGGATCCCAATGGATATGTGCTGTACATACGAATAACATTTGTTTATGATCCGTTGGTAGTACACCTTTGATAGAAAACAGATGATAAAGAATTCGCAACTATTTTTCTTATTACCATTTGAAAATGTATGAGAATAAATCTCTTCTTTCGTTTCGAGAAATGCAACAAGACCAATATTATCTTTCGTCATCACACGATTCATCATATCGTGACAGGCTGTACCATTAGCAGCAGACATAGCCAACTGGTTAAACTCCACAAGATAATGTTTGATTAAACGAAATCTAATTAAAAGTGAATAGAAAAGAAATGAAGATTCAATATTGAATGAAACATACTTCGATTGTCGATAAAATATTGCACATCCATCGACATATCGGCGATCTTGCTCACACATGGTCTTGGCACGAGATTTAGGACTAAAGACACCATCGTAGCCATGTTTTTGTAATTCTGGCAAGAAAAATGAATGGAATTGGTCAGTTTCCATTTCCTAAAATGCAAATGAGTGCATTTTGTTCCTGAAATCTATTCCATTTGATGACATCTTAACAAAAACAAATCTCTTGCTTGTTCTTTAACTAGCGGAAAAGCTATTATAGACTCGTAAACCGTAAACAAAGAAAATAGCGCATTAAAGTCATTAGTAAAGCTAAGAACAATCGTGACTTTCCAAATGATAGAATTCTCGTGTTCCGTATGATTTAATTTTCATAATCGAACGTTAATTTCACCGACCTGGAGCGCAATGATATCAGCTGAATATGACCGTAATTCTTCGAGAATATGTTTACGACGATAATCCCATTTCAACGCCCAGGATGGACAGTAACCATATACATGTCTCGTCGCATATTTATCACAAAGAATATTGTAATTCATTATTGTAAATATTGCTGTCGGTTGAGTGGCATTCGGGGATGCAAGTCGAATCCATGACCGTGCCGGTGGTGGTTGGATAGCTAAAAAATAAAAACCCGTTATTATACCGCTTCTCATTCAAAGGATTTCGAAGAAAGAGAGAAAAACAAAAATCGTCAAGAGTTTCATCTCACACTCTCGATTCAAGTATTGCGAATAGTAGAAGTACAAATAACTGTAGTAATAGTACAATTGTAGCCATGATAGGTAATAAAAATCGTAGTAAAACGGTATAAATAATGTTTGATAATAATGATATTCGATAGTATAGTCGATATTTTGACCTGTTAGATCAATACTGAAATTTATAAGTGAAGCATTTCGACGTTGTTTACGAGTTTTAGTGCGAGACTGGGTTTTAATTCGTTTAATTGAATAATTATCAAAAGAGGATTTTTTTGTGGAACGTCGAGGGCGCTTACGATAAGGAAGATTTTCTTTGTCACAGCAGCAGCAACAGCAACAACAACAACGACAGAAACTTAAATTATTATTAGTATCCGATGATGATGAGGAGGACGAGGATGACAATGACGCTAATGATCCTCTATGCACCGGTACGATTGGAGTATTATTTACAATAGAAAATGAGAATGCCGTCTGATGATCACTGTACAAAAGCATCGATGGCAGTGAGTATGATTGGTAAACATTGGAAGTTGCGTGTTCAAAGCTGATTTTACTACACCGAAGAAAACAAAAGATCATTCGAATAGATTTTTGATAAAATGAGAGACTTTACTTTGATAGAAGTTGTGTCTGATGATGAGAATAGAAAACTGGTGATAAAGGATTTAATATTGTCCTTAGTGAACGAGTATTATCAGATAAAACGTTGTTTTTTTGTTCGATTGGAACATGAAAGACTCTTGAGCTCGAAATTTTCTCATGAAGTTTTTGTTTAGTCGTTCGAAAGAGAGATGCGCTTGTTGAACATTCGTTGGTACACGACGAAAATATATGTTTACAGGAGACAGTGACACGACGAGATTCCGTAATGGAACACATACGACTAAAAGAAAAACATCAAGTTATTTATGTTCACTTGGAGAATAAAAAATATCGTCCATATATTTAATGGTCCAACGGGAAGAAAAATGAATATATTAACCGGTGTATTAATAGAGCTACGATTATTCATCGAAGAACGAAGGCGGAGAAGAAAATGACGACAGCAGAAAAAAAACAAAATCTTCATTTGTTGTTTTTGTTCAATATGATAGCAGAAAGAGAAAAACTCGACGAACGTCGTTGCCGTCGCCATTATCACTCTTCCGCCTCCAGATCGTACTCGTTCTGTTCTTCTTTTATTTTCCTCTTGTCAGACGAATGATGAGTATAGCTGCATATTTTCTCTGTCAACCTTAATTCTATCGAGCAACTTGAATAAGACGACAACAACAATTTTCTGAATGCTAAAGTGGTATTATACTAATTCGTCGAAAGAAATGACAGAGCCTTACGCTTGCTTTCAACAAAATGATGACGATAAAAGATATCTAATTATGTATTGCTTTCTGATTACTACAAAACATCTGAACTAAATATTTTTTTTTCGCACGAACGATCAAGCAGGCTATTTTCGTTAGAGAAAAAGTGACTGTGTAATCACTCACTTGTTTAAATACATTCCAGCCCATAACGGATGTACTCCCACCTATACACTAAAAGTTCAAAACTAAAAGAGAACAATGAACGAAGAAACTCTTGACGATCGTTGAATAAGAGAAAGAGAAGCGATATCTTTGTGTGTTATACCATTGAGTGATGAAGGAAGACTATCCAGAAAATATGTTAATAGCTTTTGTAGGCCATTTGATTCGGTATAGATTGTATAAACCTCTGCGGGTAATGGATTTCCCATCAATCCTTAAATAGAATCAGTATGATTCAAAATCAATAGAGATATCTTCAAGAATTTACCTAGACTTTGTAAACGAAACAATTTCCCTAATTCGTACGGTAAGTTTCGAATAGAATTATTGGTCAAATTCAATTCACGTAATGATATTAATTCACCTAGACAAGACAACATATCTTTCGTAAAGTAGATGAGAGAAGAAAAATGATTGACATACCGATTTCTGATGGTAAATTTCTCAGCTTGTTATTTGATAGATCGAGAGTGACTAGATTTGTTAAACATGCAATTTCCGACGGTAAACGAGTTAGTTGATTATCGTTTAAATATAAAACCGTCAATTGCGATAATGTCCATAAGATCGGTGATAAATTGCGAACATTGCCGGTGACTTCCAATTCGTTCCCTTAGAACAAGAATCTTTCAATGTTGCTCCAAAGGCATTCCATATTCTTACAGTCACATTTCTTCGTACCGTTTGATGATGTTGAAGATTTTTGTTGGTGATCGCTTTGCAGGGACAATTGAGATTGATACGAATAGAAAGTCGATTGTTCAATCGATTGGTAGTAGTATTGTTGAGGTGGATGAATACGTTGAGAGTAAGATGTTGTATCGTCAACGGATAAAGAAGAATGCTAGAGGGTACGGATGATGATTGAATTTCAATAGATGAATTACTTACATAATTCAAACTGACACCAGGCATTTGAATTGATGGAACAAAAACATACAGTTCTAGAGTAGGAATGTTTGAAATAACACATGCATATGTGAAATAAACTGTGAGATAACTTTCTTTCTCCTGTTATGAACTCCTTTGGCAAACTACATACGTGACAGAATCGATTATTAGTTTTATTAATGCTATTTCAGGAATTGCTAATAAAAGTTTAAATGAAACATTAGATTATAGCGCATGATTTAGTGCAGGTTATGATTCATTTAAATACATACCAAAAAGATAAATTGGATTAAGTAATTATAAAAAATAAAACTTCAACAAAAATAATCTAGAACGAAGAATAACGAACGTATTCGACATTGTTACATATGGATATTATTAATATGATATCGAACTATGTCAAGAATCTCATCTGTATGGTAATAGGTTATTTATGTATTTCGAATATCATAAAAAAAGATATATCGAATGATATTGGTGGCCATCGGATCTATTTATCTGAAACAAAGTAAGAAAAGATATCATAGTTTTCCTTTTCGTGAAATCATTGATCAGAAAGAGAAATCCAGCCTTATGGAAATATGAATTTATTCTACAAGGATTCTAAAAAACGCAAAAATGGGACAGATGGAGACTGAAGTCTAATGTTCTGATTTTCTCTTTAAATCTGCCATTGACCGGCATTAATATCTAAACGTTGACTTGATGGACGAGCGAGTCCATAATAATCAAGTACATGTGGTCGATCCGGGAAATAGGTGCGCGATTTGAAGATTTTGCTGCCAAACCAAGTACCAACTTCCCATCCCGGAACATCACTCATCAATTTGGCTTCTTCGTCACGATTAGCACGGTATTGTCGTAGCGTGATACGATCCTGCTCAGCTAATAGAACAGGTTCTATACATGAACGACTTTCATCCATTTCCATTTCTGAAGATGAAGTCAAAATAGAAAGGATTTGTTTTTCATGTCGAAAGAATCTTCACTTACCATTTTTCCAATATTCGCGTTTTTCGGATAGGTGATAAAAATATCCGAATATGTTCGATGCTAACCATAGAGAAACAAATGGCCATAACGGAATACGACGTGAAGGAACGCGTGTCCATGGTATAGGCGTAAAGCCACCACGAGGTGGTAGTTCTTGTCGATAGACAGCAACTTTAGAAAAGCCTGTCATGATCTAGAAAAATGAATAAGAAAAAAGAGAATATGTTGACGATTTTCTCTAATGTAAGTAACATTATTCCAGTACTTTGCTTCGATGTATCAGGTGTGTTTTTTGTTTGGATGATTTTTACCAATGAAATCTAAAGAAAATTTATTTATGTATATTTTCATTCAATAAACTAATTGATTGTTTTCTTCAGATTTTTCGACGATTATTTTGATTTCAACAAAGAAAACGGTATAAGCGACATCTATAATGGAACGGTCGAATAGGGATGGAAAAATTCATAAACGACTATGTCGGATATATATTTTTTGTTCTGTGTGAAGCATTACGGTACTGACTGCGTAAGCGTAAGACATTTCCCTTCGAGGAGACTTGACTTGATTGTCATAGCATGTATCTTCAAATGCGGTATTTAACATCGAACATATATGTTTATTCTTAAATTACACATATAAATACAACATCAAAACCGTATATTTACATACAAAACAATATTACACATGAAGATATCACAAAAAAAGACGACTAAATAGGACTTGTTTCTCGCTGTGTCCAGAACTGTGTATTGATTTCGACTTTTGGTAGATAACGTTCAGATAAGAACGAATGTATTCGACTAGATGCTAATGCTTCTTTTGGTAAATGTTTTGTCCAGACCATGCGTTGCATAGAATAGAGTGTATTTGCTTCCAAAGCTTGTCGTTGATTGATTTCACACTAGACAGAAAAGCGATGAAAGATGTTTTGCTTTAGTTAATGTGAGCTTACACTGAGACGTTGATATTTTAAATTGGAATCTTCAACCCATTTGATAAACGAACGACCACTCCATCGATTTTTACCTCGTTTACCTAACTCTGTATTTGTATAATCATTGTTCAATAGTGTACCATGACGTTCTCGAACCGATGGGTCATTGTAGACTTCGTTATCTCGAAGTAGTGAACAATAACTCAAGGGTATCTCTTGATTGATTGATGAACGTGTTGCGTTTCCATACAAACGCAAGATTTCTTGTTCATGCGAAAGAATTAACTTCTCCTATGAAATCGAGCACAATGAAGTTTTTTTTTATTGGCTTAAGTCAGAAATTTTTACTCGTTCAACTTGATGTCTGAGTTTCATACGGTATCTTTCATCTTCTTGACGTACAAAAACATCTGACAGATGTTCATCCAGGTCCGACGGTGGATTAAAACGTCGAATACCAAGCGATGCAGGTGTTGTAATTGGAAACGATTTCAACGAAGGTGTTAAAAGATAATTCTTTTTCGCCATCAATGTCTCACTAAAATCCTTAGGAAACTTTGGAACAACGTAGTCATGCAGCATTGCTTCATGCCGTTTGTCAATCTAACGAGAAGAAAAAAACGAAGTAGATCAGTTACTGCTATGCGAAAGCAACTAATGTTCCAGATTTGACTTAAAAAGAGTCTGTTTCCTTTCTCGAACAATGAACTGTCACTATGTCAGAAACACAATACTAATGAGCAACATCACAGCTATTTTGAAAATAGTAAAATGACATACTTGTTGGCGGATGTTTAGGAATTGTTTAATACCATTTTTTGGTATGTCACGTGCAACTGTGGTTGTTTCTGTTGACATTGTACTTTCCGATGTCAAACCATTCACAGGAGAAAATCCATCGATAGAATTCAGTAGAATGGCATTTCTCTCACGTAGTCGTCGTTTATTTGGCGGTAATGATCCAACATCAGGGTGACTATGAACTTGTTTAAGCATTCTTGTTGAATTATTTCCTTCATCAATGCTTGCACAGGAATCTTCCATGCGGTCGATTTTTTCATTGAGATTTTCACTGATTTGATCATCGGAATTACTTGATGTTTCGGTGTTATTCGAACGTTCGGAGATGGTTTTCTTTCGTGAACGTTTTTCAGTGGAATCATCTCCAGATTTTTGATTTAGAATTCGTCTTCGATTCGATACAGGTCGTTTGCTATCATTAGACGATTGATTTGATGTATTTGCTTTGCCTCTCGCATGCGAGCGTAGTGTACGTGTCGTTAATTTTAAATGACCTTCCTTTTCTGCTGGAATCATTTGTTCATCGGTTGAAATCAATGCTAAGCTAGCTTGTTCTTCTATTTGCTCGATAATCTCTTGGATTAAATCTGATATGAGCAGCTCAGGTGATCGTGTTGACTCGTCATTTATATTTGACAAAGTTTTCTCTGGAGCCACCGTTTTAGTGTTAATATTATTACATTCAGTGGAACTAATGATAGTTGATAAAAATTTATCATTTTCTTCTATTATTGGCAGTGCATATGTTTCCATAGTCGAATCTTCATCCACCAGAGACAAGTTATTACTAAAATAAAGCAAAACACATTCAAGAGAACTCACGTTAATTAATCTATTTCTTTCAATCACAGTTCAGAGATTTCCTTCGCTTACTTCTTGTCTACACTAAGCAGACGACGACGAAGAAGAGAACAACAAAGAAGCAATCTTTTCTCCGGCCTCACGAATACGCGTAGACTATTACGCTCATGATTACTTAGAAATCCTACTTGACCTGTGTACTTGTGTTTCAACCTAACGGGAAAATGTACCTGCAAATGTGTCGAACAAAAACGAACAAATCAAAGTATAAAAAGAAACATCTACTGAAGAAAAAAAGGTTGGTTAGTTTAATTCAATCGATGTATTTGATTTGTTACAAATGGTAATAGACGCTTATTTATTCGGGTACACATTTTTTTCCTACGTTCGATTAATATCTATTCTTCTCTACTTGCGCACTCACTTCTACCAGCTGGATGTCGAACACATAAGGACGCGCATACATCGAGCTTTTTTTCTCTTCTGTTTTTATTGCGTTTGCGTCCTCTTTTCCTTTTCTTGTTCTTGACACAATTTTTTTCCTCCCCTTCCAGTCTAGCTTCATTCTATTACTAGCTTTTCATATATCTGTATGCGAGTCAATTTAAACTGACAATGCTGGTTTTTAATACATAAAAAATATGATGTCGGCGTTCAGTTTTCTTTGTCAAAATATAAATGTTAAATAATAAAACATGACTAGTTCGACATTTGAATTCAACGGAAATACGCAAGCAAAAGAAGAACTAATTTCACTCATGATTAAAATTTCCACGTCGAATGTCGTTTTGTATCCATTTGAATATGAGGTCGATTTTGTTACTGCAAAGATGCTAACTCCAGGAAAAACGTTCTCTATGTCACGATAAAATCCAGATGAGCAATGTCTTTTTAACCTTACATTAGAAAAGAACAAGAAAAGCGCTTTTGCACGGTTTATTCTTCATATTTCAATAGATCTACACTGTCAAGCTCACATTAATTTTCTACACAAACATTTTCTCGTGTTTGTATAGAAGTCAAATAGGATGTACTTGAAAATTGTTTTCGCTTCATTATTTTATCTTTCCACTATTGTTTATCATCGGTCTCACCTCTTCTTCTACAAAAATTTTCAATCCTTCGACATAATGACACAGTAATGTCCATCTGTAATCTACCAGAAAATCACACACAGTTGGTATTCTATGTATAACAATGTAGATAACTATTGTAGGAAAAATATAGTCGAACCAAGCTCTGTAATGGAAGCGAGAGAAAAGACAATATCAATTAAAAGAGTTAGTGTGCTACACTTCCTGTTTTTCTTCATTTTAATAAAAAATTCAATGCCAAAAAGAAAGAACACCTTTGAAGATCATGCAAAGTACTCCTCTGCTGTTCGTATGTGATATTTAACTCCGTCAAAAAGTGTTATTTGTAATAGAATCTTGATTTGAATTCATAAGGAAGAGGAAGTTTTCTCAAAAAGACTTGGGTAATCACAGTCTAGGTCGTGTTGTTCGCATTCGCTGCGAGCTTAGTGAAAGATAATTAGGGAAAAGAACAGTATTTACCTTTCCGTAGCGAGATTTTTGTTTATTACTGTTCGAGCTAGGACGATTTTCAATGGTGGAACGCGATAAATATGTTGAATAAGTTCATCATTTGATAGTGATTGGTCAATAGAGAAATTTGGTTGAGGTTTCAGATCGATACTGTCATTTGATATGCCACTGATAGTTCGCTGTTTTGGATTGCGTATGGTTTCTTCATCATCACTTTCGAAATCGTATGGATTTTTTCTCGAAAAGTCGCTGTCCATAGTCGATGTTTTGTTGTTTAAAAATGAATCGGATGAATGATCTGGATCAGATTGAAACGGCTAATAGAAATGCGAAGAAAAGAAAACATGAGAGAAATCTAATTCGGTAGACTCACTTTCTTTTGTGTAGCTTTCGGTGAAAGTAAGGTATTTCTCTCAATCTTGTCTTCATCATGCTCTGAATCATCCACACTTGTGATCGGCGATGATAAACTTAATGATTCGTTATCTGATAAATCAAATGTATTTGTTTCTCGTTTCAGCGTTTTCAACATAGTTTCATTAACATTAGTTAAATCAATTACTGACGGATCTGCAGAATAATTTAACAATAATTCCACCATCTATTCAATTTCGAAAATAAGAACAAAGAGGAAAAACATTTCGACAATACCATGAGATTATTGTTGAGTACGGCATCGATGAGCGGCGTTTGCCCTTCTGAACCTGGTGCATTGGAATTTGCGCCAGATTTGAGAAGTAAGCTCGCTGCTTTCAACTGATTCTTTGTCACAGCTAGAAGAAAACGTACAATCAAACGATAGAATTTAATTGAAACACGAATACCTTCATGTAATGGTGTCCATCCTGAAAATCGAAAAGCATGAGATTTGAACAAATCTTTCTGAAATTTGCTTTTTCTTACCAGCATTGTCTTCTTCGTTGACATTCGCTCCATCGTGTAATGCTTTTTTCAACTGTTTTAAATCACCTTTTCGTGCAGCAATATGTAGAATTATTTCTCCGTGTTCATTTCGACGATGAATTTTTGTTGGACGTTGTTGAGTTGTTACCGCATTTGGTGTTGGCGAGCTACCTAAATTTTTTTTTTATAAATAAACATAGCTGACTAGCGAAGTCATCTAGCATATCGCATACTGTTTGATTCGTCACCGGCTGTTAATTGTTTCAAAACAGCTAACTGTTGACGTTCGCTAACAATCGGGCGATGTGATGTTAAATCTGATGGTGCAGAGTTACGTTGTTTATTTCCAGAAGGATCACTGGAATTTGAATGTTCATCATTATCATCTTCGGATTGATGACACGATTCAGATGTTAGTAAACGTCGTTTTCTTCCCGGTACTGTTGCTGGCGTCGTCGTCATTCTGGTAAGAGAATATGCCTCTCATAAAATTGTTCATAGTCGTCTTAGTGAGTCATCCTCAAACGCCTCAGTCAGACATACTATACTATGCTTCGGCTTCATCATTAGTTTATTGCTACTCACGGAAAAGATGTCGCTATTGTATTGAAACATTCATATCTTTAATCATAAGAATACGAAAGTTAGAAAGCCTGCTAGAATTAGTTCGCATATAGATTGGAATACTACTATCGAACAGGTGTTTGAATAATTGATTTTATGCAGTTTTTGATGGATTTGAACCCATAAATATCGAATTGTGTATTGGGTGAGTATTTGTGAATGAACTACTCAACCGCATACAGTACATCCATAAGTATAGCAGTTGATGAAATTTTTGTCTGAGAAATCAAAAACTCCCAAGTACAGTATATTGGCTACGCTATTGGCACATACAGCAGAAATGCATAGCAGGTGATGCTATTTATGGTTATGGGTCAGTGACACAGCATTGATATAGCTGCAAGTTATAATGGTTGACTCAACTTGCCAGTAGTGTGATGCAACTGAGACTAGTCTTCGCATATACACCTGGGAAAACGATTGATTGTAAAACAAATTATGTAATCGTTGCTAAACTCTATCCATCATACTTTTCAAGGTTCCGTAGACTCGTAGAGAATAAATCAAGATGCATAGAAAACAGTTAGTACACATCTTTCTCGCATTTATCAAAGCAAAAATGAAGTATAATTTCCCTGATGTTTTATAACCAGTCAAGATTATCGTTTAGTAGATCGCACGACAATACCGAGTGTCTGTTAGACAGCAAACAATACTTTTCTCTTGATTGGAGATTAGGGAAGAACGATTTATTTTTCGTCTCATTCTCAATTATAATAACCAATCTATATTGCCTATTGACCGACGTAGTAAAAGCATCAGCATCCATCCATTTGCTAATATTATTCCAATTGGTTGGTAATATTCGTCAAATGAGCCTTTCTATCAGATGTCACTTTGCGAGAAGTCCTTCTTGTCTACCAATCAGTCAAAGTTTTTTTTGTCGACTTAACACATTATTTTATCATCACCAATCTTCGAGCTGTGATATTGACACGTTGAACGAGAAAATCATGCGTGGTAATCAGCAAACGACCTCGTTAGAAAGTGGTCTGCCAACTGTTGGATCGATTGTATTGATTTTATTCGAGTTTTTTTTCTGTTGATGAAAGGAAGTATTCATTCAGGTTTGGGCTGCTGGTCGTACTCGAGCACAACAAGCTTTCAATCTTTACGCTAATCTTGACTATCTCCGTCCATATTTCGATGTAGAACCGAAAGATGTTATTCAACGGTATGTTAAACAAGGAGTACAAAGGATTTATCTGCACTCTCTCACTTTCTTTTCATACAGGTTGATTCGTTCATTGGTACCTCGTGGTTCGTCACGCGAAGAAGTAAATTGTATAGTTATTTGACTTGAAATTCATTATTTATTTAGAATATCAAACCGGAATTGTATGGACCTTCGATGATTGCGTTTACTCTGGCAGCTATCTTGATCTATCAGATGAAACTATCAAGTCATTCCGTGGTAAAATAGAATAACCTTATCAAGATGAAATTATTTGTCGATCTTTTGTAGCAAGACGGTACATTAATCGGAACAAGTTTTCTTGTTTGTTTTGGTTATTGGATTGGTTCGAGTTTTGCTATATCATCATTTTCCTATGTCTGTAATACACAACTTAGTCTCATGCAAATTCTTAGTATTAATGTTTGTTGAGAGCTACATGAACGTATGGCATGTTTTTATATTGTATCGATCTGCTTTAGGGTTATGCGCTTTTCGGTCATTGTTTGGTTTTATTCTTAGCAACGTTTATTCATACCAGTCATGATCATTTCTTGTTCTATGGTCTTTGGCTTGTGGTAGGCGGTCTAGCTGCCATTCGAATGGTAAGAGACTTGAATGCCTGTTAATATGGTGAGAATTAAGTTCATTTAAAGGCAATGGTTATCACATCTCGAACGATTAATCCACAATATCGTGTTCTTCTTGGTCTTCTCATCATTTTCGTTCATATGGCCTTCTTACTTTATCTACATTTTGCTTACCATCAATTAGCTGAAAGTAAATTTTCTTGTGAACGAACGATTACGTTGCATTTCTCCATATCTACTATAGATGTGGCTCATGCTTTAAATAATGAACCAACTGCGGCAGTTAAATTACCAGTCAAGCCGACTATATCCATCGTTGCGGAAATACCATCTGTCAAAAGTAACTACTCACGACTTGATATCCATCTACGTCTAGTTTTTCTTAGATTTGACTCGACAGATACGCAGTAATTTCAAGAATTCCAGTAAAATCATATCAACAACAACATTAAACATGACTGCTAAAGCTTAGATGGACATTGTTTTAATAACTTATAACAAAATCCAATCTCGTTTCTTTTCCGTTTTTTTTCTTTCCTATTAATCTTATTAAATTATCACATTTGGACACGCCTATTTGTTTTCTTTTCGGAAATTGACTACAAATTTAAAAAATGTATTTAACATTTCATTTAGATCATCTATCATGCGTCTCTATTGTCTCTCAGATGATCCCAATTTGCCCTGTTTCATTCTCACCGTCAACGGTCGCTCCATACTATTCGACTTTCCACTACCGATGGATCATCTACTTGATTATCTACCTGTTCCATCACCAGGTTGTTTCAATCGATTTTCATCATTACCAAAATATACACTATTATCACATAATAAAGAAAACAATCTTCCACAACAGATCGATGAGCTACGCATCTTGCACAATCAAGTATATGTTTCATCTCCCATTGAGTTTTATACATTAGATTCTAGTCAATACGATTTCTCATTAATCGATATCATTCTCATTTCGAACTACGAGACGTTGCTGGGTTTACCCTACTTATTTAAGAAATATGAACATTTAAACGCTCAAATCTATTTAACTGAACCGACTTATCGCTTTGGTCAACAGTTAATGTACGAATTAGTCAACTACGTTGAGCAACAATCAAAAATGATCCAAGTTAATAATCAATGGAGATCTGATTTAGAAATCTTCGATGCAATCGAAGGACAACAGAATGAGAAGAAATTAAAAATTCTAGCGTATGCACAAAAACTAATGCCGTGTTATTCTATCGAAGACGTTGACAAATGTCTCAGTCGTGCAACTGTAGTACATTTCAATGAACAAATCGATTTATATAGCTCAATACGAGCAAGTGCAATCAGTTCAGGATACTGTCTAGGTAAAACTTTACATTCTATTCTCGTAGTTTAACTATGATCAATAAATTGGTACATTTTATTTTAGGCAGTTGTAATTGGCAACTGGATATCAATGTGAATCATAATCAAACATCGAAAATAGAAGGTTCGTCATCTCAGACTAATCTCGCACGTTTTATCTACATGTCGTCGAGTACAACTTTGGAAACGCATTCTTCGAAATTTATGTACGATTCATTTCTCAATTGTGATTATTTACTTCTTTCGAATCTGTCTCGTCTATCATCTGTTGATCCGAGCGTTAACGCCAGTGAATTGACCAGTAAAATCGAAACTATTCTCAATGATCACGGCAGTGTTTTACTTCCTTGTTCATCGACTGGTCTTATCTACGATATGTTTGAATTTTTGACGAAATTTTTCGAACAAATCAACCTTTTAAGTATTCACATGTATTTCATCTCACCGATTAGTAATGCTAATCTTTCGATTTCGAATGCCATGTCGGAATGGGTGTCCGAGCAACGGCAGACAGCGTCATTTAGTGGCACACCGCCATTTAAACATAATGAATTAATCAAAACAAAGTGTTTAATCACAATTCCATCCGATCGCCTAGATGATACGGAAAATTTGAATAGTTTCGAACAACGATGCGTGATTTTCACTGGACATACATCATTACGCTTTGGTCCAGTCGTTCAATTAATTGAAAAACTGAAAAGTTCGTCATCTAATGGCATTATTTTTGTTGATAATCAATTTTCTTACATCGAAGCAATGAAACCATTCCAACCGATGAACATGAAATGTTTCTATTTACCCATTGAGACGCGTTTGAATTTTTCTCAAGCAAATATTCTATTAAATGACAAAATCCGACCTAAATCAGTCATTTTACATGAACGATACGCGAATGAGATCAACAAAAACGACAAAATGAATCTTCTAACCTATCGAAAGTATGATAATCTCAAATTACCCAAAGCGAACCGTTCTTTTATCAATGGCCAGTTGAATATCACAGGCGAAATGAAGTCCAAATACATTCCATCGGCAAATCTAGCCATCGCTAGTGTTCATGGCCATTTAGACATGTGCGATTATGTGTACGAGATCAATGAACTAAATGATGAGAATGGAAAAGAGAAGAATTTGATTACCTATGGAAAAATCGATATTGACAAATTCTTAATCAATCTTTCTAAAAGCGGATTATTTGGTTTAGAAGTGAAGCAACTTCCAGGCTATGATGATCTTGACGATGATGTCGTTGGCAATGATCAATCGAATCGGTCGGTGGAGATCAAATATAATCACGGTGCAGCAAAGATTCTCCTTCGACTAAAACAAACAGATATCGAATGTAATGATCCAGTGCTAATGACGAAAATTCGAGATGCTTTATTAATGGATAATATTGGAACATTGTGAATAGAATTTTTTTGTTGTTATTTTATAAAATAAAGAGAAAATCTTTCGCCGAGATGATGCTGATGGTGTCACGTCATTAATGTCTTATATTTTTCTTTCATCTGTATGCTATTCGATTATGCATCGTTTGTTTATACAATAAAATAAAACAGATGCTTTTGAGACATTGTTTGGCTTTCGAAGCATTCAAACATGTTCTTCATCAGATGAAGGTATGACATCGCGTTGTTGTTCGTTAATTTATTGAAAGAACATCGTTACCACGCATCAACAATGTCAACAAAAAATTTTATTTTCAGTTCGTGAAAGTAAATTTGAAAAAAAAAGAGAAAAGAAACTTTGCATATTTTATATGGAAAAGAACATTTGAAGATAGAGACATGTCAACGGCATACCCACGTGAGATTTTCAAATTTTGATGGGAAAGTTTCACATTGTAGTTGAATTTTCTTCTAGGTAATAACTCGTTTGGCATGGATGACGACGAACTATTACAAACGAATACTTATCGCAATTCATTTCTGAATGATGATCTCGACAATGGAGAAAATTTCGAGCATAGTAATTCGACACTTCACCATTCAGGAGTTGCACTTGACAAAACTCGATCGTCGTTGTATCAAACAGGACAGCAACCTGAAAAAAGTCGATTGTCTCTGAATCCAGACGGATCATTTCCTGAGAAAACTCGTTCAACATTACTTCCGACATCGAATAATAACTCTGAGGTTAACATTCAGACTAATAATGCAACCGAACCACATGAACATCGCCATCGCCACCAACATCATCATCATAAGCATGCACACCATCATCATGATCATGAACATCATCACCATCAACATACACATGAACACGTCCATGAACAGGAACCTCACGAACATATACACCATCATCACCACCATGAACCTGAACCTCATGAGCACGTACATCATGTTCATGATCATGATCATCACCATCACGGACATGATCATCAACATCATCATGAACATACAACATCGCTACCTCCAATCCATAATCATCAACTTTCCGACACTCCGTCGGCTCTGACGATTCGTCGACACACTCCCGGTGTGACCGACCCAACATTATACAATTTTCCTGTGAGTTATTCACCAGAACGCATATATTCCACCCCGGTACATAATGTTTCATTGCCACCAAATGTACATGTTACCGTCAGACGCAATATTCCTCAAGCAGAGCACACCCTTATTCAGCCTATTCTTTATCCAGTGGCTATCTATCATAATTCATCGGCTCCTCAACAACGAAAAGAATCGCCTAAACCACGCACGCCGAAACGAACTCGACCAGAGCCAAAACCACCGACTCCAAAGCCACCGACACCAAAGCCCAGAACACCTATGAGGACTTCTCCCATCCCTCCAGTCTCTCCAGCGAGACGCACACCACCACCACCACCACCACCACCACCTAAGCCACGGCCACCAGTGAAGTCTCCAGTGAAATCTCCAATAAAGCCTGCGCCCAAACCACGACCACTGCCTGTATCACCAGTTCAACCTGAACCAGAGCCAAGTCCTGTGCCACCACCACCACCACCAAAAGCTAAGAATGTATTATTTCGAAAACCTATTCGTACTGACGATGTACAGTCAACTGTACAACGAATCAGCAAAACACAAATAATATCGCCGAGACGAACCACTCGAGTAGTTGTTCAAGAACCTCCTGGGTATAGTCAGTCTTATCGACGATCTTCTGTCTATCCAACTGCTCGACGAACAGTTTCATATCGAACAGTGCCTGGTATGACAACGCGAGAAATGGAAAATGAAGAGATGGATGATACTGGAGCTCCTATATATGTACAAACACCACGAGTACAAACTGTTACTTTTCGAACTTGATCTCTTCTCGCTTTCTCTTTGTGTCAGTGAAATAATATCAACATGGTTTCAACAATAGAGAAATCATCAATTGAATATGTAAAACTATTTATTCATAATCATCATAATCATCGTAAAAAGCGTTTGAGGCTAGTTTCGATGAGGATATTCTGTTCTTTCTCATTTTTATTCGCCGATCAGCAGCATTATTATGGTCATCATATATATTTTCTCTTAGTAACTCTCCTGCTGTAGCTTCGTTTGACTTGACAATAGTAGACGGAGTTGCCGACGTTTGACGAGGTTCAGCCATTACAGTACGACGAGTGACAGATACTTGTTCATGACGATTAGTTGGCATTGGTGGGACTGTCTTGTTTTCGATTGTTTGCAATCCGTTCGTTTTTTTCAATTTTTGATTCGTTTCAGTGGAAGATTTTTCAGTTGTTTTCTTTGTTTCAGTTGTTGATGTTACCTAGAACGAGCAAAAGCGATTCATGTACACATTAGCTGATCGCCGACAGGTACTGTATTGCCTTACATCTACTTTTTCTGCCACAGTTGGTAAATTTTCATTGGAATCCGTGAGTATCGATTGTAGAAAGTAGAATTCTGGTCGTGGCGGTGCAACTGACTGTTGGCTTACTTCGACTCGTGTTTCAGGTTTTTTGACTTCATGTTTGACGGATTTAACTTCTACAGGTTTTGTCGTTTGCTCAGATTTGACAATTTGTTCATTATTGGACAATCCGTATCCTTGCATATGCAGTTGTTCATTAACATCTGCGAAATATTGTGGATACAAGTAGTACCCAAATGGTGTATAGACCAATCGCGGTTTTTTATGTGGAATTCGCTTTTTCGGATGCTCTTGTCGATATTTTTGTGTGTACAAACCGATTAGGATTAGTTGAAAACCGAGATAGAATGCAAACGCACAAACAACCACACCAGCTAATGTACCGGCGTTCGTGTTTGGATCGGGATATTCTTTAAAACAGAACAGTACCATTGCGAAGAATAGATTCAACAAAATCATTTTACTTTGACTATAGAAAACAGCAGTCATCAATAAAAAGACACCTGCTAAAAGTGTGAAGACACCCATGCCAATGTAAAATATATATGTACCCACACGATTTAACCCAAAAGGACCTGCATAAGAATCTTCATCGTAGACAATTGGCTATATTCGAATAAGAGAATGAAGCGAGAGTGGAAATTGTGTTTGTCAAGTCTTACTCCGATAGCAACGATTCCTTTACTATTGAATAAGGTTCCTGTTTTCCAATATCCACTTGTTGGCTGAACATCTTCGACGGGTTTTGGTGCTTTTTGTGGTGGTTGTTGTTTCTTGAGCGGTTCTATATTTGTTGTTTGTAATTGATTCCTCCTAGGTAAATGTGTATTTTCATAGTTGGATTGCAGCTTATTTGTCTCTACTGGTGTATTATATTGATTAGGTACAGGATGTGTCGATGTACGAGTTGATTGCTTAGTGAAATTATAGTTATCATGAGTGATTGATCTCGGTATATTTTGTCCGACTGGATCACGTAGGATGTTTCTATCTCTTCGTGATTGAACTGAATCGGTAATGTTAGTATCGGGCAAGCCGCGATTTCTAATAACGTGAGGTTCTATAGTAGTTGATGGTGTTCGGGAAAACTGTTCGTAATTCGATGCAGCAGTGATTGATCTCGAGAATAAATCGTGCGTTGATGGGATGAGCACCGGATCTTCGACTCGACTGTCGATGTATTGAGGAGCAGATGGATCGAGAGACCGTGATCTGGATGTCATTTTGGGAGCGTGTATTGAAAATGAGCTAGAGTGGGCGATGTATGTTTTTCTTGTATGGAAAAGGAGAAAAAGAATGTGTTTTGTTGTCAACGAAAAATGGTTACTTTTATTCGGTTCTGTCATTAGAGATGGTTGATTTGTTGCAAAAGAAAAGATAAATGAAAGATTTTCGTTCTGTATGTTTTGAATGAATTCATTTCGAGTAAAGCAAATACGTTCCTCTTGTGCATTTTTTCTAAGATAAATATGAAATGTTGTAAAATTTCAAGTTTTAAAAATATATAGCGGAATGAAAAGAAAAATTCATATTATTCACAACATGTGTACACATTCAGATTGTATTATCAGACAGAACAAAGTCACGGGCGATTCGTCTGCCATTGATGGATACATATGGATTGTTTAAATCTTTTCATATAGAGCTCCGATGGAATAATACATATCACGAAAATGAATACCGATGGAGTAAATGAAATAAAATAAGCGGATAGGTATTTTCACACATGCAGGGAGTAGTGCAATGATTAGACAAGACGACGATCGAATAAGTAGAACTATAGGACTGATGATTAGTTGTTTCTGTTCAAATAGTTGTGCACGGGCATGTTCTTTGTATGTGTGGTGTTTCTGAATGTTTGATCGGTGTCGCGCGACACCAAAAAGAATAAATAGTACAGAACAATGGTTAGCAATAAATGGAACAACGAGATGAAAAAATAGAATAATTGTATTGTATTGTCAGACACTAAGAGGGTACTCAGTAATGCATTGCACCATTCGGAATACTGTACCCTCAGTATTTTCGTTCGCGTACATTTAATTCGATTCATTTCTGTTTGCTTCTAGTTGATAAATAACCGTCTTATGACAAAGCGGTTCGTGAATAATAGTGCCCGTGATATAGAATGGTAAAAAACTGTCGAGCTATCTATTTACTCTTCTGCTTATTGGCATGAGCTCCTTTGAAGACATGATACACTCGTTCAATCGAGATGCACCCATTGAGTAAATCAAACGATGATTCGAGAGAAATAATGAACAGTTTTCTTCATTTATAAAGTAAGGTTGGCGACAGGCAAAAGTGGAGCAAATTTTTTTTTGTTGATTTTTTTTATGTGATATGATGCAGTTTGATGCGCTGAATCCGAATATGTATAATTTAGTGACATAGAAAGTCGTCTTCGAGGAGAAATCTTCAAAATACTACAAAAACCGAGGTTTTCGAAAAATCAGGATTCTCACTCGAAATTTGACCGTATGGTTTTCAAAAAATATGTTTTACCTTTGGAAGTTTCTTCTCCTGATTCAGCATCAAAAACTGATTCTAGGACACTGCTTTTTAGCGGTTCGACTTATGTGTTTGTCATTGAGAAACATCAGTTTTGTTAATATGAGGACAAATTGAGTGCCTCTCATTAAAAATGCATCAACTCATTTTCTACTAAAGATATACATTTTTTTCTTTCATCGTTCGATTTCCTAGATGCCCTAGATATAATCTACGTATCCTTTTCCCTTAATCCACTTTCATTCCCAAGATTTCGTCGTTTTTTCCCACGTGTTCTATCGGAATTTTTTTTCTTTGATTTTTAACAGTATTTTCGCTTTAATTTCTTCTTTTTGAGCAACTTATATGTTTATAATGATAAAGATCTTTCTAATGACTATTTCTTTTGAATACTTATTGAAATATCCTTAAGGTGAACAGATACGCTGAGTTTATTTTCGTTGTGTTTGGAGTTCTTAATGTGGCGCGTCCTCTATTGGAATGATATGTGATGGAAAATTCCACTTCACTATACGTCTATTTGGTAGCCATTGATAAGTGTATTCGGCATGACAAGATCGAAAATAAGTATTAGGGAAAAAGCTAGAAAATCACTGTCAAGTTTCTTGCATTCTATCGTCGCAAAATCTTTCGGATCCCGTAACTTCATTCTTTCTGGTTATGCCTCAAAAATCGAAAAGAAGATCTCAATGAACCGCAGCTATAAAAAGTCGTTCGGCTAAGAAAAATGTTGACGAACTAGATGATGCTTTTGTTTCGGATACCCCGGCCGATCTGCATGACTCAAATGAAAATAATAAAGAAAAGATCTGTTTAAAGAACAATATGAGCGTTTTGGATATTGGAAACTTATTTGAGGCATTGTCGGAAGAGACTTCCATTCGGCCGCTATCCGTATTAGTTTGTTTATCATTCGTGTATTTCGGGATATCTTGGCGAGATATTGATTTATTTCTAAAAGCGATCGGTGGACTTACCGCGAAGACTTGCAAGAAATGGAGTACAGATATAATCGAACAAGACTTCGAAGAATTTCTGCAAGACAACAGAGGTAGTAAACACACCCACACCCTCACCTTCTAAGCTGTAGTTCTTATGTCTAGGTTTCAAAATTGAAAATACTTGCTAGTGACTATGGTGTAACAATAACTTTCTCGCCGAAATTTCACTGCGAGTTGAATCCAATAGAAGGACTATGGACGCATTTGAAGCAGTATATCAGATGTCGAACGGATCAAACCTTTCCTACAATGCTCAAGTTAATTCAAAAATCCAGAACGAATTTTCCTGAGAAAAATGTTTCTCTTAAACTTATCCGAAGATTCTGGCGTACTTTGATCGCATATGAACGTAGTGACTCATATGAAGATGTATTGAACCTGTATTTCAGTTCCATGTGCAAAGCTAACGCGATTTCACATCGTCAAATCACTAATGCCAGGCTAGATGACTGATTTTGTTATTTACCGTGTCTGTTCACCTTAAGGATATTTCAATAAGTATTCAAAAGAAATAGTCATTAGAAAGATCTTTATCATTATAAACATATAAGTTGCTCAAAAAGAAGAAATTAAAGCGAAAATACTGTTAAAAATCAAAGAAAAAAAATTCCGATAGAACACGTGGGAAAAAACGACGAAATCTTGGGAATGAAAGTGGATTAAGGGAAAAGGATACGTAGATTATATCTAGGGCATCTAGGAAATCGAACGATGAAAGAAAAAAATGTATATCTTTAGTAGAAAATGAGTTGATGCATTTTTAATGAGAGGCACTCAATTTGTCCTCATATTAACAAAACTGATGTTTCTCAATGACAAACACATAAGTCGAACCGCTAAAAAGCAGTGTCCTAGAATCAGTTTTTGATGCTGAATCAGGAGAAGAAACTTCCAAAGGTAAAACATATTTTTTGAAAACCATACGGTCAAATTTCGAGTGAGAATCCTGATTTTTCGAAAACCTCGGTTTTTGTAGTATTTTGAAGATTTCTCCTCGAAGACGACTTTCTATGTCACTAAATTATACATATTCGGATTCAGCGCATCAAACTGCATCATATCACATAAAAAAAATCAACAAAAAAAAATTTGCTCCACTTTTGCCTGTCGCCAACCTTACATTTCTAAAATCAAAAGTGTGTTAAATCACCATTATTTCCTATCAGCAGTCGTATGTATTTGTTTTGCTTTGAAGAAAGGGTAAATTAGTACAGCAAAGCCTCATTCGATACAATATAGCGCATGAGTACGCCCTCCTTTGCATTCATTTAAAAATGACTACAGTACAGTGTAATGACTGGAGATATACTCGTGCATAACCTGTACACACATAAACGAGCGTATGTAAACAACCTTGCATTTTGATCACGTTTGTTTGTTTGTTTTTTTCTCACTCAGTTTTACTTTCGAAAAAAGGAAATGGACAATTGGCAACGATGTTTCTATAGTCTATTGGGAATGATATTTGTGTTGACTTCCATCTTTTTATTTCTTTTAATTAAACGACATCGCGGTCATGGATATTTCTTATCGAAATTCTCGGCTTTCACTCGTATACGCTTTGATCATCTTGAACAACGACGACAAACATACTGTCCAGCAGATAAGACATGCCAATGCCATCCATCCAATTCCGCATCGAATATTCAACCGAATTTCTTGTGTCCGCATCGTTCACGAACACTTTACATGAGTTTTGCCGGTGCAGCAATGATTGTAGGCGGTGTTCGAACGACTGAATGGCGTGGGTCAATGCATCAACTACACAATCAATCAAATGATACTTTCGATGCACTATTCTTAACCGATCCAGCACAATGTTTCTACCTTCAGGATCCCAATTATCAATGGCAAGGCATAAGTTATTATCGACAGCTTGTCGAAACTTATATGAAACTCTATCAACGTGTGGTTCTAATCGGTGCCAGTCTCGGAGGTAGTATGGTTTGTATGTGCGCTGATTTAGCGACAGTCTCGATTGCATTTAATCCAATACTAGATCCAATACTATTAGGTTTACCGTGGCGAATCATGGGTGCATACTGTCCGGCGACACAAGCACGAATTATTCGTGAACGAGTTCATATGACAATGGAGAAAATTAAGATGCAAGACACGATGCATAATTGTGTGCTCCACATTCATTGGAGTCAATTATCAGCAGCTGATCAACGTCAAGCTCATCGTGTTGTCGGTGGTGGAAAGCAAAAGCAACCGCGACAATCCGAATGTCTGACATCGGTTGCCGATTTCGATATCAACAATCAAGCAATGAGTAGTCCAACGGGTGTTTATGTTTGGTTCCATCAATGTACTCGACATGCATTAGCAATGTTTTTAAAACGATCGAACCTCTTAATACCGCTATTAAAACATCATTTACAAGTAGCAACAGACGATAAATCTGAGAATATTAGTTTCACTGAAGAACGAAATTCTTCTATTATTGAAATACCGATGCTTGAAGAAAAGTCTAATGATCTCCGAGTGCCTCTGTTATAGAAAATATTTCTTTACGCTTAGTTTTTTTTTTCGTAATTCAATAAACTAGCCATAGAAAGAGAATTCTTTTCAGTTCTCAATCGACATCATTGGGTTGTAAGGGTGGTAATCGTCTCGGTGGTTTTGGTTGTTGTCGTGTTATTTCTGACAGCATATTCTAATAGAAATGTAAAAAGAAACTTCAGAAGACTAGATAAATAAGAGACATTTTTACTTTTGCAATATGAACTCTCTTCGTCCAAATATCAATTCCATGTCGTAAAACCTTCGTTTGTTTCATAATATGTGCATAATCAGTGATAGTTGGTACTTGTTGGACATCAGCAATGCGAGTTCTTAGAAAATTGTTTTCCTTCCAAATAATTTCATATTCTCGTTGAATATCTTTGATTTCTACCATGATTCTATCGATATAGTTTCGTAATAATTCACATTTCTTTTCCATTTCACTGATAATTCTCTCTTGATCAGATAGAAATTTTTTGTCTTCCTGTAATCGACGAAATAATGGATATTGAGATGATTTCTCCAGTCGAAATTTTCTATTAATTTCTTCATAGATCTCACTATTATTGATTTTTCTCGTACGCATCGTCGTAATATCAACTTCATCCATTTTATCATTGAAATCATCCACCATACGTATTTTCGCATCGATTTCGCCCATACGAATATGCAGACGAGCAGTATTTATCCGAATAAGACCAATAAGGCTAGTACGAGAATGAATACGTTTGTTAATTCGACTGACAACAAGTTCACCTGGCACGTGCATGCATGGACTATAGAATTCTTCGTCGCCTACATCAACACGGTATCTCTCCACGCGTCGACGAAGTTCATAATTGAGAGTTTCTTGAGCAATTTCATCAGATTCTATCGATTGAAATGCAACCTAAACGAAAACGATGAATTTGTTTCTCGAAATTTTCCTTCGATATACTTCGAAACTATAAATTGCCGCGTTGGCTTTGCGATTCATTCGTTCCAATTCCAAACGACTCTGTTCTGCTTCATATGCTGCTAGAATGAACCGCTCTTGTTCGACTAGAGATATATAGTTTGTAAATCGTTGCACTCCCCAATTAACAGGTACTTTCACCCATCCAATAACACTTTTATTCACTAAAATTTCAATGAAATCAAGTGAAATTTACATTTGTGTCAATAGTCACTTGCGAGTCGTCGAGCAGTTTCGGATGGTTTTATTTGATGGAGTATCTTACGGAGTATTTCATTTTCATCTTCATATTCGTATTCATCGAACGTTTGAACAATTTTACTCGAATGACTACGCAATAAATACCGAGAGAAAAGTCGATTTTCTCGTCGAAGATGATCATTTTCTTCGCTACAGAATAAAAACAACAAAGTCAAAATATGTTTCCTAAACAGTTCTCACTTGCTTAATTCGATTGAGTCTTTCTAATAAACTTTGATTATCAAGTTCATGTAGATTCTTCATTGGTTCTATGTGCACAATACGAAATATGCAACTGATAAAATACTCGAGATGATAAACTCTCATTTCATATCTAAACATTCGTATTCCGATAGATGTGGTTAATACATGGAGCTACATTTGCTGCTCACAATTGTTCTCTTTCATTTCTTGCTTAGAATAACCAATCACAAAAAAATCTGAACGATTGCTTCTTTTTTTATTTCGAAAAGCTTCAGCTTGAGATGGCATCAACAATAACGGAACGTATCTCATCGAATTTATACCTTGTTGAATACTTCGTTTTCTGTCCATTATTATGCGAAAAAGAAGGACAGGTTTGGTTTGAATCTATCGTAATGTTTGATTGAATAATTTTGTTAGGAAGGAAGAAAAATTCTGTATTATTATCCCGCAGATACAGATATTGATCGTCAAATACGAACTGTTGGATACTGCGAAGGTTTAGTGAAATTTACTGAGTAAATTCCATGCTGTGAACAATGCGAATATGACTGATTATCTTCATAGGACATTTGGTTTTGAGGATCCATGTGAAAGCGTGCATTTTCAAAAAACACGTTTACTATTTCATAAAGTTGAACAAGACATTTGCATAGCAATGGTAACAAGCAAGATTTTCATGAAAAAAAAACCAAAACGTTCTCATACTATATCTGATCTTTTAGTCACTCCATGTGCCTGTCATCGAACGGAAACGAGATGATAAATATATCGTCGAATATTATGATGATAATATCAATGATCGAATTATGTTACCATTGTTAAAGATTTCCTATCGATACTTTACAGTAAGTGATAGATTCATCGCAATTTAATACATAAACAGCTTTTAGTTACAACATGGTGCTATGTCCTCCTCAATTCGACATGGTGGAGTTGAAGAATTGAGAAACATACTTAAACAACATTTTGATAAAGTAATTAATCGATATGGAGAGAGAAAAAGTAGTAGCGAAGAAAACTTTTGTCTAGTTTATTCAACATCATCTACACGCAATGATTCGCGATGTGACATTGGATACATCATATCTAGGTGTACAATTTTTGCCAGTGGAAAAGAAACTTTATCTAAAACTACAGTCAATTCTTCGACGACTTGAGTTACGCTTTTCATCTTTGAAAGAAACTCTCTTTCTATACAAAGATCAACTCATTTGGTAAGTCTTCATGTTCTGATAATCTCTTCTATTCTATTCATATAGGAGTGGTCTCACTCAAGATGATACTAGTTTAGTTTATTTATTTTTTCGACTTTATTATTGGCCACATCTTAAACAATTGCAAACATCGTCTACGCCACAGTAAGTAAAGTATTTTCCTTGTCAATGATTATGCTATTTTCTGAAAAATCTCGTTCAGATTTTTAACTGTTGATACCAGTGCTAATCCAGCTGATGAATTGATCATTTCATCACAAGCAACTAGCGAAATTTATCAAGCTTTTTTCCTAGGAAATCCTCTAACACCATATCGAATCTTGGTGATCAATATTAATTTAATAACCATATTTTGTTTTTTCCATAATAGTAAATACCATTGTTACATTGATTTCTCACGTTCAGTTTCGTTTTAGACGATGAATTAACGAACGATGAAACAACAAATACTGAAATTGTCGGAACATTGAAGAAAGAACTAGACACAATGATACCAACTTTTGAGGAATATTTACGAAAGAAATATCCAGTGTACGTGACATTTCACTTCGTCAATTCTATTCATAGTCATTCGTTTTTAGAACAGACAATACCGTACGAACAGTATATTATAACAAAATGAATATGGCACATTCATCAACAGTCGACTGGACTAAGGAACCGATTAGTTCGATGAGTGGGATTATGAATACACTCGCTGAAGATATGCAATGGTAAATTGTTGCTTGTGACATACTCTTGAATGAATGAATCATTTAGGTTTCATCCTTCGGGTGAAATAATGGTCAAACGTGAAAATGATCCTTGGATCATCGCAAAACGATCGGATATGCGCGAACTATTGATTGCTGTCAATCAAAGAAATGCGAATTTGAAAGAAATCAGCGGTAAACTATTTCATTGATGAATCCATACAGAACGAAATTATGAACATCCTTTTTTTATTGTATTTAGATAAAGTCAAACAAATCTTTACGACACAATTTAGTAACATTTTACTCTTAGAGTGATTTTCTGTAATAAAAGAATTGTATTCTTATTTTTTGTGAAGAGATCAATTGAATATTTAGCGGTATGAATATGAATCTATTTCTCGAATGAACGGAAAGATCAAAGTAATACATGATTATCATTGCTCATCTTATTCATCAGTCGCAATAGATCACTGCGCAAAAGCGAAAGCATATCTGACAACATATTGAAATACATTTAACATCGGCAGTGCAAACGTAGAGATTTTCCAGGAAAAATCCACACTTGATGAATCGTAAATGGATGAAACAAACACATCCGCAAGAAGAACTGTAAGAGCAAACAAACAAAACACAAGAAAACATTCCAGACGGATTCCCTGGATGTAGAAAGACAGTAGGTACACCCATCGAAAGATTTCCATTCGTTGAAAAACGAAGAAATACTCGTGTATTTTATGAATAGAAAGGAAAATTCAATGGAGAATTGTATGAATGATTCAAGTGATTCAATAACTCCCGATGTGCACATCGCATGTCACACTTTCAAATATATAAACACGTTTAGAGTTATTCTTTTCGATATCAATTGAGTGAATATAATGTGGTAATCCATTGGGAGAAAAGACTTCAAACTCATTCTGACAAACAACAATAATATTGTTATTTTGTTCTCTTTGAGACAACTCAATGAACCTAATCCATGGTTAAATTCGAGGATTATTATTAATGAAGTAATTAATATTATGGGAGAGGTCTCGACAACTTTGTGGTAAGTACATTCGCTAAAATTTGACCTAAAATTTCTTTTTTAATCTAGAAATATCAGGAAAAAACAGCTACTTTATCAAACTGATTTTTTCCTTCGAGAACAAATATTGATTTGATACGTTATTTGTTTGTGTTACACGCTTTCTTTTTGCTAATATTTAACACACAATAACTAATGGTAATGAAATTGCTTAACAATGACGTGATCAAAAAAAATGACGTAGTCTTTTTCTATACTGATTGATTACTGTAATGTCGATGTATGTTTTTCCTCCTTCGTACTTTTTCTTTTTCGCGTATTCGTAGGCGCGACAGCATGTTCGATAACAAATACTGATGTGTGGGGGTAGATTCCACACGAATTTGATCAAGTCACAGCTGGAAATGATTCGAAGCTTATGATTTCGAATGAAAATGAATGATTGCAAGAATAAAGAACAAAGACAAATAGACGATATATTGAATTGTATGCACGAGCAGGCATCGTAACCTACGATATTTATCGAAAACGAACTGCATGATATTGAGAAGAAGAAAAAACAAGTTCTCCGTTCTTCGCTATCATTAAATTGGATGTTTTCTCTATCTACCTCGTTTTTTTCGTTGAATGAGAAAAGTAAATACACGATGATTCGGAGGACTTGATTATACTCAGTACGTTAAATATTTCCATATATACTTTGCAAAAATATGTAACGTCATTGTTGATAGGTAATGACGCAAGTCATATTCTTTTCTCCATGTTATTCGCATTGTTGTTGTTCTTTCTTTCTGTTTCTCTGTCTACTTTTTCACTTCGCATTTGCTTATCGATGAGTCAGGAGTTGTCATCGTTATGCGTCAACATCGTGTTTCCCAGTACACATAATCATAATAAAGCAACTTCCATGGAAATTTCTCAAGAACTAGAGAAAATGTTTTCGTCGTTCTTCTATGACTCGTCATCAATTGATTATTACGTTGTTTAATACATTACCATGGGCTTTTTCCTTTCATCTTTTTCTCCCAAAACATACACCTAAGCAGATCACGGTTCTTTTCTTCTCTCGTTCTCTCTTTCTCTCTCTCTTTTTTTCTATCTCAAAGAAAAAGAATGACTATGGTGCAATATGTGTCATAACGTGTATACTATAAAAGTCGACATATATTCATTCATTCATTTCTATTTAGTTACAAGATATTCGCCTATACACACATACATACATTCATTTACCGCAATGAAACAAGAAATTACTGTTGCTCTTGATCTCTTATGTTCTTATATAGAACAGTTCGGTTCAATAAAAGTCGAAAGTATTAAACAGTTTCGTGATGAATTAGAAAAAATGTTGACTAAACGGTATGAAGGACATTGGTATCCTGGTAAGTTAGATTGTGGTTAATGTGTATTGTAGTAAATCTAATCAATCGATTTTGTTGCGTTTTAGACAATCCGAACAAAGGACAGGCATATCGTTCGCTTGAATTCAATGCCGAAAACGATTATTGTGATCTTATTGTTGTTAAAGTATGCCAACAATTGGGCTTTTCATCGAAATTACTTGGCATTCGACACCAATTAACATTATGGATTGATCCATATGAAGTATCAATCAGGTAAGATTAGAGTTTCGTACTTAAAATTTTCCGACTTGATGTATGTGATATTTTTCCTTCTTGTTCTCTTCCTCCCATGATAAAACATACGTAAATTGCGAGCGCGCGATGTAATCACGAGGATGATGTCATTACCTGTAATGACGACGAAGAAAGAAAGGAAAGAGTCGACGTTGTTTTTTTACTTTATATGTCAAACCTAGAAAAGTCTAAAGCGAGTCTGACCTTTTTAATTTGAATTAATTATATGTCAGCATGATCCGAAGTTTTACTCCATTTAATAATAATCTATTCCCCTTCTTTATAGATTGGGCAATCCAGCTCATCCAAAGGAGAATCAACAATTAATTGTTGCCCGTTTCGACAAAGAAGGAAATGAACTGATGCGTAACGATCTCGAAGGATTATTTTCTCAAACTCGTACACCCATTCTCAATACATCCCGATCATCACCAACAAATATTTCTCCTTGCGAATCAACCAATTGTTCAGGCTCGTCAACGCCACAACGTACATCATCACCATTCCCAGCTCTTCAGCCGTCGATGTATCATAACGGACCACTCTTTACACCGCCTCGAGCTTTGTCACCGAAAGCTCCAGTATTTCACATGTCCTCATCATCTCCAATTAACGTTCCAACTAAGCCACATCCGTTAGAAAACAGCATTAACAATAGCGATGAAGGTTCATTCAATGAAGAAAGTCATGCTCAACCAGACCGCTCGGATACTCCTCAATCCATGCATAGCACAACATCGAATGAATCCACAGACAGTGGCTATTGTGGTTATGTCGAAAGTTATCCATGTAAGTTTGTCATATACAAATTCCTTTCATTTGAAACTAATCATTTGCTTTTCCTATAGACTATTACAAACTCAATCGTTTACAGAGAGCATTAGATATGCAAAAACTTTCTGTTAATACACGTCAACCAAATAAAAGCTCCCATCATCGTCGTATGACACAACACATGTATCAACAGATACAACACAATCACATTCCAGCACTTTCGTCTGCCTCACCACCGACACCAACTCCATTGAATATTGATCAATTAACCTCCTTTTATGCCCATCAAGCATTCCTTCCAATATCGACACCTGCTACTGGTAATCGTAAATCTAAATATTAGACGTTTGTACATGTATATGAGTAAATTAACTGTTTCGTTTTTTTTTCCTCACTCGATTGTTATGTCAAGAAAGTCAGTAGATTCGAGATAGTCAGTCATGTCATTTATTGTAAATGAGAAAGAAAAAGCTGCAGGCATTCATGTTCAAATGTATATATATATATATATAGTTTTGAGTAGTCGTTGTTAACAATGATTTTTATCTTCTTTAGTTTGTTGGTCATAAACTTTTGAATTTTTTCATAAACGAGAAAAAAAAGTATCTTCTTTTCAAGCATTTTCTGTTGTTATTGATGTCGTGTGTTGTTATTCAAGCCTTTTGACTTCAGATAAGATAATGAGAGTTTGTGTATGTTGTTTTTTTCTTTTCGCCTATATCTAACTTACCTCTCTCTCTCATTGTTCTTCGTTTTCCACATCAAGGATGATATCTCTGCTGGTCAGAAAGTGTCGAAAATAACAACCAAGTTGATGTTTTAGTTTAGTGTCAATTTACATGCGCATATGTGTAATATTAAAAGAGACATTTGTTCTTTTTTCTTTCTGTATATTCTACAATCAACAGCTATGCTCCTATGTGTTTTCTTTTCATTTTGAAATTGAAAATATGTATGTGTTTGTTTTTCGGAAAAAGTATGTGTGACATATTCAAGTAATTTGTAATACGTTGAGTGACCGGTGAGCAACATTTGTTGATGTAGTTTCATGGCGTTGGCTTTTCCTTTTCAATGCGCTTGTATATTTTACTTTGACAATATATAAAATGAACAAGATTCTATGTCTATCTTATAAACAATAGTACGACACATGTGAGGTGATAAGAATATAGGAGTAAATATTATCCTTATAATTTAGATATGACCTTCATTGTGAAAAAATATTTGGATAAACATATAAATATTTACATGACAATAAAGTCGCTTACATTGCACTTGATTGACAGAAGATTATCAGGAAAAATAACAAACTACGTTTGCATATTTAAAAATAAAAATTTATGCCAATTCGATCGAGCACCTGCTTTGGGTTCTCAAACCCGAAATCCGTTTTTATCTATATACATGCTATTGCGCGAATAAGCACCTGACAGAACTAGTTTTATCAGATAACAATAGAAACATCCAGTGGAACTTTAAGTAGGCGTTTATGACTGATCTTCCTCTTATTTATCATGAGTTTCTTGTTAACATGTTCGTACCAATAAATTGCTATATGACACTATACATGGTCTCGCCTTCATCTCAGGTTACAGAACTGTAAATGCGTCACTTTTGTCAGGATTGGTGTTGTGTAATTTCAATAGACAAGTCCCATTATCGAAAACATTTAGGAACATATTTTTTTTATCTAAAATTTCTAAAACAACACATCATGTATGTGTCATTCTTGCTCGAGATTGTGAAATCGCCAATAAACATCGACTTAGTCGTCACTATTTCATAATTCTGTTTCGTTTAAATCCAATATGATTAGATATTGCACAATGACAATAGTCATTCGTTCGCAAACGTGTTTGTTCTATTTTGATAGCTTGAGTACATCAGATAAAGACACGTGATCGAGGTCATGTGGATTGAATTGCCGTGTGACTTAAAAATAGCCCGACAATTCTTTCCAACTATTGAATATGCAACAAAATAGAACCTTTACAAAGAAACGCTTGACTTTTGGATTATCAAGTATACTTTATGTGCTACATCACCAGTATATTTCAAACTTAACTCTAAGGAACAATTTATTGAAAGGGTGTGAGTGAGGGTGAAGTAAGATTTCATTCTGAAATGAATGTTCGCTTTTGATAAAGATAATTAATCCCAAATTTTATCGATTCTGTCGGACAAATGAAGTGAAAGTGTTGATACTATTATCGATAACATAGCATTTATTAAATAGAGATCGTGACATATGTTAAGAGCGGTACAATTTTCTCATTATTTTTTTTCATGGTAATTTGAAACAATGTTGACCTGCCGGTTATTTTTATATATTGCGCATTTATATGCGAATTATTCTTGAGCTCGTGAAAAAACTAATTTAGAGATGTTACGAACAAGCTAGAACGTCTCTCAAGTCCTGCATGCTGAATGCATCGCAAATTGTATATCTCGATATTTGATCAAATCGTTTCTATCCTACAGAACGAGACACAAAAATGGCACTCTAATAATAAATACAATCGTGCTTTCTATCCAAGTGAATCGACTATGAAATACCGATACTTAGCGAAGAAACGTGGATGACGTTATTTACAAATTATTTGAAGGCGAAGAACTTGATCGAATGACATCTCATCTCAGAGATATAGACACTGATTTCATCAAAAGTGTTGACTAGACGATTCAATTTTCATTAAAAACTACCGGTATAAAATTGCTGATTAACTAGGATAAATCGAACTCTTTAAGCGTTTATGTTGAGTTTATTCTTCGCTCTTATACGATGTTTTATTTTCTACGAAATGCAAAAAGCATATCGACAGTAGCGCCATCTTTCGAAGAATCCATATATTGTTTTTCTAGATAAATAGTTGACCAATCGATGTTGACTCTAAACAAGTTAAGTGAAGTTCTCCTATCGAATAATAACTTATTTATTATATTCTCTTAGAAAAGAACTTTTCCTTGCGAAATGGATCCGTCGATTGATCATATTGAACGCTTACGTACGATTTATAACAAATTGAAAAAAGTTCGTTTTGGCGGTGTTGTCACTAGTCGTAAGCCGAAATATGCTGAAGCTGCATTAGATTTCCAATCCTTGTCACGTCAATTACGTCAAGAGAACTGTCTTGAATACGCGGGTCTATGTTTGATTCAATCGTCTCGTTGTTTTTCGGAATTAAAATCTTCTACAAGTGAATTACAGATGTTACTCGAAGCTGCATCGATATTCATTGAAATCGAACTACAAACTCATCAAAGCAACACATTATCCTACCATGAAAATCTTTCGCTAGCGTTAGCCGCATATCAATTAGCACAGAAAAATCTCCGCGAACAAAACGAACGCTATCTCGCTGGCTTGATCACCTTTCAAGTTGGTTTACACTTAGAAATGTTAGAGAAATTTCACGAAAGTGAACGACTTTTTTCCATGGCGATCGATTCATTTCAAGACCTCTTAGCAATACAAATCTGTGTCTATCAAAAACTGATTAATATACGAATTGATAATGAAAAATTCAATCTAGCTTTACAAGCAACGACGAATCTAATCGAACGTCTCGTGAAAACGTCGCCGAATGATATCAGCTATCGTCGTCTACTAGCATCTTATGATATTCTTCGACTCTTTTTGTTGTTGATTCTTCAACCACATCCTCAACGTCTCCGTGCCGATTATGCAAAAACTTTAGATGCATACACATGGGAAGTTTATGAAAAACTGAACATTCCAACATCATATCTGGATGAAACACTGTTTTATCTACTACAATCGATAACCTTAGCTGTTCAAGCGCGAGATTTGAAACATATTGATCAATTAGAATACGATTTGAATCAACAATCTCAGATTAGTCCTCGACATATGCATCTATTTCATATATTAAAACAAAAAATATCGGGCCATTTCATCGATACATTTAAATTCGATCAACAGACATCAACAACCGGTGATGTAGCAGATTATCGCTAAAAGAATAAAACCAAAATCGCAATAATTCGAATCTTATCTGTCATTTTCCTTTTTTTTTTTAGAAAATAAAACTATTTCTTCTTGCTATTGTAGATTATAATGACATATTTCTCCTGAATAATCCCGGTGGTTAGCTCTATTTTCTTTCGTATTGACATATGATGGCTTCGACAGGGGGTAGGCAAAATTCGAGCATGTGTTCATATTTGATGATTTGATACTTCTAGTACATCAACAATTCATTTGTCATTTTTGTTTTGATACATTTCCTAACCGTGCTTCCATGGTCGTGCACTTTCCACAATGCCCTGTGAAACATCCGATAAAAAAATCCATGGAAAATGTTCGTCTACCTCGACTGAATAAATCCGAACATGATATTCTTGAAAGTAAAGTCGATTTACATCTTCTCCTTATCATTATTTTTCATCATTAGTGTTAAATCTACGTCGCACGACCGTTAAACGTAATCCGCAAACACCTTCTCTTGATCGATCGAATGCATTCTTACAGATTCCACTATCGACTGGATCGATTTCGTATTCGAAACAATCGTCGTTTGACGATTCAATGTGCCATCATTCAGTTTCCAACGAGCTTGACTCTGAACAAGAACAAGTATCGAATAATCTTAGTATAAAATCTACTTCGTCATACCATATATACAAATATTCCCGACGTGAGAAGAAAAACTTCTATGCGAGTGTCAAACGAGCTCGGTTAAAGAAACAGTATTCACTAGTGAAGAGACCATCAAATCATTCAGCACGATTTAATCATAAAAACTGTTCGATTAGATTACCTACGCAGATCACATACCGTCAACGATTGAACACGAACTCAAATAATTCCTACCCGTTAATATTTGATCCGAATTTTCAGTCATTAGTACAAATTTCAGCGAATAATCGATTTGACAAATATTTATCAAACATGAAGATTTATTTTCATTTATTACATTCAGTAGCTAGTCAAGAATTTCAAATAATTGTAAATAGTAACGATCAACAACATCATGTATCTTATACCGCATTTTCATTTTTCAATCTTCTCCGACGAGCCATGGCGGACTTTTCCTTGAGTTTACAAAAGAACTTCAAGAGAAACTATTTCCAAACATTTCAACTTAATGAGCAGCAGATGTGCGTTCCAACCAAACAGCAACGAATTGAACCTATTCATCTGGATGATGATGGTGACTCACAGCAGCAGCCTGAATCTCGAACAAATCCTATTTTACTACCAAAACCACCACCACCAGCGACGACGACAACAGTCCGTAACCCGAGTGTCACAGAGAATGATTCGCTACAGTTCAATTCAACGAGCATCGATCGTCAACAACCTATTGAGTATGTCACAGATAAATTCTTCTCATCATTGTCTATTGAAACTTTGTAGTCGAACGAATACGGAACCATTTGCTGTTGCATTCGCTCCGGTCATCGAAAGGCAGAAATCGAATCATCGAAGTTCGAGTCCTATTCTACTAAAAAAACAAAAACTTGAGCCGATTCAAAGCGAAGAATCCATTTCGACTTTTGATCCAGTGCGCATTCGTATTATAAACGACATGAACGGTAACGATAGAACGAAATTAACACCATCGCGTAAGAAGCCGTCGAATTCATCGTCTAAACTCGACGAAAATTCTCCAAGTAAACGACCATCTCGTATGTCTACACGTAAAAGTTCGATCAAGACTGAAATCCTTAGTGAACCCGTTCCACCTTATCAAAGTATTCCAGTTCAACTTACTTCCAGTGAGATAACGAGACAATGGCTGACTCGGAATGCATTTTATCGTTGTCATGCCTGTTCACATGAAGAATTTTTTGTTGTTTTATCACGTGAATGTATGAATTTACATATTTCATCGAAACACGGCAATATGGAAGAAAATTTCAAGCAACGTCTATCAACATTTCTCAATAATAAAGGCCGTTCGATAAAAATCTTTCAACATTATCTTAAATGGCAGAAGCCGTGGTCAGACAAAGAGGTCGAACAGATTTTTAAACTATCTAACAAATGAACGGCAAAACTAAAAGATCTGCAAATGTAGAATGATCATTTCTTCTTTTACTCGGTGTTTTCTTCATTTCTTTATTTTGATTCAAATCCTATTCTATACCAGTGCAATGGTTCTCATTCCTATTTTCTTTCTTTGTTTTGTGGTGTTTTCCTAAGCAGTTTTGACCTACTCTATTCGTCCTTTACGTATATACATATACATATATATATTATTTTAAATAAAAATATCACTGTGTCAGGCGAGTAACGTCTCACAAATCACCATAGTCACTTGTTTCCCAACAACGATCGAGTTTCTTTCTTCAAATCAAGAAAATTGGTCGTCGATGATCAACTATTTATTCAAATGACTTCCTCTACTTAATAATAAATGTCTTGTCATCGGAGGTTGCAACGATTATTTGTATTCTTATTGATCAGTGTTACCGGAAATCTAACGCATTCAATTAAAAATTCTATTCGTCTTAAATAAACACATCTACCCACGCAGTAAGAGAAATAAAAGTTTGTTCATAATCGAACCAGTTAGTAGGAAGATTTGCGAGGAACTACTTGTTAACCTCAGACATAGAACTACAGAATCGTCGGTATTGTTTCGATGTCGTTTGCATTCATTGAAGAAAAAACAAGAGAACAAATGATGATTTGATTTCCTGCTTAGCAATCCGGACTGTGTCATATATCTTCGTTTTCTTTCTTTATTTCTTAGAACAAGCACGCCATCGATTACATTCATCATTGTACGATTTAGTAATCGGCAAATCATGGTGAAATCGATTCCGAGTACCATTCATGGATATTTGTCGAACCTTTGCTATGCATTACACAATTTTCTTAGTACATCGAAACGGCAAGCACATATTATCATGTTTATCGTTTGTATTGCTTTACTACTTGATAATATGCTGTATATGGTCATTGTAAGTGATTTTTAGAGGAAATTCTTGTTGTATTCGATTTTCGAATTTTAGGTACCGATTATACCAGATTATTTGAATAGAATTGGTGAATGGACAAATATGGGAAAGAATGTATCAAGTGGATATTTTGTGCATATCAAAAACGAGGATGTTGCTATTGGAATTCTATTTGCTTCGAAAGCAATTGTTCAATTAGTGATTAATCCGTTTAGTGGTGCACTGATCGATCGAATTGGTTATGATGTTCCAATGTGTATTGGACTTGGTATCATTTTTGTTTCAACAATGATATTTGCCTTTGGAAATTCCTATGCAGTTCTGTTCTTGGCGAGAAGTTTGCAAGGAATGGGATCAGCATTTGCGGACACATCGGGTTTAGGTTATTTAAAAATCAGATTTCATGCGAGAGAAAGATTAAGATTTGTTGCTGTTGTTTTAGCAATGATTGCTGATCGATATCAAGACGAACGCAGTCGAAGTCGGCAGCTGGGGATTGCCTTAGCATTCATATCATTTGGATCCTTGGTTGCGCCACCATTCGGAGGTATGTAATGAAAAAGAGACGGAGAGTTAAGATCACAGTTGTACCAATATCTTATTTAGGGTTTTTGTACGAATTCTTTGGTAAACGTGTACCATTCATTATCTTGTCTTTGATTGCATTATTTGATGGTGTACTTATCTTTGCTATCATGCGTCCAACTCGAATACAGTTTGATTCGAATGCACTAGAAACACGACCGAAGGGAACACCCATTTGGCGCTTATTGATGGATCCATATATTATGATATGTGCAGGAGCATTGGCAATGGTATGTACATGGAATAGTCGACATTTGGTTGAAAGCTGGTGCTTTGTTTCTTTGTCTAATTAGGCAAACGTTGGTTTAGCTTTTCTCGAACCGACTATTTCAATATGGATGCGACAAGAGATGAATGCGAGTGAATGGCAAATGGGTTTGATTTGGCTACCTGGCTTTCTTCCACATATTACTGGTGTAATCCTAACCGTTAAACTTAATCAATACTATCCGAAATATCAATGGGTATTGGCAGCGATCGGATTAGGACTGCAAGGCATGATGTGTGTCATTATTCCATTTTGTAAAAACTTTACCATACTTATGATACCAATTAGTGGAATTTGTTTCGGTAGGAACATGAAATTCACTTCACAGTTAAGACTGCCGTTTTATTGTAGGAAATGCGTTAGTCGATACAGCTTTGTTACCAACACTTGCATATCTTGTTGATGTTCGTCATACATCCGTTTATGGGTATTTTATCTGACAGAATATTTTCATACTTTTTTCTTCCACTGTTTAGATCTGTTTATGCTATCGCTGATATTTCATACTCGCTTGCATATGCCATTGGTCCCATCGTGGCCGGTTCCATTGTTTACGCAACGAATTTTCTTACATTGAACATTTTCATCTTTCTTAGCAATATTCTGTATGCACCAGTCCTATATATCCTACGTCATTTCTATGCATACAAGCCAATGGATCATGCTGAGTTAATATCTCTCAGTCAACAATCACTTTATCAAAACAACTTCGAATATTAATAACGGAAAGTTTAACGAGACTGGATCATTTTTGATACTTGTAATTGATTTATTATGTGAAAAAAAAAGCGAACAATAAACACGAATACCTTAAGCAATCTATTTTGCTTGTCAACTAGTTCTTTCGAGCGAGAAAAAAGAAATACGGCGTGAAAGTATCTGTTTCTCCGCCGCGAACCACACCCTCTCGTGCTCTTTCAAGAATACTCAAGGCTGCTAGGCTTCCTTGAGCAGCGATGCCAACTTTTTCCAGTAACCAAACACCATTTCGTGTGAACCATCGCCCAACGTATGTCGTACGAAAATTGCTGGGTGAAAAAAATGGATCTCCACCCTTCAACGGTTGATACCAAGGTATGTCACCTTCAGGAATAATCCGACTTTCCTCAACTGTGAAGCCAACTGATTTCAGCGCAGACACGGAATGATGAGTCGATTTCAGATCAGGTAAACCATCACCTTCTTCAATTAAACGTTTAATCTCTACATGTTCGGAATTTCGTCCATCGTATTTATCCGTCAAGCACCAATCATATCCGATAAATGAACCGCCTGGTTTCAATACACGCATGGCTTCAGCAAAACACTTCGCCTAAAAACTCTATATATAATAACTCAAGCGGAACTCATCGAATTTACCTTATCGGGTGCATGGCATACCGCTTCAATCGTGTAGATATGATCGAAACTTGCATCTTCGAATGGTAATTGCATAAAATCACACTGAATAAATCGACAATTCGCAGGTACGCCTAGATCACAAGAAATCAATCGATTGCCACTACGATTGAATGTGAATAGATGCTTACCGATTTGTTTTGCTCGTTGAATTTGATATTCACTGATTGTAACGCCAGTGATATGTGCGCCAGTTAAATTAGCAATACGTCGCAGTGGTCCACCAACACCACATCCGAGGTCGAGTACTTTGTCGCCAGGTTTAACCTGCATTTTCAATGCTAAATATGATTCATGTCGTTGGATTGATTCAGCTAATGTTTCACCACGAAATCGATTAGCAAAATGAAAACTTTGTCCCCAACCGTACTCGAAAAAATCAGTTGATAAACTGTAATAATTTGAAACTAATGTTTTATACTGATCTTGTCGTTTTTCAACATTTGTTGAATCTTCAAATAACGAACTATAAGCGGCTACTTCCTGTTGAACAGCAGCATGCGAGCGTCGAATTACCAATGTTTCTGACATTATGATCCTAATGATTCATATTACGTACGACACCCATCTTTATATACCGAGAGAGATACGCATAGGTATGATATTGAAGTAAAGCTTGTATCCGATCACACCATCTTCTGCTGTTTGATATTCTTCAATGGCGTGATTGTCAGAAGTCAAATGGCGTGATCTCCTGTATTTGGGTATATTGGTGTATACCGACCTGTGCTAGATGTCGCTTATCATCGAAGAGAATGCGATTATTTACATTTAGACTATAAGATAAAATGCTTGGCAACAGACTGGACGCAAAATGGTGTAAATTTTTATGAATCATCGCATTTACCGCAACATCTTTGATCTTCGAGTTGATATCACAAATCTTTTGAACAAATTCGCATCGAACTCAATTGCTGTTGTACATTAATCTTTATTAGAGAAACCAATGAACGGTTATTTAGTTCTCTAAATAGTATAGGTAAGTCAATTTGAGCTCGATATCGATTCTAATTGAAAATCAATTTAATTTGTATTTCATAAAATAACAATTGAAACGAAAATAATGCGTAGATTTCTATCAAATGTTAATTAAGTGTTGATCGATCGACACACTGTTTGGAATAAAAATGGTTGCTTAGATAAATCTTTCATAAGGTTTCTGTTCGAGTGGAACTTCTTTCTTTAGCTCAATAAGCAACAAACGTACTGCCATTAACAATTTCATTCTCTTCCTTGCACCACTAAATATAGTGCCTATCGAACAGCTAACATTGTCTCCTTTTTTTTTGCATTGGCACAGATATTATGAAATGATGTTATTTTATAATAACATCTGATTCTCTTTTATATTCGAAGACAATCGTTTTTTTTTCGAAATGAACGTGCAACGGATCAGATTCCACACTGTAATTCTCTTTCCTTTTCTCTCTCTTCTTCTTCTTCTTTATTCAAATATTGATGTGTCAGTTAACAGGTAATCTAGTCTGTTTTTCTTTTCACACGAATGTCTCATTTGTGAACATGATGAGTGCTAACAAATCTCCCATATCATTTGTTTCGACAAGTACATCAATGTACACACGTTTAGCTTGCTCGTTCTCGTTTTGTTAATACGAGTGAAACCATAATCAATCGATGCCACCTATTCACCAACCAAGGTTTTTTAATGACCTGAAATTTTTCTCATAATTTTTATCCTTTATTCTTCTTGTTTTATTGACAAGCATGATATTGTTATGACTACGACGCACAAATAAACAAATTCATCTTGTCTTGTCTCAATTAAACTGCTTTACGACATTTTTTGCTTTGTTTTTTAATCGTAAACTTATGAAGTAAAAGAACTCCCTCCCTCTCTCTTCTCTTCGTCTTTTCTCTCGCATTCTCGATCGCAGATTTTTATAACATCATAATGTAACAATATATGTAGAGAAGGACAGACGAACGTTTGTTGTACTATACATGGCACTAAAATTATTTTCACATTATTGATATAGTTTCAATGAAATAACAAGATTTTTCATTTGTAGGCGAAAAAGAAGCTATAGAGTCGTTTGCTTTTAGAGGGATGCAATCATTTGGTATCATTTGGTATGAGTGAAAACGAAGATGCATATCGCTGTTATTTTCTTTTGTTTAATCGTTTCGATAACGATTACTAATGGTAAGAAGCACGAGAAAGATGTTTTCGGTTTAGTTTCACCTTTGCTTTTAGCTACAAATCAATATTTGGGTTGTTTTATCGATCAGATTGGCAAACGAGACTTGACGATATTCATCGACGACTACGAACAATTAACACCCAGAGAGTGCATCATTCGTTGTCAGAAACGAAACTATCCCTATGCAGCGCTTCAGTACGGCAGTGAATGTCGTTGTGGACAACACTATGGAAGCTATGGTCAAGCATCTGAAGATGAATGTGATCATCTATGTTCGACATCAGAAAAATGTGGAGGATACAGACGAAATAGCGTTTATCGCGTAAATAATTCATTAAATGAATATAAAACAAGTAGGATTTACTTGTTTCCAAGGGCGTAATTTGATACTGTTTTCATGTTTCAGTTTCTACCTGTCAAAATAATCTTGTTGGTTATCTTGGATGTTTTCCTACGGTATCTCTACAGATTAGCATGAATGCTGTTGATTCCCTGAAAGAATGTATTCATCAATGTACTGGGAAATATATCTATGCAGGAGTTGCGAATGGGTAGAGAAAATCTTGTCATATTTTCGTCAATAATTTCTCTTCTCTCGATTAGTAATTTGTGCTATTGTGGAAATGAATTGATTGTGCCTTTAACAAATTCCAATCAATGTAATATACAATGTAATTCCAGTTCAGATATCACTCGCATGGATTGCTGTGGTGGCCAGGATGTATCCAGTGTTTATCACATCCCCAACTACCGTTCGTACTGTTTGCAATTGTTCGATCTATGTATTTCTTTGTAACTTGATAGAATCTTCGTTACTCAAAGATCAACCCGAGACAATTATTCGAGGTGAGAAATAGCGAATCTATTTTTTTCCTAATAGTTGATTAATCAATAGTAGAATTTAATATAATAATCTAGTTCGTAGTTCTATTAATAAATCATCTGTCTTCTCATTAATTTCTTTAGTAAAACGAGCTGATGGTGAGTTCGTTTATCTGTTTAGTTCACGTGCTTTGTATTTATGTATGATTGTGCTTGTATTATTGAAATCTGTATTTGCATGTTTAGTACATTATGATTTTTCTATTTCGTTTTCGTTAGCTACAGTAGTAACTAATTACCTGCTTGAAATCATACGCATGCGCATATGGCTAACAACAATGACATTGGAACATCTAGCGAATGACAACAACGTTCACACATAAATTTTCTCTTTGATTTTAGCAATAAATGACAGTACACAAACAAGTCATGCAACTGTGATTTCGACAGAATTCATAACATCATCGCCATCATATTCTTCAGCAGCGATCAGTTCAAGTACACATTTGAGTTCATCAGCTATTTATACTACTAGTAGTACGTTGAATAACACATACAGTTCAATTTATACATCATTGATGATGTCCAGCGTGTCATCGGCTACACTAACATCATCAGGCACAATTCTTACAACGTTATTAACAACTTCGCATCTAAACACCAATACTGCTTCGACAGTACTGGCAGGAACTACGAGTGCTACTAGTATCAGCTCGACAAGTAGTTTCCAATCTTCTACTAATCATGTCACAACCATAGCAAGTTCAATAACCTCAACACCAAGTATTTCCTCATCATTCCATACCGTTACAAGCGAACATACTGGCGGGACAACGATGACAACAATTTTTTCAACTCCTTCCAGCTCTGTTTCATTTGGTAGTTCAATAACATCAATGAAACCAACGGTCACATTCACTTCTACTCACACTGACTCATCATCTTTTTCTACGATCAGTTCATTGACGAACACTCTCTCTTCAACTAGTTTGATCTCGACAGTGATAACAACAAATTCCCAATACACTTCACCTACCATCTCATCCTCTTCTACTCAAATCACTACAGCAGTCCCTGAGCGAAGTAGCTCAGGACGATCAATTGTGACTGCTCTATTTTCGTCTACTAGTACATTTGCGAGTAGTAGTTCAACCTATGTAAGAGCACAAACGACAATGACTTCTTCTTTTCCACCAGGTAATCATATCGAACACTAAAGATAAATATGATTTCTATTATTTAACTCTTCGTATCATTTGTCATTCTTCCTTTTCTTTTTCAACTATGCTATATTTTTGAATATCGTATAGACATAACCACACAAACTACCATCACCACCACTACTACTACTACTACTACAGCTAGCACGACCATATCACTGTCTTTTCTTATTTCTACTAGTATGTACGCTCATATCTGTTCCACGATTCAACAGACGATGCTTCTATTCTTGAAATTATAGTTCTCATTGTCAATGCTTCTCAAACATTCGATCCATATTCGAATACTACTCGAGAAAGTATTCGCCAAAATCTTATTCAAGTTATGAATTTAGCTTTTCTTTGCTACTCTAATCCATCTGCTGTTAATTGCACTCAAACAAAACAGCGCAACAAACGTCAGACATGTGCCAGTGGTTACAATGTTAATCTCGTTTCAAACATAACTGAAGTAACGAAGAAGAAAACAAGGCATCCCTTCTTATGCAAATATTCTTCTCACATTCATCTAGATTTCTACAATTACTCCAAAAAAGTATCAAACTAATTATACCGTGCTTGATTCATGCAATGGAAATCAATCAGTTGCACCAGTTCTAGTGAAATCAGCTACAGATAGATTGTCTCGAGCACAAATCACTAATCTTCTTGGATATGATTATGAAAACGAATTCATTCGAAGCACAACTATAGCCACTACAAACCCAGTATCTGATCAAAAACTATGGATAATCGGTGCTGTTCTCGGGCCTGTAGCTTTTACTATTCTACTCATCTTTATCTTTTGTTATCTACATTATAAATGTCGTCCACGACATACGAATCAATTACTAGCCAAAGTATAGTATCAAACATGTTTTTTTTCGAATAATTATTCCCATTGTTTAAATTTAGCCTATACGAACTGCACCAGCATTAACGCAATCTACCGTAAGTTGTTCGAAAGAAGCAAATAAATGCGGTTTGCTTTGAGTATGCAATAACAATCTTCTACTTGAGTTTGGATTTATGGTTAAAATCGAACGAGTTGTTTTTCTTTTTATACGAATGGAGAAATTCGCTTGCAGCTAACCTATTATATCATTCTATGTTTGACATCATTTGAAATTTAAAGCAAGAAAACGCCGAAGGAATAATTTTGTTACTATTGTTTGTTTACACAATGAAAGCATATTTTTTTCCACTCGAAAGAAATCTAAAACTTTTTATTTCGATAGACTAATCCGCCTGTTCCAAGCGAAGCACTAACTGAATTACCCGCGGCATCCGTAACTGACAAGAGTGTTCACATCTTGACGAAACATGATCCATTAGTTGGCGCAAGTACATCTTTACAACATTTGACACCTACTGACTCAAACGGAAGCACAAATCAAATTATTCAACAAGCAACTACAACTAGAATACCAATGGACGAGATTCGTCGTCAAAACGATGTCGAACGTTGGAGAAATAAACTTCGTTTACAAGAGCAACATCATGTGAGTAATGACTTTATTTAAAACGAAAGAATAAAGCATTTTTCTGTTCGTCTATTTAGCCATCATCAACTGGACATCGAAATTCGGTTTCATCAAGTATGTCATTGCTTTATTCGAATAGGTTCATGTTGATAGCGGAAAGATATGGTAAAGTTGACCGTGCACCAATTCCTTTGATTTTACACATAGCGATATAAGAAGCGAAACGGAGTAGTTGATCTCTTGACCAAGATTCTTTTTTTAAAAGGCCATAAAGTATGCCACCGATAAATGCATCACCACAGCCTGTTGTATCCATGATTTCTTCCTGTTTAACAGGCCATGCCGTACATTGCCACACTAGATAATCTTCACCATCGAGCTGGTGAATTTCTTGTGTAACAAAACTTCCAAAATCGGGATTGTTTTCAATTAAGCGTGAAGTGCTTGTATTTGATCGCTCAACTAGGATACTTCCGTTTTTACCACGAGTGATAATAACGAATTTGCATGTTTGAAGTAGACGTTTCGCTGTTTGTATTGGTGAGGAATCATGACAGACGCGCAGTGAATAGTTTTCTGTTGTTATTATGTAATCCATCAGTGGAATTAATTGATCTAAATGAGGTCTTTCACGTTCAAGATCGAGTGAGCACTGAATTGATTTCGATTTTGCTAGTTTAGCTAAAGAAACAGCCGTCTCAGTTGATCGACTATCGAAATGAATAAAATTGATCTGATCTAAACAGTCAGGTTGAATATCACTAGCCAGTATCTGTTCGTTTTGCGCACTGAACAAACACGTTCGAGTAACTGAAGCTCTATCCACAATGGTATATGTCATAGGGCTGGTCATCGACAAATCGATTACGATCGTTGACGTGTCGATATTGCTTTCATTACGAAAATCTTGAAGAATTCGTTCACCATTAGTATCGTGGCCAATTTTTGTCATAAGTTTAAGTTTGACACCTAAACGACTAAGACATATTGCAGTATTACCGGCATTACCGCCACCACAGATGGTTAAGGAATGAGTACGAAGTTTTTCGTCCGGTTGCGGAAAGTGATCGACTTGAGCTATGTAATCAAGACAAGCAGCACCGAAGATAAGAAGATCAGTCATTGTAGATAATCTAAAATATGCATTTAAAAACAAATCAGAAACGCTCTTGTTTAGGTACAAGTCCTTATCAATATGATAATCGTGTCTATGTGCATGATCATCCTGTGGGCAATAATATACATTCCACTCGTTCCGTTCAATCCCCAGAAGTTGAAGCTGGACGGACAAAACTACATCGTTTATTAGATGAAGTTCTCGATAAAGCTGAAGGTGAGCAGGTTTATAATCCAGATAGTGAAGTAGAACGACAAAAGCGTCGTCGTCAACGTCGTCGTGTTCATTCCACATCAGACGATCAGAAAACTCGACCATTGCCCAGTAGTGTTCCACAAATTCCTCATATACCTGTCGTTGCACAGGTTTCGGAACGCCCTGACCCATCCATTGTTCGCCTTCGCTACGATCCTTACGAAGCTGGTGACCGTGTTTATGATCTTGCACGCTCAAAACCTGTAGATTTGATTCCGAAATATGGTATGGAAGATCAACGTCATATTCAATATAGTTCTCGTTCGAATCCTCCGTTGTTTTACGATGATTCCAATCTTCCTGATCGAGCAGCAACAGCAACCGATGCTTATGCAATGCCAAAACGTATTGCTCGAGCACGTCTTGAAACCGATCAGGAAGCCATGATGCGGCATAATGGTGGACATCTAGAACAACGCCAACATCGATTCGACGATGATGCTGTCTATATTGATACGATATCAAAAAATCGAGTACATATACGACCAGCTTGGGTTGAACCCGAAGTAGACGAAAATCGTTATCGACGTAATGATTATCGAGACGAATATATCATGGCTAAACGAAGTGTTTTGAATACAAAAAATATCATTTCGTCCATCCATGACGAACTGCAGCATATTGTGCTTCCGAAATCTGAAGATTATCATGCTTGAATGTCTTAACCTCTATTCTATGTAGGTGATACTCATCTCATGCTCCTTCTCTGACGCTTTGAATCTCTGTGTGTGCGTGTGTGAACATTCTTGGGAATGAATTTTATTCTTCTTATTTTTTTTGTCTGTTGTTACGAAAATAAATAGCGCTTTTTTTTCTACATTCGATTACTTTCTTTCGAATCGATGGTACATGATCATTATTTATGGACAATGATGCTATTTTTATTGCAGTTGGCAAAGCGAGTGTCCAACTCCTATCGATATTTACATTAACTTATCTGCAACATGAAATAAATGTCATCGCAAACATATGTACGAAAGTTCCATCGAAATTCTTGAGCATAATATCAATGTGCTTAGCCTACTGCTTGACGTTCGTCGGTACATTACTTGCGAATCATTGGATACAAATGATTGTTTCCGTCTTATTGATAATTGTGTTAAGTGTAGGTATTAATTATACATACAAAGATTACACAATAGATGAAGGTACGACTGAATTCCACAGAGAATAAATCATCAAAACGATAGACTCGTTGTCTCACTCAGATGAAAAGCTCTATTCAGAAAAACACAATGTCGTCAGACATTCTATGACTTCCTCACGAACAAAAGTCTTTGTGTACAGGAACATTCCATTCTATTTAGGTTTCTCCATATCCATTCCATACTTTATTCTTTATTCGTATTTCATATCAATCTTTAGCATAACTCATTACTCATTACCTATGCTGAACTGTTCAATTATCTTTCTATCTTCATTCATTAGTTACCTTCTCTTTGCTACTAACATTCTTTTTGGAATTGAACTACATAGGAGCTATCTCAACTATCTTGCATTTATCGGTCTGATCGTTTCAACATTCAATGTAAGATTGATACTTTCACAGCAAGAACATCAGCAAATCGTCGATCTTCTAACGACTCAATTCGTACATATTTATCAATACATAACTCATTTGCTCAGTGTCAAATTCGAATTGAATCCCGAATCTCATGAGCCTCACTAGCTAATCTGATTCTGTTTGAAGAAGTGATCAATGGAATCTTCTGTCACAAGACATACGTTCTGCCCTTGACTAAAAAAAAATACCAGGCAATATTAATTTGTGAAGCAATCACGCGCTTCGACAACATCTCACACAAATGTATGGACAAAATCACTTGAAAACAGGACATTGGTCTCTCTTATTTCGTTTTAATTTTTGCCGAAAGTATCTTTTCTGACTACATACTATTATCGTAAACATTTGTAAAAATATTTGCTCTTTCCAATGTCATTTAATGAAGCTTAATTAATTAATTAGTGAATATTTCTCTAACAATACGATGAAAATTTTTAAAACTTTCAGGATAAACTCGACGACCCAACTCGCAAATATGATACAATTTTCAACAAAATCGCAGAAGTGAAATTTCCCTTAGAAAAATATTCTCTCATGTACTCCTGTTAAGCGTCAAAACAGAAACTTTGACTTTGTCATAACCTTAAGGTATTAAAAAATGATTCGTATTTGTATGGATCTTTTTCTAGTCATACGAATACTTTTTCGCTCAACCCTTCGTACTGGGTGATGTCACGAACGTTGAATGCAGTTAATTCTTGAAAAAAGCTATATGATTTGGGAAGAATATTGCATACGTTAATCTCAACTACAAAAGTGCAAATCGATGTCCTTTTTTTCAGTACTGACGCTTTACAGAAAGCTTTTTTTAAGACATACAGAACAGCTGACCGCGTATATTATGCAAAAAACTCAGCTGCCGAGAAACTTCTTATACAGAGATACACATGTTGAAAGTGTACGGTATCACGTCGTTATTAAAATGCTTTTGTCCGTATATATTCGTCTGCAATCGAATTAAGAAAATCATCTTTCGTCTCATCTCTTTATTCTCCAAAGAAATAGTTTTTCCTAATCGCTTCATCTTCGCTAATCGTATTAGTCATTCTTGAACAAATCTATTTACATAGATAGTTGTAGAAATGTAAAAATCTATCTTTCTTGGGCAAAGCATCGATGCATAGGAGCAAATGTTGCCAATATTGATCATTCTCAATCTTCTTCAAATTCAATAAAACAAGTGTTTTAGATGGTGAATAATTTTTATTTGATTAATTCATCTCTAGAACACATAGATTTGCTGTGCACAAGCAAAAAGAAATGAAGAGAGAAATACGAAGATGCATATTCAATAAATAGAGGCAAATAGGTATGCGAATACACTAACAGTAATAAGAAAAGGGAATATCTCGTTATGAAACACTGTTCGCATGAAGATAAAAGGAGTTTTCATGTATATATATATATATAGATACGCGCGTCCTACACCATAGACAAATGAGAAAAAAAATCGATTGCACTAGATTAGTTTGACGTATGGATGAATATATGAAGGTACGTTTTGATAAATGAATTTTTAGAAAAAAAAGTGAATAGAAGACGAAAGTAAGATATGCGCGTCGAGCGAGCTACACAAACAAACAAGAAGCATTGTGTACAAGATTATGAATAGAAGGAGAGAAGACAATAAACGAATAAAAATGTTGTGTTGTTTATGGAAAAAAAATAAATAAATAAACACAGAATACGTGGAAATCTGATGATTTGCATATTTCTACTGTTCATCTTCTTGGCGTGGTTTCATTTCCAGATCACGTAGGAACTGACGTGGAGTGATCGTGTGGTCGCTGCCTATTCATTTTTAATACAAACGAACGAATGAATGAAAGTCACGGTAATAGCGATTCACTTACCGATGAATACTTCCCATTTCTTGTTATTACTTTGAGTAACTTCGTAAGCACAACGAAGCTCACTGTAACAAACACCTCCAAGGATGAAGACAATCAAACGCGGACCTGATCGTACGGCGCCTTTACGGTTCTGCATCCAACCACCGAATTCTCGAGAACTAGAACGATGAGAGCATTCGCTTAGACATCAGACTAACCATGCCTCTACGTCTCATGACAAACACGATTTCATTTAGCTTTCTTTCTTTCTTGAGATGATCAGATCAGGTAAGACTTACCTTTGTGCAGAATAATTAGCTCCTATGTTTCTTTGTCCACCAATTAATGGAAATTGTCTCGAATCCAATTTATCGTCGATAATATCCTTGAAAATTTCAATTGATCCTCATCTATTCCTTCGAGAAATTTCTTACTTCCATAATATCTTTGATATACGGTGTCCATCTTGAGTTTGTGTAGGTCGTTTCCGTACGTTCTTTTCTTGACTGTGGAATGTTTTTACGTCTACCAGCCTAAAAAGAGTTTCATATTCATCGATTCTTAGTTCAACAAGAACGTTATCCGACATGCATATAAAAAATGTATACTGTTTTTCATGCTCACATACATATGATGATAACGACGAAGAAGAAGAAGAAGAAGAGAAGAATAAATTAAACAGGTAGACATTTTCATAAAGATACTGAACCATGCTCATCAATAAAAGAAAAATGAAAAGATCCAAATCACCCCTGACGGTTTTATGAATAGTTCCGTAGCCATATGCATGGCAGATGTTCTGCCTAAGTCAGCGGACACTCCGCTTTCACGCTGGAGGAGCGAGTGTTACTTATATATCGAACAGAAGTGAACAGTGAAAGTTGTTCACTTACTCGACTTTGATCTTGAATGATTTGTAAATTTAAATGTTGCATATTGGAAATAACCGCTTTCTTCTCGGTTGGAATCAATGCGTGGCTTAGCAGTTTGTCCAAATTTTCTTCGGTGATACCTAAATCAAGAACAGAACCACATTGGATTTCTGAGCGAAATATGAGTAATGTCAAAGTGAATTATGTCGATTGATCGGTTAGAATTAGAAAAAGAGTCAAAACCCTAAACCCAAACGAGCGAGTGTTTCATTACCGTACGAATCTGGTGGCGTCGAACAATAGCCTAAATTTAGATGTATCTCTTAACTTCTCTTCTCGAATATTTCACAAAATAAAATTCGATTTTCAAAAAAAACTACAAGTTCTTTACCATTCTTATGTAAAATGTATAACATAATGATACGTAATTTGTCTTCAATTGCGATGACAGTGTCCAATAGTAGTGGTACAATATTACGCATATGATCTTTGATACGTTCACCTTCGGCATCAGTACCCATTGCCAAATTCTATATAGAGCAAAATTAGTCAGTTCAATTACATGTAATTATTCTGTAGACAAAACCAAGTCTTCTTTCATTTCAACGTGATTGATCGAATTTAGACTGCCGGAAGCAATATTCGATTACTTTTTAAACCGGAATTACACTTGATGCTTTTTATCGCATAAAAAACTACAGTTCTTCATTTCCGGTTTTTACCTGTTCGACCGAGCATAATTTTTCTCCCGAATCCCGATTGTAGGCATTCATACATTGTTCAGCGATGTTAAAATGAAGCGCATATGCATTCAATTCTTTTTGATACTGTGGCATTTTTTTAATCATCAATCTAAGTAGTCATAAAATGAGGATACAAATGAAAGAAAACGAAAGTTATGACGTTACGTACGAAAGATCTTTCATTGTAGTTCGCTCGCCACGATCGGCCTCTTTAACACGTTTTTGTACTGCAAAATCTTTGATTTTCTTGGTAATACTCCTATGAAAACGCAGTAAGGAGGTCATGCATTGAAAGAAGACAAGGATAGGATGACGTACTGTGTGACGACGGCAATATGCTGATGACGAAGTTCAGTCCATAATTCATCATTTTCATCCAAAAGGACTTTTTGTTTTTGTCCTGGATTGACTTTTGGATCTGCGCCAGGTGTTTGAACTTCATTTCTAAATAAAAGAATATACCACGAGACATATCTCCATCAAAATGCGTTTCAATTCAATAGTTTCATACTCGAAGACGTCATTTTCGATTTTTAATAAATCTTGTGCCATTGCTTGGAATGTCAGTTCATGAAGTAATGGTGAAACAGCATCAAAACCTCGATCGAGTAGAAGTAAAACGGATTTTGCTTTGTCGCCGCCCTATCGTACATCAAAATTTCATGCAAACAAACTTTGTACATGTGAGAAAAGGATTTACTTCGCCCATGGTCGCATCGTCAGCTTTGTATTGATTAAGTTTTTGTTGAACAGCATGCGCAAATTCTAATAGTTTCTCGTTTTCACTTCGATAACGAATTGTTGGATATTCGCCGAGTGTCGCGCATAACGTTGCTATTTGTTCAGCAATAACATCTAGATGTTGAGCGCGAACACTTGCTTGTTGCGGATCATATGCGATGAAAAACGTATCAGGTGAATCGAGGGTGAACACCTAACACAAACGAGAAATAACGAATCGACGAAAAGGTCAACAAATGAAATTTTACCTGACGTTCATATGGTAAGAAAGCAATATTAACTTCCCGCAATGTTTTGATATATTTTGCACATTTTGATTGAGTTAATTTGGTAAATAACTCGGAATTACACGCTAAAAGAAAAACATTTGCAATTTGCGGCGAAACGACAAAGTAGTCTAGTTACGAAAAGACAGTCAACTTTGGTAGAACAAACTCTGGAGAACGGAATAAGAGGAAAGACTTGGTCTCCTGTGACTACACTCTAGGGAATGAAGAAAACTCGATATTGGGTCAACAGTTTGTGACCTATCACGTCCCAGTTTTTCAACAACTCCTTTTCAATATCTCAAAGTATATCATGACTACACTAACAATCTCATCACACCATAAAACTTTCTAATTCAATTATCTAGTTCGTGTTACACAACTCGTATCTCTTCTCAGGTAGTCTTCTAATCTTCACCGCACATGTCTAATTACAACTAGGCAATGGTGAAACACTCAATTATTACACAGGCGATTAATCATACTTAGACATTCCCGCTTATCGCATTTTGATGATTCATAATCGACAAAAGAGTCATGACTTCTCATTGTAATCTGAAACCGAATGAATCCAATTTATGTTCCTACCTTCTGTAAAGAAAACATGAGCTGCTTTGTATTTTGGAACTAATGCATTTGCTTTGTCGAAATCATTGATAAGTTCGTTGACGGACTAGGAAAAACAACACATACATCAATGAATGATTCGTAAAATTTCGCTTGCATACTCTTTCGTTCGGTTGAATGAAATAAACAGCTTCCAACATTCCTAACGGTTCACGTTTCTTCATAATATCTTCGACGACTAGAATTTGTGAGAAGAAACTCTAGATATGCATAGTGAAAGATCCTTGCTACGTACTTGTAATCCCTTCTGACATGATATCATGCATTTTGCATGATGCTGATATGATTCTTGTTGCTAAACGATCCATAACGAGAACTTTCCAGTCATTCCGTTCTTTTTGTCGAACGGAATCACACCGTAACATCTCATTAACGAGTTCTAAGAAAAATTAGGAAAATCGATGAAAACATCAACACGGAATAATCCTTACTTGCTCCGACTAATTTTTGCAGATTGGACGTTGTCATTTTGTATTAATTCATATGTATTAAAAATAAAAAATCAGGTATAAAAAAAGAAGAAACCGATCGTCAATTATTCTGAACCAGTTATTTATTTGTTCAATTAGACATCGCTATGATATTAAATTAACAAATAGTGGTATTGAGGATTGAAGAATGCGTCGATGGGTGAAAATCTAATCTACAAATGCAGTTGAATTTCGAAGAAGAGTTTTCATTGGTGCAAAACAACAAGCAATAGAAATCAAACGGTTTATTCATCCATTCTTTCTCTTTGAAGAACGAATAGATCGTAATAAACTGATGATCTCGATGGTAAAAAAAGGCAATAGTGATTCTTTCGTCTAAACTTATTATTGTTATTTCATACTTGTCAAATAAAAACCTTCGATTCAAAGAAAACTTCGAGAGAAAGAGAAAAACACGCGACGACGACTGTATCTCCACTTGTAAATTTGTCTAAAAACTAGTGCTGATTCATTTGTAAAGACACAAATCAAACAATGTGATCATCTGTAGATTACCTGGCTTTCGTTTCAGATGAAAAATCAAAAGTCAAGTGTTATTACTAAACCTATGTCAACCAGTTCAAATAAACAATCGACTAAATCCATGGATATCGAAAACAATCAACAACAAACAAGCGAAGAAATAGTTACTTCGATTGAAAATTCATTGGTAGAACACAATGATAAGGTAAATAAAAGAAAATGGGTGACAACTGTCGATTCGATTTGAAATAGAACAGCTGATGCATAAATAAACGAGAGAAATAATGATTGATCATGGCAATACATCTTCGAGTGTCTCATATTTCCTTTAATCTTATTTTAATTGATCATTGCTATTTTCGCTACACACAAACATAAGAAACATCAGCTGATGAGAGAAAGTTTTTCTGTCTAATGAAAAAAAAAGAAAATGAATGCTATTCAATATCAACTTGATCTAGGAAATGAAAGAAAATGAAATAATTATTTACGAATTTCATTTTCCTGTGGATCTATGCGGTCGTTTGATTGGCCGACAAGGTGTTCATGTTGATTACATTCGTCAAATAACTCAGGTCGATTTAGTTGTACGTGATGATGCGGTTTCCTACGAAAAGCAAGTGGTTGCTTTACATGGTATGCGCACGAATTGAGCGTTGATTTTTGGCCATTGAAAATCCTACGGAAATTTAGGTCGACGCGTCGATGTCGAACGAGCAATTGAATTAATAGCCAAACGTTTTCCATCTGATCGATATCCTCAAGTTTCGTTTAGTCCTATTAATAAAAAAATTATTCTACGACAACGTGCGCCGGAATGTGTACCAATTCCAACGTCTGCTGCTCAAGTAAGACATACGAAAGAGAGTAAAATAGGTCGCTCTACTGCCTATTTTTCCATGTAGCTCTATTTACCTGATGGAATTCCAACTGAAGTTCTTGTTACCAGTGTTGTTTCATGCAATCACATCTTTGTGCAACAAATCCTGCATCCATCATATCCGGAACTGACACGTTTGGATAATTCGATGTCAGTCTTCTATCATCATACGGAAATGACGCCACTCTTGCCCCGACCTGTTCAACGTAAGAAATGTTTTGCTGAAACAATGGAAGTGGTAATCATTGGCTTTTCTCTTTTCTGCAGCCGGAGTGATCTGCGCAGCACCAACGCAAGCGGGCTGGTTTCGGGCTTTGATTACGGTGTATAACAGTAATGATGATATGGCATTAATCAAATTTTTGGATTATGGCGGCTATCTGTACGTGAATGCAGGTTCTTTACGTGTTCTCAGGTAGATTGACGACCAGCTGTCTTTTATGTATACAAATGTTTGTGATTTGTAGACAAGACTTTATGATCATTCCATTCCAAGCAGCAGAAGTGTATTTGGACAACGTCGTACCACCCGATAGTAAGAAAATTAAAGTGAAAAAGAATTTCATGAAGAATAGAAGTCACTTGAAGATTAAGTGGAGTTTATGTAATCAGCTCTAAATCCATCTAATCCATAAATATGTAATTTGATGTAAAAAATGCGTAATTTTAACTGTGTCACTCAAAAGTAAATCTTTTGATCTGTTGCATTCGTTCACCATCAGTGTTGTAAACGGTTATCGAAGATTTTTAGAACTGCAACAGGTAGTTCTGTTCGCATAGGTGTTTAAACATTACCTACTTTTAATTGAAATCCATCGTATGTCTAACAGTTACTTATTTTCTTCACTTGTTCAGATCAAGAGGATTTTACACCGGAATCAATTGAACTGGTTAAACCGATCATACTTGGTTCTTCATTCAAAGCGATTGTGACTGGATATCATTATGATAACACTCCATTCATCCAATTAACCAAACGTCATGGCAATGTAAATTTTCTAAATTTGCCCTGTAAAAGTACACATTTTCTGTTCTATAGTCACGACCAGTCAATGCTGATATCCAGAAGATGATTAACAGTCAACAACAACAACAACAAACACCATTGGCAGTCAATGCAACAGTAGCAAATACGTCTCTTTCATCGTTACCTAATCAATTCGAACAGTCTGTATCGGATGTGTCAACTATGTCGTCAACGTCCAATTCTGATAGTTGATACAAAAAAAGCCTGATCCGACTTTTGTTGTTTGTGTGTGTGTGAGTGAGTGAGCGCGCGTTTGTATGTGTGTCTGTTAGGACCACCGGTTTTGTTCTCAGTTATTCTATTCATAGACAAAACGTATTGTGATTGTTGTTTTTGTGTGTTTTGTATGTGTGGCGGGTTGTTACGTTATTGCGAGGATGATAGTGTATGCAGTTAAATGCATACATTCCTCTTTTTCTGTTGATTTGGTTTACTTTTCTTCTGTTTAGTAGTTTTCTTCCTTTCTTTTGTTATTTCATTCACGTTTTTTTGCGTTTGATTTTGCTAAAACACACAAAAACTCAAAAATACATTTTGGGAATGGATAAGTTATGAAATCCTACAAAACATGTTGATTATCATTTCAAATCTCGACGTCCCTGATGTCTTTTTCTATAAGCGCTGATTCGTAAGAGGCAGTCAAAATCGAACGCAATTAGTCTAATACGTAGACAGGCAACATCGTCTTATCATGAATAGGCGATTTTCACATTTAGCAGTAATCAAGCAAGATTATCTGACATACAAGCGCATAGTTCTTGCGCGAACTATGACCTCTCGGCAACATTCATCTATGTGCACGGACGGAAATGCTCTGAAAATGAATATCACTTTTTTATTCTTGTTATTAATTATACAAAAATAGAACAACATCAACAGAAACATACAACATTTAGAAGTTTGAAGATATGCTAAAAATAGAGATGAAGGAGAGAAAAAAAGTCGTTTCATATTGCAAGCTCGACGTATGAATAAATTGAGCAATTGATTGTGTTGTGATTACATCAGAATCGTTCAAGAAAAGTGTGTTTTGTTTAAAGAATTGTTTTAGTCTCCTTGTTTTGTTTGCTAATGGAGCACCAATGAAGAGAAAACAACAACATGAGGAACATCACACAGTATTTTGTCGTTGAGGGCAAGTCACGGATATAATTGGTAATGGTTGTTGATTGGTCACCAATTGTCGTTGAACATGCGATTCTAAACGTTGCCACAAGAGATTATTTTGTTCATTGACTGCTGACGCGATCATTTGAGGTAGATTTTCCACTTGGGACTAGAATTAAACGAAGGAATTCACATTTCATGATCAAACGATCATGTCTTTACTTGTAAATTCGACACACGCGAATCCAGATTTTGAAATCGTACTTCCAATTCAGTCTGATTCGTGACCATCTGTGAAACAACATCATACACCGACGATTGTAACTAAAACATATAAACATCCCATTTCAATTGTCACTTTCTCCTGCATCATTTTCTAGTTACACGTGTAATACTGGACACAGCACTGATGTTATCGGTTAATTTTCTTTGATCCAATTTAACTTTTCTCAAACTAGAAAGCAAACGTCAGTATCCTGAGAATGTCAAATTACAATTTTAATGACAAACCTATGAATAGCATGCAAAAATTTCCGCTGATGCGTTCGTACTTTTGATGTATTTATACTTTTGACTAATTTAGTATATTTATAAATCAACCATGTTTCCCGCAGAACATTTGCTGCTGCATTTTTCAACTAGACATAATTAGACCGGAATGAGATGATTATGTCGAGAATATAGACATACTCGTTTAGTTAATTGTGTATCCATCATGAAATTGTGAACATGTTTTTCCGCACGTGTTAATTCCAATTTACGCGCAAGTACGGCAACCATCGTAGCTGTACAACAAACACCCTGTCGTAAATGAAAGAAAAAACAAACATGATGATCGTTTTTTCAATGATTTCACAAAAAAGAAACACAGTCGACGACACAATTAGATCAAATAGCATTTTTGCATATGAGTAATGAAATTATTAAACATGCACTATATGCAGTTCATTTCTTTTATGCTAAGTAATTGATCGGAAGATCGAAGAGAGAATTCCTTGATTGCATAGGGACATGCATGCATGCATTGTTTTCAAGAATCTAATTCATACTAGATTGTCTATTCGATTTTGAAATTCTGAACTTGAGAGAATTTCATTTGCTGGAGAAATCTTTTATTTATGAGGGAAAATATTGAAAATGTCAATACAGATGAGAATACTAGAATTGCGTGTATGTACTTATATTGATGAGTTTTAGGGAAACTTTCATATATTTATACGAAGATGATTTATATTCATAAGGTACACAGATCTCCGATGATTTACATATTTATTTTTATTCAATTGTTAATAATAGAAATAATCTCAAGGTAACCTTAACAGTGAAGGAAAGGTTCACTTACCATTACACCTGATGCAACGCAAATTGCTCGGCCACAATAAGTATTCGGAACTAGATCTCCATAGCCAATGGCTAAGAATGTAATCGCTACTAACCACATGGAATTGAGAAGATTTCCATGATGTTTCGGATCGTGATTGCTAAGAACAAATGTTCATAGAACAAAAGTATTTAGTTCGTTTTCTTTACCTTTCACATGCTCTCAGTGTCCAACTTGCAATGATGAATAATGATAGAATAAACACTAATAGAACTGTTCCCGGACATATTGTCATCAACGTTTTCAATACGAATGTTGTATTAAATTTAATTCGATTAAAAGCCCCAATACTCCGCGATGAAGCATCTATTGATCAAGAGAACAGAAGAATTTCGTAGGAGGGAATCGTCATTATCTCACCTGTGAATAGTTTGCTATGTAGAAGCATCACACGACATATTAGGTATAGTCGAAAGAACATTGGTAATGAAAGTAGAATGTCAACGTAAACAACAGTTGTTTTCAGATGTGAATGATAATCTGCTTTGTTGGACATATGAGTAGTCCATTGGAATTGAAAATCTCCGGGAATAGGATGAATAGCACAAACTAAACAGTAAAAAAAAACGTTGTACATGCTTTCTGTATGTTATATAATCTTCAAATTACTTATCACTTCAGCAGCTATTTGAAACAAACGTTGCCAAGTAAGAGCTATTCGCCAATCATCCAAGCAATTATCAATCATAAACAGCTATCGAAAACGAAAATGATTCGATCTAATCGAAATGAAATCTCATCTGTTTTACTTTAACTTCCAACGTGTGATAGAGAACAATCATCGTTACTAAGATCATTGTAGATAGACTGACACAGGATTTGACTAATAACGAGCACCAATGCTTCTAAAAATAAACGATCAATAACGTTGTCGGTAAAGATCACAGAAGAAGGTGTGAGATCATCAAGCGAAATACACGCACAGGAGAGGAGAACAACCGTAAGATATGAGCCTTATTCGTGTTTGGATTGTTTCCGATGTAATAAATCTTCGTTCAGGCGTTACAAATAGTATCCTCTTCTAATTTCATGCTTGATACTATATCTACATAAATCTCTGTAATTACGCATATAGGAAACATCGCATTAACAACAAAACAAAAAAAACTACGTCAAAGTGTTTGAAGGATACCCTGTTGAAAAGATTGATGATCACTTCAGTGTATTCATTGACGAAACACTTTTCGATCACTTCAAAATGCATCAAGAGAGATTATACGTCCTCTAGCTAACGATAATCAGCCTTTCAATTTATCATACCTTGTCATAGACTTTAGCCATTGTTAATTCTTGTTCCAGCACCATCAGGCAAAGTCCGATCATAGCAAAAAGCAATGCGTAATCTGAAGCTTTACGACGCTTTTCAAAGAGTAGTTTTCGTCGTCCTAATCGATAGCATTCTTTTCGTGTTGTACGTTCAACATGCTTTGTTTCATCTAAATCAAACATCGACGATTAGGAGTGCACATACGATCAAGTCTTTCTCACTTGGTTGTGTTAACGGACTGGTTACTGCAATCGACGACAAATCATTTGGATTTGGTGTGTTCGCTGTTGATGTCATCGGTGTTTTTCTGTCTACATTGAGATGTAAACATGCGGGCGTATTTGATTGGGATGTATTTGCCATAAAATCGCCGAGCAATGAACCGTCACATTCACTTTGACGAGATCCTTGTCGAGGCAAACGATCAGGTCGTTGTAATTGACGAAATGGTATAGCTAGAGAAGAAAGAAAGGAAGATCTAAACTTCGCGATCAATTATCAATCGTTTTTTCTCTCTTTCTCCTTCTTCCCTTCACTTCGCTCTAGAAAAAAGCGCAGCACATAAGATGTTGATACCATTAATAACGATGGAATTTTCTTAGAACTCAAGCATAAACCTTTCAACAATAGACAGCGATAGCTTACCTCCATTATATTTCATCGATTCCAAGCTGATATCAACAATTGTATCATCTCGGCGCCGTTTTAATTCACCTACTAGAACTCTTCCGCTACCTGATATGCTCCCTCCCCCGATGGAGGTCGCCGCACCGGTATTTGCTACATCTTCGGTCTGTGTTGCCACATCTTCGCTACCAATCGTTCCACCACGACGCCAGCTATGATAGTTTGTGTCACCTGAATGAGCACTGCTATGTGATTCAATCGATCGACTAAATGTTGGATGGCCAATAAGAACGTTCGAAGTTGCATTTATTGTAGACATGTACGCTTTTAATAAATAATAAGATTTGAAAACGATGGATTCAGATTGATGATAAGTAATAACATTGGTTAAATATACAATATTGTATGTCGACTATTATTGCATTATATACGATTTATCACGCATTAAAGGGAATAAAATATGATGTTGACGTACTTTTCTATTTCTAGAAAGTAAGATGAAAGGTTGTATGATCGATCGGTTGACACTGTCAAAATACTTCTTCTTCTTATAGCAGACCGATTCTAAGTACTTCGAACATCAATTGAAACGTTTTTCTTTCTGTTCGGAAAATCAATGAAGTGAATACGTATGTTACGAATCGTCAATATTTTATTGCTCTCTATGCGATCATTCGGAGAACACGAACGAGAGAGAAACAGAGAAAGGAAAAAAAGGAGAAAGATAATCAATCGTCTTCTCTTCATGCTACCGCAAAATTCATTCCGAATCGCCTTGCTCATTCGATTTCCCTTGTTAGTCTACACTAACTCACCCGAGACAATAAAACAACGTCGACATCAAGTGTCATCAATATCGTGCACTGATTAGACTTATTAACGGTTTCGAACGCGAAAACTTTCATGCTTGTCGCCTTCGTTGTTGCTTTTCTCTTTTCAGTTTCACTCTGCTCCCCATCGTTGGCACATAGGAAATTTGCCGAGTAATCGAACAATAGCAGATCAATGTCTCTATCATATTATTACTATTTACTAGTCTTCTTCATTTCCTTGGGCTTATTTATTTGTCTCTAAATCACTCGATGATTGAATCAATGCCTTTCAGATAGAGTCGCTTACTCTCTCTCTCTCGTTTTCTATTATTAGGAGATCATATGAAGAAATGTAAATATTTCGATAACTACGGATAATAATTGTTCGGTGGGTGTAACTTTAGTTCTTCATAACGGAAAAAGAAACCGTAAATTATAGGCTATAAGTTGATAGTGTGACGCCGGAAAGTGTTCTCATTTCTTGCCAGAACGACTGTCAATGGGAGTAGATGAAAGAGCAAGAAAGAGAGGCAGAGAGGAGGATAAGTCTTTTTTTTTGAATATTGTAACGAAGAGAAAGCTTTTACACGTAAATGACAAGAAAAGGTAATGCACGCAAATCAGCCACGAAAAAGCTTTAGTTCTCAGCGAATTGGCAACTAGTGAATCTTTAATAACGGATATCTTCTTAATAATTAATACGGGGAGGCGAATGAGGTTTGAATATAAGTAATTAACACGCAAACAGACATCCGTTCAACATTTATTAGTCGTTCATACTTTCAATCATATGCTAAAAACAAACATTTCTCTTACTGTGTCTTCAGAAATAATTTGTCTTTTTGCCGACTTTTCTTTCTATATCATTGCCATTGGAAAAAAAACCGAAGGAGAAGGAGAAAAAGAAACGACATGAATGAACAAATTTCACTGCGTTATACCTTTTCTTTTCAGTTTTACAGTTGAATGCTTTATTGCATGTGAACTTTTCTCTAGAAAAGATGAAGAAATACTAGAAGAAAAAGTATCACGACGAAAAGAAGATTAACAAAGATATTTATTTGAGAATATTACATTCCAAGCAAGTCTATTCTAATGGCACTGGTCTCTCAACGATATTTTGTTCTTGATATCTATAGATATCTAACAAATAAACATGTCGATCATAAACTACCCAAGACGAAAATGACAAACGGATAGTTAATGGCGGTATTAAGAGAAGAAGTATTATTCAGTGTAAAGAGATCTTCTCTCAACTTCAAAACTCCCGCATTATCAAGTTTTTCTTGACACCATCACTCTAATCTTACTCAATTGATCCGCTACTATCTGTCTAATTCGGTTTCATAGACAAATTGTCTCTTAGCTGATGTAATATTCTTCTCAAAACTGGAAGACATCGGAATGGTGGTAGAAGTAGCGGAGAATGCACTATCAAGAGAAAGAGCAAGAATGGCAGAGAGATGTGACAAATAATCAAACAGGTCGCTGCCTATGTAGTTCTTCTCGTGCTTCATCGTCGTCATTTTCTTTAGAATAATAGTAATAATAATAATAAAAAGAAAAAAGAAAGAAAACTAAGAAGAGAGAAAGAAAGTTATGCTCGTCGCTTATCTTCATTTGACACTCTGGCACAGATGAACATATTCTAATGAGAATAATGCATATACACAACGGAGAGAAAGCTCCTTGTCATCTATAAATAATTCATTGCCGTATTTCACTTTACTCGATGTCGTGCATGTTTCTTTTCAGTAAATTAAAAGCCGATCAAGAATGAAAGGACAAAGTGAAGTGCTGTATCATGCTATAACGATGAACTATCGATGAAGACGCGCAAGATGAGATCTGTTGGGTGTGAAGAATCGAATGTATTCGTGTAGATAAACTTGTCAGCTCAATTGTCAATAGACCTGGAAAGTGTTTGTTCTATCCTATTTACTCTAATTCAATCAACATCTGCTCGATTACTCTCTCTTCTCATTCATCACATAATTCTAAACTCGTTCGTTTTCTCTTTATTACTATCTTGATTCTATTAGACAGAACAAACAAGTTATTGCTCGACGACTATCCTGCACTTCTTTTTTTTCCTCTGATCAACTTCAAGCATCTCGCACATCGTTGTTTTCGTATTTCAGATCATTGCTTTTTCTTTAGACAACGTTATTTTATGATTGATTGAGGTAGTTTAGATTCATCGAAGTTAATGGTATCTGGTAAACGTATCCAAGATCAATTAGATGTGCTATTTGAATAATTACTTTGACAAATGTGACAAATATTTACTAATATTGCATGATAGCAATGTCGAAAACTGATTTACGAGAAAAATTCTAACATCTGTTAAGGAATGTCAGACGAGAAATAAGATCGTTGTTGTTCTTAGGTTGTCTTGAGCAATAACCTAGTCTAAATAGTATTTCTTAATAAAACAAATTAGTTTTTCTTTGGCTCAAACAAGACTTAGCTGGAAAACATGGTCGAATTGATTGGTAAGAAAGTCAAGTTTTTGGAAAAGTCACTCGATTTTTTTTGTTAGTCTATACATAGACGAGAAGAAAAAGAAACGTGTCAATAGAGACCGGAGGCGGATTTTATTAAAATATGAGAAATGGCATGTCGAATGGTTTTTTTTCCTGGATAGAGATGCGAGAAAAGATGAAATAAATATTTAAATTCGAAGCAGAATCTTTTATAAATCTAAAATATTGATTCGATCCATCGAGAAGCAGGAAAGATAGCTGCATTGACAATTGTGCTTAGGCGATATTATCGATCTAAGTATCTCTCGAAATTGACAAAACAATTATTTACGTCAGACACATGTCAATCCCGGAAGAATACATTTCTATGACTTTATGTCGTTAGATGCCTACATACATAGAAACATGTAAACATGTACTAATGATGCTGACAATTGAGGTATCGATGGTTAAAATAATTGGGTCAGACAGAATTCTTCGAATGTAGAGTGCAATTAGTGTATTTCGAAGAGATTTTTCAAGTATTTTGTAAAAGGATGTAAAGATATGATCGTAATGATTATTTAAAAAAAAACTTTTTAGAAAATAAAAGAATTGACAGCATCTTTTTTAATTGTATTCATTGCATTTAAGAATCTGATAGTGAACAGATTGTTGTGATTCATAGGAAGATTGATTCGTCAAATTACTATTGAACAAATCATTACTATTGATAGGAAGCGTTGTTGATGAATCGAAGACATTCGCAGTAGAATGAAGCTGAAGGAAAAACGAATTCAGATAGATCAGCTTGGTAAATGTATTCATTTTACTTGATCATCTTGCATCGTTGTCCAATTATCTGATATGTTTGTCGATTGTTGAGTTTTGAATGCTGAACGATGGCGAAAATTGCGGTGTTTCTGTAGCGATGATTTACATGTAAAATAAGCTGAGCATAGATTACAGAAGAAATTCGTTTGAATTTGATGTAATTTCTTTTCATGCATCTTCAGATTATGTTTCAAAGAAAAATATTCGTGACAGAGTGTACATTGATATAGATGATCTGTTGATGACTTGTTTAGGTTCGGTTTGTTGTGTTTCGTACGTTGATGACGTTCGAGAGATGAAATTTGACTGAATTGTTGTCCACATTCGGAACACAGACAAGGTTTTTCCCCTGTGTGAATGAGAATATGTCGCGAAAGATGACTTGGCGAAGAGAATGATTTTGAACAATGGGAACAAGAGTACGTCTGTTGTTTTTTATCTATTATTTCGTGTGGAGACGAAGTCGAGACAGTGAAACATGGTTTTTTAATGATGATCGTTCGAATCTGTTCGTTAATAGGCATGAATCAAATCGAATTGAAAGTGTGATGACAGATCTTGACTTTCTTCTTGTTTGTAACAGATTCTTTCATTGATATTTAACCAATAAAAATCGCATGATTGCATAGAGGTCAGTGTCGACAGACAGGGAACATTTTGCAACTATGTCGATTTTCAACTTCTTCATATTATCGATGAGTTTCATTCTCATGTCAGTCGGATAGCACAAAACAAAAGCAATTTCGATATTGATGACCAAATTGTTCATTGATTTCTGTTCTGCTATGCAAATATCTACTTAACTAATGGAAAAAAAACAATCGAAGACAACATCAAACTGAATCCTGAAGAAAATAAGAATATCCGGCTGTTTTTATTAACATTCACTGTGAATTACTAACAGAGATTTTTCGAGAAGGAAAAAGCTTTTTAGAGCAATATTAACAGTCATCGGAAAGGAAACGACGTGCATGCGATTTGTTACTAGTGAAGACCTCGGAACTAGTCAATAAAACACGACGAAGAAAAAAAATTATCTCTCTTCTAATCGATCGGTACATCACATATTAGTTCTACACAAGAATCATAATATGAAACTATCCGATGAACTTTTAGGTATGTTGAATAATACGTAACAACATTTTGAATTCACATTTTCTGTTGATTAGGTTTCGCGGAAGCTTGGCTTCTACTAATCGTTGGTTTAAGTTGCATCGCCATTGTTTCTGCAGTTACCATTCTAATATATCTCAAGTACACTGTATTTCATAAGCCACGTCAAGGTAAGTTTATCGAAATCTGTTCCGCCAAGAGTGCTATATTACCTTTTCAGATAGGCCAATTGATATTGCTTGACAGGACCATCATGGCACGACAAAAGAGTGTCTCATCAGAGGAATGACTTGACTTTATGCGTTTAATCATGGAGATATCTAAATAAAGATGACGTCTAGCGATTCTATCTCGATATACGTAGATAATTTAGCTGTTCAAATCTATAGAATTAGAATTTAACTCATGTGGTTCGATTGAGACTATTATCGTTATATATTCATTTTATTTCTCAATATTGAAAATAAAACAACGTCAATTTACAAATTTTTCGTCACCCGCTTCAGATCTTCTTTGTATTTTTCTTGATATGGATCGTTCCTGGGAAGCGATTCGATCGCTGCCTCAACTGCTAGTTTATAATATTTGGCAGCCATTTGGTACTTTCCTTCACTTTCAAATACACTGCCAATGCTGTTGTAGGTCATGATCGTTTCCGGATGATTAAACCGAAGTGTGTATTTTTGAAGTGAGAGAGTCTCTTTGTAATGCGAATGCGCTTTTATATAATCACCCAACTTGTGATACGTTGCAGCAAGATTTCTGTACGACGAGGCTATTCGAACTTCATCAGGAGGATTTAGTTTCTTTACAAGTGTAGTAATCATTACAAAGTAGGCAAGTGCATTTTGGTAGTCACCCATGCTGAAATATGTTAAAGCGATGTTATTGTAGGACGCACACAAATCCAGAGAATTGGTAGTTGGCAAATCTTGGAGTATTTTCAGCGCTTGTTCATAGCAAGATAGGGCTTGGGAATAGTCATTAAGTGTGAAATGGATCAGACCAAGATTGTTGAAAGATGCGACTAGAAGGAAATGTTTTGGATGGAGCTTTTGAATTAGGATAGCATGTGCGTCTGTATGAGACAAAAGTGCACTGGAGTGATCATTCATACTGTATTGCACTTGACCAATACTATTATAACAACTTGCCAAATTACGATCATCGGGTGGCAAAGTTTTTTCCATTATAGCACGTGCTTTGTTAAGATTTGAAAGTGCCTCCGAATAATTACCTAAGCTATGATGAACAGCGCCAAGATTGTTATAAGACATGATTAAATCGGAATGATCGGAGGGAAGTGACTGCTTTTGAATCTCCAGGGCTTTTTCATAAGATGAACGTGCTTTCGAATAATCGCCCCTATTGAAATAACCAGTACCAAGATTGTTATAGGATGATGCTAAACTACAATGATTGGGAGGAAGTGTTTCTTTCAATATAGCATGTGCTTTTTCATACGCTTCAACCGCTTTCGAAAAATCGCCCTTACTGTTATGCACATTGCCAGTATTGATTGAAGCTAAGGTACAACTACGATGATCTAACGGTAATAGCTTCTTGTGAATTTCCTGGGCTTTTTCATAGTAGAGAAGCGCAGTCGAATCATCGCCCATACTCGAGTAGACGGTACCAAAATTGTTGTAAGACATCATCAGGTCACGATGATTGATCGGTAATGATTGTTGTTGAATGATAAAAGCTTTTTTATAACATTCGAATGCTTTCGAGTATTTGTTCGTACTGGAATACACAGCGCCTTTGTTACTAAACGACATGGCCGCATCAGAATGATGGGAAGGAGATGTTTGTTGAATTTCCAGAGCTTTTTCATAATTGAGCATTGCATTTGGATAATCACCAATATCGTAATATATTAAACCGATATTGTTGTAGGATACAATCAAGTTGTGTTGGCTGTGAGGAAGATTTCTTTCATAGATAGTAAGTGCCTTTTCGTAGAATTTCATTGCTTCTGGATAGTTTCTTGTTTTATATTTGATTAAACCAAGTTGATAATAAATGTTCGCTTCTTCATTTTCGTCGTTCGTTTGATCAAGTAGAGTTTGATAAATCTCTTCAGCTTTCTTAAAATCATTCATACTCGACAGTATCAAACACAGTCTGAGCCATCCTTCTGCATTGAGCAAGCTCTCTTCTTGAATTTGTCGATCGATGACACTCAATGTTTTATCATTATCTTTCACAAATAACAAATCAACTTGATAGAGTCGCTGACTTCTATCCAGACGTGTAATTTTCTGAATACGAAAAATAGCTGGTATCGAAAAGATCACATCAGCTTTGTTCGAACAATGGTCAGAATTGTAAATAGAGGCGAATGGCGTTACGGAATAAATAGAGTCAACTTTAATGACGAATAAAATGCCGATGAGATCTGGATTTTGTATGGCTTGTTTAGCGAACTTCAGACCTACTTGATAACATCGATTGGTTAAGATGAAATTGTTAAATGAAATCAATCCTCCTTGGGTTTTCTTTAATTGCTCGAAATCTGCTTTCGATAAACCTTGACCACGGCAGACTACGTAATTGACGGTAGAAGCATCGTCGGGAATTTGTTCTCTACGTAGGTTTTCTATATATCGATGCAAATCAACGATAAAAAATGCCATTCGTGTGATAATATCTCCATCCAGCAATCTCAGAGCTTGTGTAAGCATAGGAGACAGAAAACTATTACGCGTATACCAATATACGGGCGTTTTTTTATGATAATCGCGCTCGAACTCTCCAATGTTATTTAATTCTTTTTCATTACCAGCAAAAACATCATAACAATAATCGACGAATGCTTTTATGTGCGTTGCTTTGAAATCGATTTGTAAGAAAGTACTTTTCAGAAGATAAATATACATGAAAGATCGATCTAATTCATTTAATTGTATGCTATTCGATATGAAGCTTATCGGTGTTGCATTAATTTCGCATTGGTGAACAACTTTTCTCAGAGGTTTGTATAAACTTGGCGTCGTTCTAAAGATACCTCGGACTTTCGGGAGACTTTTAAACCAATCTTGTGAGTATATTTTATAATTGGAATAGGTTAATATGCATTCTACTTGAGAAAGTTTATGTATAAGAGGTGCCACCCGTTGTGCCAGATGATCTGTTGTCATCAGACAGATCTTGTTGTTTTTGACAGACTCGATAAACGTGATGCATTTCTTCTGATCGACAAAGATTTTGATGTTTGCTACAATATTTTGCAATTGCGTTAACATATTACGATAATTTTCATCGTTATCACTAAGCGTGATATCATACCAAACCACAAAAACGTGCCGTATTCGTTGTAAATCTATTTGAGACTCAATAGAAGCAGATGTGCTCGTTGTCATTGGCTGAATGCGGTTTGTTGATCCAATCGACTGCATACAATTGTGCGCAAACGAGTAAGCGAAAGGATGGTAAATTGAGAAGAACAGACGGTTTTATATAAGAAAAGATGAAAATTTATATCGTAGAAAAACTGCGTAATTACACAAGTGAAACTCGTGGGGGTTTCTAGAGACTATGGTATTCGATCTAGACAAATATGAGAATGACGAAGAAATGTAGGATTACAGAAAACAAGAAAACACGATAGAAACGACAGAACGAAAGAAATAATAACAACGATGACTAAGTCGATCTAAATCACTGTTGGTACAATCGACGCTTCGTTATTGATGTCGTGAAATATGTTAGTTTCTACGTGTATGATCATACTAAAAGCAATATCTTCAAAACCGTAACGTTTATTCACGCTTGGCTAAATCAAGAACATTACATAGAAAACTGTTCTCTTTGTGGTTGCAATCGATGCTGTCATTTTCTTTCTTTCGTCGCAACGATAATCGCATCGATGATCTACTTCTTGTGTACCAAGGATAGCGTACACAAAAAAAACAACTTGCTTAAAAAAGGTCGCGTTACTCTATCGATTCCGCGCTCGTCATACACATCACAATTTCTATTACATCCGTTAGGCTTAGTTAAAAGCACAGCTGATGCATCAGAAGTTTAACGAAACATTTTGATCTTCTGGAATTCATTTTTTTTTGTTTTCATTAATTTATTTTTCCATGGCAATGAGAAATACTATTTCCGTTAACACATAACACAACAAGACACAAAATTCTTTTCTTTTCTTTTGACTATAACATCTCCAAACGAGTCGTTTATGTTAAAAGACATTTTTGACTTCGATGTCAAACACAAGGGTTGAATTAGCTGGAATACCTGCTAATTTTTTACTGCCATATGCTAATGATGGTGGAATTGTTAATCGGCGTTTGCCACCCACGCGCATGCCTAGAATTGATGATTAGATCCTAATCTAATACCTTTTAATTCCTACCTTTCACACCTTGGTCCCAACCACGGATCACTTCACCGGCACCAAGTCGAAATCGAAACCTACAAGAAGAAAATTCTTCAATTTTTGGCAATTTTTTTATAAATCAACGATGCATACGGTTTTCCACTTGTACATGAATCAAAAGTTTTATTGTTACTTTGTAGTCGGCCAGTATAGTAAACGGCTACCTTAAAAATAAGTTGTACGGTATTTTAAGGCAACAATGATTCCTTTGAATGACATACTGTTTTGCCAAGTTTGGCTTCTGGCCCATTGCCGACTCGAATGTCATTGATCTCCAAGGAGTTGGATTTCTTTTTTATTTCGGTCGTTGTACTGGTAGCAGCATTTGCATCATTCGACGATGACGGATCTATTTTTACCTAGAGTCATTAATAACATACCATCGTATTTGGCGTATTAATTTGATCACGTACTGATTTGTTTGCTTTTTTTGGTTCGGTATCGTTTGTCGTCGTAGGTGCTTCTTTGGCATTTTTTCCCTTTTTCGCTTGTGGTTCCTGGAATACTCGGGAGTTAGAGAAATATTGACCAATGAATCTGTTGTCTTACTTGTTTTTTCTGATGACCATTCGATTCTGATCGGGCACGTTTTTTGCCTTTGTCGGCGGATGCTTTTGGCTGAGCATCGTCATCTGATTCATCTGACTCGGATGCTTCTGAGCTCAATTGATCCTCGCCCTGAACATAACCATCTTCATAATCACCTTCTAAATCTTGATCCTAAAAAAGAATGAAATTGACTGGTTGATTTTTGCTGTCAATTTACTTCATCGTCGCGTAGTTTATGACGTCGAGCTGATTTGAACTGTTTCAAGACATCTTCGCCGTCGTCACTTTCATCGTCATCATCATCATCATCATTATCATCATCATCATCATCATCGTCGTCGTCGTCGTCATCGTCACCACTATCTGAGTCGCCGACTGTTTCAAACATACCATGATTTTTACTAGCGCACATATGACCTTCTTCACACACTAAAGCAACCTAATATAGATATTGTTACATCTGAAGTGATCTATTACTCTCATGTGGCTCTGTTTGAAGGACATAACCGGTGAGATGTACTTTATCTATAAAAGTAACAAAGTGATGTTTGAGTAAACGACAAATTTATCAGAAATATTTACGTGGTCCTGTCACACCGAATGTTAAGGTTTGTCCTTCATAGAATTCAATATCTAACGGTTGTTGAAGACATGAAGGATAGTGTAGATTACATAGGATCAAATCTGTTGGTGGTCCTTTATCCGCTGTAGCAGATTTGATTGTCACACGAGTGATTCCGCTTGCCGTTGACGCACTATCTTTGATTATTGGAGCTAACATGAAAATCTAGTTATGAACAAGATCAGATTCTTTCCTTACCATCATCGATTTCGAGTGCAGCCATTGTTAAGCGAACTGGATTATCAATCGTGACATCGGACGTGCTGCTTGGTCCAAAACTAAGACCTAGTCATAAAGATGATCAACTCCTGTTACACAAACGAACGATGCTACTTACCCCAGATTCCTTCTCGAACTTCTTTCAGTAGAACCATCGTCTTGCTATATGAAGTCAATCTGCAATAAACAAGAAAATAATTTTTATTTTTCATAGACAAAGTATTCATTATGTTTTTTTTTCAAAAGTATTTCTTACATGTAACAAGCTATAGACAATATACAAAAAAAAATGAGTAGAGAAAAATAAAGTAAACAAAAGAAAAATAGTTCAACTACATTCTCTAGAAGAATAACAAGATAAAGCTATGGAAAAATAGAAACAAAATATAAGCAATTATTCGCCGAATTCGATCAGTTTCTTGTCAAGAAACTCATTCAATTGTGCCATCGTTAATTTTGCTCGATTCATTTTGATGTATTGCTTATTTCGTAGTTTTAACGAAATCAAATAACCAGGTCGACATTCTTCCATAGATTTCACAATGAAATCTAACATTTCACTGGCTTGATCTAGACGACAAATGCATCAACTCGGAACCAGCGATATAAAATGTCGACATACCTTCATTGTATCGAGCGGAATGTATTTCAATAAGTTTAGCACAAACACGATCACATTCTAAAGCAACTTGTCGTTCTGTAGTAAACAACTGATCGATTATCTCGACAGATTCTCGCATGTGATGGAACATTTCATAGGTTTTTGAACGCTGTTTCTCGTTTTGAACAACACCGGTATTTTCCAAAGAGATTAATTGAGTACGTGACTCTTCCTTCAAACGTATTTGTTCAAGTAAACGATTATTTATACCGGCAATACGTTTCGATGGTGTCGTTGGTAGAGATTCAACCACTGATGGTTCAACTTTAGCTAAGACTTTCTTTAACTAAAAGAAAATTTTAATTGACAGAGAACATGTTTTCTTGCATGCATAGAGACATACTCGTTCACTTTCGGTGACTTGAACATATCGACGGATATCAGCAGGTGAAGCAATCTTTTTGATTGGTGTCGATTCGGTTATCGAAGGTTTTTCAGCAAGAAGATGAGCAAAACGTTCGTGAGCAGGAACGAATTTCGTTCTAAATAACATACGCTCAAAAACCTGATCGACAAGGACGATCGCTTACTGAGCTTCATTTCCGATTTCATTTGATGATGTTGTGGTTGTACGTTGTTGTTTGATTTCATCAATATGAGTTCGGACAGCTTTGAGATGTTTTTTCAATTCATCGATATCGGCTACTTTAGTCAGACACTTCTTCTGTCGTTCGAATGTTCTGACTTTTTTCTCATCTTTTCCATCATCATAACGATTTTTTCTCGACAATGGTACTAGAAAGTTGAGTGAATGTCGAAATTTTTGGCGTTAATTTCATCATTACGTACATTTATCGATTTGATCTAAATCGCAACCTTGTAAATAACCGTCGGTTGGTTTGGATGGGCCTAGAAAATGCATGAAAAATCAATTTAGTTGGTGATAGCTTTCGTTTCATCTTACTAATTCGTCGTTTTTTGCTGGATGATGAACAGATATTTTCATTATTTTCATCATCGACTCTCAACTTTCGTTTTTGGGACTTTATGGATTCACCATTAGCGAGAATGGTTGAAGAATGTCGGGATCGTTTCGGCGTAAAATATTGGGTTAAGCAAGCTTGAGCCATTCTCTCTCCTTTCCTTCAACAAAGATCTAATGAACAGTCAGAACGATATGTGTGTATACACACAAAGACGTCGACCCTCATTGATCCGCTCGGTTCACCAATAGAATTTCATTTTTCGAAAAATTACGACTTTTTCTTTGTTTGAGTCGAAAACAAATTTTCTTTTAGAAATTTTGAAATCTAAAAATTAAAATCTGCAAATTTCGGTTACGATTTTCTTCATCCAACTTGAAGCGAACGAACAACTGCATAGACCTCTTTCGAAAATTACATTCGCCAGTGGTGGACATACACACAGTACATCTATTAATAAGGAATCAACAAACATTCTGGCTAGCTAACTAACTCATTGTTCGCTATATCATAAAATACTTCATAATTATAATTCAATCGAAAGTATTCGCAAACATACTATACAGAGGAAGTCATGTCCGTAACAACCATTGATTTCATCCAGATTAGATTATCTTTACAGAAAACAGTCTATCACGACTGTCTGTTCCACTGAAGAGACATTCCATCCGAGGTCACTATAGATAGACATATGTGTCATCTGCTAGTTAGATTATTTATATAACATCTATGATGTCTTCATATCGTGAAAAATAAAATTGTACTATAAATGGCTACAAGAATTGTTTTCTCAATATGCAGTTGATTGACAAACGCTTGAATAATTGGTTAATTATGCGTAAATCCAGGCCATTTCGTTGTTATCCTTCACATAAGCCATTTCTATCTATATTCAAAGTATTTATTCGCCTTCCCATGCACACATTTCAATGATATATAAAAGGCGAACATTCTCGATTATGAAATAAACTCATCATGAACTATACAAAGGTTCATATCATCGCCTCCTGGTTTCAGCTCCTACGGTGCACGACTGGTGACATATGTTCATTATATGTATTTTACATTCTGTGCACATCTGTTGTTTAGTACATGTTTCAATCTTATACCGCCATCTTTCTTCGAATGCGTGTTTTACTCAAAACAACAAAAATCTCTTCAATCGTACACTTGAGTGTGAGTTTTTGAAAAAAAATCACTCGATTTGACCTTTGAAAAACAAGCAGATGTCGCTGATGAAAATGCATAAAAGCACTGATTCGTATATTTTTTTATGCTTTATGTTGCCAGACCACGCATCTAAGGAGCGAGAAACAAATCGATCGCTTAATGAGTAATCGTTTTCAAAAACAAAATGCAATCGTCTACTAATGAACCGTGTGATATCTTCAGTGACGATGAAGATGAAAATGAATCTCGTCTTAGTTGTTCCTTACGTTGGCTAATTAGTAAAGCATATCCTCATGGTTCCATTCCTGATTATTTACCAAGCGAACATTTTTTCCAAAACGAAAATAATGAGCGCTTTCTCTCGCCTGATATCGCCCTTGTTTTACTATCAGGCGACTTATACATACGCGCATTTCAATACATCACTAATCAACAAGATCAATTAATCACATACGAAGATTTAGTTAATTATTTTTACTTGCAAAATGTTATTATCGATATTAATCTACTGAAACAAGATGATCCGTTGAATGCTCATGTTCATCTGGAACTTATCGACAATTTAATGAAAGTTTATTTTCAATACGTTCTCGATCAAAGTCTTCTTGAGCAACGCTTTGAGCATCTTCAATTACATGGTGTTTTATCAATATTGAAGAAATCTGCACACTTAAACATCGAATCTCTCTTGATTATCTGGCTGAATGGTATATGTGAGCATATGGCTAGTCAGTGGTCAAAACGTATACCGCCAGTCATCGATCTGCGTAGTGCATTAATCGATGGAACGTGTTTACATGCTCTTGTTTCTTATTATGATAAAGAATACGAAACCAAAAATGATTTAATCTTTCTGAGAAATTATCTTAATCATTATCGTGGAAGTAAAATGACCAATATATTTCCATTTACAGTACGAAACTTACAGGAGAATCTCATTCCGGATATCAATCTTCAAGCTATGTTAGTCGATCTCTTTGTTTTATATGAAATCGAAGAAAATTTCGAAAAGAAAGAGTCGCCGAACATGACTGATGACAATGAAGATGAAGAAAACTTGTGCACGATTAAGTCGAATCAAACGTATTCGATCAATGGTGATGATAATGAGGATGATATCAATGAATTTTTTATTTTAAATCATGACAATCACGAACCCAATCTTACCGGTGGAATTTTACAAACAAGCACAAATCACGAGAGACAAACGGTAAGAGGAGATTAAGGAGAAAACCTTCGCGATCATGTAAATTAACCTATTCGAACGATTAAGAAGGATTTCGGTTATCTAAAAGGTCATTGTTAGAGAAACACTACGTAATGATTCCCAGAACTCATCATCAGTTTATAACAAGCCACACTGAACAATAGAAATGAAGTGAAGCCTTGTTAATGGCAGCCATAGAATCCTAGATTTGCTCGATAAGAGATTTTCTTTCAGTCAAAATGGCTAGGAACAACGTTGAATTGATCAAGGTTATTCATTTAGGTTGCTCCTGTGAAAAGTAGTTTGAAGAGTTCGGTATCTTCGTCAACAGTTACTCATACATCTCCGAAAAAAACCACGTTTAAGCCAACGACAACCACATGGCAACGACAAGCTTTATCAAATCAAACCACTCCGATGAACACAACCCGTACGAATGAAATAATGCCTGTCGATGATCATCAACTTACTAATGAATATCTCACCGTTAAAATGCAACTAGAAATGAAAAAACGTTCGATCGAACGTGATAAACAACGCTTAGAATTGATGCGTGATAACAAACGTCAAACAATCAGTCAAGAAGCATTTAAACAATTATTGCAACAGAAAACGCGGAATACATCAACTTTAGCAAATGAATTCTTACTTTCACCACAATCGACTAACAACAATCAAATTCGTAAATCTCAGACAACTGCAGAATTCCGTTCACAATCAAATACACCAGTTGCACAACAACCGACTATAGCCGAATCGAAAAAAGAGGAAACATCAATCATAGACCTTTCGAAACCTATGACACGTGACGACTTTTTAAGTACACTCGAATTACTAAAACAGAAATATTTGGAGGCAACACCACCGCCTGCGCTCGAAGAGAACCGAACTGATGAAAGTCGCCGTATCGAACAATTGAATTCGAACATTGGAGAACTACAACAGGTAATGATCAAATCATTGGAGACATGTACATGATAATCAGACAAAGCAGAGGAGCGTCGATCGGACTTTATTTGATTCTATAGATGCGATCGCACACGTTATGATTGTTGAAAGTAAATGTTCGTGTTGCTGCAGGGTATTTTTCTTCTGCAATTCTTGTTGTTTCAATTGATCGAAATAACAATAGAAAAACAGAAACAAGCACGATTTCATCTTTTCCTCCTTATTCCCCTGAGGATTAGTGTATTGATGAAAAAATTTGCCGTCTATTCTCTTGATAGTTCGAACTTCTCAGCCGACTGTCTATTATTAATTTCATCTGTTAATCTTCCATCTCATGAGTTCACATAATTAATCATATTTCCGCATAAATTTAAATGCATTAAACTGCATCATCAATCTCTGCGTTTTTTTTTCAAGGTTTTAACAAGTTTATCTGTGAAACAGGAAGAAATACATCATCAGGCAGTTAACGCCAATGGTGGTAATATATCTCGCAATGCAACATTTTCCACGAAATCGATGACCTTTCCTCGCCGATTATCGGCGTCATTATCGCACGAAGAGCCCGTCGACTCGCCGGCAATTGAAAAGTTAGCTCGAACAAACGGTTTAGTGCTTGACATCGTCGAAGATCCGTCAGTGTCAACAGCGCTTGAAATGGAACGTAAACGTGAACTAGTCTTTCAAAAACAACAGCAACGTCAGGAAGCATTTGAACGACGTCGACAAACGCGAGAAATTGAAAATCTAAAACGTGACGACGAACGACGAAGGAAAGATCACGAAGAATCAGCGAAGAAGATCGAACGAGAACAGAGACGGGACGAAATTTATAAGCAATATTTGATGAAAAAAGACAAACAGCCATCAAATAATAACGATCATGCCAATGCAGAACATCCCATCATCAAAATGAGACCGAAAAGTTCAACACTTCCAAAGCCACCGATTGAAAGACGGCAAACTGGTAAGCAAAAAGAAATGGGATTTCATTTCATCCTCTTGTACCGAATCCGATCTAATTTAATTCTTGTCGATCGATTAATCGATAGCTTCCGACGGAGAGGACTTGACAAAGATAGAATCATTTGTATCGAGTCAAGTCATTTATAAGAATTGTCATTCGCCAATGACGTATTCGTCTCTACGATTCCATGAATGATTAGTGAAATATGATCTCGATAAGCAAAACTCTTACGTAATTTGTCTCGGTCCTCGCCATTTAATCCATGTTTATCATATTGATTAATTAATTGAATGTCAATCAGGACTCTCAGTTGGTTTCACAAGTCTCGAAGCAAAATTCTAACAAGAAAACATCTTGACACTGTTTTCTGTACATTCTATACTAATGAGACACCGCCCAAAGCTAACACCGTTGACATTATCCTTTGAAATATATAACCTTTAATAACAAAATTCAGTTTTTGATGAAAAAGATCGTTTAAACGGCTGGTCTTCTTTCTTTTTTCTCAGGTCCAATAGTAATTTCTGCATTTGGAACTCCAGTTGATGGCATACCCTCAAGGGACACGTTTGACAATACCAATCTCAACGAGACTATCACTACTCCGTTCACATTCATCCAAGTGGGTGATCAACGTTCTACGAAACCTCCCACTCCACGTATTAAAATTGATTCACGAACATTGCCACGTTCATCCGCACGTTCGACGGCCGACCCTGCATTACCAATCATTCCAGTAACTGAACCACGTTATCCCCTAGCTAAACCCCTATCAGGTAAAAGTAACAAACAAACCATAATCAATTCATTGACACAAGCTATTCTGGCTGGTCGAGTCAATGATCGCGTTCGTGAACAAGTCTGTGAAGAGATCGAACGTAACTCGGAGAAAATCAAACATTTCGTTATCTTATTTCGTGATTCACGTCTACAATTTCGTGGTATATACACGTTCATTCCAACCCCAACATCAGATATTCCAACACGTATTGAACGTTTATGCGGTCAAGGTCCACGCGAGATCACTGAATCAATGGTAGAAAACTTTTACAAATACAATAATGGATCAAAAAAGTTCACTCAAGTGCCGATCAAGTCCTTTAGTGTTCAATGTGATGCAGTAACGATAATGAATCAATATTGGACTCCCCAATCCGCGGCTTCAAAACGAACAACAGCAACTACTAATACTACAACTTCTCCTTCAGGCCCGTCTGATTAACAATTTGTTTTCCAGAACAATGTACATAGAGAAAATGGACATTACTTTTTCTTTTTACAAATAACAGTGCTTTTTTGTACAGTTTTTTGTTCTAGTTGTTGTTATTCATCTTCATAACTTGCATATTTGTATTTACTAAAGACAAATAAATTGGTATTATTAACAATATCAATTCCTACAGATGGAAGCTTCCTAACGCCATGAATATTTTTAGAAATCTTTTAAGAAAATTGATTTCCAGCGTGGGCCTTGATAATAGAAATATTTATAAGCATCTTTCGTCACAGACAATTAACATTTCATGATGGAGGAAAAGAACATATGAATAGTGCAACAACAATTCTGCTATTGACTGGGTATGCTCTCAGTGACATTTCAAAAGTTTAAATTAACATTTATTTTGATGAGAATGTTCCTTGTCTTGTTACTCATTGTTTGTATGAGTTCTGTCCTCAGCGAACGAATCTTTCCTGATAATACAGCACTCATGACTGCTCCAATTAGATAGTTATTCAAACAATTTACGCAAGTTTTTGAGAAGTATTTTTATATGTCAGCTAAACTGTTAGGAATAGTAAACATATTTATTTCGCATTCGATAAATTCGTATCTTTTACGCAACTTTTCTGACATAACTTAATATACAACCGGCAGAATCCTATTGGAATGAATGTTGTATTTGAAATGTTCAAAAGTCTCGATTGACTGCAAACAGTGTAGAATTTGTATACGAATGAGCTTTCCTCATGGGAGACATGACTTCGTTTCGATAATGTAATCAAGAAATCCGACATGCGGATTGAATATTATGTAACTAGAAGATCACAATCAACCTGATACGGGAATCTTTTTGGCAGACTCTCTGTTTATCATAAATTAATCATAGTTGAGCGAAGACATCTCCGAAGAATATATATCATGTGATGTAGTTCAAAGTTTCTTTATCAGCGAGTATATTCTCTTCTGAAGATTTACTCTTGGAATACTTCGTATGTATTGTGTTGTTGATGAGACTCTTTCAACGAACAGTCAACATGAGATGTTGCATCCTGAAAACGACTTGAGGCTATTGTGCGAGCACCAGTGAATTAGTATAATATTACTGGAGGTCTTGATTAGTGTATCGAAAACCTTGAATCGAAAGATGATTCAATCCAGCTCGCGCGTGTCAGATTTACAGATAGTTCGAACTCGAATTGCTGGCTATTGTTCGATAACTCCTACTAGTCGTAGGTTCCAGACCCACACAAAGATGACATGCGAGCGCGCGTTCAATTAATCTTCGTCGTCTTTGTGTTGCAATCAAAAAGCAAGACAATAGACTTTCTTATTAATTCATATCTGGTAAATGATGTATTTGCGTAAATTTAGAAATTAATTTAGATGAGATGGGATTTATAAATAGATAAATGAACTTGGTTGGTGAAATATGAACAAAGGAGTTTGATTTTGAATGATAATCAAAGTTTTTTGTTTGAGAATACAAGTACTTTGCAGTGACGTCACAATTATCGTTGTTTATTTACATTCATTTCCTTGTCTTTATTGAAATGGTTTTCAACAGATGGATCAACTTAATGTCTTTTTCAGAATGAAAATATTAAGCCGATTTCCGATTTGACTAAGACTTTTTTCCCCAGAAAGCTTCGAAGATTAGTCGACCTACCCACTATTTCCGAGAATTCAAAAGGTCGATGTATCATTTCAAATCCTGGTTGTATCAGACACTACTTGGTCGACGTACTGATCTTGAAATTGATATTTTATTAACTTCAAACAGGGCCAGTTGTTATCCGTATTTAAAGAGACTATGTACGTCACAATTCTCCGAGATGGAGTCGTAAAAGCTACCATTACGAATTCTTTTCTCTCCGATAGATTAAATTAGAATTGCAAACGTGCAAAATTCTTCCTCTCTCTCTCTCTTCGTATACAGCGAGTTCATGCTTGATATATGACCCGGACTTAATCTATATTTCATTCTTTAATGTAACAAATTCGGTTCGAAGGAATCTGACAAAATAAATTATCTTCGCGAAAGTATTCAAAGTCAATCAACAAAAGTAATTTCCTTGACTAAACATACACATGCCAATTCTACTTGTATTTATTTATATACTAATAGAAAAAAAAAACCGAAAGTAGCCCGAATGTTTATGTAAGATCAAAGACAACGATTATACACGAGAAGTGAAATATAGAGACGAAGAATGTTGCCGATGCACTATTAACTTTAACAGAAATCATGCTTGGTTCAGAGACTAGAAAGGAAACGGTTGACTATTGAATTTCCCGATATATCTATTACCTTTATTTCTTTTAAGTATTTGCATACGTGATGTTGTTACTTCGTTTGTGTCGAGTAGATGTGACATTGATGAACGATGATGTTCTAGAAAATGAGAAAACAGTTTATTGTCCTTGTTTGAAATTTACATGAGAACAGTTTACCTCGTAACTCAATAGTGGCATGATTTTGTCCCGCTTGGGATTCTGCAACGCATACATAAAATCCAAAATCACGCAATTCCAGATCGGAGAGATATAAACTTGTTTGTGTCACATCGTTATGTATTTGCCTTTGTTGGGTGGCGAATTTGGATAGGGTAGAATTATCCAAACGTCGCCAATAGACTTGGGTGTCGAATGGCGCAATCGCTGAACAGCGCAATTCCGTTGTTTTACCAACAGTGCTGTAAACCAAAGTAGATTCAGCTCGAATCGATGGTGGAACTAGAATTTCATTAATAACAGTGTGATACATTTTCATAGACAACGTGTCTACTCTTGTTCGAGGTTAATCTTATGTATACCGAGATCTTCAAGGATGAACAAACAGAATATAGTTTACCCGGTAACCTTCCAAAGGATAGTTTCAAGAAAAAAAAACAATTCCCTCGAAGATTGAAGGCGAGCAGTTCGAGTTATTCCTCAGTTCATCTTTTAAGAATATTTCTCTACTTTGTGATCATCTTAAATGTCTCCTCCTCGTCGATTTATAATTCACGATACTTGACTAAATATATATGTATATATTTCGTGTCGAGATAATAGACTAAAAACACATAGTCTGATCTGCTTTTATCGGTAATAATAAGAGACACAGCTACGAATATTAACATTTAATTAACCACGCACTCGCGTCCGATTAACTTCTATGTAGGTCATAAGAGAAGCGAGATTATATGAATTTGATTTCTCATTCTTATTCATTATTTGCTAAATTAACTTCCGCTTGGTATTCAACTATTGTCGTAATTAACACTGGTATTTATCAAGTTCGGATGGCGTTGGCTGAGATGAGATATCAAATTATTTTTGTTCATCGAATGATGACGATGGTCATGTTTTATCAACATACATGCAGACACATACACTTACATAATCACGCGCACGTGTAAAGGAAAATTTGAAGAAAGATGAGAAGAAAAAAAAAACGATATTATTATTTGTTACACAAATGAAGAGACAAAAAATAACGTTGTGGAATTTGTTCAATAAAGTGCAAATAACATGAGAAAAGGAAAGAATGAAAATGAGACAAGAAGTAGATCTATGCATGATTAACAATAACAAATCTTTATCGTTAAAACTATGCATATTAAGCGAAGAACTCTAATACGCAACAGTTCAATAGAGAAGAAAAAGCTTACAGCGGCTGGCCGATGGAACTGTTCGTCTTACTGCATCGAGATTCGATTGGTCAAGAAAAACAAACTGACCAGCAGAATATTCGTATTCTACATTTTAAACGAACGTTTTCTCTCACTAAATGAGGTTTTGAAAAAGAAAGAGGTTCGAAAAAAAAAGAAATAGTCAAGTTAACACGTACACGCACAAAAGACAACAATAGTGTTAATAACGAAAAACAAAATGGCACAAAATGAAAAGAAAAGTTCAATCACCGAGTTCGACGAAGAACGAGAAAGAAAGAGAGATATAGATAGAGAAAGAGAAAGTTTTCTGCAAAGCTGTCCGTGAGTCTTACCCTTCGATCTCCGGTCTATTTTAGATGAGATGTGTATCACAGAGGCGGATGGAGACAACAATAAGGACGACGACAATGAACTTTCTTAGAACAATGTCAGTCTGTCTCTAGACTTGTTGAATTGTAGCCGGTAATCCACATCTGCATTCTTCAACGATTATACCTGGTATAAATTTACGTAGGATAGGTCCACCATTTGTAGTTGAATACATAAGTTCGAGGCCACCTGTGCGCGAATAAGAACAGCAGTTTGACGATTGTTGATCGCTTTTGTTTTCATGCGACGTTGTATTCTTGTGATAATAACCATTGTGATGTAGTAAGAGAAGGTTATGTGCTGCATTTTGTTCGTTTTTCACCTGGGCATTTTTAACATCAGTAAATTTAAGTGATGAGCCACTTGTGCCGCAGAGACCAACGCATTCTCCGATATCAATCTTTCGTGGGTAGATGACGAAATTCAGTGCATTGTTGCCTTGATCGAGGTCGATTGTCAGTGGACGTCGACAACATGGACTTTTAGGATCACATGTTTGAGGTGGACGAACCTTTCTAACTCCGCGCGTTGCGCGATTTCCAGGAGCCGGCGCAATCTTTTCACCATATTCAACCAGCATATATGGCAATTGTTTAGAAGAATCTTTACCATAATCTTCATCCGGATTTGAACGTAAGAAGCTATCGAAACTCTTTTTGGAGTAGTATCGACGATAGTAGGATGCCCATGCTTGTGACGATGATGGTGTTTGAAGTTCACGATTGATTGCCAAGCCATACCATGGCATGATGAATTGCTTATAGATTTGTTGGATGCTTATTTGTCCATTGCGTGGATCGATAGTCAACTCGAGCCATTTGTCATTCAGTTCTTTGACTTCGCTGATAGCTAAACGGATGGTTCCTGTGAGACTTTGAAATGGATTTGCTAACGTTTCATTTGATGTTGGTCGAAAAACTTGGTAGATTTGAAACATGTCTCCCGTTAATTTATCTTCCAGTTGCGGATTGTTGTGAAAGTAATTCTTTTTCACGTAAATGCGTAATTGTGTGATGATTTGATTTGTTGGTAAACTTTTCGACTCCATAGGTGATTTAGCAAACCGAAAACAGTCGATATTGTTAGCTGTTTCCTTGTTCAAACTGAATTTGACTGATAGTTGTCGTTGACAAGTATGACTTGGGATGAATTCGCCAGGTAAGATAGCACGTTCCGTTGTTGGTTGAATATCATCATGATACTTCTGTTGAGAAGATATACGGTCTTCTTCGTCATGATGCTTAGGATGCTCTTCAAGTTGCTTGACAAGGGGTGATGGAATGCCAGTACCATCATGAACATGCATGGTGACATTAGGTGGTTCTTTTAAGTTTAGACGTTCGAAGATGAGACGAGTAAATTGTTGAACTTGTTCATCACTCGCACGATTCTTTGTTCGTGCTGTTGTCGTTGACATTGTTGTTGAGTGCGATTCTGTCAAAGAATCATCGTCTTCAGATGCATGATACGAGTTGTCATCGAATGGATACGGTGGCGGAACAAAAGGTTTGGTTGACATTGGGTATCGCCGTTTTGAATTGATTCGAAAGCGAGCTTGTAAAACAGTTGATGATAAAAGAAGAAGGATATTCAGAGTAATAAACCAGGACGACATGGTATTACGCGTAGTGTTCGTTAGCCTTTGTCAAAAAGACGTGTACAAATGGTTCAATCAATGATAATTGTGTGAATATAATGCGCTCGTAGGAGGTTGGACTTCACCGTTGATCAATCTCTGTATGCTGCGTTTTGAAATCTGAGAATGATTTTTATTTGAGATAGAAGTTAGCTAGTGAGCTGATGACGTCAGTAAACAATAGTAGACGCGTAGGTGGTATTGGTAATCATCTGTGTTTTTGACGAAGCGAGAAATAGCCGAGCGCAAGTAGGAGAGGGATAGAGAGAGAGAGAGATGAAGATGAACAACAACACAACAACTGGAAATGATGAGAGAAGAGAACGAGAACCCGGGAGAGAGAAAGGCAAAGAGAGAGAGAGAAAGAGAAAGAAAAACTGTGCAATAGCTATCTTTCTCTCTTATTTTTTTACTACTTTCTCTCTCCTTCCCCCTCTCTCCCTCTCTTATTTTTTTCTACTCTATTGCATACATTACATCCTTCTACTTTTTCCCTTATAAAAAATTAATATTCAGTGCTAATATGAATTGAAGTTATTATAAGGAATGAACAATTAATTAAGCAAAGTTCCAAAAGAAATCTAATTTAACAGACAGCACTCCCAGTGAAAATTTACAACGTTAAATATTGCTGGTTTTGTGTAAATTAGGAAAGAGAAGCTCTCATGAACACATCTTCGAAGAACATTTTCATCGTTCTTAAGGTCAATATTAACTTAGATCTTTCTTGAAATATTTTCCCCGAATATCGGCTCTTCAATCAGCGCATATTCAATGTGAGAAGTCAGGCAATATTTCATACAAACTATCATGCAATATCCGTGTGAAATCGAGTTTATGATCGTGTGTCTACCTTTCTATGCATATTCAATACTTTCTGTTCCGAACTTTTCAAGAATGTGTCTTTGTAATAGCTTTGATCTGTTTAGGTTTCTTTTTTAAAAAGGAAGAAGAAAAGAAGAGTAAAGCGAGTGCTATGGAAATTATTGCATAAAATATAGATGTTTAAATTATGCTCTTTACAAACAGTGTCTTTCTTCTTGCACTTCAGTTAAAGTTGATTCCTTTTTAACCATTAACAAACTACGTTTTTTAGTCTTCATAAAAGAAAAACATAAATTATTCACTTTGTCTTATTAATAAATATTAAACATAAGATTCTGCGTAGTAGGGGGATTTACTTCTGATGTATTATTTTTGTTATTCACATCGGTCAACTTGAACGACGGCGCGCCGATTATTTTCCGGTTATGTTCTTTTGTTATTGAATACTGTGGATAGACATAGGTCAAGTTCTTTTCTTCGTTCTTTTCCATGGCTGTTATCGTTCGCTGGCAGGCACTGCTAATGAGCGTGATTGAGGTCAAATGCAATCTTGCATACTGCCGGTCGATGGTCGGCGCTTCACCCTTTCTTTCAAGAACAATCGTTCATCATCTTTTCCCCTTATATTTATACATTCACATCTGCAAATGATGTGAATTCACGTCAGGAGAAGAATTTCTTCTGCTACGTCATAACAATGAATGTTCACATCATAATTACTAGCAAGGGGATCATTCGGTTGGACGAGAGGTTATGTCTGTTCGTTGAAGGGCAACATGTTGGAGGCGAGAAATTCTCGAATCATAAACGTAATCAAACACGAACACGCTCATCGCTGATAAATTATTTAACATTTTGCTGTCGCAAACTACTTCGAACTGTTATTTACTTACAGAGAACACGTAATTCAATATTTTTGCTCACGATGTGCTCGTTAACGCCATTCGATGCTCGGCATTCATAGTGTCCACTTTGATAACGATTCACATCGATTATATGAAACAGTCCATCATGATGAGTTCCCGAAATTTGATTGCCAATCTCTGTACGATCTGATTTATCTCCACTCAATCGAAACCATGAAAAATATGGTGGAGGTCGACCTCGAGCATAACATTCCAATGTTACATTATCATGTTCGTTGACAATAAGAGGTGATGATGTACCATTATCAATAATTGTTGGTATTTCTATTAAAAAAAGGTGTTCCTTATTGATTTATGTTCCATCGGGATCATTAAGACACACACGCATGCAACGTTGCGTTCAATGTGTTATTTTTGGACGTCCTTTTTTTCGATGTATGAAATAGATCGTATTTGATTACGAAAGGTACCCGAAACAAGTGAAAACATCTTCTAATTTTAATAGATTGATTCATGAGCGGAAAATTTTTCCATCAGTAATTCAAGGGTCGAAATTTCTGCTTGAATGCTATCACGTCAATTCTTATCGTATGTACTAAAATAGTAACAGAAATAGTCTGAACCTCGTTTACGTCATTAACATTTTTTATAGACTGATATTTAACTATTTCTATCAAGCTCAATTACTTCAACCTATGTAAATGAAAGAGTGACAATTAAAGCGCAAAATCAGGAGTTGTTAGACAGGTATTTAACAAGTAATTATTCAAAGAAAAAAATAATTAGTTCTAGTCAGACAATCTAATGAGAACAATGTTATTGATATTTGCCGTTCAAGTACATTTGTTTGCAGCATGGTAATTTTCATGTTAAATATGCTATTAGATAATCAACTGAAGATAGCACTTAACTGGTAACAGATCTCTTCAATGTTCTAGAGTATTTATGCAGTATGAAAGAAATAGTGCACATAAAAATAATGTCTATTTACATTCCAACCTAGTCTCGAAAAGTCCCCTGGAGCAAACAAGAACGAGAGCCTTGAAAAACATGATATAATTACGGTACAATGAATGTTTGAAATCATATATTTGCTATTAAATACGGATGAAATTCTAGCAGGAAGTCAAGCTTGTAATGAGTTTGTTACTCGCATATAATGTTGTAGTAAATCATCGTGTTGTTTCAATACATTAACATGTACTGCAAATCGTATTACTGCGCGGCGATTGACAAAAACTAATCTCACACAAATGTGTTAAAAAGATCTTTTCGGTGAAAAGTTTCGAAGGAAACCTGTGAATAATTTGTGACTTGTTTCATTACGACATCGAATAATGACGCTGATTAGACTTGTAACAAAAGCGAAGCAGGTGTTTAATAACTTTTGCTAGAAAATTGAGGCAAACGCGTACGATAATTTCATCAATCTGTCGGAGAAAACCAAGCTTCTTCCTAACAACATCGAAAGCAAGAAAATATCCGTGGATACAAGTGTCAATAATTAAAGTACATGACACAACAAACACTCCACACTCTCACCCACACCCTCACATTTGACATGCCTCTTCACGAGCAAACTCAGGTTCACTAGAATCAGCGTACGCGAAGATTATTTATTGATTCAAAAATAACAAACTCTCGTTTCGGAAAAGATTCTATTGCTCACGCGACTCGGACACGTTTGCTGCGACGCTATTGATGAGATTGTTTGCCGGTGTTTAGTTTTTCTTCTCCGTGAAAGGAAATTTTGAGGAAAAAATTGCATCACAATCAATGAATAACACAGACAAGCAGCTGTCAACTCACATATCGATGAGACAATTTCAAACCGATGCTCCCGCTTGGCAATATGTATCCATTCGGTTGCCACCGATCCTGTTACTGCGATAACAAACACATACAGTGTTGTTTTGATTGCTAAGCCACGAAAACGATGGTAGTATTCTGCGAAAAAATCAAATAGAATGTAAAATGCGATATTATCCTTAGTGAGCGTGATTAAACGTGTATCAAAGAAGACGGGAATGAATATCGCAAGAATCACTTCTAAGCGCGAGATAAAATGGAATAAATGCCGTTGTTCGATGGCCATATGCACACGTAAATGATGCGCTTTTGGAAAGACACGACAGTAGATTAAACTGACGAAATAAATCGAGTCGATAATGCCCCAAATGGAATAGAGAATTACATGAAATTGATCATCTCGTTTGGCATAGGAGATCAAGTGACCTAATGTGCCGATCTCTGCCAGAAACCAAAGAAATAAATGATAGAAAAAGCAAATCCATCGCGATTGAATCGGCACGCAATATTGTAAATAAGCGAAGACACTGAGAATCGACGAAAGTAAACCTTCATATCCATTATTTGTCTTACCAGTTGAATGGTAATAAAAGACATCGAAGATATATGCAACTTGAGCAACGATGGGCAAGAACATAGTAGCAATTAGGAAAAAGCGATCATCTGCTCGATTTGAAATCGCGAGAAATTCTTCTGAATCAATTCGATGCATTGTCAATGACTCACACAACAAATGTCCACCGATATATCTCTCCCTATTGTTCAAATTTTGAGTCAATCAACCGTAAACACTCGAATGCGCTCGAACACGAATAAATGAAGTCAAACATTTATGATCAGTTTATTAGAAAACACATATCGGTTTTCTTTCGCAGATTTCTATCAATCATGTTGCATGATGAGAGCAGAAATGAAACAGATTATTTTATTAATTATTCTTTCTTGATAGAAACCAGTGCTTTCTGATCAAGTGCATAGGAATCGATTTCTTACATTCGAAAAGTGAATATCCGCTAATGAGATCTTGTTTTCTTCAGTCCTCTAGAATCATCATCATTCAAGGCCACTTTGCAAAAAGCTGAATACTAATTAGCATTCAAATTTTCGATGAAATTTACACATCCATCAAATCATATTAGCGAATTCTAATTGATCTTCGAACTTCTTCTTAACGTGCATATCTATTATCGAAGTGTCAAACGAGCCGCAGAAATTCCACGCATAGATGATAACAAACAAAAGAACTTATTGACATGAAACGTACGCTGAGAAACCAATTTCGAATAGGTTTCTGTTCCATATATGTATGTCGATAGACAACAAAATATCATCACTCGTTCAAATAAACATTTTCTTTTTCTACTCTTTCAATCTAGCTCTGTATAGAGAAGGAGATGAATGTATCCGTCTGCCAGAACTTCCGATCATCATATACCGATTTTCTTTTCATACTCGTTAGAAATATATGAAAAGAACATTCTCGTTTCATTTCGTCTGGCATTCTCATTCATATTTTCCTCTTCTTATATAAACAATTCGGCTGAGTTCAACTAGGTTTTCTTGTTGATCAATCTAACCGATGCATTAGAGTGAACTATATATACATATATAATCTACTCATAATAAGACGCATTTGCAAGAGAATTCTTACCTTGAACATATAAACTAATCGTAGCTTTTTGCGGTGGTTCTGTATTCACTTCACAAACATAAAGTCCTTCATCAGCAATATTTACATTAGTTATGACTAATGAATAATCAATATCAGTACGTTGAATAGATAAACGATCATCGGATATTAAGGAATCTTGATTATGTGCAAGAATTAAATCAGCGTCATATGATGCATGACTTTGCCGGATCCATATTAATTGATGAGTTGATGAAATAGACAAATCATGATTTATACGATCGAATACACATGTTAATCTTGCTTTTTGTCCACTAGTTACTGTTACATTAGACTGTAATGGTCTAATTATTGCTCGATTCTCGCCTAGAGTAGAAAAGAAAAAGATGATCCTTCGATTGCCTGAAGAGGAAGAGAACAAATCAGTTAACCTTGATTTATTCGAGCTGTAATAGACAATTCATCAAAAATGCAAAGATAGAATAAAATGAACAAACGATATGTTATATTCTCTATTGAATTCGCCTTTTCTTCTTTCTCTCTCTATCTCTCAATTTATAAGACACATCTCCGACTGAACTTCTCAATGTGTCCAAATGCAAATGATGTATATATGCTCAATTGAAATTTGCATAACGAGCAGAAAATCTAATTGAGAAATCGTTCTTTATTGTTCTGGTCAGCGTTCATGATAATAACGGACAGATGATCCGTTTGAATTCTCCTAGTTAGAATTCCGTTAACATCTTTCCTAACGATGATGATGAATATATGACATAATCTTTCATCACTCTCCTTGTCAAGGTAAACAGATCATATAAGAGCGAACAGAATAGTTCAACACTCTGACCACCATCGGAGAGACGCTGTGTGTGTATGTCTTTATGATGTAAGTACAATCAAGAGAACTTGTCAACTACTAAAGTGGGCGGTCGCTTACAAGTGGATCGATAAATAGGTGATGAGGCTCAAAAAAAGTTATGGAATTCTACAGCTGGACAATGTCACATCTTCTAATTATATATGTATAGAAATTATAATTGACACGAATTGCATCCGAGTTTAAACATTATCGTAATGTACGAACGTATGGTAAAACAATTGTTTACATCATCATCACCTTTTATGCACAGAGATGCATTCGAAAGGTAACACTTGTGACGGTATATATTGTCATTCGTGTTATGAGAAAGATGTTTCATTTCTGTACAATCGAAAACATCTCGTTGGTTAATCTAGACAGTCGAATCTTACCATTAGTATCTTGAGAAGACGATATTTGAAGAATCAATAAGAAGGCGATCAAATGTGTCCATAACATTGTATGTTTTTATTTTTGTTGTTGGAAGTTTGTGTTAACAAGACGGACCGTGAATGAGTATGTTCACTTAAATAGAAAGAGAGAGTACTTGATTGTCGGAACGATAAAACACAATTGAGACAACAACGGAGATAGAGAATAAGATGAGCTTGTATAGTATGTGTTGCTTCCTGCTGTTGCCGTTGAGCGTTATATGATAGTAGGAGTTGCTTGAGATTTTTTTTTCTTCATCTCTCTGTTGTGTCTCTGTCTTTCTCTCTTACTCGCTTTGCATGTAGTAATCGCACAAAAGAGAACATTCATTGCATTGAGATAATCGTACGGCTAACTTTCTGTTATTATATGTTTGAGCGAAAAAAGAAGACCTTGGCTCTACTGAACGAACAACGAACGATGAAGTTATGGACTCAATTCATTAGGTTTTTTGAACGGCTATAATTATATCAACGGATTCCAAGTCGAGAAAAACAAGAAGAAAATCTGTTAGATATTAAACTCGTTTTAGGCGACAGAAAGAAAAGGGAACAAGATAAGATTGCTTCTACAATTGATCATTTCGAAAGACAAGAAAATGAGAGTCTTTCATTGAATTTAATCAACCATATAACAGACATTTTATACCGAGATAATCAGAATGAATTGCGCATCCAAAAGTGCTAGTTCTTCTCCAAATACGATAGATAAAGTCAAGTGATATAAATTAAGCATTATTTGACATTTCAATTCGATTTCATAATCATGTGCATTTTAATACAGATCAATCAAATCAGCAAGATATTTCAATGTGTTAGTTTCGGATACATAGCAATATCTACTATTCGAACTCATCGATTTTTCCACTGTAAATATAATTACACATGATGCATCGTTTTTCATCAGAAAGACAAAAAAAAAGGAAAATCCCTGGAAGAGACTTACCAGTGCGACTACTCTGATTTTGAATAAATACTTGACTATCTGTTTTTCTAATGCATTGATTAACATCTCTTCTTCTCCCAACATCATCTCCAGTCATGCTATCATTCTTCCAATCAAATTACACATATTAGAAACATCTTCGAATGCATACGAGATAAATAATAAAGTATAGAGCGAGAGAGAGAGAAAAAAAAGAAACAAAAATCAATCTCGTAGATGTTTATTCGGATGAATTTTTCATCGTTCGGTTTTGTTGATTGATACGTATATGCAGAAACTATATCTGTCGTTTGCTATTCAAAGTTTATCAATACACATTGCACAATGAAATTGATGGAATGTTGAGAGAAATATATATATATATATATATCGTAAAAAATATTGTCGTTCAATGTTCGACAATAAAATAACAATGTTAAACAAAACTCATATATATGTATATGCAAATAAATTCTATCTGGATAAAAAAAAGCCAAAACAAGCTCATTCACTTTTTACATGTTCTTGTTCGGAGAAATTTTCGTTTGTTATTGTTATTGATGATGATTGATCGGGCTAAGAAAAACAATAGAAATATATGTATATATACATAAACAACATTCTTCGTTGAGTAGAAAACTTACTTGAGATAATAACTTGGTTATTTGAGCGACGAGAATAGCACCAGCAAATGTCAAACAAGGTACACATGTTTTCAAGTAGAAATCCGAATAAGTATATCTGAACGAGAGTTTTCATTGAATTACAATGAAATGGTGAAAGATATACTTACTCGAATGCTCCAGCACGTAGTAAGATTTCGGTAGTCATGGTTAATATAAACGAAACAAGACTAGCGAAAACGAACGTGACTTTCGTACGATCGAACCACCACCAAAATGCGACACATAGGAACGCTAATGTAAGAGTGAAGTGTAGATCGCTTTGAAACGGAATTTTCTATTGAAAGAAGGTATTTGTTATTTAATCTACTTTTGTTATCAGACAAAGAAAAAGATTAAACTTACTGCGCATAAATGATTGATTCCAACAAAGATTACAATTGATTTACAAACTTGAGATTTGCGAATAATATTATCGTTTTGCTCTGAGAAGAACGTTTGATCAATTGTCGTGATAAACATTGGATAAAGTAGGCCGATTAATGCTTTAAGAAAACAAACGAAGACTAATCGGTAAAACAAAGAACAAAAACTGATTTGTAATCTTTATTTACCAGCACCAAAACCACATATAGATATGAGACTCAATGCGGGCAAGGTCAGTATCAATCGAGGAGAATTGAATAATCGGAGTTTATGCTCATATTGAAATGTCATAAGTACAACAGCTAACGTGCAACCAAACGTAAACAGCTTTATAGATCGTAACGGATACAATGAAGCGCGATCAACAAGCATGGTTGTCATTGGTTGGTTTCTTGAGATCCTTTGACGTATGCTTATAAATATGTATATTTATATCTAAATAAAAGATAAAAAAATGAAAGTAATCACATATACGTATATGTATATATATATACATTTGCGTATGTATATCGGTAAATCAACTTAAACAGACCAGAATGGCGTGATCGAAAAGACTTGTCTCGTATTTTTTTTGTCCTTTATTCGTAATCGTAGCGAAAACAGAGGAGGGAGAAAAGGGAAAATGACATATACTCGAGTATAAATTATACTTAAAGTCCTTTTTCTATCACTCATCGTACTCGATTGTAAAATACCTTGACTAGAACATATCTTGACTTTTATGAGCGGTATTTATTGATGAACAGTATCGTCGTGGAGAAAAATGTTGTTGTTGCTGATTTTCCAACACAAGTAATCTTCAATAGAATAAAGAAAAAGAAAATTTTCAAATCAAATATCTTTCTTTTCTTCTGTTTTTCATCGACACACATGCGCACAGGTTTTTTTTTTGACTTTCACTCAAAACCATCTTGGCTTAGAAAGAGACACACAAGAAGAAAAAGAAAACGCACATTCAAAGTCAAGTTTTTCCACGAAACAATAAACATATGTATATATCTATATATGAATTTCAGTCTTTCGCGTTCTGAATGGAATGGTGACGCATTCTATTGGTACGAAGTCGTCAGGAGTGCTGTTGCTGAACTTGAATCAGGAAAGAGTTTATGATACGATTGAATTGGGATATAGTTTCCAACAACAGTACGACCGGAAAAGTATCGACCATGAAGTGAATTGACCGTGTTAATAGCTAGAAAATAAAACAATAATGTTTAAGACATTGGAGAAATACGAGATACTCAAGAAGTTCGATAAGTCATGGATTTATTCGAGAACACTTACCGCTAGCAATGGACGAACATTTAACATAAACATTTCCGTCTGCACTTTTTTCATCAATGTAAATATGAACAACACCACCATATTTATTGCATTCTTCTATAACTTCATCCTTGATTTCCTGTGCCCATTTAGGGTTTTGTCTGGCTTCGGTAACAGGATCGAACATATTTGATAACATAAAGCATTGTGTACCAACCGCAGTTACTGTAGCTAATTGTTGTGGGTTTGGCGCTTCCGGTATGCGAACATGTTGAGAGCTAGCGGCTTGCTTATGAGCTGCTTGCAAAGCGTCCATGGCGTGTTTCGGCATTTGTAATCCACTGCCTTCACTTAATTTGGCCATCAGTGCTAGCCGTCCGGTTGCGCCTAGATTAACGCCACGATGATCGAGATCATCAGAGTCAAGATTTGACATTGCAGCAAACGAGGAAGAGATGCCCGGTGTATACGATGGATAACTTACACTTGAACTAATTTCACCTGCTCGTTCAGTCACATGTCCAACTTTCATTGGTCGACCAGCCAACTCGAATCCATTTAAATTTTCCATCGCTCGTTTTGCATCCTCGGCATGCGCAAATTGAATAAAACCTGTTCAAACAAAAAAATCAAACGATCAGATTAATTTTTATGACGAAACTTTCTTATTTTACTTACCGTATCCTCTCGATCGGTTCGCATCAGGATCTCTCATCAATGTAATATTATCAATCTGTCCAAACGGTTCAAATATACCGCGTAACATATCTTCTGTAATATTAAAATGTAATGAACCAACGTACAACTTCATTGGCCCATGCGTAGGTATTACCGATCCAGATTGTGGTCCAATTCCGTTCGTCATGATAGCGTTTTGCGCTTGAGCGGCTGCTGCTGCTTGTGCCGCTAGACGATTTTTTTCCGCATTGGACGGTTTCACAATAATGGGTATGCCAAGAAGTTTTTCGCCTGATAGAGCAAGACCTGCTTGCACACAAGCTAGATCACGAAATTCAACGTAGGCAACGCCTTTGGATCGACGTGTTCGTGGATCGGTTATCATTCGGACATCACGGATTTTGCCAACTTTTGAAAAGAACTCTTCGAGATCACGTGGTCGAATCCTTGCTGCGAGTTGCATGCCTAGAACAAAAGAACATTTGTTTACAACGCAAATATGATTGTGTTTATATTTGTTAAAATATAACTTACAGAATACAGTTCGAAGATCTCGTTCTTCGGGCGTTAATTCCGGCGATTTGTCTCGTCGATGTGATTTCGATGATGATGAACTATCTTTTGTGTTCTTGCTTCGACTTAATGTTTGCGCTAGCTGGTGCAGTTCCGAATTGACATTCGGTCGTTTTCCACTCGGTACGATCGGTGGCGATGATGACCGGTGATGACGATCGTTGCTTGGCGATCGGCTTCGTTTTCTATCGTGTTTTTTCTCACTTTTATGAGATTTGTGATGTTTGTGATGTTTGTGTTTCTTGTGCTTTTTTTCTCTGTCTTTATCCCTATCTTTATCCTTCTCCTTTTTGTCGCCATTTTGATGCTTAACGACTTGTTCATCTTGTTGCATGTTTTCTTCAAGCATACGTTCAATTTCAGTATCGTCAGCCATGTCCTATCTAAAACAAAGAATGAATGAGTAAACTCAATAGCTGATCGACACGATTACCCTGGCAGAATTAAGTGATTATATAGAGAAAACTTCCTAGAGAAAAGAAAACAAGAATGAGACACTCAAATCTGATATGAAGTTATGTAAAGAATACAGAATAGGAATTGATTGTGCAGAACCACTCCTAGAATAATAAACTACGATATGTTCAAAATACAAAATCGAATCCATGGAAAATGAAACGTCTGTTTGTATACGAAATTGAACTTGAACGTGTGGACGAACTTCTAAACAAGGACAAGTCTTTCTTTGTTTTGTGATTATTTCAATCAAAAAGAAAAGTGCAATTTTGAAGCTCGATATTCACTCGAGTAGAGGCTTTCAAGTAGTTTTTTTCTCCCTACTATTACAAAAAAAAACAAAAACAAAAAAAGGCACTTACGAATGAGCAGAGTTACTGAATATGCGACCGGCTTGTCTAATGAACAATTGATGAAATAATTCGAATGAAATACGAATACGTTGTGATATATGATGAAAGAATCGACGCCATCTTAAAAGAGAATTTGGTGTCCTCCAAAATTGACCAATGAAATAACGCCGTCATGAATTTGACCACCTTTCACAATAATTTCAAATTCAACACCTTAATGAGCGTTGCAAAAAAACAATTTAACAGAAAATTGTTGCCTGATCATATTTCCGTCAATTTAAACTGTTATTCACGATTACTTTTGAACGATCGTTTGCAAAATTCTCCATCAATTATCAATATCCGTTCGATTTTATATCTTCTATCTGAGTAGAGCATATACAAGAATCAGAGCATCCTACGCCGACAGGAATATACGCCACTTTGTGAAATATTGTGCTCTGATCAATTAGTTTTCTGCAGAATGGATTATTGTTCACGCATCAAAGACTTATCATCAATGCGCATTCGAAAAAGATGCTCCGAATGATTTCCTTGCTGATAAGATTTATTTATTTTTATTTAAGAATAAGTGATGTGATAAGAGAAGGGTGAGCAGGTAAGATGTAAGTCAAACATGTACGATATTAAGAGAATAGAGTAAATGTATAGAGATGGACAGAGCTTTGAATGTTGTGAAAAGGAGAAAAAAATAGTTCAAATTGTCTATTGCAATCATTTAAGCGTGTTGTTCTTCTTCTTCACCTTCGACACCTTCACCTTCTTCTACAAAAGATGAAAGAAAATGTATATTAGCACTCCGTACAAAAAGTATTTGAAATCGATCAACTAACCTTCGGCTGTAGCATCTTGGTATTGTTGATATTCGCTGACAAGATCATTCATGTTTGACTCAGCTTCAGTAAATTCCTACAACAATAGAAATTCATACTAATCAATTCCATTTCGATCATTACGTACCATTTCATCCATGCCTTCGCCTGTATACCAATGCAAGAAAGCCTTTCGGCGGAACATAGCAGTAAATTGTTCCGAAATGCGTTTGAATAATTCTTGAATAGCTGTGCTATTACCTACAAGACATGTTACAAATCAGGCAACGTTCTTTCACACTTGAGCTGTGATCATACCAATAAATGTGGCTGCCATCTTAAGACCACGTGGTGGAATATCGCAAACAGCTGTCTTAACGTTGTTTGGGATCCATTCGACGAAGTACGATGAGTTTTTGTTTTGAACATTCAACATTTGTTCATCGACTTCTTTCATTGACATGCGACCACGGAAGATGGTGGCAACAGTCAAGTATCGGCCATGTCGTGGATCACATGCAGCCATCATGTTCTTAGCATCGAACATCTGTTGGGTAAGTTCGGGAACGGTCAATGCACGGTATTGTTGTGAGCCACGTGATGTGAGTGGTGCGAAGCCAGGCATGAAGAAGTGTAAACGTGGAAATGGAACCATATTTACAGCCAATTTACGTAAATCAGCATTCAACTGACCTAGATGGATCAATCAGATAAGCACATTAGAGTGCATTACAGAGTCATTAGCCTCTACCTGGAAATCGGAGGCATGTTGTAACACCTGACATTGTGGCCGAGACTAAGTGATTAAGATCACCGTATGTTGGCGTTGTCAATTTCAATGTACGGAAACAGATGTCATATAATGCTTCATTATCAATACAGTACGTTTCGTCAGTATTTTCGACGAGTTGATGTACACTAAGTGTGGCATTATATGGTTCAACAACGGTGTCCGAAACCTTTGGTGATGGGACGACACTGAAAGTCATCATAATACCTGAACAACAGTTTCGTCATGACAATCGAATTTCGTTTTCATCAAAGATTACGTACGATCTGGGTATTCTTCACGAATCTTTGAGATGAGTAAAGTACCCATACCAGATCCAGTACCACCACCAAGTGAATGGGTTAATTGAAAACCTTGAAGACAATCGCAGGATTCAGCTTCTTTGCGGACAACATCCAAGACTGAATCAACTAATTCGGCACCCTCAGTATAATGACCTTTGGCCCAATTGTTACCAGCACCCGATTGACCTAATCAAAAAGATCATTAAACAATAGGCATATTATAAGCGATCGTCTTACCAAAGACGAAGTTGTCTGGTCGAAAAAGTTGACCAAAGGGACCGCTACGAACTGAATCCATAGTTCCTGGTTCGAGATCGACAAGAACAGCACGTGGAACATATTTGCCTCCTGAAAAGAAAACCTTCGCCATGAACACTTGAGCAATGCTAAGCTATGTTTTTTACCAGCAGCTTCATTGTAATAAACGTTGATACGTTCAAGTTGAAGATCTGAATCTCCATGATAGGTACCAGTTGGATCAATACCATGTTCATCGGAGATAACTTCCCAAAACTAGAAAAAAGTTGCAACGTATTTACAACTGCGTTATTACCGAATTCCTTTTCTTCGGTGTCTTTGTTTAAAAATTAGCGTTTTACACCAAACAAGAGATCTTATTCTAGTCTACTGTTTCAGTCGGAAACTTTCGAAAAAGTTAAAGATAGTGTAGAATTTTGACGTACTTTGGAACCAATTTGGTTTCCACATTGACCAGCTTGGATGTGAACAATTTCACGCATTTTGTTTTAGTTGTTGTTGGATATAGGATTAATCGAAAGTGCAAGAGAAGACGGCGATCTGCAACGAGAAACACGCAGTTATATTGCTTGTCGGACGACCAGATAGTATGAAAAAAACAAGAGAAGATGTGAGAGAAAAAGAAACAGCCGACGACGTTCGTTCGTCTTTTTCTCTTTCTCGTGCGCGCTCTTCTTCTCGCTCACGCTCACTCTCACTCCCTCTCTAGTTAGACAGACGGACGGACGGATAATATAGTCGCTTTGCTTACACAGCAAAATAGACGCACACACGCACACTGCCTGACGAAGTGACGACGGCTCATATAGCTGAATGAATCATCACTTCGAGATGTATAACCCATAAGTGAAGAGAAAGAGCGTATGATGTAGGAGTTCAGAAATAGACGCACACGTATCAAGTCATTGATTGCACGCCTCACTTGCTATGAGGGTTACTAGCTTTACTTTTATTCGTCAGTTTTTAAGCGGGTTAAAATCGAAAGAACAAAAAGCAAGCAAGACTGATGACGAAGAAAGAGTATATCTAGGACAGATTTGATAATTATGGACGGTTGCTACAACAATTCTGTCGTTTATTTCAAAGAATTATCTCGAATAGTTCAATTAGACAGGGATTATTTCTCTCCAAGGAGATGTAAAAACGCATTTGACGACAATTTGAATGCCTGGAAATGCAAAGAACGTACTATAGGAGAAACTTTCCTTCGTTTGAAAGTAAATATCGTAAGAATGTCGCTTTTTTTTGTTCGCAGATTTTTATTAAAGAAATTGAAAAAGAAAGAATATCCTTCTCTGCAATGTGAATATTTGACTGGTAGTTAACAAACACCGATGTGCGAATCTTTCAATACTATTTTTCTGTTAACGAAAAAAAGAGTCTAACGATATACAAAGAACTACATTTATGCATCATATTCGAAAGGGAATGTTTGATCGTCATCGTCACTTTGTAATCTCTGATTTTGTTGATTATCTTCGTCGTCATCATCGGCATCATCCTCTTGTTGATCAGTCTGAAATTGCTCGTCGTTGTTATCTGATGCCATGGAATTGTTTGAACTTGAAGAAGTCGACGTTTGATAATAAAACAGTTCATTGGATCGATTGAATGTTTCTTGTAAAACTTCTTCGTCGTCTTCGTCATGGTGTAAATTGAAAAACGGTGCTGGTAATGTCGGTTTAGTCGCATTTGGTAACTGTTGTACTGGCACAGGTGGTAGTTGCCGAGTAGTGTTAATTGTTAGTGGTCGCGGTTGAGCGATATTTGTTGGTGGTAGTTGATTTTGAGTTGGTAGTGTTCGTTTTAATGTCGGTGGCAATGGGAGAATCCTATATGGGAATAAATCATTTAGGATGTTGAACAATCAGAAGGACTCACTTTGGAGCGGCAGACCAATTGTTATTCATGTCATCATCAGAGTTATGCAAATCAATAGAATCGTATCGATTGCTTCCATTATTGTCATTATCTATCAGTGGTTGATGTGACGGTGATTGATCTGCATTTCCTAAAAGAATACACATACATCGTAATCAAAGAAATAAATATCCGATGTTTTGATCTGCATACGCGTTGTTGTAAAAAATAATGCTGTCCGTGGTCGATTGTTGACTTGCTTCTTAGTGGTAACTTCGCTGATCATCTGATGACTGTTAGTAGCATTGGCCATGGTTGGTATAGGCGGTTGCTGTCGTTGTTGCTGAACTGGTGGAATTGGAGTTAACTTGCCATTCAATGGCAATTGACGATTGTTAGGCGCTGTAGTTGTTTGCGGTTGTCGTTGATCACTTCCTGCTGTGACGAGTAACGTTGGCCTTGTTTCTGCCGGTGGTAAATCCAACGAGAGTTTTTTCGCGGATGTTGCCGATGATTTCGGTGTTGACATAATTGCAGGTCGTGGTCGCACGGTTGGCGCTGCCGGTGTTGCTTGTGGTAGAGCTGAAAGGACACTACCGTCAGGAACGTTCAGAGTTCGACCGTAGTGTGATTGACTAGCAGAGCTATCAGCCGTTTGTTGACTTGTTCGTTTTCCATCGTCGAAATTGATCAGATTCGGGACTTTGCTTGCCGACTGGTTCACAAATCCATTCGCAGGCGGTGCATTTGGTCGAGCGATCGGAGTGCTTTTATTTTTATTGGCAAAAGCATTGTCCATATTCTTGAAAGAGAAAGAGGTTTGCAGTTCTTCATAGTTCAGCGAAGGCGCTCTATTAAAAAGAATTACCGATGATCGATTCGATCCATGACGTCGGAAACTGCCTGATGGACGAAATGATGGCCAGCGTGGATCATATTCATGATCATTGATACCTTCTCTTGAATGTGCACGTTCTTTCAACGCACAAACAAGTCGATTCAAATTGAAACCCTATGTACATGGAAGAAATAAACAAAATGATTTGGCAGGAAGCTAAACAAGCATAGAGTCATGAAGAAAACAACAAGAAAAGGTAGAATCACATTTGAATCAAGGGAATAAATCATCGAGTCTAATCAGATGGAATCTATGTTTTGAATGGAATTGTTTAACTGATTAGTCTTTCGGCATGCTGCTATTCATGCAGAACTGACCTCATTGTCATTATTCATTGATCTGATACTTTCACGTTCCGTGAGTATCTGTATATATGTATAACGAAAACAAAAGATTTCATTATGAAAACTTACCGTATCGTTTCTATGACCCTGTTTATATGAACGGTAATTATCTACATATAGACATATAGCGTACACTTTTCCAACGGTTAGTTTTGGAAAGCCAGGAATGCCGTGTAGTTCTGAAAAGGTGACAGAAGAATTGAACGATAGATAAGTTGTCGACTACTGACCAGTTTTAGGTGGAACAACCAGATCGAGTAATGGTTTAGTACCGCCTTCATAAAGTTTAATAGGTTTTTTAGCTAGATTTGGCCATAGTCTACATAGAACTTCACGTAGTTCGTTATCAGCTTCATCCATTTCTTCCGCAGCTAAATGAAATTATTAGTTAATGAATAAATGCGGAGAAGAATTCTTCTATGACTTACCAGTCCGCATTTTTATACCGAGGGATTCACGAATTAAGGCGAACAGAGTTGTGGTAAAATGCACTTGACGTTTATCATCAATCGGCATATTCATCCGAATCAGACGCTAAAATCCCATATCAGTTATTAAGTCTATCGTTACACCTCGTATACATACCTTATAGGCTAGCTTTGACGGACATTTCGTTCCAAATCCAACCGGCGGAGACATCAGCCGAAGCATTTCGAACATCTTTGTGTATTCTAATTTTCCTCTAAAACAAAAATTATTTTTGAAAATAAACCGAATATCATCATCGAAAGAAACATACGTTCCATCAGGATCGTATTCTGACCACGAACGTAAAAATTCATCGAGATGATGTGCACCTAATATCGATGAATCTCTTGTTAAATAATCAAAATTATCCATGATAACTGCCACGAATAAATTCAACATCTAAGAAAACATTATAAAACATCGTCTCAACAGTTAGTTCGAACACTTACCAAGAACGATGAAAGAAAAACGAACGAACAGAAGTAAGGATACGCGATAAATGATCCACATTTCGGTGTCTTTGGAGAATGTCGTTCGTTCGTTGTTGAATGACAGTCCGCACCGCCTTTGCACGCCAACATCACCGCTTGCCAACTTTCACCTGTCGCACATCTGTTCATTGAAATACAAAGAACAACAACAACGAGTCAATATCTTTTGATTAGCAAAGATTTTTCGACAGACAACAAAAGCATAAGTGAAGCAAACAATATCATTACGAATACCTGAACAAGAGCATCAAAGCAGAAAAAAAATTGGCGAAATTATTGTGTCGATTAATCTCGGTTTTGCTCGAGTCATGACGAACGTTACCAAAGACCTTGTTTAGAAAGAAAACATAAGATATAAAGAAGAAAAACTAAATGACATGCAAAGAAAATGGGAAATGATAAAATAAATGAAAAAGAAAAAAAAAACGATAAGGTTCAAAACTTTCACCATTACCAAATCACAGAACGAACTGTTGAGGGAATAGTAAAGAAAAAATCAAAATAAAATATCATTCTATGTTTATCTAAAGTATCTATATCGCTTCGGACATTCTCTTGCCTGAATAGAACAAGTGTCGCTTGAAAAATGTTCTGAAAATTATTGTGATCGTGCATCGTCGATGTATGATCGACTTTTATATTTCCAAACATCTGTAGGGTAAATGAAAGTGTATAATGTGTGTGTTCAATACTCATTAGATTTTCATAACTAGTCACTTGAAAAACAAAATTATCTAGGAGAAAAGAAATACCTGCATGCCAATGATAGCATAAATGAAAAACAGCATTCCAATTAGTAGACAAACATATGGAAGTGCCTAGACAATAGGGGAAAAGATGGATCAGTTGATTTATTAAGTAGATGAAATTCACTTTAAAGGATTGTACGAATGTCCAAAGTAGAATACGAATGGTATATCCTTGCCGTAGAAGTTTTATCAAACGAGCAGCACGAAATAGTCGAAGAAAACCCAAATTGAGTAATGTGTTCTAAAGAAAAACAAATCATCATTACTCTAACGATAGTGATATTCTTTCAGATTAGAACTAAAGGTGATGGTCATGCGCAACTATCTAGAGTTTACTGTGACCTTTCGTTTTACTTCATCATTCATTGCCGGTTCATCGGACTGTCTTATTACCTTATGCTTTTGACCAGTAGGCATAGCTGCAAGATTGACTTTACCACCAGACTAAAAGAAAATTCGGTTTTTCATATTGCAACTCAAGTATTATCGACTGATAATCGTACTCGGAATTCCGTGACAAGTACATCAGCAATACTTCCAAGAACAGTAATAAAATCAAATGCATTCCATTTGTCTCGAAAATAGTTCTAAAATTTATTCATAAAAGTTTGACTTTTTTGCCAAGTTAATTGTTCGTCACATACTCGCAGTCCAAATGCAATTATTTTCAGGATACTTTCCACCGTAAACAAAGCAGTGAAGGTCGTATTTGCATAGGTTAACATATCATTATACGCTTCTGGACTTCGATAATACTATAAATACGAAGATGACGATGGATCTCCTATAGAATTGAACTTACTTTAGCCATTAGTACGCATGTATTCAATGCGATCATAACCATGATACAGAACTCAAAATAAGACGAGGTACATGTTTGCCAAATTCGATAACGTAATGAGCCTTCTTGTTTCGGTTTACAACATTGAATTGGTTTAGCGTTCAGTGCAAAATCAATACATGATTTCTATAAAGATATCTATAGAAATAACATGTTCAGTTCTTTATAAACGAAACAAACTTGATTTTTGTTGATTTCCGCTTCTTCTAATTCTTTTTGTCCTTGATCTTGAAATGTAATGATAATTAAAGCAACGAATATATTCACGAAAAAGAATGGAAACACGATAAAATAGACGACATAAAACATTGCGATTTCTAATCGATTGCCAGGTGTCGGACCTCGGTTGATACCAGTAGCATCTATTGAATGTTGTAAAACACTAAAATTCACGATCGGATCACTCCACCATTGATCAAAAGAATCCACTTACGTCGGCCATCCTTCGCCCGTTTGAACAGTGAACAAGGTGAGGATAGCTTGCGGAACGCTATCATACGTAAAATCGTATGGTTCCCACGCTCTTTGTTCGCGTTTCGGTTTGTCTTTGCCATTTCCAAAGTCGAAATAATGCCCTCTAAAAACAATATCCAGGATCGTCGATGATCAGCGAACACATGTTTTTGATACATACCGACATTCGTCAGGTGTTAGTTTAGATAGATCTGTGCATCGATAAAATTTGCCTTTGAATAATTGTACAGCAATAACAGCAAAAATAAATTGAAATAGCATGTACACAATTCTAGAATTATCTCTATCAGACAAAGAACTCTAGCGATGAATGACTTACAAGATGGTTAGCACATTCGATAGAGAGGTAATAACACAATCAAAGACAGCTTTCAATTTCGGTACTCGATTGATGGTTTTCAATGGACGCAGTACACGAAGAACACGCAGTGATTTAATTGTATTAAGATTTTTTCCTGCGCCATTTTCTCTACAAAGGATATCCTCGGTTATATCTTCGCATCTGGTCAATTCATATATCTTACGTAAAGCCAAATGCAACCAATGCACAGACGACAACAATAGCATCTAGAATGTTCCATATATCACGGCAATAAGCGCCTTCATGAAAAACGACACCTAGATCAACAACCTAGAACGCAGATGAGTTCAAACTGACTATTTGCAAGATATTATTTTCGAATACTTTGAGAATCAATTCAACGGTAAATACACCAGTAAATGCGTAATCTATGTAGCTAAGTATCTTGTTGCGCATCGAATTTTCATTGATAGGATCCTCAGCAGCTAATGAAATTGAGCTGAGACATATAACAGTCATGATTAGGAAATCGAAATAACGAAGAGTAACAATAAAATGACAAAAGCGACGAATTCTAAAAATACAAATATTTCGACGAATTATCTCTTCCCACGAACAAAGATTCATATTATCGAACTTACGGATTAGTATTGCTGAAGATAAACATCGAGCTGGCTTCTAGAATCGGTTTAACAACACGAGCTTGTTCTTTTCGTTTTGCTTCTGCTTCGGCAGCAGCTTCCGCTTCTTTCTTGCGCGCTGCTTCTTCGGCACGAGCTTTGATTGCTTCCGGACTATTAAGTCCCGGTAACTTATCCAATGAGGCTAGAAAAAAAATTTTTTTACTATCAAATCATCGCTTCGAATGACAATTCTTGCTTTACTTGGAAGAAGAACTGGACCGAGATCGTAATCTAACCCAGGAATGTAATCCAAATCGGCTTTTTGAAAAATTTGTCGGTCTAAATAATCGTCCGCTTTAGAATTGCTTGTAGGTTGATTTGCTGGTGTGTCAAAAGCTGTTTTCACTGCGTTTTCAACATAGTCTTTCTTTGTTGTCTGTTGAAGATTATTTCGTTTGATCAACGGTTCTTGATCAGGCTTTTTCACTTTTGCATTCGGCGTATTTGTTGTTGTCGTGTCTAATTTAAACATTGATTCAACATCTTTGGTCTCACGTTGACGTTTCTAAAATATAGTATAGAAGTTATTTGTTCGATATCAGAGTGAAATTTTCCAACTACTTCTTCTTCAGCTGCTTGCTCTTCTTCTTCATCTTTGGTCAATTCATGTGCGTTTGCTAAATTATCAACAGCAATAGCCAAAAAGACGTTAAGTAATGTATCTAACAAATAAATGCAGACATTCCAAGAATTGAACAAAGAAAAAATCATTTACAGTTGCCAAAAAGCACAAGAATAACGAAGTAAAGTGAATACACCATTCCTTTTCCATTCGCTCCACCTTGGGAGTTAATACCATTGTACATAATTTCATTCCAATCTTCACCAGTTAAAATCTAAATAGGAACAAAACCCGAAATTCGTCACTCCTCATCATTAGATTGTTTTACTTGAAAGACAGTAATCAGTGCCGTGGCGAATTTGTTGAAATTTTGCAATGGAGTTTCATCTTCGAAATTGAATCTATTTCAAACGAAATCGATAGATGAATTTCGTTGAAAATTAAACCGTAGTGCACATACTCGCCACCAAATAATTGCATACCCAACAGAGCAAATATCAGAATAAACAAAAACAGTAGAAACAGCAAACTGACGATCGAGCGCATACTGCTCAAAAGTGAAACGACTAGATTACGAAGGGATGCCCAATGCCTAAAACACAACGAAAGAGATTTATTACCAATGACTCAGTCAACTCACCGTGTGACTTTGAAAATTCGTAATAAACGTAAGGAACGTAGAACTGACACACCAAATGATTCTTCAGGATTAAAATACGTCCAAATAACTTCGAATATTGAACCAATAATAACCTGGATCATTCTTTTTGAAAGTGATTATTCGCTAAGCAAAACAACTTACGACAAAATCAAATATGTTGAACGACGAAACAAAATATTGATTAACACCAAGACCATACATTTTGAAAAGCATTTCAAAAACGAATAGACCAAGAAAAACAAATTCAGCATAATCTTATCAAGAGACAAAGGATGTTAACATAGACTCTTGTAATACAACTGACTGAGACTTACATAAAAATTCGGTTAAATATTGTTTTTGTCCATCGTGTTCAATGGCTACACACGCTGTGTTAAGAAACACGAGCACGATTACAGTCCAATAGAAAGCTTGTGTTTTAACCAAAATACGAATTTTACTCCTAATTAGTTCGACCGAATATAGTAATCGATTTCAATCATCGTTCTTACTTAATGACCCGTTGTTGGATGTGCCAACGATGTGAAAATGTTCGTGGTCGGCTTGGTCGTTCAACGCCAGTTCCACGGCCGCGATTAAATGCATTATCTACATATAGATTTAATACATACGATCGGTTATTGAAAACCACTTTTATCTAAACTATCGATCTATATATAGTCTACAAGGTACTTTATGGAAGTCTTTTCACACGAATGCTACATAGGTTCCTACTTGTGTATTTCCGTGCAAATGAGCGAGTTTTATGAACTGTCCGAATGACTTATTTACGTACTTGAGAAATCAAGTCGAGTTTCGGCAAAGTCGAAGTGAATTGTACCGTGCAAGAATATATCTTTTCACTCCGAGTGACACAAATCAAATTGGATTTTTTTTATTAAGATGATGAATCTCTTCAATGAAGAGTATTAAAATCCGTTGACAATATTAAATCTGCACTCATCAATTTCAGTCAGTTTGTATTAGAAGTGATTTTTAACCACGCGATCAAAGACATGACATTTCTTTTCCTCGTTAAACTATCTCTAGGCAATGTGTATTATGTATCGCATTGAAAGAAGGCTCCATTCACTTCGATTTCTCAAATAGCTGCAAGCAACAACGCGTCCCACACGTTGTTCAAAACATTTTCTTTTTCCTTGTAATAATGAGTAACATTTTCTCGGGATCAAAGTTCATTTGTTCGCATATTCTCTAATTACTATTGGATGAACGAGTCGTATGTCAATGTTCGAATAGGCATTTTGGATACTTACCAATATCTTCTTCGTCATCATCGAGACTTTGCTGTTTTCCCGTCCGAATGTGTCGAACTTTCTTCAATGCGGCATATTTTCGAGCTACAGAAATCAAATTGAGGAAATAAAGTAAATCGGTTTAATATTTACCTTCATGTATCGCACGCCTTTCCTGTTCAGTAGTTCGTTCTTCATTTAGAATTACATCCTCTATTAATAAAAATAGATAAATACAAGTAGAGCCGATTTCCAACAAACCTGCTCGATTAATCCACTCGATGTAATTATTGTATTCCCTTTCGATCTGCTGCTGTCGACGAATCTTGACAAATGCTCGGCGATTTTCTACACGTTGTCTTTCCTTGGCAAATTCTCTGCAAACAGATACACAATAGAGAAGTCTTTTCTTTCTCATACCATTACCCGCTCAATACACCAAGAACAAGATTGAGCATGAAAAACGAACCAAGAATAATCAATGGCACAAAATAAAGCCAATTAAATAACGTTCCTACTGCATCATTTGTCTATGCACAAAAACAAATCAATCGTCTAAACCTTTCTTTGCTTTCCTTGAAGATTTGTTTACCCAGTAAAGCACTTGTGTCCATCCTTCCATTGTTATGCATTGAAAGACAGTTAACATAGCAAAGCCAATATTATCAAAACTCGTTATGCCTCTATTTGGACCCACCCAATAGTCTTTACATATAAGTGATTCATTTGGAATATTGCATGTAAACACTCCATGCTTCATGTTTAACCAACCCCACACGGGCTCTGCAAAATGAACGTACTCGCAAACATGCCAAAAGAATGAACGATTTATTTTTTATTTACCTCCGGGTATGCCACACGTTGTAGCGAGTTGCCCTTCACCTTTGTAGATTACTAATAAAAGCAAAGAAATTGTGCCGATGGAAGCAAAAGAACAGACTGATCAAATCACTTACAATCTTCACTATTCATGTCTGCAGCTAGAAAAGAAAAGCAAATTCATATTCTAATGAAGTGCGACTTTATTTATCGCTTGAGTTTCATGTAAACATGTATGCTTCTTCAATTCTCATGAGAAAATGACTTTCTTATCATAAAATCATAACGCAGATTTCTTATTGGTTGACAACACGGAAAAAAAACACCCTGAGAAATGATGCAGAAACGTCTCGAACGAACATTTGGAGATTCCATGTGTCATCATCTGTTCCTCTCGATTCGAATATTTGAACTTGATGGTGACAATCAAGCGAATCATGTGCACATCGATTTATTTCCCATCTAACTTTCATCCACTTTAAATGATTACATTTACTCTGTTGATTTTCTGGGAGAAACTGACATTGGATGAGAGATCTTTCTTTCCTAGACGATGTCATGTTTGTTAACTCGAGAAGAAAGATTGGTTTTGTTTTGCACTGTGAACGTTCGAGTCGATTTTCATAATAACGAATTTGTCTTGTGAATCATCATGACATGATCCGTTTCCGACTGACAATTATTGAGATTTATCGATGCATGAAATGATTCATCACAGTCCGAAAATATTTCATTGTTCGTGGACAAAAAAAAAAGACATCGAACTAATTCTATCAAAAAGAATAATAATTGATGTTTTTATACCAGGAAAAAGAAATCCTGCAATTGTTCTAATTCTATAGTTTTCCGTTTTTCAAACCGGAACACGGTGAGGAGGAGGAGAACAAGAAGAAAAGATCGATAAAGGACGTATATAATCAGTCTGGATGAATATCAAAATAAGTTCATTTCCGATAGTTTTCATGCTTGAGCATATCATTTCTTTTTCTGCGCCTGTTACTGACCTGCTCGATTTACATAGAAACACGTTGTATGGAACACGCCTGAATACAGCTCAAGGCCAATAATAGCGAAGATGACAATAGCAAAAAGAACTAAAAGAGCGATTTGAAACAATGGAGCCATGGCTTTTAATATGGATTTAAGCACCACTTGAAGACCTAGATTAAATCAATGAACTGTTTTAAGGGATTAGTTTTAATGACTAGGAAGCATTACTTGGAATGCCTGAGACAAGTTTAAGTGGTCGAAGGACGCGTACAGCACGCAATGTTCGTAAATTAAATGAAGTATTCTTCTTAATACTAATCGTCGCCAAGCTAAATCAACGCAGAAGAAAGACAGACAAAGCTCAATGAAAATTAATCACAGCACAGGTAAAGCATCTTTTATACCCGGTAACAACAACAACAAAATCCATGGCATTCCAAGGACTTCGAAGATATGAACCACGGTGTAAAACAAATCCTAGTGCAATGATTTTCAGAGCGGCTTCAAAACAAAAGATTCCAATGAAATAAATCTCCGTTTTCTCCTAAACAAACAAGAATTCATTTCATCATTTATGTACGCTAGATCTGTTCGAACCAATGATCTTGCTAATGTGGTTTTATCTTCATTCGGTAAATGTTCTTCAAGTGCTAGAACAATACAATTAGCAATAATTGTTAATAGCACCATATATTCAAATGGACTAAATAGAATTGATATTGATATATGAGAACGAGAATTGAATCGCACTTACTTCCATTCGATAACATCATTTGCTCGTCTTCGTATCCAATTATTTTTCGAAAATATGAATAATGATCGTTGGTTGGACGCATTGATTTTTTGAGCATAGTTTTTCAATTTAGCTTTGAATGCACCAAGCCGACCAGAATGAAGATTATGTGGATCGCCGCCGGTGATTGCTTCCAGATTACCGCCCTCTTTCAGAGCCCTGATCATGGCAGTTACATTATTAAAATCGCCCATGACTTAGGCCTTGAAATTTATATGATTATCTTGTATTTTCTCGTGCTCAGCGCAAAGGAAACATGGGTGTTGTCATATAATGGTAAGCAACACCACACATATACAACAAAAAAAAAGAAAGAAAAAGGAGAAGAGAGAGAGAGAGAGAGGGAAACGCGGCTAGATGTAAAAAGAAAGAATAAACGCTATTGACATACACGACTTTACCATGGGTCCGGCTGACGAGAAAGAGAAAAGGCATTCAACAATCTCTCTTTTTCTTCTTCTTCACCATGTCAGAAATGTAAAACGGAACAAAGCCAATCTCTTCTCTCTCTCTCTCCTTCGTCTTTTTGACGTGATTCCCCAACAGAATTGAATGAACAGAACTTAAGCGCAAGAATGAAACTAAGATTTACATGAACATTCAATGTCGATCTGAATAACGAGCAGGATGATCAATTTTATAGTGTATAGAAGAAAAGAAAAATGAGAGAACGTAACAGAATTTTTCTCGTCATTTTTTATTATTTCATAGAGCAACAACTAAGTGTAGAAGGAACGAATTGATTGTCAAATGATAGTTAATCAAGAATAGCAGCACAGAAGAAAGAAAGAAAAAGAAAACTTTCTTGTTCTATTCTATTGATCTTCCGGAGATGATCGATGATCCTCAACAAATCTTCTGATCAATTCCAAAGACAAGAACAAGATCAGATTATTCGAATAGAATATTTGATAATTAATCAAAGACTCTTATTGAGCAAGAAAACATACGAGCAAATCTGCATTCTTCTTCTTCTTTTCTTTCTTCGAAATAATATAAAAAACAAATGACATGCCGATGAATGGATTGTTTTCATTATCTTTATCATTTATTATGTATGAATGATTAAAGAAATCGACTTAAATTATTCTTTTCTTTCTTATTGATTCAATAATCTAGCTGACAAAGATGACTCAAGTTGACTATTTTCACGTTAACTGACAGAAATAAACGGTATACTCCTGGGTTAATCGTAATTTAATTTCAAATGATTTTGCCGCCGAAACAATGAGTTAGTTTTTTGTCGAGGTTAAGCCGCATATTGATTTCTTCTATCAATATAAATCTTCAATCATGGCAAACATTTACAAAAGACTTGTTACTCGAAATCTGTCATCGATATTCCTCGGAGATTCCTGTGTGCAACTAATGACACGTCGTTGCAAGTCAGCGTTCATTGCAAGAAAAACTAACTAATAAATAACGTTTATATATTTAGAAAGACGGCATGCAAGCCTAGTTTCTCCTTGTCCTACGTTTACCAGAAAGGAAAAAAATGTTGATTCATTTAGACATTCGGAGAAACTGAAGTTTGTTCTTTTTTTTCTAACTCAGTTGAATTCAATGTATCTAAATTGTTGTCGAGAGAATAGAATAGAATCGATGTTACGAAGTGAAAGTAATACGATTAAGTATTATTACCATTGAACCTACTACTAATGGAAAAGGCTTTTAATACAATTATCTCAACATAAGCATTTATCCAAAAAACATCAAGTAAATGGAGAGAACAATTTCTTCTTTTACACTTTCAACAGTTCGACTCTTCTTGTTTGATCGCATCGACCTGATTAATAATTGTTAACCTCTTGGGAGACCTGCTGACCTCTGAAAATAGACATTTGACTTCTTTTTTATCTGATATAAAAGGTGACATGTTAAAGTATCTGTCGATTATAAAACATTCAAACATCGACATAAATCGATAATCTGCTAAAAGCTCTTTTGAAAGAATATTTGATGACATCTTTTCGTTAATTATTAATAGACTTTTACAAAAAAGGATTCAATGTGTTCATTACAGCAACTAAGACTAGAGGATAAAAAGAGAACCCACGTCTTGTCGATCATTTCTCCTTCGTCGAGAAGTAATTGATCTAGAGCGATTATTCTTAACTTGAGGGCATGTAACTAAATGGAATAGATGGGTTTTCTTTTGCTCTCCTTTTCTCATTATCTTCATATAAGTTTTTCCTCGGCAAAACAAGAGTAGTAGAAGTAAAATTAGATATAATCATCTATTCGTAATGATTACTCACCCGAAGAGACTAACGCTCTTGGAATTACCAATAGATTGTGTCTTTTTCATCTGTTCATGAGTAAGTAAGACATCTTTCATTCCGTAGAGATCGAGAGCTCGACGCCGCCTCATATTCGATACATTATCACGTGCCCGACCGACAACGATCGACCATTGCATTGAAGTCGCTTGTGACGATTGTCTTTTCGCTAGAATAATTAATACATCAGACACAACGATCTTGTGATGAATGTAGTAAAACAAGAATATTTACACATAACTATGATCGCCGCAGATTAGTAACTAATTTTCAATCTGTGTAAACGATGGAATCAAGAATTTCCGTCGAACGGAAATTCAAGCTAAAGATAAATATCATTTTTTAAGAAACGCATGCTAAAAAAAAAGAGAAAACGTTTGATAAATACCCTCGGATGTCAAAAAAAAGACGCTGTTTGCCGTTAAGAAAAGGAGAACCTACACACATTTGACAAATCATTCTACAATCTATACTCACGATGTTAGTGTTCACTTATGGATATACCTTTTTACAAAATTAACAAGTACGTGAAAGAACAAAAAAAAGAGACATGTTGCTCAAGCAGGTCCCCTTCATCGTTTTATCATTTGTGTCGAACCAATGAGATGATGACATTGAATAATTGTGAGAAAAACATGTCATAGAAAGATCAAGTTATCAGACGTATGACTGTTGCTTCTGGAAAGTACACACGTCATACTTTTCAATTATGACAGAGCAAATATTAAAGCAATTCGAGAAAACAAATCTGAGAACATTTCGATCAATTTCTTTACTAATTTCCTATACTAAACATAATGTGGTAATCGACCGGTGATTGTACACATAATTTCCGTTAACAAAGAGTTACACGCGTGTTATTGATGTCAATTTTTCCAGCATTCCTCTTAATTACAGTGTCTCTCCTCAGGAAGACATTAAATAGGCGATGAATACTTGCATGTGGAGTACTTGCAAACCTCAGAAGTCGATTGTGTTTTCTAGTAAATTTTACTGATTAAAAAAATTCATCAGTCAATGCCATCTGTTCTATGATGTTTGTACTGCTGATTAACAACGTCTGACATTGGCATAGAAACACACGCATGAATGTCTGCAAGCGTGCTCAGGAAAAAGAAAAATTGTTGTTGGGTTCTGTACTGTTGTTAATCAACTAAAGTGAAGGAATTTATATATAAATTATGACTAAATTCGCTCATCCATCATCACTTGAAACTCGGTATGCTGCCATTGCTGAAAGTAGCGTTTACACGTACGACGATGATCTTGTTAATTATGCTGATTTTCTTCGGTAAAATGACTTTCGGTTGATAGTTTCTTTATTTGATGATTACGTTTACGTAGAAAACATGGTCGCTATATGACCAAAGATGGTTATGTCGATTCCTCACGACGTGTTCGTTCACTCCAACGACAGCAAGATGAATCAAGCGTACCTTTACGTAACAATGTGCCTGCTACAACTAACAAAGCAGCATCGACATCGAAAAAGCCAAAGCAAGCGGCTGAGAATGAATTGCCATCAGTCATATCGATTTCGACAAATATTGAGCATAAGGGAAAGGAACATGATAAACAAATGAGACTTATTGAGGTTCGAATGTCACGGCAAACGAAGCTTCTAGTGTCATCATTGTATTTAGGAACAAGTGATAAGATCTAGAGAACATGAACGGGATTCAAAACGTTCGGAAGGCGATGTTAGACGAGAACAACGGTATTTACATCATACATTGAAAGGATTAAGTACTGCTGGTAAGATTCCAATGGAATCAAAACTTCTTACTACAGTTTCAATTTTAGACACAATCAAGAAACGTTTAGAAGCAGAAAATTATCTTTCCACGAACTTCGATGACAAAAGTCAAAATGAACGGGAAGCTTTGAAGAAGAAAGAACAGGTAATTGAATCATTTCCGGATAGAATTTGAATGACTGATAGTTTCGTTTCATTAGCAAATGAAACAACGAACTGAACCAGTTGTTGATTTACTTCAAACTAGTAAAGATGCTGACCGTAGGAATGTTCTTGTTTGCACCGATCTAGCACGACAATATCGGACAAAAGCAGAAGAGCTTGAAGCTAAACATGAACAATTATCTCAAATCCATCAAGAATTTCAAGATAAACTTCACGAGAAAATGGTTGGATTACTATTTCCGGCAAATCGATTGTATACGTAGTTCCTTATATTTCATTTAGTCCAAAGAAAATCAAGCTAAGAAAGAATTGGCTCAAATCGCCATGGCTCTTCACTTGGAATCTCAAAAGGGTAAAATCGATAAAAATGAACTGGCAGAGTATGCACAGGACCTAACGAAAAAGTAGAGAGTTATCTGTTGTTCGCTACATAGTTTATCAAGTCGTGAACGGATTCAAACAATCAACCATGATCTTAATCAAGAGCAAACATTTGAACAACGATTGAAGTAAATTTCCATTCTGTTCTGAGAAAGGACTGAAAATAACAGTTCGATATTTTTCTCATCACGTTTCAGTAAGACAAGTATCTATGTAAAGAGCTTCGATCTTGAACGAAGACGTTTGTCGGTCGATGTTACATTGAACCGTTCTCTAATTGACCTTAAACAACGTGAAGGTAGAAACAAAGCCTCCTTGTCTTTTGATCTTCACATATTCCACATTCTCATTTAGCTGCACGTCGAATTATCGATGCGAAGAATCGTCTTGAGACGATTTATGCTAAACAACGTGAGCTTAATCAAGACGCTGCTATTGCTCTGCAAGATCGCCGTGCGGCTGAATTAATGGCTAAGATAACAGTCTGTTATTTGATTTCGTATTGGGAAAAAAGGCAAATAGTTGTGTGTTGTTAAACTAGGATGTTGATAGTCGTCGAACACAGTTAATGACCCAATATTTACGCGAAAAAACTGAACGAGAAGAGGAACGCGAAGCGGAAGGAGCAAGTAAAGCGAAAATTCACCATGCTGAACAAGAAACACGGCACCATGAAGATCATTTGCGACATTTTCAAGTAAAAAATTTTGATTAGATATTTCAGTGTTCATTTCGTTTGTTTTGATAGAAAACTGCTGGAAAAAACGAAGAGACTGAACATGATTTACGTGAATCGTTGAAACAAGCTGAATACGATCGACGTAAAAAAGAGCATGAAGTACAAAAACTTCAGGATGAGATAATCCAAAAGAAAAAATCAGATGCTGTTCGCGTCCGAAAAGAAATCGCTCGTGCGCAGCATGAAGAAAAAGAATTAGAAGAACAATTAGTTAAGGAAAAAGCCAAACTAGATAAAGTATGAGAACAAATGTTTTCAATTGCTCGATCTTCAAATTTCTTGCTGTTTTGCTTAGTTACACGCCAAACGTGAAGATAGTTATTTACGTTTAATCAAACATCGTGATCAAATTCGCGAAAATCAACTTTTATTGCAAACACATGAACGAGAATACGAACGCTTATTACGTGTTCGTGCTCATTCACGATCCTTACAATCACTCAACAATATTTAATAAACTTCATTAGATTTACCGGTGTTTTTCTTACTAATGAGAGTTTTTTTTTCAGTTATTTTATACACAATTTACTATGGTCTTTTCTTTTTCGGTGAAATAACTAACACTCGTCTGCTTATATTTTGTATATCCAAATAAAATTGAAGGAAAAAATGACTTCCGCTATATAAAGAAACGCCCTCTTTTGATGTAAAACATACTATTGGTCATAGCCAATCATCGAATCCGATGTTACTCACAACTGATGTGAGTTCGTCATAAAAACAACTCTAAAAAAACTAAACTAATGTATATTTGTTGACTGATAAGATCATTCGTTCGTTGGTTCGAAATATTATTAGTTTGTTGTAGTTTTATTTAGATAGATCGAATGACTACTTCTTATTTAAGTAAAGGCGCTCTTAGCGCTGGTGTCGGTTTAACAATTTATGCCGGTATGGATCATTTTCTGACGCGAGGAATAGATCTCGACGATGATACATGTGTCATTTTAGGTTTAACATATATGTTAACAAACTATGGCTTTCGTTTTGATATTGGTTGGTTTCTTCTCTCTATTTCACCTTATCAATGGGCGTTAATTGGTATTGCTTTGGCTGTGTCGTTATCTGTTCTCGGAGCTGCATTGTAAGTCGGATAAAATGTCAGTCCATCTTCACAAGATGTAGTTGTCTTCGATAGAGGTATATTTGCTACTGGTGTCAGTATATTAGGCGGTGGAGTAAAAGCACCGCGTATTCGAACGAAAAATCTTATTTCGATCATCATGTGCGAAGCTGTCGCTATTTATGGATTGATTATGGGCATTGTTATATCGGGTTCAATCACGGTGAGTGAACAAAACAATGATAGTAGAGTTTATCATTTATGTTGTTATTTAGAGTTTTATGACAACAAAACCGGAAGAGCTAGCTCTCAAATATCGTGCCGGTTATAAATTATTTGGCGCTGGTTTAACTGTTGGCCTATGCAACCTATTTTGTGGTGTTTGTGTTGGTCTCGTTGGATCAGGAGCTGCATTGGCTGATGCACAAAATTCATCGTTATTCGTTCGTATACTCATCATCGAAATTTTCGCTAGTGCAATTGGACTTTTCGGCCTTATTGTCTCTATTCTTCAAGTAAGAATTATATATTAAACTATTTCATAAACATAACTCTGATTTGCGTTTTAGTCGAACGGAGCCAATATGTCTGATTAGATAAATCTGACAGGTGACTCATTCCAATTCCAAATAATCATTCTATTTTTATTGGCCCCATTACTTAAATGTATAGCCATCTGTATTTTCAGTGCATTTATCGCGTCAACGTATTTGTTCATTGTCATCGTAAATAAAGCTGAAATGATCAATTTCTTTTTCGACCTCGACAAGAAATGAATGATCTAAGCTGTTGCTTTTTTTGAGAAAAGAAAAAAAATAGACAATGAAAATAAAACAAAAACAAAACTGGGTCGAACTGTACACAATCATATTGTTGGTATCAATTGAAATGGAAGCGAAATGTGAAACCTTGGTTGTTTCCACCACCGAAAGGATTAAAACCTTGAAAGGGATTGTGTTGTTGAGCTTGCTCCTCAGCATCAAGAGGATCATCACCAGCGTCGAATTTAGCACGTTTTTCTAAAAGAGAAAACGAATCGTTGATGATCGAACAGTTTAACTCTTCGAAGACATAACAAATACAAACCTGGATCAGTTAAAACTTCCTTTGCTGCTGCAATGTCGATAAACATCTTCTCTGCTTTCTTCTTATCGTCACCTTCGTACTTATCTGGATGCCACTTGATTGCTAATTTTCGATAAGCTCGTAAGATCTCTGCTTTATTCGCGGATCGCCGTACACTCAAGATCTTGTAATAGTCACGTTTCTTCGATTGTTTAATCAACTTTTGTACACGTTTGATACCGTCATGTATACGATTGGAATCTTCAGTTTCATGTGCACGTTGATAATCAGCTAATGCCGCTTCGTAATCTTCATTCAAGATATGTGCTTCAGCACGGCTAACTAACACTTCGGGATCGGCTACTTGGTAAGTATCTAAGAATGATGTACATGCTTCGACTGTTTCCTTGACAGGAGATTTTCCACGAGACAAACATGTACACAGCGATGAATGAGCACGTTGAACGAAAGCAGCTGATGATGGATCTGATGAGAGTTTCATTACTTGACGAGCTTTTTCCAAGCAATCATTCCAGCGAGATTGACTGGTAGCATCACGAATTGTTTCCAATTGTTTGGCTAGTTTTTTCACTTTTGTGTAATGAGCATGGCATTCTTTGTGATCTGGATCTAATTTAAGACATTCACGAATATTTCTAGAAAGATACAAGATGCTATGCTAACAGAGTAACGCAGGAGATATACTTACGCTAAGCTATCATCAGCGTCACCCATTGAGTAGAGCATAAGACTGATTTGAAGGAAGGCATGAGTATTATCAGGAACTAATTTTGCCGTGGCTTTGAGATCATTGACAGCTTTCGAAATGTCTTGTAGCTGCAAATAACTATCAGCACGTAACTCACGCATTTTAACTGCCCATGGACAGTGCTATGAAAAGAATGGAGCGTCGAGTTCGTTTGAGAAACATGAAACGAATAAACATACTTCAATAACCGTAGAAAACAATTCGGCAGCTTTGGCGTAATCTCCACTTGTGTATAATCGCTCTGCTTGTTGAAATAGTTGCTCCATTTGTATAGTCGTTTCCAATTGACTTTGAGCTTCACTATTGGAAGATTCCGATTTTAGCTAAACAATTCCGATAGAATCAACTGATGAAATTCAGTTAAAGAGCATATACATACCACAGTCTGGTAATCTACTTTCGCTTCTTGGAAATCACCTTGTTTTAGGAGAACATTACCTCGTTGCATACGAGCCTATTTCAATCCAAATCATATATTACAGTATGACTATACTACGCAAGAACTTACCGCAATAAAGTCTGGTTTCAGTTCGATAACTTTAGTTAGATCGGGCAATGCCGATTTCGATTTACCCATGGCTAAATAAACTGTAGCTCGACGAAAGTAACTTAGATAATTTTTTGGATCCGCCTCTACAAGAAAAAATGTCATGTCAACATCGAATTACATTGAGAAGTTTCACTTACCAACTGCCGAATGAAAATGTGTTAGAGCATCGGACAATTGTCCTGCCGCTAACAGCTTCTTTCCCTTCTCTAAGTGATCGTTTACAGCATCTGCGTTAGCACCTAAAAACACATCAGAATATATGACAAAATCTTGTGGTGTTTCGATCCTACCAAGCGAGAATACATCTGACAAGGTTATTAATACAAACAAATACGTGAAGAATCTCGTGCGTCGGACCATCGAGTGCTCGCCAATGAAAGAAAATCTAGTTAAAGGCATAATATCTTGCTTTGACTATGTGAAATATGTAATATTCACACCATAATATCCTTCAGCTGAAAAAGTACAGGTACAGATGCATGCCGGCGACAAACGTTGAAGATGATGAGTGGTGGATTTCATCCAATGGAAGATCAGCAAGAGAGACCTATAAAGACCAAAAAGATCATTTTTATAATCCTTGGTTTTCCTATGAGTTTCTTATTTTTCTATGTATTTTCAATAAATACACATGAGATTTCCCTGGTGAACCAGCGACCTCTATATGACAAAAAGATAAGAGCTAATGTTAGACCTTCACTCATATGATTTAGTTCAACCAACTAGAGTTCCAGTCCCAGTTAGTTACATTCCAAACGGTGCAAACTATTTTGAAGGTGAAATACTGATATGTATCACGCTTAGTTTTAATCTTCAGCGTTTGCTGGTCAAATGATACATGTGTATAATAGTACAGTAAGAGACGAAAGAGAAACGTCGACACTTGCGCTTATCTCATACACAAGAGTATTTTCATTTATTGACTTAAGTCTTATTGTATTCTTTTTCTTATTTTTTTCCGATGACTTCAATAACGACGAGTGATTGTCGAACAAATCAGAATAGTAAAAACCATTATAACGATGAAAGCACATCAGATGATAGTCTTTTATTGATGGGTGATGATATGGAAGAAAAAGCACCGTTACTAAACATCCTTACCGATGATTTAGACAGAGATGCTTTGATTTTATCGACTGATATTCCTTTACGTCCACGCTCAACTAATTCGCATTGTCATGTACCTGATGATAAGTTTGATTACACCGCCCGAAATCGTCTCATTGCTGTCTTGATTGTCTGTGTCGTTTTTATGGTCATTGAAATCATTGGTATGTAAATACTACGTATCAAAGTAAATTAATTGTCTGCGCACATACATTTTCAGGTGGTATACTTTCGAATTCAACGGCGATCGCAACGGATGCTGCACATATGTGTATCGATGCCGCCAGTTTTCTTATTTCGTTAGCAGCCATGTATCTAGCGAGAAGGAAACCTACGAAGAAGCTGTCGTATGGGTATATACGAGCAGGTGAGATTCAGATATCAATCTTTTAAATAAGTCATTTTAATGGAATAAAACTAGAAATACTTGGAGCATTGGTGAGTGTATTGACAATATGGGTGGCAACCGGTATTCTTGTATATATGGCTATTGGCCGTTGTGTTGATCAGAGTTTCGAAGTGAAACCATTGGAGATGATCATTGTAGCATCATGTGGCGTCGTTTTCAATATAGTGTAGGTACGAAACTTGTACTCCTGCCATTTAAAAACTAAGAAGCAATTTTTTTTTTGCAGAATGTTTTTTGTTTTACATGCTAATGTATGTGGTAACTCACTACCGCATCACGGACATTCACATGGAGGTGGCCACGGTCATTCCCACAATAATCATTCTCATACTGATAACGATGACGTTCTATCGGTTGAGATTACATCGCCCGATCATCAGCACTCGCATTCACATTCACATTCACATCATAAACCATCAAAGTCATCCAACAATATCAACGTCCGAGCAGCCGTCATCCATGTCATCGGCGACTTTGTTCAGAGTGTTGGCGTTCTCTGCGCTGCCATACTCATCAAGCTCAAAGTATGCACACTACTTCCCCTTTCTCTTCTTCTTCTTCTTCTTCTTCTTCGTGTCATCTACAACCCGTCGTCTCTTCTAGCCTGAATACAAACTAGCCGATCCGATCTGTACTTTCATCTTCTCGATCTTGGTTCTCATCACCACGATCACAATCATGCGTGATATTGTTGTCGTTCTCATGGAAGGTAACATCATTTCTTCTCTATTTCTACTTCTCTGACCCACCGATGATGCGATAGGTGTTCCATCACATGTCAACTACAGTGGCATCGTAGACGATCTTCTTCGTTTGCCAGATGTTCGAAATGCTCATAGTCTTCACATCTGGTCATTGTCAACTCAAAAGGTGGCATTATCTGTTCATATAGCGATAGGTGAGGGAGACGGTTGAGGAATGGTGATGTATGAATGTGTTTGTTTTGATATAGAAAACGAAGGTGATTCGATGAGAGTACTGACTGAAGCACAAGAAATGCTTCGTCGTGATCATGGAATCAGTCGATCGACGATACAAGTGGAAATGTACGATGCGAATATTATGAACTCATGTGACAATTGTCAGCGTCCTGATGTTTAGCAAATGACATATAATAAGATTAAAACGAGAACCGTACTCTATATAGGTATTCTTTACAGCGGCATGTCTAGATTTTAATGTTTTGAGCATGTTAGTATTTTCAATTGATTGTTACCTTTTTTCTACGAGTGAAAGATAGTTTCAAACAAAATGTGTTGCTAATATTAAATCGAATAAAATCCACCGGTATATTTATAGTGGGCACATTGTATCCTGATGTCACCATTAGCAGCATAAAAAGACAGTTTAATGGAATATTTAAAGAAAACAAGACGGATGTTGACTTGACAGGATTAGTATTATTGAAGAGACTGATTACATAGGGAGGAGAAATTGATGAACGTTGGATAATTAATATTGAAGAGTTGTCAAGATTAATTTCAAAGGGAACGTTTCTTGTGTTCAGCAATAGCTCTGAAAGACTTTTTATCAGTGGAACAAAAATTATTGGAATGAAAACAGATGACATCCCGCGTTCATTTAACGAAAGCTTTTGTTTCATAGAAAAGTCCATGAGGATCAAATGATCTATAAGAAAGAAAAACAGTCTGAATGTATATCATTTCTCAAATGATTCTGTTTTCTATAGTAAACGTTTATTGACGGATGATAAACAGAATATTAATGATATAACTTTTTAATGATGCATTCTCTTCTCGTGCATGGAATAATGTTAATCAATATGAAAAGTAAATCACAAGTACAACTGGAATATATTTGGCATGCAGAATCAAAAATCTTTTATTGATTATATACAAAAAAGCTTTTTTCTCTAAGGTGATACCCTTGACTGTTATTATTTTCATTGCTTTTGGCTATATATATATATATATACGGTATATATCATCAGCAATTGATCATAAATATGTCTCCATACATATATCTTTCTCCGCTTCTTTCGCTCTCTTCGACTTTTTCTTCGTTCTTGTTATTTATTTTGGATGACAAGAAGACAAAGCGTACGACAGGAAAGATGGCGTATATAAAACCAATATAAACGCTCGAAAAACTGGTTGACAAATAATCCTCCATCACGACGGATTTATACTGTCTTAGATTTGCAACACTACTAATTAGGTATGATTCGAATTAATGAAGATCAAGTCCGAGTGACCAATATCGTGGATGTCGACTTGGGAAAGGATCATGCAACGGTATTACACGATGTAAATCTTAAAACGCGTCCAACTCTATTACACTGTCATCGACATGATGATACATTCGATTTTGCGGCACGAAATCGTATCATTGCTGTACTTATTCTTTGTATCGTTTTCATGATCATTGAAATTATTGGTATGTCGTACAATACTATCTGAAAGAAACGTTTTGATATGGGTTTATTTTAGGTGGCATGCTTTCGAATTCTACGGCAGTCATGGTTGACGCTATCCATATGAGTATTGATGTCACCACCTTTATTATGTCATTAGCTGCCATGTACTTAGCGACCAAGCAACCAACGAAACGACTTTCATTTGGTTATCACCGAGCAGGTCTTTTTAATAGTGAAGTGAATGAATCGAGTTCGTATATCTAATTTAGAAGTTCTTGGAGCGCTATCGAGCGTTTTGATTCTATGGTTTGGTACCGGCTTTCTTGTCTATATGGCTATTGGCCGTTGTGTTGATCAGAGTTTCGAAGTGAAACCGAATGAAATGATTGTGATCGCTTCATGTGGTGTTCTATTCAACATTGTGTAAGATTTAGCAGATATAATCTTTCTCTGCATATTGGTGCCCTTTCTTTTTATGAAGGATGTTTTCTGTGTTGCATACCAATATTGGTGATCACTCCATTTCACATCATGGGCATTCACATCGAAATAAATATGAGCATTTAGAGGAAAACCATGGTATTCAAACTCCTAACAGTGACGTTCTATCGATTGAGATTGCATCGCCCGACCATCAGCACTCGCATTCACATTCACATCATAAACCATCAAAGTCATCCAACAATATCAACGTCCGAGCAGCCGTCATCCATGTCATCGGCGACTTTGTTCAGAGTGTTGGCGTCCTCTGCGCTGCCATACTCATCAAGCTCAAAGTATGCACACTACTTCCTCTTCCTCTTCTTCTTCTTCGTGTCATCTACAACCCGTCGTCTCTTCTAGCCTGAATACAAACTAGCCGATCCGATTTGTACTTTCATCTTCTCAATCTTGGTTCTCATCACCACGATCACAATCATGCGTGATATTGTTGTCGTTCTCATGGAAGGTAACATCATTTCTTCTCTATTTCTACTTCTCTGACCCACCGATGATGCGATAGGTGTTCCATCACATGTCAACTACAGTGGCATCGTAGACGATCTTCTTCGTTTGCCAGATGTTCGAAATGCTCATAGTCTTCACATCTGGTCATTGTCAACTCAAAAGGTGGCATTATCTGTTCATATAGCGATAGGTGAGGGAGACGGTTGAGGAATGGTGATGTATGAATGTGTTTGTTTTGATATAGAAAACGAAGGTGATTCGATGAGAGTACTGACTGAAGCACAAGAAATGCTTCGTCGTGATCATGGAATCAGTCGATCGACGATACAAATCGAAATTCATGATGTAGAAACTGTAAATTCCTTGACCGGCTACCGGCGATCTGACCTCTGACAAGCTACAATGAATTGCCAATGAAAATGTGTTTTTAGTCTTTTTTAAACAAAACAACATAGTATAACAAATAAAGTCATTCAATACTCAACGAAGACGACAAAATTGATACCGGATTAACTAATTGCGCTCCATATAATTCTACGTCATTCGAGTATAACGGCTCTGCTGGAATATTTTTAAATAACAATGTTTCTGAACGATCTTGATTCTTCCCCTTGTTCGGATTATCATCACCATCGATCGAGTTCATGGACGAATCGGAATATGTTCGTTGCCGATCATTCCTACTGGATAACAACATCGATTGATGTTCAATTGTATTGTCATTTACTCCATCTTCATGCATATCTTGTTTTAGAACGTCATCAAATTCGAATATTGGTCGCATGTAGATAGCTATTTGTCTCAATCGTTGTTGGAAACTAGAATAAAATGTGAACATTTCTCGAAATTCATTGACAAAAACGTAATACTTCGCTTCGAAGGTTTGTCGTAGATGCTCGAAATAACGTTTTCTTTCCAATGTATGCAGTTGTTGTGCTCGTAATTGTTTTCTTGTATCTAACTGCATAATTTTGTCAATACGTTGATTACACTGGCGAAGATTAGCACGTTTTAGTTTAGCTTTCATTAAACGTTCTTCACTTCTTTTCACTTCCTGACGCAATTTCTGAACTATGTCAGACATGTGTCTTGTTTTCGACGCATAACAAATTTGTTCATGTTGATTCATTCGAAGTGATGAATTGATAAGACGGTAGGAGTGTTCGACAGAGTAAAGTAATGAATGTAATTTTTCAATATCAGATGATGAACTATTGAATAGTTTCATCAATGCCAATATACGACGATCATCATTTCCATGATCACCTTCGTAGAGAAGACGAGAACGAATGATATCATCATCATCAGAGACATTCCGATGACGTTGAGATATACATTCCAACTTAGCAGATGGTAAGGAGATTTGCATTATTCGCTTAGATGGCATCGTATGTCTGTCACAAACGAAATCACCTCTGAGAAGGCTTGTTAATATGAAAAAAAGAATACAGTAGAACTAAGTGATTCATCTGTAAAATCAGTTTCTTCGAACTAATCATAAGTGCTTTATGTTCGTTTGCGATTAGATGGCACTAGAATACTTTATCACGATTTTGTGGAAAACATAAGTTGCATATTTTCTGTTTCTTTTCATTTTTTCATGGGAAATACCCACGTAAACATTACTATTATTTATTCCCATGTCGTCAATTAGTTGGAAATGTTAGTTGTGATTGGAAATAGGGTATTGTTCTCGTTGACTAACCATGACTTCGGTACAAGGACAAACTTGTTAATATTGTGTCAATTTACCGATCTAGATGGTCTACGTTTTATCCTTTGTTCGTCAGTACTGAAATCGACATTATTCAGAAATGTTCTTTCGATTTGCAATGTCACGAACATGAAACGAGCAATATTAAATCTCTTGCTAACTAAAGTCTAATCATATTCAGCTATTGACATAGACTTTAAACGATATCCGTATTCGTGCAGCCATTGATCTGTTGACATTTCTTTTTTGTTATGTCATTTTTCAAATAATAATGACGGAGCAAAGAGTATAATATAGCAGTAGACATGTGCGCAATGTTTCTCTCTTAAATATAGATGCAGTGATTTGCACATGAACTATTCTGATTTTTTCCTCAAGTTTCAACAATGTCAACATACAAACTCTATTATTTCAACGCTCGTGGCCGTGCTGAAATTTCTCGTTTAATATTTGCAGCTGTCGGTCAGAAATTTGAAGACGTTCGTTATGCATTCCGTGACTGGCCAGCACATAAAGCCGAAACACCACTGGGTCAAATACCTGTTCTTGAATTCAACGGTATTAAAATAATTCAATCAACCAGCATCGCGCGTTTTCTTGCTAAACAATTCCATTTAGCTGGAAGAGATAATGCCGAACAAGCGAAAGTCGAAGCCGTTGCTGATACAATCAATGATGTTGTCTCATTGATTATGTCCATTCGTGGAGAACAAAATGAAAACAAAAAACAAGAACTACTGCAAAAATTTAGCAACGCGTTGCCGCAACATGTAAGAAATCTGGACGTGTTGGCTAAAATGTATAGTAATGGTGGTTATTTCTTTGTTGATAATCAATTCACATGGGCGGATTTGTTCTTTTATGATCTTGGAGAAACAATTCTTCAATGCGATCCAAATGGTCTGCAGAATCATCCTTGGCTACAACGAAATCGTACACAAGTAGAGAGACAACCCAGAATAGCAGAATATTTGAAGAATCGACCAAAAACACCTTTTTGAAATACTCAGTTAGTTGCTTTAAGTAACAGATGAATATTTGTAATCAATGTCTTTTACCGACCTACATCAACTTCTGGCACTCTCTATCGGCTACTTTCGACTATTGGTTTACATTTTTGCTTCTCACTTCATCTACGTTTTTTTCGTTCTATAATTTCTTTTTTAATAATTACTTATTTTTGAACATTTCCCTAATTAATATCAATATTCAAAGTCAACTGATCCTAGTTCTTTTCAAATTTCTCTCTGCATACGTATGTTAGTATATGTTTCGAGAGCAGCACGCTCAGTAAATGTAGAGAATCGAGACTGATAATTTTGCACTTTTATCGTCAATATAAATAGAGGTAACATCAATAGAAAATGTAGAACATTCTATCTTATCATTTTCAGATGCGACACACTTTTGTTATTGTTTCTCTTTCTCTGTTAATTCTTCATTGTTACGGCTCTGCCAACGTTCATGTGTCGGATAGGTTGATTGTCGACGATTCAGGTCGTGTCAGATTGTATCATGGTGCCAATTTTGTTATGAAAGGGCCTCCATGGTATCCCCCTGAATTACTTGATCCTGTCAAGGTAGCCAATCTTTCGCAGTTGGGTGTGAATTTTATTCGACTAGGGTATGCTGCCTATGAGATTGTTTTCATTGCATAGAGATTCGTTCTTTTCCATTAGAATGATGTGGGCAGGAGTGGAGCCTCAACCGCAACAGTACAATGTCACTTATCTAAATGTGATGAAACAAATCATGGAATTACTTCGTTCATATGATATCGTTGTTTTGCTGGATATGCATCAAGACTTATTATCAAGTCGAACGGGAAGTTACGACGGAATACCCGCTTGGTTATACGATCGATTTCCTCCACCGAAACATCCATGTAAGATAACGAGACTTTGAGTAGTGCAGATGACTTTTTATTTGTATGTATCTAGATCCTTGGCCATTCAAATCGACTGTTGGTATGAACTGGTTTGATATGTAAGTCTGTCTACAATTTGTATGAACAACCCAATTCTTTTTTTTTTGAATGTTAGTTATCTAACCGAAGCTTGTTCACATGGTTTTCAATGTTTATACGACAATGTAGCCGGTGCTGTTGAATCAATGAGTAATTTCTGGCGACAAGTAGCGAGTACATACAAAGATCAGCCTAATTTAATCGGGTATGAAAACTATTTGTAAGTTCGATTTGTATAAACTCACTTTCATCGTTGAAGGTATGAAATTATTAACGAACCATGGGCTGGAAATTATTTTACAAATCCAACTTTATTTCTGCCGGGTATTGCTGGAGCTACAAATCTGCAACCATTGTATGAAAAAATAGCTAAAGCCATTCGTTCTGTTGACAATGACACACTTATTTTCTACGAACCGGTTACATGGGGTGGTATGTTAAGATTTTATCATCATTCGATTTTCATATTTGTTTCTTTTAATATTCAGTTCGACTAAATGGTAAATATTTTGGTACTGGTTTTACACATGTACCGGGCGGTGATGACTATCGTAATCGAAGTGTTCTCTCCTACCATTATTATTGTATCATATTGTCAGTTATACCTGTACCTGGCAACGAAACAATTCCTGTTTTCGATCGGCTTCTTTGTGATGATGTCGAAGGACCTGCGTTATTCCGTTCAGTTCAAACTGATCTTCAGCAACTAGGTGGTTCCGCTTTTCTAACTGAATTCGGCGGTTGTGATGGTTCACAGACATGCGATGAACAACTCGATTGGGGCCTCGATGCCGCAGATCAATTTCTGCAATCATGGGCTTTCTGGGGTGACATTTTCGGTCATACATCAGCAACTCAACGTATATCACGTGTCTATGCACGTGCTATTGCTGGCACACCGGTCAGCATGCAATACATCGCCAAAGAACGTTTGTTCTATCTGGCGTATTACGTTGATCTAACAATGAGACAACCAACCGAAATTTTCATTCCTCCATTACAATTTCCTTCGCAAAGTTACAATCTAACAGTGAATGCTGTCTTAAAATGGTCTGTTGATCCGACAAATACAAATATTATTCTTGTAGAACCAAATACAAAATATGTAAAAAGAACAGATCCGCCTGTGATCGGTGTTGTAGATATTCGTCCGAAAGCTTAATAGTGATGAAATTTGATTCCTTTTTCAGTTTTTCAATTTTTTTGTGATGATTATTTTAATTTATTAAATTCCAATATTTCCTATTTTTTCAATCAATTCCAACGTTTATTCACGTTTACTCTCGTGATGTACCTCTTGTCGAATGACAAAATAAATCTCATTTCTCTATTTGATGAAAGTCTCGTATTACGTAACACGACCGTTGAAATGAGCATTAAATATCGTTCACGAGCGACATCAGTCACCAAAACGGTCTTGTTGGTTATTTAAAACCAATAAGAAACGAGAAAAATTCTTTAATGTCACGCATCTGTCTGTCACACTTCATTCATATATATTTTTTTCTTTCTTTCCTATATATCTGTACGTATATAAAAACTACCTTGAAATTATTTCATGAGCGTTGTATAGCAACAAACTAATACTAGATATACAATTTTTTTTCTTCATGTGACCTTAAAATCTCTTTCAGATAGATACTTTCTTCAATGTCTTCGAACATCGTTAACTAAATACCTGCTTGAATATGCCGACAGGTACGTTCGTAAACGAGAAAAAGAAAATAATAATATTATATTAAGAATAGGAAAAACATTCCCTAGAAACAACGTTGTTTTTCTTTGTTTATCGTTCGTATTGATTGAAGACTGGAGAGCAAAATCGACTAGCAATTTCATCGAGATATCAATCTCTCTACTAGAAATCAAACACATGACTATCGCCGTTGAAATATTAATTTTGATCAACTGAATAACATAACACGAAGGACTTCATGATTATTACTACCTGCGCATGACTGCCTTTGCATGCTTATAATGATGTACACTTTTCTCTTGCCCATTGACTTAAAATTTCAGAATGGAGCATAACAAAATAGTGTACGTTAGTTTATTATGATGAAATGCGCTTGATTATTTTCTATTTATTTGTAGTGTGAAGACAACGAACGCAATATGAAACGATTTGTCGATTTTTTCTTGAGAAAAACAAAACAAGGTACAAGCCGCGTACCAATTAAGCGCAAATCTTGTGAAGAAAATCCACCAAATCAAAACATGCGTTCAATTATTCAAATGTTTGCGTTTGCGACAATCATTCGCTTGTTCATTCAGTCTAATCTGGTCTGTCAAAATGGCGACATCGATTGAACAAGTGGAAAATGACGACGAATCGAGTTATGACTTTGACGTGCATCCAATTACGTTATCCACATTCGCAGTGAGTTCCCAGCAATCATTAGCTGCGTCCTTAGCTAATTCAGAGATTTCCAATGGTAAATTAAGACATGGTGTACGAAGTTTTCTACAGAAACTTTTCCATCCAACGAAAATTTCATTCGCCAATCAAGAAATTACGTCGACGAATCATGAAGCATTGAATATGAATTATATCAATGAAACAGCTTATCCAATTGTCAGTCCATTACCTGTCACACAAGGTCCAATTCGTTTGTTCATATTGCGACATGCCGAACGACTTGATTGTTATTACTCGTCACAATGGGTACGACAAGCATTTGACAAAGATGACAAGTTCTGTCGATTTTCACCGATTCTACCGTAAAGTTGTCAAAGAGCAAATGAGTTTTGATTTTAAGCTTTCTTTCTTCTATAGAGAGACGATTCCATCGCGTACTTCGATATGTGATTTTGTTGCTGATCCGCCGCTTACTTTGCAAGGACTGAAAGATGCTTATCGGACGGGTAACTTGATCTTCACCTTCTTTCTTCGATTTCATCATTGTCGTCGATTGAATAGGTATCATTTTACGAGAGAAGAATATCGATATTCATTATTGTTATTCATCGCCATCATTGCGATGTATTCAAACAGCAACAAAACTACTCGAAGGATTACATTCGAATCATAAATTGAAAATCAGGTAAGATTCACTATCAAAAAACGAAAATAAAACATCCGATGATCATTGCAGGATTGAACCTGGTCTATTTGAATACACAACATGGTATGCGAATGATGAGACTACGGATAGTTTAGAAATGCCTCGGTTCTTAACAAAAAAGGAACTTCTCGAAAACCAATATTCCATAGATAAGAATTATCACGAACAAATGTCGATTTCGGAAATATCTCGATCAGAAACCGAATCCGATTATTACGAACGAAGTCACCGAGTGACGACAGCAATCTTGAAACAACACGAGAATGATTTAATTACGCAGGTTCAACAAGGACAAACATCTACACACGATCACTTGCACGTTTTATTCATCGGTAATCATTCTGGTCATTTTCTAGACGTGCAAGTCAGTATTGTTTACTTCAGCTCATGCTCCAACACTGGAAACATGTACTCGAAAATTATGCGGTGGGAAATTTCGTTCGGATCGACTCAGTTCGATTTCTCGTCATATTGATTTTCTATCGGTAACTATGACCAGATAATTTTCATTCAAATGTACGCAATATGCTTCATTTAGATGACTGTCATAGAGAAAAAAGATAACAACTGTGATCGATGGATGTTTCGACGAAGTTCGATTTTCAAAGAAAATACTTAATTTTAATCGTTTACCTCCTAAACTGTTGCAGATTTAGTTAATCAAGAAGAAAAAATATTCTTGTTGTTGTTTGGTCTTCTTTTTTGTAGATATAATGCCGTCCATATATCTATGTGATAAATAACCGAAACAAGATGAGCAGTACGATGAGCACCGCAAATACATCAATACCCATCACTAAGATGGTTAATGATCTATTCTTACAATGGCTTTCATTACCAGACACACGCACTACTCTTTCTGCTGCTTTACATAGTGTTCGAACGAATAGTAAAATGCCCGAGCCTATTGCTTATTCGAAGGTATGTCGTTTGGGTGAAAGGAAAAGATTCTATGTCTATGTGAATTTCTTCTAGATTCAGACAACGCGCGGAGGAGGATTTTCAAAATCTCAGCATTTCGATTCACCGCCCGTTTCACCCGTGCCACGAACCCCTTCGAGTCCTCGTTTTACGTCCTCCAATAATTATTCCATTGTTGAAAATACATCTGGTATAAATAATAATAATAACGATGACAAAAAGTTGCGTACACCGAAAAAAACATTCGCAGAGAATACCACTCCAACAAATATTGATCAACAACCAGTCTGTTTCTCGTTCACACATCAACACTTTCTTACCTTTTTTTGTCATTTCAGGTCATAATCGAAAAAGTTTCAACTCCGTCATCAGCTAAGCCCGAAGTTATCGCCTCAACACCGATCATATCAGCTAGTATCAATTCAAATCGTTCGACAACCTCCACTACGAACACAACTCCAGCAAGGCCATCGCAACAAACTCCTGTTCTACAACCACCTTCAACTGCTGTTCGTGAACAATCTCCCCGAACACCAAATACAACTGTTCTTTCTCCAAATGACCGACAGGATAATAACAAATCCTCACCCGTTGTCAACGCAGCAAAAACTCCCGTTTTATCATCAAATGAAAAACCTACTCGACCCATGCCATCAACAACAGTTACTCCACAACCAACTCCCATCAATGTTCGAATAGAGTCCAAACCTAAACCAGTCGAACCCATTCCGAAATTTTACTTTCCTAATGGAAAGGTAACCACTACATCAACCAATGAAACTGTCCTAATGAAACATCTCCGACAAGCCAAAGACGAACTATTTACCCCCAAACACGATAAACTACATCTAGAAGATTTTGGAAAACTTGCTCAAGTATGTCGAAAATTCTCTTAACATATGTGCAAATCGCTCATCATTCTTTTAGATAATCGGACTGAGTTTATATTGGAAAGCACCTCTATTTCGTTCGTGTGTATACGAAAATCTGGGTGCCAAAGCTAGTATAACAGCAACCACAACTATAAACTACATTCAATTCGAATCATTTTGGACTAAGTAAATAAATGTGCTATCGAGATAACACGAAAAAAAGACCGTATACAATCATTTAGACTTTGTAAAGCAAACCATGACCATGCTTTGAAATTTATCTATCTACTCATACATTCATCATCGCCAGCAGCTTCAACGTTACCCATGAATCGACATTATCTAACAACGGACGATTGGGATTATCTAGTACAGGATATAATCGATACACATCCGGGTTTGAAATTTCTTCGCGAAGCCAAAGAATTTCATTCCAGATACATCAAAACCGTTGTTGCGCGAGCTTATTACAACTGCAATCGCTCGTGGAGTGGAAAACTAACTGTACAAGAAATAAGACGATCGAATTTCATTCAGGTATATCGAATCTATTCGATATTTTACATAGCACTCTTTCGATTTTCATATAGACATTCGATCGGCTTGAGCAAGAAGATGATATTAATCGTATACATGATTACTTCTCTTATGAACATTTCTATGTTATTTATTGTAAATTCTGGGAATTAGATTCTGATCATGATCTCTTTATTAGTCGAGATGATTTAGCTAAACATTGTAATGGAGGTGAGTTGATTGTGTGCTGAGAATTGGCAATGCAATGAATTCTCTTTTGTTTATGTAGCAATTTCGAACAAAATGATCGACCGAATATTCTCTGGTGCTGTTTCCAAGTAAGTCACATCAGTTCAGTCTGATCGAAATTAAAATCGTTTGTCCGTATTGTAGTACTCCAAATATGAAAGAAGGAAAAATGTCTTATTATGAATTCGTATGGTTTCTAATATCAGAAGAAGACAAACGTTCACCAACAAGGTACGTTTTCTACACACGAGATTCTCTTGTTGATTGATACACATCTCTGATCACTTTGATAACCCTAAGGTTAGTTCATAGTGATCAGAAGTTAGACAGTTAAAAGTCGACTGGATGTAAATGGCGCTTGTTCCAGCTGTCTTCTATATTCGTATTCTTTAGTATTGAATATTGGTTTCGTTGTATGGATATTGATGGCGATGGTATTCTTTCTATGTATGAATTAGATTATTTCTATCAAGAACAAGTACATAAAATGGAAATCTATGGCATTGAATATATGCCATTTGAGGATTGCATATGTCAAGTATGTATATGATTTGAAGAAGAGTTAGTGAACAGATTGTTCGATATTGATTTAGATGTTGGATTTGGTTAAACCCGAAGAGCAAAATAAAATACGATTAAAAGATTTAAAACGATGCAAATTAACCAATGTATTCTTCGATACATTCTTTAATTTGGATAAATACTTGAATAATGAACAGAAAGATCCATTTTCAAATTTGAAAGTACGAAGAGTTTGATTTGTTTCACTTGCGATTAAGAGAGATTATTTAGGATCCCGAAGCACCTGATCTATCCGATTGGGTCAAATTCGCTGAAGCTGAATATGACAATCTAACGCACGAAGATGGTGGTAATGACAATCTCGATGATGGGTAAGTCGAAGCGAAAGAAAACAAACGAAATTATTGTCTGATTTTTCTTTAGAAATTATGATGAAGATTTTGAAGATGAAGATAACGAAGTTGAAGCAGTGACCAATCGAAAACTAGGGAATAATGCTATTTCATCACCGCAACGACATCCTTCAGAGCTAAATAGCAAAATCGATGATTTAGAAGACGAACTCAAACGTTGGAAAGATTGAATTGGTCGTAACTAAATATATCTATGCTTTACCCGAACGTCTTTCTCTCGTAGATTTGTACTATTTTTTTTCCTTTCTCTCTTTTCCTCAGCAATTTCGCTCAAAAAAAAAACAACAAACAAACTTAACTCGTGTCAATGTAGTTCATTCATTGTTCTTGTCGATAAATTGAACAAGATACAACCGAATGGAGCACTTTAGAAGTTCGTATTTTATTATAAAACTTTGTATATGTGATTATATTGTTAATCGAATAAAAATTAATATTTATCGAGAACGATAATTGTGTTCAACAATGTCTATTGCATTCGAATACACACCACTCGGACCACTAAACGCCATCTATTCGTCCCGATGACGACATTCTTCATGTTATCCGTACGTTTGTTTGTTCATCTAACTAATTTTTAATTGGTAGTTGTATTCACAAAGACGTAGTATATAAACGAACTTTTCAGTTAGTTATTCCCTCTCGAACTTGGTCGATCCTACTATACTATGGAAAATCGGACGCCTACAGATTTTAAAGCACGAGTACAAAATCTAATAACTTACCAAGATGTTTTAATGAAGAATAGCCTACAAGCACAACGTTCCTGTGATCAAGGTAGACGAACATCGAGATTGTACGTTTTCAGAATAGGTGAAGAAATCTTTCTCGCATAGAATTTGATACATTTTTAACATTCTACAATGATCTTCGTCGTAAATACAATGAAGTACGTGTCTATGCTAATCAGTTGGAGCAAGATATAGAACAATATCGGGGAGAATTAGAACGTAAAGAGAAAAAGATGCAATCGCAAAGGTAAGTTTTGTTTGTGTAAAGATTTGATTCTTTAGAATTTAATCATTGGAATTTAGTGCACAAATTCTTCGTTTAACTCAGCATAATAAACGAAGCAATGAACGCCTTTCTCAACTTCAACAATATCTAGATCGAATAAAAGGTTCACTAGTTGAACAAAATACTTATGATCAATTATGTGATATGCTTCGGTTTGTAAATTTTCTTCACGAAACCAAGAATTGTTGATTGCGTCTGTCTAGAGATTCGCTCATGTCTGAGAGTGAAACAACCGCGGATCTATCCGATAAGAATTGTACTGGCGATGAGTTAGAATATGAAACTTCACACATGCCGAAAGTTGTTAGTCAATCAACTGGTATTGGTGCGCCAAAACGATTAAATGCCACGAACCATGAAGTAACTTAGTTTGCAACAAAGAAAACAAGTTAATCTGAATGTATTTTAGACATCAGTTATTCATCGAACGACGACAGCTACATCGAAAGTTGATATGAACAACAATGAAATCGAAAATGAACACATATGCACTTCCCCATATGCGAATATAACTGTCGCACGTTCATCTCGTCATTCCATCTCAGTTCATCAACGAGCCAAACAAAAGAATCGTAGACCATCGAAAGAATTTCTTCACAATAAATCAGGTTTCGTTCGACCTTCTTTTGAAACATATCAACATACCGCTTTTTCAATCTTGTAGAAGAATCCGAATTGAGTACGGACGACGTTTTCTGGTCGAAACATCCTGATATTCCCCATCCTCCAGAATACGACGTACCTCATGCACCTCCTACCCATCCAAAACTATCTCAACTAACAAGTCCGATAGCCGAGCAAAAACCTCTTACCCCCTCAACGCCCAATGGATTCGCCACAGCAAGTCCATGTGTTCTCGGCACATTGCGTTCTAGAGCGCATCACTTTGTGTCAAGAAATATTCTCATACCCGAAACATGTTGTGTGGTATTGATCATTGAACATATTCAATTCGTTTCGATTTCATTTCTCTCTTAGTGTCTCAAACGAATACATTTTGGTAAATTAGCTTACCGTTGTCAGACATGTAACGCTTTGTGCCATACGGGCTGTAAGGAGAATTGTAGCACACTTTGTTTGCCAAATGTGAAAACACCCAGCCGTGGTGTTGTAGCCAAATTCACTTCGCGAGAGACCAATCAATTACAAGTGCCACCATTACTTGTACATTGCATCAAAGAAATTGAACAACGAGGATTACAAGAAGTTGGCATCTACCGACTGAATGTGTATGTCTGCTGATCAACATCAGACTTGTCCGCAATGTTTACTTCTCTTCTAGTGTCGAAGGACAAGTCAAGGAACTGAAAGATCGTCTGCTGAAATCTCGAACGGGTTTATTAGATTTATCACATTATCATGATATACATTTAATATGTGGTGTTGTCAAAGATTTTCTTCGTTCACTTTCCGAATCGTTGCTGACCGATGCATTATGGAAATCGTTTGCTGCTGTCGTCGATGAACCGGCTGACTTAACTCAACAGCAGAAATTCGATTCGCTTATTCATCAATTACCAAAACCAAATCGTGAGACATTAGCTTTTCTCATCTTACATTTACAACGCGTAGCAGAATCGCCACTCTGCCGCATGCCGATTTCAAATTTGAGTCGAACGATGGTAAACTACGAATCTGAAATATTTCTCTTATTTCATCGAATGAAATTTCTCTAGGGTCCAGCAGTGATCGGTTATTCAACGAAACACATCTCCGATGCAGACATCATCGGTGAAACGTATAAACAAACTAAAATACTCGAAGTTTTCTTGAAATTATCTTCCGATTTCTGGACAAAATTTCTTGAAGAGAGCGAAATCAACGAATCATTATCCTCGATACACAAGCCGCAGCTTGCTACACCTACTCTAGCACGTCAACAACAGTACCATCATACACCAATCGCAGCTTATCCTGCTCCTTTACACACATTTTTCTCTCCTATTTAAAATATTATCCTTATTTTTTTCACTCATAGCTGAATTTATAATCTATGCAAGAATTTCTTTTCTTAGTTGTATTTTATAGTAGAATTTCGAACATGTAATAAATTAACGAATTATTTTACATAAGATAAACTCGCCTTCCGTCGATTGTTGTTATCTGACAGTTGGTAATCATAACATTGTCACCGCTAGCACTATTGTTTTCCGTTAAGAAATAGGTTACAAGTACCATTGTAAGGCGTGTGAAAGTCTCATCTATATCGTCAGGATCTTTTGCTTTCGTAGAGATTCATGAAATATGTGACGCGAGATATGGAACTGATAATAATCCTTGAGCATGACATGATTATGTCTACAGGTTTATGCTTCTTCTTAATAACTTGATGAGTATTAACAGTGTTCTTATAGTAACAATTATTTATTCTCTTCCAATGGTTTTCACTCTTCGATAAACAGTAATGATAACAATAATCATAATCTACTTCCAGTTCACGATCGCTGCTTGATCGAAAAGACATAAAAAACCGATGATATGGTAACTCGTTAGAAACAAAGTTTTCATGATGGATGAGTTTCTCCTACTTTCTCTCTCTCTCTCAGCAGTCTACTCTATCAACTTGCTCGTATTAGTTATATAATATTTTCCTTTCTCTGTGCCTTTTGTCTGTTTGCCCATACCGGATAATATCGTGGCATCGTTATTATCGAGTTTGACGAAATATCAGTTTGGCTGCTTCCTGATGATTGTACTATAAGAAGTATGAGATGATAAATAAAGCGTCAACATCATTATTTTTGCTATTACCAACCGAGAAGAGAGAGAGAGAGAGAAAAGAAAAGGCGTACTTCGATGTTTTTTCTCATTTCCTGATAGTCTTTTTTTTCTTCGTTTCCCCTTTTTTTTCAATAGAATCTGTTGCTTTCTAAGATTCAGTAGTTGTCAAGAGTAACATGCTTGATGCACACATCCCTGCCTGATGCGATTAGAATTCTGCGAGCAAAACCAGCGTATCGAATTCAGATGAAACATCGATTTTGTTAGGTACGTTTATCTATCGATCAGCAGAGACTTCTGATTGTATTAACTCGAATCTTTTCACTCCTTGTCAAATACTTGCGAATATTAATCAATCACATGTGATAATTTACAGTCTCTTCGTCTTCTCTCGGAGATTTCTATTCACAAGCACGGCGAAAACTAATTATATCGCAAACAGTTCTATTAATTGTGATTATACATTTTTGTTGACGAATATCATTTCGAGTAGAAGAAAAAGACAACAGATAAATTGAATTTGCCTTTCTGTCTTTTGCATTAGTGATCGCATATTCTTTTCTTCTCATCGATCAAAAGAGATTTGCTGTGAGTGATCGAAGATACATGATGAAATTTGATCGACAAGCTATCATTGCTTTTACACTTCTCATGCGTAGAAAATCCGAAAGTTTCAAAAACAAAACCAGCGTCAGTTTCTTCTTTCATTTTCTACTTTCAGATGAGAATATCTGTCGACCATTTTGCGCGTTAATGAACATTATCGACCTTGTTTGATCTCCTCGTTGAACACAATTAAACAATATGGATACGACAAATCGTGAAAAACTACTTCGATTTCAATTGAGTGCTTCAACGGAAGAACAAGTATGTGAAACAATGAATATAGCTGTAAATATACATAGAAAAACCACATATAAGACTTTGTTGACATAGGTGGTAGTTAGTGAAAATATCTCCTCTCGTGTAGGCTTGTTCGTCGGATTTCCGAGCACATGCTGACAGTTTTACTTGAAAGATGTTCAATGTAAAACATTAATTATAAATCATTCAGAAATGTTTTTCTAGAGAAGCGAATATTATCGGGTGAGTATTTCATCAGGCTTCACCTATACGATTTTGACGAACAAAATAAAATCAGTGAAAATTGCCGATTATACGTCTCAGTCTCGGCTGATAGGTTGTTAACGCGAGAACATGGATTATTCTCGTAGGATATAAAGAGCATACATCAGCAATTAAAGACATCAACTGATTATTTCTGACACATATCAGAACGTTGCTATTGACAGAAGTTGTCATTTAATTTCTTCCTCATTATGATGATTTTTCCGACGAACACAACGAAAAACATCATTCAATTTCTCTCTCTCATTCCTTTGATTTTAAATCAACACATCATAAAATACTTTTTATCTAGTAAAATAGTGCGTGTATACATTTTACACTCTCATATAACATGTGTTATTCATAAACGCACTCTCCACTTTGTCCTCTATGTTTTTCATCACGAGATTTCATCATTTTTTTTTCTGCCTCATACATTGCCTTGACGTTTCTTTAGCGTCGGATGTTGTTTGGGCTCGAGCGAGCAAGAAAGCAAATGATGTCTTCACTAACGCGCTACCAGTCTCACTATTCATTCTGCATAGTGCCAAGAAGCATACACTATTATGTTGAAGAGAAGGAAAAAAAGAAATAACGAAGGCAGAAATTACGGCATCTGCGAATGCATAGACGATTTTCTTCTTTCATCCTTTTTTTGATCGTTCTGTTTTCGGTACTTTCTAAAAAAAACACGAGACCGTATATGCGCAGGCTCTCGAACAAATGCCGATAGGAGAAGGAAAAAAACCCGGCAATCGAGACCATGCCCCTGTATACTGTTTAACGCATACATACATTCATTCACTTGATTATTTATTTGTACCAAAAAAACAACGTAATTTAACAAGATAATATAAGAACGAGAATGTTCGAGCTGCACTGTTAAAAAGTGTTGTCTATCAAATGGCATCCATGTATCTTCTCATACATTTTCATCAAATTGATTTTATCACCTTGCTCACGATTGATTTTTCTTGTCTCTTTCTCTCTCTCTCCTTCTCTTTCTATATATCAGCCGAGAATCCGATTTCAACTATTTCTCTTTCTCGTCCTCTCCATCTATGCCCGTATTTATATAAACATGCTCGTTTTTCTATTCATTTGATCGATAGTCATTCACTTTATTCTCCTTCAATAGTAAACTCATATATAACAATTGACTCTCATTTTTCTTTCATATTACAGAAAAAAAAAGAACATATAGATTTTTGTATTCTTATTCATATCGAACAAAATGAACGAGTCGGAACGCGCAGATTTACTTACACAACTTTCAAGTATTCCACAAGGCCAAGTGAGTTGTTGCGAACAATGCTATTTTCGTGTATTTTTCCGTTGGTACATTCATTTTCATTCTTGATCATATTTCCATTCAAATATGAAGCTTCTCTCTCTCTTTCTTTAATCGAATACTCTTGAAGCTTTTGTCTTTGAGAGCCAATAAAGGTTATCATCAAATGAAAGAAGATAAGGAAATATCGCTTGCTACCTATCTCGAACACTTTTTTCATGAACCATACAATAGAATTAATTCGATTCTTTTTTTCCTAAAATAGAAAAAACCTCATGCAGTAAGTTTTTCTTTCGCTTAACATGACTGATCTGTCCTTTGTGAATTCATTTTATCAATATTAATCAAAATTCTTTTTTTTCCGATTTAGAAATATGTCATTCGATCTGAAAAACTCGGTCTTGATTACACTGTATGGGTTCAAGTAAGTTTGTTCTCTTCGCTAGATTGGATGATAACATCTTCTACTTGTATAATTTAGGATGACACAGGCACCAATGCGAAATGTTATGTTATGACTATTCATGACCTTGGTTGTAGTCGTGAGTACTAGATATTGGATTTGTATGTGTTAAAGAACTGTTCGGCGTCATTTTTAGATTCGATTTTTACGGAATTTGTTTCTCAACCTGAAATGCGTGCACTGTAGATATAAAACGCATTCTGCTATTTCGATATCAGTTTTCTTTTTTTAGCAAACAACGTATTGTGTGGGTACACGTGGATTTGCCGGGTCAAGAGGACGGTGCTGGTATTTTAACTATTGAGTAATGCATAGTCTTTCTCGCCCGAAGAATTTCGTACCTATTTGGGTTTTTTTCTATGTAGAAAATATCCGTCATTGGATGATGTTGGCAGCGAATTAATTAATATCCTTGATCATTTAAATATTCCACAAATAGTTGTCTTTGGTGAAGGTGCAGGTGCAAATATCGGTTGCCGTTTTGCAATCGAACATCCTACACGCGTTCATGGCGTTGTACTTGTTCATCCAACTGGTACTACGGCTGGTTTCATGGAAATTATGAAGGATAAACTCAACAATTGGAAATTGATTCATAAGGGAATGAATCCGGATGCAGAAGCCTATCTGATTTGGCATCGATTTGGACGTGTAAGTTCGCAATTAACAAATCGTCATTCAAATGCATGATTTAACCTTTTCGTTTTGTTTTAGGATGCAGCGAAAGTACGTAATAACAAAAATCTCGATGGACATTTGTCAGGCATAGAAACTAAATATAATCTGCAGATTATCACAACCGGATTAACTGATAAACATATGTAGTATGTCAAACAGAAAGATAAATAAGCGAAGAAAAGTTATTTCGGATATTAGATATATCTGTAGTTTCGAAAATCAAGAGAATTAGATGACAATACGTGTATGTAGAAGATCTAATTAGGAATACGACAGAAAAAGAGTATCAGCATAGGAGCGTAAACTCATGCACGTTGGCAACAAAGAAATAATCATCGTCAACTCGTTGTTCTGCTTTTTTTGAAAGGATTTTCTTGTGATGTTCGTTATTTCGTCTTACTTTTCAAGTTTCGCATCGGAAAAATATGAAAAAAACGAATGCATGTTTTTCAGTGAATGTTGCATTTGTGCCTCGAGGACAAAGGTTAATCTAATTAGTGCGAACAGAAGACCAGTTCCTAATAAATCGGAATGTTTATGTTTGTTTGTACTTCATGTCTGACATTTCTAATCCAATGCATTTTTTCCTTTTCAAATCAATTAGGGTTATGTTGATTCACAAGTATTGGAAGCCAATATTCGTGAATTTTCCGAAAAACTCTATCAAAAACGAACAGCGAAGAACCTGGCACTCTTTCTCGATGCATTTCTCAAGTGAGTATTTCGAAATGTAGTCTCAGATTTCAACTTCACTTTTCAACTGTAGTCGAACAAACCTGGTGGATAAACTGGACAAATTAACGTATGTGACTTGAGAAAAGAAAACAACGTTGATGATTTCATTCGTTCACTTAGGGTTGATTGTCTGGTTGCTGTTGGTAAAAAGAGTTCGGTGTTGCATACAACAGAAAAATTCTACGAAAAACTTCGCGATTCACGTGATCCACAAAAAATGGTTAATTCACCAATACTCATCGCCGATAATGCTGGTGACATACTTGGTGAAGCAGTGAGTAGAAGACTAATCCTACATTACGAAATTAATTGCTTTCTGCTGTTTCTTATTTAGCCGGATGTTTTAGCTAAATCAATGCAATTTTTCTTACAAGGAATTGGTTTAAGTACGTCTACAAATATACATCTTTGGTTTGACTTTCAAAGATATCGAAACTATGTTCTGTTTAGTCTCTGGCTTACCAATGGATGCCGGCTTAGTTGGTTTAGGTCGTTTATCTCGTTCAATGTCCATGGAAGAAGCTGATCGTCCACGACGAAGTTCAGTTCTTAATTCAACATCATCACCCGGTACTGGTTCCCCGCCAAATGTTGGTTCACCACCAAAATAGTCATTTGAATCCATAAATATATGTACATTCGTTCGTCTTTTGTCATGTGTGTCGTAGTTTATGGTTTTTCTTCTTTGTTTCACTAATGTCGAATTGATTAAGGTAATTCTATACATGATTTGGTTTGAATGACTCGAATTTTGCCGTGTTTTCGCTTTTCGTTTTATTCGTCAGAGAAACAAATGCTTCAATGCATTAGATTTAGAGTACACTCAATAAAAGATTCTCGAAAAACGACATCTTCCAAATGCACTGAACTATCAAGCATTGATAATTAGTTTCAATCTCAAGGTGAATATGCGTCAATAGATGTTCGCTGATTAGAATGAACTCCTTTGCACATAAACAACACTATCCGGTAAATGCGTTTAATCGTTGGGAAAATTGCGAGAGTTTTTTCCTCATACACCAACTATGTGTTAGCCATAGCCTTGAACAAATCGTCTAATTATTCATTCCTGGGCAAGATGTTTGGAAGACAGACGGTGAAAGCGATTTTTGTTGATGACTTGAATGCTTGCAAAAATTGACACAAGTATGTCGTTGGGTTCGCTCGATCTTTGCTTTGAAGTCATTTAATTTGTGAGACAACGAGAGTAGTTTTAGTTCTGTTCATTGTGCAATGTTATTGATAATTTTTCTCATAAAAAATTTAGTAAAACAACCTCGTGTTTTGATTTAGTTATTTGATCTATTCAATTATTCATCCTGTGCCAAATCCGATTTGTCGCAACACACACTTACAGGTGTAGAAAAAGGAGAAATTCTTAGTTCTATATTAAGAACTATCCTCTTTTGTTTAAGAAAAAAATGAATTTGAGGAAAAGATTTATTCTCCTTCTTCTCATTATAAAAGATCGAGCATGTGCGTCACTAGGTTTTTCCATCGGTAAGTAACAACTACCGTGTTGTCACCCTCGAGTGACGCGAACAGACGAACATGCACATCAGCATCGTCTAAAGAGAGAGAGAGAAAAAGTAAAAGAAGACGAGGAAAAAGTGATGTAAGTGAGAGAAACAGGATGAACGACGTCATTAACTCCTTCAGTCAAAGCAACAGCTCAAAGAACTGTGACAGATTGTGGCACATACATGAAGCGTCAAAGATAGAGGTAGGTAAAAAAGAAGCCTCTCCCTCCTCCTCTTCTTTCTTTTCTTCTATTTCACTCTTTTATATATTTTTTTTTTCAGAAAAACCTTGTCGTTGTCAAAGTAGCTCTTCTTTGTATTCTTTCTTTAGAAAACAGAAACAAAATATAACATAAGCACGTACGTCATCGCCGTGCATTTTTGTTCACCGAAGTAATGCACTGCTGTTAATCATTCTAATTGCTCAAGAGCAGATGTGCTGATCTTTCTTGCTTTTTACATATTATTAAGAAATACAATCTTCGCGTTGAAATGATGCATAGTGTGATTCGTCGTTCTCCAAGGTGAGTAGGAAAAAAGGGGGAGAAAGAAGAGAAGAGAAAACTATTTCTAACAGAAGATAAGATATGTAGCGAAAAAAAAAGGAAAAGATTGATTTTTTATTAAAAAGAGGGAAAGGGAAGAAGAAGAAGAAGAAGAAGAACATAAAATATTTATTTAGTATTACTTCGTCAACAGTGGCTGATCCATCGACAGTAACTGTGCGCATTCAAAGCGCCTCAACAAGTGATCTAAATGTTCAAGATGTCGATACGGGATCGTCCGATGATGACGAGGATGCCGATGATTTGCGGCGCAAATGTGACCGAAAGAAAATTCGTGAACGTATTCAAACACGACCATCGTCAGGAAATATTCGTCAAAATCCATCAGCACTTGTGACTAATCATAATCCTTCCTTTCAACAACGTACCGGTAGGAAAAGTGCTGACGTAACATCTTCAATGCGTCTACCACCGACTCGTCCCACAACTGCTGTCTCATTACCAGCAAATCCATCGGCATTTGATAATGATTGGGATCTCGATATAGCAGAAACATTCAACTCATCGAACCCTCGGCGAAACCCATCGTGTCCATCTATCTCTCCAATTATCGCCCGGTCAAAACCGCCAACCCAATCAATATTCGCTCATCAAGCAGCTCCAGCCGTATTTACGACTACTTCCGAATGTCTAGGTAAGTAGATTATTTTCATTAGCAACGGTCACAAACAAAGAATCGATCATTTTAGGTAAAGAGTTTCATCCACAACCACGCCGTGATGCGCCAAGACGATCTCAGTCGTTAGCAAAGTCTCTTGTACTCAACAATAATCCAGCATCGCCAACAACTCCAATTGTTTCCTTGACACAGAATATTTTATTAGGCTCAATACGTGCTTTACAAAATGAACGACAACTATGTAAATATTCAGTTGATTATCTTATTGATGCAACCAATATGAGACCGAATGAACTAGCACGTAAAGCCAATGTTGGTGCTCGTCTTCCATGCCATTGCGGCCATACGCATTCACGTTGTACTTTAACATTAGAATTCGATCAACCATATGTCTCATCCACAACAAATTCAACATTGCTTAGTACTGATCATAATAATCAAAATAACAGCAAAATGCGTGAATTATCTCGGACATATTTAGGTCAACTATTTTCAGCTGTTAATCGGTTCATATCCAAAGCTCAACAAGAGGGCAAACGTATACTTATCTATGGATTTGAATTGACACCGAACTCCCCGCTAGCAGTCATAGCTATACAATATTTAATGTTAACCGAAGAACTGTCTTATACTGAAGCCACACATCGAATTCATCGACTATTTCCCATTATTCCTTTACAACATCAGCAGTACCCCATCATGGAAAAACGCTTTCAAGATTATCTTAAACAACTAGATCGACGTACATTTCCACGAAATATCACCGTTACTAATATCAGCGGTGATGGAAGTAGTAGTGGAAATGACTATCGACATTCGCCACATGAATCATCTCGAGAATCATCTGAAATCACGACAACTACAACAATTACAAATAGTACACCAGTTACGTCATGGACAACGATTCCAATGCCTATTGGTAATAATAGTGCTGAAACGTCGCGTTCCCTATTCGTAGCACGTGCAGCTTGGGACAGTTGAATACTCTATTTTTCTCCTTCTTTTTCTTTTCTTTTTCGTTTATTTTATGTCAACAAATGCTCATTCAGATGAGATTGCGTTTTTTTTTAAAATTCATCAACATCTGAAATTATTGACATAATAAATTGTGATTAAATCTTTATAAATCTCTGCTAAGACTTTTATTGTGACATTTTTTTTCTCTATCAAGAGAGATGCCAGGAACTATTAATGATTCAGAACCCGAAGCTGCCCATAATTTATTACCAATTATGCTTTCATTCGCCAGTGATTTTGAACTTTAACAGTGCAGTGCTCGACACGGATATACATTTGTCATAGCATGTTTTATAAATAGATGAACGGATAAAATATCGATAATAATCAACAAATTGCTCATCGGATTCATGAAGAGATTATCCGATGACGCATGAGAGAATGAAGTTCGAATTGGTGTTATGTCGAAGTTAATTTTCATCATGTGATAGATTAACACAGAATTGCATAAACTTTAACAGACGATAATCTTACGACTGATCTAGCATTTACCTCAATCGGAAGAGTATGTTGGTCAAATTGGCACGTTTCCATTCAAATATTATCCAACGAAGGTACATCTCTCCTCTCAACAATGAGTCAAACGGAACGTGAATATCATATATCAGGAATCGTTCATAAGCTAATCACGCGCAAGACAAATTAACTTTGTTTTCCCACGGAATTTACAATTACTGAGCGGAAGTTTTACGTTGGCTTTTTCACTTCATCCGCCCACACTGTCGGCATACGTGCCATTTTAGGCGAATAAATTCTCATATCAGCGAATTGCATAGGTAAAAGTTTCTTCCTCTTCTACTGTGAAACGCATTGAATTCGAGAATCAAAGAATTTGCTTTGAAATATTAGTTCATATTAACTCGAGATTGAATTACTATGTAACTACAACGTCTTAACATAATACTTAAGGGAAATATTGACTTATTTTCTCTCCTTTTCAACCTCTGTTTACCAATTTTAGCGGAGTGAAAGAAATTTGACAATCTCATCTGTGGAACTGTTTGACAGACTAAAACGCGCATATCTTTTTCATGTCTGTTTTTATTTATCTTGTCACAGAAAACCATCGTTTTGAACCTATTGAAATAAGAATGTACAAGTTTCCATTAAGCATCGGTCGGTTTAGTATACGTTGGCACCGGTACCGTATAAGGTGCCGATACAGTCTGATACATAGTTGGATAATTTGTCATGTTCAGTGCATTTGATGGGTACTGATTCGACCAAGTTTGAGGATAGGAATATGGATATGTTTGTGGCGGTTGAAGAATCATTCCTCCTGCTGGCACATGTCTTGGTCGGCTGGCATGTTTGATAATACACACGATAGCGACAATCACTGCAATTAGAAGAATCAGACCAATAACCGATCCAACGACGATGGCGATAATTGCACTTGTAGTTAATGCACTGTTGATCGATTCGAAATTGGATGAAGACATAATAAATGGAAATGTATGTTAATATAATGTTTATTGGCAATATATTTTTTCCGTGTTTTTGAAGAAAAAAAAGAACACCGACGATGATGACAAACACACGGCAATGAAGTAATGCATATTGATTTTTACATAGCCTTATAAGAGTATGTAGATCGTTTTTCTTTCTTTTTCTTATTTATTCTGTTTTCTTTTTACTTTCACTTGAAATATTACTTCAAAAACAATTAAGATGTAAGAGGAAAAAAGAAATGAAATTTCTAACTAATTACAAGAACTCGCACAATTAGTTTGGCAAACAAAAACCGAATTTGCATACAGTTTTCTTCTTTATGTAGGATGTTTTCGAAACATTTTATTGAACGTTTGTTTCCGTAACGACCTCGGCAACAAAACATCGGTTTACTCGATGGTCTTAGCGAGAAAGAATGCTTTTGTCAATTGTCTAATGAGCAGCTGTGTTTATGCCCTAGGAACTCGACAGTAAAAGAAAACGGCGACGAACAGACAATTTTGTACTGGAGAAAAATAGGCTCATTATGTATAACAGGAAAAATCGCGCGTGCAAATCAACAATTGATCCATTAGCGATTTTCAATGAAACTTCATAATAGATGAATATCATTTTCTTTTAACAGTCAATTCCATAGTAGAAAAGACACACGATACTCTAGTCGTATATAAAGAGAAAAGTGACGTCAGCGCGTGTTATTTTGTCTGAAAGATAAGGTTTCCGAATTCTCAAGACTGGTACTAAATTAAAGCCTCTACCTTTCATTTCAACGCCCAATTAAAGTAAAGTATCTGTTTTGCACGACTATAGACCACTATTTTTGGTATGTTGATTAGAATAACAGTATTATCCATGAGAAAACGGAATTCGTCGAAAGCACTCGATCGTAAGCTATATTTTTTTTCATAAGAATATCATTATTTTTTTATTAGCACGTTCGAACTAACATCAAGGTATAGAGTACTCCTACAAAAACAGCTTCACGTCGAGTCATTTACATTTAAAAACTCTCCGATAGATGCCGTCATAAAAAACGAGATATCATGTTCATACGCATTAAGAAGATTCTTCTTAATCTCTTCCGAAAAGACTTCCTTTTGGACGTGAATTACATCATACAAAAATAGCTACCTGTTTTCTTCTCTCTCTCTCTCTCTCTCTCTCTCTTTCTAAATACATACGCTCAACATATCAAAAGGTTAGTTCATGTTGTATGAAGAGACCAGTGCTGACAAATATTCAACGTGATTATTTATACATATATGACAGGAGTACAAACGAAACGCTAATGTATTCAGTGTGTCCTATAAGGCAACATGACTCTTTTCAGTTTGTTTAGGTTCCTTATGTTTCTTGTATGTCCGCGTACTTGATCGTGCTGAACTGTTCGTTTGTCGAATACTGCTCTCCAATGATCTTTCGTCATAATCGATCATTGCGTCCGGACAAAAGATTCGATAACAACATAGTGAATTGAGAAACGCTCTCAATTCCTGCCGAAAAAACGTTCCACTTGCGCAAAAAAGAATAAAATTAACTGAATGACATAGGTAGAACAATAAACGCAATGATGTCCATTGTACGCGAAAGCCAGGTTGTAATTGATAGAGCGGTGGTGCAACAGCAAGAAAAATCGATGCTGGCGAGGTTAGAACTGTATAGAGAATACTGACAGCGTATAACATTCGTGTGACTGAACGTTTTTTATGCGTTGTCGAACGTGATCGTCTTGATGCTTGTCGAACAGTTCGTACAAGTAAAGCATTGCCGAATAGAATGATTGCTAATGGTATAATTGTATACGCTACAAGTGACAGTTTTGGATAAATTTGACTGCGAAAATGATAGTATTTTTTATGACGAAATTTATTCACAGTGCATTCTAATGGCGCTTGATCGGTTAGTGGGCGTGTATCCGAATCAGTTAACTCATAATAGATGAGTAGGTGTAGTTCTGCTAAACAAGCGAATAGAATGCAAGCAAATAATTGGATGCAAGTCGATTTTAATGAGCATAGAGCAATTTGACTGACATATAAATAACGTTGTAGTGTCACTAAAGCTAATAATAATGGTGCTAGACGAAGAAAAACATATGTGAGATAAATATGTGTTCGACATGTAAAGGAGTTGATGGTTCGAAGGTCTAAATTGAATGCATCGATTAAAAATTGTCGTAGTAGGCCTGTATAACATGTGCCCATTTCCGCGACGCATAAGACGGCTAAGTAGATTGATGTTGTTTGTTTACGAAGTCGTGGTCGAATAAGAACCAGAAATGAGATGGCATTACCGATACCACAGCCCAGTAAGATGAGTGGTGTTACGATACTTGACACCCATCGGGTTAAATTTACATGCGACTCGGTTAATGAGTTATTCATAATCATCTTGAAGAAAATCCAACTGAAATCGCGAGATTCTTTTCAAAAGGTGTCTATCTAGAAAAAAAAGAATGAATGTTCACATATCACTGACTAATCCAAGGATTAGTTGGTCTGGAGTGCAATGAAGAAAAAAAAAACGATGCGCTGTACTTAAAAGATAAATGATCATTGGTGGTCTGCTCTTCACAACCAGATGATGGCAATGTCGGAAGCCTACCTGCAGATGAATTTTTAATAAATATGCTAGTTATGCACGTAGACGTGGCCTAGATAAGCGTAAAAACAGGAATAGGAAATTGTAATTCTTGTTCAAAGTGAAGCGTTGACTATGCATATCTATTTTACTGATAGTCACCATCTGTAATTAACCATCGGAAGGAATTTCGCCTCGTGTATATATTGATCCAAATGAAGATTGGATGACAGCGTATTTCTAATGCCGAATGTTCAGGAAAATCTCCAATGGAAAGCACAAATAATACGAATGACATTCACCTCGAATGGCAGACTTGTGGACGAGGTATCCTTATTTGCTGATCAATCACATGAACCTATATAATCGAGCAAAACGCACTAATATGTAAGTTTACTCATTCAATAGATTATTCCGTACCGAGTTAATAATGTACGTCGATCATTTTATTTGTATTTTCCATAGCGAAACAAATCACCGGAAGCGTATTCTTCTCAGAATGACCCTATGCGTGTGTTTCTTTTCTTCCGTGCAAATATGAATACGGAATGTATGTAAACTTGAGAAGTATGCGGAAATGCAGTTCAGTCTCACATATTAGATCAAACTAACAACTGAACGTCATCTTCTTGATCAATATAACCCAATAGAGTCTTTCGTGGGAGAAATTGTCTCTGACAATCGTCACTATTTTGCGGATAAAAGAAGAAAAAGCAGAACACTAAATGATGGATTTCTTAAATTTGATGAGACATCTTAATTCAATACTGACAAATCACGCCAGCTGTCTCAATTGATATAAATTCATCATAATAGAAGGAAAACTCTTCAAGAATATCTCTCGACGTTCCAGTGCGAAAAAAAAGATGGAAGTCCAAATAATGACTTAGCTAGTATCAATAAACTAAGTACAACGATAAGTCAAGCAAACTGTGATGATAAGAACGAAATCATAACTGAGCATAAAGTGCAAATTTGTATAATTATCTGTAATCAGTTGTAAATATGTACGGAAAGAATCCTAGTAATTATATCACGTCTTTAACCCTCCGTGGATGTTCTTATTTTGTGTCCATTTTCAATGTCGAGAATTTTGTATAGATACTATGAGTTAGTGTTGAGTATTGTTTTCTGTATTTCAATTTCATATGAAGTTACCAAAAGCATTACATTCGCAAAAAAGTTAGAGTTCTAGCAGGGTAAACTAAATGAGGTGTGAATCTACATGAACCCCACAACATCTATGGAGGGTTAATCGGCGACTATGTTTCGTTTTTCCCTAAGAATTTGTACGATTGTCACAAAACATAACATGTACTTACGATTCGGACCGAGATATATGTTTGGATGTCTTGTCATTTCTTTTTTCATTCTCAATGTTTTCTAATAAAACTCATGAAAACAACATTGTACGAGAGTTCTTTATTGAAGTATTCGCATATCTTCCTGATTGAAATGACATATGGTTTAATAGGTAAGAAAAAACAAAGTAAACATAATGTATGTTATTAGACGCTGTACTGTGGTATCAAATGAATGCTAGAAAAGAAAACAAGTTCTCTGTCTCTCTATAGTTTCTCTCTTTCCATCTCTCTATCTCGCTGTTCTTAAATTCGGTCTTGTCTTATTGTTTTTTTATTTCTTCGGTTTGGCATGCTAACGTTTTTTTTTCTGACGCGCTATTCAACTAGTTCCAGCTAGATTTTTTTTCTTTCTTTTTGTGATGATAATAACAATTACTAGTGATGCTGCGTAGTATTATTCACAATTGAGAAGCCGCTCGAGCGTCAATTAAAAGTGTGCTTTTCGCGTATTTTGTATTCAATCGAACATGCATCGCATTTTTCTCCAGCTCGATAACGAGCAGTCTCAATCACTCACATTTCTCGCTAAACATGAATAAAAACTTCACCAAACTAACATTCACACGAATGAACAATGCATTCGCCGTATTTTTATCTTTGAGCTTCATAAATTTGTTATGAGAAAGTATGACGCATTGAAAAGAGTTCGTAGTACAAAGAACGCTTAAAAATGCAAGTTAAGGTCATCGTGATTTGTCACACACACAAACAAATCGATCGATACTCCATAGATTGATCCTTTTTATCCTTAGTAAAAATATAGATTGCATGACTTATACAATGAATCTAAAGCTCATTAACGTTGACATCTATAGTTTTAGTCTTCTGTCTGGAAAATCATATCTGACATCTTGATTTGAGAGAAATATACTTTTCAAGTATCACTGACAATCATCTTACAAATCAACTAAAGATAGATACATCCCGGTGATTATCATAAATGATATACTTTGAATAAAATTCATTTTGCGTAAATAAAAGCACGTAAGGAACTTCCATGATCTTATTCATAGTTCTTGAAGTTCGTCACGCTCATAGAATATTTACTGATATTAACCAGAAATGTGTCAATTATAATGCATGAAATTTTCATGTTTTTTCTCGATACTTTCCAGAATATCAAAGCAAATATATATTTGGTATTCTTTTTTTTGTAAAATTTAATGATATGGCGACCTGTCGGTGGCTCATTGAGAGGAATCTGCAATCTGTTGTAATTAAGAAATGAAATGCTCAGCATAAATTTTCGAGATTTTCGAGTTCAAAGTAAAACGATGATTGCAGGAAGTGTTCTAGGTCAAAAACATCTTTTCATAATTTGTAATTTATCTTGTTTTCCACGAACGAAAACATGATGTATTCAAATTACTCCTATTGACTGCGAGCAAATAGATGATTACATTAAGTAAGAATTGTATCAAGTGACACATTGTGTATCTGTTGATGGTCATTAATAGGCAAAGGATTTTATCAAGCAGAAATGCCTAGCTTTTGGAAATGAATAGACGAAGTTCCCTCTAGTCGTTTAATAGATTTATGTTACATCGGCTCGAAAGAAAAGAAAAGCATAAATTATCGAATGGGCGCGGGGTTTTCTCTGCCCTATTGAGAAATTCATAGGGAAATGCCCTCTAACTGGAACGAACTCTAGCAAAGTCAAGTGAGATTAATCAGTAAATAGGAAACAGCTTATTGAATTTGCTTATTGACTGACTCATCAAGAACGGTCATGCAAGGATTAGACGAAGAGCGTAAACACGCACTATTTATATCGAGAACTCATTGAAACAGTTCATTTATATGCGATTCATGGTGGATGTAAGGTGTACTCAAGCCAAAACGTCATCATTACGAAATTGAATTTACTTTAGCTAGAGAGTAATTCAATTAAATCGAATGAGAAATGACATTTCCGTTACATTGTCATGATATATTCATTCGAAATCGATACGAGATGACAGAACTCTTTTTGCGATCAAATCCTATTTATTTACAAAAAATATTTACAATCGTTGGGGGGCGTTTGGTGTTGAGACAAGTTTCAATTTGATATACTCATATTTTTTACTCGAACGCTGTTTCGAAGGTTTTGATACATGAACAGACACTTCCGATGGCAACGTATTCGGTTCTTCTTCATAGTTCTTTCTTCGAACTTTTGAGTGTTGCCATTGACAATAGCATGACAGATGCTGTCGTATGGGATGAATCCAACCTTTCAACATTCGTTCTAGCTCATGACGGAAACGCTTTGCCGCATAACAGTACAAGAGTATATTCGACATGGAATTGAGTAAATCGAAAAAGGCTAAGAATGGATGATAACGACGTAGAAAGTCGGGACAATCATCACCAATTGCGACTGACCGATGGCAAAAGTTGATACTCAAAATAATGTCGACGAGCCAAGAGTTGATCACTGATAAAAGACATTCGATTGTGATAATTAGGATCACTCGGTGTGTTTCGGCCGTTCGGTGAAATACCGCCGATTGCTTATGAACAGAGTTTCGTATGTTCAGTATCCAACGGAGTGATATGGCGTTACTTAAGATAGTCAAAATCGATGGAATAATACTTCCGATAACTAAACAAATCGACATGTATTGAATTTGATGAACTGATTGAAATTTTCTCGAAACTTACCCAGTATGATCGTGTAGCGATTGAACGCGAGTACACGTGAATAGAGTAGATCGTATAAATTTAGAAATAAATCTGGCTGTAGTCGTACGAGACATGTGTGATAATGGTATTTCAATCGGAGCTCATTCCGAGCCATTTTACTGTTAAGAGTAGCTAATTGAATTTTTTGAATGAAAGATACAATAGATCGTTGGTGCATGTCAAAATAATGACCTAATAAAAAGATGTTTTTTTCAGACTTTGAAAGGATATTTCTTAACTAGACTGTGAAAATGCTCTGGTGACAGTCTTCAAATATGTTTACGATATCGCGAGAAATCGAATTGAACAGAAAGGAGTCTCTAAGTAACAAAGGTAATATGTTTGGACATCTCAGAAAGGTCTCTCAAACCTAGAATCATTCGGAGCCCTTTTGAAACGTTCTTTTTCTTCTTTGTGACAGGTTGTGTATCAGAAAACTCAACAGATACTTACGAGCTATACGTTCAACTTCTTCGTACGAACAAGCTGAGCGGTTGTTGATCAGACAATCAATTTCATATTGACTTGCTGAATTGCTCTGCATGAAACTCATTAACAAATTGGTCTCATTGGGGAAATGCTTGTATAAATAATCATACCATTGATACGCGGTTGTTGAACTGAGTGTCACAGAACAGAAAATGCTTAAACCGAAGAATTCCAAGATGTATGCGGAGAGAAAAGCGATGAAAATAATCACAAATGCAAATGATCTTGACGATGAATTTCGTTGAATTAAACGAAATGATGTTCGACCCATATCATAAGCACGTTGAATAGCCAAGCAGGACATAAGTATCAAAGAAAATCGGATATATAATTCATAATGACACAGAGGAATGAAGATCTGAGGTGCAGATTGACTAAAGTATGCGTAAATCTTAATGAAGAACGTCGATGAACATGAAGATTGAAAAAGAAATTGTTGAAATAATGTGTCTTGATAATATAATAGTTTGATCACACGAAAGTTCAAGTAAATACAATCCACAACTAGTAAAGTCACGAAGAATGGTGTTAAAAGTGATGATCGAAAACGTTTACGCAAGAATACGCAAATGCACAAAACATTTCCTAGACAACCCATAAATATAAGCGAAAAGATGATCCACGTACATGATTCAAAGAACATTTTGACTTGAAACTAAAAGCAAAAGAAGGTCTATAAATATGACGATGAGAAGATTGGTGAAAGGGAAAATTACAAACGTGATAAAGACTAAATGAGACTTATTACAGAGATTCATTAGTTCTGAAGACGATTGTTATCAACAATGTAAATTTTGTGCCGAAGGATTGAAATGATAATATTTGAGCACAAATAACCTATTTTAATGCAAACAATGAGAAAAAGGATCTGACTTAGAAAACGCGAATTATTCAGATGCAACTTAACAAATGGCTGATTCAAAAGAAATCTATACAAAGCGTTTATCTGACAGGTAGACATATTGCCAGACCTGTAATTCAGAAGATCATAGCTTACATTGAAAGATTTAACTATCTTTGTCGGTTAAAAAACATCGCTATTAATCTAGTATGAGCTTTTTAATAAAAAAACGAGCTTTTCTCATTTAACTTGCCCGTCTGTGCGACTAAAACACCTGCCTTTGTCTTTGAAAGGAAAAAAGTATCTTTTCCAATCTCCGTTTTTCATTAAAAAAAGAAATATTTCATTTGACGTAGTTACAATAATAGAACTTCTTTGGCTTGAAAGATGCAAAGGAAAACGATAAGTTCTTCGACTAATATGTTGTAATCGATATCGCATCAGATTTATTTTCAGATTACGTGAATGTTCATCCTTACAATCCTGCACATAATCGCGATAACTTTACTAGCGTGCGACAGAAAGTTGTTTTCAATAATGACGAAGGAAATGGAAAGAGCTCTTGTATGAAAAACCTAATTAAACGTATTTAGATCTTTTCATGTAGAAACAAGAGAAAAATAGGTTTACTGATTGAAATCATTGTCATTCTGCTTATTTTACACTGTCAAAGACAGAAGAGAAATGCATTGTCTGTATGGGTACAAACGGGTTTCTTGGAAAATCTTGTATTGATACTGACGAGCGAAGACAAAGTATTTGAAGATAGATTAGTTCTTAAAAGGAAATTGTTGACGCGCTCATTTTATATGAAATAATTCGATTGATACAGACTTATCCTATGCCTATCTTACCCTCCAAGTCGACCAATTTTTCATGTTGCACTTATATTTTTAATTAAACTAAGCTAATCTCCACTGACTACGGTATACCCGTTCTCATAAATACATACTGGATCTAGTGTGTGAATATACCATTTAAATTATTAATTCTATTCAGATTAAGATACTATTACTTAAATTATTACATTTATAACTCTATAGAAACTATAAATAATCATTCAACGGAGAACCGCCGATTTAAATAGATGTTTTATACGCCCGTCGCATCTCGTGACATACTTTTTGTTCTCATATTCTAGCAAACGATCGAGTGTTTATATTCTAGAAGACTATGAACTTATCGGGTGCCGTGTGTCTCAGCTTGTGGGCAATTATTCATCGGAAGGTAGCATAGACTCGGCTGATCAATTTCAGATGATATTTTACGTGATATATTTTTACACACGAATTGGTAGAGATTTTGAAAACAGAAAGATAACGATCTTATCAAGCAGGTTTCACTAGAAAGATGTCCTTTAAGTTTCCAAAGTGCAATATAATGTCATCTAAAGATAAATATACGTACTCATTAAGATATTTATTGTATACAGTTAATGGACTTCAGTTTTTCAAGGTCACTAGGATATCTCTTGCTAAATAATTGAAAAAAATCGATATGAAGAACATTCTGCAAATAGCTATGGCCTCTCAACACATGAAATAAACATCCTTGTTGGAAAAAGTAACCCGTAGAAATCTAGGAAATCGTGAAACTAAATTAATAAATATTCATTGAACTTCCCATGTGTATCATTTGTAAGTTCTGTTACACACAGACATCATGAATTCGATCATGTTGATAGTGTTTTTTTTTGGTCTCATCGCATGTTAATGTCTACAAACAAGGGCAACCCTTTCTGTTTTATGTATTTCACGAGAGAATTCCTTTCTTGTCATAAAAATACGTTTTTGAAAAGTTTTACATATGCTCGAAGCGATGTAAACAAACAAAAATGTACTGATAGCATTTCACGGAAAAAGGAAAAGAAAGTTCACGAAAGTTATGAAATTAAGACTTCAAACTTTGTGTTAAATTACGTTAGTTACTCAATATCCGTGGTACGAAAATGAGCAGCCAAATGCGTTCCCTCTCAGCTATTTCCTCTGTCAAAATAGTCGCACGAGAAATATATTCAGATCGGATTAAAAAAGCAATCAAACGAATGCAGATTTCAATAGAATTAGCCGTAATATGATTGATTTCTGTTAATATACAGTAGTATCTAGTAGTAGCGCCATCTATCGATGGTTTTGCATTTGTTTAATATTAAATTTGAAGTTTTTTACTCGATCTACTAGTTCGTGGTTCAAGGTGCATCATTCAGATGTTTGACGAGTAGGGATAAACAAGTTTTGCGGATAAATTTTTCGGTCAGTTGATCATTGAAGGTGAAGATAGTGCTGATGATTCATTAGTTTAACGCTTCACATCAATTCGATAGCAAACGAACACGAAAAAACAAGAAAATAGCAATATCATTTGTAATTAACGTTGTAATCATGGATAAACGAATTACAAAGGTTTGTAGTTAATCCCTGTATATTTCTATGCTTAAAACTCCCTCTAGGAGGCAATGAAAGATCACTTACTAATCAACAGGTAGCTCTTGTGCTCTATGCTGATAAAAAAGCTCAGATAATATTTCTTATTTCTCATTGACATACATTCTTCTTTGTTTTTTCCCCCGAACAGATTACATTCAGAGATTGATGAACATGCAATAACTTGTACTAATAAGAGTTACCTGCCAGATATTCATAGTGCAAGCAGTGAACATCGATTACTTCTACATTCTCCGTCATTCTCAAATCAAATGGAGGCTTCTGATACTCATATCTTCACGCCATGGACAGCCAATATCATCGATGATGATGAGGAATACGCCGAGATTATTAAACAAGCTGAAAGAGCTATCGAACATGGAATATTACCGATACGAATATTGGCGGGTTCATCCGGATCCTACTTTGTTCGAAATCCTGACGGTGTATGTGTTAGGGTGTCTATAGTAATTCCTTAACGATTTGCATTTCTTTAGAAAATTATTGGTGTATTCAAACCGAAGGACGAAGAACCATACGGTCGGTTTAATCCCAAATGGACAAAATGGTATATTTACTATGATTTTACTTGTTGAAATATCTTTTCAATTTACTTAGGTTTCAAAAAACGTTATGTCCATGTTGTTTCGGCCGAGGATGTTTGATTCCTAATCAAGGTTACCTATCCGAAGCTGGTGCTAGCTTAATCGATCAGAAACTCCGGTTAAATATCGTACCAAAGACACGTTCGGTACGTTTGGCTGCCGAATCATTCAATTATCCTGCATATCAACGGCATTTGGTCTCAGCCAGACGTGAAATTAACTATAATGTTGGACGGCACATGCATGGCAAACGTGTCTTTGAGCCGAAAGGATTACGTCCAAAAGTAAAACATTGAACATAACCTCTCTTGTAGAAAGGTTTAAAAGATACTTATATTTAGCTTGGCTCATTTCAATTATTCGTTAATAATTATATCGGTGCTGATGTTTTTCTTAAACAAATCGAGCAAAACCCGTTGCCAAAAGAAGTTATGGATAAATTTCAAAAACAATTCGAAAAGCTTGTCGTCTTAGATTACATTATACGCAATACTGGTAAACTTCAAATATAAAGTCTTATGATAATTACCGTTTTGCAATATAGATCGTAATATGACCAATTGGCTAGTGAAATATGAAGTACACGAAGCTCCTGAACGAGATAAAGTAACTAAATTAGCCATATATCCTGTTTTCATTTCTATTTCTTCAGCTCCTCCAAACTTTATCCAGTCCTCACCTACAACCTGATACACAGGTGATTGTTTTTTTTTGCGATGATTAGTTTAAAAAACCATTTTCATTCATAGGCTGACAATAACGATCTAAATCCACAGGAAAGCAGTACAAACACCAATGAGATACTTATCGCCGCGATCGATAATGGTCTAGCATTTCCATTTAAACATCCTGATGAATGGCGTGCTTATCCATTTCATTGGAGTTGGTTACCATTTGCAAAAATACCGTTCTCTGATGAAATCAAATCTAATGTGCTTCCATTTCTATCTGATATGAACTTTGTTCAACATGAATTATGTGATGAAATTCAGCGATTGTTTGCTCAAGATAAGAATTATAATCGTCGTTTAGTCGAACGACAATTGTCAGTCATGCGTGGACAAATCTTGAATTTAGTTCAAGCTATGCGAGATGGCAAATCACCGTCTCAATTGGTGCAAATGCCGGGTGTTCTTGTCGAGCATATTCCCGCCGATGAGTCGTCGGGACGAAAACTATTCAGACACAAATTTTATGATCGATATCCGCTATTTTCATGGTTTTAAGCACATATACATGGCATTTATATATTTCTCTTTCTATATCTTTGTTTTAGCAATCATCTATACAGTAAGGTTTCTTCTATTTTCTTGTTTATGTGTGATTTGTCTATTTTTTTCATCGATAAAAATAGTATATTTTAATAGTTTTTTTGAAATCAACGGTTAAAGTATTCTTTCTCATCGATAACCAATCGCTAGGATAGTTAATAGAATACGAACATCAACGTTTAACATTTGATTAGCAATTTTTTCTCGATGTAAACAAACCAAATTACGCAGTCATGACAATCGCTGATGATTGATCTTTTTCTTAAATCCACAAAAAATCATGAGGAAAACGTCTCTCTACGCCGAGAAATGTTAATTATAATGAGACTTATCTATCGAATATAGAACGGTTGTCCTCTCTTCTTGTGATGCCAAGACTCTATTCTAGGAATCAATCGTTCAGCCATTTTCAGTACTTGAGGTGTTGATGCATTTGAAGTAACAATGATATCATACGGTAAATCCGATCTGCGATAATATGGTGGTGTTGAACTTTTTTGTAACGGAACAGGTGCCGGTAAGGTCAACATGGATGAATATGATGCTATCGGAGGTGACGGTACTGATATTTGTGAGTCACCTTTTACCTGTATTGTAGATTGCGATGATTGGATGTACAATGCACCTATTCTTTCCATGACACTAAGAAATCGTGTAAAAATACCAATGGGCAACTTGACCTGATATGCAAGTTTTAATTCATCACTGAGTAGCGTATATGTGCTCTTTGAATGCGACGTACACATCTTATAAAGTTGTATTAACGCTCGACCATCCATTTTCTCGCATAATGGCATGAGTTCATGAACACGATTATGGAACAGAAAGTCTAAAACATCTTGTTCTGTCCAGTTGTAAATATGTTTACGATCGAAGTCAAGTCTTGCTTTTCGTTCTGTATAGACGTTCGGTAACTTGCCCGATAGTACACTTGCAGGTGATGGTGGTGGTGGTAATGATACCGACGCTGCCGATGGTTTTTCGACGACAACTTGGGTAATTGCAGGTTTATTATCTGGTTTTTCGTGTTGACCCATTTTACCTTCTTTAGATGGCAATGGTCGTTTGCGCTGCAGAGAGATCTCATTCATAAGTTTTTCACATGCTGTATCAAAGTCGAATCGGCCAAAATCAACATAAATTCGCGATCCAATCATAAAGCCTAACCAGCCATCTGGTCTATATCCTGGTCTCACAATCAATGGTAACAATCGTCGTTTACATCCGAATGCATATTCGGCTTCCGCTTGACAATATGTACTTTGTTTGTACGAATCTGACATACATAAAAGTACGAACTCGGAGTTTTCAACTGCTTCCGCCATGGCACTCATTGCTAAGAATGATAGAATGCAATATTTATCTTTCGGTCAAATCATTTCTACCTGGTCCGAACATATTATTCAAATCTATCCATATTTTAAAGCCTTGATCAAGAAGAAACTGATGAATCTTGTAAATTAGATCTTTATCAGCGTGACAATACGAGATCATCATGTCATACTGAAAGGTTTGTTCAGCTGGTGCAATATCAACTCGTTTCGTTTTCGTTACAATTTGTTCTTTACCATCAGGTCCAATGATGACTTCTGTTGTTTCTATTTCTTGTTGTTGTGAACCTTCAGCCTCATTTTGTTGATTCTTTGCAACTTTTTCCAAGAATGCGGGTTCTGAAATAGTCAACGTTATCGTGATCGAATGAACTTTCTTTTACAATGCAATACCTTGAACAAGTTTCCAAACTAAGCCATCCGAAGCTTTTTTCGTTCCTTCGTCATTGGAGTTTTTTGAAATATTTTGAATTTTTTCAAGAAATTCAGGATGATTTCGCAGTTGGAGTGCTCCGTTTTGAGAAAATGACAATGCCCATAGTGTTTCTAATAATAATGTTAATAAATCTCCTTGAAACTTTTTCGTACACTCCAATAGAAATGTTAATTCATTTTGTTTCAGTATTTCTTCTTTAATTTGATCATGTTGACTGAGACCTTGAAAAACAAACCAACATAGTCATGTTTTTCTCATTCTGATGAGTATTTACCTTTGAGTATCTCTAGTAATTGTGATACTTGTGATTCATCATTCGATTCATCCCCGAACACTACTTCTTTCAATGATCGGGTGACCGTTGACAAGAGTTTACCTGGATTTTGCATTTCTTTAATATCTTTTTCGGAAGTTGTATATGCGAGAATTGTATAGATATCATAAACTAGTGGTTCGTATTTCGCGGACGTCAATCGTAAGAATGTCGGTGCCATATTCTTCTGTTTAATATGTGCTAAAACAGTCGGCTCAGCGATCATGTTTGCTAAGAAATGAACTGCTGAGTTCATTAACATTGTTTCTGGATTAGAAATGTTTTCAGCAAGTTTATTGTATAATGAAGATGTATTGATGATTGTCAGGATGTGATCAATAAGAGGTAAATGCGCAACGAGTAGTTTTGGTGTAGTTGGGCCGTGATTGATGAGTGTGATTAACTGTGCAACAGCACGCTTGGTGAATGGTTTCCATTTCTGAATAGAAAATATTAATTCGTTAAATAAAGTTAAATACTGTGGTAACATCGTTGATAGTAAACTTTCCATAGTTTGTTCTAAACGTGAACCTAGTAACAATCATATCGAACTGTTTTTCTTTTGTGTCAAGGCGGTATAAAGATACGTACCGTGATACGAAGTAAGAAACGAAGGACATTTGTGAAGAAAAAATCTTTCCTGCATTTTCGTTGTTTTATTGCTGCTTCCCTGTTTGCTGAATAGATCAACATATTGATCGGATTTTAGACATTGAACAACAGGATCGATGAGTTGATTCAAAACATCTTTATTGAAGGTTTTTTCTTTTTCTAAGCACGTTCCGTATTTTATGTAAAGATCAAATAAACGCATGAAACTTCTTGATTCACGTTGATTGTTTTTCTTGGAGAGCCGATCGGATTGGCTGATATCTGTTAGAGACCCTGCGACCATTTCTAGCAGAATAGGGTTGAGTAACCAAGTGGGATATTGATTCAATTGAGTAACGTTTCGGAGAAGTTTTGTTAGTAGTCGTATTATCGAACGAAATAGAAAAACATCGTTTTCATTCAGTGATGATTCTCGTCGCCATTGTCGCAAATATTGGACCAATGGTGCGCGTAATTGTTGAAAAATACTATGTCGAGCAACTGTTGCTAATGTTGACGTTTTTACGGGGATGAGTGCTGAGAGAAATTCTTGAATATTGTTGGTATTCTGTTTGGAGTTCTCACCAGTGTTCAATTCATTTTGAATTTGATCGAGTAGATTTTGTAATTCCAGCGTGGAAATGCTCTGCGCCTTTTGCTTAATCGTTTGACAGTGTTGTGACAAGACGCTCGATGTTGATTTCTCTAGTTTATTATTCTTTGGTGTCACTGTCCGATAATCCCCGTTCATATTGTTACGTTGTGCAATGGGTCGATGCACGCTCCCTGACAATTCGTACTGCCTGGAAGGTTGCTGAGAAATTGGAGCAGGACTGTATGGTGGAGTTGCTTGATACTGTTGAGGTGACGGTGGTATGACTGGTACAGGATTATATTGTACATTTGGTTGGTAGATCGTTGGCGGAAGTACATACTGTTGAGTTGGTTGATATATCATTGGCGGAAAACTGTACTGCTGAAGTGACTGATACGGATTAGGCATCGGCATGTACTGCGGTAGTATTTGGTACATATTCAACATCTGACTATACTGTTGATACGGTTGTGGCATATACTGGTACTGGTACATGTCGTATGTATTTAGTAATGAAAGATATTACAACTTAATGAGCGATGATCGGATAAGAATGCGAAATGCGTATAACAAAGTATCTCTACCTTTTATTTTTATTTATACGGTTAAGTACGAAACCTTGCTATTGATGATTAAGAATGTTTTTTTTTAAACATTTTTCTATTATTGTTGCGTCAAATATATGTTATTTAGGTGAAGCTCGAAGAAACCAATACAATCACTCTAGTTACATATAGCAAATCATGATACAGAATTTATCAAAGAACAACCTTGAAGGGAACATCATGTTTATGTACTCATTATAATAACTACAATGCCATCAGTATTTAAATTCGATTCAGTACAGAGATTGTCAACGATTATTAATTTCATTTAGAAATTTTCTAAATTCCGTTTTTTCGAAAATAAAATTCGTCATACTCTACGATACTCATATACATCCTTCGCATCGAGGCGTGCATGTTTACGCTCGAATGATCAATATGATGATGATACTATCACTCAAATGTGTATAATATGGATTATGCATAGGAAAAAAAAACGGACGAATGAATAAAAGGTAAAAAAACTTGGCTTGCTAGGATTCGCGGTCGTGTTTTGTGGTGATAGTAATAATAATAATAGTGGTAATAATAGGAAACAGCAATACATATTTCGATAATAAGTATACACAACGTTACGGGCGATAGAGTCGATATGTCTACCGCAGAAAACGAGAAATCCACTGCGGCAGTTGTTAATATCTGGTCACGTTTTCGTAAGAGTCTCAAGAAAGAAGAAAATGAAGCATCTAACGAACAAGATGATAAGAATTCCGTTTTATCGGCAGTCGAACGGCAAACTGAAAATTCAAGAAAAGGCGGTACTATTTGGGAAGCTGTGCGCAAAGCTGACGAAGAAGCATTTAAACGTCTTGTCACATTGGATCCGCAAAATGTCAATGCGCGCGGACCTGTCGGCGAATGTCCCGCTCATATGTTGTTTTTGTATGGAACTGACACTCATTTGAACATGGCTCGATATTTGATCAAAAACTTTCCTTACACAATAACTCAAATCTACAATCAAGCTGTAAGAAGATTCATTCGATCTCATTTGGCGATTCGGGCTGTTTTGTTTTTTTAGGAATACTATGGCGAAGTTGTTCTTCATATTGCGATTATTAAACGAAACCCGACTATGGTTGAGTGGTTATTAGGTGAGGACCATAATGTCGCATACCAAGAACAACAATTAACGGCCGCTGCGAGTGGAAACTTTTTTAAAGTGTAAGCTTTTGTTTATCATGTAAATTCGTGTGCTAAGACATCGTTTTCTAGAGGGCGACCATGTTATTACGGTGAGACGCCATTGGCATTTGCTTGTTGCACAAACCAATGGAATATCGTGGAAATTTTATTGAAATATGGTGCTTCGATGGATGCAGTTCGTTCTTTTTTTGTCCCATTTATGAAATTGAATGAATATATTTAGGTTGATTCTAATGGAAATACTGTCCTACATTTATTGGTCATTCACAATCTGCCAAAAATGTACACGAAGTTCAAGGAACGTTGGATAGCCGAACAAGAACCAGATAATTCCGATGATGAAGAAGATGAACTTTATCAAATTGAAAAGAAACGCATTGTTCCAATATGGAAACGTCTGAATAAAGATGGCTTTACACCGTTGACACTAGCAGCAAAATTAGGTCAAGCCGAAATGTTCTCATTTTTACTTGAAGAACGTAAGATTGTCCAATGGAGCTTTGGCCCAGTCGCATGTGTACTTTATCCACTCGATCAAGTTGATTTAGAATTTCGAGAAGATGTAAACTTGTAGTTGTCTGAGAAATTCTTATGATTTCTTGAGTTTTCACTTAGGAACTTGAAAGTACGGCGGGCGCGTTGGAAATCATCGTGCAAAATGCACATGTCGAATTGATTATGCATCCTAGGATGATCGATTTAGTGAATAAAAAATGGGAACGTTTTGCCAGAACAATCTTCTTCAACCGATTTCTAGTTACATTTTCGTACTTAATGGTCTTTCTCGTTACGACTATTCTCGATCAAACACGAATCGAAACGGTAAAACGATCTGTAGACTTTAAGTTAAACGCGTGAATAGCTTATTTCGTTTAATTGTTATATAGATTGAAGGTGACGGCGATGACGCTGTGGTCACAAATATAGAACCTCCAGGAATGATTATACAAGTCATCTGTGCGTTTGGTCGTCTATTTGTTTTGGCTGGGGCGATATGGAAAGGACGAAACGAAATAAAAGAAATGACTAGTTTAGGTGTGAAGAAATACTTTCAAACAACGGTAAAATTATTCTTTGATTTTTCTCTCATTGACTATTCCGATTGCAATACAGGGTTCTGGTCTTTTGGAAAACTGTCTTTCACTATTATTTTGTTTGTGTATATACATCGTGAATATTCTACGAATGTTTGGTATGCGAGCAGAAACAGCTGCTTTGGCATTTGCATCAATTATTGGCTGGGGTTATATGCTTTTCTTCGTCATGGCATTCCGTTTAACTGGACCGTTCGTTGTGATGATCTACGAGATGTTATTCAATGATGTTCTACGTTTTTGCGTTATCTACGTCGTGTTTCTGGCAGGATTTTCACAAACATTCTTTGTGCTATTCGAACAAAATGGTAAAAATCAATTTCCAATAGAAAACTCAATAACTCGATCGTCATTTTAGGTTTTGGCGGTTTTCTTGTCAGTGTGAAACAATGTTTTCTAGGCATGTTAGGAGATTTTGATCTTGACGCTTACACGGAAACATCATATCGATATATCAGTGTAAGCTTATTGATCTTCTATATCATTGTCGTCACAATTTTATTACTGAACTTACTTGTCGCTATGATGGGTGATACATACGGAAATATCATCGAAGGTGCAACACAAGTCTGGTTAGTAGACCTATGGGTTGTACTTCGATGTATTGAAGAGATTTTTGTGAATGTTTTAGGCATTTGGAACGAGCACGAATTGTTTTTGCTATCGAAAACGAAATGTCCAATGAGGACCGGAACTTACCATCGAATAAATACTGGACAAATATTGATGGTGAACGTTATTTACAAGTCGAGGAAGTGGATGACAAAGCTTTTCTTGGAGATGGTGATGGAGAAGGCGGAGAAGAAGAACAAAAGAAAGAAGAATCAGACTAGAAAAAGAACTTTGTCAATATCATTTTGCATTAATTACAATAATAGTTTCATATTTTTCTTTTCTTATTGGCAAATAAATTAACCTCAAGCAGAGATTAGTAGTGTGACATTTGAAAGTTGAAGTTGAGTAGCTCTCTTTCCAACCTGTGCAGCGATAAATTTCTCGCCGAAAGCACTCAAAGAGCATCAAATAAAACATTGCTTACTCAATGAATCATGAACAAACTCAAGTAAGGAATTAAAATTGGAAAATGCCGTCCAAGATTACTTCAGCGACCGAAAAATGCGCATTCTGGTCATTGCCAACCGTTCTTCCTCGTTAAATAGGGAGAAACCAACTGTTTCAAAACAACCTGCCCGTATTCTTCCTTTTTCTATCGTTTGACATTTTGCTAAACATACAGGTAATTCTTAGTTTGATCATACTATATATGCAGGTGCAAAACTAGTTTAGTCAGAGATAAAAACGACTAATGATGATGAGTGTGGCATATTCCGATACAAAGCAATGGACATGTAAGATATGTACATTCTCAAATTACATATCAGCATACCCAGAGTGTCATGTGTGTCAACGAATCGATCCGCTGCTGATTGAAACCAGTTACTTAGAAATACCAGTGGTAAAATCTTACTTATAGAAAATGTATAAAAAAATTTTATTATTTTTAGAGAGACTCGAAAACAGTGACGTCTCTGGCGGTAGGCAATCGTCAAAATCAAGATGAAATCGATGCAAGAAAAAGTTTCAATGAAATTATCTCATATTGTCGACAAGTATTTCTCGCCTGAAATTGTTGTTCAGTTTTGTGATAGGATTCTTTTTCTAGGTGAAAACCAACTTCGTTGATGATCAGTTTCTTCCATCATCTCGTTCGATTGGCTATAAGACTGAAAATGATCTCCAATGGTTACGAGTTTCTCAAACACGCCCATTATCATTGCGAGAAGACAAGTATTTGACTTGGACCGTTTATTCATCACCTTCGCCTGCTGATATTCAGCAAGGAATATTGGGAAACTGTTGGTTAATGGCAGCGTTGAGTTTGATTGCGGAACAGCCGCATATTGTCGAACAAATTGTCTTAACTAAGATGATCAACGAAGAGGGAGCTTATCTTGTACGCATCTGTTATAATGGTGTTTGGAAAATAATACTCGTCGATGATTATTTTCCGTGTACAGTTCATAATCAATTAGCATATTCTCAAGCAAGTCGTCACCAGATATATATTCCATTAATTGAGAAGGCATGTGCGAAACTATTTGGTTCCTATGCAGAATTATGCAGTGGATTTCTCGAAGAAGGTCTGCAGCTATTAACAGGTGCGCCATGCGATTGTATCAATATTAATCGAGATAGTGATGAATTCCAAAGTCATACTATTTGGGCAAAACTTCTATCAGCTTGTGAACTTCGGTATGAGCGTTGATTTACTTCCCTAGTTTGCTTATTCGATTGACTTGCTTTAGATTATTAATTGGTGCATCAACGGGTTGTACCAATGTGACCGAAGAGGAATACCGTGAGGTAAATATAAACCCTAACCACGCGTTTTCTATTCTTGCTGTCTGTGCTCTTTCAAATATCTCTATGCAATTTGTACTCGTGCGTGATCCACATGCAGCTACAAATTATTGTGAAATACTGATAACACCGCTAATTCTCGCTCAATTAAATTCTTCTATTCAATTTTCTCCACCGTCAGGTGCCTTTTGGATTTCGTGGCCACTCTTTCTTCAATACTTTGCTTCAATTACGATATCATCTTATCGAAGTGACTATTATGATGTACGACATGTTGCTCAATTTACTCGCTCATCAAAAGAATCCATTCCAACATTTCAGTTCTATGTACCAAAGTAGCAAAATTCATGGAAACAAACGTTGAATGACTTCATTTTGTCTTTCAGAAAATCATTGATTACTATTAGTCTCCTTTATCATCGTCAAAGTCGTTGGTTACCTTGCTCCCACACACAATGCTTTGTCTTATGCGATATAAACGATCGACAAATGAGAACTCTTGGCACCCATTTATCAATCCTACAAACAGATCGTCGTTCGTTTACACAATGGACCGGTTCATTAGAGTCAGGCTATTACATACTTATACCATTCTCCACTACCTTTTGGAATGAAGAAAATTGTGAACTTCAACGAGATTATACAGTTGTTGTACATTCGAATGTTCAATTCGATTTGCAACTAGTTATTGAACCAGCAACAGTTCTCACCGATTGCTTTATTAGCGCTATATCAAAGCGAGGCAGTTCAATAACTCAGGTTAGTTGGTAGAGAACTTTCGTAATCTAAAGAATACTTTCCCTTTAGGATCAATGCTTTAATTATTATGTCATACGCGGTCCATCGGATTTTTTTCTTTTTATCGCAGAAAACTTGTCTACAATCGATTATTTAAACATTGAATTGGACTTGAGCGATTCAGCTTGTATACAAAGTTCTCGTCAAGCATTTATCACTCACGACTGCATTCCACCGCATCACCGACAAGTTATATTTTTTATGGAATGGACTGATACGCACAACAGAACTCCCCGTTTTCAGTATACTTTTGATTATTCCTACACTAGACTAGCAAGTCAATCCATACCAGTCATCGATATTTATCAGCATGATTTTCATTCATATCGTTCGATTTAGTTCAAAACTGAATCATTCGGTCATATTTTTTAATAAATGGAATGTTAAATAAATAAGTTTGTCTTCCGCTGTTATCCAATCTATTTTATATATCAGAATGACTTTATCTTTTGATTAATGCTTCAAAGTCTAAGACATTACTAAACAAAGTTGATTACATCAGTCTGTTCGATCTTTAATTACAAATGAGAATGTTCTCGAAGAGAACTGATCTTGTTGAATGGCTTCTTGATGTTCACGTCAAAAATGTATGAACTGTATCAGATCTTCAAAAGCTCATTACTGTCATTGCATTGATTTGCAAATGAGGAAAACACATATGCCTCCTACGCATGTCTTTTGATAAAAAAGAAGAAACCCGAGAAAGATACATCTCGAGTTTGTTCATTCTATTCCCATCACTTATATATATATATAAGTAAAAAACGACCCGTCGGTAATATTGTAATCAGCAAATGTCGTACAAGTCCTCGTACTTTCGATGTCTTGAAGTGAGAGAAAATAACGTTGTGAATTTGAATGAAACATTGAACTTGTCGTTTCTTTGTTTAGCATCGATTATCAACATTACATGAAGATATGGATGACCAAGAGGCGCTCGCTGTTATCAATAATGACATGCCACCGGAAAAATTGCGATCGCTCGTTCAACAAGGCAATACAACATCGTTCATATTTTCAATTAAGAATCGAATCGGAGGTTTAGCACGAGCTTTGCAAGTGTTTCAGGTATGCTGATCGTCTTATTTCTATTAACATTACGATTGCTTCTTGTTTCAAAAGGATAATGGTATCAATGTCGTACATATTGAATCTCGTCGTTCACGTCGTACCAATTCCGAATATGAAATCTACGTTGATTTGGAAGCGGATCGTGCGCTTGTTCATGAGTCCATGCAACAACTAAAACGCCAGGTGTCATGCGTTCGTTTCGATTTGAACAACCTTTCGGAATTAAGTGAAAACCTTGATAAACTCAATGATGAGGTTTTTAATGGCGATGGGTCAACAAATGGTAACGAAAATCTCGAACTACCACCACCATCACCTTTTCTCGATGAAAATGGTGAACCAATCCGCCGTAAAAGTAAGTCGTCAAAAAAAAAAACAATCGACAAAGTAAGGCATCATATGTGTGCAAAGTCATTTGCGTGAGAGTAGGACAAACAAAAGACCGTTAGACTTATTTTTAACCAGTACAGAGTCCATCTGGAAAACATACTCGATGATTGCCTTTCGAAACAAATTGATTTACATAAACAAATATGAAATCGATTGGCAAAGTCAACAAAACGCTGCTCTTTGTTCCCTAAACGAAAAGAATAGTTGTGACAATATTTTCTTCTAAAAATAAGATCACGCCGAGAATGCCTGTCATACAGATGATCATGTCTACGCCGTTTTTGTCACCGGTAACTACGAGTATGAGTACAAATAAAAAATTCAAATTTTAGTCTATGGCGCCGATACGGCATCAGTCGTCTCTTCTCTACATTCGAGTATATCATATTTAAGCGATATCTAAGTACTTTTTGATATTTCTTTCTTCGTATAAACGTTATCAAAACTAAAAAATGCTTTCACCTGATAAAACTGCTCGTTCAACGTATCCTTTGGATATTTTTTCACTTCCTGTTAAAAATGCTCTCGATCGACAATTGTACATATCATTCAAAAGTGATTCGACATTATCAACACTCTGCTACGACGAAGTTCTATGTTATTTATCGAACATTATCAGTCAAGGTTCGTTAGCCGAAATCGAAGATAACCTAAAACGATATTTTACACCCGACCAAATCCATCAGGCGTACAAAAATTTACAATCTGGTTTAGAATATAGCTTATCTATCATGAATAAAAGTAAAAATCAACATGTATATGATACTTTACAGCAATGTTCAATCAATTTAATTGATTCGACATCAATCTTATTAGTTATCGAAATTCTGCATCTTCATCAATTATTTTCCTATTTACCCGTATTCGTTACCAACGATTGGCTTCATATGATACGTAGTGTACAAAATCTTGAGAAACTTGATCTCACACCTTCATCATCCGTGTCCAGTCTGGTCAAGCAAATGTTTCAGCTAAAAGAACATTTAAATATCTTACATAATCTTGTTAACAAGTATTATTCGATTTCAACAGTTATACAACCAACGCTATCGTCAAATGAACAGTGTTGTTTACATACATCATGCAGTCATAATCCAACAGTGTACACGTCGACGCCAATGGTTCTAATTGATTCACCATCATCATCGTGGTCATCGATGGATATGGAGGCAAATCCAGGAACAACTATGACTGGTTTCATTCGAAATCCTGTAACAAATTTTATTATGCCCACCACGAAAGCGTCGGATTCGGACATAGAAACGTCTTTTCTTCCCGCTGATGACAATTTGAGTAGCGATGACGAAAATGAGATAGAATCATTTTCGTGCGCTCGACGATCTTCCGATCAATCCGTATCGAGTAAAACAGGCCCAGTAATCGTTAGACGTGCAGATGTTTTATGGATGTATCCAACTGGAGTCTTAAGAGCGAAAAACAGTTCACTTTGCTCTTCTATTCATGAAGGTTTAAATCCGAATGAATTCAAACCTCTTTATACACGAGCGAATAGTTGTAATATTGATTTATCTACTAAGATTACACAGGAACCCGCACCGAAAATAAAACCGAAAAGACCTTCGATAAAACAAAAGCAAAGAAAAGGTTCGAAGATAGTTGTTTTTCTTACATGATGAACAAATTCTCTAATCAATTCATATTCGACTTATTTTCCTTTTTCGTTCTAGTTGAAGCAGAAGAAACGCCATGGTTTCCACATCGTATTGAAGATTTGGATCAATGTTCGAATAAAGTCTTGTTGTATGGAGCAGATCTTGACGCTGATCATCCGGTGCGTATAAACGCTGAAACGCTTAGTTTATTGTGACATAAGAGAACAGCTAATGAATCCCAACGTGTATGTGAATAATCTTGAAATATCTTTTTCAAGATACTTTTACAGCTGTCGGGAAAATGGCAAGAATGATTTAATTAATGCACCAGCTGATGAAGAACGAAGGCGTAAACAAAACATTTTCTTGCTATATGTTTTCTAGGGGTTTACCGACCAAGTCTATCGAGCACGTCGTATGTACTTTCATGATCTGGCTATTGCATACAAACAGTAAGTCATTCATGTTCATTTCTCCTTTCGGAAGAGAAGAACAGCGAGTCTTTGCAGTGGTAATCCAATTCCTCGTGTTCAGTACACGAAAGAAGAAATTGAAACTTGGTAAGTTTTATTAACCAAAAATAAAATGAAAGTTGTATTAATTGAATGAATGTAGGGGTGCGGTATTTCGTAATTTGAATAAAATCTATCCAACACATGCTTGCAATGAATATCTGGCAAATTGGCCCTTGTTAAGAGAAAAATGTGGTTTTCGGTAGAGTAGAAAGCACTTTTTTTCTTGGAAATATTTTTTTATTCGAACAACATTCTATCTAGAGAAGACAATATTCCACAATTGGAAGATATATCACGTTTTCTTCGCGAACGAACTGGATTTACATTACGACCAGTCGCTGGATATTTATCACCAAGAGATTTTCTCTATGGTCTAGCATTTCGCGTATTTCATTGCACACAATACATTCGACATTCATCAAACCCAGCATACACACCCGAACCGTATGTTTAACCTTCGAGTTTAAAAAAAAACCAGTTCGAATAATTATGCTCTTATAGAGACTGCTGTCATGAATTATTGGGTCATGTACCACTTCTAGCAGATCCTAATTTTGCGCAGTTTTCACATGAAATTGGCTTAGCTGCGATTGGTGCATCGGAAGAGGACATCAATCGTTTAGCAACGGTAAGATGACCCTTTAATCGATTCGTACTCTTTCTATAGACATGTATTAACCCAGAGAAACTTTTAACCTTTTTCCATTGATAGACATCACGGGATATTTATATTTAGTGTTATTTTTTCACCATTGAATTTGGTCTCTGTCGCCAAAATGATGGTCTTCGTGCTTATGGAGCTGGTTTACTTTCGTCATGTGCTGAGTTGCAACATGCGTTGAGTGATAAAGCAAAGAAGCTACAATTCGATCCTGATGTGGTTTGCAAGACAACATGTTTAATCACAACGTATCAAGATCAATACTTTGTTTCGGCAAGTTTTGTTGAGGCGAAAGAGAAAATGAGGTAAATGAAAGAAATCCTTACTCCTTTTCTATTTCATTTGTTCTTCTGCTAGAGAATTTGCTCTGTCTATTAAACGTCCGTTCGCTGTTCGTTACAATCCGTATAATCAAAGTATTGAAATCGTTTCCAATACCCAACATGTTGCTCAAATCATCTCGGATCTCAAAGGTGACATGTGTATCATATTCGACGCACTGAAGAAAATTGAAAATAGCATTGGAAATGAGAAATAAACAACACGTACTTCTCTTATCTTTTCATCTATCTATCTATCTCTAAGTATTGTATTCGTGATTTATTGGTTCAAAAAAAAACAGCATATTGAAAAAAAGTTCGTTCCGTTTTGTGGTTGTTCTTGTTTTCATTTCATGGTGTTTTGTGATTTTGGTTTCGTTTTTATTATTAAGAGAGAAAAGAAAAAGAGACAAGCCTATCAGTATATTTCTGGCATTTAAACATCAAATGTTACACGTTCATCATTTTGAGTTATTACATTCACTGGTTTAGAAAACGGATTAAGCCACGTTAAGCCGACCTGAGAGCCAAAGACGACTTTTAATGATGAAATAAATGAATTATTACGTCGTCGAGAATTTCCTTCGCCTTTGAAAGATTCGATACCCTAGCAACGAGAGAAAAAAACCAACTTGAAAGAAGACGTGCTTTCACAAAGAGAAATACATACCGTTGTATCAGTGTATATTGAGTATAATTGTGTACCTGTCATAATGCCGGTAAATAACGAGAATGAAATGGCTTCGAACGCAAGAAATATAAGAAAAATGATCGTAGCCGGCGGCGACCAAGCTGTGCATACTAAATGCAAACGATGACAAACGAACTAGTACTACACTTCAGTGCACTTACCAGACCAATCTGCTTGAATGCAAGTTGTAACATGAATACCGAGCAGAATAAGTGCATAGATTGAAATAATACATGTGTAGAACTAAACAAAAGAGTGTTAGTAGTAAGATTTACAAAGACGGAGAGGACGGTGAATGATATTGAAATGAATCTTACCGTAAATAGAATGAAATATTTTTGATTGTTTTGACCTACGCAATTGTTCACAAACACACAATGATGATCCATTCGTTTCACGCATCGTTTACAAACACTAAGCATGTTGAAGAATTTTTATATACGAGATAAATAATTAGTAATCAATACTTTAGTACCTACAGTGATGGGCTCGAGGTGGTTTGATACTTTGACACATAGCACATCGGTAAACAACGGTACCATTAGCGTATTTCAAGAAGTTTTCTGGGGTTGCATTATTCAATGGAACAGTACCCTAGAATAGCGAAATTCTGCTAGGAAAATTCTTTGATAAACATACTGGATTTGAAAACATCGTTCGAAAATGTGATGACACAGCAAGAACTTCCAACGCATGAAAAATAATCAAATTAATAAAGTTGAACAAAGTTCCATGACTTTTCGGTATTAAAATAACAAAAATCATAACAAATTGTGCGTAGACAAATAAAAACCAGGTGGTAAAGCCGCATGACAATCCGTAAGGATCTCTGACACACCAGTCCGACACAGTTGGACAACATTCACAACGACAGCATGAGCATGTACATAAACAATCATCATCATTATCTCGATCATGATAGTACATCGAACGTGGTACAACATCTTTAATAACAACTCCAGTTGTTTCGGTTGATTCGGTCGTTGTTGTTACCAGTGGCGTCATATCTGATGTTTGTGTCGGCCAATTCGTGTCTGTATTATATGAATGACGATTGATTCTAACCGCTGATGAACCCACTTCCACATCTTCATCGTAATCATCATTCGTATGTGCTGTGGGTAACAGTTTTGTCAACGACATTCTTCTATGTCCTCTTGTGATGCGATGTGTATTCATTCACATTCACACTTCCTTTGACATAAATAATGCCACTAGCGACCCCTAATAAATATCAACATTTTCTTTTCATAGTTGATTTATTTGTTGATTTCAATGGAAACAGAAAAAAAAAACTTCTTTTGAATAAATATGGATTATATGCTATGAATCAGTCGAGGAAGTGTTGCTAAGAAACGTGCGAGGCGATGGCTGATGAATCATCATAGGACATGAACTCAGCGGCCGCCCTTTTTTATTCTTTTATAATAATCAACCTGTTAGACATTCTCTTTTTTTTTCCTATTCTCCTTTCGTTTTATTATTTTCCGGATGTAGAGAAAAAAAAAGTTTTTATCCGCGTAGATCGTCTGACAAAGAGAGATTTGAAGCTCAGGAAATGATGAGAGTATTTATTGTGATATGAGACAGAACAAAAAACGTTTTAAACGTCGTTCTCTTTTTCTATTCTTTCCAAAGCTCAAATTTTGCCTTCTGGTTAAACTGTGAGCGCATGTCTACCATCGCCCTTCCATAGACGTACTTTTTAGAAACCAGCTACCTTATCATTTGAGATATGTAATTCTTTCTTGACATACAATATGCTAATGCTTTCTTTTTTCCTTAGTTGCCTGATATTAGTATGGAAAAAAAGTGCACTGAGAAAGGAGAAAAGAATAGACGATAACGCGAACAATAACACTTTCTTTTTTTCCATGACGACTATCATCAATTTCTTATTTGCGATCTGAAACGGAGCGTTCTTTTGCAGATCTATGTACATATTGTATTCGAACAACCGACGATAAAATGATCAATGGCGAACATGTCCCTGGAGTGTAAGTGTACAAATGTTGTTGTTGTTGTTGTTGTTGTGTGTAAACAAGAAAACATGTGTTTTTACAGAATTTTGGAAGAAGATGATCAACATTCATCAATCTCGAAAAAGTTCGATCAGAAACGAATCAATCAAAGAGTAATTATACCGATAGTCGACATAGATAAATTCATCCACTTGTGTTTAGACTGAATTGACAAGACGTGCTGGAGATGCTCGAACTACTCGAACGCCTCTTCGAACGGATCAGTCTCATCCAGATGTAATCGGAGGTAAAGGTCCTATTTAACCTGTAGTTGACAGCCATGAACAAAGATTTGTGAAAGTGCTGATTGTCTTCATGTTAATTCTTTTCTAGGATTTGTAAACACTTCATTTTATCCCGATAATGATGAAGGAAACTCATTTAATGGTTCAGTACCAATATCAACTCAACCATTGCATCCGATACGCTGGAAAAACAATAACTCAGTAATGCATTTTTATTCTTTTACGAAAAAAAGTATTGATATTTCTCATTGTTAGAGAGACAGTCCGAATGATTCTCGACCATCTACTAGTATGTCGATACAAACGAGAACAATCAATGCTTCGAAAGGTCCAATCCAACTTCTGAATGACGCGACTACAACGCATAGTACTGATGATGGTCTTGGTAGAACTGGTATGTAGAATAGTTCGGAAGTGAATGTGCTTTTAATATTGTTGCATAATTATTTGGACGAAAAAGTCATGTGCTTTTGTCTGTATACGCAGAATACAATTCCCTAACTGTCAATAATGACGAGCATCCACGTTCTGCGAAACAAGCTCGTCGTCAACAGCGTCGTGCTCGTAACAAACGAAATGCTTCTCCATCTCTGTCGCTTGATGTTCTCGATCGTAGCGATGATGTTGTATCTCAGACTGAAAACGAACCGGTATCTAACAATTCTCTTCGTCGTACTTCAGATTCAGATCTTGAAACTGAAACAACAGCTATCCGACCATGGACATCACATTCACACCAGGATAATGAAACGCCAATGCCTAATTCGGAAGATGCTAATAATAATGATGATAATAATCAAAATTCTCCGGCATTAGCACTGGCTTTACGATCTCTATTTGAAATGGTTAACGAAGATTTAGATAAATTTGTTTATACACCAGCACCAAACGGTATCGGTGATGTTCAATGTCGTATTACGCGAGATAAACGAGGCATGGAAAAGGGTCTTTTCCCAACGTATTACATGCACATTGAACGACCCGGTGATAGTAAAAAGGTATGTACGAATCGGCAAATTAAGCAAGCAAAAGATGAAGTTGAATTTAGTTCTTCGTTTTGGCGGGACGGAAGCGGCGGCGTAGTGCAACATCAAACTATTTAATTTCAACTGACGCAACAGATCTATCACGTGATGGCGAGAGATTCATTGGCAAATTGAGGTAGATACAAACATTCATGAAAAAGTAATCGTGTATTATACTACTTCTCTTTCAGAGCAAATATGTTGGGCACACATTTCACTGTGTATGATCAAGGCTCTAATCCGAAGAAGAATATGTAAATAAAATTTCGATTACTGAAAGAAAATGCTTGTTGACCATTGCTTGTTTAGTCCGGTTGATCAACAAAGAAGAGAATTAGCAGCGATTGCTTACGTAAGAAATATTAAGGGCAAAAATAGTCTCAGTCATTACATTTGATTATATTTAGGAAACGAACATTCTTGGTTTTAAAGGTCCACGAAAAATGACAATCATCATTCCCGGTATGAGTAGTGATCATCATCGAGTAGAAGTCCGACCGAAAAATGTAAGAAAACGATGGAATTCATCAGCAACAGATACTTATTCATCTTTTCAAAGGAATCGGAAAGCTTAATCGAACGATGGAAACATAATGACATGACTAATCTACTGGAATTACATAACAAAGCACCTGTTTGGAATGAAGGTAAGACCAACACGAGGAAATTTTCCATGTAAATCATTTCTTTCTTGTGATTAAGAAACTCAATCATATGTACTTAATTTTCACGGTCGTGTTACACAAGCGTCAGTGAAAAACTTTCAAGTTGTACATGATGACGATCGTAAGTCTCCTTTGCATTACAAACTAGAAGATAAAAAGCATTCTTACTTCCTAGCTGAATATGTATGCATGCAATTCGGACGAGTTAGCGATGGTAAGTTAATGACTATTCTACTTGAAACATCGATACGCAACACAAGTACTTTTAGTTAAAGACGATATGATAGCAAGACACTAATTATGTATGATAGAGTGCATAGGAAATGAGGACCAAGTAGATCGTTAGCATATCTTATTTGAGAGAAGAGTTTTTACAATTTCTTTATATTCGAACATGTTTAGATGTTTTCACTTGTGATTACAAATATCCGCTATGTGCTGTTCAAGCGTTTGGCATTGCATTATCATCGTTCGATGGTAAACTAGCTTGTGAATGATCTGCTCATCTCATCTTCAAGTCGTACGCATTGTTTCTCTTTATACTTCTCGAAATATTGGGCTTGGACATTCGCACACATGTATTTGTTTATTATTTCTCTTGTTTATTGTTCTCTATTTATATCTCTCTTCATGCGAATATTGCTGTGCACGCTTTTAAAATAAAAATAATAATAAAAATAAAGTTTAATTGCATAGATGAGCACGACACAGGCAAATGTACTTCTCTGTTATTGTCTGAGAACGTTTTCTTCACCAATGAAGATGTTCCGTTCTGTTTTCCCTTCTTTTCTCCGCCGTCATTTCACGATTCGTCTTGTCAGTAGAATAATTATAGAGGGCTAAGCAAAGAAGAGCTGAATCATCGAATGTCTCCGTTTTCTCTTTTCTTGTTGATGGAAAACGAGGAAAAACTCACAATATAAAACTCTAAGGAAAACAGCCAGTTGTCGACTTTTCTTTGAACCCGTAGAACGATGGGAGATTTCTGTGCCAAAATACTTTTATTAATTCTGAGCGTCTTTATTCCACCGGTAGCCGTATGGATTGCCCGGAATAAAGTCTGTAGCTGTACTGTGTCTGTCAATATTCTGTTGACATTGCTCGCTTGGGTACGTATCTTGTTTTTCTAAGAAAAAAAATACAAAATAAATCAACAACTCATTTCTTTTCAAGGTTCCCGGAGTGATTCATGCGTGGTGTGTTATATGTTGTTGTGATAATCTGGATGGTTAATATTGAAGAGACGAAGTCAGCATTGCAACTTTGTGTTCATTTTTTTGCTTTTGTGCTCAGTAGATGTGTCTATGAAATAAAATCTCTTATTCTAATTGTGATTTGTCGACTAAAGGCATGACTGATGAGATTAATAGTTCCTTCGAAATTGATGAATATTGATTATTATATTAAACTATCTGCACAAAGTACAAAACAAAAAAAAAAGAGTATTTATAGATAGGTTGAAGTTGAATGACTACGTTGTCTTTGGAAAATCTTGTTTTTCTTCTTATCTTTTTTCTGACTTTTACCATTGGAATTTTCTTGTTTCGTGAGTGCATGTTCTTGCTTAATTTTGTCGAATCTCATTAAGATCTCTTTACATATGTCAACATTTAAGCCTGATTCATACGAAGCTCGATTTTCAGGCGAGGTACCATCGTAATCTACTGAGGAATGATCCGACGAGCGTCGACTTTCACTGGTATTCATTACCGACACTTGCCAATCAGGATGACTGCTACTACGACGATGTGTCACATTCTTCGCTCCAGCATAAACACCTCGACTTAACCAAGTGATTGATGCAAGCGTACCGGCAATGGGTTTGATCACAGCATTCGGTAGAGCAACACATGCACCTCGCGCACCACCAGCAAGTCCATCACGTTGAAAACCAGCTCGAGGTTTACTCACCAAACCAGTGACACCATCTTTAAGTCCATACCAAACAGCTTGTCCAGCAGCTTTTGCGCCGGATTGAAAATCACCGACCTCAGGCCGCCTACGTTGATCAGTATCCGAATACGGATCGTATAATTTTGGCAAACGTTCCAATGCATCGGTAACATCACCATAGAATGAAAGACAACCAATTGAAGCATGTCCTATACCTTTACCTACACCTTTGACTAGACACCCGGCACCATCGCGTGCACCGATGAAGATGTTGTTTGAGTTTATTGCACGTTTGACATCTTTAGGTGTATCGATAAATAGATAGTTGAATGCTTTTTGACCATGTTTGATGATTCCGTGAGTGGGTAAATGAGGACGGGCATCGTCGGATAATTTGTTCCAACTACAAGTTGAGTGCACACTCAATTGTGATTCTTCGATTGCTCCAGCAGCGACAAGTACTTGTGCAACGGGACGTGAAATGCGCAGATCATAATCCTTCAAATAAAAACAAGCAGCAAATGACGGCTCAAGGTCACTACGCATCTTTTTTAATGGCAAATTTGAATGAAAAAAATCGACAGCTACTTGGCAACCATTCTCATGTGCGAACGCCACCCGTAGTTTTTCTGCAGCTTCACGTGCGTCTGCTTGATGTACGATCTTAAATGCTACAGTCAGTTCTTCGGTATTTAAACGTTTACCGGGAATAGGCGGAGGACCAGCACCACTTTTCCAAATCATTGTTCCCCAAAAGAATTGGTCACCAAAAAATGGAACTATAATCGTCGGCTTACCAGCACGAAGGCCTGCAGCAGTTGTACCAGCACCACCGTGATGACATACCGCAGATACTAGAACAAAGAACAATATATATCTCTTCATGTTCTTCCTATAGTCAATCAGTAAGAAATTTTACCATGTTGAAACAACCAGTCGTGTGGACAATTATCAATTTTGAAAACATTTGCTGGTAATTGATCATCTTCTTTGGCTAGACCAGAGAGTAAAGCTCGGTAACCGGTTGCCTCCAGTGATTCTAATACGATTTGTAAAATTCGACGTGGATCATGACCTGTAATTGAACCAAAACCAATGTAGATTGGCGGAGGACCGGCTTTGAGAAATTGTACGAGAGCTTCGGCTGGTTGATAATTTGTTGCTAGATCGAGAAAGAAAAATCCGGAAACATTGATATACTCTGGCCAATCGAACGGTTTCGCAACTAACGATGGCGACCAACAATAAGTATGTGGAACACGTTCATCAATCATCGCACGAACTGCATCACGAGTATGCAATGGGGCAAGGCGAAGTGTTTTCTCACGAAATTCATTGATAATATCGCGCATTCCCGACCACGTCTAGAAGGACATATATCTGTCTATAAATTCTTTGTCGTCAAATTCTTGACTTACCAACATTTCAATAACACTGTACGATAGTAGGTTAATTCGATCCGTCGGTCCAATGTCATAATTAACTCGGCAGAACGGATGTGCAAATTGAGTGGTTGGTGACCACGGCATAGTAAACATGATGTGGAGTGGAATTTGTAATCTTTGTGCGCAATGTATATGCCCATACGACGGAGGATTCGCAATGATCGCTTCAGCTACAAAGGAAACACCTGTTTCATCATCATCTTCTATACACGCTTTCCATGTTGACCCAAGGATGTCGGCAATTATACGACGACTTTTGCCAACATCACCAGCGACGATACTGCTTACTGATGGTAGGATGCCAGCGTTCTTAACCATGAATGACATTAGGTCGGCCGGATCTCCTGCTAACGGATAGAATTCGATTCCATTTTCACGAACGAATTTTCGAAATGTTTCATGTGTAGCAAGTCGCACACGATGACCGCAGGCAAGTAGTGTTTTCGCCAAAGCAATAAATGGCTGAACATCACCACGAGTACCGACAATAAGTATGACGATAGCAAGACGTGGTACATGACCGATATCTAATGCAACTTTCGCCTCGTTGATTTCACCATCTGAAACTTGAACCCAATCGGAATCTTCTTCTTCTTCTTCTGTTCGAGATTTTTGCAATGAATCAATGAAAACATCAATTATTCCGTCAGAATCATTAAAACTGGCCGTATAATCAAGTGTACGTCGCGCTCGTTTCGAGTTGTTCTCTTTGTAATCATCATAGTTAACTTGACCGATGGATACCTTTGGCATCAGAATACGCGCATACAATGAAAGTGGATACCCATGCGTCGAACAAATAACAATGACATTATCCGAATTAGTCAATAGATATGGCGTAATCTCGATCTGTTGTTTCGGAAGTGATCCAGTATATAAGTGAATTTGATTCAACCATAGAATCAATCCAGATATTTTTACGTGTTTCGATGGCTCCTTTTCAGTTTCTGTCGCAGTAAAATTCAGGTAAATATGCTGCTGATTAGTCTCTGGTTTATGTCTCCAATCGAATCGTTTACGATACCAGTACGTTGATGATTCATTTATAGTGTCATGATGAGGTAATTGAATTGTATTCCAATGGTTATCGTTATAATCGATAGGAACGTAATCGTTATCAGGCGATTGATTAATTAACTGTCTGACCTTCCAATCACGATCAAAATGTACAACCACATTCGAATCTTTATCATCGGTATTAATAATCGTCGACATTTTTGTTTTCCTTCTAGAAGGACATGTGTTACATTTATATGGAATTGAAATAGAAGAAAACGAAAGAAACTTTGGATTATATTACGAACTAAAGAACGAAAAACAGTTTTTCTCTTTTTCTTTCGAATCAATTTAAACCTTTCGTCCTATCATTTTCTTCGTCTATTAGTATATAAAGTACTGGATGACAACATATGACTATTTGAAAGAAAAAAAAAAGATTAATATTTTTATCTCTTGTGTACTTTTTGATAAGAATTATCTTTTATACCGATGAGATTCTCAATTCTATCATTTAGAATTTTATTTGCTTTGTAAAGATGAAATCCTTAATCAATCTTTGAATCTACATGCCTGGCAAGCGTACAAAAAGTAATATCAGTGGAAGGAATTAGACTTGTCATGTCGTAACGCTCACGCTATTGTATTCTCTTTGAATAACAAATATTAACATTAAGCAGGATATTGATGATAATGCGATTCTATGCGCGAAGAGTATATACACATCTATTAAAAGAATAGTAGATGGAAAACAACACGCGGCTTATATTTCTGATGTTCGGTGCCATAACGTTAAGTTAATGAACTAAAATTTTCCATCGACTCGGCTCATTGGGTTTATTTCCTACTGACGATGTGTAGTGGCCCATTGATGTTAATATAACACATGAGAGTTCATATGTATCATGCCACGGAGTACAGAAGAAAACAGAGTAACGTTTATTTAGTATAATATATCAGCATATCAAGAAAATATGTCAAGTACGCATATACAAATGCACGGTAAAGTGTAGGGATATATTCATAAGAATAACAAGAAGAGAAAAAATAACATGAAATAAGTTCTTCAGACAGGAGTGGGGCAAAGCATTAGTCACAACTGCAGCTTTTGTAAGTATACTAGTGCATTAGAAATGACAAATTTATGTTTCTGAGCTTGGATAAGACGACTTTTAGTCATGTATTCATGTTTTTTGGTAGGTCAAAACCCGAGACAAGCAGTTAGACAGGAACATCCGAAGGGTAGCATCAATTGAAGGTGTCTTTTCCACCCTCATACTAAGTACATAGATTCTTTTACAATGGAGTAAACTATTATTCACTATAATAATAGCAGAAAGTGTCTTCTTCAACTATCTTTTATGTTCTTTAAAATAGAGTTCAAATATTCATGAGCGCATATGATATGAAGAAGTATTCTTTTTTGTTGAAAACGAATTTTTTGCTAATCAAGTTCATCAGGTAAAAATAGTTCTACTTATCTATTCACCGAAAGAAGTTAAATCGAAATGCAACACGTTCATACTGACATTTTTTCATTAAAATCTGCGCACAAAAACGTGATACACTGTCACATGACAAATTCTTTTAAGCAATTATCGCATCAGGAAACGAGTATGGAAGGTATAAACCTTTTTTCAATGTTTTAATTTGACAGAAAGTCATATTTCTCATTTGGAAAAGTATATTCAAGCACTTAAAATTTTCCCTCATTACAGCATTTCTCGGCAACAAGAATTGAGGTTTAAATTAATCTATTTACATGCCACAGCATAGGAAAACATAATTTAAGTAATTAGCTAAACTAAAAAATGAAACGACGTTACTTTTCTCTAAGCACATTGCTTATGAGCTTATCAGCCTGTTAAATAACCACAATACACAAGTAGAATGAATAGTTACCAACTGCAGAGGTTTTATTAACAGAGAACATGCTCACATGGTTTTCTTCTCTTATGTTGAAAGTACCCGAAAAGCTTCTTTTTTTTAGAATATAAATATTTAGTGTTTTCACGAAATTCCACCGATACGTAGTTCCTTTTACTACAGTATATCAGTCTATGTACGATATTGATACAATGGAAGTCCGAAATAACTATTATTATTCTGTAATTATTTATAAAAATAGACGAGCTAAAACACATTCTCGTTCGTCATCTTATTAGTGTTCAATAAATTTATATGTTGTGAAGACGTGCTTGCACACTTGCTGTTCAAAGATTATGAAAAATTGACGGAAAACTCATCAGTTTGTACACGTGTTGATTTTGGTTAATCATTAAGTAATGGAGGCGGCCTTCACTTTCATTCTTTTGAGATCAAAGTTAGAAAAATGATTAATTCCCTGTCGCATAATCTGCGCTGTGTTAATATTGACTGAGCGCATTTATTGACATTTAAGCGTAGTAGATGAGAAACTCTGCTCGTCATCAATTAATAAATGAGAATCTATAGAGCAAACGCGTGGGCCTATCTACAACTTGTCGGAATTTAACCAATTATTGAGAACAAAATAGAGCACGTTGAATATTTTCTAAAGAAAGAAAACGTCGTTGGAAATAAGTGGTTCATTGTCAGGAATTTAACCTGCTCATCAGGTGTTTTTTATCAGGTATTTTGCAGTAACTATAAATTATTATTAAAAAATAATGATTCTTTGTTGAAAACAGCACAGGATTCAAACGTGTTTTTTTTTCTTCTAATTTCCTATGCTGACATTCCGTAGATGACTATTGAAGCGAAAAGCTAATTAGTTGGTAGGTTAACTTCTCTAAATTAGATATAAGAACGTTAATTTCTAATCCGAATTCAATGGTAAACATCCTGTTATTGTTGAAAGTTTGCAGCAAACAACTTTGTTTCAGACATTTTACTCGAATGGAAAGCGTAAGACTTTATCTAAGATCCCTTTCATTCACTAAACTTGAAATCAACCTCCTGGCAGTCTTCAGTAAAGAAATAATTGACGCATATTTGTATTCGAACATGCTTCATTACATGGAATCAATAGAAATCTTTTCTGCAATGAAAATGTTCTGAACGAAACGTCTGCAAATGATGTGATTAACATATTAGAAGACGTTGTTTATTTGACTGGGTATTTTTCATTTCCGTTCTAGTTTATCTCTATGCAAAGAACAGTAATCACCAACTGTCATCATTAGTCGTGTTTGTTTTTATTCATGATCATGTGAAACAGATTAATCATCTTAAATAGAAGAAAATAAGACTTCAGACCCAACGTCATACTTTACTGAATGAATCTACTTTTGAATAGTTTTCTATTTATACGTGTACGACTGATGCTTATTTGAGACTAAATTCAATCAAGCGGATACCCTTAATTAGATTTCGGGGCGAATAATTGACCTAAACGTGATCTTTCGAGAATTAGGAAAACGAGATGTTCTATTTCTTTTATTCATCGATCTTATCAGAAATTCATAATTATCTTCGATGGCGTCATACGAGACGCAATATTTAATTCCTGCTTGCATCTGTTGCGACCATAAGTGCCGTCTGAAAAATGAAAACCTGTCGAGTTTTATTTTTATCTTATACGAACAAAAAAATCGGCTAATTTTCTACTTTTTGCCTAAGTTACTATACGATACGACGATGTTTTCGAAGTTTTATATTTAGAAACAAAAGATATTCGTGGATTAGTATTGATAATCAATGAAGACATGCACGCATATGTCAATAGGGTCTAGTAGTGCCGTCAGTTTCTTTGAAATTCTCAGGCGTGTATTAAAAATGCGGCTCATTTCTTTGCGATTATCTTCAGTTAATTTCAGAAGCTGAAATCTTCTTCTTAAAGCACATGAAATCGCTCAAGACTCTTTCTTTCTTTCTTTCTCTCTCTCTCTCTCTTACAAAAGAATCATTGAAACCTAAATAGAATATTATCATTTCCTAAAGAAACGCAGAAAAGAACGCAATAAAAGACAAGAATTTCTTTTCTTTCTTTCTTTCTTTTTTTCATTATCATTTTATACTTCTCGTTAATATTCTTAGCACAAAGACTTCATCATGGAATACCTTACTAAAACTATTGATTGGATTTGCGTTATTTTGTTTACCTTGGGCTTCATCGGCAATCTACTCGGTCTAGTCGTATTTTCGTCGCGTCGTTTTCGGTGTTGTTCGACGTATGTCATATTAGCACTGTCATCATTTGCAATCAACTTAGTATGTATCGTACGTTACTCACTGCTGCTTCATTCGACAGCTCGACTTTGGTTGACAGTCAACGTTGTCGATAGTTATTGGTTAGCATGTAAATTCTTTCGCTTGTCTACATCATTTCGTGTTCTCTCTGCATGGGTGACGGTATTTTGGGTTATTGAAAGGTTTGTGTATGTGTCATCACGCCTGAATCTCTTACCAAATCCTGGTGAGAAGTTTCAATTCATTGAAAAGTACAAGTACCTGTGCATGACGTGTGCTTCATTCATGATGATAATCATCGTGTCAGGGCCGATAACTTATTTTTATGCACCATATCCGAGCGGGTAAAAAAGAGATAGAAACCTTTTTTCTTCGTTTCATTTCAGTGTATTCTTTGCTTTTTATTCTAGTCCAAATGTAACAGAGTCGTCAACAAAATGTACGTTAGATATGGAACATACTTCAATCAAATGGAAAAAATACTTCACCATTGATTCATTTGGTTGCAATTACCATACAATAAGATTCTTATTTTCAGAAATTATTCCGTCGATTCTTGTTGGACTGTTTAATATTTGTATCATTATCTGCATCCTACGCACGACTGCTCATGTTCGTCGACGACAAGAATTTCAGCATAATCAAATCTCCATGTCAATGGTAACAGGCACAACATCGAAATTATCTCCATCAAACATTTATGATTCTAATCAGCAACGTCATCCTGCGATGCGCCGTTGCTCATTCAAAGGCCCAGGAGCAACGATAGCTCCTATGACGAATGCACCTTTCGGAAAAATGTCCTGGATGAATATGATTTTAATTTTACACTCAATTCTGTTCTTTCTGTCATTCAGTGCTTCGTCGTTAGTTCATTTTTGGACATCCAACAAGGAACTTTCATACGCGACGAGTATTATTATACTAGCAAGTTGTTCATTAAATTTCTATGTATATTGTCTGAGTGGAGCGCACTTTCGTACGGAATTAAAACGTATCGCCAAACGTTATATTAGAAATTTACATAAGAAAATCCTTCGTCATTGCTATAAGCATCATCACCGCCGCCATTCAACTACACCAAACGGAAAAGAACAACTCTACTTTGAACTTCCACTCAAACAAGATCCGCTGCCAACACATCTGCGACAGTATCAAACTATCGAACGTATGCGATGATCATTTGTGAATATACTTTTTGCCTATCACATTGTAATTAAAATACGAAAACGAATCAGAAGATTCTGTTCGACATATTCTTCAAAGAGGATTTTCATACATTTTCCAGATAAGAGCATGCGATATTCCGTGATCTATTCTTCTTGTCTATCAACCTAAGACATGACACCTCTTGACGGAAGTCTTATTTTCTAGTAGGCATGATAACTGTTGGGGTTTGAAGAGGAAAGATCATGGTCGGATAACGGATATTTCCACCTAAATGAGTACAAAGCATTTTAGTCTGACAAGTGAAATGGTTTATCTGCGTTAAACATGTCTGCCGGCGATTTCCGTTTGGATAAATGTTTACGTACATGATAATATTTTGTAAATCCCAAACTTGCTGAACTACTGACGTAACAGCTTGTATAAGCAAATGATTATCTGTTAGAATGTGTTCTTATTGTAAAGAAATTTTATTTCAAAAACTCGAATGAAACTGTTTTATATCATTGAAAGACAGAAGTACATCACTGAAGAAGGTGAATATTTTATTGAATAATAACATATGTTGCAGCTGTTGCGACACCACAGTTGTTGTTTTTACGTGACATAAGTACATAACCATCGTTACCCCAATAAGTTGACCATGAATTCTTGACAAGCCAGTAGTCTTGACCAAATAATGTACCATAACCAACAGCAAGTACAGCATGGTCTAAAGCTTCGGGTGTATTTCCTAAAGAACAAAAATGAATTTAGCATTGTTAAGCGTTCGAGAAATGTCAGTCGTACCGCAATCAGGATCGTAGAAAACTGAAAACAAAGACAAAGAGTAGAGAAGATCGAATGTGTAGTTAAGAATTCTTACCTCCACTAGCATAAAACAAGAAACCCTTATGAGCAGCATCAATAGCTAAACGAGAAAAGACATTCCTGATTTCAATTGAAGACATATTGATATTCTAGCGTTTACCAACTGAAATTGGTCCTTTCGTCGCAATTGCAACTCGTAATGCTTCTTCATCACCTTCGGTAATGTTCACGTATCCAAGAATTTTCGCACCTTTGGTAGTATTGTCATGATGACAGAAACTATCTTCTTGTAAATATGGTCCATAAGCATCTTCTAAAGCGATGCCACCATGTTTCATAATATATTGATACGCACGGAAATCTTCGCCACCATCACAACCATTGTTACCAAAACCCCATGAACAATCGATTAAATCTAATAAATATCAACATAGAAAACGATGCTTCTTGTACTGTTTCCTCTGAAATATCTGTTCGTACCTTGTTCCGATAGACGAATGATTGTTCCATGCTAATGAATGGAAAGAGTTAAATTGTGTCTTTTTCAAATATCCGATTGAAAATAGTGTCGTATTTACTTTAACGAAATAGGCACCTTCGATTGTACCAGTTGTACCAAACGACCAGCATGAGCCACAGATACCTTGATCTTTAACAGGTGTTACAGCTCCCATGATACGCCAATCAATAGAGTCTGGAATAGCAACATTGCTCTTGGCGAATTCTTCTTTTGGAAATGGAAGACCACCATTGTAGCCTGGTGTATAACGACGACCACGAAGTGCACGTAACTCATCATCCTGAATGCAGAAAGGCTATTCTTTTTCATAAAGGTGCTTTATTTCGTATTTACTGTTCGATCAGCGAATTTGTTCAATTTCATTTTGTAAGGCAATGCTGCACGATTGCCTGTGTTGATGTAACGAACATTACTTCGGAAGATTTTCAAACGAAGACGATGTTCATGTTCACTTTCATATTTATGTCCATGTTTATTTTTGAATTGTTCAAATGACGATTCAAGATGTTCTTCACCATGACGATTGATATATTCACTCATAGGATTGAACAAAACACGTGGTGATGTATGTTCAAGACCAGGACCAGGGAAACCAGTGCAAGTTAATGCTGTAGGAAAACATCAATATATTATCGAAGTTAGTCTACTCTGAATACTTACAGTCAGTAATATGAAAAATACTGGGATCAATTGTATCTTCATCGTAATTGTAATAGTCAATGGTATATTTATCGAAATGTGAGCCAATCAACGAATCATAACCGAACATTTCATAGTGAACTGGATGTTTGGTAGCGGCATTGATATAATAGGTATAAGTAGACTTTTTATCTCCAACTTGATCGATACTTTGATAGACTTGGCATTTTATTCCACGCCATTCACCTGGACCTAAATTCTAGAATGAACCGTTTCTTTCTATGAAATCAAATCATAATATAACCCATTACTTCGAATGTTGTCCAGTCAGGAAGTGTGTGTTGGACATCAACTAAATCTTCTTTTGTGCCATTGGCTTGAAAACAGCTGATCTTATTTAAAACTTGTTCATCTAATTTAAAAACAAAATCCAAATGATATTGAAAGTTCACATGACGTTGCGGCTTACCAGACATCGGGACGATTTTGTAATTAGCACCAAAATCTGCACCGCCACGTCCTTTTCGTTGGACAGTTTTGGCTGCGCCTGAGAAAACAACACGTTTCTGTGTCATCATTGAAGATCACTGACAAGAATGTCACTTACCGCCATAGTAATCAATACGTGAAAATCCTGCTTGAACATCGATCCATGATTCGAATGGTTCATTGATTTCAGCATAAGGTAATTGAATAACACCACTAACATGGTATCGCGATGGGAGACCATCGTTAAGTACTGGACTTGCATGAATCGAAACGATCACAGCCAGTACTAAAGAAGAAAGAGCATCACTTTGCGTTCTAAAGAAATCAATTTTAAATTCAACACTTACAAGCTGAGAACAGCATTATGATTTGTCGCATCTTACTACTAATCTAGAAAGAAAGAAGCACGTAGATACAGTTCTCTATTGTTTTGTTAGTTTTTCGTCTGATTTCAAGTTATTTTATGTGCTAAAGTTCTTATCTCTTGTTGTATGACCTTGGCGAACAGCTTCATCATGATGATAACAAACATTGTTATCATAAATGTTATACAAAGTTTTATCGTACATTTTCATTACATCGAAAACTTCTAGAATGTTAAATCATCGACACCTTGTATAAATGTATGCTTCGGTCGAGTAAAGTCAGCTGATAGGTAAATGCATACGTAGATAAATGTGTCGAATGCTTTTGATTTTCATTCGCGAGTAACAAAACCAATCATCAAAAGAAAGAAAAATATGAGTAGATTTAATGTTAAATTCGAACTTCGACTAAATTGACAGTTGATTGTGCACTAAAACTTCTATGATCTACAACATGGATGACATTCAATTCTTTCTTCTAAAATGCTCTAATGAATAAGCACTTTTTCATTTCCTTCTTTCCATTACCAAAACAAGAAAGAATCTCGGTTACTACACAAGACCTCCATCCAATCTTGTATTGAGTCTAGTTGTTGTGTAACTCTCACACTATCAGTTTGATAAGCACTGTCTGTAATTGTATACTTTTTGAAAATAGATATTCTTGTCATTATACATACTATTCATATCGCTTTTAGTTTCATGTTAAATTAATCTGTGTTTTTTTTAAATTCATACAAAAATATAACCTTTCAGGGTCATAGTATGTTATTTCAAGATTCAGTCGATCAAGCATGATATAATCCAAAAATAAACTTTCTCTAGCAAAAACTAATAAATACTTTATTCATAAATTTCACTTGATATTTCTTAATACCGAGAAGTCGAAACGAATTGTCAACGTGTTTACAACTCAAACGATATTTAAAAATTCAACGAGTACTTATACAAAAAGAATATGCATGTTTCTCAATAAGCTGAAATAATTGTTCCAACATTTAAACCCACTAATTCATTGCTATTCACAAGTATCATCCGTACTTTACGCAACAGGATATGGATTTAATGAATAACTTACATAGATGATGTCGGATAGATGCGTGCTTATTTGGATATTTACAAAAAGTTCATATGGGCTTCCAATAGGTAGACGCGTGTTCGACTGAATATGCCGGTCGGAATCAGACTGCATGAAGTATTAAAGTTTAAAAGTTATTCTTTCTCGTAGAGAAAAACAGCCCACCATCTAATCCTACGTATCGTCGTTCTTCTACTCGAATATACTATCTTTATCTTGTGTCTCATATTCCGAAAACACTTTTTTCAGAATCAGTCATCATAATCATACTATACTTTTGAGTAGAAAGTAGTCCGAAGTCGTAGTGCGGTGGTTTTACAAGAGAAAGAAAGCATTGACTATGGTGAACTTCGACGATATATTTTCTTACCTTCGCATTATTCTCTTCGCACTAATCTTCTTTGTTGCACTAGTCTATGCTATTCCAATCATATGTATACCTCAATTTCATCATTCGAATGCAATTCTGACTCTTAACATATGTCTGGCAACAGCCTGTTGTTCTCTCTATTGGTTTCTTTTTTACATCATGTTGCTTGTACAACGTCAGAAAACATACAGGTTCATGGTTAATTCATGCGTATTTGTCTGCCTCTTTCCAACAATCTTAACATTAGCGGTACCTTTCAGTTTGATAACGGCGTCGATCAATCGTTTCTGTTGTGTTATGTATTACAATAAGACTACATATAAAAAGACACGATGGGTATTCGTTTGCATTTTAATTCAATGGATAGTCGCTACACTCTTTTCACTGCCGAGCTTGTTGGGCATTCAAACGGTAAGAGTTGATTTTACATAAGAGTTATCTTATTTTTCTATGTAGGGTTGCTCTCTTGCACGTTGGGTCGATACATATAAACTATTTGTTATCGTTGTTTTGCCATGCATCGTGTTTTTAATTACGAATAGTTTAATGTACCAAAAAGTTCGGTCATCTACACGTCATGTTCAACCATTAGCATCCGTTTCCCAACAGCAGTCTTCTAATGAGAAACAAACAAAAGTTAGTCGACGGGACATTCATTTACTAAGACATATGATTATTATGTTTTGCATTTTTCTCGGCGGATGGATCCCATTGTATGTTCTCCTTTCTGTTCAAAGTCAATTTACCGCGAATCCTGTTCTATTATCATGTTTGACTATTTGGTGTCAATTAGCCCTCCTGTCCGACATAATCGACCTTTTCTTGTACAATCATCAGCTGAGAAAATATCTGCAGATAATACTGTCGCGATGTAGCTATTAAGCATTTCATGTTGTTCTTCTTTTCAATAAATATCGTGTAAATTTGATCTTCTTTAATCTATATTTCGTACAATATATGTAACGCACGACTCGTAATGAAATACGTGTCATCGTAATTCCTATTTTCTTTCCACTTAATTTCTACATCTCACGTAGTCACTAGCAAAAAGCTAACTTTAACATAAATCTATCCTCTAGAATCTCTTCAATGGCTCACTTTGTGTTATTATCTAAATTGGAATTGTTAAGGAAACATGAGTACTGCAGTGCATATCCTCTGGACTATTCAAATAATCATTGCAGTACTGATTCTATGCTTAGCTCTATTGTATTCTATTCCAGTAATATTCATACGACGACTTCATAAAAATAATACTCTGCTGACATTGAATCTGTCTTTAATTACAGCTGCTTCTGTCTGTTATTGGATTCTCTACTTTGCAATGTCCGAACGAAAGTCAAATAGAATTATATCGAAACGAGTTTGTGCTTTTATCAATGTTATCCGAATGTTGGCCACTATCCAAGTGATATTTAGCATCATTACAGTTTCAATTCATCGCTGTTTTCTAATTATATTTCACACGAAAGTGTTCTTTAGATCGAAGCGATGGATTATCACTTGTCTGCTGGGACAATGGATCCTCGCATTGATCGTATCCTTATTAACATTACTTAGTTTCAACAGTCGACCGGTAAAAGATAGATTTTTCTTGACAAATATTTCATTTGTATGAAATTTAGAGGTGCACGGAAGCCTATTGGCTAGTTGTCTATCGACTAATAATGAATATGATCATTCCATTTATTTGCATTCTTGTAATTAATATTGCCATTATCCGTCATGTTCGGTTTTCATCACATCGTGTTCAACCCCAATTACAAACCGATCGAATCGTGCCGGTAAAAGAGCACAAGATAACTCGACGCGAGATTTACCTTCTCCGACATTTGCTTTTCATGTTTTGTGTATACATTGTTGGCTGGACACCACTTGGTCTCATTCCACTGATTACCTATGGGAAATACGTTCCTAAGACAATCTATTTTTCAGTGTCTATTGTGAGTGAGCTGTGTTTGTTATGTGTGGTTATTGATCTGTTCTTTTATAATCACGGTGTGAGAAAATATCTAATAAATTTACTTCTTCGTCGTGCACATTAATATGCTGTAAACATAGTCTGATCGCAGTTAAATGTAATAGCTTATCAACAGGGACCGAGAGAATCTTCAGTGGATTCGAATGGGTTAGTTGTTCGATTTCAGATTGAAGTTTAGAACGAAGTGTGGTCAGTTTTTCGATATCCAACTGTTGAGATGATCTGTAATATTCACATAATGTTAATAATTGTGCTGAGGATAAATAACATATGGAATTTCCTTGACATCGTTGATGCAGTTCGTCAATCATCATAAAATGCTTTTTCAATAGTCGACCAGTTATATCAATTAACTGTTCAGTTGTACATTTCGCGTACTTCGATGTTGATGATGAACTTCTCATTGGAGAATTACCGTTAGCAAGTAGTTGTAGTTCTTTAATCACTTTTCTTGTCCTTTCTATTGCCGATGTCGATTTTATTGCTATTAGATCATTGTTTAGAAGTTGGATGAATGTATACAATTCCTCTACTAGATTAAAACTCTGACAATGAGTTTTCAGATGCAGACAGGTTTTACGAATTTTCTCGATTTGATTTTGCAGCAGTTGTTCAAGTAAATCTTTCGTTTGTTGAATTGTTCTACACTTTTCTTCAGTCGAATCATTTGATAATGTCGGTATCGTGTATTTTAATGTTCGAGAAACCGGCTTAATTAAACGGCAATCGTGATAATGCATGTCGCTTGAACAATGTCCAACACATCGTGTACATCGTCCACTATTCATCACGGTACAACGTCGAAAAGCGTTCGCACCTATTTGTGTCGTTTCCATCAGCGAGCATCGTTCATGACAAACAGTATTGCATTGTAAACATAAAGTATTATGATATGGTGTAAAAACAATTTCATTGACCTGGCAAAGGAATAGTTCGTCTATACTTATTGCTTATCAAGCTCGGACTCACTTGAATAGTTTTTGTTTGTGTTGTTTGTTTTTGGAGATTTACTGAGTGAATACGAGAGGTTTCTTCTAATGTAATCAATTCATCTTCAATCGATTGCAATTCTATCATAGTCAGACGACTTTCATGGAGAATACTTCGAATCGTATCGCGATCACGTTGCATTTCGATCAAACATCGAGTAGCAATCGGTGTTAATAAAAGTAAGCATTTAATAAATTCATTCATTGTGTCGATACCTCGCGTCCAATCATATTCGAGAATATCGAGTGTTTGCCTTGACCATGCTTGAGGATCAGATGAAAATGCTGAATTTTGCATATAGAATCTTGGCACATGTTGAAAGAATTTCACTGTATCGAAATTAACTGTATGCGATGTACAATGAGTCAGAATGACGATTAGATTTTTATGAAATATATCGGGTATGTATTCATGAAAACGTTGAAGAATAGGTTTGATATTGATGGTTAATCGAGCTTGTGTTCCGTTCGCTACAAGTACTAACGCGGTCAGATGATCGAGTACTTTTAAGCATTGAAATATTTTCTCGAGATTATCATTCTCGACTGAATAGCCCGATGTATCATAGAAATTAAAATAAACTCCTTTCACTTTATACTGATATTTTCGACAATGATCTGTTGGATGGCATGCAATGTCATTTGTGCAATGTTCTGCTACATTCGATTGCAAATACTGTGTTGGAATAGAGACTTTGAGATTTGTTAAAGAACCATTATGAAATAAATTCGTTAGATAATTGATCAGTGTTGATTTACCTAAAATAAGCAAGCAGAATTGTTTGTGCTTTATTTTCAATAGGAAATCTTACCGGAGCCAGTCTCGCCAAAGATGATAACGTTGATTTCGGTAGAAGTTTTATCGACGCCAGAAGTCATGTCTGGCATATGACATTGAAAATAAGTTCGTTCGATCAATCGACTAACAGTTACAGTTACATTTCATTTTTTCCTCTTTCCAATGAAAAAGCGAAGCAATAAATCGTACAGAATTGAATAAGGTCGATGACCTTGTCTGCAAAACATGTGACTGATGACGGAGAAAGAGAGAATTGAATTGTATGTGCAAACGAATGCTTTCTCATGAGACCTTTGGAACATAAGTATTAAGTTGCATGATTCTCTACATGTTTAAACCATATCATTGACTTTTTTCCTTTGGATCAAATACAGAAGATGAAATGTACAAACATAAAGAGAGAAGGAAAAAAAATATCAAGAATGACACACGAAATCTATCGTGTAGTAGATCCATCAGTTTGATTTAGTTTGGGTAATCGAACCCAAAAGGAGTGTTGTTCATAGAATTCAATAACAAGATTAGGACATTTCACATTTACGATTCGTGCCGGAACAAGATCAGCTTCGTCCGAATGACGCCATTTGACTAGTAACATGAGTTCACCAGCTGAGTCGGTTGCACCTAACACTTTTTCGGCTTCAAAGCCTCGATCAAAACCACTGGGCGTGTTTGTAGATTGAAAACCTGGCCGTTTTTTCATACCACTATTCATTAATTCGTCCTAAGAAAAAATATTCATCGTTCAAGGAAAAGAAGCACAACGCTATGTAATGTCTCCTTACATTTCGACGTTTACTAGGCGATATATTATTATTATTATTATTATTCAATGGTGGTCTTTGTCCTGAATTACCTAATTTGTGTTGCTGTTGTTTGTTATACGCTTCGTACTCAGCAAGTAATTCCGATTCTTGTTCGCCTTCGATATTACTTGCTAGTCAAATAGAAAAACATACAAAATCGTTCGTGTTTAAATTTAGAATGACTTACAGGGCTCCCACGTATTTTGACTGTCGGGGTAACCTCGCCATTTAATGAGATATTCCAATCGATCGTTACGATAGCGTTTGTCAACAATACGTTCTATTTCGAAACGTTCACTACCTTCATCAGCCATATTTTACAATCTAAATATATGGAACAGATTAAGTCGAGAGAGACATTTCAAATGACTATTTCAACGTCTGCCTTTATACTCCAAAGTATCATTCGATCCTTGTTTATTAGTTTAATATTATTTTCCCTTAAAAATTGATTACAATTTCGATAATATACATGCATTTTTCTCCTCTGAAGTAGAACAAAGAATGACATATGCATACAACGTTTTTGTATTGGACGAACATGTGATAACCAATAGAAAGAAAGGTAAAGATAGAGGGATAATCATACGATGAATGAAAAATGTGCAAAATCATAGAACGAGTTTGAAACTTCATTATTGCTGTGACTAGGTATACTCTCTATTTGGCGCTCAAACAACAGATGGCAAATCCTTCAAATTCGATCGCTAGAGTTACTCAAGAAAATGATGGTGTCCATTCATCGCCAGCTGAAGTATCTATTTATTTCTAATTTCGGGTACTAATGTCGAAATTGTTTCGTCTAGTTTGTTGATACACCATCGAGTAAACCATACAAAGCTCTGCAAACGTTACAAAATGCTCAAATCGGCGTTCGATTGTCGAATCGACTATTGATACAAGCTGTTGATGAATACCTTAGATATCTACAGAATGAAAAAAAAGAAGTTCGTCATACATGTACATATATTGACGATAGAGAACTTCATTTTTGTAGCAGTATGTAAAAAGCAATGAATTTTCCAACGGAATCGACGAATTAAAAACAAGATGTACTCCGCTATCGTTGACGACAGAAACTTCACTCGGACAAACAGTAGAAGATATGTACGTATTCATTCAATTGTGATGAGCTTGCTGACTAAAACGATTTCTCGTCAGGGTAACGTTTGAATTCGTTGAAAAAGTTCGCAAATCGTTTACTGAAGCTGACACGGACAATACCGGTTACTTAGACGTGAGTGAATTCACGGCATTCATGCGGCAAACATATTCAGACATGACTGATCGTGAAGCACAAATCATCTTTATGAAAGTACGAGTTTTCTCTAACGCAAACTAATCAATGGAATTCTTTTCGTTTTATCTAATTAGATAGGTAGATACAAACTTTCGTTGTGCATGAATTTTCAACACGATCAATCCTTGGTTAGATACGAACTGTGATGGTGAAGTGGATCTTTCGGAATACTTGACTTATATCTTATTTGAACATCAAGAAAGAGAGATTATGTACGATATGTCCAAACCAATCCCGTATCCAACGAATCCTAGAGAATTTTCCTTGAGAAATCTCTCGCTTGATCTCTACGTTGACGTAAAATAGATTTGATACTGGACTTTCAAACTTGTTACTTGTCTTTTTTTTTCAAATTAGTTCCAATTCTTTCCAGGACTTTCACGAGCTGGTGTTGCTCTGGATGAAATTGATTATACATACGGACGATGCATATCGATAACGCGAAATGGTCTTGTTTCACATTGGTCGACTTCGCTAAAACTTATCCGAGAGTCGACTATCCAATCAAATCAGCAAAAGAAACAGTAAGAACACATCAAAATCAAACTTCATTCGAGTATTCAATCTTTCGATTAGAACTTTACCATTATGGATCACCTGTATGTGTGTCCTACCGGATATGAATTATTTTGTTATTGCAACAACAGAGCGCAATGTGATCTTTTATGACGTCAATTCGCATCTATATACTGGTTCAATTATGATCAATTATTTTCCAGCGAGTTTAACAACGATATCCTACCGGATGAATATCAAAGACAGTTTTCAATCAGCACTATTTTGTGGAGATTCATTAGGGAACTTATTTGTTTTCCAAGCGAAAGATCAGCATAAACCAATGTTTCATATATCCGATCGAACGTATCAGATGCAAACAGGATCGATGAGATACTTTTCATTTCCGCGTGTGGTTAATAACGAATATCTAACTGTGTCAGTGATAAACTTTTGTAATCTACATTATGATTGGATTGTTCAAGTGAAATGGATTTCCGATTTGGATTTATTTGTGTCATGTGCATTGACATCGAGAAGAAGTTTATACATTGGAGATTTACATAAGAAAACGGAGAAATACGCAATGGCAAAGAAAGGATTTGGGGCGTTCGATTATTGCACGGTAAGGAGTTGTTCCACACGAAATGTTTACTTCGGCTTTTTGTTCAATGGTAAAGGGATATCGGTCGATCGTCACAGGTGGTAACGATGGTGTTATTCGTTTTTGGGATCCATTCGTGACAGAGAGAGCAGCTGCAATCTTACGTGGGCATTATTCTTCGATTACACACCTAGTTGTTGACAATCAGGATGCACACGTTATCAGTATCGATAAGGGAAAAAGTGAGCTATTCTTCTTTTTCTGTGTTATACTCATCAAACACTATTGAAATCACTTAGACATCATCGTTTGGGATATTCAAACATTGAGAATGATTCAACGTATATCTCACACAAACCTCGAGCTACCAAGTCAAGATTTAACTGTGTGTTATCTGAATCCTACTCAGCAAAATTTAATCATCGGCAACAAAAAACTCCTATCACTATCACATACGAACGAGTCCTACGCTCACAATGAACGAACATCACATCTATATGCAATCACACAAGTCCTATACAATTCGTTATTTGATGTACTTATTTCCGCAGACGAACATTCAACTATAAATATATGGAATGTTGTTACCGGTGAAAAGATTATGCATATTTTAAATGCACATGTGACACAATACGATGAGTACAATGAGCATGCAATCGAAATAACAGCAATGTGTTTCGATGAAGCAAAACGTCGTCTGATCACAGGTGCGCATGATGGTTCGCTGGCATTATGGAACTTTAACAATGGTCACAATCTTTACCGAATTAATTCGAATGGTGTTCATGCAAAAGAAATTACAGCCTTATTACATGAAAATGAAAGATTATTTGTAGCAGGATGGTCAAAACGTATACGAGTTTTTCACCTAGGAAAATCTGTTGTTATTCGACAAGGTTTGCTTATCGATTTTTCCCTACGATGTTATTTTTTTCAATATCAATAGTGGATGAGTTTCGTTCATTACATACCGATGATATTCTATCGATGAGTATAGTCATGAACATTCTTGCTACGGGTAATAACTGTATTTTCATTTACCGATTGTCTTTATTCAAACATGCAGCTAGTTATGATGGTGATATTATACTTTGGACAATTGAAACAGGAATGCCCTTTATGAGGCTGAATGCTTCGGAAGATGTCAAACCAAAACTGATATCACTTTCTTGGTTGTACAAACAGACGGTAAGTCTGAGCAAAACGCAAGCTTTATCTTTATTTGTTGTTAAACATAGACAAAGGGAGCGATTCAAGCAGTGTTTCCGAAGTATTTCTCACGTCAACGAACTCGACGGTTAAAGAGACGTCACGCCGATAATACTGAACGGTGACTGCATTTCAATTCCAAAAAAGCACGATTGAAATATTTCTTATATATAGAATTCGTCAGTCATTGCTCACCCGTCTTCGATCCAACTATGAGACATCAATTGAAAATTTCTTGTTGGTTATCTATTTCGTCATTTTACTTTGTATTTAATAGTATCCTAGGAAACCGAATCTCAACCTTCAATCACAGTCATCAACGATCTCGTCAGATTATCATCTAGATCAGTTACTTTTTCTTCATACACGAGAGATCAGCCCATTGACTGCAACTCTCATAACAACAGGTAGTATGGGTTGGGTTTGGTGGTGGTCTATTCATGTGATTGGAAGCTTAATTGCTGTATTCAATGGTGCAAGGAGACCTCAAGGTTAGCTTCCAAAAGCTAACTTCTTGTAAACAATTCGGTATTTTTTAGAACACGTTCTAGCCGTATGTTTGGACGAGAAATGTAATATTTTATTCACATGTATGCAGCACAGAGGATCTACTTAGGAAGTCGTGAATTTGAGTATGTATATCATTTAGGTGACACAGCTGGATATGTTGCACTTTGGTTTATTGGTGATTATGCTTGTAAACCATTGGATTCCAAAGAAAAACAATCGAAGCTATTGGAAGATAAAAGTCGGATATTAACAAAATTCTCCTCGAGCAAACATCCCACCACTATAGGTTCGTAGAACGACACTATCACAATCCATTAGCATTGCTTTCGTATAGATATCCAAGAGATGAAAAATCAATCCGAACAAAAACTACGTGATCATATGGGAACACCACGAATAGCAGCACTCAATCAAGATAGCGCTAGTTTTTTAATGAGCACTGTCGTTTATCCTCAACTATTGACCGCCTATCGCGCACACCTTCGACCTATTACATCGATCTGTTATGCCAATGACCGTGAAATTGTCATCACTAGTTCGATTGATTGTACGATACGATTGTTTACTCTCACCGGTAGATATATTGGCTTTATGGGTCAATCAGTATCTTGGGGACCGCTGAGTTCGACAATTAGTTTGAAAGAGTAAATCCCTTTTTATATTGAAAATAATCCATACAATGGATGAGAATCATATTCTAGTTTACCGAAACGACTACCGGAAGACATACGTCGAAAAGGCTCGGCGGCAACACTCGAAACTCTTCGTGGGGATATTGGAAAACGATGGAAACTCTTAAAACATACAGTTGTAGCATGGACTTCATTGCCCATATTTCAATATTTTTGTAAGTTCTGTTTCATTGCATTGCTTATGACTCATTCAAGAAATTCAGATCACAATAACCGACCTGAAATTCACCAGTTAACGAATCCAAGTCAAGAAGTACCAAATCCATCCAATGAATTCGCAGATTCTGTCAAACTGTCAGCACAAAAACAAGAAACGACCGTCACGAAAGAATGGACGCGGCGTCGCGAACGTATACATCGACTTATTGGCTTAGATCGTTTGGATGCTGTTCAAATAACTAAGAAACCCTCGATTGAATCAATGTTAAAACTACAACGCGATAATTTTGGTGTGACAATGCCTGTTCTAGGCCAATTCACACGAAACTATATGCATCATCGACCGAGGTCCGACTTCGAACGCGTTAAAATTTATGGCGGAAAAGTATGCAAACCTTTTGAATTATGTAAACAAATTGCACAAATATCTATCCTTTCAGGCAATTATTTATTCTCTTTTACCACTAGCAGTGTCATCCGATGTTCTTCCAGAAATGGCATTAGGTGTCAATGACACTCAAAACAAGCTATCAACAGAATATTTCGATATAGATATACGTCAATTAGAAGAAAAGAAAGAAGGAGAGAAAAGTTTAATGGATGATCTAAACGATAAACTATTTCGACTGAAGAAAAAACAAATCTGTTCATCACAAAAAAACAATCTCTTATAACACAAGCGTTTTGATATTTTTGTCTAGGTAATATTAGTACATCTCTTCGTGAATAATCGTCATGAGATGTTGACTAAACGTTCAAGAACGATCAATTACAAACATGAAAACAGTCCTCACACACACACACACATACACCTTTGTTCATGTCATAGGTAATTTGTCAATAAAGAATAACTTCTCATCTTTCATGGCAATTCATCTATGTTTCAATACGTGTGTAAATATCCATAGCAAAGTGCTTGAATGTCATTCGCACATATTGACATATTCACATTGGTTCGATGCTTTTCCCACAACGAAAGAGAAGGGGAGAGAGAGAGAATTGTCAATTGATATTCACACAGTATGTGTGTGTGTGCATAAGCTACTTGATATCGTGGGAGAGAAAGAAGGAAAGAGAGAAAGAGACACATATATATATAAATGAAGAACAGAAACGAGTGAACAATTCATTTGCACGTTGAACTAAAATAAACGATGGTGTTTATTCTTCAAAATATGTTTTTGATCACTGTTCCAGTGTCGACTTTATTAACAACTGTTGCAATGCTATTACCTTATTGGTGGTCATCAGAGACACTACAAGTTGGTCTATGGAGAGCTCGATCAACTTCCTCGTCATGGTTACTTGTTGAACCACAGCTTGAAACGGCGGAAGGTAAAAATTCTATATTGCTCGTCGATGAACTGAATATTCCAAATGCATTTTCTTCTAGGGCGCGTTTTATTTCTTCTACAAATTCTCTCGTTGGCATCCGTTTTACTAGCCGATATCAGCGGTATCATATGGTTTGTCATTCTCGTTCGTCGTTATTCATCATCATTATCCTTCGCATCAATTTTATCACTTCTTATATTTACAATTCTTACTTATTTATCTTTATCGGTCATGATCTATTTCGTTTGGATAACTACGAAAGAATACATTCATTTAATACAAATCTCATATTCATTCTATCTGGTCTTAATCATCGTTGTATTACATTCATTAACGCTAATTAGTCTGATTATTAACCTATTGAGATACCGAACGATGTATCACTCAATTCAACCAACGCTGCTAGAGAAGAAACTTGCTTTTGCTTTTAATGAACCTATTGTATAGAACTGAACTTTATTTGTTTTTTTTTATTGACCCCGGTGTTCAAATATAAAAAAATATAATTATCTTCACACGATTTGTTTCCTGCTGAGAGCATTGCAAGATAAAAGACAAAAGATTAAATCATCTGATTGCTTTTCTCACACGGAGATTTCGTTTCCTTTTTTTGATGATTGTCTAGACATTATATTGATCATAAAAGAAATACCACCAACAGTGAAGTTCAAAGTAAAAATGAATGTGATTGACAAATGTTAGAATATTCGAAATGTGAATGGTTTGCGTATTGGTTAAACACCTAGTTTGTTTTTTTAGGCGATTGTCGACACCTATTTTTTAGCAAATATTGAAGGTATTCTAATTGAGAGTTGAACTGTGAGTGATGTTCATTGAACTATAGATAATGAACAAAAATAGAAGTGCACTTGTGCGTCACATGACGTCCGATAAGAAATTTGTTCACAACAGGTGATGTTCATTTCTAAATTGACTGGTTTGATCTTCGCGCAACTGTCATATGACTCTGATCTTTTGGTGCTTTCAAAAAATAAATAAACGAAAAATCTCTTCGAATATTAAAGAAATGAACCGAAAATTCTTGTCATGAAGTCAATTAGAGTGAACCTATTTGTTTGAAATTGTTTTGCTTTGCACACTATGATGAGCTAATGATGTTGACTGCTGCGTGAGCATCGTATACATATTGTGTAATTGATTCCAAACATTCATTTGCTTCTTTTTGATGGTCACGTCATTGTGAAGAATTGTTAGAAACAACCAAAAACAAAAGACGAACGCCCTTTTCTTATCGACTAGATTCATGCTTCATACAAAAGATAACAACAAGTATATTTTATGTCAGCCAAAGGCAGTACGACCGAACAATATCTGTATAAGTAGAACGAAAAGAAAAAAACACTGGCATACATTTTTATAGATATGTCTTATCTCAACGAATGCGCACATTGTTGTGTTACAGTCCATAAATGACATCCACATCACCATCTGCATTGCGTTTATTATTCTATCTTATATGTAGCTATTCAGCATCGATTTTATCGATCCTAATTGGTCTTACAAGCCAGTTTATATATTGGTTTCTATTCGACTCGTTCGGTCGGCATGAAAAACGAACAAGAAGAAAACTTAATTGGACCAGTCCTGAACGAGATGACGAATATAACGTCATCATCGTTGGTACAGGCTTTTCAGGCATTGGCACTGCCATTCGACTAAATCAACTTGGTATGAGCAACTACATTCTCTTTGACCGAAACGCACACGCCGGTGGTACGTGGTATGCCAACCAATATCCTGGATGTGCATGCGATGTTCCATCCAATCTCTACTCATTCTCATTCGAACCTAATCCAAACTGGTCATACTTTTTCAGTCGCCAACCAGAGATTTGGAACTATCTCGAACATTGTGCAGACAAGTATCATGTCCGATCACATATTCGCTTCAACACAACGGTCACTCAGCTCAAGTGGATCGAAGATCAACAGCTCTGGCAAGTGACAACTGAGTCGAACAATGAAGAAAAAGTGTACTACGGTCGATCAGTAGTACTTGGTACGGGTCCGCTGTCGAATGCAGCCTATCCGACCGATATCGATGGAATCGAAAAGTTCGAAGGTGAAATGTGTCACACAGCAAAGTGGAACAAGAACATTGACTTTCGAAACAAGCGCGTGGCAGTGGTGGGTACCGGTGCAAGTGCCATTCAAGTAGTGCCAGAAGTTCAGAAGATGGGCGTGAAACAACTACTTGTCTTTCAACGTACGCCACCGTGGGTCATACCGCGAATAGATCGACGTGTTACGAATTTTGAGAAATGGCTTTTTACTTGTTTTCCTATGCTTCAACGATTGATTCGACGATGCATTTATTGGTCACGTGAATCATACATACTTTCGTTCGTATATCGTTGGCCATTACGATACATGAGCGAGGAATTGGTTCTGCACAATCTTAACAGAGAAGTTAAAGATCCTCTATTGAGAAAAAAGGTCACACCAACATGGGAACTTGGATGTAAGCGTACACTAGTGACAAGTGATTGGTACACGGCGCTACAAAAACCAAATGTGGAGTTAATTACAAATCGCATTCGAGAAGTGAAAGCACATTCGATAGTGACATACGATGGTGATGAATATCCTGTTGACATTATCATCTGGTCAACAGGATTTGAAACGCAAAAGTTCGGAATTCCTGTCTATGGCAAAAATGGATGTTCCTTAGTAGAACAATGGTCTAAGACCATGGCGGTAATAATATTTTATATATATACACACAGTAAAACCATCATCTTTTTGGACATTTCTAGGCTTATCGTGGTGTTACGATTCCTAATTATCCGAACTTATTTCTTCTTTTAGGTCCAAATTCTCGTCTAGGTCATTCTTCAGTAATAGTTATGCTTGAAGCTCAATTGAAATATCTAGTGGAAATATTTGTTTATATGAACGAAAATAGCGTTCGATCTGTTGCAATCAAACAGAATGCACATGATAAATATAACCAGTGGCTGCAATCGAAATTAAAGAAGACAGTGTGGAATTTAGGCGGCTGTCATTCGTGGTATCAAAATTTTCAAGGAGATGTTACAACAATATGGCCTGATTTTACTTGGATTTACCGTTCCTTGCTCAAACGGTTTGATTCAGAGAACTATATTATTGAAAAATAATACGAATTAACACTAGAACTGATATGAAAAGAGACTTATTTCAAGATTCGTTTTTCTTTTGTTTACTACCGATATATCGAGATTCTTTTTTATATTAAATATTTTTCTGTCATCATTGAATGAAAAAGAAACATTAACACAAGAGATCTGTTTTCATATCGAAAATTTCAAAAATAACAGCACCGAGACCTTATGTATCAGTTGTGACTGTTGCTAAGAGACTATCAACAACAACAGTCTTTAGACATTGAAATCCGATTTAGTTTTTTGATTTCTAAATCATTGAAAAACCAATTAGACAGTATTGCAAATCTCCATGAATTTATCATTTTAGCATTGAAAAAGTATTCTTAGAAAGAATGTTCATATTTGAATTTCTCACATAAATATAATTTATTTCCTTTCATACAGTTAATTCGCATACTCTCTCGGGTGAAATTATGCGTCGCTCGATATAAAAATTCATAATTAATGCGAAGAGCGATTTCCTTTACTAAATACGTTTTGTTATCGAATAGAACTTCTTCTATATAATGATCGTAGAAACCATTTTTGAATTCGTGTTCAAAAGGCTTTCCATCGAATATCGACACCGTACGGACATCTTCGTACATCCCATCTTGCAATTTATTTGTAACATATCCGTAATACTTCGTTTGAGATAGATATAAATAAAAGTGACATTGACCCTCGTTCGACTCGGGAGAGTAATCGAAATAAGCAATGATACGTTCACTTCAAAAATCAATTAACTTTTTCATCGAATTGACAATGTTTTCTCGCAGATAACGACTAGCAACAAATGTTGTTTCAGTATCGACCACAATGTACAAGCCCAGTCGCTCGAGATTCACCATTCGAAAAAAAAAACTGGAAGAATGGCCTTATTGTAACAAAATGTTGACATACTCTGTGATAAACAAAAATGCTTTAGATTCGGTAAGATACCCTAAAAAAAGTTTTGTCGCTTATTCAGGAAAGATTCTCTCGAGTAACTCGCTGGATTTTTTATTTCGTTTATGAAGTGAGGGTTAGGAACATCAACAATGTATGTACGTAGTTGATTGAAATGACCGTCGAGAAGACAGAGACCATCTTCTAGTGATTGTACTTTGATACTCAAATATAAAAGTGTCGATGGACGAATTTTCCAAACCAATCGATCGTCAAAGTTTAATCGGCCATAATTTTTATCCGAAAACTCATGCAATAGTAAATACTTCAGATTCATAAATATGGGAAAAGTTCTTTTGAATACGTTGACTGTCGATAATAACATTCGAAAATCATCTTTGTTCGGCCTATACGCAAGAATGAGTATCGTGATTTGGTTTAAAAATGTAAAAAACGAAAAAAAAGTTCGATTTGAACTGAAGAGCTAACAAAAGTTTTCGTCGACAAATTCCAAGTACTCTTACCTGACAGAAGGCTCCAAATTGACCTAACATCGATGTGATAAGCTACAATACGATGCAAGTTAGAATATTCATCAGTGTGTAAAATACTCTTCATCAATGTTGACACAATACCCAAATATTCGATATTACTACAAATGTTCGGTGAAATCTGCGTACAAAATGAATTTCGCACCATTTTATTTGAGAGAAGATCAAGAAATTCATCTTTCGATCTTTTTAATGGAACCCAAATGAGTGGTAAAACTTTAATATTGAATAAGTAGAAGAATTTCGTCAGGCAAGTCGTTTAGGCCAATAATGGAGTACGCCACCTATTCGATAAATCATTTGATTGATATATTTACATACTCGATTTGACCAGTATCGTTCGTCGATACAAACAGTTACATATTTTCCTTCTAAACAGAATGTTTTTTCATCGGAAGCAAAAAATCACATGATTTCTTTTCTCACTTGCATTTCGTGATGAAACAATCGAACGATGAATTTGACGAAGAAATCGATTTGATTTTTCAGTGATGTACATTCTATCAAGCAAATATGATACTACGAAGATTTGAATCTATTTTGTTCATTGTCAAGTTCACTCGAATGCTTTATGATAAAAATTTACCGTTTTCTTTTTCGATTCTATTGGGGTACTTTCAACAGAATAAAATCAAGGTTTATTATCATTGAAAAATAACGTTATTCTGTGTAGAATAGCGATTGATAGTAGATTAGATCTTTATATCTTCGATAGGTAACTAATCTCTGTTCGTGTCAAGAAAACACATCTAAGTACCGAATGCTGTTCGCCAGTAGGGTCCAGATTACGTTTGAAGAACCTTCACTGATATTGGTTAATGAATGGAACGAAAAATAATTCTCGTCTATTGATATTGAACAACATGTCAGATGATTGTTAGACGGAATGCCTTCAAAACACATGTCGCCTCCAATTTGTTAATATTCAGAGAAGAAAGCAAGTAAGAACATAAAATATTTATAGATTAAATTGAAGCTATTTTTCCAATTGACTTACTCAATCATCATTCAATGGAAACTTTTCGTAAGGCACGTTCACAATTCGCTTCAGCTATTCGACAACCAAATTGGATTGTCAGACAAGCAGAACGAAATTTCGATACCGTCTAGCAAATGAAAGAACATGTTCTGTAATTATTATATCTGAAATCGATTACTGAATCACGTACTAAACCAGTATCGGCAATATTTTCAGTATTTGAAATTATCTTTTGAACTAATCGTGCTGGTTCGTTAAAAATTTACACAAACATACTGTGCACCTATACAGATAATGATAAAAAGCCTGCACTCAACTCAAGATACGTATCTCTTCTATCACCAATCTAGTTCTGATTAGTTTTTACGTAGTCGCTTCATATCCAATAGGTGTACTTCATCTGATTCTATATATGTGAATCATGAGAGAAAACTCAATGGCAGCTGACCTCACATTACTTGAATTCATCTGTGTCTAAAATGTAAGTCCTTCTTCTCAACGGTTCCTGATAGAATATTTACAAAAAACTTCTTATCATTGTTCTAGTCTTGTTGAGATTAGAAGCAAATGCTCGACAAATAGGAGATAAAAGAACGACAGTTTGTTGGCGGTGGCAAACATTTAAATATCCTCTTCTTTTTTGTTTTCTCAGCATTTTATTTATAGGTACAGACTGTGCAAAATGAACAGCACAATACGATTTATAATATATGTGTTACCTCTGTTGTTATGTTCAGCCTCAGTGATGATAACATCGATTATAATTGGTCTCACTGGCCATTTTTTCTACTGGCTTCTATTTGATTCATTCGGTAGAGCTAGAAAACGAGCGAATAGGAAAGTTAAGTGGACCAATAGTCAAATAAATGACGAATATAACGTCATCATCGTTGGTACAGGCTTTTCTGGTATTGGCACTGCCATTCGACTAAATCAACTTGGTATGAGCAACTACATTCTCTTCGAGCGTGATGCACACGTCGGTGGTACGTGGTATGCCAACCAATATCCTGGATGTGCATGCGATGTTCCATCCAATCTCTACTCATTCTCATTCGAACCTAATCCAAACTGGTCCTACTACTTTAGTCGCCAACCAGAGATTTGGAACTATCTCGAACATTGTGCAGACAAGTATCGTGTCCGATCACATATTCGCTTCAACACAACGGTCACTCAGCTCAAGTGGATCGAAGATCAACAGCTCTGGCAAGTGACAACTGAGTCGAACAATGAAGAAAAAGTGTACTACGGTCGATCGGTAGTACTTGGTACGGGTCCGCTGTCGAATGCAGCCTATCCGACCGATATCGATGGAATCGAAAAGTTCGAAGGTGAAATGTGTCACACAGCAAAGTGGAACAAGAACCTTGACTTTCGAAACAAGCGCGTGGCAGTGGTGGGTACCGGTGCAAGTGCCATTCAAGTAGTGCCAGAAGTTCAGAAGATGGGCGTGAAACAACTACTTGTCTTTCAACGTACGCCACCATGGATAGTGCCTCGAATAGATCGGCAATTAACCGATTGGGAAAAGAANACATTGACTTTCGAAACAAGCGCGTGGCAGTGGTGGGTACCGGTGCAAGTGCCATTCAAGTAGTGCCAGAAGTTCAGAAGATGGGCGTGAAACAACTACTTGTCTTTCAACGTACGCCACCATGGATAGTGCCTCGAATAGATCGGCAATTAACCGATTGGGAAAAGAATATTTTGAAACGTTTTCCAATTATTCAGAAATTGATTCGTGCCATGATTTATTGGGGAAGTGAATCTATAGCGTTGTCATTCGTCTATCGGTGGCCACTTCGCATAATTGATCACCAGCTGGCCAGATACAACTTGAACCGAGAAGTTAAAGATCCTCTATTGAGAAAAAAGGTCACACCAACATGGGACCTAGGTTGTAAACGCACTTTACTAACAAATGATTGGTATTCAACCCTTCAAAAACCGAACGTAAAACTAGTCACAAATCGTATTCATGAGGTGAAAGCACATTCGATAGCGACATACGATGGTGATGAATATCCCGTTGACATTATCATCTGGTCAACAGGATTCCAAGTTCAGACATTTCCGCTACCTGTTTACGGTATCGATGGTCATTCGCTAAGCGATGAATGGTCAAATACGATACAAGTATGAACGACTTCGCATCGAAATACATATACTATCATATTTTTCTTGTAGGCCTATCGAGGTGTCACCGTACCTAGTTTTCCAAACTTATACATTCTTCTCGGTCCCAATACAGGTCTTGGCCACAATTCTGTAGTCATAATGATCGAATCCCAAATAAACTACATCGCCGAAGCACTTCTCTACATGGATCGATACAACCTACGGTCAATGGAAATCAAACGAGACGTTCATGTACAATTCAACAAGGAAATACAGTCGAAATTAAAGAAAACAGTGTGGCAAAGTGGTAAATGCCGGTCGGGGTATCAAGATAGTCAAGGTAACAATACTGCCATATGGCCCGATTGTACGTGGTTATATGTGTTATTGATGAACAAATTCGATTATGAAAATTATATTGCTCGTAAATAACTGCTAATCAAACTCTATCTTTATTTCATAAACAAGAATGAAGTAAAAAAAAAGAAGAGATGGAAAGAAAAACATCTATTTTGTTTTCCTATATCAAAGGTTGTCGTTCGTGATGGGCGTTTGAGAAGACGTTTCCGAACGTTTTGTGTTCGTAGTGCACTCATCATTGTTTCATTTTGATGATGAGCGGATTTGAGACGAGGCCAAGAAGCAACGCGCCGTGGCGGAACATCGATTATTTCCGTTAATGGAATCAAACTATCGTCTACTATGCTCGGTCGCATCTCGGCGATCAGCGAGGGCGAATAGCCAATTAGAAACGACGGTTGTTGATGAGATGGAACGAGAAATCGTCGAAAAAAGCGTTGCAACATACGGCGTCGTCGTCGATATGTTAATTGATTATTGGATTCAACTTGCTCACTTATTCGTGATTGAAGAAGACGATGTTGTTCTTGAAATTGAATAAGACGACGTTGCCGCCATGCATCCATAATCCATGCAGCAGTTGCCAATTCATTATCACGTGGTTTTTCCACAGGTAATTCGAGAAACGGTGAAAGAGCCTCACGATTTCGTTCGGCTTCTCTAGCTTCGAGTATATCGACTTGTTTCAACCAGTAATCTAGATCAAATTTTTTTGACGAAAGATGCGGATTGGCAATATCAGATGATGATTCACGTAAACAACGACATAGACGAGAACGTGCTTTCCAGCATAAATAAACAACGACGAATAATAACATACCTATAATATCCAAATATTAATTATCGGAATGTCTGCCACGAGAAAATAATTTCTCGTACATCATCTTTAATTCTATCCAGATAATTTTCTTTCTACTGGAGAATCCGATCGGAAGTTTATTATCTACTGATTCCTATCATTTTCAAGTACATAGACTTCTTTTCTATTTCCATAGAATTCATTTCATTTTGCTGTTTTTCTCCAAACAATCTCAATGATTATTGTCCTATTAGTTCTCAATCAACTCTTTCTCTGTCTGAAACGGCATAGTTTTGAGTTTTTCGATTATATTAAACGGAATATTTCCTTGTCAATTAATGAACATTTCTGCTCGAATGAATTCATGAAAATCTTTTTTTAAGAAAATAAAAGATTTTCTTCTTGCATCTTTTATTTTATCAGAGACAACATACCGCCAAGAAGAGCTGCTGTCTTAATCCCTGTTTTCACGGAATAGGGTTCGTCAAATGAGATGTGTTGATATTCAGTAGTCGAAGCGGAAGTCGTATTTGAAGGCAGCGAAGTAATAGTAATAGAATTTGCTATATCTTGTCGTTTTTTTACTTGTTTACTACTGTTTAATAGACGATAGATAGAAGATGTTGAGATAATATTCAACGCGACGGGTGCTGCTAGTGATTTGTTGATACGATTGAATGGGAGCATGATTAGCGATGTTGATGTTCATCATTGTTGTTTTTATTAATATTAATCGATATTGTTCTTCTGGCCACTTATCGTCATCTACGAACACACGCATCAACTATTCTATACGTGTATAAGAATTGAAAACATACTGAAAGTAAGAGAAAAGGAAATCAACAGAAGTCATTAGAAATGTTTCGAAAGGAAATTTATTAAGATGTAAACACAATACAAACGAGAGAAAAAGGCGAGCGACAGAGAAGAACATGAAGTCGTTGGTATTATTAATGATCTGTTATATGTTTTTCTTTTCTTTCTTGTCTTTGTTTCTTCTATTTGTTAAGAACATACATGTATACATGAACACAAATACTTCGAGGTCTTACTTACTTAGAAGTATTATTCTTTTTTTTTTCTCGACTTTTTCTCCTTTGCATTCTGTGACGAGGAATAGAAATGTTCTATCACAAACTTACAAGAAGAGAAAGAAGAAGAAGAAAAAAAAACAGAGTGAAAGGAGATCAGATTCGCTGTGTAGTCTTTAGTTAATTAAGCTCTTTTTCTATTTTAGAAATAACAACGTATTTATTAGTCGCACACGATCAAATATTGACGATTATTTTTCTGTTCGATATAGTAAAAAATGACTAGACTTGTCTCAGTTACAAAATACTCGGTGTAAGACGAGAGATTAAACAGAATATGATCTTCTTCTCTCATTTATCTCGACTAAAATGGTATTAGAAAGGCAAACTAGTAGGTATTGATAATTATTAGATAGAAATAAGAAAGCGGAGCTAAACAAGACAAAAAAAAAACGAAGCAAACTTCCATCCAGAAGTCATCATTGATGTCTTCTGTCGTTGTTCTCTTTTTCTTTATAGATCTTAGATTAGAGAAAAAGACGATAAGGAGCGAAAATGATCGGTGCGGTTGTCGTTGTTGTTCTGTTCTTCTAGACTGAAAGACGTCGAGTTTTCTATGTGCTTTTTCCAACGGAACACAAAAAACAAACTCGATCTGCTAGCAATTAATGATGTACGTGTTCGTTCAATCATTCTCGATCCGATTTATTCAAACATGAGCGATAAACGCGTGCAGATAGAGAAGATAAGAATTCACGCTCGTAATTCTATTGTAGAACCGAACAAATACAATTGACTCGTTTTCGAACGCATCTCATTGAGAGCAAACATTCTCTTTGTTTCAAATCGATTTTGTTTTTCAAGAACAACTTCTATTTAGTATACTTCATAGAACAGTTTTCACAGCTGAATGAGAGAAGTTCTGCCATTGGAAATTATATTTAACTAATGAGATACTTTTCACAATGAAATTCATTAAAGAATAACTAATTTGACTTGTTACTAACCAATATGATCGTATTGAAACATTGCAATTAATCAAAATAACATCGCGTGATGTGTATTAATAATTTGACCATGACAATGCTTGATAATACACATGAGAACGAGAGAGAGAGAAAGAGAAAACGAAAAAGTATAATTATATTGTGTAAAACAAATGCATGTATCAACTATATATTAGATGATTAAAAATCCTCGGAGAAGAATAACGAAACGTCAAGACAATTCATATGTTTATCTCAACTATTCCTATTTGCTAGTAAATAATGAACAAAAGCATATTTCCGAATGATTTTCTTCAATATAGAATAGATCAGAATTCCTCATAGATGTTTCTCTCTCCATAGTATAGACTGAATTGCATAGTTCATCATACTTGCTCATCGAAGGTCATCGCGTCGAATAGAAATATTTTCACGAGAGTTGAATCTCTAATAAATTTTCCTTTTTATCATAGTTCTATCATATATGAACAATGACTTGCCGATTACGTTTGCTGTGCTATTTGTCAATTATGGAATTTGTTATCGAGTTCTAGTTTGTAGTTAACCACGAAACATTAAAATTAATCAGACTAAGTGTTTCGCTTCTGTTCAACGAACAGATGTTAATCATACATCAATAGCGACTTGTTTTGCATTCGAATAACATATCCTTCATGTGCATACTAAATGTCAGAGACTTCTAAATGATTATTAGAGACATTGTCATTCTTTTCCGAGCAAGTATAATTAGATAGTTAAGATTGTGTCACATTGATCAATAGAAGAATAGATGGATTTACTTTTACTGATAAATAGAGATAGAAAATGATTTTCGACCCAAGGTAGACCGAATGTGTTTAGTTAATAAAACTGAAAATGAACATCTTCGATGCGATTCGTTTATTGATCGGTGGTTTGATTGTATAAATTAACTCGCCATTCATTGTAAGGTCAATATTTTGTATTGGATTGAATTCGGTGAGACAGGCGAGTATTTTTGGTGGGTCAGTTGCAATATCAACAATTAAAATTTCTTGTAACGAAGTCGACTGAGGTGTACGGATAAGAACAACTAAATTCGCGTATTTCGGTACTAACAATACTCGTTCAATACGCGATACACCTTCTCGATCAGTGTATTTCAGTGCATCTAACGGTGTGATTTTGTATTGATTATTTGTATAGATTAATAAACGATCTGTAGTCACCATATTTCCATCATGGATAGCAAAACGTTGTTGTTCATCGATAGATATATCAATCGGATCGATTAGAGCATTTGCTACTGGTTGTTTGTAGTCTAATTGTCGTATTGGACGAATGTCTTTTGTTGACTGGTCTATTTGGAATTGAATACATTGGCGTTGTGAATGACTGCAGATCCAAAACTGATTCTTTGTTAAATAATCACAACGACTGATCATTGTTGGTTCGTACATGAATCGCGAACGGATTAATAGTGCACCATGATATGTATGTAGTGTAATCGTATGCGTGTCACTTTCATAGGTAACCAGATGATCTTGTGTGACAGTAAATGCCGAAACTAAACGAGTTATGGAAAGGTAAAATCGTTCGCTTAGCAATGGTTGTCGATGAAAGCGACTTGAGTATGAAAAAATGCGTATATCACCATCGACATTACAAAGATATATTCGACCGTCGAACGATGCAACAACCCATCTTGGACATATTTCTAAGTCGATTCCATAGAGCTTTTGAATGATCACATTGGGCAATGGAATTTTTGGAATCTTCAACGAACTACCACTTGGCTTTTTCGAAAGTTTACCCATTTGCGAAGTTTTATTTGTTATTTGATCAAGTGACGATTTAAATGGAGACTAAAGAGTCGATTTAGTGAAAGCAACCATATGTGCATTCCTTTACCTGTTTCAATTTTTGTGAGATCCGTCCGAGAACGTTTTCAACATCATTAATCAACGAATCTGTTTCGTGAATGTCCAAACTATTACCTTGCTGTAATGAACTACGAATGAGCATTCAATTTCAAGAGATACATTTGAGAAAAGCTTTGTCAATTTACTTCGGTGTTGATTGCATATATCTGCGTAATCCATTGATTCCAATGATTGATCTAAACCATGAAATATGTGAGAACAAACTCGAACATTACAGAGTGCTTTACTGTTGAGTATTCTGTTTGACCAGCTGATTACGTTTTTTCGATTGATCTCGTTGTTGGTGAAAATCATGACAAAGTTCCAAATAAGTTTGTTCAATATCTTGGATTGTTGCATTGGATAGAAAAGATGAACGCGATAGTTTCCCATACAGAGTATCTAAGGGAGAGAGAAAAAAAGCAAAATTGAGATGTAAAACATGCATGATTTGATGATGATTTCGTACTTGCCCTTTGATAGAGTGCACGCATGCGAACATTATCTTGTCGATAATCACTTCGACTTGAATTCAAGCTGAGACTATTTCTCATATAGGATGTTGCCATTTTCGAGTGAAGGTACTGGAAAGAATAACAAATAAAACAAATTTTCCTTTCTGAAAGAAAAAACGACAAAGGAAAATGTTTTGTTTCTTACATTGAGTATAAAAGTTACTAAAATATACAAAGCAATCTGCCGAGTTTCAATGAACTAATTATGATAAGCTTAAATTAGACGACATGCAATGAAAATGTTCCGGAAAAGATTAGAACATTTTCAACTGATTGAATTCTTTCTCGGGAATAAATCGCATTGTATTCAGATGTTTTGCACTTAACGAAAGTTCTTTTCTCAAAGGATCATTCAAATCGAACAAGCGTACACTAGTCTCAGAATTCAATTTCGTACTGTTCGAGACTTCTGTATGATTTTAATTGATCTGATTTCAAGTTTGCATTTGCACAAGCTTAAATAACAGTTAGATACACAGAAAGAACAACATGATTGGAATTCTACTAAGCATTTCTGCAGCGATTTGTGTTAAATTCTATCGCAAAACGTAAATATTGATCTCAATTACACATTCATAACAAATCTTTCTTGATGTTTTCATCTGCCATGAATTGCTCTTTAGCTGGCATTCAACCAACGATCTTCTGTAATACAACTAAGTAGTAGAGTTCTGAATTTTGTAGTTGCACTTGTATGTTCTAAGTAGCTCAATCCAAAGATTAATGATAATCCATCTAAACAACAGAGGTCATGGCTCTAGTAATGTTTTTACATCAGGGATGACAATTAAAAGTCTTTCTTACACATGTTTTATGCATATCTGCTGGTAGAGAGATACCAAATACAATATAATGATGCTATTATACTCTCTACTAAATGTATATGAAGAACTAAATCATATCAGCTGCTGTGTCAATGGTAAAAACGTGTTTTATGAATGAAAAAGGAGAAAAGCTTTTTGCGTCTTTACATTTTTGTTCCTTCTAATGTTAATTATCTTATCTGAGTCAATGTCGTCCATAGGCAATCGACGAGCTTCCAAGTATATATATATATATTCTAACGATGATTTCTCGTGTTATCGACATAATAAATGCATTTCTTGTCAATATTTTTGATTTACGCCGGATATTTGGGTAAGCAGTTTTTCATACGCTAAAAATAAGGTTACTTTTATTCTTTACATGTAGTTGATTATTCTATCAATGGATTATTATGGAATGAAACTTATCTCAAAGGTGACGTAGTACAAGTAGGCGATCTAAATGTGTATTCAGTTGGAAAGTCAGCGCTAAACTTCGCCGTGATCGTTATTTATGATGTTCGCGGCTTTAATATATCTCAAACGCGTGTGTTTTGCGACCGGTTAGCATCTGAATATTCTACTCGTGTAGTAATGCCCGATTTCTTTCGGGGTGGTGCCGCTCCATCGCGTGGAAACCTTTCAGCATGGGTGAGTATGGCTACTAATTGGTCGCGAGTATCGAATGATTTGACAAATATGGCGGCTTGGTTACAAAAGAATGATTCAACGACTCGAATTGGTTTAATTGGATTTTGTTGGGGTGGACTACAAGTTGTTCGTGCTTGCTCTAATCTTTCTTCGCTCTTCTTCACTGGGGTTTCCATTCATGGCTCATCGATCACCGTCACTGAAGTTAGTCTATTGAAAAAACCGATGTTCTTCATTGCATCGGGAACTGATCCTGCACTTCGTCCGAATATATCCGATGCGATTGAACGAGCAAATCCTCAGATTAGTCAGCAATGTCAATATCAAACTTACGATAACATGGTGCATGGTTTTGCTTCTGCCGGTGCAAACTTTTCCAATCCGGCCAATGTAGCTGCCCTCAACGATGTACATCTCAATGTCACAAATTACTTTACTAAAGTCTTAAACAATCCCGCTCCGTTCCTTTCAATGAATTCACAGCTTGCCTTTTTTTGTTTTTGTGTCACTTATATTTATGTGAAATAGGATGACGACACTACAACAAATATGTTTCTACTAGGGCGATGATGTTGAGACTAACGACGACGATAGAAATGATCGAGTAATGAGTCCGAGTTCCCACGCTTTGATATCGATCAACTGATCAGAATTTGGCAATGTTGATTGGACCGAAAAAAACCATGATTGAAAATTAATGGGTACACGAGGATTTCGAAGAAGAAAATCATAAAACCAATCAGTGGAGATGTTTTCTAAGGGAACGTTTTGTGCATAATTGTCGAAAATGATTTCACAAACACGTTGTCGTGCTGTTTGTTCGCCAACGGCAAGTGATACGTCAGCTGGCAATCGTGCAATTATTTCGTTTGCTAAAGATTTCTCTTCCGTGCGTGTTAATGTTAGAGTGCCTGGATGAATTGATTCCGCTAGTTTGGGAATTTGCGAAGCAGCATTTGGCGATTCCGAGCTTGGTACTGTGTCTTCCATTCTGCCATTGTAAGACATAGGTTCCTAGAAAAGAGATCAGTGTTGTGTAAGAAAAAAAAAACAGATCGATCTTACAAATTCTGATTTCACTGAAGTATATACTGCTGTTTGCGCATCGTCATCAATAGAGAAATAAGTATGATGTGACTGAGAGTGAACAAGCTCAGGTTTGCTCGTCAAACCCTAGAAGAAACAAAGATCTTCAGATAAACAGAACGATAGATGTGATACATTCATTCTTACGCCGTGATATTCAATAACTTCGATTGAATTCTCATCCTCATGATAAACATCTTTCGATTGCACGCGAACTTGTTTTTCTTCTTGTGGGGATGATCGTTCATATTCATTTGATAGTGAATGTTTGTGAGAAGCAGACGCGATCTGTTGCGCTTTTAACGATGGAAAAATCTTATGAGCGTATGTTCGTTTGTATAAATGTGCTTTGTAGAAATGTTTCTGACAGAGAGAAGACCGAAATGCTAGATTTCGACATTCGCACCCATCTATTGATTGACACAACGGTCGCCATTGTTTACCATCGAATTTAAAACGTATACCACGCGAATTGACTCGTATTGTATTCTTCAGAGGACGAGCATGAAGCAATGAATGCTGTTGTTGTTGTTTGCTTATCCAGAGTAGATCGTGAACAACTGGTCTATTCACGGCTGATAGTGTCGACATGGATGAAGATGGAAGAGTAAAACGTTTCATATGTTGACTTGGAATCTTATGCATTCTAGAAAGATATAAAGATTAGTTTTCTCGGATTCCACAATATGTCAAACAGTACACCGTTAATGACATGCTACTATAAAAAGTAACACGTTCAAAGAATTTCTGCTAGGATGACAAGGACATTTATAATGATGTCTTTCAATTAAAACTGCATTTAGTAGGCCAAACTTTCCCACTAACATTTATATGTGATGTTTTTGCCTATTATGGCATACTACTGAATGTTACGCACGAAAAAAAAAATAAGAAAACAAGAGCACTGGAACTTATTTCTCTGACTGTATTGAGAATGTGTCTGAAAATTTCTTGATTTTCTCCGTCAGTGAGCTCAAAAACAGTAATTCGGAAAATGTGGACCTCTTTTTTCTTTTAGCATAAAAGTAAAGACTTGTCACATCAGAAAGGAGTAAAGAATAGCAAATGTAATAAAGTGGAAAGTCTGACCTTTGCCTGGCGTTTCTCTCGACAGTCAAGTAAGAATGTATCTGACTTCTACTTCTCATTTCTCTCTCTCTCATCTTGTACTATTATATTTTACCTCTATGACGATCACTCTTCTCATCATTTTGTTTTATAGTTTCGGCAACGTTCTAATCTCTACTTGAATGCCTAACTGTCTCCATAAGAGAAATCTTTATTTCTATGTCTGTGTAAATGCTAGAGTGAGAAGATGAAGTTTTTACGAGCGTCTTCAATGAAGGAGAAGAGAAGTTTGTAGACTGTTTCAGGTAATTCCTGACAGGTGAACAATTATAGTGCAGAGAAAGAAACACAAAGCGATTATCTGTTATCACTTGTGATCTTTCAATTAAATATTTACAAAATTGTTTCATTGATTCCTTTCTAAAAATAATTAGTTTTATCAATGTGCTGTTGCTCAAATCTACCTGGAGTACAAAGAGTAAAAACGTTCTCTCGCTTTCTCGATGTCATCGATGGTTCAACTAACTTACGTTTGAGACAGAGAAAAAAAAACAAGTAAATGATATATATTAGCAACGAAAGAATAGTCTTCAATACGTCTGTCACACTGAAGAACCTTTCCTTCCGACTAAAGAATAAACTGAAGTATCATCTTTTATGTAACATGAAAAATTTAGAATAGATTGATGCCTATTTTTTGATAGCATCTCAATATTTTACAAAGTAGAAAATAAAATAAATGTATTTCGAAGTAGCAACGCAGCTGATAGATGACATGGCAAGTCATGAACTCTATGAGACTCTCGAAACAAACAGCTTTAGCAAGACTCTGATTAGAAAGATTACGGATGTTTATTTGTATACCTTGCATAATCTGTAGATTAATCTGATGACTTCTATTTTAGATACCGAATACGAGCTAGTCTATAAGAGATATTTATATCTGAATAAAAGAGAGATCAATTCTAATTAGATCGATGATGAAGTTTAAAAGTTCACCGAACGCATTTTCAGACAACCTTAGAACGTCTTGTGAGTTATGTAACCGACGTTTTATTTATTCTTATGAATGATAAGAAGCCAGAATGAACTGAATCCGTATCGAGTTTATGCAGTAGAATTCTTCTATAACGGCTAGCAAATATAAATTGAGCTATCAGTCTTTGAGATTAGGAAGGATTATGTCTTTCAGCGATTTATTATGCTTTATATAATGCTCTGACGCACGCACGGATTCAAGCAGTGCACGTTTCATCACAACTTTTTGTAGCTGTTCAAATAAATTCAATCACGAACATTACAGTGAATGACATTGAAATGTTTTCATTGTCTTCATTACACTTTTACAATTCTTACATAACAAAATTGTTTTTCTAAAGGGCAAAAATGAACTTTATTTAAGCCACTGATTGTCAGTGAAAGAATAATACCATAACTAATGAATAAAGTTTTACATATTAAATGAGCTACCATGATTTGACTCAATCTATCAAAAATTTATCATATTGACTTCATGTCAGCCGACAAAACTGACTAAAGATCGAATCAACGATCAAATTGCATTAATAATATCATTCAATAGCTTAATTTTTAATCAATTTTATGTTCATATTCAAACAGAAAAGTAGTTGCAAAGAAAGCAAAACTCTTATGTGTAAACATGACATTATTCTCGTTGTGTATTCAGCCTACCAATCGTTGAATGTGATTTTTTTTTTCTTTCTTTCATTTTTGTTAACAATTAATATTTTCAGTAGAACAAATATTCTGCTGTTGCTCCATATATTTATTTTTGATGTACTGTCGCGCTTGTTTACGCCGATTATTTGTTGGAGCAGTTCTCCTTCTGTTAATTTACTTTATTGTTTTCCGACGTCGTTCTTCACGCGTGTTTTTGACTGAAAGAGATCTGAATCATTTTTCAAGACAAACGGTTTCTCAACGCCGAATTCCACGCATCATCCATCAAACATGGAGAACACATCGTGTGCCTGAACGATGGAATCGCACGGTTGAATCTGTACGTCGATACAATGCTTTGCAATTCGAATATCGTCTTTGGACTGATGACGATATTCATGAGTTTGTTCGTGAAAACGAAGCAGATTTCTATCAACATACTTTCGTAAAATATCCATTGAACATTCAACGCGTTGACGCGTTTCGTTATGTCGTTCTGTACCATCTAGGTGGGATTTACATTGATATGGATAATGGTTGCTCTCAGTCGTTTGAAAGTCTTTTGGGTGCTTTGGAAGCACTCGATCCTCAATCAACGCATCTCGCAGCATTTCCTCGTACTAGTCCTATTGGTATTTCCAATGGTTTCATGATCTCAACACAAGGTCATCCATTATTCTACATTCTCATTTCACGTCTTTTGCTTTTCAACCATAACTATCTCATTGATTATTTAACAGTAATGATGACAACTGGTCCAACGTATCTCTCAATCAATGAATTTTATTTTAGTTCAGAATCAGCTATTGTGCGCGTCATTGATGAAATTGTCTATTCATCTATATATACGTGGCATACACCAGGTAATTCCTGGCATGGGCGGGATGCGCAATGGATTCTGTATATTTATCATACAATAAGAAAACTGTCTCGGACGAAATTGACTTGTGTCGTACTGATATTTGCTTTTGCTATTCTGTTAATTTTCTGTCGACGTCGCAAAAGTCGTTAGAAATTGTTGATTACTTAAACAAAATCATGATTTTAATTTATTTTCGTTCGAAAGACAGGCTTTTATATAATTAACTCCATATTTAGCTCGACTCGGATCGATACCAATGGATTGTAAACAAACAATCGCACTGCCTTGTTCTGCCAATTGTTTATTTTTCTCCCTAGAAAAGCAACCGATGCTTCTTCACTGATAATTTTCAAATTCAATGCACACATACCACGATGTCGTAGAATAACGTTGACCATTGAAATCAATTACTGTTCGGAATATTCGTTGAGGTTTTAATTCTTCCTGTTAGACGACGAAAAAAAAGAATAAGATGTTCGCTTTTGTCCAAGTACACGAAAATTTACTGTATGGTAAACAGGTTTATCAACATGTGCTTGAATGCAATAGGCATTTAAAATAGATTTTGGTGTCATCGTTGATGTATATTCAGATCTATTAAAAGAAGACAAAATTTAGTATTATAGTAATGACGATTGAGATTGATTCAAATCTCACCGAACAAATTTGGCTGACTTTTCGATGATATCAGACTCAGACGGTTTGTCAGATATGTTCATCAATCGATTCCTTAGTTTTTCACGCCACATTTGTCGTTGTTCATCTGATTGCTGTTCGTAGTCATTCTTCATACCAAACAAATCGCTAATTGATAATGATGATCATTCAGTATTCTAATCCAAGGCAAAAAAAACTATACTTACTAGAGTTCCGCTTCTGTTTCGGTAGCAAGAATCTTCTCGTAAAACTCTATTTCATTATCAGCCACTCCAAACATCCGTTGAAGAACGTATTTCATATTTGGCAATAGATTATCAAACTCCAAACTCTAGACATATCGAAGATTGCACGTGTATTAACATGCTCGAACTGTAAAATATACTATTTCAAGAAATCGTTTGGCTACATCTCGAATCGGTAGGAGTCCTTGGCGTCGAAAGATACTTGGATTCCACATAGCGGCTTGACATAACATTACACCATGAGTTGGACCACAACGCAGTCGAAACTTCTCAATATCTTCGTAGGACGATATCACGGTTGATCCTCCACTAAAGATTAAGGATATCGATCAATGGTTTCCAACGAAGAAATGTTCTTACTTAGAAATAATAACAATATTCGGCAAATGTTCCTGAACGATGGCTTGAATAAATCCTTCGCGACATTGATCATTGTTACGTTCATCTCGTGTTCGACCATGAACTGTTATCGCATGAACGCCTGTTGTTGCAATGACACGTACGAGTGATAATGTTGCTTCTATTATCTATGAATAGCTAAAACGTGGTCGATAGCATAAAATTCGATTTACCTATGGTCGGTAAACAACGTATTTTACATGAAACTGGAATTGAAAGATTATTGACTAAAGTTTCTAGAATCTGAACATGATTCGAGTTAAAAAAATTAGATGAAACATTCTATTTTCATACTTGTTTAACTTTATCTGGATGGTCAAGTAATGCCGAACCCATTCCACCCTGAAGAGAAAACTTTTTTGGACATCCCATATTGATATCAATTCCGGCAACATCTTTTTCTACAAGTTGAGCAGCTTTCAATGCTCGTTGACCGTCTGATGTGCCTAATTGAACAACAAGGTGATTTTTTTCTCGAGTTTTGTGGATCTGTAACATTGCTCGATCTTCTCCCGGTACAACAAAATCAATTGTATCGAACAAGTCTAATATAAATGAAAGATAATCAAACAATTCGTGTATATGATTTGTTCTAAGAATACCATTTTCTACTCGAACACACTGAGTGAGTCGGTAATCGATTAATTCCTCAGAGAAGACGACATCAGCTCCATATTCCAGTGTCAAAAGACGAAATGGAAGACTGGAGATTCGTACCATCGGACCACAGATGATTCGATTTGCATAGTCCATATCTATGAAAAGCAGAAGATGATATGATGATTACAATGAATTTGGCATGTTCTCGTAGGAATTGCAAGATGAAAATGACGACATGTTGAGCAATTTATCGATATTGGCTTCGACCAATTAACCCGTGAGAATTTGACGAAAGAGGGTGCTCAATGCCGGTCTCAGCTAGATGGAAGTTAACGCTACATACATATCATCTGATTTGAAATTCTGTTTACTTCAGCTTTACGTTAGGATACTATAACATCTAAACTATTGAATGCTTGTAAGTCTTTTTAATGACAGATTGAACATAAATCCTATAGACGCTGAAAAATTAATCTTACTAATAAGCATGATTTCAATTTTCTGTCATCTACGACTGAATTCTTCGGTATGAAGTAGGCTTGAAGCTTTTAATCTGTATCCGTATTTACTGCTAATATTCGCATTACTGGATTTATGCTTTGTTTGCGTGATATTATGGCTGTATTCATTGTTGGAAAGTACTTAAACGAGCAATAATAGAAACATTTTGTCATCGTCATACAACAGGAACTGCTACTTCTACCATGTTTGTTCTCGAGTGCTGTAGATAAATTAGATTGAAGTAGAAAAATCTATTTGTCATTAAACTAAAGATAGGTATAAAAGTAGATCGTATTTACGGCAGAGTAAAAGCAATTATTGAAGAAAATCAGGATTATATCCAACCAAGCAAATTCACCACCTACGCATTTGATTTGCACAGATTGTGGTGCATATATATACACGTTAATCTAGATCATAGGTAGATCGATATTTCATAGGCTATTTTGGATCATCGTTGAATCACAATATCAAGTAATATGTGAGTATTCCCTATTATGTAACAAATTCACAGGATGCGCTTAGCATTGAGCGTATTCTGATGTTCGATATTAAAACAAATGATCACGAACATACACTATTGTTAATGAACGTTTCTCATTCTCTAGTTAGTAATTGGTTAGTGAATGTTCTTTATTTCGATCCCGCAAAACTTCGGTGATAATAACCCTTTTTTAAGAGTTAAAGATCCAACCTTTCTTCTTGAACTGTGATCTTTTTATGTTGTTTTTAGCTTTAACAAGATAATTACATCCTTTTGTTATCTATCTATCTATTGGAGTAGTTTATAGTGTCCTACATACTTCAGACAAGTTCTAATTATACGAGAATACACTGACATCAATTAGTCGAAATGAAATAGAAAATGTAGTGAGTTATTACGTACATAAATAAAACTCTGAAAGATCTGCAGATGAAATTAATCTTCATCCATTAAAAAAATTTTCAAACAGGAAGTCATTTTTCTAGAAACATCATGTGAGATTTATTCACGCGTAAAAAACTTCGGAAAAAAGTTCATTGGAAATTATCGTTTCTATCAAATTCAATTTTCTCGGATTTTCCAATTAAGAATAAAATGGACGGGGGGGAGAATCAAGAAACAAGTGAACTAGAATAAACGTAAAAAAGAACTAGTCGAGCTGCCCTTTACATAATACTTGCGCTACCTGAGGGTTTCTCGATACATCTGCCGCTACGATTAACAAGAGGCAATAGTATGACATTTTATTACACTTGACGCTGTTTTTGCTATGTTTCTCACGCGAGGTCTCAGGCGTATATATATAGCTTAATTTTCAATTTACTTAGCTTTTTGGGTTAACCCTGCGTTGTAAGTAACATTAGCGTTTCGCTCTTTTTGTTTTCAGCTTCAGTTATAGAACATTGACAACAAGTTAATGCCAAGACAACTGAGAGTTTTTTTTTCTAATCTCTTGATCATATGTCGTTTCGACTTACCCGCTTTCTAATCGAGGATCGCATTAAAAAATCAGGAAAATAACAATATTTGTCTAGGTAGATTTAAACGTATCAGAGTACGTGGAAGAAACCGCTCATTTAAGAGTATATCGATTACAATCATTTGCCCGGATATAATTATACATGAACGAAGTCATGGTTTCAGCTTATCTATACTCCTTATTAAAGTGTATGAACATAACAATCAGGAGAAAATCATCTATGAAGAATGAGAATCTATGACTTTCACCGAATGTCACTCGATTCGACGACAGCATCAGGTCGATATTAAAGATTAGCATCTTTATTATGAGAAACTAATTACGCCCATAATGCAGAACGAGAAATATCGTAGTATGCACGTATAGACCAAGTGGATGCACTTATTTTTTTTTCATAGTTAAAAATATTACTACATCTATCAGTTAACACAGTATACAACACACCCACTGAAGAACAGGTGATTGTCATCGTGGAATAGTTTTTCTCAGTGAAACGAGACAAAGTTTTTTTAGGTAATATGGACTTGATTAGGTAACGCGTAAGCAATCGTTTGGATATGTACTTTGAGTGTTTTATGATTTATCAGCAGGAAATCCACCCCATTACATTAACAATTGTTCATGTTTTTCACCGTAGTCATTTCTCTTACACGTTACATAAAATTGGGTATGATACCTTGAAAACATGTGTGATAAAAGGTATATAACTAGGTTAGTTTTTCACAACTTAAATTCCCATTCTCTTCATAGTTAGTTATCACAAGAGGCACACCCTCAAGAAAATATGATACTTTTTTCATGAGAATCTTGCTTTTTTGGAAGAATACATTGTTATTTTCATTCTTACCGCATGATGTAGGTGACTAGACGAGAAAATCCTGATATTTAAACTGTAACCGTCTATTTTCGACAGTAATATACGATATTCACTACGCGTCCTTCTTCCGCATAATAGAGTAATTAAAATGCTTCTACTATATATCAATTTGTATATTCCATTCTAACGTCTGTTACGCCAAAAGAAAATCAAATTCGACATCTATATTGTAGATAGCTATACCATCATGATCTCAACGAGCAAAATCACATTAATTCTGCTAATCATCGTTTTGGCCGATTTGGCTCATGCAACATTCACTAATGTGCCAGGTAAAGTCTTGAATCTCAACTGAGAAACTTCAATGAATTGTTGTCGTTTGCTCGTTCCAGCGCCGCCAAAACGTCCAGGACATTTTCGTACTAAAAACGAATTGAAACAATATTTACAAAAAGTAAGATTATCTCTTCCGAAGAGTTGACCGGTGCATGTCGATTGCATTCTAGCTTCATGAATATCATTCTATACTTGGTCGATGGCGTGTTCGACGACATTCCGATGAACAACTGTTTCTACCCAGCTCAAATAACGATTTATTCAAGTTTTTCGATATCAATCACGATCATATCATAACGAAATCCGAGTTCAATCGGCGCTTGAACTCCAGCAACGAAAATATTCAATAATATGCTTATTTCTCTATTCAAAATGGCTAAACAGAGAAGACATTGAAGTACTAGTTGTCTGCAGATTCTGTTCATTTTTAATTCGATTAAAAAAGGATTGAATTAAAGAAAAACTGGTTACTTCTGTATTTTCTCTGTAAAAGAGATTTTTCAGAAAAACATTGTGAATGTTTCGTATGTAGAGTTTACAGGTTAATTTTCATTAATAAAAAATTTTCCAGATGTGACGAAAATGTCAATTACTTCGCCATGTTTTTTACCACTCAACTAATATGTAACTAAAGAGAGTGTTGTTTATGAGCTTGTCTACTTGGTGATTGGTACGTGAAATCACAAAGTAGACAGTCGCTTGAATGTCTTCTACCTAGACGACGAGGTTGTGTAAATTTTGGATAATTGCTGATAACTTTGAGAAAAATTTTTCTGCTCATAGTTAAATCTCGTTTGCCTTTTTTCTCTGATAAATAATTGATGTAATGAAGATCAATTGATTTTGATTAGAAAAGTTCTTTTTTTTTCACGTTTATCCTTGACACAAGCACAATCGTCACGCTAATGAGAATATTGGGCGGCGTCATTATTACCGCTTGGCATCTCCCTCGAGATATCGTCACAATGATTGTTTCTTTCCAACATTGAGCTTAACTCCAGCTGAACAATGAGAAACTTATGTAAAATTACATACGCGGAACGCGACGAGTCTCCGGAGAAACAAACAATAATGAATGGACAAGCGAAAAGACAAAAAAAAACGAGAGAAACTCAAAGTATAACTATGTATGGAAGCAGTACTGACGAAACTAGATTACATCATCTTCAAGATCGATTGTACTTAAGAGATAGAGAAGAAAATTTGTATCGAACGACATTCTCTCGTATTTGCACTTAGTTTTCTAATTGAAGAACATGTATAGTTGAGCAAAGTAGCAAGATTGACATGCATAACAACTGTTCGTTTCTTCTTTTTTTAATAACAACATCATCAATGTACAATTAGAACATGTTCATCTATCATCATGACGAGAACAGCAGCAGTCATTCGCAGTCAGTTAGAATATAGACAACCGAGATCGATTCGGAATGATACATAAAGAACAAAAGGGAATCTTGATTGACTCAATTCATGATCAGAACAGAAATCATAATTGAATAGAAATCTGCCCGATTAATTGAACTTTCTCAACTGTGTCGCCCGATGGCAATGACAAGTAAGTAGACTAATCGGATTTTCATGTCTATTTCGGAGGAAAAAGGAGCGATCGACGGAAGTCGTTGATTTTTTTTCTCTTCTTCTCCTTTCTTGTTTTATTTGTCTCATGCTAAATTGATGATATCGACATTTGTTATTCTTTCTTGTCAGAACAATATAGTCATCGTGACTAAACTTGTCAAGATACAATTACATTCTGTTTTGGTTATTTCATACATTCAATATATATATGTTTTCTTCGAGATAATCTTCTTGTCTTAAGTTGATAGGCGCGATTGCATCATCGGCAATAACGATTGAAAACGTTGAGTATTGAATATCAATATTACAGTTGTTGGCTTTACTTGTATGAAGATATGTTCAGTTGAATCTCGTCTTGAGTTGAGAAAAAAAAACAGCAAAGTTTTCAGATAGTTTGATGAAAGTATACACGCGTTTAGACTCTTCTATATTCTTTGTTGATTCGATTAGTCTTCTCAATCCGAGCAACTATATGTGGACATACAAAAGTAGGTAAGAGTGTGAAAAAAGAATGTTTGCGACATCTTAAAGGCGAAATTTGTCATCGACACAGTCGTCGGGTAGGAAAGTATGTCATTCAGATGTAGATGAAAGAAAGACAAAGTTTCTAATTGAATCGTCTTCATCCTATCGTAGAGAATAGAATGTCTGCGTATATATGCGAAGACGTTCATACTACACACCTTTTTATTTCTTTCTCATTCGTTCGATCAATATTATTCGAGATGAATAGGAAAGAAATGAGGTAGTCGCTTATTGATTGTCGCTCATTCGAGACGATGATTTCTAAATCCCTGAAGCAATAAGTATCATTCTATATTATAGATCAATTAATAATTATTTTCCTTCTTTCTTTCTTTCTTCACTTTAGACTATATTTATGTCTCCGTTTTTTCATTCTCGAGAAGAGATTAATCTGACTATGACAATAGTAAATAATTGTTGAGATAACTACGTCGTTTTTAGAAAAGAAAAACGGAAGACATCATACGAGGACAAATCTAATGAAAGGCAAACATCATCGAATACTCTTGTCTTTGTTTGCTGTTTGATTGATCACATCCGTGCGACATACAATCGAACATCTGTCATNCTCTTCTCGAACTAATAATAATGTGTGTAACATGATCATCGATATGATAGACAAATACGACTGTTTGACTATTTCCGGATAGACAGTCTAATTGTCAATCTCGTTTGAAATGATGAACTTGAGGTATTTTCTTTCTTCTCTTTTCTAGAATATTCAAATAATGGTATGATTGTAGTTTGTTCGATTTCTCTCATCATGCCATGCCTTCGATCGCCTTTAATCTCTCTTTGTTTGCTATCTTGACAATGTTCTTTTGTTGTTTTTGTCAACAACAAGAACATTTCATTATTCGTACATTGGAAAAACTGCCAGTTCACAGCGAAGTTATTAACCTTCGACGTCTTTTGTTATCAAAGAATGTTTCCGACAGTCAAAATGTAGACTTTACTCTGGCTAAACGCGATGACTTTCCCTATATGTTCTTTTTGATCAATCACTCGACACGTGGAATCTTAACCATACGTAAGGAAATCGATCGTGATGATCTATGTCGTTTACGTCGTTGCCGTTGTGATACATGGTGTGATTTGGAACTTGAAATCTTCGTTAATAGTGATCAGTTCAACATCGAATTGATCACGATACGTATATTGGATCAAAATGATCACAGTCCACAGTTTTTAAGTGTAAATAATCAATTGAATTTAACTATTGTCGAAAATGCACCTATTGGAGCGATGATTAAACTCGAACCAGCCGTTGATCATGATCAAGGAGAGAACGGAATTATTGGTAAGAAAATCGAACTGTTTTTCTTGTCGATGCATTGACATCGAAGTTCTTTTTCAGGTTATTCGATTACATCAGCAACTGCGCTTCCGTTTTCACTTCGGTATGATTTATCACGTGGTGATTTATCCCTGGTAATCGAAGAAAACCTCGATCGAGAACGTGTTTCATCGTATTCATTCGATATTATTGCTCACGATGGCGGAAACCAAACAGGTCTTCTACATGTTAATCTAAATATCGATGACGTGAATGATTCGCCACCAAAATTCGATCAATCGATATATACTCTGCAGAATATTAGCGAAAATCTTCCAATGAATTCGATTCTCATGCAAGTTCATGCTACTGACGATGATCAAGGCATCAATGGTGAAATCACTTATCATTTACTCAATCGAGATAATTGTTTTCAGATTGATCAAATAACTGGTAACGTACGAGTTATTTGTCAATTGGATTATGAAATGAAAACAAATTATCAATTAGAAATTGAAGCAAGAGATGATGGTGAAGGTGTGAAATCCGACTTCTGCACGTAAGTTCATCGAAACACTTGTTAACTCATATTTCATAAAACGTGCGTTTTTACAGGATAATCATCAATCTCATAGATGAAAACGACAATTATCCTCTGATCGATATCTACCCGAACGATATTCAGAATGATTCAAACAACGTACATCTTTTCTTAAGTGAATCTTTACCTATCAATTCGTTAGTGTTGTCTCTATCAGTAACTGATCGAGATTCTGGCGACAATGGACGTGTAACTTGGCGTCTCGATCAATCAACGTCTTTACCATTCGAATTGATCCGCCTAACAGAAACGACAGGCGAAATACGTACGAAGCGTTTACTCGATCGCGAATACGTCTCGGAGTATAACGTCAAGTTCGAAGCACATGATCATGGCAAACCCAAAGCGAAATCAAATCAATTGAATATTCATGTGACTATCGTGGATGAAAATGATAATGCACCGAAATTTCGACAAAATGATATTCACGTGACATTGAGTGAACATGTTCAAGTTAATCATCCGAATGGGTATGAAATCTATCAAATCCAAGCTGATGATTTCGATCAAGACCAAAATGGCGAAATCAGTTACTCGATTCTAAATCCAAAGAATAAATTCTTTGAAATCGACTCACAGACAGGAATTATTCGTGCAATGGTTGAATTCGATCGAAAACAACAAGATGTTTATATATTGAATATCCAAGCAAGCGATAAAGGTATAACGAAGTAAACTCATCAAGTCAGAATCACTTGTATCACTATTCTATAGGTACACCGTCATTATCATCAAACGCAACAGTAACATTCATTATTATTGCCCGTAATGAACACCCACCGAAATGCAATATTGAGAAAAACAGTGCCTCGCTATTTCTCAAGGAAAATAGTAAACAGGGAACGATCATCAGTACGATATCATGTCACGATGATGATAAAGATGCAGAAAATGGACAGATGAGTGTCCATGCAAATTGGTGGTTCGATCGCGTAGAAACAAATCAATTGAAAACAAATATTCCATTTGAAATTATGACGAAAAACAATGTATCGGAGGTAAGAATGTAATCGAATTTACTAGAGATTTCTTAATTATATATGATAATTGATTGAGCATTCGTCATCATGCAATTTCTTCTCAAGAATACTTAAAGATTTGATTAATATCTACATATATTCTTCTTGATTATTTGAGCCATGTAAACTATTTCTCTTTTGTATTATAGTCCATCCTTCAAGTGATAATTATTGTCAACGGATCAATCGATCATGAATTGATATCTTCCTACCAACTATTACTTACCATATCTGATAATGGTAATCCTCCTCAATCAACGAATATTTCATTTTCAATTGAGATTCTCGATGAAAATGACAATTGCCCTCAATTGCATATTGAATCATCTTTCATAATGATCAATCGTGATATAACACAACAGAGTTTTCTAATGCATCTCATCGCTTCTGACAATGATCAAGGTCCAAATGGACAAATCACTTTTGAACTTTCATCATCAACAGCACCACCCTTTGTTCATCTGTATTCTAATGGAACTTTAGTTGTGCAGACAAATTCAAGTCTGATCGAAGTTGATTCGTTGACTGTTTTACATGTACAAATCAGTGATCATGGACAGCCAACACCATGTCTGATCGTCGAAACATTACGTATATTTCTAGGTTCGAATCGAACAGATTGGTTAACTGTTTTAAAAAATAACGATCAAATATCATCGGTAGGAAAATTATTCGTACAAATGGACGTTTAAAAAAGCATTGTCGCTGTCTTTTGTTTAGAATCTTATTGTCGAACAGTTTCAACAGGGTAAACGAATGGCTTATGGATCATCAATTCAATCGACTCCTAAGTCTTCTCATATATTCAAATCATCAATATATTCCTTAGCAAGTCGTAAACAACTGTTTATCATAGCTATTGGTTTCGTTATACTTTTTACAATTGTGATCGTCTCCTTAAGTATCTGTTTTGTTGATCGTTTACATAAGAAAAACAACAAGAGAAGGCCTTTGATTCGGCCCAATGGTCTCAGTAGTTGTCCATACAATTTAGCCAACGGGAAGCGTATTGCTAGTTCGTCACCATTGAAGACACGAATATGTTACGAAGATGATTCTCCAACGCATCATTATACGAATTTAAAATCAACGAAACCAATTATCGTTGTCGGTGGCCTATCAAGTCAATCGTCGTCATCCGTAGATTCAACAACACGTTCAAACACAGCTCGAAATCGTTCATTCAATGCCACGTATTCATATACACCTATCGGTACAAGTGAGGAATTGACACCTGTGGATTTTGACGATGAGCCCAACGATGGAGTACATAGTGGTGTTGAATTAATGATGACGACTGTTTAATGTATTGATTTATGTAGAATACTTCCTTCATGAGTGTATTTTTTTAACTCAATTCTTTGACGAAATCAAATAAATTCACATCGAACGATTCATTTACGTTCACATGCCATTGTATCTTGTTATTTGTTCTCAAGTAACCCAAATACGCACTTTAATACATATATTTAACCAAATACGTCTTCGTGGAAATTACGCGCGAATAAGAATCGGTTTAGTATCATCAGTCATGTCTATGCAGACAAATGCATTCTTTGTTATCAGTGATCAACAGCGTACGTTAAGCATTTGAATTATTAAGTTCGTTTATCAATTGTAACGTAATATCAGACACGTGATATAAATGCGGATTATTTATTTTATTTCTTAAAACTGACGTCACGTATATGTGTATATAATATAATGGTGGAACTATTTCATTTGAGAAGTACTAGACTAAAAATGAATGTTACCGCTGGGTACGTTTCGAATTTGATCCAATTTCATTGCGTGACCAGAGACAGATGTAATTTAAATACTTTTATACATTCTTTTGTGTTGATTTTTTGTAATTATTGTTTACATAAGTGTCTTCTTTCGTGCAGTCCGAAAATTCAGCGAACGGTAGATGTCAGGATAGCTCAATCACGTTATATCACATAGATAAATATCCAATCATGTCATTAGAAAATGAAAGAAAATGTATCTCGATTCATCTTTCAATCATTCATCCATTTTCGTATTTCTATACAAGATCGTCGTCATTATGATTGTTTCGTCTCGTGATCAACGAAAACATGTATTGTTTTTATTTTAAGATAAAATGTGGTTTCTATGAAACATATTCTTTGGATGTCTAATTTAAGAAGTACATCATAGCTAAACACGATGGGTTTCTTATTTTCAAAACTTTGGACATTATTCGGTAAGTGTAAAACGGACTCGATGAAGACAAAACTAAACACATTCGTATGATGTAGGTGATGAAGAACATAAAATAATCATTGTTGGCCTAGATAATGCTGGTAAGAAGACAATGAAATAGAATCTTTTTATTCACTTTTTCGTATTGATATTCAGGTAAAACAACGATACTTTATCAATTTCTAATGAACGAGGTTGTGCACACGTCGCCAACAATTGGTTCGAATGTCGAAGAAGTTGTTTTCAAAAACATACGTTTTCTAATGATGGATATCGGTGGGCAAGAATCGTTACGTTCATCGTGGCAAACGTATTTCGCCCACACGGAATATGTTATACTTGTTGTTGATAGTACCGATCGTGAACGTTTGTTAATAACTAAACAAGAACTATTTCGTATGCTTCAGAGTGAAGAACTACGTACAGCGTCTGTTTTGATCTTCGCCAATAAACAGGACATCAAAGACGCAATGACCTCAGCGGAAATTTCCAAACAACTATGCTTGACATCCATTAAAGATCAAGCCTGGCATATACAAGCTTGTTGCGCGTTGACAGGAGAAGGCTTATATCAAGGATTAGATTGGATTGCGTCGCGGGTTAAACGATGAGATTATTTTCCTCTCTTTTCGTTCTTTTTCTATATAAATATACATATATATATACGTTTCTTTGTGAAGACAAACAAGTCTATAGGGGATTCCAGCTTTGTTGAAACGAATCGTTCTCTCTTTTTTTTGTATTCGTATCTTTAGGAGTGCACGCGAAATTGGCAAGAATGAAATAATGTTGCAAAACTTTCTATTTTTAGATATTCATTGTGAAAATGCCATCTAAAATGGTTGTACGTGTGCGTGACGATCTGCACAGAAGAAATGCTGATGGTATTGAATATGATCTATGGCGTCGGGAGAACGATTCTACTCGTGTTAAAATCAAACACGATACGATAACAAATGAGCATCCTGAGGTAGTTCTACATGCAAACAATGAAGACGAACTTGGTAATTTTGAAATAGTTCTCTTCGTCAAAGATTATTTTGAACGTTTCGATGAAAATATCAACGTGCGAGATAGTCGATTTAACATCTCGTTTGGTATGAACGCAATCAATACGGAAGAACAACTGAGTATTTATATTAAACCCGACAGTTATACATGTACTCTTTAGGAATGAAGAGTATCAATGAAAAGAACACTCTTTGCATGCATCAAATTTCATTAAAGCTATTTTTTAATCTGAACATTCTATTAATCTCATAATTTATCTACATCTAATTTGTATACGTTAACCAAGTCACCGCTTTTGCTTCTATTTTCTAGATTAAATGGATAGTTCATTGCATTCGCCGAGAGAACCGAGTACATCGGTACCAACGGTTGTCACAATTGATGGACACAGTTGGGCTTATTGGGCGTTCGTTTGGCTAGGCCTTGGATCTTTATTACCAATCAATTTTTTCATCACAGCTGATCAATATTTTCGTTATAAACTACACGATCCAAGTATGCCGAACTCAACTGCATCGCGTTTGGAATTAGCATATGAGAATGCGGTAACTCTCTCAACATCATTACCAAATTTAGTTACTACAATGTTAGTAACATTCGTTTGTGTACCATTCATTCACAAATATCGTATCTATACGTCATTAAGCGGTATAACCATTTGTTTATTGATATGTTTTTCGTTGATTTTCGTTGATGTTCATCAATGGCGTGAAATCTTCTTCATGATTACAATGATACTGGTGATGTTTCAAGGTGTGCTGTCTGCTATTCTTCTCAATTGTTTCTTTTCTCTAACATCAACATTGCCAAGTCAATACATTCAAGGTGAGTTGAAAATCTCGATTGATTCTCATTTGAAATGTATTTTTAATGGCAGCGTCGTGTAATAAATTTATCTGTAAGTATCGAGCTGTGCTAGCTATATGTTGAACATAAGATAAGTTGATACTTTGTATTTCTGTCGAAGAGAACAGAGGAGTATTATCATATGCTGAATGATAAAGAATTACAAACTGAATTATTAATAAATACTGCGTTGTTTAGGATTTGTTGCTGGTCAAGCACTCGGTGGTGTCTTTGTAGTAATATGTTCCATAGCATCAATCTTATTTTCAAGCGATATTTCAACATCCGCAGCAATTTATTTTCTACTTGCTATATTCGTCTTTCTTTCGAATATAGTCACATATTTCTATCTGGAAAGATCTCATTTACTACAAGTTTATTCGTCATCAGTTCAACAGATCAATAATGAAAACGAACCATTACTTCGTTCAACATCTATCGACGATCCTACTGATACAATCGATATGACAACATTAGCATTGCGTCAACGTTTACTAGTTGCTTATAAATATACCAAATGGAACTTTTTCGGTGTTCTCTTAACATTCATTTGTACATTATCACTTTTTCCAGCATATATGTCGAAAATTCAACCGGCTCATCCGACTACAGATTATCCAAATACAATTTGGAGCGAGCGTTTGTATGCTCAAGTAATGACATTCTTGCTCTTCAACGTTGGTGATACACTTGGTCGTATGATATCATCCAAAGTTCATGTTCCATCGTTATTACATCCTCGCCTTCTGTTCTGTTTATCTGCTTTACGATTTGTATTTATTCCACTATTCGGCTTCTGTCATTTTCCAAACACAAATGGATATCCATACATATTTAAGAATGACTTTATTTATGGTTTCATTGTTCTGTCTTTTGCCACATCACATGGCTACTGCAATTCTCTTAATATGATGTTCGCACCGAAACGTGTTCATGCTCAATTGAGTAGCACAGTTGGAGCATTAATGCTGATGGTAAGTTGTAAGATGAGCTCATTTTCATTTCGCATACACAGAGGATTTTTCTTTCACGATTATTTCTATTTTGATAATTGTTGACTAAAACAAATGTTTTTTGATTTAGGCACTTACTCTTGGCATTTTTCTCGGTTCTGTGTTGTCGTATGGTGTAGTAGCTATGTACGGTGATGCAAAAGCACCTGACAATGAATATTTTCAATAGTTTATTTGATTATTCCTTCAAGGAGCAATAAATTATTCTTGCACATATTTCGTTTTTCTCTTCTTGACTTACTTTGTACTATGTATGTTAATAAAGCATGCTTTAGAACTAAAATGAGATATTTTTATCAGAGAAATACATTGATATTGACGCAAGTTTGTCATTGGTTGAATTATATGCTGTTACTCCATCTTCGAACGAAGCCTCCGATGTCGTAAAAGAGAAATGACTCACATTTTTTTAAAAAGTGGTAAATACTTGCAAGGGCACGTTCTGTTTCGCATCCACTCAAAAATCTTATAGATAATATACATTTTGTCGTTGTCGAAATACCGACTGCAGACAATGTCGGAAGCAGAAAATTCGGCAACAGTATTGATTCCTGACAAAAACAAGAAGAAAACACTCTGTGGAAGTTGTGAAATTGAACTCGAACCCGACCATCCGGGAATACAATGTATTCAAGCTCATCATTATTGTGTCGAGTGTTCAGCTCGAATCGTGAATTTATTTTTCTCTGAACCACAACATTATACGCCTTTACGTTGTGTTCAATGTCATGTAGAATTGATTCCTGAGGTCTTCGAACGTCAATTAACACCAGAACAACTTGAATTCTACCTTCAACATATGCTCGTGCTACTTTGGGCGAAGGAAGTTGTCGGAGAAGATGAACGTTTGGACAGATGCCCATTTTGCAATTATGCTGTTGTTCGAAAAATCGATGATGTAAAATTTATTGATTGTCGTCATTCTGAATGTGGAACTTTTTCATGCTTAGTCTGCCGCAAAGCTTGTCCTAGATATACCAGTCCATATCTAACCGATGAGCAGTTTGCCGAACTCGATCATCACTTCAAATGTAGCAGATTGCATGATAATAAACAAGAATTCGAACGATATTTAGAAGCAGGTCAGAAAGTTCCATGTCCTAATTGTGGCCTTGCTGGAATGAAAGATGATTCGTGTACGCATATGACTTGTCCGCAATGTTCACAATTGTGGTGTTATTTCTGTGGAAAAAAAGTTGAAGATTGTGATAAAGCAAGGAATGGAACGAATGGGATCTACGATCACAATCTACGATGGGAAACGAATCTTCAACGTTGTCCGATGTACCTCATTCAATTGAATGATGTTGATAAGCGTTGGGAAGTTGATGAAGATCAATGCTTAGCTTTGTTTCATCGTCTTCGTTTGTTACGATTACTACGCGAAGCATTTGAGAAAATTGGCAGAGAAGATATTGATGAACTCGATAGGCATTTCAATATCGTTAGCACATGTGGTTTTACAATCGATGAGATTCTTCATGAAGATTTGACATTAATCCGCAATCGACCTGCTCAGTGAGAATCGTCTTCAAATAAACGCAGTGTTAACCAATGAAAATAATCTTGCTCCATTTACTACACATTGGAACAAAGTTTTTTTTTGTATTTATTCAAGATTTTACTATCGAAATTGTCAGAGAATGTCTCATGAAAATCACAGAATTAACTTACAATAAGCCAATAAAAATATTTTATCGATTTATCTCTGTACACGTTGTTGATTATAGCAGCTATAATCACGAAAAAGATGATTAATATTTATAGTTGTTGTTGTTGTTATTGTCGCTATTACTATTCCTTCGTTCTATCTATTCTGTATTTTTCCCGTTTTGTTTTGAGGATAAACTCGGGCTGTCTATTTATCTTTCAGTAATAGTTGGATGTTTTTGTATGTGTGATACGATGATTTTTTTCCTTCTCCTTTCTACACGAGTATGGTTTCAGGAGAAAGAAAAAGCAAAAAAAAAGTGTCATGATGAATCTCGCATCATACAGCATTTCGTTGAAAGAAAAAAAAGGAGAAAACAACGCCGACCTTGTAACATCGTCCGACAAGAAGTTTGTTTTTTCTTATTAAAGATTTTCTAAAGCACAAACTATCTACATGGCACTTCAATTAACTTTATCATGTGATTTGGACAAATCACAAACTGGTCCTACTCTCATTCATTCGACTGGAGTACAACACTACAAGATCCCACCAGAAGTGGTATGCTTTTAATTAGAAAATAAAACAAGAAGGAATTTATACTAGCGTAGATTCAAATTTTGCAACAAAATCTTTCTAACGATCGATTATCGGATGATTCCGAAGGCGTCCTTTGTCAAGACAATCCTCAACGTGTTCTTGGTGTTCTCCGAAGCAATGGATTTACTTTGCAAAAACAAACTACGGATACCAATAAAGCATTGTGGACATTAGTACAAGGTGGCGGTAGCGGCGGCCATCCTGCTCCTCCACCTCCAACTGACGAAAACAATGCTGATACTGGAGCAGAAGATCAAGGTGAAAATAATGAAGAAGGAGGCGAAGGGGAAGGGGAAGGAGAAGGAGAAGGAGAAGAAGAAGGGGAAGGTGAAGAATAATATTAATCATGAATTACAAAAAAAACTCATTCATTCAAAGTCTTCTATTCATTTTCTAAGTACACTTGATGGTGTGTTCGATGAAAACCTTTTATATATTAATTTTATTATTCGTAGTCTAACGCTTTTTCTTTGCATTATAATCATATCAATAAAAACAACGGCGTACTAAAAAAGTGTTGTTGTTTTACGATGAATTTTCGGTTGATTCTATTGTTCTGTTTTTCATTTTCTCGACATCCTTTTCCATAATTTCGACACCTTTACCAAGAAAATTTTCCGGTCCAACTTCTTCGATTTTGAAGCCATGACTTCGATATTTTGGACCTGGCTTGTGGTCATTCGACGAAAATAATTGATTCCACCACGTTTCTTTCACATACCACGGCTCAAAAACATATTTTGTTCGTTGATATCTTCCATACTCATTCAAAGGACATGACGATGGACCCTGACCGAAATCAGACGGATAAATACGTGGCAGCATACAGTGTCGTAAAAGCAAAGCTCGAATATTCATGACAAGATTTATAAAGTATTTCATCCGGTCAGGTGCTTGTTCGAAACCCATTGCCAAGCGAAGTCGCTCGTCAACGAAGGATAAATATGCTTTGCGAACGATACGACTCATAGATTTTGGAAATAGTAAAATCATTAGTTGTAATGTTGCTTCTCCACATATTTGATTATCTTTTGAAAAGATCATATGCTTTTCTTCATAACTATTTGTCCAATTTTCTAATTCTATCAAAGTTGATGGGATACTTGTGATACCCATCCGTATTCCAATTTCTTTATAGTAAACGAATCGAGCTTCTTCTTCAATGGGAACTAAGGACCGCCATTCGTATTTTTTAATCCATCGAATGGGTTCTAGTATGAATAAACTCAATGTGTACAGCATATCATCGTTACTTATACGATTGCCGTATAAACCATGTAAATAATTCATACGTGCTAAACCCATCCGACCCCGATCAGAGTCAAGTTCATGATAAAAAAATTCACCAAGTATCACTCCAGTATCTTCAGCCCGGCGACCAGCTGTATCCAAGTGAACCAATTGATTCGTTTGAGCAAGTAAACGAGCAATGGTAGGAATACCATAGGTGCGAAAGAGGGCGAACGAAAGAGCTGTCGTTATTGTATATGGCATTTCAAATATACTACTTTGAACAACGATATCTTGTGCTGTTCGGTAATCAAGTTGAACATGTTCGTATTTCGATAGGATAGATTTCAAACGACGAAAGCGGAAGTAACGACACAAATATAAGTATATCGAGAAAAATATGATAAAGCAAGTAAAAGTTGAAAGTGTCATATTTTCTATGTATCGCCAATAGACAGAGTCACAGGTATTTGTACTTTGATTTTCAACTACAACATGCACTCAATGTGCAATGTGCAGACAGAACGAGCGTTCTTTGCGACGGTCGAAATTTATTTCTACTGAAACGAAGAGAACGGTATTGATGAGAGCCTATTTGATTATATTTGAAAGTAAAGGTAAATATTATTGGTATATTAATACGCCGTCCATAGGGGACGTACTCATCATTACAACGCAATTAAACAGGTACTCGCTTCTTTTAGCACAAATAGTCACCCGTTGCGTATGCATCGGCGGGCCGGCAAAAAAATTTCAGGGGAGGCAATAAAAAATTTTTCAGTTATTATTACCACAGATATTCGTTTTTTCTGTGGCGAAAAAAATTTACTGCCCTTTCAAAAATTTTTCAGGGGGGGGGGGGGCAATTCCCCCCCTCGCCCCCCTCTGGCCCGCCGATGTGCGTATGAATACGGTCATTTCCAATAATGCAACCGTCTCTGGTTCGGTGTATTGATGAATAATACCGACTTATTTCAAAGTTCGGTTCCTGAATTTGATAAAACTTTATCTTTTTACAAATGTGTTGGTTTCTGTTGATATGATAACATCAACTATTATTCTTGAAGAATATACGTTTTTTAATTACTTTCATTCTGTCAATATGAACGAAAATATTTATCTTTATTTGATTGTAACAACAAATAAGACAGAAAAACAGTAATTTTCTCTCTCTCTAAGCTACTGCATTATTCCATTCTATCCGTTTCTCTCCTTTTCTCATCTCACCACCACATTCTCAAGCACATTGACGAAGAGAAAAACGGTACATCCGCATGAGTTATACAACACCCCAATTCGACGTCAATCGGTAGTGGAAAAACGACGCCCACTGATTCTCTTTTCTATATACAGCAATATCCTCTAGGAGGAAATATTTTTTCTTCGTGTATGTTGGCGTATCTGTCTACTCTGTGTGTATGGTAGAAAAATGTCCATATAGAATAAAAGATCAGAAAAGGTTCTTTCTTTCTTTGTAAGACGAGTGGTTGATTCTTCTGTTTTTGTGATTCCTTGCTGTTATTACTACTATCATCTTAGTCTTTACCATCACATATATATCGTTTACTCGACAAGAGAAATTTCTGTCCATGATTCGAAAACTCGTTGAACTCAATTTTGAATGCAATTAACTACAGTCTTCATGAGTGACGAGCCTGTAATACCTGAAATAAATCATCAAAATGTAGACGATGATGAAGAAAATAATGGTAAAAATCAAACAGAAGAAACTGATAAGAATCAACGTTTACTAACAGCTTCACCGTCAAAGACTAGCAAATCAATTCCTCGTTCGCCATCGCCATCGCCTCGTCCAACAACAGCTGGCCCACCCGATCGTGCCTTAAATCAAAAATTTCATGTTGCTGCGTTGACCGGAAATCTAGATGTGTTACAAGAACTAGTAACCAAAGCCCGTATACCAATCGATTGTCGTGATAGAGAAAACTCAACTGCTTTATTATTGTCATGCGCGCGTGGACACTATTCATGTGCGGAATATCTATTAGCCAATGGAGCTGATCCCAATGCTCGACGTCTGACAGGTGCATCGCCACTATACTTTGCTTCTTCGTATCATCACACACGTATTGTTGAACTTCTACTAAACAAACACAAAGCGGTTGTGGATTTATCAACATTCGACGGTTCAGCTCCCTTACACGTTGCTTGTGAAAATGGCTTTGCTGATATTGTTCAGCTCTTAATAAGTGCACAAGCGAATGTAAATGCAAAAATGAACGACGGAACAACGGCGGTTATGTTAGCATGCCAAAACGGACATTTGCCTGTTGTACAACTGCTCGTGTCAACAGGTCAATGCGATTTAAATTTAAAACGTTTGGATAGTGTTACGCCATTGCTTCTTGTTGTTCAAAATGGCCACGAAGCTATCTTCGATTATCTCCTTGCCAATGTAGACAATATCAAAGAAACAATTGACTTTCCCCGCGAAGATGGTGCAAGTCCGATATTCAAAGCGTGTCAAAAAGGATACGAATCATTGGTTAATAAACTGCTCAAATTTAAACCAAACCTTGGTTTATTAAAAAATGGAGAATCGGTGCGTAAAAACAATTCTCAGTCCACATTTATCTCATACGAACTAAAACATCTCCGCTTCAGTTAGACTGATTGATACATCCTTGCACTGATTGGATGTCTATCTATAGACGAAATGTCAGACAATACAGATAATATAGATGCACTCTAAAACTACTAGTTAACATCTCATAGACACATTTCATACTGATTCAAAGCTATAGATTCATCGTTCGATTTTAATTCTAGTGCTTACATGCTGCAACCATGTTCAATCACGCATTGATTGTTCGTAGTCTTCTTGATAATGGCGCGAATCCGCTGCTGAATAACTGGGAAGGTATGACAGCTGTCGATTTGGCTAAAGAAGCTCAAATCAAAGATATTCTGGAACTTCTAATGAAAGCATTAGCACCCAAGATGACCGAACATGGTCGACAATATCTGTTACACAAGAGTACGCGACGAAGTGATGCTGACTTCGATTTAGATTTAGTTGAACACGAAGAACGTGACGAATGGAAATTGTACAAGAGTTTGAAGTCTGCTGCTGAATTAGAACGTTTAGAAGAAGAAATTGAGCATATACCAGTGCTTCCAGACCTACCAGCTGGCAAAGGAAAGGGCGGTGCGAAACCCCACCGGCCACATCGTTATCACTCGGCACCACAAAAGAATTGAAATTTTTCTTGACATTTCAAATCAATCGAACACCTCGTTTTAGGATAGAACTCTATTGCGAATCTCACCAAGTAGCTCTACAAATGATAATGATCATGGTGATCAAGTGAACAAAACAAAAACAGAGAAAAGCAACAAGTGTTCCATGTTTTTCAACTCCTGTACTTGTTCAATTAGAGAAAATGAAATCTTTTTTTTTTTCAATTCGCTTATTTATTGTATCAAAAAACCTTGCAATGATAAGGCCATTTTCATTTCATTATTAAAAGAAAAACTTCTTTGGAGATTTTTGTATTCAAATGAATAATACACTTGCAATGATGAGCTCCATTGTGTTGATTCTTCTCTGACTTAATGAGTCAAACTGAAGTCGCAACACTGGTTGTGACACTCTCGTCTGATATATGATCAATTTAATGAAGTACAAACTTCTTCTTCATCAATAATAGTATATGTGACAGGATAAAATTCATCAAATGAATGCATTGAGACACAAATGCACTTTGAGCGAGGTTCGATGATTCGCATCATATTTTGATTGGCTGTTCTTGATCAGCCAATGACGAGTGACATATACCTATGTGTGTATGTGTGTTTATTTTATTTATTCTCGTCGTCTCGTTTTCAATGATTTTCGGAAAGTTATTTAGACACATGAATCTCATTGCCGTTTGTTTCAGATAGTTTCTGTCCATCATACAGAAAAATAGTTAATCAAAATGGTCCAACGATTAACCTATCGTCGTCGTTTATCGTACAACACCAAGTCCAATCGGGTTAAAGTGTATGTCGAAATTCTCCTATAAGTACTGTTGGAAAAGCTCGTTTTGTATTTAGTGTTAAGACACCCGGAGGTAAATTGACGTTTCAATACGTTAAAAAGCGTGGAGCAGTGCCCAAATGTGGTGATTGTAAAGTTGAATTACCAGGAGTAAGCTTTCCTCGATTGCACGCTTTCCATGAGAATAAATTGATTTACAATCTTGATGTGTTCTAGATCAAGGCATCTCGACCAAAAGAACGTATGAGTATGACCAAACGATTGAAAACAGTATCACGTACTTATGGAGGTTCACGATGTGCCAAATGTGTACGACTTCGGTAGGAAACACGAGTGATCGTGGAAGTCACTTTTCTTTTCTTGTTCTAGTATTGTTCGTGCCTTCCTTATTGAAGAACAACGTATTGTTGCTATGGTCATGAAATCGAAGAAAACAACCAGTACCACAGACGCTACACCAGCAGCACCACAAGCAATTGGTCAAAAATCGAAATAGAAGAAAGATGTTTTTGATTTGTTGTTTCTCTCATTCGTAAACAACTGCATATTTGAGAGATTTAAGAAAAAATAAAGAAAAGAAACTAACCGATAGATATTCTTTATGTCACCTTCTATCACAAAGAAGAATACTCACAATACACTGAAGCACAATTCATGCTGATCTATGACAGGGAACGATAATCTACAGCATATGTAAACATTACGATCATCAGACCCTCATTTCTATACTCTCTCTTATCCATTGTAAAAAAAGTAGATGATTTCATTGTTCAAATATCGATTTTAACAATACCAAGCTTAATATGTATTTATGCAGGAAGACTCTATTGACAGAGATTTACTTAGTACAAACACAATGAGAATATTTTCATAAGTACGGTGTTAAATCAACATGTTGATATATCGTTAAGTTAAGTTTGTTGAACCACACACATCTGGTGTGAATTGACAAAGGATTTCAACAGTTTCTGTGTGCATTGCCTGTAGGATTACAAAAATTCTTGTCAGATATTTTTTGATTATCACGATAGTTTTCTTTTTAAATTCTTGTTCGAAATTAGCGAGAGAATAGAGCGTTAAAATACAGAGGGCGAGAGAACCGATGAAAATTACGAGTAACAATAGAATAACGTCATGTTAACAAGACGATGAAAATGAACCAGGAAGAAATAATAACAATAAATATATGTATATATTGTGTGTTGTTAGCTACATTTGATTTCACAACAGTCGAAAAAAAAAAGAAGTAAAGGAAAAAAAGACAAACATTTCATCATATACTTTTATGCTGATAGATCAAATGAAAAATACATATGGAATAAATGTCAAGCTTGCTTTTCGAGAATTCAGAGACCTTAATTGAATCTAAAACCTTTATCATTGGCTGCAGCAACTGGTGGCCCGTCAGGTATGGGTTGTGCACCGGCGCGACTTGACATTTCTTCTTTTGTTGCTCTACAAGATAAACAAATCAAGTGAAATCTGTGAAAACATATGACTTGAATTACTTTTTGCCAACGGTTAACATGAATTGAATGGCTCCATTCACGAGTAAACAAATGAAACCCAATACGATACTTATCGATTGACATAGAACAAGTGGAATAAGAGGTGGCCTAAATTCAATCGAGTGAAATTCAATTCTTCATCTCTGACAAAGCAAAGTGTTCGAACAAGAGACTTACAATGAATAGAGCATTGCTTTTTGCCATGCTGGACGAGTCTCGGAAAATTTCGCCACTGGTTGAGTGTACGAAACGAATTGACAGCAAATGGGTACTTCGAACATGATCATTGAAAAGCCGAGAAAACTAAAAGACATTTTAACTACAATTTATCGTCAGACAAAAGATATTAATGTACATCATTATAATGCCAGCTGCGATACATGAAAGCGAGACACTAAGTGCACCAAAGACACCACATATCATTGCAACTAAGAGAACAGAAGGAGAAAAACAAACGAAGTATTTCAAAAACATCCTAGTCAGTTCTTTCGAAAGCTTACGAATGCCAGTGACAACGGCAACAATTCGAATGAGCCAACGAAACCAAAATGTCGTTCCTTCTTGTTGCGGCTGCTGGTTATCAATGTCCACTGCGGTTTGAAATGCATTCATAGCTCCTCCAGCAAACTTTGCTGTTTGTGCTGCTTGATTTGCGTTGAAATTCATATTTAATTCACAATCCAAACTAAAGTAAATCATGAGTCATGTTTGTTCGGTTATTAAGATCTGCCTTCTTACTTTTAAAGATAGTTGACAACAGATATCTAATGTTTTTTCACAACTTGATATTCACGTGTATGTGTTTGCGTATGTGTTTGATACGATGTAAACGAGAAGGAGAATGAATAAATAATAATGGAGCTAACCGTGTTTCGTTTGTGTGATGACTAGTCATGAAAAGAGTGCGCCACAAGCGATGCACATTGCGCCTCGATTGTAGTGCATGACAGTAAGACTATTCTTATAGAAGATTCTCTCATTGGATAGCGTGGCAGGAATTTTACCAAACAGCACGATTTCATCTAAATATCTTCTTGGTTCCAGATAAAATCTCTATTTCACATTTACAGACGAAAATGCTGTTGATAAAACCAACCCGGTGTATACTAGTCTATTTGATAATGATAGTGTTTATTGTTGGCTCTCATTCACAAGATATTTTTGATATTTTCAACAATGCCAAAGATCAAGTCGTGCAGAAAGTGGATTATGCTTCGACAAAAGTCAAAGAAAAAGTTCGACAACAGGTACTCAACCTGGTATGGATTCATTCGAAGATTCAATCTTTCATTGACCAACACTTTGTCTTCGTAGAAAGATGGTGAAACTTGTCCACCAACACATACAACAGAATATCGAACAGTTTTAGCTGCCTATCGACATGTCATTAAAGATTGGCTTGAAAAGTTTCCTGTAAGTTCAGTGACGAGTTTAACCTTCCTTGAGAAACAATTCTTGATTTTTTCCAGTCACAAAACTCCAAAGACTACCGTCTTTTAATTGATCTGTCTTCTGATGATATTAACCGTCTCAACGAGTTCGCCACTTCAAATCAGTATGAACAAGTGAGTTATATGACCAATACCTTAAACTTTAGTTGTCACGAACCGCTCGCTTCTAGAAAGATGTACTTCATCAAGTACACATGGTGTCTGATATTCTGAAACATATGGTATATGAAGTTCAAGATACACCATTGATAAACAGTCTAAGTTGGTCGAATTGGATTCGATCCTTTAATATCAATACAATCATTAAAGTAAATGAAGCAAAAAACATGACATTCATAATGCTCATTTGATCTTTTTAGAGCACACTTGTTCTTCTGGCGATTGGTGTGGTAAGTTTTATTAGTATTCGAACACATCTACGTCGAGGTCGATGGTTCACAACGTTCGTTTTTGTGGCATTCATTGTATCTGTTATGCAAAACTGGTATACACTCTATCAAGTAAATTCGCTCTCATTGTTTCGGAAGGCAAAACACGAGGAACCGTTGTTGATTGTAGGAAGCACAAGCAAAAGTCAATGAAGTGTTAATGAAAAAACTGCCCAAACATTGCCAAGGTCAATCCATGGGATTTTTCGATATGATCGCAGCTAAACTTGGTCGTTTTGTCGAATTGCCATCGAATGAATGCCGCGAGTATCATATAGCAATGCAATCATCGCCACATTTGCAAGTCACACCTATCCAAGTAATGTCTTTTTTTGTTTGAGCGAGTGTATATTAATCGTTTGTTTTGTCATTCAAGGCTATATCGATGACTTTCGCTCAATTATTTACAACACCACTCGGAGCTATCGGTGAAAGTTTATCTCAATTCTTTGCCGGTACAATGCGACACGTTCCCTTTGTACTATGGCCGGTGATTATTCTTTTAATTATATTCATCGCTATCGTCGTTATGTTGATGTACTCTCGATATGAAGTTCATCTGCCATTTATGATGGGCTCTCTTCGACCATCTCCACATCCAGCTTTACCGCAAACAACGCCCATAGCTGAACCGATTGAAGGCTCCACAAAAGAAACAGCAAATCAAGTTCGTCAATTACAGCATCAAGTGGAGTCGCTGAAATTGGAATTGGCAAAGCAAAATCTTTCAATAGAACATCAATCACCAACGTCTACTCGTTCAAGTCGACCATCATCAGTAGAAAATCCTTTAAGAGAACGCGAACGGTCTCAATCAAATCAACGATCAAACAGGGAAGATTCCATTGAAAGTGGACTTCGACAACGATCAACACCGAACAACATCGGATTCAAACAGGAATTTCTTCCTGATTAAATTTTTTTCTTTATTTTTGTGATATTTGTAAAAAAAAAAAATTTTAAATAAGCATAAAGTTAAATAACCAATCTCGATTCTTATGTATCTGATTAGCTGAACGTCAAACAGACGAACAGGAGTATTATTGACAAGTGATACTTGCAGAACATATTCATGACATACTTATGTTAATACAAGCGTTTCTTTCTATTCTTTCTTTTTCAACAAGGAAATTTACAGACCAGCAAGTACGCAAATCTCTTGCGAGTCTAACTCTCGATTATACAATCGAAATTCATCCATCATACCGATGAAAGATCCCGAGGAAATGGGTATACTACCCGCTAAGCAACTAGCAGGAACCGGTGGTCCTACCGAACCAACATTAGCTAATGTAATGTAGGCCACTGGATTTAAATCTTGTAAACTAAGAGTACCAATATTCAATGATGACGTTGCAAATTGTCCGTTGACGAACAAACGTATACCGTTTACATTATTGTAAACTACAGCGATGTGTGTCCATGTATTTGATGGTATAATGGGTCCCATAGTACTATTTACATTTGGACCGGGTTGCATCCATTGACAAACTAAAGCTCCTGACGATGCGAAAGCAAGAAGATCATAGCAAGTGCCTGATCCATTTGCCATCGTAGACAAATGTATTATAGTACCGCTTGGAGTGCTACTGGTCGGATTGATCCATAACGAGAAGGAAAAAGATTGTTCATAATTTCGTAATCGAGGATAACACAGAGCTTGAAAGTAACTGGTACTTGACGTAAAGGATACAGCTTGACCAACACGACCAATGGAAACTGCATTCATTCCTGATGCAACACCATTACACAGATTAAAACTGTAATCGTTCCAAGTGCCATTTGAGTCAAACGGATAGTAGACTACTAATGTCGCGTCGTTGTATATTTGACAGGTAGTGCGTGTAGAACCGGCTGAAATGGTGAACTGATCGATCCTTCTACAAAATAAAATAAGAAAAAGTGCAATACTACAGATTCAAAACATATGAATGAAAGAGAAAAGGCTAGAGCAATGAGCGTACCCGAAATAGTATGAAGGTCCATAGGACACCGATGACGTTTTTCCAATGATTGTGACTGAACCTGTTGACGTTGCTCGAAATGGATTGACAATACCACTTGAAATAGCATCGATCTCTCCATTAACATAGATCTGCTGTTGCAGTCGATTTAAATCGTACACCAACGTCACATGAAACCAATTATTTGTTGAAAGCACAGTCGTACCAATCAATACATTACTTGACGCGTTCATTGCATCAAATGAGAGTGCCACCCTCCCAGATCGTATACTTAACGATAGACAAATAGAGTTTGAATCACATTGGCTAAATATACCCAGATCGTTCCCGGCACTAATTACTGTTGGATATACCCATGTTTGTACCGTAAAACTTCGCAGGGATAGATTGACATACGGTATTTGAATATACTGTTGGCTGCCAGCGGGCAAATAAACTGCTTGACTTATATATCCTGGATTACTAGCCGATAATACTGGTGAGCCATACGGTGTACCTGTTGCATATCCTGTTAGATCATTATAATTGCCGTCGAATTGATAAAGAACAGTGATAATCGTCGTACGGTAGGGTGTTTCTCGTCCAATACATGTTGAATTCGAACAAACCGAAACCGTAATATTAGTGAAAGAAGCTAGTAAATCAAGAAATATTCAACGATTGATATAGAAATTAATTCACTTACACTCCGAGTTTTGACGAATAACTGTAAAATACACAGGTAGAATAATTATGATAAGGATGACTGTTATTATGGAGATTATACCAATTACCTTCAGAAAAAACTTTTGTTTTGGGGTCAACTGGCTAAACGATTGAAATAATAAGTTTGGGTAGAAGTAGAACACAAGATTTATAAAGTACTTACTTATACCAACTCCAGAGCCTATTATTATACGGGATTTTTTTCGCTTCTGGAGTATTGAGATTCTCAATTGGAGGAGATATCGGTGAGACCATGTTAACTGATGATAGGCGATTTATTTTCGGCTTTTTATGGGATTCATCACTGCTTCGTTTTGTCGACGCATTGATTGGCGCTGGTTTTAAAGAAGTCAAAGGCAGATAATCCACAGCAAGTGTGCTGGTCATGTTTGTTGGAGGGGAAATTTGCTCTTGACTAGCAGTAGGCTTTGTCTACAAAGTGAACCTGGAATATCCTGTGTGAAACAGTTGTACACATACCTTTTGAGCAGCCGCATTTGCACGTGGAATATATTCAATACGTGCTCGAATATCTTTTTCAACACAGCGTGTTTTCTCCATAGATCTTCAATCACAACCGAAAGGAGAAGTGATACACACGAAATCGTCTATTGTCCTTTATGCCGTTGATGTATTGCTTGAAGTATTATTAAGAAATTTAGAAAGATTCATTCGCGACATTGTTGAAATTGTGAGCAAAAGTGGAATAATTTATTCTTCGTCTTTTATTTTGTCTAATTTCGAACTCTCCGATTGCTTTTAATTCTATTTATATTCAACATGAATTCTATCAGAATGCCTTTGTTTTCTTTCAAAATAAAACAATACCAAACATTCATCTATGCGTTCGATTTCTTACAATTTCAAAAAGAAGTTCTCGCGAAAGTATTCTATCATAACTGTCCATATTGTTTCTTCAAAGTTAATAAACTTATTGATATTCATGATTATGTTTTCACAAGGATTCACCGTTATTAATTTAGAGGATTCGAACGAAGGAACATTGTGCTTTATGTGATTCCATAGAACATCTAGCGCAAAAATAAGTATTTTTGTAGGAAAAAAACGGACAACAAACATGGAAAGCATCTTTCAGTGTCTAGTAGATACTAGCGTCATCTGCCATTGCTTGATTTATTTGTCAATTAGAACGGCCTGTCCTATTCATTGATTCATTCATTTATCTATATTTGTGTTTGGCATTGGTTGGTAGATGATTTAATACATCTCTGTCCCTCTCTTGTCATCGACCATGATTAATATGTTTACTTCGTATATATTTTATCTACGTTGAGGACAATCATTGACAATCTGATTCTTCTTTTTTATTTGAGATTCAAACATCAAAATGGTATGTTTCTTCGTGTTTTCGAATGAATCAATGAAAATTTTTCTACAAACTTTCATTTAGACTCAAAATAATACATCAATCTTATCAGATGTGAGCACGTGTCTCAACGAAGCTATGGACTCCATGTTCAACAATAGTCCCAATATCTTAACATCTGATCAGACAACTTTTCACTTCGATTTATCCAGTGATAGTAAATTTCTGTCGCCTGAAACACTGAAATTATTGATGAATAAGCGAAAGCTAGCCTCGGATGCAGTTGCTACTGATGGAGGAGCAGAAGAAGACAATGGTAATGTCAAACGTTTATGTTCAATGAATGATCATCATCAACAAGAACAAAGAACGTGATTTAGGATGTTAAGAATCCATTTGTCAGATGAACGCTGTATTAGCGCGTTGCATATCGATTGATCAATCGTTGTGTACATGTTGATAGTAATGTCTGTTCTGGAATTTGTTTATATATTTTCAGAATAATAAAAAGAGTCGAGAAAAACCATGGATCTAATTTCATTGCTATCAAAGAAAATCATTATTGATCTAATCGATCAACTTTATTGTGTATTATTACTTGTTCTTTAAATACAGAAGAAAAAAAACACATATTGCATGTTACAGCAAAACAAATGCTTCTAAATATCTGTTATTGTTGTGTATTTTCCCGTCGTAGTATTATTGCTATTGCTTGAAATGGCCGTTGTTAAGGAGAATGGATTTGTTTGAGCTAACGACATCAAATCCACTGGTAATGGAAAAATGATGGTTGAATTTTGTTCTGTAGCGATATTACTCAATGTTTGTAGGTATCGTAGTTGCATAGCACATGGTGATTGAGAGAGAATATCTGCCGCTTCTCTTAATGCATTGGATGCTTTGAATTCCCCTTCACTGGCGATAATCTAACAAAACACGATAGAGAGTGTGAACAAACAAAACTGATGATAAGGATTACTTTTGCTCTTGCTTCGCGTGCTGCTTCAGCTTCAGCAGCCATGATTCGTTGGAGACCTTTCGGTAGACGAACATCCTTGATCTCGACTCGTTCAACTTTGATACCCCAATTGTCAGTTGCATCATCTAGACATTCTCGCATAAAATTCGATACAGCACCACGATCGCACAGTAATTCCGATAACAAACGTGTGCCCAGAACGTTTCTCAATGATGTCTGTGCAAGTAGATGCGCTGATTCTTGAGCATTCTCAACGTTCGAAATTGATCGTGTTGGATGAAATACTCGATAATATACAACGGCATCGACAGCAACTGTAACACTATCACGTGTCAAGACTTCTTGAGGAGGTACATCAAATGAAACAGTACGAATATCAACGAGATGGAGAGTATCGATACATGGCAAAATGAAACACATTCCAGGACCGCGCGCGGATGCACTATTTAAACGACCTAAACGAAAAACAACTGCACGCTCGTATTCCTGGACGATTTTCAACGCAATAAATATTGAAAATGGAAAAAAGAGTATGATCAAACACCAAGAGCAGAGAATCAATGTTGTTTCACAAAGAGTTCGCTGTTCCTTGAATAATTCTTCGTCAATAACATATGGTACATCATGTTTTCCCAATAAACGACGATGATTTGGTCGGGTATGTTTTAAAACTGGTTCTTCTCGACGACGAGTATCATCAAATATCGCTGCCAGGGACGATTTTCGACGCTCGGTACGTGTCGGGGTCACATGTGATGGCATCAATGGAACGGTAAATGGTTGTTGCTCATCATTGTCATTGAACGCTGTTACATCAGTTGCTGATTCTCGTCGTGATGAACTCATTTATGACTATATAGAATAGGAATCTAATAAAAGAAACGTTATCGGAACGAAATAACCCTTTCAATAGAAGAAATATATTGTGAATGAAAAGAAGCTTTTAATAATATATTTCATGTTCCTATGTATGTAAGACGACATAAGACAGATCATTTTCACAGGAACTTATGGAGCAAACGATAGAGGAAAATTCTACCTATCTACTTATCTGAGAACCCAAAAGTATAAACATCTCTAAGTGATGAATACGTCTCGACAGACGGACTAGAACAATTAAGTATGATACTTCACGTACCAATAATATCGATCATAAAGGTTCAATGAAAATTTCATTATTAAAATCTCGGCAAAAAAAATGCTCGTCTGTACATGAAGTTCGATGCTTGATTGTTGCTGCGATGTCTAATAAAATGTTTGCATGGAATCGAACAATAATTGCTTCATTTGATTGACGAGAACTCGCACAGATGTACTTATTTGATTATGGTCATGATTAATTGATACATGCATCCTTTTTTTCTTTTCCTCTTTTTCTTTCCTTAATGAATAGACATGGTCATTTCAAGAGTTTGTAATACTCTGTCATCGATTTACTTTTTCCTGTGTGTTGATAATTTATTATCAGCATAGAAAATAGACAATAAAGATAATTAGCTGAAGACATATCGAAACCTTCATTTTCTTTATCCTATTCCCATGGATATAACTTGCTTCTAATTAAAAATGAGAATCGTCAACTTTGATTCTATTGAAGAGATAGACATCTATGAAATACCTACGATTGGTTCGATTCGTTTCACCAGTGATTTTTCTGTAATTGCATATATTTTCTTTCAATTTTTGAAAAAGTGCATAAAGACAGACAACGATGTCAACGTCAGTCGAATCGTTCAAAACATTTGCAGCGAATCTGCCCAAAACATTTTCTCATCAACCATGTATGGTTGTTCATGTATCACAATCGAATTTACCACCATCACCCTGGTCCGGGAATACAAATCGTAATACTCAACTTTGTTGTCAACCTCATTTCGATCCGAAGACCAATGGTGGTCAGTATGAAATAGCTTTCTATGATAATGGTTATGCGTACTACGAAGAATTAGCGGGAACGCGTTTGCTTAGACGTTTAGAACGTTACAATCCTCAAATGGAATTTCCCGATCTACCGAAAGTGTTAAATGCAATGAAACAAATCTTAGAGAATTCAGCGACAAATCCGACCGGTAATCAAATCAATGTAAAATTGCTGAATGATGATGAATTAGTTGTTGAAATCAAAGGTAAACACTTTGACAAATCTTAACATTCGATATCGAATTGAACAATTTTAGGTCTTTTACAAGGTTCAATCCTTTTCACATATGTATTCGAATGTCGACGACGTGAAGGTGAATTCTACGAAGCTAACTATGTTCGTCAAATCGTCTACTGTCTTGCTGAACGTAAAAGTCGCGAATTAGAATTGATTAAAATCATTCAAGCTAAAGACAAGGAACTTGATGATTATCGTTCTCAAGGCACATGTCAACTCCAACGTCCCTGGCTTGCGACACAACCATTTGATAAAGATGATTTTGATAAATCAACCTCACAACAGGCTCAACAACGTCATGATGATGTTCTTCTTCACACATTAGATCTTGCATTCGATCGCGAAGGACAACAATTGATCGAGGATTGTTTATTAAGAAATGAATATCGCAAACGTGCGCATTCGTCACAAGGTAGTAATAGTGCATCATCAACGAAGACACCTAAGACGACAAATTCATTACAAAAACGCACGCCAAGTCGACAGCAGTCAACTTCAAGTCAACCATTGAATGATGAAGAAGCAGCGGCTGAACGTCGTCGACACGCAGAGCTTGAAGAACGACTTCGATTAGATAAAGAACGTGATGAACAAATTGCTAAGAAGAAAAAGAAGAAATTTGTCTAATCAATTGTTTTATTTATGTGTGATAGTCCTTTTACTCTACTTTTGTATATGTCATACAAATACATCAATGTTCGAACAATAATATGATTGAATAGCAAAAACATATCTTCTCTAGTATCACAGTAAATTCGACGTTGTCGAGTGCGATATTCATGAACGAAAAAGAGAAAAAAAAAAGAAAGAAGTAATCGATTGAGTATGATGAGAATGAAAGAAACACGTAAGGTAGCAAAAGAAAGAATACACGGGAGATATGGCCTATTGCCAAATCAACGAAGAAGAGACAAAAACACAAAGTGATATCGATGACTGAGCCGAGAAATAAGGGTGAGAGTGTGGATATTTTCGAAACAAGTTTTACTATTGAAATAGTCATTCGATGCGAAGATCACGTAAATATCTCACTTTCGGGTTTCTTTTGGGTACATTTGCATTTAATATTTATCTTCTCTTGCAATTCCATGTGGAAGAAGAACCAGTACTACGCTATGAATCTCAACAAAAACAATTTCTTATTTTGGACTGGACGGCGAAGCATCACATATTCAGAGAAGATGAGATAATACAATGTAAGTCTTTGCGGACGCATTGCAAATGATATCGAGTTCATTCTAGGTGATTTCTCACATATTACTCCTGAATATTGTCAATCAAGATTCGATTCGATCGCGAGTGAATCTCGCCGTTCATATTTCATTCAGCGTTGTTCTCATTTACCAACACTTGCAATCCGTTGGACGGCTGACCAATCGTATCTGAAACAAGCTGACCTTCTTTCTTATCATTCTATCCACATGCCATGGAAAAGATTGCCCAAACTAATCCGAAACGATCGCAAGCAGCAGTTTTCCACTGTGTATGTTTTGGAAAGCGAAGTACATTCATCTAACGGTCAACATTGGCATCATATCGATTTTCCTATGTGGTACAATCTTCAACATTCATATCCCGCGCCAGCAACATATTTCGATCTGAAAATATATCTGAATCAACTGTTCGCACCAGTTCAAGTACCATTTCTGAACAAAACAACCAGTGCTTCGATTGTTTGGATTATTTCCAATTGGTAAATTCATTTCCTATTGTGATAAGTAACAAAAAAAAATGAAAATGACGTTCTGTTTAGTCGTGCTAACAATGGTCGTCAGACATTAATCGAGAATTTAATGGCTTATATTCAAATTGATTCATATGGCAAATGTCTAAACAATGTTCATTCAGACAATGTTCGCATTCGTCAACAATCAAACTCAATTCTATATTCATCCTACAAATTCGTCATTGCTATCGAGAATTCCAATTGTGAAGATTATGTCACCGAAAAACTACTTGATGCATTCGCATCCACATCGATTCCAATCGTTGCTAGTCGAAATGGTAAACCAGATTATGCACGATTTGCACCGGAATATTCCTATGTCAATGTCTATGATTATTCATCACTGAAGGAACTGGCTGATTATTTGAAGTACCTATCGAACAATGAAACAGCTTACAACGAATATCTCTGGTTTAGACGATTGCCTGCAAACAAATATGCGGTGAGGGTTAACAGAAATTGAAAATGAATGAATCATTTCAAATTGTTCTAGACATCAAAAGGCACGGTCACCCGAACGTTAGCAGAATATCTTCAATTAGCTGATGAAATTTTAGGTCGCAATGCAACAATGCGTCAGTGGTTGTTAACTAAAGAAACAAGTGTTAATAAATATTGTAAATTAGCTCAGTTTATCTATACAACTGACTGGAAGGTTATAGACAAACGAAAGAAAATCGATCGTCTATCGGCAAATGAAGTATGTCTACCTCGTGATGACTTGATATCGCATTTTATAAAATAAACTGAATTTACCAGTCAGTTGTTCCTTCAGATTTTCTTTGTAAAAGAACTTTTTCATTAACGAGCTAGTACGTATTGTAATTCAAATGATGAAATTTGACACACTTTCTTTTCAAAGTCATAAATATTGTCTACATGTCGTGACATCCGCAGAAGTGTCGTAGATACTTTGTGGAAGAATGAGAATTGATTAATTGTTGTTCTTTCATGTGAATAGTAAAATGTCAGGATTGTTTATTGAATATCGTCAGGTGCAATGAATTTTATTTCAAAATTTCGTCGAAAAATTCGAGAAAACCCATAAAAAATTATTCTAATGGCAGTTTCCACACAATAGCATTACACATTTATCCGAGTGCAATTTGAATATTTAATGACGAAAGAAAAAAAAAAGGTCTACCATAATATGGCTTTTCCTCTTCTATTTAATAAATTAGTTGAAGAAGAAAAGCATAGAAACTATTGTCGTCACAATAACCAGCGCCTACAGATGCATCTGTCTGACTTTTATGACTAAATACCGGTGCATATATATACTCGTCTGAACATTTTTCTCCAGAGCAGTTTTTCAAACTTCGATTATTGAAGAATTAAAATGTGGTTTCGAACATTTTGTTTATTAACACTTACAATCTACTTGGAAGTTCACTGCTATGTTCCTGTTCCAAGAATCTACCGTCAAGTTGAGCTGGCTCTTCGTCATTATTCAACCAATACAGATCACAATCCAATCATACATTCGTTACTTAATGTTCTGGTTCATGATAAACGAGCGAAAGCATTTGTTACCGATCAAGCAATCGAGAAATCCTTAGAAGATGTGAAAAAGTTCAATAGAAAAGACGAACATGTTCTACGACGACTTCTGTATGGAACAAAAATTTTACCATCGAATAAAAAACTGCCGACTGTTTTGGAAGAAAGCATCGAATCAGCATTGAATACATTTTTTACATATCCACATGTTGATGATAACCAAACATTTGAAATTATAACTCGTGAAAGAAAACAATTTTAATCTCAATAAACAATCCGATATACTCTGACTCATTGTCTCTTGTTAGTGTATAAAATATCTGTATTGTTCGTTTTTATATAAATTCAATGAATAGAACACTTCTTTTAATCTCATTTCTTTTGACACAGATTCTAAGAGTTCATGTTCAAAATATCGAAACGATGAAATAAACACATGTACTACAGCGCATCCATACAATGTCTCTTGTCACCTTTGAAAAAGGAGAAGAAAAGAAATGCAACATGAATCTGACAGTATCATTTCGAATCGATGATTATCAGTATATACTTCGGCGCAGTTTATAATAGAAATCTATTTTTGTTTTCTTTAAACGAGACTCTGACGTCAATGCATTCTTAAGCACATTTATGTCAGTATTATTGGTTGATCCATTCTTTTAATTTTAAGGATTAAACACGCCACATACATTGACGTCGATTATCTCAGAGTGAAAACACGTTTTGGTCAATGCAATTGTATAATAGATTCTTATTTACTATCTTAATATGTAGGGTGCAAGTGCATCATTCGACAATTGACGTCAAGAGATTTACCAGCGACAGAATGTCAAATATTTACAATTCGAGCATCAAATGACAGTTTTAGAAAACTTTTAGAAAAAGAAACCAATATTGATCTAGCCGATTCAATATTTTTATTAAAAATATTACCTTATATAAGCACCCATAGACGTAATCATCTGACCGATGTAAAAAAATACGAGCAGCTCGACTGGTAGATAATAAACTTAATTATATTCAAACAATAATGGAAACTATTCTAGTCGTACTGTTCTTGTAATTGTCGAACGAATCTCACGTGTGTTCATAATGAGATGAGATTGTTCTGACGTCTGTATTACGAATAGATGACGTAGTAAATTGTTGATGATTGATGAGCACTGAACATACAGCACTAGGAGATTAGTATTCAAAAGTCTTTACTTTCGTAGCATTATAAAGATGATAACTGAATCAGACAGTAAAACCGGATGATGAACCATCATTGAATAATAATGCATTAAAACTAAAAAACCAAATGCTGTATAGCAAAGATACGATGGACCTTCTTTTGTCTTTATTTCATCCTGGTTTGATTACGTCTATTCTGTACCATCAAAATTGTCGGAAAAACTTCATTGCTCACGAACCATTATTAATATCTTGTTCTAATTGTTGAACACTTCAACTATGAAACTACTCAGATAAGATGCTAACTTACTATAAATATAACATTGAAATGGCGTATCTCGATACTCTAACAAAATTTTTACGTCATGGACGTTATTTTTACACTTAAGGGTATATTATCTATACGATTGAAATACGGCTCTTGACAATAACTGTCGAAACAAACAACACCGATCAATCCCTATGTTTGCTGACAATGTATGATTTGAACATACAGCTCTATGAATAAAACATTCTTGCCGATACCAACAAAGTGAACCTATGCTATGGTTAATCTTCAAAATGGGAAATGTAGTCATTGTCGTACTTCAAAATAAATTCATTATCTGAATCCTTTCCTTTCCTTTATAAAGTCGATAATACATTCACGATCAGAAAATATCGTTTTCCATACTGTGCTATGTTGTTGTCTCGGAGAAACACTTCAATCAGCAGGCGAAACAAAACGTTCACCAAGTTAGTTCTTCTACAAACTAAGATCGTTTAGGATCTTATTAATGATACTTACGCTTCATTGAAGAATTTGATCAAATTTTGTTGCATAATCTATCGTTTTGAAGAATGAATGCATGTTTTATGGCGCATGGTCACGTATTGTAATGACAGATGTTTAAAAGCCAATATTATCATAGAAGTTTTTCTTTGAACTTTACTTTATCGACAAAGCTATCTAATGCTGGTAACCAGCTATTATATTGATAAAAACGAGGGATATAATGGTATTTCTGTAGATAAACGTACTAGATGGGCTAGGACAAACACATTCGTACGTGTTAGGTAATTACAAAATCTGACAAAGAGTATTACGTCGACTAGGGAGTCCAAACAACTTTTACTTTGGTAAAACTTCGCATTTCTCCAGAGAAATCTCAGCAATCGGTTAAGTCTTCGAATATTCTACGTGTAGAAATTACTACAGAATCCACATCCAGTTCGTAATAATATTACATGAAACGTAGAAAATGAGTCATCTTATCTTACGCAAACATGAAACTTCGTTCTTATAGTTGATGAGCGTAAACGAAAAACGAAAACGTATTATTTACTCCGTCCAGTTCAAAACCACAAATATATCTAGCTCCAATTTACCAGGATTATACAATTCATCCAACCATAGACTCGCATTCTCTGCTTATGGTTAAGTATTTGCTTTTGTTGCAACTTTCAACAGTCTACTACCTCACCTGTTGAATATTTACTAACAAATATCACATTATTTCGCATACAAACTAGCTGGATAAAAATAAAAATAGGATTTCTGACTCATACTTTCTACACAGTACAAATGAGAATGATAATAGTACATGTTTCTTCGCTCTGTGTCGTCCAAACACATTTCAATGAACTTCTCGGCTAGCTTGAACAATGAAATTTATTGTGTATCAAAACTTTTGATACCAGATTTTATTTGAAAACATAGCTTGAATATACAGAGAAAAAACAGAATGAATAACAGATCTACATGAATTAGATTTCAGTACAAAGTGTCCAGATTATTCAATATTTTAAAGATCAACAGCTCGAGCACGACCACAGAGTAAATAAACAATCAAACCTAGAGAAAACATGAAGAGATATAAGAAGCCCCATATTTGATTTCTTCTTACCAATGATTGGGCAGAAAACGATGAATAGAATCCAAAGAAGTTTTTCAACCATAGACTTTCCCGATCGAAGAATTTCCACTGCAGCGATGATATCCAAAATCAGGACGATCTGAAATTAATCAGAGAAAATTTCACGAAAAAAATAGTTGTTTCATCACGTACCAAACCAACAATACCGCCAACAGTTGGTCCAACATAATAAACATCAGCTGCTACGAATTGAACAAAACCCAAAAGAAGAATAACCAATGATGAATAATTGATTAAAGCCATTTGGAAATTATTAGAACGAAGAAAAATAACTTTGCAAATATCTGAAAGTAGATGCGCGCAAAAAATTTTATAAGAAAGATATTTTAACAACTCGATATTCTCGATTTTGCTATTACTGCCGTTTAATTATGCTCGACGAACGTCCTGTTGTTCTTCTGCACGTTGTATGACATAAGTTAAAATAAATCTTCATACTTGCTACATATCGCTCGTCATTTCTTTTTCTCTCTTTTCTCTATGCATCAAAACGGACGGATATTTCGTCTTCTTTTTTTGCGATTCAAAATGTCGAAGATGATTCATCTGTTTCTTTTTTCTCCTTCTTTTTCTTCTGCATAGCTATTCAACGTTGACGGGAGAAAAATATAAATAATTCGTAGAATGTACTTGAACCGACGAAATTAGTCAAATACAAATTTGTCTGATTTTCATCTATTGAATAAACGTACATGTTTTCTTTTACTTCAGGATAAAAATAGCATTTGCTTGATCAGTTTCGGCTATTGTGAAATATAATTCAAACATAAAACGCTTTTGTTAACGATGGGTTGAAAAGAATTCCTGACTTGTTGAGTTAACTATGCAAACCTTAGATTATGATAATATGTCATTGGATTTATTAGTAAGACCAAGTTACTGTAGGAGAAATATCATCGTATCTAAATATTTGATACTCGTATACATTCACGAAAAGAATTGATCCTCATAAATATCAAATGAAATCTTTATGCGTCATTTTTTTTAATGTGCCATAGAAATATTTTAGGAACAATAAAGAAAGTTAACTTAGATGAGAAGCACATAATCAAGAATAATTATGAATTAAATACGTCGTTATCCTTAATTCGTATTTTACAAGTGTCATTTCAATAAACTGCCTAATTTGAATTATTTAGAGCATTCAGTGTATGAATGAAAGATTCGATCTGCTTCCGTGTAAAATGTTTAGTAATATGAAGAAAATCGCTTTTCAAAAGCGAGGTGCATTCGAAGATGAAGGTCAAAGTGTGCTCTCGATGTTCAACTAAATGTTCAAAAAGTAGTTCATGCATTGTCAGATGGTTTAAATGTTGCAGAATCTCTTCTGATTTTTCACCAGTAATCGAATAAAACCATTGGGTGACTTAGTTAGACGTTCTGGATATCTTTTCCCATATAAAGACACTACTTGGTATTCGTGGGACGTTAATAACAGCAACTTCTGTCATTTCTCTTCTCTGATTTACACATCATCACGCACATATGTCATCTTGAACGTTCGTCTAACGAGCTATATAAGTCATTTTTAGTCTCGCGAGATTCGGCAAAGTATTTACTTTCAGACATAATTGAAGGGAAACAATATCTTGGAATTCACATCAGCTCACCTTTTCTTTTCTCCCTTTCGTTGGTCTCTCATCCTGACTGCGATATGCATCTCATCTATATAACAACGTCTTTCTCTTTTCCTGCGCATCAACTTCAATTCAAAGATAAAGGTAAGGGAAGCCAAGTGATAAAAATTGAGAATGCTTACCTTTCCGGGATCGATATTTTGATAGATATTCTTTGCAAATACGTGTGTATTTTGAGAAATTTCTATCAGAGAGAATAGTTTAGAACCGGAAATCCAATAAATCGTTATGTCGTTTGTTATTTGCCTTTAACTTTTAAAACGATAAGGAAAAGATAATGAAAGTATAGATCCTGAACTTTTGAACTTGTTTTTATCAATAATTGTAATTCAACCGCATGCCTCTAACTCAGTCGCAATTCTGAGACGAAACCACATAGTATTTAACTAAACTACTTTCCTTTTTTAACTATGATTTGTCCAAAAAAAACAGCTTGATTACATATGATTTTGCCCACGCCAGCTGAAGTCAATGGGACAATCAACACTATTTTATTATAATTATTCACAATCCAAATCCGCAGTTATTTATATATAGCTTGGATGTTTATGTATGAACACGAGCGTTTATGAGGACCATACTGTCATCGACATTCGGTACCCGTCTTCCACTAATTTTTATTAGCATTCTTCTGGAGTTCTTGTAACTAAATGACACGAAAAGAGGAAATAGTGCGAATGCGTGCCTTGAACATTTGAATAACTGAGAATGCATTTCGAGGATATTGTGTGATAAGGTTATCGCTAGATGTGTTCGTTTCATTTCTGAGTACGTTCTTCTCTTCAAACATCGCACATGATGTCAAGAGAAGAAGTTATTGATCTGCTTAGCGTACATAGCAAGAATCGCCTGTGACCGTTAATATTTCAGCAACTTTGAAGAATAACTAAACTTTACTTCGAACCAAACTATGTCCGTCATTAGTTTATTCAATATACAAAATATTAGGATTTTATGCGTAACTTTTGTAAAAAAAAATGTACTTTTTCAGTTGGAATAACAAGCACTTGTCTTACAAATTTATTTTTAGTTAATCTTTGTTTTCGACATCTTTCACTCGATATATGATACTCTCGAACAGATTTATTCTAATACAAGGTCTCTACAAACATGAGTAAAAGTACACAGTTCGACTCGATTTTTCCTGTCCTGTTGCTAATTTGATAGACACACGACCCCAGAGAAGGTACCACGATGATTCGCATCAAAACCAATTAATCTCCGGCATGCGGAAGTATATGATACAATGGTGATCCATGTTACTCTGAGCAAAATTGAATTGTCGTCGTCAAAATGAATACTAATGATTTCCTAAACAGAGCGTCTACGACTAGGAATCTGAGCAGATCTCGCAATATAGGTATCTATTTCTTGTTTAATATTTGATATGTGTATAAGAATGTCGAAAGCGAGATTCTTTTAAGTAACGATGTATGCTAAGTCACCCGTAAGATGAGTCACTCTTTCTCATCTATTTTCATTATTAAACTTCAAATTTGTTGACTCTAGTTCTTAAAAGAGATTTTTGAATTATAGTATTTAATAAGTATAATGTTTGTTTTCTTTTGATAACATCCAGGGACAAAAAGAAAAAGAGCACGTCGGAACAAGACGTAGCTAATTCCATAATTTCGATAATGATAAACATGAAATAATCACAGCTTACAACCTGGGACCAACGGAGAGACTTTTTCCTTTCTCAAGACAGGCGCTCATACATTATTACGATTCGTTCTATTTTAGTCCTTGTCTAATGAATATGATTGAAATAAAACAGAAATCTGTGTCAAAATATTCAGATTTAGTCCAAAACAATGTTCACGCGTCTGTAAGCATGCACAATGCCTTAGACTAAGAATATTAACGTGTATTGAAATAGAAATGCACTTTCTTTGTTCCAGATTTCAAGAGAAGATGTCGGATACGACCTATTCGTTGTTCAAGTGTGTTGATTGCTTGAAAATTAGGAAGAAGATAAGTATAAACATACTCGAGAGCAAGAGTAAATACTAAATATAGCTCTCTTACTTAAATAAATTTTCATCAAACAAAAAATATGAGATAATAGGTGCTGGGCACGAAATCTTTTATAAGAAAGGATATTTTTTGACGTCAGCTAGCATTATTTGATATAATCCATACAGAATAGTTCGCGTGTCAATCAAAATCGATACCAATAGTCTTTTCAGACGACTTGTCATCTATCAAGAGTAACTCATCCTTTCTTTTATACACATGTCCAACGAGACAGAGTCATATCAGCCCAGATTGAATGGATATCCGATGATAATAAACAAATCGGAAATTCATTCGGCTACGAACTATGCATACAATGTTCTTCTTTAGTTTTGTTTAATAAAATCTTCGTACAAATCATATTTTTCCTTTATGATATTAATTCTCATGGACATAATTTGTCTTAATTCTCTTCTGTCCGTATATTGTCAACAAATTCTCGCAAAATATAGCATGGAAAACTCGATCTGCTCGTTTATAGTCTCCAGGAAGCGTTCATGACCCATTAAGTGCTTAAGAATTCTACGGTTTCGAGAGTCAACGATCTTTCGCCTAAATTTAGCCTTGTCACGAATCACGATTTTTTTTTGGTATCATTACAGTCATATTCGGTTCTTTACGACTCAATATTCCCGCATTAATAGTCTATGCGTAGGAATAAAAAACACAGGAAATTTTTGAAGATAACTTCAGAAAAATGTAGCAGAAATTGTTTGTGCTTCATAAACTACCTGTAGGATGTAATTGATGAAATATATATATATATATATATGTGTTTATTATTAAAATTCAGCAGAAGCTTTCTCAAACTCATGTCTGACTTTGGATACTTGTACTTCTATTTTAAAATGAAGAAATCTAAGCTAGAGTTTTCTATTCTTTTTCTTTTGACACTTCTTCTTTTAGATGTTCCAGAGTGGAAACACAGACTTTCCTGTCTCATTAGAGATGTCATCATTTTGAGTTGATGAAAGATGTTATACTGAGAAGCAAACAAGACGAGGGAGATAAAACAACGACGACATCGCAGAAGAGAAATAGAAAATGGAGTTGCTTTAACAATTTACTCGTGTGTAATAAGCGGTCTAATATTCTCTTATACAAGACAACTGCCCGTTCACAGAGTACTTCATTCTCGCAAAAGAGAAGAAAAAATCACTACACAATTAAAGAACACTGTCTAATTTTAAATAGATCTCGATTACTATATTTATCATACACTAATATTCATGTATGTAAGTTTGATTACTGAGATTGAAATGCACAGTCCCATGAGAATGACTATGCAACCAATTGGAAGCATTCTGATCTGAATAGAAACAGAAAACATTGCAGGAAAATACAAGAAATACGTAATTGATAAAGATTTACGTTAAGCAAAGATAAATACTTGTTGACAAAAAAAGAGGGAGAGAATAACATAGTCTTGAACGATGGTAGACATGCTTTGAGACCTTTTTTAATAGCTTTTCTTTCATCAGCTCGTCAACGGATAGATTAATGTGATGAAGTGATTATGTTTTTCCTTTTAGATAACAGCTAAGCAATTTGACGCACTTTCTCTCGAGTTTGTCACCAACAATTTCATATCTGACAATATCAACAAGTGACACAAGACCTCTTCTTTCGCAATAATGTCTGTTAATCAAAGTAATCAGACATCTATACCGAACCTATTCATTCATCCAACCGTACTCTGGTGTTTAATAATGCCAGTGGTTCATTTTTTAAGTTTAATTTCCAATACTCTTTGTATTATCATATTCTGTTCAAAAACCTTTGTACATAAACCTATCGCTATCTATTTCATTTGTTTATTAATCAGTGATTCGACCACATTATTGATCGGTTACAGTGAAATGCTCGATCGAGAAGCGCACATGATGGATAAGTCATCATTACTATGCGCGTTCAATGTTAAAATAATACATCGTTTAACCGATTGGATTTATTCATTTATGGGCAAGTTTTGCATCGAATGGATGCTTTACAAAGTCTTGTGGACACGTGCATCGACTATTCTACTCGCAATATTAAGTATTCAACGATCTCGAACATTTTTCTCGTTGTCCTACCGAGAGTCACGTTTCTGTGCACTATTTGCATGTCTGATGAGTATACTCATTGCTTCATTTGTGACCTGCTTTGAATGGATTGGAGTGCAGTGCAATAAGTCATCGGATTCACACGTTTACTTGGAACTCTTTCAAATAGTGATGAGTCAAAAGACGTCGAAACAATTGTATTCGACTTATCTGTTTAATCATTATGACGAATCCATCGGAGAATATTCTTGCATGATGAAATCATTGAAAATTTACCGGTTTAATCATTCAATAGCAACATCGAACGAGGTAAAGTCCAATCATCCACTTTGTGATTGCTTTCAGTCTCTCCTCCGTTAGATTCACATTTGACAAAATATGCACTTTCAGCAGGAACTCAGTGTCAGTTTATATTTAATGTATTTAGAGACAAAAGCACACTCTAATTCTCTATATAAATTTGGTTTCGTGAATAAAAGCATAAGACTTTCTAAAAATACCCTTAGCATTCTAATAGTTTTCCATTATCTCCCTCTGGTACTTTAATCTGAACCATGAAATAGTTACAATGCACACTGAATGGTTAATACATCCTTCGCTAATCAAAATACTAGCCGTTGAGAACTCCGTCTCGAACGTCTTTTTATGTAGTTACCAATTAGTATTATACGACCGACATAGGAGAGAAAGTAGAATGATTAAGTGAAATTTTTTCGCCGTGATAGTGCCGGAAATGCAAGTCACACAATTGATTAACAACAGACTTTCCTCTTCGTGTACATAACACCTACGATTAGTTTTGACCGCAGATTGTATGAATTATACTATATGTAAAAACTCGCATGTTTCGCAGTTAGATGTAGAAAGTAGATTGCTTCGGTACGCATCAATAATAAATTAATTATTAGAAAAGGAAAGTTAATTAGGCGTACTTCATACTTCTCTCTTCGAGGGGATTTTGCACATTGACTTCCATATCAAAAGTTCTCAGTTAATCATATAAGACCGATGGTTTTTGAAAACATCATCGGTCCTGGGATTTCACTCCAGGAACTGTTAACACGATACTCGTTTAATCTTCTTAAATTGCTGTTTTTTCAATTACATATTCAATGAATACAAAATTAAGTAGGCTATTTCTGGAATAGATCATATCGCGCATCTGCACCGATTAGACTTTGACCATTGTTTGAATGAAACTTTGATAAACGATGCAAACATCTCACTTGCCAAAGCGAGAAATGGTTCTAATAGATCTCGACAAATCTGAAACTTTTCCAAGATTAATTAGAAATGAAGAAAACTGACAGCGGCTCGTTCGTGTCTAGTCAACCTAACCTAGAGTTAAACAAAAAAGTCCGCTTTCCTGATAAAGAACGATTCGTGCTGTTTGCAAAACATATCTTCTCATCCGATCATCTATTTTTAGTCTCTTTGCTCGCCAACAGCGACCGCTGATGAATTTTATCTATTCACACAATCATTATTGACTCATCCGAATGCGACGATCGCTGAAAGTATGAACAATATCCTCGCAGATGCTTATGATGCTAATTATCATCATCGTCAACGAAGTACATCATTACTAGTGAATCAAATCGAACAAATCGGATCGTTAGAAATGGTTATAAAACTATTTGAAAAGCGTACATGTAACATCACACTTTTTTATTCTGTTTGCTTGAGATTACTCAATTTTCTCTATTCATTATCATTTGGTTTCAATCGCCATACGATTGCTATCTTTTTTGGCAATGCCTTACCATCCATGCTTGTCTTCCTGGCCAATTTATTGTCTTTGAAAGTGATTTATTTTTCCGAAAGTTTGAAATATTTAAAGAAGACAACACAGAAAAATCGCCGCAAACGTCGATTGCAAAACGATTTACGTGCATTTCTTGTTATCATCATCGAAAGCTTCTCTGTTATAACCATCTCATGGTGTATACCCATATTCTTAACAATGTACTATTGTCAAACGTTATACGTCATTTCTATCACTGCATGCCCACAAATAAAACGAGCCCTAGCGTTCTTTCTCTTTCCGGATTTGTTCAATTCGTCGACAAACTGTTTGTTGTACTCATTATCTGGAAAATTATTTCGAAGGAAATTCATCGGTATGATTAAAGCGATATTTACATGTGGTCGAGGACTATTTTGGGGTGTCAGAAAACGTGCAGCTTTATTGCCAACAAGTCACTTCGAATTGCAAGCATCGAACGATCCGTCGGCAGCTTTCAATAACGGAATCTATTCTCGAACAGACACCTGTCGACACTCGGAATTCTTTTCGCCTGTTCACATCAATAAATTAAATAATACAGCGAAGAAGAAGAAAGTTGTGGAAGACGATGGATCATCATGCACGGCGAAAAACAATGATGAAACAACTGGAAGTAATGGAACGCAAGTAGAATCTCCTCGAACATCTCGTCGCCGCAGACAACCTCAGACATTCAAGACATTTCTGATTGATAAAGTACCATTTCTACGATCAAATGCACCGAAAAAAAACCAAACTATTGCACAGAAGCAACAGTTGAAGCTTACCCAGTCGTTCTCTTCCACAGGCACGAATACCAGTAATAAAGATAGTTCCTCTCGGCCGAAATCGACTCAACAACTTCAATCAAGAACGATTATTTTGATTAATCCATCCAATAATCAGTGCGTAAAAACTGACTGTTTATTTCAAAATGTGACTAGTTTGTGAATATTTCCGTCATTATTTTGTATAGAATAAAACAAAATGGAATAGTGTGTCTAATAATCTTAGATTCAAGAAGTTATTGTTAAACAAACCCTTTGTTTGCATTTCTAATCATGTAAATAAGAAATATAAGTGCTGAAGAAAAAATTCGATCTAGAGACGCTCATTTATCAATGCTAATCTTAAAAATGCACCTGTGAATTCAAGTAAATGAACAGTCTGTCAGTAAAATACGTTAATATGTGGTTAAACACAGCTGGATTATATGTGTCAATTATGCCAGTAATGTTCATGAGTTAACATAAATCAAATAGGAAAGGGAAACACAATTTCTCCTTCGGACAAATAATTAACTTCATTATTATTTTCCCTTCGGCGAGTCATATGAAAATCCGACGAATTATGTCAGATTTACATATTCATTTGCTAGTCTTGAGACAAACGCTAAGAAGAGCAGCATGGGCTCAAAGAAATATCAAAACATGCTAGATATTCTCAGTAATCTTTTCCTGTGTTCCTTCGACCCGCTTAATAACGACGGTTTACTTTGAATCAAGATTTTCGCCAGTTACGGCGCTTATTCAATCACTTTTAATTTTAATGTTTTGATATACTGAAAATAAATGCAAGTGCAATTGAGATATTCTGTTAGCGCAATATCACTCAAAGAACTCTTAAACTGAACGATGTTTCTATCTTTCACTTCCTATTAAAATTGCTAATGTAGATACTTAGTAGTCACTTTTCTCTTCCACTCGTTTTTGAAAGCTTGCAGAGCGTAAAATGTTCTTTGTAAAACATGGTTTTCCTCAATTGTATGTGGTTGAGCAGTTTCTATGCCTGATATAACCGTGCTCAGTATCTTTCAAGTGACCATTCTTGTACTGGCAAGTCTATTATCAATAATCTATCTAATTCCGATCATACTGATTCGTCGTTTTCATACTATCAATAACGTTTTCACTGCCAATCTCTCGATTGCTGCATTCTGCTGTAGCACATATTGGCTGATTTACTTCGTTCTTTATCTTTTCTACACGAATGTTCTATCCGGTAATACAATTTGTGCGATTCTCGGCTACTTCGAAATGATGTGTACACTTCAAATGCCACTGGCGATCGTTGCAACATCAATTCATCGTCTCCTTTCGATTACTTATTCGAAAAGATCCACTTTATCAACGAAACGACGGGCAATAATGTGCATTAGTGGTCACTGGCTTGCCTGTATCGTTCTTCCATTGCCACGAATCGCATCATTCAATAATCCGGTACATACCAACATTTCATAGTAAATATGACAAATTGTTCTCTGTTTAGTATTGTGACACACAAAAATGGATCAGTGTGTACACATTCGTAATGTATGTTGTCGTTCCATCCATCATCAGCCTGGTGAACAACATTCTTATTTTTCAGCATGTTCGTTCTTCATCAAATCGCATACAGACAGTGGAAATCGGTGGGAGCCAAAATCAACGTCATAAAATAAGTCGCCGTGATTTACATCTCCTTCGGCACATGATCATTATGTTCGTCATTTTTGTTGGAGGTTGGACTCCAGTTAGTATCTGTTCTATTTTCGTTCATGTTGAACTTACTTCAACAATAATGTTGGTGTTTACTCTTTTAGCTGAATCCTCCTTGTTGATAGATATGCTCGATCTCTATTTGTATAATTATGAACTGCGAAAATATTTCAATAAAAAGATGCGTATATGTTGTTAGAAAGCAACTGTTACATTCTATAGAATCGACAAAATTTAGGAAAAGTATCTCAATGAACTACATAACACGATCTAGTGGGACACGATATATATATTTATACATAAATCTAGTTGCAAAAATAGTTTAAAGTATAAAAAAGATGAAGACCAACAAAAAAATAGTTGTTTGTGTCGTTTATTTGCTTCTCAGTCGAACCATGTCGATGAATAGACGAATGTCATTTGACAATATTTGATTTGATTATATACTCTACATTTGTGTTTCAGCTGATTTCCACTAATACCAACAATTGTCCAATCGTTCATGTCGCCATTGAGTACGCAAGCAATCGGCGAGAACGACCATTCATCTTCGCTCTGATCATCGTCGTTTCTTGAGTTAATGAATGCAAATAATGAAGTATTTTCATCGAAAACGAGATGTCGTTCGAAGTTATTGGTCAAACGAATACGTCGTACATTATTTTCGTTGAAAACAATTACGCAATACAGTTCATCGATATTCTCTTTCAATAATTTCTTGTCATTCAATCTTTTCCACGTTTTATTAACGAGAAAATCATGCTGAAATGCAAGACGTACTAATTGAAATGGCGAATAGATTTGATAAGTATCAATATGTAATGCAATTTTATCATATTCATCACTATCGTCTTTTTTCAACATGGAGAATAATATTGAACGCTTGTCACTGCTTGTCAAACGTGTGGGTAAACACGAGTCGTGGGTTAACATTAATGTCGGTTCAATGAAAACTGCCGTGCATGAAAATAAGAATTCATCGTTGATAAAATCGTGTGATAGATCACTGCCGGTGTTCAGCCATGTATTGAAAAAGAACTTATCCCATTTGGATGTGCCATGAAAAGAAAAGTAATAGATTGGTAACAGAATATTCCATGTTGACTGAATTGATGTTGAAGAAAGAATCACTTGCGAATCGACTGGTGATGGTAACGATGTACAACAATCATGATGGGTATTTGAACAAGTCACATTTGATACTCGGGATGATGTCGGACAGGGAAATCGTATGCGATTAATACAATAAGAATCGATACCACAACGTTCACCTAGAAATAATATCTTAAAAAGTACGTGAAACAACACTGATAGTACCTTGTAGCCAACAAATCAGTCCTGTTGGACACTGGAGACTTGCATCGGCAAACGGCATTGATAGAGAATTTATTAACGTATCTGTAATACATTGTCCACCGAAATCAGTACATTGATCAGTTCTACCCGAAGACGATGAAGGCGCGTAAGATGTATCTTCGGAAACACGAAATTGTTCGGTTAATACGGAGCATATCTGTGCATTTAAATTTGCATAATTATACTTGATCAAACAACGATGATTTGTCGACGAATGATTACGAATTGGATCAAGACGTGCATGCATTTCTGGTAGTAAATAATGCCAGGGATCGTTTTCAATACATGACAAATATATGCATTGACTGGTGCTTGTATTGACACATTTCGACGAACGAAGATGACGAAATAAAATATCATATTCGCTTTCAGGTGAATTTTTCGATATATCAAATATCATTAATGAGGATAAATCATTACTTGGAATGAGTTTTTCAAATAGAATTCCCTTGGATTTGCAAGTGAATATCAAATTTGTTGTTTTTGTTGATGAACCATTTAGATAAAGAATAAGCCGGTATGTTGTGGTATTCAATAACTCAAATATGTGACGCGTTATTACGAACGATGATTTCGACGTGATGTTGTTTATTTTACGAGGAATTTCAAGAAGTTCAGTAGAATTTTGCAGACCTAAAAACCTTTGATAATTGACTTTTTTATGAAATGATTTGATCTCATTATCCAATGGTTTCCGACAGACAATTGTTCGTCGATTATGACATGTCGTACGTTCAATCGGCTCGCGTATCTTCGTATCAACAATCAATGCAGCGCAATCACCCGCACTCACGATATACGGAGAGAGACGATGTTGGAAAAACCTTCGCCACTCGTATCCTTTCCAATCATCGTCTAAATACGGTTCAATAGATAAATCCCATTGCCAATCAAAGTTATCTTCTGTATCATTATCTGCCGAACTTAAAGCTTTGTAAGATACGGACAGCCAAACACCGGATAATGATCGATGTTTAAAAAAGGGTGCTAATGACACGAGATTGTGTGTTAAACGGAAGAGTTCTTCTTCGTTGCTGATATATAAGAGATGACCACCATTTTGAGAACACTCAATCGATGCTGTACCCATATCACCCAATAATTGAGGAGAAAAATACAGACAGAAGCCGTCATCGTAGAACCAAGGCGGTTCACAAGTTGTATTTTGACTTTGTCGACATAATGTGTAAGAATTGTATGACGGGCACGGTTTTGTTGTATTAAAAGATTGTAGTTGGGAAAGAGCGGTACTCAGATAAACATCACCAGATACTAGTGAACAATTATCTTTGAGTATATTCTGAAATGAGTACGATACTCCACCGAAGTTTTCCGTTAAAACGGTGCTTGATCGAAGACTTTGTAGAGAGTAAGTTAAAAATGGTTTGAGAATGGTTTTCTCTTGCTTTGAACTGTAAAATAATTCACCGTCCCATGCTTCACATTGAAGAATATTGCGTTCTTCTTCTTCAGTTTTAGTAATACGAGCTTGCTCATCAAGATAATAACATACCCCATAGATCAATGCCCACGGTCGACGACAAATAACATTCAACGGTAATTCTTTTCGACACATCACTGAATGTTTCTCGCGACAGTTGCTAAACGGCATTCGAAGCGTATCGATTAGACCTGACTTTAAATTCGATTTCAATTCAATTTTACGACATAAACGTTTCGAGTTTCGGCTCAATATTGTCTTCTTGTGTTGACCCCATGTTGTATTTGTCCATAATGATTTGATATCTTTTGATTTTTCTCGATTACTTAAAATATCATGAAGCGGATCAAGCATTTCATCATCACCTGATATGTAAACAAGATGCGTCGATTTATCAATTGAATGGCATAGACGAGATGCTGATAACCAATCCAATGTAACATTAGGAAAGATGTAATAACACCAAGATTTATAATAGTGAAATGGTGGTGCACAATGTATTCGAATGATATCTGTATAGGATAACACGGGTTCACTATTGATCATCAATAACGGAGATAGACACGTTAGAAATAAAAAGATGAGTTTCATTATGATACTGATTAGGAATAAGTTATGTATGAATATGTCGTGTGGATTTTTATGTATGTGTCTTTTTTTGCTTGGAGACAATCATCGATATGTACCAAATGTTGGCAGGTGTTTTTTTTTATGATAATGATCATATGGATAACATTTTCTAGATATCTGCCTAGAGAATTAATAGGATAACCTATCGTTAGTTTGTAAAACATAACGGAATGATTAAAACCTATAAGAGGTCGACAAGTTCGCATGCATCAATGAGCTTTACTTTAGTGACAAAGCATGCAGAAGAAAAATTTTGTCGTCGTATATAAAGTTGATTGTAATTATACCTTTCACAAGTAATTCATTGGATTGACTCATCAAACAATAGCACTACTAACAAGTTTTATCTTGTCTTTGAGTTTGTAAATGTGCATTTCTCTTTTTTTGTTTCCTCCTCTCAGTGTTCACTTGAAAAATTTTATATAAAGTATCTTCTCCATCTTTCTTTCACAAACCATGGCTGAACCGAATATTTTCAACATTATCGCGATTGCTGTTCTTGTACTGATCATTCTGTTAGCAGTAATCTATCTGATTCCGATTATATTCATTCGTCGTTTCCATACCGTCAATAACCTATTCACTCTTAATCTTGCCGTTGCTGCAATATGCTGTAGCGTGTATTGGCTCACCTATTTTGTCCTATTCATATTCTACACATATGCACTAAGTGACAGTAGATTTTGTGCGATTCTGGATTACTTTCAAATGGTATGCTCACTCCAGGTACCATTAGCAATCGTTGCAACATCATTGCATCGCCTCTGTTCAATTGTTTATATGACAAAACCCTATTTCAAAAAGAAAAGATGGGGAATCATATGCATTAGTGGTCAATGGATTGCTTGCATTGTTTTGTCAGTGCCACAAATATCATTCAACAATCCGGTAAAAAGGATTACTTGAATAAGCGAAACAGAATTAATTCTTTTCCTATAGGAGTGTTCTTTCCCGCTATGGAGAAAAATTTATACGCTTATACTATTGGTAATAATTCCCTCGATTATCTGCTTGATCAATAATATTCTTATTTTTCAACATGTTCGTAATTCAACAAATCGTATTCAACCATTGGGAAACGATGGAAAAGACAATCAACGTCAACAGATTAGTGATCGTGATTTACATCTCCTTCGGCACATGATCATCATGTTTTGCTTTTTCATCGGGGGCTGGACTCCGATTTACTTGTACACCTGCCTTGTGTCGAATATGAACTTTAACGAAACAATCCCGTCCTTGTTTGTGCTATTCGCAGAATTTTCCTTATTAATGGATATCGCAGATCTCTATTTGTATAATCGTGAATGGAGACGGTTTTGTATAGAAAAATTTCGTTGAAGTTGTTGGAAGATTAAATTATGACTCAGTTACAACCTCGCTTGTTTCGTATCGTTTCGCAGAGAAATAAAAGTAATTTACAATGAGTAATCGACACTGAATAAGAAACGACGAAGCAGAAAGCAGATTGCAATTAGACGTTCTTTTGTGAAGTGTTTTTTTTTCTCGTAGAAAACTATGTATCATTTCTATGTTAGAACAATTACAGCGTCACCACATTGAAACTCTCTAAATGACTTATATGAATGAATGGGTCATCAATAGTCAATGAAAAATTTAGTGGGAAGAGTTACATAGAAATTTTACATCTCGTTAAATGTATACGGTGACCCAAGAGTCACATTACTTACCACAAAACATTATACATTTCCGTGCAGACTTAACCGAGGAAGTTAGCGTGAGAAAATCTGAATTACTATACAATAATTGTTCTCAATAGACTGATTGCTGCTCATTACACATACTATTTTTCTGTTGTCTGTCTTGAACATAAACAAGAGTTCTTTTGAGAACATTTAAACAAAAAGTCTGCATAGTGATGCTTTCCTGTATAGAAAAATGCGGGGACACATGTTCCTATTGTGAGTAACAAGCAGTTTCTCTGCTAGCGCCATTAAGAGATATTTTTGAGTATTATGAACCAGATTCGAAATCGATTGAGAACGGGATATTTTTGGTGCATTAGATCGTCAGTCATTATCAGCCTTTCAAGATCCTTGAAGAACAAGTCTGATTAGACTGATCAACAATACTGTGTGGAAAAAGGATACTAAAAAGCTAGTTTTACTAACGCTTCGGAAATTGTTTCAATTACACTCTTCTGATACAGGTCATCAATCGTTTTTATATCATCAATAACCTTTTCGCTGACGATTTGGTAATGATAGTTCGTTATTCACTAAGCACTTGCTCGAAATACGTATAGCCGAAATGCGACAATGTGTTATATCGAGTTTCGTTATACAAACGATCAAATTAATTCTCTAATCAGTATCTCCATGGTCAGGTAGACGATCGAAGCTTTGTCTTTCAGAGCATTGTACTTCAGACAAATGGAGAAGATTTTAGACGTTTGGGTTTATGGTAATCATTTTCTCGATTATAAGTTTAGCCAATAATATTCTAACATTTCAATATGTTCGTTCTACGGCACATGATGATTATGTTTGGTATTTTTGTTGGAAGTTGAACTCCAATTTATGTATACGCGTTTACAGCGTCAGATATAGGTTCTGATTCAGCAGTTCAATAAGTATGCGTACTGTTGACACCCTGCTTTTTGTTAATCGATATCGTAGATCTTTATATCTATAATCATGAACTGAGGCGTTTCTTTACGGCAAGAGTTTGCCGATGTTGTCAAAAGACGAAACGAGGTTTTACTGATCAAATTAGTTACTCAATACTATATCGAATGAAAGTAGTTCAGAAAAATTTATCCTTTTTTGTAAGTACATATGGTCTCACTGGAAACTGCACAATCATGTTGGAACATGAACCGATCTAAATGACTCATTTAAACGAACAGACTACCAATAAGAACAAACATAGAAAAAGATCATGCACCAGAACACTTCTACGAAAAAATAGCTTCTAGATCCAATTAATGTCTCATCAGTATTCTATTCTCTTTGATCAACATCATGCATTAATAAACATTTATCTAAAAGTAGAAAATAGCATGCAACTCTTAGCTTCATTTCTCAAGTCAATATTTCTCGTGATACAATGACAGATGTAATTTATATATTACACTATTTGCAAATTTCGGTGTTCGTCTTCATGATTGCGTTAGCTTGTATTTATTCGATTTCAATTATATTGATTCGTCGCTTTCACACCATCAATAATGTCTTTACTGTCAATCTCTGTTTTGCTGCTATCTGTTGCGGAATCTATTGGCTACTCAATCTCACTCTATCAGTAGTCAATCCCCAACTCTACACGAATGTCACAGCATGTCGTATTATTGGCTATTTGGAAATCATGTGCACATTGCAGGTGCCACTGGCACTAATCGAAGTCTCGTGCTATCGACTGTGTTGCATAGTTTACCACACAAAAGCATTCTTCCGCCGAAAACAGTGGATTATTACATGTGTTCTGAGTCAATGGACATTCGGCATTCTAATTTCCCTACTTCGACCCATTTCTGTTGGCTCGGTAAAGAAATACATTTCTTATCATATCAGTCCACTTCTCAAAACGACATTTTTGCCTTTCTAGTTATGTCAAGATCCAGCGTGGATGAATATTTGTGTATTCACAATAACAGTCATCACACCTTCAGTGACTTGTCTGGTGATGAATTTAATTATCTTCAATCATGTTCGTTCGTCCACAAATCGTATCGAACCATCGATTGCACTAACCAAACATACTCTTCACCATCACATCACCCGACGTGATCTCCGCCTACTTCAACATATGATCATCATGTTTTGCATCTTTCTTGTTGGTTGGGCTCCAACCTATTTGTACTCATTTTTTGCGACAACTAATACCAATCCCGCAATATTCAAAATTTTCATGCTAGGTGCGGAATTGTCCATTACTGTCGACATCATCAACTTATTTTCGTACAACCATGAACTGAGACAGTATCTGAAAACTAAATTTCTTAGACGTTACTAACCCTATCGTACATGTAACAATCTCCAGCAGAATAAAAATCCCTTATTTTCATCTCTATCAAATAAAGTGTTTCATTCCCTAAGATTTCTTTCGAAGAGAAACATTTTCCTGATCGTTTGATCATTCATTTAACATGAAACATAGAAAATAACACCATCTTGATGATGATGATGTAAGGAATATTTTATCCATTAACGACGACTTGTTATCAACAATTCAATCAACAGAATAGACAACTGATCGTCACAGACTATTAGAACATATCAGCAAATTAGAAGCGGACTATATTCTATTAATCAATTAACTGAACAGGTTGTTCTTCTCTCTCTCTCTCTCTCTCTCTCCCTTCTGTTTATCAATTTTCTTCACACTTATCTTCTTTTATAACCTCCTGAACATTTTCACTTCTACATCACAGTCAATCAGCAGCTAATTCAACTTCAACATATCAACTTTGTCTAGCAAAGTATAGTTGCATTAGTTTAGGAGTTCTGTTTGTATTCTAGGTAATAAGAATAGAAAGTCATGTTTTGTAAAGCTGAACAAGAAGCTCTAGTTGGTGAGTACTGTATTTAACATATACACTGATCGAAGTCCTGTTTCGTATAATTAGCTGGCCATGGTCGTGTCAATCAACTTGGTGGAGTTTTCATAAATGGTCGCCCGTTACCAAACGATATCCGTCGAAAAATTGTTGAAATGGCTCAAGAAGGAATTCGTCCATGTGTCATTAGTCGTCAAGTACGAGTTCTTACTTTCTCAAAGACTGCCACTATTGAACTTTAATTTCTTTAGCTGCAAGTATCGCATGGCTGCGTGTCTAAGATACTTTCTCGTTACAACGAAACAGGCTCTTACAAAGCAGGTGTCAGTAACAAGCGCAGAGTGAAGAACAACACTGTTCAACACGAATATGGCAACTCAACAACCGAGGAATCGGATGAAAGCAAAAGTAGGGTTTGGAATTGACTCAGTGAGGTCATTCAATATGGTGTAATTTAGATAATTCCTTGAATGATACTTTGCCATTACGTTCGAATATTAATACACGTCGTTCTCGTTCGTCGTTTACTTCGGAACAATTGGATGTTCTCGAACAATTCTTTGCTCATACACCTTATCCTGATGTTACAACGCGAGAAGATCTGGCACAACGTTTAAATATTGAACAAAGTCGATTACAAATCTGGTTTAGTAATCGTCGTGCACGCAAACAGAAAACGGCAAGATCTGTTTCGAATGAAGAGAACATCATGCCAACTTACGAAACATCTGCTGTTCCAGAAACTGCAGCATATGCTGTTAATGATCCTGTTTTTGATCCGAGAATCACTTCTAGTCCATCTACAAGTATGAATGCGACTGTGGTTTGTTTTTCAAAATCGCAACTGTACTCTTTGTGTCTTTAGACTATTGGCCAGCGATGTCTTCAATGAGTTATGGGTCGACATATCCAACATATTATCCGATGGCGGATCAATATTATTCAACGTACGGAAATTATCCAACAGCCTACTCGTATTCCTCGTTTCCATCTTGCTATTGATTGCTTTGTAAATTTTTGTTGCAGTTTTATATTTTTGTGGTCTCAATTTCTCTGAATTTATGCTAAATAAATGGTTATGAGAATGACATGCGTGAATTAGTAGATTGTCTTTTGAATGGGAAGAAAATAGTATACGTATTGATGAAAAGGCTGTCATAGAGAAAAATGAACTTGCTGTATCTCTCTGCTTGGGTGTTTCGCAGTTTTTGCTGTCGGTTTGAGCGACGTATTGCTTGGAAGAGTAATTTGATGATGAAGATTGATGTTATTCCAATAGGCTTAATCTATTTGTGTAAATGTTGTGTGGTACTTACGGGAATGAAGGCGATCAGTAAACGAATGAGAATTATGGGGTGGTAGAGACTATTGTTAAGTGGAAAAGGTGAAAGTATTCATAGTCGAATTAAACTGTCGTTGACATTTGCTGAGAGATAAGGAAGATTGCGACTCGTTGGATTGTTCAACCATGTTCTTGTTGTAGATGGTAGGAAATTGTGCGGTGTGGATTATATGGAACGAGAGAGAAATCATTTGAGAAGATTTGTTGTTCTTTTTCTTTTGTAGGCTGAGATCGGTGAGAAATTGAGTTTTTCGAGTAGCATTGTAGAATTTTCAGCTATAAAACATCGCATCCGTGTTAATAGATGGAAAGCTGGTTATAGTCGGACAACAGGTCACGATCTATTTTGGATTGGTTACCTTTTCGATGGGTATTCTTGGTTGTCTAATAAGCACAATTGTGTTTGCAAGCCTAAACACCTATCTTGAAAGTTTAGGTACTTTTTACTTATTCGTAATGTCCATCATCAATATCGGTCAATTGGTTTGAGGACTGCTATCATGGATCCTGATTACTGGATATAATATCGATTGAGAAACAACGTCATATTTCGTTTGCAGATTGTCATCAGCATTGTGAGAATGTTGTATACCGATGTCGTGCGTGTATTTATGGTTGACAATAGTGGATAAATATGTGTCGACTTGTACCCGTGTTCGCTGACAACAATGGTGTAATATTAAAACAGTTCGCCGGCGTATGGTTATCTTTGCTATTATATGGATTGCGTATATTGTTTTCTTCGAACAAATATTACTACCAACAGACAAAATCAGTTGTGCTATAATCAAAGCGGATTTGTGGAGATATCGAACAGCCTCGCTCGTTCGAAGAGAACTGGATAAATAGTTGGCAAGTACGATTTTAATACAAGTTTTATAAATCTATTTATAAATGTGCCGTGGATAATGATGAAAGTAGTATAAAATGTTCATCTTACATGAGCATTGTTCAATTTCGCTATCGGGTGAGAACGATTTTATTCTATAGATATTTTTGTGTAAGTAGAAATAGATTGACGTGAAGAGAGTTTTAAAAATGATTCTTTCAGATCTCATTTTGTATTCATATATATGTACGTCTTATTTAAAATGCATTTCAGCCGATTGAAAACACGGAAAATAAACGTGAATCAAATTTCTTCTATTGAATTTGAGCAGCAATCATGACGTAAAATTTCCTTGTTGTGTTGTACGCATCATGTTTCTGCTTCGTATGACTAAGTGTTGACTTGAAATGTTTTGTACTTTTTGTTATATAGAAATAAACTAAGTTATCATGTTTTGAAAGTAAAGAAGAAAGGGGTGCTGCTATGCACCCCTACTTGTAGATAAACATAGATACTTTATGACATATATATATACATAAGAAAAGTTTGCATACTGTAAAACGATTGATGAATCCCTTCGCATTTCTGTGTGTAAGATCTCCGTTGATGTATACAAGTATAGTTTGCAATATTATTTTATTTTGAATTTGAGACAGAGGTACAAGAGAATTATGATAAAACTTAGTAGGCATTTTTGTTTAAGCCCAACGTCCAACGACAGACATGGCTGCAACACCTGCATATAATGCGACAAAGTACAGGAATTTCAAGCGTTTTCTTAATTTATGAAATGCATGAGCACCAACACCCATTTCTGCTGTGATCAAATTAACCAAGGCCACATAAATAAGGATGCCGGCTGATATCGAATCGAGAATTCCATTGACAAGTAATGAAGCAACTGATTTTGGATTATATGTCTTTGTATGAATACCAATGCCGATGGCAATTCCAATCGGCGTTGTTAAAGCAAAAAATATGACCATGAAACTGGCAGATTTCCAAGAGACATGTTCTAAACGAGCAATCTGCGCACCAAGTGCAATGGCTTCAAAAAACTGATGAAAACTAAGTGCGATAAATAGAGCAACAAACGAATCCGTCGTCGAGCCCAATGTTAAACCGATCAGAACCGAATGAAGAGCTATGCCAAATTCGAGTAAATATGTACTTATTTTATGTTTTTGAGCATCATCTTGGAAAGTAATCCCATGACAATGATGATTTGCATCTGGTATCTCCACATTTGACGTTACAACATCGATGACGGACACTTTAATCTCTTCCTGGCCTTGCCTTTCAGATTCTTCAATTGTTGGATGAGTTTTAGACGCCGTCAATGATTGATAACGTTGATGAGCAACGAATTCGATGAATTGCATGATTAACGCTGCTATCATAGCAAAAAGACCACCGTAAGCGCTGTAAACATTCCATGAATCAGGAAGACAAGGGTCATTTAAGAATTTCATTCCACCTGGTAGCATATGGATAAAACCCGTTGCTAGCACGATTCTACAAGATAAAATTTCCAATTGAGAAATTTTTTTAGTGAACGATGTTAGCTGTTATCGACATACCCACTACCGAAAAATTTGCCGGTGTTGATAATGATCGGATTAATATGTAAACATTTGACTCGTGTGGAGACCACAGAAATTGCAGCGCCAAGAAAAGATACAATCAATAGAACAAAAACGGATACAATACGAATGGTTAAATTATATGTATCATTAATTTCTTCATCTGTCACTAGGCATTCATTGTCTTCCAGTGTGGGGTCATGTCGGGTTGTAAACATCCTTCACAATTGTACTTTCGTTTTGTTTTGATTGCTACTGATATGGATAAGTAATGCTTCACTTTTTCTCTTTCGATAACAGTTTATATTCTCTCTCTCTGTCGTCGGCCGATAGGCGGTGGTAGCTATATGAAAACACTTGTAAAACATTTCTTTTCTTTTACATGTCTGACTATCTCTCTCTCTCTCACTCACATTTCTTTTTGTCTATATGACTACGCGAACGAATATGACACTAAAACATTCTTTCTAGGTGCTGTTAATATTATCATGTTATAAAAACATCTCCTTTGCATAGCCAACTCTAATAAACGAAAACATTCCGCTTTTCCAAGCTCTAGCTATATGATCTTATTTTGAAGTGTTTTATAAGGGATGACGTCCATCAAAAACTAGTGTTTGCATTGAAATAAAAATCAAAGTAATATTATACAGTGTATTAGTTAAAGTTTAACTACTCGAATTTTGTGTACAGAATGGAAAAGCGTGGTATAGAGATGATACTCAAACGTGCATGTTTTATTATCATAAAATAAACAAAATATCAGCACTTGATAGATATCGATAAAAAAACACAAACGTTCACTCTTGGTTTTATTCCCATGCTCAGTTTGCCGATAAAAATAGAATTCTGCAACTAATAACTTGTGTACTGCTAATATGATCTAGTAATATTACTGAGATGATTAATAACTTTAGCAAAGAATGAAGATAAAGCTGTATAATTACTATTAAACTGTAAAAGCAAGAAAGGAAATTTGCCTGTTCCAGCTTATAAAATATTATAACATCAGCTTTAGGATTCATCTAATGTGTGTGGATCATTTATTGCAACACTTATAATGTGATTGATTTCTTTATAGTGAGTTCATTGAGTTATGATATTGTTCGGTACACTCTTGCATTAAAATTCGTTTTTTCTCTTAAATTAAAGGTAAAACTTAGTTTCATCATTAAAACCTGATAGAATAATTAGCACAGTTCCTAAAGTTAGATACATTATTTTATTCTACTTTTTTTATTAGAGTAGCTTGTAGTATTTGACGAAACTAGTATATATGGAGTACATAGAAATTCTTTTTTATTTCCGATTGTTTCATCGAATATCATTATCTACACTTTAGCATGACATGTGTGAACAGCGTTTTCGTTTTGTTTTTCTCCTTCTCATTTTATTTTCTTGTTGTAGAGAAAAAGATAAATATAGCATAATATTTGAACAATGTCCAGTCTTTATCTGTGTCCAGATGGTAAGATGCACCTATTTGAAATTTAGATAATCTCATTTTGGAATGATAGATTTTTGGCGTTGTCCAATTGATTTGAATCATCAGGTACTTGCGAAGCGATTCCCGTATCATATTCGACGTTGTCTGCTTGTAAGTTGATCAGAGACATTTTTGGTGTTGTTCATAAAATTGCTATCGCAAATAATATGTCTAATCGACATTTATCTTTAGGCAAATCCGCATATCCGTCGAGTTCGTTGTGTTTTCAATGCTAATCATTTAACGACACCACAAGATCTTCTTCATCACATGTCAACATGTCCTGATGCTATCAGTCGAAGTACAGTATTGATTGGACTCTCTGATATTGGTAATTATTTTAATATGGAATGCTTCTCGTCCGAGTTTGAAAGTTTCCTATGATTTTTAGCGCCAGGTCGACCATGGTCCGATGATTGTCATCGATCGTCTGCACCGACTAATTGGCAAATGTTTCGTGATGTGAATGCCACTGAAGATTGGGATGGTATGTGCATAATAAAAGTTTTTTTTAATCTAATTTTCATAAATATTTAGACGATATTCGCGAACGTCAAACAAGAAATAGTATACTGACGTAAGTGATACATACATATTGTATTTAAAGAACATAAGCATTGTATTCTTAGTTTTAGTGAACAACCAATAGTATCACCGTCAAATCAGTTCGTATTAATTGGTTAAAAATTCTTTCTTTCTATATTCATTTTTATTAGAGAATCATTGTCATCGCCAATTCTTGAGCATGCCACAGAAAAGAAGTATGAAGAAGTGGCAAATTACTCGTGCAACGATGTACTTGGTAAAATTCAACAAGAACCAGTGGTGAGAAATAATTATAGATTATCACGAAATACCAAACAAGCGCGTATGTTTAAAATAGTATGATGATAGAAAAAAAGCACTCTAATTAATCCTCTCGTAGATGTCTTTGAAGAACATGATAATGATGGTCAAATTCATCCAGTTGAAACCGACGACATCACGTGAGTCGTCATTCTCAATTTCTTCGAAGATTATCAAATTTATTGAAAATAAGTCGTAGATGCTCCTAAATAATAGTAACTGTGGAAGTCATTGCTAGACCTGTTTGCAATTTTGATCATCCATATGTTGAACGTTTGTTCTCTTTTTTCATTTAGGAAAAGCTTGATGAAGATTCGAACATTGCAACTGATTGGTGGGGCTGGTCGTGGCACATGTTGTTTGTTACGTACATCACCATCTGCATCCGTACGCATACTTTCTTTCATCTCAAATCTTTACACTTACGATTATCACAATACATACACATATCTCTGTTTTTAGAGTCGTCTAGCACGGTAAAGACAACATGAAAAACAAATCACTAAATCTACTTTTCGTTTTTCTTCAATGCTTCTTTGTGTTTTTCTTGTCGTGGTTTGTTGATGAACATGTTTTGAAGGAGAGTGAAGAAATAGAAGAAGATATAAAAAAAAAAGAAGAACATGATATTATATATGTTGTTTATATTATACTGCATTTTTATATAGAGAAACAAATCTGTCATCTGTCATCAGATAGTCTACATCAAAAGTGTCCTTTTGCTAAACATACTGTCTCCCTCGCTATAGCGAATAATTTGTGTCGTATACATATACTTAATCGATGATTTACAGCAAGCGACCTTGAAGCTTATCGTCTGAGATGTTGACATGAATATTTTCCAGAGAGAAAAAGAATATGCTATATCAGTTAACTATCTCCGTTTCCTAGTCAAACCGACGACTACATCTCTTGTATATCACAGTATACTGTTGTGTAGACAAACATGCTATCCAAGCATACCCTTCTTGCCATCTTTTTGTACTGTATGTTATATCGCTGATAGAATGTCATAAAAATTCAATCACTTGAAACTTTATTCACTTTTAGTAGCCATAGTTCAACTAGACTTCTGCCGAGCAAAGATCTGCTATCAATGCGATGATAAAAATCCATCAAGTAAATTGAAATTCTACGGCGAAAAGATTACTAAATGTAATGGCGTTCCATTCGAAAAATATGCCTCGAAAACATCGAAAGCATTTGGTGCTGCTGTATTAACATGTTACACGGTAAAGTATACTATTCAAATTTATTGTTACACTTGCTATTTGATATATATGCGATAAATGAGTGATTTTCCGTAACTTGATTATATGAAGCCTGCTTTTTCAATATAAACTCTTTTGCAGAAATTCAATGAATCTGGTCACGTTATCAAACGAGGTGCTTTTGGTCTTGGCGAAACTTATGACAAAAATTTCAAATGTCGAGATCGTTTTCATATCTGCTGCAAAACAGCTTTCTGCAACAAACATACCAAAGCTCCATGTCCACCACCTGGTTCGTTTAAAGCTTTCCATCTTTTGATCATAGTATCGCGAAATACTTTTGTCAAAAATAGCTAAAATAACAACGAAGAAAGAAGTCAAAGCATGTTATCAATGCAAAGGTGCCGAAGCTTGCAAACCAGAAAAACTCGATGGACGTGAAATTCGTACATCTGGCGCTTTTGGCGGCAAGAACTTATACTGTTATACTGTAAGAAAAAAACAGAATTCTAGTCTCTGTTCAACCCGTTGAATACTATATTTTTTTCATCAAAATAGAAATTCGATCCAAAGACAGGTGCTGCTGTTGCTCGTGGTGGCTTTGGATTTGGCGAAGCCTTGGATAAGAATCTCAAATGCGACGCCAAACACTATTTGTGTTGTTTTGAAAATTTATGTAACAATCAAACAGCTGGTTTCTGTGCTAAACCAAAATAAAGGAACCGTTTAGAGAAAAGACTACCCTACATGTGTGCATCCTGTTTGCTTGTGTGAACGATCTCTTATCTACATTATTCGTCTTATTTTCTAATAAACAATAAGTATAAAATCTGGAATAATGAAAAATATCAACACTTCCAAATGACATGTAAGAACGAATGAGGAAAGATACTGATGACAGTAACGACTATTATCGGATGTACTTCCCATGAAAAAAAAACAAGAGGACAGTATAAAGAGTGGGGTACTTCTCAGTAAATATCCGATATGAAATAGTTCCGATGCTAAGACTGTTGCTCCAAGCTTTTTTCATGTCAGAACGTTCTTGTTTATAGGAATGTCGGTTAGAAAGCATATGCACTCGAAATCAATGAATAATTCGTGTGAATAACGACCATTTATCACAATCGCAATATCTTTCAGTCAAACTAGATCTATCCTTAGAAAAAGGATCATAGCTAGGTAGAACATAATCCATAAATAATGGCGTAGGATAAAATATATTTAGCCACTAACACTTTCCATACATGTTACACACAAAGATAGTTTTTGATGCATACGTAATTCATTACCCACCGTTATGAAATTTAGTCTGTTATATAGTCGACTATTTTTTTTATAGAAGTTATCATAGTCTAATAAAAAACGAATGACTTCATACGAAAAACTAATATATCCAGGAAGTACTTTTCCCTTCGATGATGATGAATACACCGATATTTTTAAACTTAGCTATATTTTTTAGATTGAAGCAAGTAAAGCATATAGCATCGATAATGAACAATAATATTGTTGAAATAAAACACTAACAGCTGATTTCTGATATGGCCAGTTCCCAACAATTGTTTCCTGTTTTGCGATAGACAAAACATTTACTTTCAAACAAGTTGTTTTTCGGTTGACACAATCTGGCTGCGATATAAATACGTGTCCTAGTGAACTAACAATGGAAAGAAATTGCCATGTTAGCTTTCTAGCAGTTTTGAGAATAGAGCCTCCGAGAAAAGCGAAAGTTATGTCTGTTCTTTTGATGAACCATTCGGAGGATGTGAGAAGATGATGTTATTATGATACTTGTCAAGTAGAATGCTATTATAAAGAACACCAGACAATCTAATGTGATGGCCGCTTCACTGTTTTCTTTTATTTTCTTAAAGAAGGAGAAAAATTAGTCGTTATGATTGCTATTCATAAAGAAAAATATAGATTATTGAACGAGATTTGTATCCATATACATTGCTGTCAACAGTTGGACGAGAAGAGAAAGAATGAAAAAGCAAAAACGACGACCAATCACCAAGGAAAAGATAGAGGGCTTTTTTTGTGCGAAGTATATTTTTCAAGGTAATGATTTTTCTCTTGGTGGTGATGTTGATGGTTGAGAATGATGAGCATTAGTTGGTGGTATAACTATTGATGAATCAGGCTCGCTGAATAATGGATTGCGTACTTCCATCTCACCTGTCTGTAAATAGAAAAGGAAATGAACATGGCTTGTTAACTAGAGCGGAAAATGTCAACATACTGGAGCCAGGCCAGGACATTCGTAAACGGTATAATCTCCTCCTTCTGGAGCCTCATCATCAGAATCGTCCGAATTATTTGCTTTTGCATCGAGAAGATCTCTATTGAAGCAAAAATCATCCATGAATGACATTCTATTAATCAACTGCTATTCAATATACTTTTCTTGTGCCATCATTTGTTGACGTTGTTGTTGATAATGGAACATTTGTGCACTTTGAGCCAGTTTTCGATCCGACATGGTCGAACTTGGTGAAATCTTACCACCAGTTGCATTCGGTCCTGTGACCCCATATGATGGATATTCGACATCAGCAGCTTCTTTTGCTTTCTTCTGAACTCTATTAAAAACAGACGAGCCTATATTATTATCTGAGAATTAATATTTATGAAACCATCTACGTTGTTTGAATAAAAAATATTTGAGAATCAACTTAGAGAGTAATTGTTTTTTCAAAGTGAGAACAAAGTTTAAGTGACAATGCCTACGGCAGCGGTGATGGTGATAGCAGCAGAGTCATGACTTTTTTTGCGTTCTGCTATATCAGGAACATTCTTTCTCCTCCAATTGAACTCGTTCGTTCTCTAAGTTAATGCTACTATGGCTATTAAACAAAGTTGCTTTTAGATTATTACTATATGGACTCGTATTCTTAACATAAATTGACAGTTGTCTTTATTTTCTGTGAAAATCTATCTAGCAATGACTTACTTGTACCAAAACACTGTTGCCGCTAGAAGACCCACCACACCAATCATGCAACATGTTCCAACAATTACTAAAAAAAAAACAAATGAAAAGTCGATTCAATATGTACTCTAGTGTTTTATGTTTCGTTTGACACATGATTGTTGCTAATTAAAGAATTAGATGAGAATGAGACTGGTTTTCTTTTTAAAATCTAGGACTATGCAGATAATCCTGACATAATAATTATCAACAAGTACTCGTGTTTTTATCATTTGATACACAATGAAAAACAAAGGTATTATCAAGAATCGAGTTTTCATCATATCCTAAAAAAACTCTAGCATATGCTTCTCTACGGTCAAATTTCCGGCGAGTATTCTATGACACAATCAACTTTGTCGGATGTTGACAATTCGTCAAGCAGGCGATATTAAAAGTGCATATGTTTTCAATCTGACGTATTCTGAACTTTTTTCTTCGATCGAATAAAAGTTCAATTAACTGACATACATGTTGAGAAGAACTTACCGAAAAATAGTGTATCGTTGCGTCGTTGTTTTCGGTCTCTAGAGTTTAAAGCAGCATTCGATTGTAATCGTTCAGCGCGTCCATTGACACTGCCTCCGAGCCATGGTTCTTCCAAAATGTTCTCGTTATAGGTTTCTGATATTTTATTGAATAATTCGCCTCGTTCGCTATCATCAACCAATTTGTTTTCCATCAACACATCTGATGGATACCGTTCACTTAACCCTTTGACACTTGCTAAACGCGAAAGCAATCGAACGTTTTTCTCATGAAATTTAACAAAAAGTTTTATCTTACCAGGTAAAAGTTCATTGACAGTTATTCGACGTTTCACTGCTGCTTCCTTATCTATCAATTCTTCCCAATCGAACGAATCGCCTCTTTCTATAAAAAGAAACAATGTAACACCATTAAAGATTAATTTCATTTCCATCCCAAAAAAGCAATAGTTTGCATTTCTGCTCTCATCGTAGATGAGCTTAAGTTAGAATGCTAGACTAAAGAAAAGAAAGTCGGCTCTTTGCTCTTTTCCGTTGAGTTTTCTAACATGCAACATGCATATCTTATTGCATTGTATTTTTTTCTCAAAAGCTTTTTTTTACGACATAAAGAATGTATTACTTTCAATTTCTTCTTGTTCCAGTGCCGATGTCGGTATGAATTCATCACTAATGGGTTTCTTTGGCGCTTCTCCTGGAAATTTTGCTGCTTGTTGTAAACGTTCTTTCGATGAATGTATTTTCGGTAGGGGAAGATAGAAGATACGCGAAGCGTCAATAGTTGTTGTCACAACAAGGAGTACAAGAACTACATGATTACTCACAAACACTCTCATGTTTATTTTCGAATGTATGTACGTATATATATATTTATAATAATATTTCAGTACTAAGAATGTCTTCACCGGTAACGTCGCATGCGTGTATGCTGGATCACACGCACACAAAACACTCAACTGTCGTTGTCGGCGTGTGGTAGTTGCTCACTAGTGTTCTTGTTTTTGTTCAGATTTTTTCACGACAGAATTCTTTTTTTTCTTTCCACTCGCTTTTTTTCCCGATCTTTTGTTTCTTTTTTTTTCCGGGCGATGATGATGGCGTTCATTATCTAAGCTATATAACGGAAGAAAAATACTCGTGCATTTCTGGCGAATATGAGATAGGGAAAGAGAGAGAGAGAAAGAGAAAAAAAGAAGCTGAGGAAAATTCTCGCTCGTAGGCAGCAACAACGTTCGTTCGTCCTTTAGAGCGTACTTGAAAAACTTAATACTCGACGTTGTCTAGGCAAAAGAAGAGATTAGGGGATCGGTTTTAAAGAGAAAATTAGAATGTAACACGAGTTTTTTTTTAAAGATGATATTTATTATCCTAAATATAGTTGCTTGGTTGCTTTCGAATCTACGCACAACATCAATTGTAAATTTATCGACATTAAAACAAGCTTGTCGGAGGATGTTTTTCTTTTCCACATTGGATGGGAAAAGGAAAAGAAAGAGTCATAAGACGCCAAAAGAATGAATAGGACGATTTATATTTCCAATTGCTGGAACTTTCTCAATGTACTGTTAACGGTTGTTTATAATTAACTACATGAAACATCGGGGGAAAGAACGGAATGTTAGGAAATATTTCCTACGTTTTTCTTTCTTCTCTACAAGAAGAAAAGTATATTAATTTACCGTTGAGAAAACGAACAGCGGCACAAATATGTTGCGTATTTAGAAAACATTGAATGTTGAGTAAAATAAATAATAATAATAATGAAGATATGAATTTGTGCATGGGACTGCAATATAGCATTGTTAAAATGATCAAATCGACATCCACGTCATAGGGGCTTTTATTCCATACGTCTGTAATATAAGCTGATAAATATACCAAACAAGTAATATGAGATGTATGAGAGAATAAATTATTTTAAAACAGAAGCAAAATATGATCTAAAAGTTAGATGTAGGTGTATTTAAATTGCCCGAAATCTACCCACAACGGAACAAACATATTAATCTAGATATAATAAGACATTATTTTGTATACGGTCACCATAGTCATATAGACATACGTGTTCGCACGCTTGAATAGCTACACAATGGTACAAGAGGTGACTGGTTGTTTTTGAAATCCGTTGATAAATAATTAGTTACATTTATCTACAAAAAAAACATTAAGACAACAATGTTATTCTATCCATCATATGTATACCACATCCTATACGCAGTTTTACCAATAAATCTAGTATGCCGCCGATGATGACGTAATCCAATCACGCTGTCAAAGCGAGCACTTGTATACACACGAAATATCGAAATCGATGAGCAGCCAGTATTGCAAAGAGTCGTATATATGCACGCAGAGGGCGCTATTGATCTGTTGATTAGTGGTAGAAGTAAAGCAAGAAATGAATTTTTACTTCATGTCCTTCGAGTATATCATTGAACAAACAGAATCAAACCTGAGAACGTGGTAGGCGTAAGAAAGAAATAATGGTGCTGTTGTATTGATCTTTTTCTTACCAAGGTCTTTTATTTCATACATATACAAGTCATTTGGTGTATTCAACTTAGAACACGAAAAAAGACATGTACTTTTTCAATAGCCCTTTTCATCATCAGTTTTCACCGTCGATGCCTCATCGAAAAAGTATCTTCGAAGATCCACGTGAAGATCCTCTTGCTATCTTTCTTCTCCAAGTATTTGCCACATTAATTCTATCGAAAATATTAGGCAAATGTTTGTCATTTATTCATCAACCAGCTGTCATTGGACAAATTCTAACTGGTATCATCCTAGGCCCAAGTGTATTAGGTTTCATACCTGGTTTCAGTTCATTTCTATTCGCTCCACACACCCTCAACTCACTTCAACTAGTAGCGTCATTAGGTTTGATATTTTTCATGTTCTATCTTGGATTGAAAATGGATCCGAACGAAATTCGACAAGGATGGCGTCGAACATTACCTATTGCATCAGCCAGCATTATTATTCCAGTCAGTATCGGATGTGCAACTAGCCTATGGCTATATAAAATGGCCGAGCCAAATATAAACAAACCGGCGTTTATTTTATTCATTGGTAGTACAAGATTTCATTTATATCTGACAATTTTATTGATTATTCAGGTTCCGGAGTTGGCTTTTCGGCATTTCCAGTTTTAGCTTCGATTTTGCAAGCGAATAACATAATCACGACTTCACTTGGTTAGTATTTGAAAAACAGAAAGGCTTCTTACTTTTCTATTGTTGTTTGATTGACCATTTTTTTGTCGTTTATCGAGGTGTGTTAACAATTAGTATCGCTGCAATTGAAGATATCGTCGTATGGGTCATATTAGCGATTGCAACGGCCTTAAGTAAAGGTGGTCCATCAATTGAAGGTCTCTACACTCTTCTCTTAACTTTCGCCTTTCTTTTGATTATGTTTATCGTTGTTCGTCCATTGCTTTCGCTGGTACATCGTTATTACTTTCGTCGAAATGATGAACACAATATCTATTTGATTGTTTGTTGTATCTTGGTATTACTAGCAGCATCTTTCGTCAGTGAAGTGATTAATATTCACGCATTCTTTGGTGCTTTCGTAGCCGGGTTAATTATTCCGCGTAAAATGAAAGGTTCAAATTTACACGACTTTTTATCTGCTCAAATCGAACTATTATGCATTGAATTTTTTCTTCCACTCTACTTCACAAATTCGGGTTTGAAAACTCATTTTGCTATGTTGAATACAGTTCAAATATGGTATACAATATTGAGTTTAGTTGCGATCATTTCCATTGCTAAAATAATCCCAGTTACACTAATGACACGAATAGTAACACGAAAAGAACGAACATGGTCGTATGCTTTAGCTGTCGGCATTCTTATGAATACGCGTGGAATTGTTCAATTGGTTGTACTCAACGTTGGTGTTGAACTAGGTGTTTTGTCACCTGTTATTTTTTCAATGTTTGTATTGACAGCTGTATTCTTGATATTTCTTACCTCGCCGTTACTCTACCTGGTTTATCTACGAAAGAATGGCAAAGAAATAGCTTCGACTACAACGAATGTCTACAACAATCCAATGGAACGAGTCTCACATGATTACATGCGACAACCGTCGAGAAAATGGAAAATTGCAAGATCAGCTTGTTGATAATTATTGAATTTAATTCATAATAAGAAATATGTTAAGTTCGAATACATATTACCTCGTATTTTCTTCGGGATACTTAATCAAATTTATTGCGATATCGATCATTGATGGAAAGTGAGTCAGGTCAACATGTACTGTGACGCTCGATCATTCTATTTAATAAAAATCAACTATATTATGATTGATCATGGAATATTCTGTTGTTTCATTTCCATATGTTGTCAATAAAAAGTAATCACGGATATCCGCTTTCATTGTCGAAAGCGATGAGCATTTATTTCAAATGATTTTATAGATTTGAAATCCCTCTGATTGTATAGCTTGAATAATCACATCATCCTCAATGTGAACATGTGCAGTCACATCAGCTTGACCCATTTCGAGATCAACATGTGCATCGAGAATGCCATCGATTTTTCCAAATGCGCGAACTACAGTTGATCGACATGATTCACAATGCATTCCTACGATTTTCCAATGTGTAATCATCATTTGATTATCATCACCTAATTGCACATTAGTTACTGATTCCTTTCTGAACATTTGAAATATTTCTGGTGACAATGATAAGCATAAAGTTAACATTACCATCATTGTAAAATGAGTTTTCGATGGACGATAACGAATATATGAGTAAGTCAATGAAATAACAGTCAATGAAACGAATAAAGGTCGATAGGGAACAAGAAGAGTGTTCAGTCCCGCACACCCGATACCGAATAGATTGAGAAAAACTTGCAGAAAACAACATGGACAACATAAAGATATGAGAAAGCCACCAAAAAGGCTATTAGCCCAACCGAAACGCATCATACTACGTTTATCTACAATACAAATTGCCTAATTATACTTGATGAATGTTTTCAATCGAATTCTTTTTTTATTCAGAAGTGTTAACAGAAAAAAAAACAGAACATTTACAAAACAGATTAGGTTCTTTTCTATCATCAATGTTCAGATGTTGCAGCTCCATTTGTTTTTGGTTGTTTTCGTAAATTTGCAACTTCCTTTTCTAATTCCACGATCGCACATTCAATTTCATAGTTCTTGCCAACTAAACCGACCCAACTAAAGATGGAAAAAGACAAATTTGTCATTCAAAAATATTGTTTCTTTTTTAAACATACGTTTGTTCAAGTGCGCTCAGCTTAGCTCCTGCGTGCGTTTGTTCATTTTTACGATTAAAGTTTATTTCCTGAATCTGTTTTCTAAAATCGAATCAAGGAAATTAGCAATGTAGAAAATGTTCTTCAACGATTTTTCCTACCGAAGTTCTAATAATTGTTTTTGTGCTTGTTCTAACATATTTTGTAAAGAAGTATTGTAGATTTTCCATGTATTTGCTCCGTAGTCCCACATCAATTCCAAATTCAGGATTCTGAAAAGAGAAGATTAATCGTTAAATTGATAAGAGATGTTTGATTACCGTGTCTGTTGATGTTCAAGTTGAGCATAGGAGTTTTCCACACATTCATTCCATGCTTGGAAATCTGTTTGTTTACCGGGTGGTGGTGTAGGCAATTCATAACTAAGAGAACACGAAAGCTAATAAAATTAGAAACTTCAGAGTGAAGTATTCGCTGTGTTACCGTTTCATACTCAGCATTTCCATTGGTAAACGATTGGAAAGGCGTTCAAATTCTGTTTTCATGATGTCGGTCTATTCGATAATAAAATAAAATTTACATCTCTACGTGGATGAAAAACTAATCACCTCAAATTGATGGTATAGAGGTTGGCCCAGCTGTTCTAAATAATTTTTTGTCGGTTTATAACGACGTGTTTCATCTTCAACTAAACTAAGCGCCTAGAAATGAAACCAATTATTCAATTTCAATTAAAGAAAATGACTAGGATGAACTCACAGCTTCACGCACACCGGCTTCCTCGTATCCGCCATCGTAATAAGGTAAAGCATCGACCACGACATCCGGTGGTGCTTGATGACCATGCGCAGGATTGGAATGATGAAGTACTACGGCTGATGATGTCGAATGAGCCATATTTTACGATTAAAATCTCCGATAGAGCAATTGTAATTTCAAACAAAAAGGAGAAAGAATTACAGGCCATAATTTGGACGAGAAGGACACCAGTCATAGTAGCGAGCTTCATAACGGACAGAGGTCGCTCGATGCCATAGAGTACCATGGGCGTATTATTTAAAGATTCACAGTTTTATCAGTATCGCATTGCTCTAATCTGAAAGTATAATGCCGAATCCTATTCCGGTCTTAAAATATATCATTCAAAAGACACCAGTAATTTCTAGCCTGTAAACGATCACACTAAGAAAGATAATACTCTTTTTTAATTAGAAAACAACTCTTCCTAACCTATGATCTCTGAAATTTGAATAAAATATTGTTTGTTACTCGACAAACAACGACTCATTCATTAAGCAGAAACTTGCCAGATTCATTGGTTCGTATTTAAGAAAAACTGTATACTAATCAGCATTTTTACCTGCATGAACGATAAACATTGACTTCTGGGTTATGGAATAGAGCAGATTATTACAGATTGAAGACAATGAGCACTATCGATGGAATTCGATATGCAACATTGCAAGTAAATCGTTACGTGTCTATCATACTTCTTCTTTTGGGAACGATTAGCAATTTATTATGTTGTCTGGTATTCACTCAACGAACTCTTCGTTCTAATCCATGTGCTCTCTATTTTCTCGTGGTAAATATTTCGAATATTATCTCCTTGACAGCAGGAATTCCTCCTCGAATGTTAAACAGTTGGAATATACTCGCAGATCAAACAGAAACAATATCATCACTGTGTAAAATACGACTACTTGTTGTACTGGCATCACGCAATATCTCTTCATGGTTACTTGTTTGCGCTGCGATCGATCGATGCTTTCTCTCGTCATCTAAGGCCGATACACGGCGAAGAAGCAACAGAAAACAAGCGGTTCGTCTCATTATTATCGTTTCTATTATGTCTCTTGCCTTTTGGACTGAGTGTTTATACTGTTTCGATGCAAACCTTATCGGTACACCATTGAGATGTTATGCGAAATCGGCGAACTGTCGTATATTTAATGATTTAGCCCAAGTATTCGTTACAACTATGATTCCATCAACTATTATGATGATCGCTGGCCTATACACGATCAAAAACATACGTCAAGCACGTCGAATACTACCGGCAACTGTTAACCCTATTCTATCAAGAGGTAGAAAGACTGAAAGTAATCTAACGAAGATGTTATTTTTGCAAGTTATCTTCCTAACAATATTTAATCTTCCTCAAGCAATACAGAAGTTCTATTTAACATATACATTTTATGATTCGAGATCACTCTTGCAGACAACTATTGAAAATCTTCTTTTTAACATTGTTCTATTGCTTACTTATGTTTCAAGTTGTGTCCCATTTTGTTTGTACATCCTAACAGGCGATGTTTTTCGGATGAAGCTCGTTCGAATCATTCGAACAATAGTACATTATGTGAAATGTTGACTGTTTCAGAAAATAAATTGTTTTGGTCTTGAAAAGACGTTCTGCGTAACAGACTATCTTTGATTGAAATGTATTGAACAGTCAAACTGTCATTTTACCAGTGCAGACCAATGTGAGCGTTTCTTCTTTTCTCTCGTTCTCTGAATTTCGTCTATAAATCGACCGTTAGTTTATGAACGATGAAATCGCGTTCATTGTTTTATCGAATTCGTATTTTAAACACACGAAATCGATGGGTCATTTATTCACTAGAATGGCGACTATATGGTTAGAAGAACAACGAGCACAGAATAAGTAGAAACAAACCGTAAAAATTTCCTTTTACGACATTCGTTTCCTCATTTTCAAAGTTTAACGGCATTTCAATCCAACAGTAACAAACGCAAACGATCCGATTTGAATGAACTATCAAATAAGCGAAAAGCTTCTTCGAATTCAACAAGTAAAACTGAGAGCGACGATGAGGATGAACGTTTGACACTTTCACCGCGAATTTGCCCCATCATCACAAAATCTTCGACTGCCAATCATCGATCAATACAATCGCTGGTATTTCGACTTCTATCCCGTTAATAATCTGTTTTTTTTTAAATGTATTTTAGAGTTCATTCAAATGCCAACTATGCCGTCGATGCTTGCGTAATAAAGATTTGTACATGGAACATATGATGCTTTGTGCCTTTCAACGACAAGCAGCAATTAAGATAGTGCGTGCTGGAAAAAACAAAACGAACATTTCCATTCGGTGATTGTTCCCTCGACATCTGTTGAGCTTGTTTGCGATTTCTGTTTGTTTATGTACAGGTTTTATTTATCTATTTCATTTTGATTTACCTGTTGACTTTTGTTTTTAGAGATTTTCTTTTGAATAATATCGATATAAATAATACTATCACACTGAAATACTAATGATGATCTTTGTTTTTGGAAAATTAGGATTGATAGTTTCATAAGAGAAAATACACCTTGTGCGTTGCTTAGGAAGTACATCTATGACAGAACTGCTACTTGTCTTGAACAGTGTCATGGAACATGATTTTCACTAGTCAATGTGCAATAGTTGAGTGGAAGAAGCAATCTGTCTGTAGCAGAAGTTGATGAATAATTTTGCATGATAGAGCATATCGGGATACTCATTTCCTTTTTTTAGATGTCTTCGAACAAAGCATGATTCAGATATGTGATATTTCTTAAAATATCTGGTCTATCACCGCTATATCTCGCAAAGTCGACGGTTTTGACAGTTGTAATTAGATTCTTTTCCATACCTAGTAGGTCGGCATCATATAGTTGTAATCATCATATAAATAGTTTTGATATAACCATTTGAAAGCATTCGAAAATACATACTCTTCTTTCTATGGATGATATAGGCGATCAAGTGCAGCGCTATGGCGAACCAGTGATTATCATTTTGGGAACGACTGGCGCAATATTAAATCATATCTTGTTCTGTTCTCGAAAACAACTTCGTTCAACCTCATGCGCACTGTATTTTCGAGCAATGTCACTCAATGATCTTCTTGTTATGTGGTATGTTATATTTACTGAATGGTTGAGTGACCAATTCAATATTGCTCCAGCAAATGAATACAATTGGTATTGCAAACTCTCGAAGTATTTAACATACGTATTCTACTCATTGTCACCATATATTCTTGTTTTGGTTTGTTTCGATCGTTTATGTACAAGTTCAATCGATGTTCGACTGAGAAGAATTTCCACCAAACGTATCGCATTATTTATTATCACTGCACTAGTCATTGTTATCTGCCTTTCGTATTCACACACTCTCGTTTGGTTTAACCTTTATAATCTTGACTCCGATCCGGTTTGTATGACGCTCGATGCTGTTTACAGCTACTTCCTAGCTGCGTTCTTGCTTTGGGCATTTTGTTTTATACCTCCGATACTAATGATTGTGTTATGTACTATAACATTCATTTCCCTTCGACAGCAAAGAAATCGAATAATGCCTGTGAATCAAGCGCGTTCACGTCAACGTGATAATCAGTTGCTGAAAATGCTTTTTATCTATGTCACATGGGATATTATTTGCGTTGTTCCGTTTTGCGTTACATATTTTATTTATATACGGAATGGTGACCGAACATCAGCGGTAATAAATACTCTGCTGGAAATCTTTGGAACAGTCATTTATTTGATATATGCATCAAGTTTCTATGTTTATACATTGGGTACGCCTTTTTATCGTCATGAATTGTGCAGTTTACTCAAGACGGTCTGGCGACGTTTACGACCAGAGAATAAGCATGATTTACGTTTAAAGATACGACGAGCGACAAACGAACCCGAAGATTAGCAAATAAACACATTCTTTTCCTATCGCTGAATTTTCTATCTAGTAAAATCTTGGGTATCATACAACTGATTTTCTTTCCAATAGATTAGACTTTGGATCTATTGCATGCTATATCTTTTTGAGTTCATTTCGATCAATGAAAAGACTTACGTCTAACTTAAGAATACTGGAAAAAAGCTAATTAAAAATCGACACCTATTTTTAGAGAAGTCATGCATGCTGTGATTGTTTAGAATAATTTGAAAAGCGAACCGTGCGATGTATTCTGATCTTAAATGAAAAGTCGAGATTCATACTATACTTTGATTTTGGATATAAAGCCTAAACTGAGTATACTTTCAGTCATAAATTCTTGCAAAGGATACGACTGATGCGCAATCTGATAAAAACCCTCGCTATTCTTAGCCGCCATCGACTGAAGCATTATTCAATGAAATTTGATTCTTTTTCTCGAAAACAATTACGATCAATATCCTAAACACTATATTTTCGAGTGCCTTAATTCAATGAACTTCTCGGTCAACGCAATAACCACACTGACGATATTATTTGATCGACGCGAACTGTACGATTTATTTTGAATTGGTCAAGTGAGATTAACACATGCGACAACTCACAGTGTAACCATTAGTGTCTCAGGAAATTTCTCCTTTTCTTCTCATGACTCCGTATGAAATACAAGACTTTCAATTATCCGAGAATAGATTCGTTCAATTCAGATCATTGAGAGGTGTGAAAATACTCTGATGTATTTGAGAACCAATCGAAATATTTTTACACTCATACAAGCAGGATTCTTGATCATATTCATAGAAACATACCTTCAATTCGGAAGTAATTCTCATTGAACGATTATATGTGAGACTGACAAATAGCTGCCAACATTCTTGAATGAAATTATTTTCACCTGCTTGAGGTTCCCGGACTGGTCACAAAGATTGCTGTTTGTTGAATATAGTCAATTGTTCAAAGTAATCCAAGTTACCTTCCATTTCTATAGATCTTCTTGGCCTATAGCGAAGAAACCTCATATTGTCTGATGATAGACAGTTATACTGTCCTTGAATTCTAATTGATTGAGGGGACTAACCTTCAGAAGGTTTTGTTTTTAATAGACAGATTAGCTTTAACTGATCCTTATCTGATAAAAGGCTATGTATCAAATAGATTTCTCTAAGTAGTCAATAAAATATATTTGGTACTCGAAATAAGTGGAATCCTTGAGCGTGGATCAGTAATTGTCTTTCTTTTCAGTTTATTTCAGATTGCACACGAAATAATTACTGTTTGAAATATACAAAGAAAAATTCAAGCTGAATATTTAATTATCTATGAACTTGAAATCGTATCGATAAAACCATATGGTTGTATATCCTTCGAAGGTAACAAGGGTTCTTCTTGTTCATGCTTAAGTTTTTCAATCAATGAAGTAAGTGTTGCCTTTGATTTCATTGTTAATGATGGTTCCAACAGCATGAGTGATGATGTCGTTTGCAATGGCATCGGCAGCTGATGATATGGTGAATTTTGTCTTGTAATTGGAATTTGTGATAATGAATAAGTACTACACATACTTTGTCGATAAGTATCGGCATTTGTAGGTAAAGATAGCAGATGTTTAGGTGCAACTAGTATTCTTGTATGACATTTTCCATGGGCGTAGAAATGTTCGTGGACACCTTGTGCTGGATTGTAGTTTGTTAGTAATTTCTGCGCTCGATGTCGTAAACGTTGCGATGATGACGAAAAGAATCGATTGTGTTGACACGTAAACAATCGCTGGAGTTCGTGACGAAACACTCGACCCGTAAATGCATAGAGAAAAAAGTTGGATGCTAAATGAAGAACTAGTATAATCATTCGAAAGGGAAAAGGGCAGACTTACAATGGTTAATGTATTGAGATATTTCGGCGATGATTTTTCCAATGGTTATAGTTACATTCAGGGTGAATGAACGTTGATTAATATCCGAATAGATTGCATCGATTATTTGCATTATCGAAATGGGCATTGAACAAATACAAAAAGCAAAGGATACTGTCAATAACATTGTTGTCAAACGACGATTCACACGTCGGTAGGCTAATGCTTTGGTTGAGACATGTTGCGTCTGTTTAGTTGTCGATTTTTTCATCAAGGTAGTTCCACTATTGTTCGTTGATGTTGACGAAAACGAGATCGATGACTTTGTATCGATCGTCTTCTTCACATAAGTCGCTTGTTGTTCCAATAATTTCGTTGTATTTCGAGCGTTGAGTAAACTTTTGATAATCAAAATGTTCAATGTTATGAGAACTGTAAATGGACAAAATGAGTACTTAAACGAATCAAACCATGTAAAATATTTCAAGAATAAAGACTCATCATTCAATGGGATACAATGCGAACGACTTGGGGATAAATGAAATGTCCATAGGAAATGTGCATTGATGAAGAAGAAAATTGTCAGGACGAGCAAAAGCATGTACCGTGCTCGTTTGATTGTACAGATTTGACTAGCACGAAGTGGCTGGGAAACAGCGATATATCGTTCGAAGGTCATTGCCACGGTTATCCATACACTGGAATAAACGAACTTTCCTGGTCAATCCAGTAAACATACGAAAAAGTGCAGAAAAACTTTACCTGCAATCAGCAAAGAAAAAGAATGCGAATGTACCAAATTTGCAGCAGAGATTACACGCGAGAATTGGCCGTTGTTTATCAATTAGTTCCAACCATCGATTCAGACAGCCGATCCACAGAACAAACGTATCAGCCATAGCCAAAGCAGCCATATAAAAACATGAAGATGAATGTCGCATACGGCCACGTCTCATAACAATAAATGTTAGAGTATTACAAGTTGTACCAATTAATAATAAACATGGAAGAATGAATTCTTCACTCCGCGAAGCTAGTTGAACAAGATAATTGTTTGAAACCTGATCAAAAGTCATCGTTGTCGTCCTGGTCACATCTCAATAACTAAAATATATAAAGATAGAAAGATATATATATATATATATATATATATACATATGCGTATACAACGATTGAATCGATCGTTATCATCGAGTTTTGAATACATTGTTCACTAGTTGATTGTCATTATTGAAGGTCTACTCATATGTAGATTCATTCAAAGTCAAAGGATAGCGTTTGTCTTACACTCTATGATCAAACGGTTACCAACGAACTATTTCGATTGCATACAGAATAAGAAATAGTTTTCTCTGACATTCGCGTCCATCATACATACGATTAAAACTAATACTCACGATTGAGCAATGTGAAATATCATCGATGACGAAAGAGCGTGACTTAATCAAGTTTTTAATCAGCACTTACGTTTCTCTCTTTCTCTTTCCTTCTTTATACATGCATATGTATATGAACAGATACCTTAATGTTCGTATGTGCATCTTCTCCAACTGATGTCAGTGTATCCTCGAATGAATAATCGCTCAAATGATTGTGATCGTATCAATGATAAATAATATCGTTCGTTTTAAATAAGGAAGAAAATAATCTGTAAGTGATGGTCTGTTTCTGTCGAAATCAGATGATGAATCTACGTCGAAGAGACAAATGAAGAAAATGACTTACATTGTTACATCAAAGTTAAACAAACGGATGATTCGATTCCGTTGTACGGGAGCAGGCAGCTCGATGACTGTTGTAGTTAACAAAACCACTATGGAAAATCGAATTATGATGAAATAGTCGTTTTATATACATAGAGCTCAATTGCTCTTTCTCTATTTCTCCTTCTCTTCTTTTCTTTCTTCATTGACATATGTACTCGAGCGAACTGTGTTTAGTCGAGTAGTCAGAAAACAGTTTCGCCAGCAAGATTACGTAATCGACGACGAGCCTATCGTATCCCTTCTTCTTCTTCTTCTTCTTTAGCGTCTCTTTTATGTATGCGCTTACTCCATTAAAATATCTCCATTCTTCTTACAATTAAGTCAAATCTTCAATAAGCTTTGACAAGCTAGACGATTTTGATTTTAGTCTTAAGAGAAATGTCTCGCACCAGACAAAAATGAACACACTGTAATTGTCACTGTCAGACACATATGCGTTCAAAACATGTCGACAACAAGAGATACATCCATCAAATGACCAGACGAGGTCGATTTGATTAAGATACTGAAAATGTTTACTCCAAGATCAACAGTTATGCAGACATGATCATATAAACAAAATGATCGTGAACAGATATTATCGGTATCGAAAGTAATTATCTGCTCATACTGGTAAGAATTCTTTCATCTACCTTAAAATATCTTACAACGGAATGCCAAAATTTCGGTAAAAGTCAACATTTATTATTTAGACACCAAAGAACAAACAGAGATGATTGTAACATTGAACACCGGTGAAGCACATCTGAATATTCAATATAATAGCGATATATTAGTGTCTACTACGTTTGAAATAATGTAATTTCCAAGCAAGAAAGAGTCAGCATATTCAGTAAAACAGTGGAGAAGATTTGTTATTGTGAGTGTTGTGTACTTGAGTGTACTGTATTCCGAAGAATTGTCAATCAAAGATTGACAAGATGCTCCATTTACTTGTCGTTCAAAGGTTACTATTAATCTGATAATTATAATTATGTTTTCTTTACTTTCGTTACAATTGTTGTCATGGTCAAATTATGTCTGCCCGTTGTCTTCTTACTAAGCAACTGTCTGTCTGAATAAGAAGAAAAATTAATGTCTTATTGTGATAACATTGAAAAAGAAGCTTATGCGAGTGCACAATCAAAGCCTCTCCGTTAATTTTTTTTTGTATTCATTTGAAAAGTAACAAAACACTTTTCACATTATTTCTTCCAGTGCCTTCCGAGATAGATCTTAAAAGGCGGTTTCCCTTTGTATTTTGTTTTCAGATCACAATGCTCTTGCACACTCGGTTATCAAATAATGTCCTAGAGATCGTCTACTAATTGCATCTAGCGAAGATACTCTTTCATTTCAATAATGTGCATCGATGATCTTAAGGTTTAGAAGCGAACGTCTTTTTGATTTATGTAATTGTCTATTCTAATACTCACTTAGGTTTGATGAAAAAGTAGACATGATGAACAACATTTCATGTGAAGGTCTCTCACAAGATAATAATCATTTATCAGTAATGATTCTTGAAAACGGGTGCATAGATACTTTTCTCTGTATCCATATGGTTTGTGAATTTTTCTGTCAAATAGAGGAAGCGATTCACCAACCATTCATTTCCGTCTGATTCACTTCATTTTCTCTTCATAAATGCTACTCATCTGATCCTAAGAAGCGAAGGATATACGAGAAAGTAAAGTATTATGTTTTTTTTTTGCGAAAATGACACCGTTGTTTTATTCAGCATTACATGAATGTATTTGAAATATGTATACCGACGAACAGAAGTTCATCGACACCATGTATTTCTAACTCTGGGAGATTTTTTATTATAACGCGAGTTTTGCTTTTAAGTAGTGTACTTTGTCATTACGTGCATACACTCATTTCCTCTCTTCTTATCTTTTCCATGCAAATTAACCCTTGAAGTATATGCGATCATTTCCAGAATTTCTTCTGGCATGATATGTTGTAGAGTTACGATCCACAGAAAACTCAGTTCGAGTTTGGTGAGTAAACAAGCAATATGTTCTGTTGTGTTAAGTTAGATGTGAATGCACTTTAAACTTTTTAAATTATGAGACACATTTTATGCTCCATGAGCAAACCTTTTTGTATAGATTCTAATATCTTCGACATTTATTCTATGATTCGATCGACATTTCTGCAACCACGACGTAAGAAATTGTATTAATAGAGCAAGTTCATTAGATAGATGAAAAGCGTTAATTATCTTCGTCGAAAATCGTTGCATCTCTCGTGGGTTAAGACATTATTTAAATATTAATATGAATGAAGTCAAGAGGAAATAAAACCGATTATGTAAATTTTCTCAGATCACACTCAGATGGCATTATACAACTGAGACTACTGTTTTTCTCCTAAAGAAAAGAACTGAATCTATCACATTTGATTTGTAAGAACAGATATTCAGCCAGGAATTTTTCTCCTTTATACAAAGCACAGTGTGCGCATCCATTTTTCTATACAACATTATGGTACTGACTTGTCCTGGGAATTCATTTACAATAATAGATGCTTGTAACTATTTGCGCACATCGATGTTTTCCATTTCTTTCTCTTATAAATCTATTCACAACATGTCAATGCGAATATAAACTTTTCATTGAAATTCTTCCGAACGTCATCTGTCTATTCAGCCTACTGAGATTATTTTCTACGCTAGGTGATCGATAATGATCATCAACTTGAAAATATGTCCTTTTTCTGACTACTTACAAATAAACAAGTCTAAAAATATCTCACACCCATTTTAATAGGATATTCGTTGATATCGTCTCAAAAAAAAGGCAAGAAATTACACCATTGACGTCATCGGCTTCTTTAACATATCTCATACTCGAACATGTAAGTATCATATATAGTTGCCTTTTAACATTAGGATCAATTAAACGTCAAAAAGTTCTTCTGTATTAATTGATAACTAAAAACTATAACTAACGAGCACTTGACAAAGACCGACGATGCGTAGATCTTCATTTAACTGACGTTCATAAACTCTATTAATAGAAAGAATAAGAAAAGGTTAGTTAAGAATAACGATCGGGTTATTTTTACACTAGAAAAAAAAAGAATTCATCTGATGAGTACAATCGTATTTGTTTTTACATTATTTATCCAGATGATTGATGTATTTTTAGATTCACATCGAAAAGAAATCCTAAACAACAAGTTCTTATTAGCATTCATTATAGTCAGCTAGTGATCCGCTGGAAATTTCCAGGAAATAGATTGTACGTTTCAATATACTAAGATTTAAGCTAAAAACTTTATTCTTCTACATAATTACTGAGTTGCTTGTCGGCGAGACCTTCTATTGAGATGCTGCAGGCGTCGAAAACTTCATTATCGATTGAAGTTAAGAGAACTGGAATAGAAGTTTCTTTTTACATTCTGAAAATTAATTACTAGAGCATTAGATTTGATCAAATAACATTCTAATCTGAAACATGCTTATACTAGATGATGTTCTTAGTAACTCACTGTCGTTTGTTTTGAAATAATGTTCTGAACTTTTTGAATTAAAGTATAAGTTTACCCTAGAATTGTATGGAACAACCAGGCTTTGCGTGCCCGAAAATAGTCTTAAAAGATTAGATGCATTCCTTGATATTTTTGACATCGCGGTGTTAACTATTCTTTGTCGGAAGTCCGTAGCAAATATTTGTAACATAAGATCTACAAAGAAATCTTTTCATTTCCTGCTTGCATTATCGTCAATTGATTCTTTCTCTCAGCGTGTCCTACTCGTACTCTTCTCTTTTAGATGTTTTCCAATTCTACATAACTTGCCTTGTTATTCGTTACAGTTCCATGTCGAATGAAACAGGTAGTAGTTCAGCCATATTGGCATTTGTTCATCGAGTAGAAATCGTTGCCCTACCAATTTTGATAATATTCGGAAGTATTTGTAATATTATAACATTTATTGTCATGCGCCGGCGACGCATGCGGGTATCATCGACATGTTTCTATATGGCGACACTAGCTGTTACAGATACAGTCGTTCTATGGACCGGATGTCTCAATCAATGGTTTTATATGATACAATTGCAAACACTTGTTGTGAAGTCGAATTTATCGTGTAAACTACTTCCCTTTTTATTCGTTTTCTTTGCTGACGCAAGGTAAGAAATTGAAGAATGATATTGAGCAATCTAGAGTGAGATGGATTTTAGCGTCTGGATTATTGTTTGCATGTCTTTTGAACGATACTTTGCTGTATCAAGGCCGCTAAAAGCATCACAAATGTGCACCACGCGACGAGCAAAATGGGTAAGATAAACTGACTCATGAAAGTTGAAAAATCATACTGAATTTATACTCAGGTCTTATTGGCAATCTTTGGAGTATTTGTTCTAATCGATGGACATTATTTGATCACATTAGAATTACAAATGTTAAACGATGAATATCCTGTATGTCATCCGAAAATCTGGGCAAGACTTTTCGTTGAGAAAATCTTCGTTTACATTGACGCATTGAAATATTCCGCAATACCATTTTGTATTCTCGTTGTGTTAAGCATCCTAATTATTCAACGAGTCTTTCATGCTGAAGGTATCAGCGCTCAATTACAAAATCTCAATTACTTACGCAATTATCGACGGTATACTTTGACGACAAGTCCAACGTTTTTTTCCAGATCACCATCGACACTCGGGATCAATTCTGCTATTCAGACAAACTCATCAAGTAATACGCGTGTTGGTCGTCGAGTGACGCTAATGCTATTGTCTGTTAGTATTGCATTTTGTATCTTTTCTGCTCCAATGTCCTTGATGCAAATTATACAAAGCGTAACTAAACCTGGTCATTATGAGATACCGCTTGCTATTGGAAAAGCTGTCGCTGAATTATGTCAATATATCAATCATTCCTGTAGTTTTTTCCTATATGCTCTTACTGGACGAGTTTTTCGTCGAGAATTCATTCGACTCTTCTTTCCAACGAGATTTAATGGTAAAAATCTTCACGCGCCTGGTGGTGCTGTTCGAATGTGTCCTACTGGACGTGGTAGCTTAGTACCACATCAACTGCACCAATCAAGTCGACAAGGTTCGCTCTATTCGATTGATACTCATCGTCATGGTTCATGTCGAAAGCCGCGACGTTTAACGACATTTTACTTGAAACAATACAATATGAATCGCAACACAAACCCTTCGTATACAGTGAAATCGCCTCTTTTGTCAGAGACGAACGGTTCATCGTCACCGAATCGATATCATTACAAGAAACAACGTGACACTTTTCCCGAACCGATTATTGAAAACGATGGAAATAGTACATCGCTCTATAACTTGTGGAACATGATTGGTCGTAAAAAAGAACGAAGGGAAACCGACGATGGGCCATTGTTAGTGGTTAAGATTTTAAAACCGTCGACTAGCAAACCATCATCCGTTTAAAAAATTTTCTTGATACTTCTAAACACATGTGCATATGTTCGTTTTTTGTTGTTTTCAATGAAATACCAAGCTGATTTATATATTTTATTCAAAATACGTCGTTGTAATGACGCTCATACGATAGTCTGGTAGTGTGATTTCTAATAGACGCTAGAGTAGATTAATAGGACTTCTTTTACTGAATTAAATCATAATGCTTCTGCTCTTTTGTGATACTTCATCTAATACGCAAAAGAAAACAGCCGATAAACACGCTTTTTTCTTCAACTAAAATAATACTCGACAATTACGAATTCTCAATGACGCCATATCATTGTTCAACTTGATTTCTATAGCTGTAGAATGCTGAAGTTTATTTATTTGCTCTTCTCTTTCTCCTCCTCCCGATCAATCAATCAGTCTGATTGAATGTTTGACCCTAGAGCATCTGAATGAGTGAAAGAAAAGAATGTACGTGTGACACCAGTACTCTTCTTCTTGTTAAATAACCCAATGACCTTCTTCATTAACTGCTAAGTGTGTACAGAATAGCTGCAAGTATCACTTAACATTCTCCAACGTATAAATTCAATTTTCTTCATTCAAAAAAATAAACAATCAAGTGAAAAATCTTTTTCTGTCTCTCCCTCTTGTCTCCCTATTCCAAAACTAATTGATTAGAAGTAGAACAACTCGTGTTCACTTCTTCTCATTCAATTATTCATATTCATCGCATAACTTGTTTCGCATCTTATACAATTCATCTTGTAATCCCTACACATCTGTAATGATTTAGAACCTATGTTCACGAATCATCATTTAGTCATATTACCTACACGTATTCAGATATCCAGCTGTGACAATGACTATGCTGATCATTTACTTCTGACAAGTTCGTGATGAGATTTAACAAAAGATTTATCTTCACACATTCAAAGAAAATAACTACTTTTGTTCATTCATATCTTTTTATGTAATCAAATCACCATCGAATAGGAGAACTAGCCTTGATGAAATAGACGCAAGTTCCAATGAAGTTACAAAAGCAATCGGATGTCGCATGGATTATAAGCTATGCTTCCTAAATATTCCCTGTTACATCATACATTTCATATCTCTCTTGACCAATATTTTTTTGTTCTCTTCATGTGAAGACTAGAAAAATAAACCATCACGTAAGTATATGCCTCCGATCTCAAACATGTCTATTCAAGTTGATCTTCTCTCATACAAACAGGTACTTTTGTTTACACATCATCATTGATGATTGGGTTATCATCACTATTAATGTGTGTTTATGTTTGTCTGAACATTTCTGTGAAAACTATATATGATAGGGTCGATAGATTAGATAAAGCGATACATGTTTTAGATGTTTTCCTTATGGATGTACGTTATCAGTTGGATTTTAATCGTACGAATTACCGAGCAGAAGAATATCTACTTTACACAATCTATTTACGATCTTTGGTGTCAAGAAAATATTCTCTCGAATTCTTTGTTATTGTATCCAAACGCAATTCCGATCGGAATTTCGCATACATCGAATATCAAATCTGTTCAATATGAATTGATCGATAATCCGCTTTCTGATCTATTTTCTGTTCGCACAAAATTCATCGGAGACTTCTATTTTTTCCTTCTCAATATTACGCGACCGTTGGAGATCAATCGAGAATATCAAAATGTGTACAATCTTCATATTCAAGCGACGATCATTACTCTTCAAAGAAACTATACTGAACAAGTAACAGTAAGTGTCGTCTTGAACGAATTTACTAGAGAAAATGTATTTGTTTTTTTACTAGATTTGCCTTCATGTTGCCGATTCGAATGATAACGATGCAGTTTTTGATTTGGATGTTTATTTAAAAGACTTCTCTGAATCTTTAACATCTCATCAATTGTTAATTCAATTCCATGCCAGTGATGCTGACGAGATTCAACATGGACAAATCCTTTATGAACTCTCATCTTTTCATCAACTCTTTTCACTTCATCCATTGACTGGAGAATTGTATTTATTGTCGACTGAAAACCTCAATACGACGTATGAATTCGATATCTATGCTTACGATCGACACCGAAGATATCTTCTTCATAATGACATGAAAGCGAAAGCACAGGTGAAATTGTCTATTCTATCGATGAATACTTCTCATGAAATCACCACGATTTTCAATGAAACAGTTCGATTTCACCGAATTGTTTCAACATACGATATTTCTGTTTTTCAAACATCGAATTGGAATGTCATGAATATCCATCAGCCGATTTTAATCATCGAAACCTCACCCAAACTCTCATCATTCGAAATATTCGTATTAAAAAACTCCTCGACGAATTCCATCAAATTGTTTGTTGATCAAAACCAAATCTATTTGAACGAGATTTCTTTTCAACAATACGATCTTCATCTACTTCTCTGTTTTTTCCATCGTGCCGAATGTCAATACGTTCAATATCGATTAGCTCCATCACTTCATCGAAATTCGTATCAATTCCGTTTCAAATCGATGCCAACCGTTGTCCTAACAGAGGATTTACCAATACATTCATATATTACTCATGTACAAATCGAACACAAGGAGCGCTTCCCGATCAAATACCATTTATTGACCCATCGAGAGCAATTTCAGTTAAATCAAACGAGCGGCATGTTACGTCTTGCTATGCCATTGAAATATGGGCAATATATTGTTGAAATCCAAGGCGAGATTGACTTCTTCGGTGAATTTCATTTCGTCAAGACGATTATTGAAATTCGCGTGAAAGAAATCAATAAACATTCTCCACAATTCTATGCTCATCCATTAACTAATCTCTTTCAACTGCCGTATCAATTGCGAGCGTATGATTTGGATGAAGATCAAGAAACCAACAGTCGAATATCATATCGTTTATCGAATTGTTTCGATGACTGTCCATTTGTAATCGATCCGTGCAGTGGTTTGTTGAGATTTCGGGAGGAGAACGACTTCTCAGCAGAAAAAGATTATCAGTTACAAATAATCGCATTCGATTGGGGACAACCGAGGAGTTTGGAATCAAGAATTGATTTGCGAATTGATCTATCGTCGAAATTGATTGTAAAAGTACGGAATAACCAATCAATACCAAACAGAAGGTAAGAAATACCGAATATCTCTGCTGATAGTGAATATTTCTCCTTTTAGCGCAAGTTCTTCAATCTATGAAACTATTTATCTTGACATTGGTTTTCCCGAGCACTCAAAAACATACTATCTTTCGGAAAATATTCCTATCCATACAACTATTGATCATCTTTCAATTGTATACGACGCTTTTCCTATATTTCTCAATTTAGAAAAAGAAAATCCGTTTCTCTTCGTCATTAACGATACATCAGTACCGTTCGCTATTGACTACGATACGAAAACCATAGTGTTGATCGGTGTCCTCGATCGTGAAAAACAATCCGAATATCATTTTCAAGTAGAATTACAGTTAAAGTCGACCTATACAATGAAATTACAACAAACACTCGCATGGAACAAGCAGAATAGCTCCGTTCGTTTTAAGTACGCCAAGAAATTTTATCAAAAATTATTCTTGTCAATCTACATTGACGATGTCAACGACAATATTCCTCAATGTTCTTCATTCCATAATCATCTTTATCTGAAAGAAAACCAAATTCAATCAAATATCTTTCAAGTTGATGCATACGATCCAGACAGATATGAGAACGGTACAATTAGTTATTCTCTACTTGATTATAAAGAATACTTCACGATCAATTCCTCGACTGGACAAATCAATTGCGTTCGGGCCATCGATCGCGAACAGATACCTTTTCTGCATCTACAAATTCTCGCATCAGATCAAGGCCGACGTGTACAATTGCAATCCATTTGTACGACATTACATGTGACTATCATGGATGTCAACGACAATCCTCCGAAATTTTCATTAGCGAATTATAGTTTTGACATTTTTTCTGATTTACCACGCGAAACGATTGTTGGACAGATCTATGCGATAGATGCTGATTCATCTGCTGAGTTACTCTATTCGATTTCTGCCAATCCGTGGATTAAAATAAACCAAGGAACTGGTCATTTACGATTGAAATCCAATTTACATCAGTTGACAAATGAATTCTTTAATCTATCGGCGACGGTCTTCGACGGCATCCATGTGAATCAAACGTGGATCTCTTTTCGTGTAAAACCTTTTGTGTCAGCTCAACAACCAATACTTCTCTCCGAACCAGCATATAGTGTAGTTATAAATCAATCGATACCCGTAGGAACGGTTGTGACGAATGTTTATCAACGGCTACGATTGATAAGTACATCAATCGATTTTATTGAAATCATCCATGAGGACACAGTTCTGCCATTTGCTATCGATGAACAAGGTAGACTCACGATTGAGAAAAGTATCAACTTCTGAATTTCTAATCCTAGGCTCCATTCGTTTAACTCAATCATTACCGGACACACCCGATTTATTCTATTGGTTATCAATTCGTTTAACGCGTTATTATGCTCATCCACCTCACTCTTTCATTCGAATTTACATATCCGTGATCGAAGAAAACTTCTTTTTACCTCAATGCTTGGAAAACTATCAATACATCAAACTCTACGACTATTCGGTACAATATCCATTTATCAATGTTCAAGCCGTAACATTTTACGATAGCATTCCTCTTCATTATACTATTGTGAATGATAGTACAAACGAAAAGATCTTTGTCATCGATAAACAGACAGGTTTTATTCAATTATTATGGCCACATCAGAATCTTCGTCGAGCGAATTCAACTTATCTGTTAGCAGTACGTGCATCGGACTATCAGCATCAAGTATCTGTGGATTGTTACTTGAAAGTCAAACTTGTTCAACGCCTTCAATTAACACCGAAATTTATACATTCTTCGGTGTATAATATTGATTTAGTAGATGCTTCATCTAGTTCAACACGTATCCGACAGCGACTGTTCCAAGTTATTGCTTTATTGGATAATGACATATATGAGAAGAACCTTGAAGTACGCTATCGAATAACAGATACAAATCACTACTTTGTAATCAATCGACAGACTGGTTATATCGCCACGAAACAACCATTGTATCCTCATACAACCTACCATTTTTACGTGAGTAAAGCTTAGAAATCTACAGAAGGTAATTTGTCGATCTTTTCTCATGCAGGTTGAAGCATTCACTGTTGCATATGAAGACGATATCGAAGCAGATGAAGATGAGTTGGAAGATCTCGCTGATCGTCGAAAATGGCGTGTTGTTTCATCACGAGTCACTTTATCTGTTCAAATTCGAATTCGTCCAATAAAAACTGTTCAAACAAATTTATTACCACTGAATCAGTCAACGATTCAACTAGTATTACCAACCACTACGAAAGTCGGAGCGACAGTCATACATCTTGGAATGAACAATTCTCACACGCAATGGTTTCTCATGATTGGCCATGTCGATTATACACGATATTTTCATGTAGATTTCCAAACAGGTGAAATGATTCTTCTTCGTCCTCTGTCAGAACTAATCAATAAAACATCAAGAATTGAACTTCATATCAACGTCACGACCAATTGGATCTATATGAATACTATCAAAGTAGTTTATTTCGTCTCATTCGTCTCCTCTCGTATGTTTTTTTTAGATCATTGTCTGTATTCGTGATGCTCAACTTCCAGCGATTCAATTCTCTCAAACGGATTACTACAGTTCTGTATCGAAAAATCTTCCCACTGGTATTGAAATTGCACGGTTAACAATCGAAAACCCATTGGAAAACTGTACATACAATATTCATTCTGTTGAAAAGATCAAATCGAAAGATTTCTTTCGTATTCATCCGTTCTTAGGCTCGATAACCATTATTCAGTCATTAGAAAATTCAATTAGCACAGAACATCAATTATCGATTGTTTATCAGTGTCCATTGATTTCTCATCTGGCATTCACACGTTTACATATCACTGTACTTGATCGAGAACGAATGAGATATCAAAACAATAATTTGTATCGATTCAGCCATGAAAATTACTTAGCGATATTCGAAACATCACCGATAAATAATCAAAAGAAATACTTTCTTACTTTAGAACTAATCAATAATAAGAATTATGCGAAAAGAATCAAACCAGATGCACAAATTATCGAAGGTAGTTTCTATCACAAAAGAACCTACCGATGTTGATCTAAGTTCTGTTTTTCAGGCGATCCATTAGGTTTATTCGGTATCAATTCATCAAATCAATCACTATTCCTTCTTGACGAATCTCGTGCTCGATCATACACTTACCCATTACGCTTAACTATCGTCGATACATCACAAGCAGATCTAGTTACATGTACAGTGACAATATTCATATCGAATATTAACATTCAATCTATTTGTTCGCTCCATCAACATCATTCTCCGTATCTTTTTCTGTATAAATCCATACCTGAACGTAGTGTTGATCTATTCACTGGTCAACAATACGATTTGTACAGATCTCTTAACATTCAAGGATTTGATTCGTTGACATCTGCGAACATTGCCGTATGTTCAATAGCGTCCGATGAAAAGATTTCCTTTAAACCACTTGACTTTTTCTTCGAAGAAGAATTCTATTATGGTTATATAAAAAATCTATCGATTGTATATTACAACAACGAACCACTTCGCATCTCGATCAAAGACGCTCAATATTATCCCAATCCATTTGATATTACGTACGAATTTGTTCCTCAGATGGCGTCAAATCCATTTCATTTTGATCCTTTTACTGGCTATATCAAATATCGTCATTCTAATCATTTTTCAAACGACTATTCATTACTTCTTCAAGCAAAATATCAATCGTTACTAACATTTACTCGTTTGAATATTTTGATTCATTCAGATCGTCAAGCTCTATATGAATTCGAACTATTTCAACCATTGGTGAACAACTATACAATTGGTTATCTGAATGAGATCGATTCGAATCTGAAAGTTCTCGATAGAAATTTCTCGTCAGTATTTTCCATTGATCTTAATCAACGGTTATTCATTAAGGATGCGTCTCTCCTCGAAACTCAAGTGAACTTATACGAATTTCGCATTGAAACAGCTCGGATTCGAATAAACATTCGGTCAAAAGAGATAGTTCAATGTTTCTTGACTCGGATAGATTCTTCAACCACAAATAATCTAATTGGCTATATCGAAATCTTGAATGGCAAGTCCAAGCATTTGTTTCACCTTTTGAATTACAATCATTTATTTCAACTCGATCACGAATATGGTTTGCTAAGTTATCGAAGTTCAAATTCCATCATCGGAGATGATTTGGTATTGTTAATTGATGTTGAAAATGCACGATGTTTAATGGCATTGAATCAGTCATCGATAAGAACTTCTTCTATCGTCAGACGGAATGACAATTTGAATATAGATAATCCCAAAGATATGAATAAGGTACAGTTGAGAGAATTGATGTTGTCAAATGGTTGTATAAACTTCATTTGATTAGGCTTACGACAAAATCAAATTGCACAAAGATCTTTCCATTCTCAACAATATAATTCCGAGATTTTCTCAGAGATTATACATATTCTCTCTGAAGTTTCCAAATCGCGTCAATCAGATGACTTTTATCGGTCAAGTATTTGCTCAATCCTACAATCAAAACCGTCTGATCTACCATTTTCTTTTTCCAATGAAATATTTTCATATAAATCCGGATAACGGTACTATTTACTATATTCCAAGTCAATTTTACAATCAAACACGTGAGCAATTTCAAGTCGTTGCTCGCGATTTGGTCTCTCAACAAAAAGCATTTACCAACATCACAATTCAAGTGCTTCATTCAGAGATATCCACACTGTCCTCTTCCATTTATCATCAAACAATATCAGAAATTCTTCCACCGGGCTCGATCGTGTTTCAACCTGAAAGTTTCCATACAGAAAATCTCCAGTACTCTCTGTTTGACTATGATTCAAACTTATTCGAAATTAATTCGAACACTGGTCAAGTTAGTCTCCTCAATCATTTCTCACAATTATTCTATTCATTTAAAATTCGTATATCGCCATCAAACCAGATCTTGATCATTAAGTTAACTATTCTTGATTACAACAATCACCCTCCAATCTTCTTGAATCTTCCGCTTAATCTGACTATATCATCCGATGACGTTTTCATCACAAAATTATTCGCTCATGACTTAGATCTACTCGACAACACTAATCTTACTTACTACCTTCTTGATAAAAACCAACAAAAATTCGTTTCTATCGAGCCGGCAACCGGTATTATCACACTGAGCAATCCAATCGATCAAACCCTCATCAATTTAAAAGTTGCAGTTAGTGATGGTTGGCATCTGACTACAAAACTTCTTCCAATTGTTGTATATAACTATTCTAAAACACCACCAAGATTCTCTGTTGATGAATATGCATTCCCGTATAAGAAAATTCTCGGACAAATCAATGCCTATGACTCCGATCCGAATGATCGAATCATCTATCAGCTGCATCTGGAACCTGATGGTATTGAAATCGATCGATATTCGGGTTTAATCACGAGTTACAAAACGTTTTTCTCGCCAACGATAGAGTTCTTCGCATCTGCACGCGATCGTGCTCATCAGATTACTTACACAAAAATTAAAGTTCACTTCCCGATACAACCGCGATTTACATCGTATTTGTATTATATTCCGTTGGTTTCTCCGATTAGAATTCCATCCGAGATCTTCCATTTTCATCTGGTGGATTTGTTTAATCAACCGTTATCATCCAGTCGATTCGAAATTGACCATCCGACGAATTTACTGGAAATAAATCAAAATAAATTGATCCTCAAACAGTATTTACATCCGTCGAAAATCTATCAGTTCGATATCAACGGTTATTGGAAAAACTTCACGTGTCAAACAACAATTCAAATAATTTTCATCGAGAAAAATATGAAACTAAATAAAAAATCTTACGAATATCAACTTGAAACCGAAAGTTTAAGAAATACTCATCTCATCGAAAACTTTTCTGACACGAATTGTTCTGTGAAAATCCTTCCGACGCCATTAACCATCAACAACTGTACGAATAATTTCTATCTCAATCAACAACAGTTGTACTTCTCCACTCGGCCGATTTTATCAAGTATATGTTTCTTTGAATTACACTTCACCAATGAGAAACTAACATTTACCAGTCAAATGAAAATCTCATTCCTTCCACCAGTTACTAAACCGAAGTTCTCATCGAGTGTTTACTATTTCTACAATAGAAATGTTCAAGTTTTCGCAAAAAATTCCAATACAATTCGATATAAACTACAAGCAAATCCGTTTGGTTTATTGATCAATCAAACTACTGGAGTCATTTCATTTAAATATGCTTCGAATAAACTTGATGAGATCAACTATATTCAATTAACGGTTTATGCCATTGATGAAAAAACCAATTTGAATGATACAGCAATCGTTCATATCATCTTGAATAGAAGAGCAGCGCTTGAAATACCAGATCATATTCCAGCGTGTTCGAATGCATCGATATTAATCTCCGATCAAAGTTTAGCAGGTAAGCAAAGATTTCTCTCGGTCATATTCTTAAACTTTCCTTAGGTACGATCATTCGAGATATTTCTTTAACAAAGAATGATACTAATCATTATTATATTCTCTCCGGAGATAAATATGGCATGTTTTCGATAAATTCTTTTGGTCAACTTTACTTGGTTTCATCGTTGCTCAATCAAACGGTTGAAGAATACTTTTCGTTAATGATTCTGATATCGTCCGAACCATTATCTTATTGTCATATGAATATTTCGATAAATCGAACACCAAAATGGTCATATTTCATCTGTCCATCTGTATGTTATCACTTGAAAACTTTGACTAGTTGACCTGTGTGTTTTTTCCTCTCCTCGAATAGATGCCAATAGAATGGACAGTGATCGAAGAGTCGCCATTGAACACCAAGATCGGCAATATCAAAGATGTTCTTGCAACCATAAACAATCATTCTGATCTGATCCAACTAGTTACCATGATGTTGGATCCTACTGACGATGATTCACGGCGATTTCATTTAGATTTCACTACAGGATCTCTCACTAGCACATCTCGACTCGATTACGAAGAAAAAGTTTCCTATGCATTTTCAGTTCTTCTCCAACTGACTCAATTGAATTGCTCATTACCATTAAAGATTCATCTAATCAATATCGAAGATAATCCGATATCTTTCGATCAAAAGTCTTTAGCTTATACCATCGATGAACATCATCCAATTCCTTTCTACATCGGTCGTATTGAACTGATCGATCTCGATCATTTGTCATTTTTTCAATATAAATACTATCTTCACAACTCGACATCACAAATCGCGATTGATCCCATGACTGGATCGATTATTTTATTAACTGAACTTGATCGTGAAGTACACGGTGAAATACTCCAGTATGAAATCGTCGCCCTAAATGATTTCAATCAGAAGAATCTCATTGATTCTTTGATTATAACTATCAACGACTTAAATGATCATGGTCCTTCATTCAAAGAAGATTCTTATCATTTCTATGTAAACAAATCAACTCGTCCGAGAACGTTTCTTGCTCAACTCAATGCAACAAGTCTCGATCCGGTCAATAACGGACGTATCAGTTATTATTTACTGAATTCTTCTTCGATGTTTTCGATTGAAAAAGATACAGGAAGATTGTATTTAGATGAATATCTTCCATCAACTGAAACAAATTTAACCTTCGGAATCGAAGCGATCGAAGAAGAAATCAATTTAACTGATCTACGAAATATTTCCATCACTATTATTAACGATGATTATATTTATTATCACTTAGAGCGTATTCATCAATGTTTTCTCGAAGAAAACCAGCCGTATAGCACAAACATATGTACTATCGGAAAATCTTCGAAGAATTTTGTTTATCAATTGAATAATTCGATGAATAATTCATTTGATATTCTATCAACTGATGGAACGATTCTCACACGGAAGATATTTGATTACGAACGTGATGAACACGAGTACAATTTGACAATACTCGTGCGAGATCGAGACAATCAGGTAAAATTATTTTTTCTGACTCTTCATTATTTCCATTCGGATATTTTAGTCCATTTTATTATCCTCATTGGATTTGACGGTGTACATACATAATTTGAACGATAATCCACCTGAATTCTTAGTCGACAACTTTACCACATTGTTCTTTTTGTATTCTCCATCGATAAATCAAATTCTTTATACTATCGAAGCGATGGATAAAGATCACTCGCCATTGACTTTTGAAATTTTGAATAATCCTCTATCAATCTACATGCTTCATTCCTCATCGTACTCAACTGAACTTCTTCTCCAAAAATCGACCATCAACAATCAAGAAGATCATCTAATCATTCGCGTTTCCGATGAACATCATCTCTTTTCCGATTTACATCTCCATTTGATTTACTATCAACATCGAATCGACTATCCGAAACTGTTCTCCCAAACAATCGATGGTTATATCAATCTCCATCCATATCCATCACATATCAAACTTGGACAATTATTCGTCGAGAATCAATCTCAATATAAAAATCTGAACTTCCATCTCGTACCACACCAGTCGTTTTTTCTCGAACAAATCTCGAACAACCAAACCGAACTGTATTACAAACCTGTCAATCGCACGTCATCGGTAACGTTTGAACTGCGTCTCATTCCTTTCGCTCCATCGACACCAGTACATCCGATAATCCTGAATAATAAAACAAAACTCTTCTTTCCACCGATGATTTCACCTCAAACGATTCATATTCAGCTCTGGCCTATTAGCACTGAAATGCTCAATCGAACAGTATCGTTAATAACCAAATCAGATCCAAATATCACACGTGAACATTTCCTTATTTATCATTTGCCATCCATTCGTCAAAGTCTAGCAGAAATTCTTAGCGTACAAGCTCAGCATGTTCATATTTATACACATCATTTTCGAATCAATCAAGTTGAGATACTTCTTGCAGTGTCACGTTCAACTTTATCTCGATACATTCATCGGAAAATTCTCTACAATATCTTGAAAAATGCGACGCATCTCTTCGAAAAGCTCATTCTCAACCAATGTCAAACAAATCCATGTGAAAACAATGCACACTGTATCAGTCATATTAAACTCTTTGAAAATCAATATGATTATCTCTTTTCGAATGTACATCAACATTTAATACCGAATTATGAGCGAACCAATGAATGTCTGTGTCCGAACAATTATTACGGATCGTTTTGTCAGTTTAAACAAGACAAACAAACACCCTGTTCGTCAAATCCTTGTTTAACGATGGAAAGATGCATCGAACATAGTTCAACTCTATACACATGTCAATGTATGGATGACTCATGCAATTATGAATATGACACTATGGAAAGTTCGTTGGAATGCCTGAATACAAACTCACCAACATGTCGAGGTTGGATTTTTTGTTCTCCTAAGAATTTCGTCTCAAAAGTTCATCTTTGATTTAGACTCAATGAATGCTCTGACGTTCGACGGTTTTGCTTCTATTCGAATGAATCTAACAATCAGCTCGATGCAACATCTAAATATAGCATTAAGTTTCCGAACAGAATCCATACAAGGCAAACTATTGACGATCATCTACACCGATAGGATTGGTGTGCATTCATTAACTATACAGATCATTGATGGTTATATACAATTCAAATTAGATGACACAAATTTGCTCGAACTAAATCAAATATCGATTCATGATGGTCAATGGCATGACTTGTATTTGTCGACTGACTATGCTTACGATTATTATTATTATCTTCTCCGACTTGATCATGTTTTCAGTAAGAAAATCAATCGATTTCAAAAGATTGATCTAGCAAATCTAACACAATTGATTATGGGTTCGGATTTTGATGGTTGTATCGGGAATTTTTCATTCAATAATCGAATGATCTCGTTCCGAAACGATAATCTCGATGCTTCAATTGAGTTTATTGGTACACAAAGTAATTGTCAATTCGCGGAGGTCATTCGTGAATACTTTGATTACGAAGATATCTGTTCGTCGTACCGTCCCTGTTACTATGGAAATATGTGTACCAACTATGGGTTAAGTTTTGTTTGTAACTGTACAAACAGACGCTTTACCGGTCGGCAATGTGAAATTGACCTACATCCGTGTGAAAGTCATCCATGTCGATTCAACGAAGAATGCTTTCCGTTTGCATCTCCGAAGTCCAATCAATCGTATACATGTATTCCAACATTCGTCTCTTTGTCATTAGTCATGAAACGATCGATCTATGTTGCTCTGATCATTCTAGTCGTTCTCTGCGTTCTATTGATCTTTATGATTATTTATTGCAAGAAACGACAAGACAATAACAATCAAAGGAATCTTTCGGTATCGTCACCCTTGTTAATCCATAAATCATCAATAGGAATCGATCAAATGGAAAATCAAACGCAGACGTTAACTAAATCCGATGGTAATAAAAGAGCACAGGCAATGAAAACGATGACATTGATGGACAATTCTCTGATCAGTAGAACTCATCGATCGAACGATTGCATCCATCATTCTCGCGTAAGTCAAATGAAAACAAGAAAACAATCGTAAATACCTGAATTCTTCGATAGAATACCGATTCAAAGTATTATTCAAGTATTGAACAAGTCAATATCATACCAGAGAATCAGCATGATCATTATACTTCTATCGACTACGGTAAGATCTGGCAATCTATGGTTTTTCCATTAGATTTGAAATGATTTTGTTTTAGATGCTGTCAATAACGTGCAACCCATCGACATATTTGATCGTAAGTTGTGATGTAATCTGCTAGATTCGCATACATTTCACTCTTGTTTTAGTTTCATCGTCGCCGACACGTAAGTGCTGATAGTCTCTTCTTGAAATTTTCTTTTTCATTTTCTCATACCCAATTAGAATACTTCAATATTCATAATTCAGACAGTCAAATTAACTATCGTATTCGTATGAATACTCTTTCGGATTTGACAGAGAATTTTCTTGAACAAAACGATATGAATCTAACTGACTCATCCCATTTCTCATCGGACAATGATCACGTTCAGTCGAAACCGTTGATATCCATTCGAAATGGCAAACATGTATTTGCTTTTCATCATCATCATATGCCAACGTCGGCAATGTCCTTGTCAGAAGTACCTGTTTATGCGAGAATCGTTCGAAGTAAGTGGAATTCGCCTTCATTTATTGTGACTGATTAATGTTTTTCAGCACCGAAAGCGATCGACAGTGATATGATTAATCCTCTGACATCCGCTCCGACATTATTTATCAAGCCGATCAAAAATGCAAATGATATTCCGGGAAATTTCGGGTATCGTACGACGACGGACCGTTTTAAACATGATAGTGGTCCTGATCTCTATCAAGATGATCAGTCAAGTGAATCATCTGCATTTTTTCAAACTGATGTTTAATATTTGTGTATAAACAGTATGACGTTTTATTTCCTTCGACAACCGGTGATATTTCTTTGGAACTTCTATGCGAATCATTGAATAAACAAGGATTAGAAAAAAAGAAGAATAGAACAAGTTTCTTTAGTAGAATATATTAAGAAGTGGAACAAAATGATTTGGTGTCCAACCTTTATTCGCGCTCGATGTTGATTTCAACGGCTTATTACAGTTTGAAAAAAGAATTTTCACTGTTTGAAATGTCGATTTTGATTGATCGCTGCTCGCATCTAACAATGGTTTGAATTCATGAGCGTTTAATTTCGTATAATTCAGGTCCGAGTTTCCATTCACATTAGGATAAACAGTAATTATATTCACGCTAAGCACAGTTGCTATACTGAGAAAATCCCAAACACCAACATAAGTTCCATCTCGTACCATTTCTTTTGTCACATAGGGTTCGAATGGATCTAAGATTTCTGATAGTGATCGATGTTGGTCTTCATATTGGTATCGATTAAGAACAAGCTCGATAATATTTCGAGCTCGAAGCTCGACAGGTGTGATTGTTGATGTTTCAAATGCTGCACTAGTACCACTTAATTTAACAAATGAATTGTAAAAGCAGTTTCCATCGCCTATAATTGATACGGGCATATGATGATCACGAAATTGTTTATCACAGTGACATTGTAGGAAATGTTCAGCGACATGGTCACGTGGATGAATACTTTGATGGAAAACTTCTACTGGTGTATATACAAGTGAATATAAAGATAAGATAGGCTTCAATTTGACACAATCGTCTTGCAACTGCTTGAATGAAATATCTGCAGCGGAACGCAACTGTTGTAGTAGTTTGCTGAACGCGTCTGAACGTGTTAAATTTAAACAAACGCGACACAAGTATGGTTGACCATTTTCCAAGGATTTCTGTTTACAAAGAATACAACGGCGAACTGTGCTTGATATCGGTGGTGTTGGCGGTGGTGTAGAAGGTTGTTCTCTTTCTTCATCAATATTAGCTTCTCGGTTGATTGCCTGACAATAGTTAGTCCATTCTTGAACAAAAACAGTGAAAACCGGCTTGTCAAATAAAACAAATCGAACGTCTTTGACTTGATTCGAATAATCTCGTATGGCCTGAATTCCAATTTTCGCTGCGTCATTCAGTGGAAATCTATACGCTCCACACGATATCGCCGGATAAGCGATTGATGATAGACTGTAGAGGTTCGCTATTGCTAATGACGTGTAGTAGCATGATTGTAAATGAAACGTGGATTGTTGTGCTTCTTCCGCCTTATAAAATGGACCGACGGTATTAATAACAAAACCAGGGGATGATTCCTCTCGATTGAATTTAGCAATAAATATGCGAGATTGTCCTATCGGACATGCACTGTGTCCAAACTTCTTGTTAACTGCAACGACTTGATCAGTAAAGTATGAACCCAAGGTTCTATGGATTTGTGTATCTAGCCCTCCATTGTGGAGCATAGTCACATTCGTTGGGTTAACAATTGCATCGCATGCTTCTCTACTTAAATCACCTCGACGAATTGTTACCTTTAGAGATCCATTGGCAAATGTGAAAACAGCAGTGTTCTCGTCGGGATTTTCAATAATACTACGAGAATCAAATGAAAATTAAATTCTAATCTTACACGAATTAGTCACTTACACGCCCGACATTCGGTGTGATCACAACTAGCTAGTTGATATCTGTGAGTATTTTGCTTTTGTGTTCTCGACAGACTTTTCTTGGCAAATTCCAACTTGATATTAATTCTTCAATTCTTGTTTTTGCTTTCCTCTCACGGCTCGTTTTTCTTTCTCCTACTCGTCACATGTATGCGTACGTTACCGTCTCTATCAACAAACATCATCCTACATACATACATACATACGTACGTACGCGAAAATATTTTAATTCTTAAGAAACAGAACAATAACCGACAACACGTGTTTTATCAATCCTTGTTTTTCTGTTCTTTCTGCGAAAAAAATGATCACATATAAAAGCACACAAGACAAGACATCGATAAGAAACCTATTTCGAGTTTCAACAAAGTGTTGCTACGTAGTTATGATAATAATGATGATGAAATTCGCTCTCCACATCAAAACGAAAGATTGCCAGAAGTATACAACATAGAAATATACAACAAGTACCAAGAACAAATGACCAAAATGAGTGACCACATTGATAAATCGTTTGCACATGTTCGAAACCAAAGAACAACATCATCGTAATCATCGCTAACATGGCTTTTCGATATAAAATACAGTTTTCGATTAGAATGAGAAAGTAAATATCATTGATCACATACCAGTTAGAATATTTGAAATTAAAAGATAATCAACAGTGCGTTTCGAACAGCGAATCTTATAGAATGATGATTGAATATCGAGTGATTGAGTCAGGAATAATGAAATAACAGCAACGAATACGCAGCCACATGACATACCAATTAATGCTTTCTGATAAACTAAATCAAAACATGAGGAGACAGATGCACATGTCCAACTTACTCTGCAGCGGAAATTTACTTGATGAGAGATAACTAAAACATATTTGAATTTGTGTATCATCATCATCAGAATCATTTCGTGGATGGAATTGTTGACATTTCTCTATAATTCCATCAGAATACTCAATAATCCTACCATCCTCGTTAGTCTGAATAGACACTAGCCATCTTGGTGTGCTAATACCGAATATTAAAAGTACAATGGAAAGAAGTAAAAGAAGAAAGTGAAATATGAGTATACAATTCATCAAATACAAAAAATCTGCTACTGCTGCTACTCTCTAATCTTTCGTTTTGTCAACTACATCTGATTTAGTATGGCGTAAAATAATGTAAACATCGCCTTGATAAGAATAGACAAAAGTGTCTGAGTGTTTAGACAACGAATTGACCAAGATTTTGCTTCATTGAAGTGTTTGTTATTGAAAATGATTGTTCTCTTCATCAGTAGATAAGGACATTCATATGTGCGCCTGCGAACACTTTTATCTTGGCGATTATTTCGATAGTAAATGGATTCATATTTAGTGAAAAATCTTCACTGATATGAATCGATATTCATATCAAATAAATGCTTTATATTTCTTGTCTGTTGGAATAAAAACAACTTTGACAATAAAATGAGATTAAAATGAGAAAATCAAGATTTGTCATCTATTGTTTGAGATCAATTGAACGAGCTCCATCGCTTGGTTCAAATTCGTAAAAACTGGCAGTACCTTTGTAACCGTTCTTCATTGTTTCAATACATTTGCCGACGGATGATTTCGCTACTAATGTTACCGTACATCCACCTAGACGGATAAATAAACGAAATGAACATCAGTAGCTGCAGATGAACTTACCAAATCCACCTCCGGTCATTCGTGAACCATAAACACCATCGACAGATCGTGCTAATTCAACAAGCTGATCCAATTCTTCGCAAGACACTTCGAAATCATCTCGAAGTGATTGATGACTTTCGTACATAAGCCGACCAAATTCGGCATAATCATTCTTACTCAATGCTTCGGCAGCGATTTCCGTACGTTGGATTTCTGTTATTGCATGGCGCGCACGCTTATAAGTCGTCGGCGACATTTTATCGCGAGCATTTTCCAGTTCTTTTAAAGATGTCACTTCACGTAGTTTCTTATGACCCAACAGATTAGCAGCTACTTGACAATTATGAACGCGTTCAGCATATGTTCCAGCACCTAATTCATGTTTGACATTCGAATTTGTTACTAGTACACAGACATTCTTGTTTATCATCGGAATGTACTGTGATGTATTATCACGACAGTCAATCAATAGAGCGTGGTCAGCCTTAGCCAAACATGAAGTATATTGATCCATGATTCCACATGGAACATTCGCATATGTTTGTTCAGCTTTGCAGCAAAGTAAAGCTTTGTCGACTTTTGATAATTGTTGGTTGGAAGATAGTGAATTTCCGTAGAGTAATTCGAGAAATGTGCACATGGCAACTTCGACTGATGCTGAAGAACTGAGACCACCACCAATAGGTACTGATGTTGCAATCAAAATTCGAAAAGGTTGTTTTTTACTTGGCTTCACTCGTTCCAGAAAGTGAGCAAGAACGCCGAGAACATAGTTAGCCCATTTTGGTGATTTTATTGGTGCGAGTTCATTTGCTAGGTCAATTTCAATCGACTTCTGTTCACCAACATCCTCTATGGTACGAAAAGGACAAGATATTACACGCAATTATTTTTTCGTAATTTTTTGTGCCTTACTTGATAAAGTTCGAACATAGCATTTCGTAGTTGTTGGTTCGTTCAATGCCTTTCCCACAATCATCGTTCCAACGGGTATGGCCATTGGAAAGACGAAACCATCATTATAATCCACGTGTTCACCGATGAGATTCACCCGGCCAGGTGCAAATGCGCATATGGTTGGTTCATCGTTGGGAAACTCTTCTCTATATGATTCAAGAAGAGCCGCTTTAAGTTCTTCGAGTGTAGCGGTCTTTTCTGCAGTCATGGTTCGTGTTCTAAAATATCAGTGATTGCCAGGCACACCCTCACGAAAATTTTTATGCGCGTTTCTTGAATAGTGAGTCTGCTGTTGACCGTTTTTATTGGTTTGACGCAAAGGCCAATCAAGAAACTTTCGTTAACTGCTCGTTTTTACTGACGAGACAATATTTCAGAAGAACGATAAAAATTTGATGGCAACAAACGCGTCTGCGTCACAGCAGGTACCCAAGCGAACAATAAAAGATTTCAAATTTGTCAACGAACTCAATAATGGGTCGTATTCAACAGTAAGATAATGACTTCATCTAGATCGTATTGAATTTTGTTTCATTCAGGTCTACCTCGGAATTGAAATTGCGACAGATCGCAAGCTAGCAAGTAAATTTAGTTTTGTTAAGCGAAACAAATCTATGCAAACTATTTTGTGATATTTAGTAAAAGCTGTTAAGAAAAGCTTGATAAAACGATTAAACAAAGTTCAAGAAGTCTTTCGAGAAAAGGCGATTCTAACACAATTAGATGATTGTGTATATACCATTAGTCTCTATTGTACATTTCAGACCGAAGAAAATCTTTGTAAGTAGTAGATATTTTTCTCGAAAATATCGATTCATTGTGCTTCTTTAGATTTCGGTTTAACATACTGTTCGAATGGTGATCTTCTTCAGCATATTACCGATGCTAATCACTTTGATTTAGAAACTGTACGATTCTATTCTGCTGAACTGGTCGAAGCACTTGAACAATTACACATTCGACACGTCATTCATCGAGACTTGAAGGTAATGACAGATAGTCTATTGTTTTCTCTCTCTTTATTTTCATAAATTCAAGCCGGAAAATATTCTTCTTACGGATAATATGCATATTCAACTGGCTGATTTCGGATCGGCTGTTCTTATTGAAACAAACGAAGCTGCACAAACAGGTGAGGAGAAGGAGAAGGAGAAGAAATCAACCGAACGGAGAAATTCATTCGTTGGTACTCCACAATTCGTGGCACCAGAGATTCTCCAAAATGGACTTATTCATATTGGGTCCGTTCGTTAATTAACATAAAGAGAACAGTATTTATAACCTATGAAGATTTTCAGATCTGATTTCTGGTCACTGGGCTGTGTTATCTATCAAATGGTTACCGGTGAACATTTATTTCGCGGACAGTGAGTTATCGTTCTGTTCATTCAAATGTAAATCCGACAACGATCGAAATCAGTTTAGTCATGAATATGATATTATGAATGCCGTTGTTCGTGTTGCTTACAAATTGCCCGATGATTTTCCCGAACTTGTCGAAGATCTCATACGAAAACTTGTGGTATGCTGATTTCTTTCCTTTTCTCTTCTCTGTTCCTCATCATACTGTTGGTTTAGCGTTTGGGCCCTCACGAACGTCTTGGAAGTGATGAAACAGGTGGAGTAGAAAAGTTAAAAGTACATGGATTCTTTGCTGATACGAAATGGGGTGAACTACTGAATCAACAATCGCCACTTGCAGTCAAGAGCAAATTGGATTCACAACCAAAGAATTCGGATGACGACACTAATACTGAATATACCGAAGATTAGCTTCCAAATAATCTTAGTAATGAAAACAAAACGAATCTAATTACACTTGAGTATCCGCTGTTATTATTGACTTCTAGTTTTATACTTTAGTTATGTCTTTTTTTGGAATAATAAAGAGTATAGCAGTCTGACTATTAAAGCAGTTGTTCCACGAGCGACATCTATACAGAATAATGTATAGAACTTATTTTTACGATAGGAAAAATGTTTGTCCATTGTTTTGAACAATATTTGTTCCTTCCACCAAGCATTGTGTTTATTCTGATGAATATCAGACAAAAGGTTCTCATTGGTCCATATTCACGCGCTTTGTTCGACAGTCCGTGCAAATTGTCATCTGAATTCAATCGATTACGATTATTGTACAGTGTAGAAACATGCCTTCTACTACAACTCGTACAATGATATCTTCTACTGATAGATCTGACATATATTCCATGCGTTTTGCGCCTGCTCCTTATATTCGTAAGTGTACATCATACTCAAAACTTTTTCTAATCGATCATTTCGATTTCTAGCGACAAATTATAATGATATTTCTCCGTATAAGAAAAGTGTTGAAGATGTATCTGAACAAACACGTTATATATTAGAAGAATTTATAATTGAACGTGCTGTCGAAGATGGTGTGGATATAAGTTTAGTCAGACCAATCATCGATGTTGATCTTTCTGCACGTATGTGAACATTTTCGATGTGTAAAATGAAAGTTTGATAGCTCCTTTTATTATCTAGTTCCGCAATATCGACAAATTCAACAAATCGCTCAACGACTACGTATGATCGGAGATGAACTCGATGCTGATCAACGTATTAAAAAGTAAATAACAGATGAAAGCGAATGAACTTCATTGTCAACGATCCAATCTTTTCATAGTATGGTCGATCAAGTGCCTATCGATAGTCCATATGAAACATTCAGTGATGTAGCGAAAGAGTTATTCTGTGATGGAGTTTATAACTGGGGAAGAATTGTAACATTATTTTATTTCACTTATAAATTAATTATGAAGGTATGTGAAAAACAATATGATAGCTTTGATCAATACGGATATTTCCTACATTGTAGTCGCTGAAAGATCAAACATCATCCATTTTCAATGTATTAATCGAATGGACTGTACGATTCGTAAAAGAAATTGTTGCTCCTTGGATTGTTCGCAAGGGTGGCTGGGTAAGTTGACTAGAAATATTCATTATTGAAGACAACCATTTCATTCTATATTAATATAGTTGGTCATCTTACGCGATGCTGTGCCTCAATCACGTTTAACTACGATCGGTGCTTTTCTCAGTGGCATGGTTGCTACGTTTATGGTCTTCTATTACTTTCGACGTACTTGATTTACCTATACATTACGAATATGGAATAGTTGTTACGGAACACACTATTTCAACGAAGTGGTGTTTTTCTGTGCTTAATATTATATATATATATAAATAAATAGTTATTATACATATAAATACCATATAGTTTTGAAAAATCAAAGTAGAATTTCTTTGAAAGACATGTTTGATAAGAATTTATTAATTTGTTTACACATATTGCCTATATATATATATATGTATATATAAATTACATATTACATTTTGCAACAAATGAACAGAAAGAGAGAGAAAAACGTCAATACATTGAGAAATACACAGAGTAACAAAGATATTGATAAGATTTCAAACATAATACTAGATTGCTCTGAGAAGACCATAGTCGAATTATTTAATAGGAGTCAACAAACTTGCTCTGGGAGATGCTGATGAAACTGACGGTAGTTTTTGATTGATTTGTCCAGTTGGAAGTAATTTGGATATAAAAATAGAAATAAATACAAAAATTAGAATTAATAATGCAAGAAACGATATATTGAAATGATAGCCAAAGAAAACATTCAATGTCGATTGATCGAATTCACTTGGTTGAATAATCGCTGTGCCATTTCGCATTTGCACGAAATCGCCACGCCATTTTGTGTAACTTGTCTTGCTAATCAAACGGTCAACTTCATATGTATCTTGTCCGAGTCTTGAGAGAATAAATTTCGACCAGATATATAAACGTCGCAGATTACTACATTCCGTGATGATGACACGCGAAAATAAATCTGTGTAAGAACAATCTTCAATACCATTCATCGGCGCACGTTGAATACCTAATTGTTCAGCGAGAATTCCACTAAAAAGAACGTCATCCAAGAAGAAAATTGGTTGACTTTTTTCAACTAAATTAAAGACACTATCCACTAATTTGGGTACAACTATGGCAGGATATAATGTTGAAGCACCAATAATGAATGTTGGATAAGTTCGATTGGGAAAATCTGTTAAACTAACTGCCCATTTACCACTTGGATGCGGCTCAATATCGGCAAGATATAAACCATAGATCGTATTGAAGTTGAACGTATGATTGGATATCATACTCAACAATGGTGGAAGATTTAGTAAGACATCGTCATCGACAACAAATAAATAAGGTGTTACATGTTCACAACCGCGTGATGCAAACCAATTGAGGATTCCAGTTGATTTTATGGTTATATTATAATACGCATCTACGAGAAAGTACGAGAACGGAACTTTGTTTTCAGGTTAAAATGAGTATTTTAGTGTTCTTACCTATGTAATTCAATTGTAATAAGTCCCCGTAATTCTTGTTTTCCCGTTCGAGCATTACTTGTGTGTAAGCATCTTTTGGTTTTCCAATGGCATAGATAACGGGAATTCCAAGTGTACGTGCTTCTTGACCCCAACTAGATCTCGTAAATATTCGTCGTTGGAAATATGTACCAGATGAAACAGCTCTTGTTTTGATGATAATATAGAGCGGATACGAGGGTGTGGCAGACTTCAAGTTCGCTTTACAAGGGTACAGAAATGGTTCAAGTATAACTTCTTTTGCTAACAACATTTGAGAACGATTTAACATTAAACCAGCACTTCGTGTTGGTTCATAGGAAGTTTTCGTCATTTGCTGGCCAAACTCAAGAACTGTTTCGATTAGTAGAAGGCCACTAAGAATGCCAGTTAGAATTAAAAACAATGTTCGTCGTATTGAAGCACGCACCTTACGTGCTGGCGAATACATACTAAGTTAAATAGAAACAAAGAGTTCTATCGTACTTATGGGTGTTTATGAAAAAAAAAAACTTACTTTCGAGAGGCTTGAACTGTGAACAAATTGATACGATTACTTTATCTCAACTTCAATGTGGTAGAATGTTATGTCGACGAAAACGGGAGTGTGAGAGGCGAGTGAAGAGAGAGAGAGAAAGGGAAAGACTGACGTGCTACTTTTTCCCTCTCTCTCTCTCTCTCTCTCTCGCTCTATCGTTCTTTGTCCATATTCGCCCGCGGAGAAGAAAATGAAAATGACTATCTTTTTCTATAAGCTACGATGAGGATGATGGACTTTGTTTTCGAGATTCATCATGATTCCGCTCAGTGATCACGCGTTGAACGCGTGCGTACATACATGCTCAGCGACAATGAGGTAAGATCATGCGTCATGAGCATTGATCGAGTTCAACGAAAAGCAGAAAAGAACACATGTTAGTCATTATGTCTCAAGTGGATGGGAAAAAGCCAAACATGCATGTTATCATTTAATCTTTTTCTACGTGAAGTTTTCGTAGACATCTGTACACGTAGTCGCGTTTTGAATATCTTGATGTATCTATATTCTTCTATGTCGAAAGAAGAAAACAAAACATACGAAAAGTCTTTTTAAATCATAGTTCATGCAGTACATAGGGAAGAAATAAAAAGGTCACATATCTACGAAAAAATTAATCTGAATTCTTTCTTGAATAAAAAAGTAATTTATCTAAGAAAATAATAGTTTCAATCAAAATCGACTTCTCCAGGTGAAGTATGGTATGTTGTCCTAGTGGTAACTACATTATTCGTTGGGTAATAAACAGATCGACCAATTGGTTTTGCCGGTGAATCAGATCGATTATTATTGAAATACCGTTCTTGAATTGTAGTGCGTTTCGGTCGGTTCTCCTCAAAATCACGTGACAATCGATACGATGGATGAGCGAGGCTTTCAGCAGACTGTTCACGTCGTATCGGACTTAATGGTCGGCGATCACCATCATCATCATCAGCAGCAGCAGGGCCGTATGTTCGACTAAGATTCGAGCGATCTCTTCGTTGTTGTTGGTAATGATGTGTGTTAGTTGGTGTTGGGGATTGCGCGCGAACATAATCACCTGTTGATCTGTTTATTATTATCGGTACCGATGAAGGCATAATTGCATCATCGGATTTAAGAGGTGCTTGAATAATCAAATCACCATTTTCAAAGTAGGATATAATTTGGGATGAATCAACTGCGTTTGTCAATGGAATCTTTCGTGAAAACTTTTGTGATGTACGCTGTTGATTGGGATCTGCTGCTGATGATGATGATCGTGATGTTTTACCTTGAACAATTAGATCTCGACCTTGAACGTAGACTTTCAACTGATCAGCTGTATAACCACGACAATCAACTCGGTATTCGACTTTTTGATTGTTATTTACATATTTTTGACTATATTTTTTATTATCATATGTCCATTGTGTGTTATCAGGCGATTGATTATATAATAATGGGAGACGTGGAATTTCAATGATGAGACGATTGGTTGAACGTTCGATATGAGATTGTAATTGATCAACATCAGCATCGCCGGGAATAGTGAAGGTTTGATAAGTCACTTGATTAGGATCGTTTAAAAGGAAATAATCCGACTTGAATCGATGTCGTCGGCGTGCAGCAACAATTAAACGACCAGGCTGAGATTTGTCAATCGTATAGTCACATTTTTTGAAACCGAATGGACAGTCGACAACTAGTCGAATGAAAGGTGCCTGTGATGACACTATTCTACTCGCATTTGGTATTGGTGTTTGCCAGCCGGATGCTTGTATCACGCCAGAATTTTGCCGGTTAGTATAGTAGACTTGATTTCTATCCGAATAGTATCGATTCATCAGTGAAAAAGAAATCCTTATAGACGGCAATATCAAAAAGAAGGGAGAAAAAGAAATTTTCGATGCATCAGCCTACATTCATCAGGGGTTATTAAACAATCATTGATTTTTCTATGAATATACAATCATCATTTGCCCATTTTGACTGCGTGTCAAAGGAGATTTCTTTTTCGATTGGACTGAGTTCTGATGATGTGTTAAAACATATACAATGAGAAAGATATTTAGTTGTCTCACGCAATTGTTTTCAACTCGGATAATGAATCTTTATTTATAATTTAGATTGAAAACATACAGTTTTTGATAAGTCTCGAATTCTTTAAAGTTTAATGACACGAACGTTGTTGTCTTCATCCGCTCCCCCAGCCGCGCCGTATTGGTCCTAAAAGAAATGATAAATAGATGTATAATTTACTAATTACGAAAATCTGATCTGTTTCAGAATTCTTTCATTTAGACTTCGTGTCCTGTATCTATACCTCACCATCCTTTGAAACGGGTACCTTCTGCGGCGTACTTCCATGTGCATATGGTTCATCCGGTACCTTTATTGGAAAAACTGAATGTTCTCGATGATGATGATGGCCTTTGTACACGGATAGAGCAGTTGCCGTAGATAGAAGTGCGCCGATCAAACCAAATATCAGAAACAAATAGAATGCATTCATCTTATTTTTTTTTATGTTTGTTCAAATTACAGCATTTGGTTTACGTCTGATTCTTTATATAGCTAACATTCTATTTGAAGTCTAAATTACCCATCTGAGAATTTCTTCTCTGTATGGCTTCGTATGTCTGTTACGGAATGCCAAGTACCAAAAGGGTTCATGTTGCCATTGAACCGTGTTTAGACAAAAAAAAACTGAGCTTTGTAATACTTATATTTCATCCATGAGACTGTTCTTGAAATGCACACGCAAGACAAGCTATCTGCTTGTAGGATTATGTTAACATGAAAAGAACAGTGATTTGAGCGAATAGAATTTATTCTACGGAAAAGACAAAAAAAAAACACATCAAATCATAGTGCACAAAATGGTCTACTAAAATGATCGTTAATGTTCAAAATCTTGATGTTTGCTATTCATTTGATGAAGTATATCGTCAACATCTATTCGTTGTAATGGAACCGATGATCTATCGAAGTTATCGATTGCTAGCGGCACAGATGTTGATGTTTGAACTGGATTTGTAGAAATATTTAGATGCTTCTGAATCCAAGATAGGAATGTATTCGTATTGTTTGCAGATAAGGAATGCAATGGTAACGATAAACCAGTTTCCACATCATCGACTGACGGTGCACTGGGGAAGATCTGTGATAGGATCCGTCGGCATAATTTGCGAAGTAGTCGATTACTGGCTGTTCGGACATTGAACGTTGTGTTCACATGCTCTGATTGGACAGAAGAAGTAATAGATGTTGGATCTAATGGATATGACTGAGTAGTATCAGTGAAGATTGTTGTCGTTGGATCATCAGATTGTGTAACAATGGACGTATCGATATCAGAACTTGTAGTTACTGCCTCCGTGGAATCACTTGTGTCAATATCAGTTGATGTTTCATAGGATGTCGCTGGCAATGACGCGCTTTCAGTTGTATCTGACAATGTTTGGTCAGTCTGACCAATACTTGTGCTGGTTATATTCTCCACAGTTGTAGTATAGAAAACGGTGCTGTTGTCAGAATAATCTACTTCTTCGTCAGTGTAGATAGGTGTTGTTGGTATGGTGGTTACATCTGAGAAGATCTTTTTCAGATCGATCTCCTCTGCTTTAATAACAAATTCAGTTTCTTCAAGTTCAGTTCGAATTGTTGTTGTGGAAACATCAGGCAAGTTGTTAAGTGTGCTTGTAGTCATTAAATCAAGAAAATCTATCTCAGATGACGATTTGTCTTTCGATGTCGCTTTGTACGATTCTTGTAATATATCGAATAAGATCTGCGTATGAACAGGTAATAATGCTAGCAAAAAATAGAAGAGATTAAGCTATCAGGAAAGAATATTTCTTTTTTAACTTACCAGACCACAGATTAGATTGATTTCTTGGAACGATTTCCGAGCATATCGGACCCATATAACCAAAATAACATTCGCATTCGAATGTTGTCAAGCTTGCTTCTATACATCGACCGCGATTGCCACATGGATTTTCTTGACATGGGCCTAATATTCAAATATGCAGAGTGAATGCTCATGGAAATTTCACTATACCGATTCGATGTTCACATAGAACGCCGCTGTAATCGACAGGACATACACAAAGGTAAGTATAAGCTGATCCAAAACATGAACCACCATTCAGACAGGGCATTGACCAGCAGAGATTGCCTTAAAACACATACGTATATATATTGTTCTCTCAGGTGCGAAATACTCGTTTTGAACATAGTGTTTCTTACCTGTTATCCAATTAGCTTTAATAATACAGATATTTTTAAAGATTACAAATAAAACCCAATATAATGATAAGTTACTCATAATGTCACTTTTGATACAATGGAATTGATCATTGTTATTGATGATCGATGCATATTATCATCATTGATATATTGTTTAACAAAAGCGAAGAAAGAACTTTTACACGTTCCGATCAAATAACACTCATCTATATGAAGTAAATGGCTGTCTTTGAATAAGATGCGTATTACTGTTTGTCATCTGTATGCGAACAATACATATATACCTAGATATGTCGAGACAGAAGTGAAGTATATACAACGGACCATTTGGATTAGTTTATTTACAGATCGTGTAATAAGGGAGAGTAGGTACATATGATCCCTATTCTATCAGTCTGCTCGAACAATGAGAGAGAGAGAGAAAGAAACAGATGACAAAGTGTTACAGAAAAGTGAAAGTGGAATTGATACTATTGTCTGCAGTTCTTCTTTGAAGGATTCCATTTGTGTTTTCATCACAGACAAAAATGAATGTTTTTTATGTTTACTTACATAAGATACGTCCGATCTAATGCCTTACTAATGTCGGTAGTAATGACGCAAGACTCGAAAGCTTAAACAAAATGTCATTATTATACGACTGTGCAGATCTATCGTCAAATTTAGATGAGAATGATGATTTTGATTAAAAAAAAGCTAAGAACCGTTTATTTTTGTATTGTATAAGAGAAAAGTATCCATGAGATGGAAAAAAAGAAAACTGCTGCGTACATGTTCAAGCAAGTTACACATTAAAGTGAAATAAGAAGAGCATAAATAGAAAAATCGTGTCATCATAGGTGAGTATCTGACTTTGCATACGTATAAAAACAGTTCAAGCAGAGAGGAAAAAAAGAATGAATGTAGGTTGCGTAGGTATTTAAGCTTGTTCTTCGATCGGACTAGAATAAAAAGAAATGGTCATATGTTGAGAGCAACTTCATTTCGGTGTATGGATTTACTCTGTTGATGTGAGTTCATCGTTTTCATTCAAATCAGTTGTACCGGCCAGATCTTGTTTACCATCCTCATCGAATTGGTGGAGATTACGACGCCAAGTACGTAGTTGTCCATCAAAACAACGTCGAGAACATTTACGGTACTTATTCGGAGTTGCTGGACATTCTCGTCGACGTTGTTTTCTATATGAAATATGAATTCGTTTGATGAATGCACCGTAAATCGACTTACTTTATCGGATATTTAGCAATATATGCAGCATATGATTCAGACATCTTTCCTTTCAAAATTTCCTTTGTGCGTTGACGTAATGTATGCGGATCACCTTCGACTTCTTGTAGAATTTCGTCTTCTGTCATATTGGTATACTTAGGAAACGTTTTTAAATGACGAATATAACTAAATGAACAGATCATCGAATTCAGCATCGATGTGACAATGTGATCTTGTACGTACTTGAATAGATATTCAAGTTCAAGTTCTTCAATTTCAGCAACGGTTTTTGCATCATCACTAAAGTATCGCTCTGACACGCGAGCAATATGCGATAAAGCACGTTTTCGACTAGTGAAAAAAGACAATGATGTACGTCGATTACTCCGATGTATGCCTATTTTGCTAACCTTGCATCTGCACCTGCCATGTCCGATTTCGCACGAACTAGTGAACGGCCACTACCAACTTTTTGCTTTTGATTCATAACACTAACACTTTTACGTAGCGTTATACGATCGTTTGTGCTAGTGCTTGTTACAATGGAATTGTTTTCACACAGAGCCGTTTTCAGAGCAGAATCTGCACGGACACTAAGTTCGAAAAGTGCGTCACTCGGTGTACGACCTGCTGTTGTTGTTATTGGCTCATTTCTAGAATAAAGCAAAGAGAAAATCTGGTTATGGTCATATAAAAACGTGTTTTTGTTACTCCATCGGTGTCCAATCGATGATTGTCGAAGGAAAGTTTGTATTTATACGAGTTGTTGACGACGATTCAGTTGATTTATCTTCACTCTCACCACCTTCCATTATGGGCATGAGCTTCGCTTGGGATTGTCCGGGCGAGGAGATTTCATCGAGATTCTGACTATTGCTTGATTTCTTCACTAATGTTGCATTAGGCAATGCTGTATTCGTTTTACTATTCACATCTCTTGAAGTTCTATGATACAAACAAATATTAGAAATAACTTTGTAGGAATAATTAAAACTGTTGACTTACGATCCACTACTGCTCGTATCGATTGAGCTACGAAAGACTTCTGCGGACATTGAACGTGATGCTAATGTACGACGTAATCGATTATTGATATTGTTATTACTAACAGTGTCATTTCTTGACGGTGACCTACACGAAAATACAAGTGCTCTATTGAAAAACAGTCTCTTTTGGATGAATATCACAAACCGAGCGCGATTGAAACCAGTATATGCTGCTGCTGCGTATCGTTGTTGTGCGACATTATCAATATGTACTTCCTGATAAGAAATGAAGACAACTGATTGGATTTCGATTAAGAAAATCATCGACATACTCGAGCTGCCTTTGGCACCCATAAGTCCAATGAGAAAAGAATCTTTTGGATCGATGCGTCGAGTGCATAGTCCGAGCAAAGGCCCATCAAATCCTTGATACTGTAGGTAACCATTGTTACAGTTTACAGCAAAATACGAATCGTTGGTTTCAGAATCGAAATTCAAAAGACAGATAAAAGACAAAAAAAGTTGTGTGAAGACGAACAATGGACTGGACTTGAAAACCCTCTCTTTCTTCCGATTTGTCCATGTAATTCTCAAATAATACACAGAGAACGCGTTGCAGAAGCGTCATCTATGATACAGTCGAAATCGAGTTTGCGATTGGTGCATGAACATTGACAATCATAGTAATCGAATGGAACGAACGAACGAGCATGTGAAATGAACATAAACAACAAAACTGGTTGACTATCGATTCAGTCGAGAATGATTGATATATTGCCATTATCGCGTGTTTCACGGGCGTTTGGCTCAGAAGTTGCTTATTCAGATTCGTTGTCGAATGTACATAAATTCAATGCACGTCTTCTACGCGAAAGACGTCTTCGTTTACGTTTACCATTTGTTGATTCACAAACTCATATTATACAAACACCAACACAAAATCATTTATGGAAACAGCCGACACAACGTCTAATGCCTTTTCGTCACGATCAAGTGACGTACTATGCCCGGAAAGAGTGGCATAAAAGAAGACCACACCCACCGTCTAGTGCAACTCAACATCAGACCAGTAATTCAACGGCGAACACGAATGGCACCGGCGAGCAACCATCAGATATTTCATCGACGAAAGCAAATAGTACAAATGAAACGATGTCTACACCATCAGTAATCGAAGATGACCCTCGTGTTCTGATACGAGCTGGTGAATTAGGTACGATCATAAAGGTTGAAACACATAGCATGCAGAAATGTATTTTTTATGTATAGGAATGTCAAGTTCAGATGTTCATGTTATTTCTTCAATTGAAAATCCTGCTATGGCAGGTAGTCGGTTCGCTGGTGGCTCCAGCGATGATTCATCGCAATCTTCTGCTCCACCACTGACTGGTCTCGTTCAACCTCAACAACCACATTGGCCTCAACATAACATAACTTCACAAAATCATCATTTGCAAAACTATATTCTTGACGGTGACGATGATTTGGACGATATGGACTATGACGACTATGGAGCTACTGGCCCGGGAACACCTGGTGGTCCATCATCGCCAGTATCTTCAGGAACGTCACGCTCAAAACGTGGCAGTTCCTCTAAACGTTTATCACATTCGAGTACAAGAAAGAGTAACAGTATGTATATGCGAAGGACTTGAAATCTGTGAGCAAATTACATTTTGTTTATACTTGATTATAGCTGGTGGAAGTTTTACTGGAAATGGTAATGCAGCAACTACCAATGCGCCTATTCATCCTGGCCATCGCCGTCAACAATATACACTTGCCGAATTGCCATTCGTGTGCGAATTCTGTCCGGCACGATATAAAACGAAACCTGGCTTACAATATCATCTAGCTAAGCATAAAGAAGCAAATACAGATCATCGACCATCATCGTCATCGACACCTTCAGCTGCTGACAATGGTGGATCAGTCTCGCCTACATCGGCTATGATGCGATCAAAACACATGAGTCCATCTGGTGATCTTCCACCACAGCAACACCCCATGTACGCAAATCAGCCAATGCCAAGTGGCCCTATGATGCATGGTAATATGGGTGGACAATTACCTCCTGGTGTTGGTGGACCAGGCATGCCAGCAGCGCCCTATCCATTGAACCATCCTTCTCATCAGCAACCGTACGGCATGCCACTACAATCTCGCCAGCATCCGATGCCGCCGTCAGCTTCAATGCCACTTACTGTTGCCGCTCTATCTGGTTCAGCACCATCGAATAGTGTAACCTATTATCCTCAGCAACAACATCAAATGGCACACCAACAGCATATGATGATGATGCAACAACAACAACAACAGCAGCAGCAGCAACACCAACACCAATACCAACAACAGTTTCAACAACCACCAAAACAATCAACTCCATCAGCTGACCCTTCAACAACTTCTGCGACAGGTGTTCAATGTGACTTCTGTGGTGGTGATGAACAAGAAAATAAAGCAACAAAACTACCAGAACAAATGATTTCTTGCAAGGTAATTTCATCCATTTATCTTATTAATGACTACTGTATGTTCAAATTGATCTCATTTTCTCTTCAGGATTGTGGAGGTTATGCACATCCAACTTGCCTTAAATTCACTCCCAACATGGTTCGTCAAGTGAAGACATATCCATGGCAGTGCATGGAATGTAAAACGTGTACAGAATGTGGCAATTCTGAAAATGATTCGGAGCTTCTATTCTGTGATGATTGTGATCGGTATGGGTCTTTTTGTTTTCGTTATAGGACCTTATTTTAAAATCTCTTTTAGTGGCTATCACATGTACTGTTGCACACCACCCTTATCAGCTGCACCTGAAGGCGATTGGCGATGTAAATTATGCTGTGCTCAATTTGGCGAACTACGAACTTGATTGATTGATAGATAGATTATCTCATGTCCCTTTTATATCCACGAACGTGTATGTCGAATCTATTGAGCATTATTATATGTCAGTTTATCTCCTTCTCTTTCTTGAATTCTCTTTTTGCAACAGAATCTAATCACTTCCTTTGTTTTTTCTTTGTTCTTGCACGTACAGTTATTTGTATAAAAAAATCTATTCATACACTTCGTCGTTATTTCATCTAAACGACGATTTTAAATAAATACAATAATTAGAACTATTCTGAACAAAATATTCGCTGAAGTGACATGGAAGTTCCAAGAGCACACAAACCAGCGAGAATAGACATCTGTGGACACTAGTAATATTCTTATTGGTGCATTTTTGTCAGGCAATCATATTGTCGGGATTTTTATGTTTGATAAAGTATCTTTTTTGGTTTAAAATCTGAGAGATTTAATGCTACAAAAATAACAATTCTCCCAAAAGAAGCCACTCTACAATTGAGTTAACTAAAACGAAACGATCTTTCGATTTTCAGATGCTGGCTACACGTCTATTCGGACGTATACCAGTTGCGACTACGACGCTCAAACGAGTGTCTTGTCTTCGTTTATTCGCTGGCGTAGCAAGTGGTACCGGTGCATTGACAGTTGCATGGAAGCACTATCGAGTACATGCCGCCGCCCAACCACCGCCATCGGCAACATTCGAAGTTTCTAAACTACAACCAGTTGTACATGAAAAAAAGGAGAAGAAGCCAATATCAGATAAATTCGATTGGAGCTTATTTTGGTCTTACTTACGGCCACAAATATGGATTATAGCATGTGCAACAGCGGTATAGTCTTTCTTCTTTGATGTTTCAAATAAGTTGATTTTCAATCGGTCTAGACTGCTCTTGTCGTTGCTTACTTGAATGTTGCGATTCCACTAGAATTAGGAAATTTAATCAACGCCGTTTCAACTCTACTTACTTCTTCGCCATCAGCTATCGACTTCAAGCAAATCTTATCCAAACCAACCTATAGACTCATTGAATTATATATCTATCAATCCCTTGCTACATTTGAATACATTACCCTTTTATCCATTGCTGGTGAACGTATGGCTGCTGCCATTCGTCGAGATCTTTTTCAGAACGTTCTAAAACTTGACATGGAGTTCTTTGATCGCACCAAAACAGGAGAAATTATGGACAGGTCAGTTGTTGGTCTGTCTTATACAAAACTAGCGTAGATATGGTACTTTAGATTGACATCAGACGTTCAAGAGTTTAAATCAAGTTTTAAATTACTTATTTCCCAAGGTATGCGTGCATCCACCCAAGTACGTAATATTATTTAACGGAATCTTATTCCCATTAAGTTTTCTTCTCTCCGTGTTTTCATTAGATTGTTGGTTCTGCCATATCACTCTATTATATATCGCCAACATTAGCTACTCTTGCTGGTCTGGTTATTCCGAGTATCATTGCGGGTGGAACATTGTTCGGCTCTTTACTACGGCAATTATCTCGACAGGCACAAGTACAATTATCTAAATCGACTGGTATTGCATACGAAGCTATTGCTAACATTCGAACTACTCGAGCATTCGGTGCGGAAATAAAAGAACACGAGTAAAGTTAAACTAATATCTACCGATTACAGCTCGAATGTTTCTCTATTTGATAGGATGTTTGAAAGCGAAGTGAATAAAGCTCGTGATCTTAATATTCGTCTAGGTGTTGGTATTGGTATCTTTCAAGGTTTGAATAATTTAGTTATGAATGGAATTGTTTTGAGTACAATCGCGTTGGGCGGACAGTATGTTTCTGAAAATCGCTTATCTGCTGGTGACTTAATGGCGTTTCTTGTTGCTACGCAAACTATTCAACGATCGTTGACACAAATATCAGTTTTGATCGGACAAGCTATCCGTGGCATGTCTGCTGGCGCAAGAATCCATGAATATCAAAAATTGAGTAGTTCGATTCCATTGCAACAAGGCGGTCGCATACCGTATCATTCGATATTTGGAGAAGTTCAATTTTCGAACGTTTCTTTTGCTTATCCAACACGAGATCAGCAGGTGAAGAGTATTATCCAATTAACACAATAAGTTATTGTCAAGTTCTATTTTCTAGATGGTATTAGAAAACTTCGACTTTACGATTCCAAGTGGCAAAACAGTTGCAATCGTTGGTCCATCCGGATCAGGTTAATAGAAAGGAGAGTGTTTTGGGATTATTAATGTGATGCTTCAGTATAGGTAAATCAACGTTATGTTCATTACTTGTTCGCTTCTACGATCCATTGAATGGTAAAATTATGGTTGATGGAAAGGATATTCGCACATTGAATGCAACATGGCTTCGATCCAACCTTGTAGGAATGATCAATCAGGTTAGATAGTGACATGAAAGACAGAGTAGTTTACGTTATTTGATGATACACTATTTAGGAACCAACGCTGTTCTCAACAACAATCATGGAAAATATCCGTTTCGGTAAATCGAATGCTACTGATGCCGAAGTCATCGAAGCAGCGAAATTAGCAATGGCACATGATTTCATTCAATTATTTCCTGACGGATATCAAACTGTTGTTGGTGAACGTGGTGTCACTGTGTCAGGTATATTCTTTCATCTTCGAACTACTAATTTTACTTGTGCATTTTCTTTTCAGGTGGTCAGCGACAACGGATTGCTATGTAAGAAAACAATAGACATCTTCTGTCCTAATATATTATTTTTGGTTTTGTTTTGCAGTGCTCGTGCACTACTTAAAAATCCATCGATATTGATTCTTGACGAAGGTACGAAGAAATAACCGTTCTGTCTTTTAAATTGCAACTCTATCTCTTTAGCTACGAGGTAAATTTGGTCATAACTCCTGATGAAGCACTATGCTCTGACTTTAGTGCACTCGACGCTGAATCCGAAAAGCAAGTGCAATCAGCTATCAACAATGTGGCCAAAGGTGACTTTCTCATCTATGAGATAGCTGAAGAACTTTAATTGATTGTTTTCTTTTTTCTTCATCAGGTCGTACAACATTGATAATTGCACATCGATTAAGTACAATACGCAATGCAGACATCATCGGCGTGATGCTCCATGGAAAACTCGTTGAGGTAAGATATTCGACATGAGCAAATCTACAATGACAGTGTCGTTTGTTTTCATTTTTCAGATGGGCACTCATGCTCAATTGATTGCTAAACCAAAAGGCGTCTATGCTGAACTGATGCGTATCCAACAATCCGGTATTGATATTCTTTGAGATGTTTCTTTTCTTTGTCTATATAACATTCAGTTTTTTTTTCAATTAAATAAAGATAAGAAGTTAGTTTATTACTTTCTCTGTTTCTCTTGGGCTTGATTCTTATCTTGAATGTGTTACAGTGCGAAAAAAACAGTGCAAGGGTGTGACACTTCGTTAATACCTTCTCTTCTTTTCATCAAAGATATTTGCCCGATGAAATCTGACAACATGGAAGTGGTACCGATCATTTCGACCACGCCAGTGTATGTACTATATCCGCACCGTTTTTACGTTTTATTTGTTTTCTCATTACTTGCCTTCAATCAATGTCTTATATGGTTGACATTTTCCCCAATAGCAAGAGCGACCGAAGCGTATTACAATATTACGGAATCAACTATTGATCTTCTGTTAAATTGGGGACCGATTATTTTCATTCCATGTTTACCATTAACTTATATTTTACTTAACAAACATCATGGACTTCGCAATTGTGTCATCATACTCGCTCTAGTCGATTTTGTCGCAGCGCTCGTACGTGTTTTACCTGTCGTCATAACCACACCGTCCAGTCCACATTTCAGTTCCATTGCTTTACCATTCCTACATATAGGCCAAATACTAAATGCTGCCTGTGGCCCATTGGTCATGGCACCGGTATCGCAACTCTCTTGTCTTTGGTTTGCTCCACATGAACGAACACGGGCAACAACAATCGCTATTATGGCAAACAATTTTGGATCAACTGTTGGATTTGTCATTAGTCCATTCATCGTTTCATCACCGGATCGTGTTCCATATCTTCTGTATCTTCATTTAGCGCTCGCATTTATAGCCTGTGTTCTTGCTCTTCTGTATTTTCCACCTCAACCACCGAGTCCTCCGTCAGCAGCAGCTGAACTACTTGTTCTTCATCCTACTAGTGAACAAGCTACAAATTCGTGGCGAACATTCATGAAAGACGTTTGGCAATGTTTAACTACACCTTCATTTGTCTTACTGTCGTTGGCTGGCGGTCTGAGCTCTGGTGTATTCGGCGCTTGGACAAGTTTGTTCGATCTCATACTTAAACCTGAAAATTACACAGAATTGCAAGCAGGTAAAACGATGAAGAAGGTATTTTCGAAAATATTTCATTCATAACTTGCCTTGATAGGATGGTTTGGTTTTGGTTCATCGATTGCTGGTATTATTGGTGGTCTGGTTCTAAGTCATTTTGCTGATACACCTCGTTTTCGGCATTCACTAAAAACCTTGATTGTTATTTCATTTAGCGCATGTGTATTAGCCATTATCTGGTTTGAATTATCTGTTCATACATTTTTCTATGACGAACCCATTCTGCTATCAACTGCTACGACAATTGGCTTATCCACTGCCCTAGCTGGCCTTTTCTATGGTGCTGCATCACCCTTGATCTACGAAGCTATTGCGGAAATCATGTTTCCTCTGCCTGAATCTCTATCAGCATCCATTCTAGTACAATGGGTTAATGTTACTGGATTAATCCTCTTATTTATTGCCCCTAATCGGTATAAACTTATGAATTTACTAGTATTAATATCTATGGTAGCTTGCATTGCAATGGTTGTGTTCTCTCGAATTAGTTATAAAAGACGGGACGAAGATGAAAGAAAACGATTGGAAAAGGAGCGAGAGCAAATCACTGGTCATGTCAATTCAACTAGCGTCAATGATAACCTCAACGAAACAGACTATGGAACATTCGCCTAGATCACTGATTTATGTTATTGTAAAACAGAAATTAAGATTGTAATCACGTGTATTTTTTCACACATAAAGTTAATAATCGATGATTCGATAGAAAAATTCTCTTAGGTATTTATGTAACACTACAGCGTTTGATTGAAGGTATTGATTTGGTGACATTACACATCTAATTAAGTTTAGCAGTGAGTTCTTTGAGAGAAACGGATCTTTTCTTGTGAGAGCAATGCATTTTATTTATAACCATAGTTTTTATTAAATCAAAATAGAATATTACTCTTTCTATAATAATATGTCGAGAAAAACCATGAAGTTCAAGTGATGATTGTGTCGACTATCCAAAAAGTGGCCCTCTTTTCTTCGAAGTGACCCATCTGCGTCGACCCAATATCGCAAAACTGTGTCGTCGTTTACCCAATAAAAGTTCCTCATCGCTATTATCACCATTACTATCAACGCGGTTAATATCGCCGTTTACTGTTGTCATTGTGATAGTCACTGGTGATATTGAACGGCCCATTAACGGAGCTCGTAAACGCTGGGCAATAATAGATCGATGTCCTTCATGGTCAGTATTTCCAATTATTGTAGACATAGATGTAACATTCATTGTTAACTAAAAATAAATAATCATTAGCGTTCATTCGGTGAATGATGCATTGTACTTACTGTAAAAACTACTAAATAAAAGAGAAAACATAATACGATAAGCTGCATGTTGATAGTAGTGATGTTATTAATCTAGAATGGAAGAAAGTCAACCGATGAGGGCAAAGGAATGTTCGTTTAGACTGATCAAATAACATAAATGTAGAAGAGAGTGCTGCTTTTATATCATTGCATACAAGTCATTACGAACATTTCATGCTCAGGTAAAGAAGACAGTAGACACAAAGCAGAATTTCTTGTGACATCATCTATGCTTGAATAAGAGGAGTTAAATTAATCGAAATTCATTCTACTGATCCACTGTACGCTGACGTCGATGGTCTGGAAGCGATGTTCATGCATATTATTTCGAAATAAAACAATGGATCTGTTTCACCTACAAAACAGACAAATGTCAAGATATACATCCAGAACTTGTCTTAAATGAAATATTGCATTCTAAGCAAAAAGTACATTTGTGCATCACGATTTGCATATAATTGATGCACGATTGTAACACGACTTCTTCGTTTTTGCAAATGCGAACAATCAGTGAAAGGAATACAAAGATGATTGGTCATCATTGTACGATTCTCTGAATATTTTTCCGATAATTACAAAGGCAAGGGTAAAGAGAAGAAACATTCTCAGATACAATTATGATGCTGTCGTTCACAACGATGAGTATCGATTGCAAAGTATGAAAATTAAAGAAACTATATTCGCACGCAATAACCTAGATCTGGATTATTTCAGATGTTCTAATACTCCTTCTTATTTAAGATGATCAAATATGCATGAGGTTAGCTTTTTTTGCATTAGAAAGGACACACTCTCTACTGAGAGAAAAACACCGAAACAACTATTTTTATACTTTTCGATACATAACTAATGTCTGGATCTCATAACGCAATTGCGAGCAAGTTTCTTTCTACTCTTTCCGATCGGAAACTTTGAGTAGACATCGAAGTGCACCAAAGCAACAAGTGTACCTTGTTAGAGATGACACTCACTGTTATATTTTCATAAAAATCAAGTTTTTATCAGTTTGAGGAATGTCCTTTACAAAAGCAAAGCATTGACACCCGCACACCTTTCTCACTGTGATGAACAGTGACAATTCTAATCGTATATAATATCGCTCAATTACGATAACGAATGTGAGCAATTAAATTTGGCGGTGCTGCCATCGCTATCAATGACAAATCATTATCGGTAAAAGAAAAGAACGAAACAACAATAATGATCATCGATGTGAGACAACATATAAGCAGCGGTGACTGCTGATCCAATGAAGCGATACAAAACAAAGCAGCGATTTAAGTCAAAGAAATACAATCTCAACCGATTGGACATCTGCTGCCAGCGAAATATAGAAGAAATTTCAATTGAAAATTTTGTTCTACTTTGATATACATACTAATCATTCACTTTTCTCCAATTGAATTTTAATGCGATAGACCAATCGAGCTATTCTTCTTTTTTTTCTCGTTCAATTAGGATATCACACCCTTCGATGACATCATCCAAAAAGACGAAAAGCAAGTTGTATGTTCCTGGTATAGGTGAGCATTTGATTTCTCGTGCGAATTTTTAATAGCCACCATGAGTTTTCATAGGACAAACAGGAGTTAATCAACTTGGTGGAATATTTGTCAATGGTCGTCCATTGCCCGATCATGTCCGTCGACAGATTATCGAATTGGCATTAAATGGTATTCGTCCATGTGATATTTCACGACAATTACTCGTTTCACATGGATGTGTTTCAAAGATCTTAACGAGATTCTATGAAACTGGTTTGGTTCGACCAGGATCCATCCGTAAAGTAAGCACATGTCAATTAAGAAGAGAAATCAATCAGAAGAATGTCTGAAACTGATCGTTTTTCTGATAGAAAAGATGTCCGAAACATTCTATGAACACGCATGAAAGTCCTGTAGTACCGTGAGTAGTTCATCTCTTCTTTTGTATGGATCACAAAAGTGTTTTTATTTAAAAGAATTCATGAGTGCAATGTATTTTCGCTATTTCAACAATACAACGACTTCGTACTACAAAAAGCCAAGCATCCACCATCCGACGATGAAGTTTCTCTCGAAACCAATTCATCTTCGTCTTCATTGATCAAACATTCAATCGAGAATATTCTTTCCTATCCCACCAAACGAAAAACTCACAACGTGTAAGTTGAATCTGTTAACAACATCAATCTATCTCATTCTCATCTCATTTAGCACCAGTTGATCAATAGTACCATTGTCTAACGTGGACATTAGCGTTCTCTCTATGTGTTTTTAAACAGTATACATATGTATGTAATAAATAAAAAATCGAATTCCAAATGAGCATTGCCGGCAGTCTTTTGCTTAGTTCCGTATCTTGCAACGAGATGACTTCGAAAAGTGAAACATGTTAACGTTGCTAAGATGCTCATTAACTTTAAAGAGAGAAAAAATATTATCGTTATTTTCTATATTTATTCGATCGCACTTCTTCACAAGTGTCCATTATTTTCAAGTCATCTCGATTTAATCAGAAGAATTTGAATTATTTTAAAATGTAATTCACCTTGACTCAGACAGCCAATCATTTCTTCCTTCGTTCATCTCAAATCATAATAAAATCTTATTTTCTTTCATTTTTTATTGAAAATAGAAAAAGAAATCTTTCATCAACTTTCGAATAAGTGCATTCAATAAGCAAAGAAAGTGATTTCTCTCGGCATAGTCTATGAAAATGATTGATTGGCGTTGATATTTTGAAAGACTGTCGACTACAAAATTCAAGATAAAATACGAATTGATTTTGATCGAAAATTTGACTTACTTTCGTTCAGGCGGTGATCAAACCACGAGGATGAGAGAATGAGACGGAAGTAACTGCGCATTGTTTTGGTGCTTCAATGGTGAACGTACGTCGAATACCCATGACTTTATCGGAATCGATGAACAAAGAATTGTTCTTAATAGCTAAGTCTTGTTCTAACGTCGACTTAGTACGTAATAAATGTTGAACAGCATTCTCTTCTTGACGTAGTTTACCGTGAAGATCGGTTACAGCTGCGTGTAAATCGTGAATTTCTTGGATTAATCTGAGAGAAAACAAAATCGATCGAAAGAACTCTTTTTGTTAGCCAAACGAACCTGTTCATAGCAGGATCTCGGCAAGCTTCGACATTCGGTCGTCGTGTACGTGTTTCAAGACGTGTTTGTGCAACTTGTAGGAATGCTTCTTTATCAGCGATGGTTTTCTTCAAAAATTCGATATTTTGCTCAACATCAAAGATTTCTTGGAGTATCTAAACAATGCAAATCTCATTATCTATAGAAGCGGATCGTTTTGTTCAATTGAATAAACCTTTTCAAGGTGAGCTTGGATCTTATTTTTAGCTATTTGTTCTTCTTGTACGCGATTCTCGAGTGAAACATTAACTTGATTCCATTGATTCCACATGTCGTTGTTTGTTTGAGCCATCAGTTGATTGCTGCTGTTGAGCAATTCATCTGATTGAGAGATTTCACTCAGAGTTCGACGAATGTTTTCCTCGGTGTGACGTGCCCATGTTTCCGGTGTTGAAACACTTGAAAACAAAAGTTTGCTCTTCTTCACGAAGTCGAGTGTCAACTTACGTGTTATCAACACTCTCGATACCATGGTAGAAATTAATTCCACGTGATGTCGTTTTGATATTATGAGCAGCTGAATCAATGACTCGAGCGCGAAATTTATCGTTGGCATCGAGTTCAAGTTCGTGTAGTGCAGCACGATTAAGTCTGAAAAGAACGGAATTTGAGCGAAGAAGTGAAATGATCAGCAGTCCTACGCATTCTGTGTATTGAGTCGTTCGAGCATTTGTCGAAGATGTTGTTGACATGTTTTGATTGTATCAATTTCCTATATAACAAATATTGATTATCGTTCTCTCTTTGTTTGATTGACAAGAACTTACTCGAATAAGTTCTTGTTCGACGCCATCATGAACCAAATCGATACCTAGAAAAAAATAAACGAGGTATTATTTCTTTGTATTTGAAATTCGTTAATTAAGAACCTTGTCGTTTTTCTCGTTCGTAGAGATTTTCTTGTGCGATGCGTAATGGCTTTTCTGTTTCGCCCAATAATCTCTCGACCTCGCGCCTTTTCGTTTCGACATCGTCAATTTTATGTTTCAGTTTGTTTTTGGCCTTCTCTAATTCGCCTTTCCAATATTCAATATCATTGATACGTTCTCCTAGACGTTTCGACGATTCCACATTGTTCTGGAAAGTTTGGTGATCTTTCTCACGCGCCATTCGTATCGCATCCGAACGTAAACGTTCAGCTGCCGAACGAATCTTATCCGAAGCGGTGTAATTCGTCATTTGAGCATTGTGCCAATCCTTTGGTGTGTACCGCGTGTAGAGTGCTAAGCGTGCGGACGGAAATATAGGCGGAACTTTTGTACTATCAATATTGTTCAAATAATTCGACGGACTGAAGGATTCCATAGTTGAAGATTGTAATGCTTGAGTCGGTTGGGCACTCGCTGATCGGTAGAATGTCGAAGGTCGCCAAGGAAGCGTCAACGATCGTGTCAATAAACCTGAATAAGGTGGAGCTTGGGATGTTTGATAATCAAATGTACCGATTGATGGTAAATGAGTGCCATGTTGAGGACGGCGGCCCATATGAGTGTATGGAGCTGTGGAAGTAGATCCCATGTAATCCATAATTGGTAGAAAGATCAATTAATTACAGGGACACGAATATTTCTCTTATATTATGAAATATCTGATCGAATTATTAGCGTATTTAACTTCCGAAAACCTGCGTGTGTCTTGATTATTCAATGCGTTTATTTGATGCTCGCTCACACACGCACACGCGCACTCCCACTTATCCTAGTGAAGTGAAGTGAAATGAAATGAATGAAGGGAACAAAGAGAAATCTTAAAGAGGTTTGAAAGAAATTTTTTCTCGCTCGCATTTTTTCTCGTTTCATTGTTGTCGGGCATGTTCTGGCGTCGTCAACTGATTTTCTCGATGTCCAATAACAATGGCTGCCATTAGAATTGATTCTGTTGCTATCAATCCTTGTCGTCAGAAGAAACAATCTCTCCGACCAATGATTCCAGCAAACATTAGCATCGAAACTATCTAGCCTGAGATAATGAAGTTGAATCACTATTGACCATGTTTTGTTTGATTGAAACACGAGAATGTCTTCGCCCCTTCATTTTCCGAAACTGATTTGACCTTTTGTCTACGCGAAACGATGACAACGAGAGAAAAATCGAATTTAGTTAAGGTTATTCAGGCGATGAAACAATAATCGAATCTCCACCGAACGATTAACTGATGCGAAATGTGAAGTGCACTGAGAGTTCTCGCTCACTCTTTCTCTCTCTCCCCTAGCTATATGAAATTCGTCAACTTGCAAATATCCGGATGCGATCAACACTGAATGAACATTTTATTTCATAAATTATTGGAACGGAAGTTCATTCATTCAATCAAATAACAAATTGCATGATACGCCAAGATCAAAGTTCGATGCCATCAATTATTCATTATCTGAAAACCTTGACTTCTCAATAATTCTTCGTCTACGAAGCAAATTCACTTGAATCGCATTGTATTCTTAAGCGAGTCTTGTGGAACACTTAAAGATCTCTTCACTTTCGAGATTTCACTTCTCCCCGAGTAAAGGACAAAGAAAACTTTCCCTACTCATTGTATTTCTATATATATATATATATATATGGAAAAAGATTTGCCGTCTGTCGTTCTTTCTTTTCTCTTTCATAAAAACACCTTTGAATGACAATCATGTACATGTTAGACAAAGAAAAGGAAGGAAATACGAGCAAGTATGCATACTCGCTAAAAATAAGAATAATTCTTAACTAGACAAACTAAATATGCCTGATAATACAAAAAAGAAAAAGAAAGAAAAGAATTCATAGATCTCGAAAAGAACAAAGTTAAATACGTAAATGACACAATGAAGGAAAAAGAATAGATACACGCACACACATACACACGATCACCGGCGTTGTTTGTCATTTGCTGCGCTTGTCACATCTCGGTACCAACCGGCAACATCAAATGGTTGGTCACGCGATTGGACAAAAAATGGTTGAAGCATTAGCTCTCCGTATTTGGGTCGTTCTTTGTACTTTTTAATTAAACTAAAAGAACAACATGCAAACATTGAATTAGACGAAAGAGTAATATTGAACAATTGTATTATTTACCACATATCAACAAACGATCGGAAATTAGCGGAAAATGTTAGATGAGCAGGTAATTTTGGAGAGTCTTCAGTCACAATACGCGACATAACGTCAAAATCAGATCGGCAATTGGAATATGGGTACGCATTTGTTGCTAGTTCAATCTAAACAGTATCTTGCTTAATAATAAATCAAATTCGGCAGCGTTTCGCTTACCAGTGTAATTCCTAAACTCCAGATATCAGCTCGTATGTCGTAATCAGGTCGTGTTGGATCTAATGGTTCAATACGTTCAGGTGACATATAAGCTGCACAGCCAGCATTTCGCGATTTAGCCATTGATTCAATCAATACACCACTAATGCCGAAGTCACACAGTTTTATCGCGCCATATTCATCGATTAATATATTCGACGGTTTGACATCTAGAATAGAGAATTTACGTTGATAAAATTCAATCCAACGATGCAAACCTCGATGAATGATTCCATGAGCTTCTTTCAAATAGTTCAAGGCTGTTACCGTCTACATAGAGAAAAACAAACGAAATAGAAGATTTTAGTTTCGAAACATGTGCGCCTTACGGCAAATGTTAGTTTGCCAAGAACAAGTTCTGGTATTGGTTGCTGAATCAATTTTAGAAGTTTATCGAAACACGATGCCATTAATTCCATACAAATCCAGACATCCGTCTAAGTAAAACTGAAAATGATTCTCTTTTGAAAATGATTTTCCACCTACGGAATTGATAAAATATCCAATACATCTAACAATAAATGGAAAATCGTAACTTTTGATAATCACATCTAAATCCATTATGATTCGCTTATTTTCTTCGTCGGAAGCCGTTCGATGCATGATTTTGACAGCCAGTTCTGTTTTGCTTGGAATATGCTCCATTTTATACACGTGACCACATGACCCATAGCCAAGAATGGAAATATTCGAAAGCTCTTTAGGATCAGTACGTTTTTGCTAATTAGAAACGAAATTCGAAGATACGAACGAATTTAAAAAATCATTTTCATCTACCTCTCCATTAATATGTAATAAACCAGAATTTTTCAGCACCTCTTGATATTTAGCTTGGGTATATTCACTAGAGGTAAAACATGGTGATACATTTTCATTTTGTCGACGATTCGAAACTACCTGGTATTATTCGGAGTTGTTTGAAGTGGAGACAGAGGTAAATGAAAGACACCTTTACGTATGGGAGGAGCTGAACTTGCACGTGAATTCGAAGGACTATTCAAACTGGCTAAACACGAAAAACAAACGATTACAGAGTAGACATGAAAGTATAAGTCTAACTTGGTAGTTGTCGGATTTGTGGGCTGTTGTTTCGACTCGTTGGTCGATTGATAATTGTCGGTGTTGTTGTACCCGATGCTGTTGGTGTTGTTGTTGTTGATGATGCTGATGATGTCGACGCATCGAACGGACCGATTTGGCGTAGAATTTTCTCTTCCAATAATTTCAAACGAGAGGACATCGCTGGAATGCCTAAATAACCACCATCAGATGATGATGAAGGTGGTGGAGGTGGCATTTGCATCTTCTCACTCAAATCACTTTATCAATCTCATGCCAATATGTGACATAGAACATGAAAGAAAAAAAAATGCAAAAAAGCCAATCATATACTAGAATTGCACTAGATAGACAACAAAGATTGTAGCGCAAAAGAATGAAATATAGAGGGAAAGGAACATGTTCTCATTCGTTCATATTCTATCCGTGTAAAGACAAGTTCGCAATAAATTAAAATAGTATTCATTAAAAAAAAGTAAAAACTTTCTAATGATTTTCTTTTGTCGAATAAATAAACATTTGTTTGTTTCATTTTCATTGTCATTCTTTGTTTTCGGAGCTTGATCTCCGTCGTAACTGTTTACTTTTCAGTGAATTCTCTTTCGTAATTTAACCCATACGACTAGATTGATTGAGTGGAAAGTATGGGGGGGCACTTTTCTACATGATTACAATAGAAATATGCGAACGAAAAGTGCGTTGTTCTATTTGCTCTTCTAAGACAAAATACTGGAAGGGAGGCGTGATCACCAGACATTTCATTCGCACGTGGAAATTAATCTGAAACTACATGCAAATATTAATTGATAAAGTAGGAGATAACTTCGCTTGCATTTTTCTTTTTCGCAATAGTCGTATTCATTCTCAAGTCCAAGAGAACGACTAATGTCAGAGTTATTGATTTCAAACGAAAAAAGATCATTAATATGTCAGAACGTATTTTACTGTAGTATTATCAAAGGTAAGAAGAAAAAGAGAAAAGTCAAGATCAATTCGTATGAGTAGAGTTTCGGATTACGTAAATGTTTAGTGCAACTACAACGATTGCATATTTAGCATTCTCTACTCGTAACTGTGTGTCTAGATTCCTTTTCTTTATTACTATGTTTTCTTCATATTTTTAAGTATAACTGACAGAAAACCTTTTCCAGCATGTCTCTCAATTGTATTGTGATCGAACCAGCTGCGTTAACAGTAAGTCCCATCATCGATGTTCGTCTACCTATCAAACTTACTCGAACTGTAGGAATTTCGTAAAAAACGTGATCGTCATGATAGTTACTACAGGATAAGTAAGTGAAGTTGGCAATGAGAACGTTGTTCAATTTCATTTGTCATAGACTCGGATGAAACCTATCAATCGTTCTTTCACACACATACGTGTTATGACTGTATGCCGAAGAGTGGCAAAGTCTTATTGCTCGATGCTCGTTTATCGATTCGCAAAGCTTTCTTTGCACTTGTATTCAATGGTGTTCGAGCTGCACTTGTCTGGCATTCTCCAACGTCTTCCACCATTGGTCTAATCACAATAAGTGATTTCATCAATATGCTTATCACAGCGTACGATGCCAAATGGGTAAGTTTTGCTGACGTAAATACTACACCGGAGAGTTCTCAAAGTTCTGATTTGATTTTCTGTTTAGAATAGCGTCGAAGTACTCGAATCGTCTTCTATACTTGAATGGAAACAAAACTTACTGCGAAAAAATGATAATCAAACTGAACTAAACAGTTCGAATATAGTTCAACTTTATCCCGAAGACAGGTAAGCAACTTATGCTTTGCTCTTCTTACATCAATGAACAGTTTGTTGTAGTTTATCCGCAGCGGTGTTGGCATTACTTCGACATAACATCCATCGTGTACCCGTAGTCGATCCGTTTACAAAGAATTTTCTCTTTTTAGTCACACATAAACGTATTTTAAAGTTCTTGTATTTATACGTACGTGAAAGAACGCTTCTTGTACATTCATCTCTCTACTCTTGTTTTCGATTAGATCTATGATTTACCTCAACCGCATTTTATTCATCAAACATTAGAAGAACTGAAAATCGGTACTTATGAGAATCTAGTTATGGTACGTATCGATCGAAATATTAGAGTCAATTTTCTCGCTGGTAGTTTTTCGTACGACGTGAACTATGTACGAACAGGTCGTGTAGATATGCTGAATATTATCTATGAATGAATCCGGGCATTGCGCGATTTACTCGTTGTAATCATCGATGATTCATTCGGCGAGTAATAAAATTCCTAATCAACTTCTACTTCCATTTTCGATAGCTTTTTGACATTTTCTGCGAAAAAGAATAAAAGCAATTTCTACTCGAGTAGATCTCGAAAGTAATTAAGAAACAAAAAGCGATCCACTTGATGACGAACGTGTTTGTATCACTCGTGATGTTCAATATTCTTAGTTTTTCAAAGATACCTAGGTACGCATTCATGAGTAAAAACTTTTGATTATGTTGTTATTGTCATCGTGAAACAATAGACAATTATATCCTTTGATAGCAGTTATTCGATCGGAAACTGTTAGACGAAAAATATTGCGTATTGACTCAAAGCGAGAGAATGTCACCAAGGAATGTTAACTAGTAGTGCAAATTTAGAAGCATAGTAATGACAGTTCATATTTGAAAAGGCGATAATTAATGATAGAGAAAGCTTCAGTTGACAGTTCTGATCATAAAAATAATATAATTGATTGCTTTTTTTTAGATCGATCTGCAAACTAAGTTAATCGACGTTCTACGTACGTTTCAAGCTCTGCGCATATCAGCATTACCTGTTGTTGATAGTGAAAAGCGATTACGTGATGTTTATTCCAAATTTGATATCATGGTAAGCATCCTTCCTTTTGATTCATGTCAAAATACTAACAAGTAATGTTTGTTATGTTAGCATTTAGCAGCAACACGCACCTATGCGAATCTCGATGTTCCGTTATGCGATATCCTCGATTTGATACACGATCATAACACGCATCAAGTGATAACTTGTAAATTGACTGATCAATTATTTGAATTAATGGATAAATTCGTTACCCGAGAGGTAAAGAATTTCGGTTTTTTTCTTATTCATTTGAGAATAGCATGAAGAAAAAGACGATACAAAGCGTACCGCCTACTACCGATCTTGTATTTCATTTCTGCTGATGAAAAAACGCATTCACTTGCACGAACATTCTTTTCATAACATGATCTACATCTATGAGTGTATGTAGGTGCATCGATTGATTATTGTGGATGATGATCTGCATATTATTGGTATTTTTTCCATGTCGGATCTCATGAGATTTCTCGTGCCAACATTTGAAAGTAAGATATTAGTTTTTAAGCACATATTCCGATGAATATTTCGTTTCTTTCCATAGATTTAAGTCGTACTAATTCGAATACATCTACAACAAGTAACACCACGGGACCTGTGTTTGATGGTGAACCTATGGACACATAACACTGTAAATACTCTTCTTTGAATAACAGTATATTGTTGTTATTTGTTTGTTTTTGTATTGTTATAAAATTCTCTTTTTCCTTTTCGTTCGATATTATTTTGGGTTTGTTAAGTCTTTATGTATCTTTTTTTTTCTGTTTCACGCATAGAACAGATAGTTGATAATGATGACTGACTTCTCTTTTTCTTTTTTTTGCCGGTTGTCTTTCGTCGCCTACAAACATCCTTCCTCTCTGGTTCTCATATCAACTAATAAGACTACGAATAGCTAGCGACAAATGATGACATGTTGTTCGCGAAGGCAACTCTCGTTTGTTCGCTTCTCTCCCGAGAATCACTCATTCCTACATTCAGTCAATGTCACTAGTTTTCTTTCTCTGCCTTCGGTTATTCTCTTCCGCTGTATATTACAATCTCTTTTTTCCTTCGTTCTTTTTACTCTCCGAACACTTTTTGTGCGTTTCCATACGATGACAATTCGAGCGAGAGAGAAAGAGGAAAAAACGAGTCTGGAAAAGAAAAAAAGAAGCTTGATGATAGCATCTCTCTCTCTCCTCTTGATGTCGATCGTCTTCGCTTGTAGTCGGTCAGTGGTTAAAACAACTGTGTGACAGTCACAGGCAATCTTCTTTCGCTTTTTTTTTCTTCATTAGTTTCCTATGATGTCAATCTTAAAATGAACAATCATCATGATAATCAGTATAACCGAGTGGAACGAGATAGATTAGAAACAAAACAAATTCTCGCAGCTCTTTTCTCCTCCTCTTTTGCGTTCTTTTTCTAGAAATAGTGACAGCGAGAGCACGGCGTCGTTCCATCAGTCGTCGCGTGCTGATGGTGTTATAGAAAAAACAACAACAACATCAACAACAATGGGTGACTCAATGATAACTTCATCAATTGAATATGATTACTTAATCAAATTTCTTGCATTAGGAGATTCAGGCGTTGGTATGAACAGCTTATTTTATTGACTGGAAAGAAATGAAAACCTACGATGAGATTCTCTTTTTCAGGTAAAACAACGTTTCTTTATCAATATACAGATAGTCAATTTAATCCAAAGTTTATTTCAACTGTTGGAATTGATTTTCGTGAAAAACGTGTCGTCTATCGACCGAAAACTCCACCCAATGCCAAACCCTATCGAATTCATCTGCAATTATGGGACACAGTAAGTGACTCATCTTCTTTTCATATCAAATATGTTCAATGATGATTCTTTTATTTATTAGGCCGGACAAGAACGGTAAAGATCTGCCAATCGAATATCTTTTCTTTTCTACGAAGAAAACTCTTTTCTAGATTTCGAAGTTTAACAACAGCATTCTTTCGTGATGCGATGGGTTTTATCTTAATGTTCGATTTAACATCTGAACAATCATTTCTCAACGTACGTAATTGGCTTGCTCAATTACAATGTCATGCCTACTGTGAAGATCCCGATGTGATACTTGTTGGCAATAAAGCTGATCGTGAAGATGCACGTGTTATCTCCCAAACACGGGCGAAGGAACTAGCCGATAAATATTCACTCCAGTACATTGAAACGAGTGCATTTACAGCGCAGAATGTAAAAGAAAGCATCGAAATGCTATTAGAAAAAGTCATGTTAAGAATGGAGAAAACGATTGGTGAGTGACATTTGTTTTCATGTGATGAACATTTGCAACTAATGGATTTCGATTAGATAAAAGATCGACTCTAGCTTCTCGTTTGTCTGAGTAGAAACTAGCGTTAACCGAAGGCTGTCGTGCTCGGCACTGATACCATTTAAGGATTAAATTGTAGTTAGAGAAATTCAGCAAGGCGATGAAGTTCTACAAATTTCATCTGGAGAAAATTCTTTTCATATACAGAATGTTGGCTGCTGTAAATTTGTCTCTGATACTTATCTTCAAAGCCAAAAGCCGGATATTTGTCCTTCAGTGGAATATGAGAGAAAAAGAAGCAGTTCGCGTTCTTCCTAATCGATTTGAAGTATTTCGCCGAGAGTAAAGTTCTGGCATTTTACAGATTTATTATTAATTCCGTTGAAACTAGACTAAATTGAAAAAAAGACATTTTCGATATTATTCAACTGCGAATGTTTTATTTAGATAAATCAATATTTCCTGTACGGCAACCACCCCCGGCACCAACAACGCAAGAAGAGGCAGCATGTGCCTGTTAAATTTATTATTGTAACTCAATGTTGTTGTTTTTCTTCTTCTTCTTTTCTTCTTCTTCTCATTTCGTCTTAGTCTGCCTTCGACAGTGAAATCCTTGACTACTGTGAAGCAATACGAGTCTCATTACGTATCTGTTTTCTCTGATAATACTCTTTGTATTTCCATTCATTTGTTCTCTTTTATTTATTACTACTATGTTTCTTTGTTCTTCTGTACAGCTTCGTTGTCGTATTATTAATCTTCGTTATCAGTTTGAATTTTGTTTGTACATGTCGATTTGTTATTGTCAAAGCATCTACCGTAGAACTTTACTCTCTCTCTCTCTCTCTCTCTCTCTCTCTCGTTTATTTGCAATATAAATCTATATGATTATGAATTGAACAAACAATTCGTTATCTTACATTATGGAATAAATATTACAAATAAATACGGTCGTGTGTTATTTAGGTTACTATGAATCTTTCATTTTCCCCCGAATTTCGAAGTACAATACATTGGCTTCATTTCGTAATTAGGGAAATGTGATCAAACTGCAGCAAAGCATTGCTTAGTTCAGTTTATTTGAACTATAAGAAACAATTATAATTAGATCGGATGTTTTCGTCGCGTTTCATATCGATTTGTATACGGTTCAAATATAGCTCAATGTTGTTTCATGCTAGTGAATGTCTTCGAACACACAAATTCTTGTTTAGCACAGGAGGAGACAACAAAATTTGCCAGACATGATCTCTATTTAAATTAACTCCATTCGCATATTCTCGTCTAGTCAATTAAAAAAGTCTTTGTGTTTTCTTCGAATAGCATTGAATCAAATAAGAAGAAAATAATCCAAAATAAATCCGGCTTGTAAACCCTAAGAGAGTCCTACGCGACACATACAATCAACTCCTACTTACTAAAAATAATAGGATTTCTATCTCACACGCAGAAAATACTAGTTGACAGATGTCAAAGTCTTCAGTCGATCAGCAAGAAGGCCGACCTGTATTTAAACAAAAGAAATCAATTTACATACGTTTAATATCATGTGGAAATCGATCATCATCGTTTGGAACGTGAAAGAGCAGTGAGAACTTTGTTACTAATCCTTTCATAACAACATGTTGAAACCAAATCCGATGTTCAACATTACAACTTAATTATTATTTATAACGAACTAATACTCGATAAAGGTAAAGAAGTAGAAACTGACGAATGTCCACTTCTCATACATATGTATACCATTAGTATACGTGAGAATCTCTTTGCGGTTGTTTCAATGTCATGATTGCACGAATTGATCTACTTGGACTATGTTTCCTCTTCTTTTTATCGTGAGATAGTCAATTCTAATGAGACTCACTTCGTTTCTCTTTTTTTTTTCTTCTTTTCTTTAGCACGACACGTTTTTACTTGTTACTAGTCGTGAGATCTTGACAAATAGAACTGAATAGAGATGATCGGATCGAATATAACGAAAAATCGCATCGAACGTTCCTTCGGTCGATTCTTTAATCTGGAATCAATCACCCGACTATCAACCTTACACGAAGACTCACAAGAAGATTCACAAGAAACAATTCATGAACAATGTCTACTCGATATATCCGAATATGATATCATTGAAGATACTAACGAAAGTATGATCATTGATGTATTTGTACATATAGTTGCTTTCTCAATTTCTTTTAGAACACACCACTCGCAAATCATTAGTTGATACAGCAGATCTGTTACATGAAAAACTCGCTTTTCTCACAGGTGGAACAAGCGAAGATTGTCCAATTTTAACGTTTCCCGATAATCCTTTCAATGACCTTACAGAAGACAAATACAAAAGATTGGTGACATATTTAACTCAAGTGCCAAGGTACACGATACGATTTCGAATATCAAAATAAACCTATTTAGCGATCATTTAGTGAAAATCAACGTCGATCTGGCTTTATTATCATTATTGATCGACGGTCAGATCGATGGCTGACTGTGAACTCAATTATGATGTATATTGAAGTAATTACGTAGAAAATGTCCTGTTTGACATGGGGAGAAATCGATTGAATAGTCGTTATGTACATGGGTCAATCTCTTCAAGTGTGATGAAAACATAATAGAAACCTTAGAGAAAATTACGTAAATCGAGAGATTTGATTCATTTGTTCTTCTTCCATGTAGAGTTATTTTCCGTTTCCAATTAAATGCATATACCTTCTTCGACCATGTTCATGGATGCAACGTGCTTTATCTCAATTGATTATGTTTAAAGCTAAATCTTCTGCTTATCCAGTATGTCGACGTTGACTGTCTTTAGTGATAGATAATTGATTTTTTGTTGAATGTTTTTAGTTAATTACTTGTCAAAGCTTGGCTGAACTTCATGAGTATATTTGTCCTAATCAGTTATCGAAAGATTTAGGTGGCTCGATTGACTTTAACTTATCCGATTGGATCGAACAACGCGCTGTAATTGCTGTTCATGTGCAAAACTTTCCTCTAATCGAACATTTCTTTTCTTATTAAGATTATTGAAAAATTAACTCAATCAATTCGTGAATTCCACGACACGATCTCTACATTTATAAAACATTGTGACCAAATTACATTTCCTAATTCTGTTGACTTAACCCAAAAAATTCTTATTCAACATTTAACACAAAAAAATGAACTTGAGCATGAGTTACAAAGAATTCAAATGTAAGTAATGAATTTCTCCATGTATACATGTCGAAGTTCTCTCTTTCTTTTCTTCTCTTTATCCCTATACACTAAATGACTGTATATATGTATCTTGATGTTGATCATCATCATTTTCTCTCGCGCATACTTTTGCTTGATTCTGTCCTTCGACATACATACATTTCTAGGTGGGGTCAGTCACTTTTATGTATTATTCGCCAAGAGCATAAACAGTCCTCATCATCTCATCATAACATACTTGACAAGAATAATGATATTCAACATCAACCTATTCTATCAGCAGATCGATCGGCACATGCTCGCGCATGTCTCGAGTAAGTTTAGATATCGTGTTAAGAATAGTGACGAAGAAGAAATCGATTTTTCTTTCTAGTGCTTTAACACATCTTGATAGTGTCAAGTCGAATCTGATACAATTCTGGTCGAAACATCGAACGCGATTAAATCATTGTCTTGCCTTACGTCACTTCGAGCAACGTTTTCAAGAGATTCGAACGAATTGTTCACAATTATTCGATGAATTTGATCAACTAATTGATATTAATAAACTCCTAGTTGCTTCTGATTCTCATCGATTGAATAATAATCATAACTCTAAAGAAGATATTGATCAAATATCCACTCAACTTGATGACCTTTCGCAACGAACAGAAGTAATAATATCAATTGATGTTATTTTAGCATATATTAAGTTCTGTATGTATTATACATCTAGACGATGATTAATCATAGTACCCTATTGACAAATGATGGCCTTGCTTTGATTATGGAACAGCAGAGACAGCAAGTTCTATTCGACGAAATCAATACGATTGAACCCAAACAGCAAGAATTGGAAGCGATGAAGCAAAAACTCATTGAACAAATTGACGAAAAACGACAGAATTTGAAACTATTGAAATTATATATCGACAAATTGAGTTTTGTAAGGAAAATATACCTGTACTGATGATTATCGAACTCTCTTCTCGATGTTATTTATTTTAGATCAACGATTGGTGTTTACGTGGGAAAGATATGTTAGCAATGCATCCCATACATTTATCTAACGATAGAGCGATGCGCTCACTCGCTGAAGTTGAACATTTTCTGATGGAGTTGTCAACAATGAATATCGAAGAGTTGCAGGAAACGTCGGCAACTGAACCTCTTCGGGTAAGTTCGTGGATCAATTAGTTCACGAAGACATAACAAAAATATTTCCCTCCTCCTATAAACATAGATCGAATTTCTAAGCTAACTGATGTTTTTGCTCTCTAACAGATAATTTGATCTGTTTTGTCTTTTTCTATTTTTGTTTAGTCCATGATTATTCAAGTATTTAATCGTGTTAATGACGTGCGAGATTTATGTGAAAACCGATGTGAACAACTTCGACAACTCGCTATGCCTATAACTCGGCCTGTACAACGTGTTTGTCCTTTATTATATCAACAGAATGAATCAGTTATGTCTGTTGGTACATCAACGCCAATGTTGAAGCGACAGCAACAGTTTTCATCAGTAGATATCGATTCAACTGATGAATCAAATGTAAACATGGACAAGAAGCAAAGGTAGGCGAAGATTTCCTAATGAAATTATCGAACAAGTTTCGTTCGGTTAGACATGTCGTTACTGAACTTCTAGTAACAGAACAAGTTTATGTTGAAGAATTACGTACGATCATCGAAGTAAGAACTTGATTCATTGTGCACACGACACTGTTCGATATATGGTTAGGGTTACATGGCGAAATTTGATGATTCGGAATATTCACGTCTTTTACCTGCAGTGATAGCTCAAAACAAATCGATTCTCTTCTCTAATTTACCGGAGATTTATACGTTTCATGACAGGTAATATTGATCATGTTTATGTTTCATCTTGCACTGAATAGAATTCATTTGGTAGATTATTTCTTCGTGATCTACAGCAAATTTATGCAAATTCACTGCTAATTAACTCATATTCAGTTGGCAGTGCGATTGCCTCGTGTTTCATCAAACGAGTACGAATCTTTCAGATCGAAACTCTCGTAGTGCTACGTTTTCTTTTTTTTCCAGAAATCGAATTTTAAGTTATATGAGCAATACGTCCTGAACAAATCGCAATCAGAACGTATCTGGGAACAATACTGCTCGGGACACACATTTTTCATCGTAAACAAATCCTTTTCAAATATTTTGCGTTGCATTGAAAGATTTCACTTCTAGAAAATCCAACAATCTCTCAACCAGCGACTTCCACTCGATTCCTATCTGTTAAAACCTATTCAACGCGTAACACAATATCAACTTCTGCTGAAAGTACTAGTGAAACTTTGATCTACTTTTTGGATTTCTGCTCGTTTGCAGGAAATGATCAAATATACTCGACACGAACAAGAACGTATTCATCTACAAGATGCACTCTCAGTCATGTTGAACATCTTATCATATCTCAATGATGTCATGCATTTAACTCAAATCGTGGGTTATCCTGTAAACAGAAACTCTTCTTCTTGTCTGAATGATTTCGAGTTTCCTCTTTCTTTCAAGGATAATTTGAATACATTAGGTCAAATACGTCTACGTGCTGAAAATTGTCTTTTATCAAAAGAAAAACGTCGCGGAACAGTCTACACTCGAGCGAAAACAAGTACACGGGATATATTTCTTTTTGAACGAGTTTTGTTATTATGCAAGAAGAAAGATGATGGGAGCGGCAAATCAATCCAATATCAATTTAAAGAAGCCATCAAAGTAAGTAATATACACAAAGAAGACATTCGACATGTTTTTACACTGTAGATTGTTGATATAGCCGTGTGTACACATCCGAAGAATGATCGAAAAAGGATTGAAATTGTTCTCAAAGATTACTCATACATAATTCAAGTAAATCGAAGACCATTGCAATATTTCATTCAAGTAAATTTTGTAGTTTCCGCTGAACGATGACAAAATCGAAGAAGTCAGCATTCGTTGGATACATACAATCAAAACTTGTGTAACAAAACAAACCGAACAACGACGAGGTACGTTATATTGAAGTACATGTCCTTAACAAAGAGATATTCTTGGTCATTGCTCTCATCTTCTAATAATGATGTTTATGCAACTACATCATTTCTGTAATTGTATCGTTTTATCAACAAACACATGCTGAAATAGCATTGATACAAGAGAATAGAAAGTCGAGGTCGATTACATTAACATGACTGTCATCTACAATGAAAGATTGATTGATTGATTGAATCAACAAATATTTCTTTTAGCGGAGATCAAACAACGAAGTTCATCGCTCGATCATTCGTCGCATTCGAACCGACGACGTGTTCAAAACCGTCTCATCGCGCAAATTCGAGCAATGTAAGTTGAAGATTTTCCCGATGAATTTTCATTCACAAAAAGGATTCTATTCTAGTGACTCAGATGACGAACAAGTTCATTTACCAATCAAACTAATTGATTTAAATACTGATATCATGACACAAAACCATAAGATTGTATGATAAATTCGAATTGAAAACAGAACGAAGAAAGATTTTGTTGCTTTAGGTTATCGGAAATTCGATTTCACACTTATAATAACAAATGGAATGAATCAGCCGGTGATGAACTGTTTTCTTTGTTTTTTTTTTCATTCATTTTCGATGTATCATACTTTGAATGCAGCAATGAAATAAAGTTCTTTTCTAATCATTCATTAAAATGTCGTATTGACAAACACAAGATCTTATCATTGGATGAACGAATGAAAACCAACGATTGTTGAGAGAATTGTTCCATCGGCATCCGATTATTCAACGTTCGTACCATTAAGATTCGATTTGGCGTTGCACAACTAGGAAAATTCACTCCCATACTTCAATATGATCTCTTCTTCTGCCTTACTCATTCGTCAATCGGTTTGATTTACAGGAATGTTTGTCATTGTGTATCGAAGACGATAATCTCTGAAGAAGTTCAAACTGTGAAGATCGACTCTCGTTCGAAATGATTTACTTTCAAAGAATGAGAAGAATACGCATGCGGTCGAAGTTTCATAATCCAGCAAAGACATTGTAATTCATCATCAGTTGAATTGTTCGAACATCGAACTAAACGAAAATAAAGTTTATTCTCTCTTCGTCACCTCGATATGGATATTAACTATGATTCGACAGTTTCAACCATGAAAGATTAGTAAGATAATCATCTTCGATATAATCCATGACTAAACTAGTTACTATTCTCTATGTACATCTAATTATCACATGGCGGTCAAGTTATTCAATTTCAACTAGTCGACTATTCATCTTTAGTCGTCTCGCTGCTTTGTGTAGTAAAATACGATGGCAGAGTCGTGTATAAATACACCTGAAAATCGTTTACGTTATCATTTTATTCTTTTAGGTAAACTATCTTCAAAGTGTCGATGTTTAATTTAGTTTTCACTGAATCATTCAGCAGTCATAACGAGTTACGATAGCTACACTCTAATCTGAACACTACCCCCACCAAATAACCTACGTTACATGAAAGTTTCTGATTCATTAGTTCAAAAATAGACGCAGAAGTTAAATATCGAGATTAGTTCAGTACCGATGAGTGTATTATTAAGATTCTTATGAAAGAAAGATGAACTCAACCATCCTTTTCATGATATCCTGTTTGCACGCGATTTATTTCTCGTCCTGATTGTTTTCGTTTATGAACGTCTTTCTATGTCAAGCACATTCTCTAATCACCGGAGAAAACGAGTAAACTATGTCTGCTACAGCCGACATATTTACGTCACACAACAATATTGCGCATGTTGGTCTATTTATAATAAGTACACACACGTACGAATCGAAAAATTATAAATTAGAAAGGAGAAAAAAAACCAAGAACGACATTTTAACCAGAAACAAAGCGTCAACTAGTTGGGTAAATTTAGCTTCTCTCTTTTTTCTCTTGCAATTCGGTTCTTCTCAAGGAGAAAAACAAGAAGAAAAATGAATAGACATACTTTGTCTCATTTTCTACTTTATTATTGCGATATTTTTACACAACAACGTTTATGGTGTGACCTTTTTCAAGATGAGAATTATGGGAACTTTTTTTTCCTTATTACATAAGAACTGCAAAAACGATTATTCGTAGCGATAGACACATGTGTAACATTGTTAGCAGTAATGTGAGAGATAATGTTAGGGGTAAAATTTCCTGCTGAACTTTTCGGAACGAACTCCCATGTCAAATACAAAATAAATCAAAATAATTGCTGGTTTTTCCAGAGTTTCTTCTAGATCTACAAGGCATGAGCTCATCTGTTTTTTTTTGTTCTGGGTGAGACAGCAACTCTTTGAAAAACATCACGAGTAGGCGAAACTTAAGAGAGAAAATTCTTTTTTTCGTACTAACATCATGCTTCATTTGTCAACTGGGAACGCTATGTTATGCACGGCAATATGATTCGAGATATTTTCCAAGGACATTGAACTCGAGTAATTATCATTTAGTAGAAATCTCTTACATAAAAAAACAGCTATGATTTATTCAAAACGAGATGTTTTCGTTGCTCCATAACAGTTCTTGTTTTAGTCCGTGTTAAATCTTCTAGTTTAGAAATGTAAATAACTTGTGTACTTGATTTAGGAAGACGTATCGCGGACGAGGTCATGATAACCGAAAGTCAGAATGTATCGACAACTGGTACGTGTGGTGTATGTGCTGCTAAAGCAATTGGTATAAATTTCGGTATACCGACATGTGCACCTTGTAAAGGTATGAGCGACTTTTGATCGATTTGAAAAAAAAATGCGAATGATTGGATGCTTTAGCATTCTTCCGTCGGAACGCTCGCCGAAAAGAAGTAAGTGAGATAAGATTTTCATATAGTAAATAATGAATGCTTTAGCTTCTTGGCGTGTCTTGTTGTCATGATAATGGAAGTTACTCAATATATGACAAGAACGCAGTTTCATGTTCCAACGTTCGTCGGTGTTCATCGTGCCGATTACGCCGATGTTTTTCCGTGGGAATGAAAGAAGAATTGGTTCGTACTGATGAAGAGAATATTCGACACCGAGAACTTGTTGATAGTAATCGACAAAGACGAGAAATATTTCGTCAAAAACAACAGATAAGGCAATCATCTCATCCACAGGTAACTCGATTCTCTCGCGACTTGACCTCGAAAGTCAGATCGTTTTTCAGTACATGCCAACCAAAAGTCAGCTATTAGACGAATCGGACTGGCTTCATATATCAAACATAGTTTCTGCTTATGACACTCACTGTTTGCAAACGTATCTTGATCGACGAGCGATCACATTCAACAATAAATTATCTCAACCAGACGATTATTTTCTTTTGACATATTCAACTCTACTACCAATGAATATAACTATATCACTCTTCTCGTTTTTCCGCGCATTACCTGCTGTACGATCGTTATCTCATGTGAATCAAACTTATTTGTGTAGAACTAATATTCGCCCATTGCTTTTTCTTAATATGTTCGAATTAAATCAATTATGTTTTACTGAACAATGGCAGGTAGAAAGACGATATCAACAAGTGATGAAAGATTTTCTTTTTTCACATAGGAACGCTTAGATTCATCGACATGGATAGCTATATTTGGTCCGGATCTGTACGAACGATTTGTTAGTGTAGACCAATTATCCAAACGATTACTAATAACGGATCCAGTCATCACACGCCTTTGGATTGTAGTACTCTATTTCTCGTCCACACTTTTTTGTTTCTATGATTCTCAATCATCGTTAAAAATTCCGACGAAAAAGATGCCCATCCGTGAAACTCAAAATGCCTACGTTACTCTTCTCTGGAACTATCTCGTCTATCGTTATGGAGATCTCAATGCTATTCGAATTTACTCAAATCTGGTCGTTGTCTACTTAAAAATGCAACGCGTCGGATCTGAAATTGGCATTCGGCTTCGAACGCGAAGTGAACTAGCAGTGACAAACAAAATACTCAATCAATTGTTAACTTTAGATGAACACGAATGTGAAAAATGAAATCAACTGTGGTGAATATTTGTCTATTTATTCTACCAATAAAAAGGAATAGCTGTCGCGTTTGTCTTCCTTCTCTCCATGTTCGAGTGAGCTCGCTAGTTTACGGCAGTGTCAAAGTCAACAAGGTTTTCATAATCAATCAGCAAAAGTAATCTCGAGTGAAATTTGACAAGAGAAAATGAGCTTTAAGACAAATTAAGATTTTTTCCCAGTCTCATTGCCCTGATTGGTTATGTTATTAATCTATGGAAGCATGGAAATGATAGTGAAATAATACTCGCTAATACGATGTTGTTGTTTTTTTTTTAGTCGAAGATAGACAAACAGGGCGAGAGGTAAGAACAGAACAGAAAAAAACACATGAGCCAAAGCAAAATATAACGAGGGGGGGTTATGTACCGATAAGTTCTAAGAAAAATTCGCTAGACTGGTTGATCAGCAGTCGTAAGTTTGATTGAAAATGCGATTTATTTTGAAAAGGGAGGGCGAGAAAAAAAAACTAAAGTCAATCGGATTTTTTTTCGCTGTAACATTCGAACGCCGTGCTTCGTGCAAACACTCGAACAGAGTGACGCACTTGTCGACTATTTAGGGACAAATAATGATTGTTATTACGACCAGAACGATAGTTTTTGAGCAATACCATGAAAACTTTGCTCACATTTCTGTCTTTTTTCAGATATTTATTCGCGTCAAATAAAAGAAAAGAAAAAGCAACTACTCCCGGTGAAATTGTATTTAATCACGTGCTTTAATATTCATACACTTGTTGAATGAGCTTCTATTTACCGTAAGTTCCAAGTTTGTTTTTCGGATGAAGTCTATTACATTTCAGAAGAGCAAATGGTACACTCTTTTTATTCTACTTTTTTTTTAATCAAATGTACCGACAAGAAAAATTCTGATTCGTTCGTGTATATTCCTCCAGACAAAACCTTTAGCAAACAGGAGAACACGATAAAAATAGCGTGGCATTTTTACTGTAGTTAGGGGAAAATAGACAATCTTATCAACTTGATTTTTTTTAGAATGAAATGCATTCTCAATCGTCAGCAATGATTTATCATCCAAAATATCGCACATGGTGGCCAAAGCATGATTGTGTTATATGTGGTTCAAAAGCGATCGGAATTAATTTTGGTGCACCGACATGTGCGCCGTGTAAAGGTAAATATACAACGAACTTAATCTTGTGACATTTTTCTTCTATTCTAGCGTTTTTTCGTCGAAATGCTCGAAGAAAGGATGTAAGTGATAGTTAATTCGAAGAGAAACTCGATTGTTCATGGAAATTTTCTAGCTTTTACAAACTCCATGCCCGTTTCAAGAAGCCACGTCTACGAATTCTTCGAACAAGGATGAGGTAACCAGCTATTGTTCACAAGTCCGGTATTGTTCATCATGTCGATTACGCCGCTGTTTTGGTATGGGTATGAAAGAAGAACTAGTTCGTACGAACGAAGAAAATGAACGATATCGACAGTTGGTTGAAACCAATCGGCGACGTCGAAAACAGTTATTACAACAAGATGGATCAGAAAGTCAACTTGCTATTTCTCAAGTAAAACTCATTTGTCATATTCAACAAATTCTCCAACATTTCTCTTTTTTCTTTTTCAGTCAGTTGTGTCCAAAAGTGATCTTTTACATGAAACAGAATGGATGCATATATCAAATATAGTTTCTATCTACGACACGCAATGTTTAAAACATTACATCGAACGACGTTTGAACACGTTCAATAATCTATCACAAGTACCTAACGATGCTAATGTTAAAATCAACTATCATGCCACAACAACAGTCAATAAGATGACTTCTTTCATTCTGTTTCTATCAACAATTCCAACGGTCAAATCCCTTCCAAAGTCTGACCGAATATATTTATGTAAGCATAACATTCGCCCATTGATATTACTTAACGCACATGAACTTGATCAACTATGTTATTCTGAACCTTGGCAAGTAAGTAAATCTGCCGAGAAAAAAACATATGTCACGAACCTTTGACAATTTGTTTAGTTATTGTATGATAATCTTGCTGCGGAATATGTTTGTGGCACTAGTTTGTTTCCTGATTTACAAAGCACACGAAAACGAGCGGAACAGATTCTAATAACCGACCCGATAGTAACGCGTCTTTGGCTTCTTATCCTGTTCTTTTCCAGTCCACTTCATTGTTTTGTGGACTACACATTACCCGATATATCAGCTAATCGACGATTAGCTATCCTGGAAATCCAACATTCGTACACAACATTGTTATGGAACTATTTAGTGCATCGTCATGGAGATGTGGACGCAATTCGTATATTTTCGAATCTCAATGGGGTGTATCTTCGCATGCAACGGATAAGTCAAGCTGTGAATAGACAAATCCGAACACGAGATGATCTGTCGTCATTACACGAAGCATTCAATCGTGCTGTCATGATCGAAAGTGATACGAAATAGTAGAAGAATGATTTGTTTGTCTTTGCGTAATCAATGTATTTAGTATTGCATATGTATCATTACTACAATTATGTGCGACAAGAAGATTATCTGATGTTGAACATAAAAAAGAATCCTGCGACCTAGTACGACTCTTCCGGTTATTTTTCAAAGCTTCTAATTGTGACGAATTATTGACGTTTCTATCTATAAATTCAAATGAAATAATAGATAAGTTCTTGTGTGATTGTAATTGTTTTATTATTATAAAAAAAACGTGCAGACGGTAAAAATTATATCGAAAAATGTCCATGAAATTTCAATAAAAATCGAATTGACACCTCTTCGATTTGCTATATTAGCATCCGAGAAATGAACGAGCGGACGTGAAGAACTGACATGTTCGTCTGCTTTCAAGGTTCAATTGTTACTATTTTCAGAATGTATGTAAACTTTCATCTTGTCATAATAGAACAAAAGAGTAATATAAAGTTCGTCTGGGTTTCAATTTCATTTGAGTATACAAAGGAAACGAATGTTGTTGTTCCTTTTCCTTCTGAAACCGAGATGAGTTCCAAGACGATGCTTCTACTATTCTACCGCACGATACTTATCATAGTATTTCTTAGTCGTCCAACGAAACAGAACACAAATCAAGTTTATTGTGTTTTTTTTCTTTTTCGTTCTACGATGCCTCTGAAAACAATGTTATGATGATCAAATCAACAATGAATGGGACAAACTTCCCATTATCAATTCTCGATGACTTCAATACACGTTTAGTTTTCAACAGTACAACACCAAAACCATTCCTTCGACTGTTCAATTCCACAAGACTCTTTCCCTATCTTCGAGCACCTTTAACAACAATCCCATTCTTCGTTAATAAGTATTTCATGTTCAAATCACCGTTTACGTACATTATGCGTTGTATAGAATTGTGTATTTTGAGTTTAACATTGCCATTGTATGCTATTGTCTTGATACTTTTCATTGAGTTGACCGTCATACGTACAAGTTCGAACACAGCGGTATCCGGTGGCAATTCTCGTAGTCGAACTCAACGACGTCAACAGCATTTGCGAAGCTTAATTTGGACATCGAACTATTTACTTGTTGATCTTCTTAATCTTTTGTACGAAGTCATTTATGTTATTATACATTTATCAGGTCAATTACGATTAAAATCTTTGATTGGTTCTCTCTATTGTCAATTTCAAGTCTATGTTTCATTGTATTTGACTGTACTGATGTCGTACAGTTTAACAGCCATATCAATCTATCGTCGTCGACATTTCGTTAATTTAACGAGTCAAGGCGAACGATCGAATCGCAAAAGTGCGTTTATGATCAGTTCGCTTTGGTTGATGCCGATGATCACGTTAATATTTCCGACATTTCTCTTAGTCTATTCAAATATTTTGAAAATCACTCAACACGAAACCACAAACCAATGTCAAATTTCCTATACCTACGAATCGAATATGGAGGCGCTCTATATATTCTATCGACTTGGTAATATCTTTCTCTTACCAATATCGATTTCATTGGTATGTTACGTAACGATCTATACAGATTTGATACGCACTCAACGACGTTTTAATCGAGCATTTAAACGGCATCTTCATATACGGAAAAACCTTATTACGCAAATTCTTTTTCTTTTCTTGAATTTCGCTGTTTTTTGGCTTCCAGCAGAGATTGTCACACTTCACACGAAAAATCTTCAACTGAAAGACGCTTTTCAAGTGACGAAATGTTTAAATATCCTTCTCGATCCATTGATTGTGACCGTATTCGATACACGTTTGTCGTCGGCTGGTAAAAAACTACTATCGACGCGACTCTTCGATGGCTTTCGACGTTGTTTCAATAGTAATCGTCAATTCAATCATTCGATCCAGAACACATCGACTAGAAGACCAAAACGACGCTTAAGACGTTCATATAATGTGACTACAAATAGTCAACAGATAACAACAGGTACGACATGGAACATGGGTAATAATGATGATATAACCGTTGTGGAGTCGATATCCGATCATCCGACGCGCCGACAACGTTCAGGAAATCGACAACGAACATTGACACAAAAACGAAAACATCGATTGGAAAATCATGTCTAACATATTTCTTTGCATTTATAGATCAATATAGAAAAAGAAATAAACGAAATTCTCAATATTGAGTAGTTTCATATAGCTGAAAAGCTGACATCTTTGTTTTTTTGTTATGTTGTGATCAAGAATGAAAAGATATAGATAATATCGATCGCTTTCGATTCGCCTCGTTTTTTCTTCTTATCAATAATCATTACCAAGAACACAAACATCTCACATTACTAGCTTTTCATTCTATAGTCGGTCTCCTTGGATGACAGCAAACAAACATTTTCAAGTGTACCTCACTGGCTGCTTCGCAGCGATCGGTGGCCTTCTTTTCGGCTATGATACAGGTGTAATATCCGGCGTTCTAACCATGTCAGATTTTCTTCTGGCATTTGGCGGTACAGCAAGTGTGGCACGCGGTTCATTGACAAGTACGGTATCGGGTTCGATTGTGGGTATTATGCTCGTCGGTTGTTTTCTCGGTGCACTTATTGCAGGTCCATCGGGTGACCGTATTTCACGGAAATATTCCATTGTACTGTTTTCGGTGGTTTTCGTCATTAGCGCTCTTTTACAAACAGCATCTACCAATCTGTTTATACTACTTCTCTCACGTCTTGTTGCTGGTGAGTGCACTATTACTGAAGTAGAACAATAGAAATGTAACATTTTCTTCGTCTTGAAAGGTATATCAGTCGGAGCGTTGTCGATGCTTGTGCCTGTTTATCAGTCTGAAATTGCCACAAAGAAAATTCGCGGACGACTTGTTTCATTGCAACAGTGGGCTATTACAATTGGTATCGCCGTTAGTTTTTGGATCAATTACGGTAAAAGGAATTGATCATAAGCACTTGAAGTTTCATTTGTTGTTCTAGGTACGGATATCTACTATTTAGGTAGTAGCGCTGCATGGCGGATTCCTCTAGCTTTACAAATCGTACCTGCATTGATTCTTGCTGTTGGTATTCTATTTTTTCCTTTTTCGCCACGTTGGTTAATGGCGCAGGGTCGTGATGATGAAGCTTTGCTTGTCTTAACGAAGATCCGTTCTACAACAGCTGTCAACGTTCTTGATGAATATAATGATATTAAAAATGAAATTAATCTCGAACGTGAAGAGTCTGTCCAATCGTATTCTCAATTTCTCTATCCACCACTCCGACGACGTTTATGCCTTGGTGTCAGTATTCAAGTTTTACAACAATTAACCGGAATTAATTCGATCATGTATTACGCACCTGAAATCTTCAAACAAGCTGGTTTAAATGATCAACGTGCATCGTTGCTTGCGACTGGAATCAATGGCGTCGTGATAGTTCTTGCTACTATACCTGCAATACTCTACATTGATAAATTAGGTCGACGTTTTGTACTGATTAGCGGTGCATGTCTGATGGCTTTGTCCATGTTAATCATCGGTGGAACGATGGGTACTCACGGTTCGACGCATTACAATGAAACAACAGGTGCTGTCCAAGTGATTATTCCAAATCGAACTGCATCATTCGTCATTATTGTCTTTGTTTATGTCTTTGTCGCATCATTCGCATATAGTTGGGGACCGACGGCCTGGGTTTACTGCACGGAAATCTTTCCATTAAGTATGCGCTCAAAAGGTACATCGCTAACTACAGCCGCTAACTGGGTAACAAATTGCATAGTCTCATTTCTCGTGCCAGCTATGCTCGAGAGTTTAACTTATCGTACTTACTTAATTTTTGGCTTTTTATGTGTCGCGATGGGTATTATAATCTATTTGTTCTATCCGGAAACAAAGGGAAAGAGTTTAGAGGATATGGATTTAGTGTTCGGTCGGTCGATATTGGTAAATAATTCATCGAGAACGAAGAAACGAATGAAATCAATGAACGGAAAGACTTCTTCACACAGTCAATCGAATCAAATTTATTATTTTTGATCGATGGAATGAATAATGCAGCTTTTTTCATCATAGTTCCCTTTGATTATATTAGAAAAGCAAACTTTTTATTTTATTTTTTTGTAACTGAAAATTCAACTCTAGTTTAATAAAGTACTTATCACACTAGTCACATCAACATTTCTCATGTAAATTTACGACCTCTACCGAAGTACCCTATGACAAGTATTTCTACTGTCAAAACAGAAATCATTACTCATTCATGTATTCAAATTTATCTCTTGTCTGTGTGTTACTTATCATTTCACTTTCAAATACATTGTTCATTCATGATTGACTAATGGATTGGAAAACGGATATTGTTCGTCAATTGAAAGGTCGCAAAGATCATTGGAACTCTTATGATGAAATTATTACACAATGTATATTTGTATTTGATTTCGTTCCGCTCGTGTTCATTGCTTTTGCGTTTTAGACAATCATCTTCTGGAGCAGTATATTATTCTTCAGAACCAACGTTCTAAGCTAGAAAAAGACGTAGGACAATTGCGTTTAACAAACGCTGGATTAGAAAAAGCTTCTGAAGCTAGGTAAATAAACCAATTAGTTTTCATAGAGTTGTCTCATTTTCTCTTATAGTCAAGAATTAGCAAATGTGAACAATAAGTTGTCGGTTGCGACTGAAGAGGTCGTCATGCATTTGCGCGAAAAAGGTGAAGTAAGTAGTATGAAAGCATTTGTATTTTCAAGAGAATTTGTGGTCTAGCTTGCTGGAGAAGTTCTACGATTGAATCGTGCGTTGGTTGAAGCATCGGACAAGCTAGCGAAAGAAGAGTCCAAGTAAGCGATGTCCGAAATTTAAAAAATCGAAGATTTTTTGTGCTCATTTGAAGAGTTCAACAATTTAAAGACGAAAACGACCAATTGATTGCCAAAATTGAGAAAACGGAATTTGATCTAAACGAATATATTAGCATAAATCATGTAAGTGATGATTAAATTGGAATCTATATAAGCGTATGATTTGCTTCAGATCCTTCGAGAAGAATTTGTTGCTGCACAAACAAAACTCGATCAGTTGCAGATAGAATACAATCGTTTGAAGCCATTGAGCCTCGAGTTAGAACAGCAACTAGAAATGGAAAGACGATTTGGTAAACAGCGTGAAGAAGAACTATTAGAATCTAAACGAGTTCAATTGGAAATGCTCAATGCTGAAGTTGAGAGATATAACAGGTTCGTTCTACTATTTTGATGGTCGGACAAAATCTATTTTTGTTAATATTACAGACGAGTCGAAGCTCGGAAAGAGTCAGTAGCAGGTGACAATGGTCCTTTATCTGCTCCAATTGGAAAACGTGGATCGGATGCGAGCTTAAATAGTTTGAATAGGTCTTCAACTGCATCAGATGATGCTTCCAATCGAAAACCAACAGTCAATGGTTTAACTCTTGGTGGGGTCAATATACTCTCAGGTTTTAAACGACTTTTCAATCCTGGAATCGCGACGAATGCCCCCGTCGATCATTTGAATCGATCATCGACATTTTGTATGTCAGCGTCAGTTCCAACTGGAGAAGCGCACCGTTGGGTAAGGAAAAGTTATTCGTCACCACTATATCCCATGACTTCGATTCTATTTAGGAATGCACTGACCTAGAAGTTTACGCTATTCAATTTCATCCGTCAGGCTCCTTGCTGGCAACAGGTTGTAGTGATAAAATGATCTATCTATGGGAAATCAGTTCTTTGGGCATGCCCTATAAAAATAGTACACTCTACGGTAGTCATGGTGCAATCAATGCATTAGATTTCGACAATGAAGGAGTAAGTAGATGCGCTATTGTTATAATTTACTCTTGAATCAATTTCAGGCTCGTCTATTAGCTGGTTGTTCAGGTGATAAAGCTTATATTTGGTCACATGGTGATAATCGTGGACTTAAGGATACTCACACTGGTCATAATGGTATTATTTATACATGCAAGTTTATTTCAGGAACAAAATTAGTGACAGGCAGTGCTGACCGTTTAATTAAAATCTGGGATTTACAAAATCGCCAATGTAAAGTTTGTGCATTGTTCATCTTCTCGTTATCTTTTTCTTTTCAATTCCACAGGTATTCAAACCCTATTCGCTGGATCGAAATGTCATGATTTAGTAGTCACCGACGCGACTGGTACAATTATTAGTGGACATTTTGATAAAAAGATTCGCATATGGGACGCACAAAGCGATAAGTGTCGCGTTGAATTGCAGTACAATGCTGCAATCACTTCCTTATCGTACAATGCAGGTATAGGAAAGATGCAGTTTTTCTGTTCAAATCCTGTCCGATAACTTTCTCGTTTAGGAAAAAGACAACTATTAGCATGTTTAAGAGACGACACATTGAAATTAATCGATTTACGCCAGAATAGTCTTCTGCATACGTTCACTCATGATCACTTTCAGATCAGTACTGATACGCATAAGGCTGTTTTATCACCGGACGGTAGCTATGCATGTACTGGCTCTCAAGATGGTTCATTACTTGTGTGGAACACAGAAGATGGCATGTGTGAAAAAGTCTTCGTGAAAAAACATACGTGAGAAATATGTCCTATTCAAACTCATTGACATATGTTACTTTCTTAGGTCTATGGTAACATCGGTCGCTTGGCATCCCGAAGGACGATACGTTGCGTCGTCCGAAAAACATCGACAGGTCATTCTATGGAATAGCTAATTGACATTCCGCTGAATTTCTACTTATTTTCAATAATTTTTTTTGTGAGGAAAGCCTATCCTAAGTTCGTTGCCGTGATGAAAAATTACAGTCTAGCTAAATTTTATTCTGTATATAATTCTCTATTGATGTTAATTCAGAATTTCTCTATTTTTTTTAATAAATCATGTTCGATTGCATTGTGTCAAGATGTTTTTCTAATTGATGATGCAGTAAATGGAAGCGCTGATTCTTCTACTTCGTCGAATAGATCATTGTTCGACTTCACTCAAGGAAATCAAACGTCTTTCGGAAGTTTTCTTTAATGAAAATGCTTTTATCAAATTAAGTCAACAGATTTCTTCGATATACAAGTTCGATTTTGTTTGATTAACTTGGCGAACAAAGTCGATATCCGTTTGCAGTTTGATTTTCGTATAAAATAAAAGTTTCAAAGCAGAACAAAACACACACAGTTATGAGAAGACAGATCGCTACGAATCGCGTAAAAAGCACACACACACACACACACACAAACACGAAAATAAGGAGATTCATGATGTTAGAGATAGAATTTTGTATATGTATATATATATATATAAGTATATTATTCGAGAAACCGGTTACGAGTATTTCGATATGTCCATCGCGAAATAGTTTCGGCGTACTGTTATTCGGTGTAGATGTGTATCACAGCGTATCACACGGCTGCTGGCTCTGGATTGCTGCTGTTTCGTGTAGATGTTACCAGATGACCTGGCATGGGTGGTTGTAAATGGTTGTCTCCATAGAGATTTTCTAAATAATCTTGTCGACGAATTTTCTCGTTTAAGCCTCGACAACGACAACAGATGATTTCTCGAAACGGCGTTCGAAATTCTCGATTGAATTTGGAATAAATGATTGGATTCAACATCGATGACAAATATCCAATCCAAAGTAGAACTGAATCGACCCATCGAGGAGCATTCAATGGTCGCGCTGTGCTTGTCAAGCTCGTTATACGTTCGTATAACGGTTTGATTATTGCAAACGACATAAATGGAAGCCAACAAACAATAAATGTACCCAGAATGACGCCGAGTGTGCGAATGGCTTTTTGGTTAGGCAAATGCACATGACGAAAAAACGTCGTGCGTCGAGAGACGAATATTGATAATCGACCATTAAATGGTGTGCTGATTCGACGACCTAGACATCCCGTCGGAGATAAGAAATTTGATGTTTTTGATTGTTGGGGACTATTTCCTGAACGTTTAATAGATCGCTTTCCACCAGGTGCTGTACAGTTCTCATCGTTCTGACTGGCATTCGATACACTTAAATACAATTGCGGCGCCGAATGACTTTCTCCGTTCAAGTGCTGTTTCGATGATCCACTAGTTACTTGAGCAAAGTTAGCTGAGGAAGCATTTTGAGTCAAGAATTGAGACATTTGAACACTCGATCGAGTATCCATTGCCGTTTGAGCTGTTCGATAAATATTCGCATAAATAATCAGTACAACAATGAGGGGAATGTAAAATGAAAGCATTGTTGCAAATATTTGATATTCTAATTTTGGATTGACTTCACATATCGGAAGATTCTCTGATGGACCTAAACAAAACCAAATGAAATCGACATTAAAGGCACGTCTTGGATACGTACGTCCCCATCCTAAAATAGGCGGCAAGGAAACAAGTGCACTGAGTATCCAGACAGCAGCGATCATGAATGATAATAATTTAACTTTACGCATAGGTGCATATTTAAATGGATGATTTATAATAAAGTATCGATCAATTGAAATGACAAGAAAGTTTAATATCGATGAAGTACATAGAAGAACATCCGTCGATGTCCATATATCGCACATAATTGAACCTAGTATCCAACCGTTACTTAACTCGAGCACTAGAAAGAGAAGAAGCAAGAACGGACGAGATTGCAATGAAATTCGTCTGATGAACGCGAGAAATTAGAAACTTACCCATCGCCAATGGCATTATGAACAAACCAACGAAAATGTCACTAACAGCCAGACTAACAATGAGAATATTCGAAGCTGTTTGTAATTTTCGTACGATACAAACAGAAAGAATAACAACAAGATTGCCAATTATCGTTAAACCACACATTAGAGAACAAACAATACAAATGATAACTATAATAATAGGACTTCGTCTGTCATGGATGACGATTTGTGACGAATTCGTTAAATTCATCAGTTCATTATTGATTGTCATCGCCGTGGTTGCTGTTGCTGCTGTGGAAAATGATGATAGAAGATTTGTAAATTGTACGCGTCGTCGAGAATGTTCGAACGATGCCGTTGCTGATGTTTCATTGTGTGTGAGAGAAGAAATCGAAGATGGAATTCGTTGTTGATTAACAATTTGAACCGCAGCAACCGATGAAACCAGTGAAAACAATGATAAACATGAAATAAGTATCGATGTACGTCTTGAGTAAACTGACGGCTGAAAATTCGGCGACAGTCGATCGCCGTTTCGACGACTGTTGGAAAACGCCAATGTCGACTCTAGAAACAAAATATCAATGAAGAGATCTCTTGCATTTAATTGATTATATAGCAGAAAGAACCCCGAAAATTTCTCTTCTTTCTTTCTCTCCCTCGTAACAATAGTTTATACATCAATGATTTCTCTATTTCCTTTTCTTTTTACAGATCAAGAAATCTAAGACAAATATAATCTCTATACCGGAGATTACTTTTTAGTTGATACGACTTGGTAAGATCTTGCTTCATAGATCATTTTGATTACAAAAACTAAGTCAACTTCAAGTTCCCGTCCATCAGACAAGATTTAGTTCGCCTGCACTAATCTCAAGATTATCGACTAGCTTATTTATTTAATATTTAACTAAATATCAAACGGAACATGAATTATTGGCTTTCTATGCAAAGACATTCTATTAGCTTTAATTGAATAGTTTTTCGATCAAATAATTTTTTTTTCTTCTTTAAATGATGAAATCATTATCTCCGGAAGCATATAAATACAACAAATTCTTCATTCGAATAAATGCACTCAATAAATTTATAGAGATATCATTCCTTTTCCAAACGATTGCGTATAATTATCAACTTGTTAACTGCTTATGACATGAAGAGAAGAGAGAAAGTCTCGAGTAAATTAAACTAAAAAACACGCACATTTTCATGTTATGGAAAGCAAAAGGAAAAAATCAATGTTACCATTAGACTTTTTTATCTATTTAGATCTATTATGTTGAATAGTAATCAGTCTCAAAATTGCCGCAAGCAACAGAGGCAGCAGAAGAAGAAGAAGGAACTGCTCGAACTTTTCGACATGTTAGTTTAGTTTAGTTTACCATAGCTTTTCATCGTGCATGGTTGATAGTATTGAATGATGAATACAGGAAGACGACAACAATCAAATGAGATGGTTGATATATAAGATGATGTAATCAACAAAGACCGAAGATGAGATCTAGAAAAAAAAATAAGACAAACTTTAGAAGTTTTCATTAATATAATAACTTAAGGTGTTAATCAAAGTAACAGTAGGGCCTAGAAGAAGGAAAAGAACTAATCTTGTTTCTCATCTAACAAAGCCTTCTGTTATTAGCTGGTATTTTGTGTATATTATTACAATAAAGTAATAGTTAGGCTGTCTGTGTAATCTTTAGTTGTTGTTCTAAACGAATCAACAGTACTTTGATGTAGAAGTCGAACGGATGGCGAACGCAAAGTAATATCACGTGAGTTAATGATAAGACAGGACGTTTTCGGAAAACTTGTTTGTCTATGTTGCCATAATGTAGTGTGTGTATTTGGATACATATTTTACGTATTTCAATCTCTATCTAAGAGCTATTATTCAATATGATGAGAGAGAGAAATAATGGAAAAAATAGAAGAAGAAAAAACCGAAGAAGGCGAAGAAAACTCGTCGTACTCGTCTTTCATATATGGTCGTGGGTCGGCTGGTTGTTACAACAATTAGGCAAAGAGAGCTTCTTCTTCTTTTCTTCGTGTTCTTCGTCTTCTTCTTCTCCTTCTTCTTCGTCTCTTCGGTTTTTTTCCTTCTTCTTCTTCTTTCAATCTCTCATGCATCTCTATTACTGGGTATATGTTAGGAACGGCCAATTTTCAATGCATGGCCAAGTCCGGGCAACGCGCAAGTACGACCCGAAGAGAGGAAAACACAAGTATTCGCGTCAACCGAGCCACCATCTAGAGAATGATGATGAATGGTTGTAGGGCAGGCAAAAAGCAACGACTGCTACATTAAAACAAGCATAACAGGAGAAAGAGGATATGATTGATTTGACGGGCAGGCAAGATGGCTTACTGTACGCACTTGGCAATGTGCGACCACTGCGTTTGTAATTCTTTCTTTTTTTCCTAACGTCGCAAACTCCTTTCACTAGCTACAAAACATCAAACGTGTATGTAGGATGCGCGGGTAAACGTATTAAATGCGTCTATCTTCAAACATAATGTAGCCTACCAACGACAAAAGATCATCACTAGCTTGCTCGTGTTGATGTATTATTTCTATCTGTCATCGGTCGAGATAAATCAACAAACAATAACAATCGACCTATCTATTGAGCTCAACTCGTACTTTTAATTAGTAGAAAAGACTCACTAGGGGATAAAATTTCGCTGAACAAACAGTAAGCATCGTAAATGTTCAATGTTTCCGCATTGTTTCTAGTTTCTCTTGTCTCCTCATATAGATATATCTACATAATAAATATAGATTGTGTCGGAGTGCACGTTTATCTCATTGGAGAAAGAACGAAAATCTAGCAATTACTATGAATAGTTGATGAAGCGGAATGATCATGATTATTAAAAGATAATTTCCTATTGATTTATATCAACACTTGATTGAAATAAGCTCGAAAATTTTTCCTAAATACGAAAAACAAACATAATTCATCGTGATGATTGTCAATGGAAAAAAGAAGAAACATTAAAAAAATATATATATATCGACATCCGACAATCTTTAACGGTCGGCTTTTTCTCTTTTCTTCGTGTAAATAATTTCTAGCTTAAAAGACGTCAGATAAATCATTGTTACAAACATTGTCTCAATATATTAATAGATAGAACCATTGGAAATTATATGTCATACTAAAAATAGACACGGGAATAATGGCTTTCTTTTTGCCTAAACATCTTACACGAACGTGATACTGCGATAATAAATCGAATTGATTTCAAACGACACGAAAAGAGAAGACCATACGATAATCATCGATAAATCTGTCGCCATATGTATAGTGTGTAACTTATAATAATTCCTACTGAGTGAACGAATATCTGGATAACTAGAGCATCGAGCACAACATTACAACAAGAGGTACTATGCGCAAGGAAACATTGATGATGATTTTTTTTCAAAGAGAAACGAGAGCGCTCTCTCCCCCTGTGTTTCGCGTTTCCAAGATGTCTGTCTAACATCAAGCTTCCGTCTCTTTCTATACTAGGACGCATCTAACAACAGCAAAGATATTATTGAAAACTCATTTTCTTCGTCTTTCGATTAGTTTTTTCTTCTCCTATACGCAACAAAACACTGTCATTCTTTCTCTTTACATCAGTAGTCCTGATCGAATGAAGACAATGATGACGTCCTAATTTGTTCAACTTCATCAAGTTTTTTCATCGAACAAGAAGAAAGTCAGATATTGTGCGGCACCAGCTGACTGATTTCTATTATCGCGAGGCAAATGAGTCCATAGTACGCTTAGTGTAGATCTCACCCTAAAGACAACATTGTCTCGGCGAGAGACTATACCTGAAACAGTAGTTTAATATGCAACATCTGATCTTTCGCAAGCTACATTGTTATTTGTCTTTTTCTGGTTCGCAGCATTCTAATCAATATAACTAATAAATCAGGCTAACTCAAAAGAAAAACTTACGTTGCCTAGTCGATATACCGACAACAATACAAATGTATACAGAATATATTTTGCTCTTTTTCTCTCTTGTATGCGTTGACAACTTTCATCATACGTCTCTTTCCCTGTTCTAAGCGCCCGTGCCCGATAAAAGAAACATATGCAGCAATAGTAAAAGCGAATATCTCTTTTTCCTGACGTTTTCTTTTTTGCATACTCTCGCATTTGTCAGACTCTTAGCCGAAGAACTCGGTCGGTGGCGCTATATCGGAAGTGGTCGTCGTGGAGGCGAAAGAGTGGGGGTCGTCTCTCTTTTTTAAAAGCATGCGTGTATGCACACAGACGCATACATCAGTAGCTACAGCCGCAAATATTACGAATGGAAAAAAGAAAAAAAAAAGAATAAAAGAGAAAGAAAGCTAGAAAAGAAAAAAATATATATATACACGCACATTAGAACTCGGTGACAAGAAAATAAGAAAAGAGTATTTGTCGATATTAATTAATCTTTTCTGCTTATTCCTAGTCTTTGAACGGCAAATCAGTAATTATTGAAGACTGACAGCACATCTTCCAGCAGAGAGTTCAATGTGCACATGAAAAATTCTCTTTCGTTAAGACATCGACGTTTTTCCTAATCATTGATTCTATACTTTCACATTAAAATGACAACTGTATATATAAATATATGCGACGAAACAATCAGCATCATTAGTAACGTGTGCGTTTGCGTAGGCATCCAGTAAAAAAAATGAGTGCGCCCGAAAAATCGATTCGTTATGCCTGTCTCTACGGCCGATCTTCTACCTCAAGGGAATCATTTATCTTGTGAGTTATTAGCTAAAGTAGAAAATTTCCAAGTGTGTACTATAGTGATCTTTTCTTTGTCTTCGTAGTTATTCACGAGAAATAACTACGGATTTACTTAGATTTTACTTGAATCTCTCGGATCTTGTTACATTCATGTCAATGCAAACTACTTGATCATGCACAAAAGTGACAGATAGTTGTTCGTTTCCAATTCTGTATGTTCTTATCATGTTGATTCCATTAGAAAGACAGTATGTCCTCTAGCTTAATCTTATTTCGATTTATATTCTTAGAATACATATATACATCGACAGATACCAGCGAGTGCTATTTTGGGGATGCTGTTCTCTCTGATGTTTCTTTTTTGCTCGCTCTTTCTTCTTTCTCCCTCTAACTAAATGACGGGTATCTGTCGTCATCCTCGCGAGAACATCATTTAACAAAAGAATTTTGTTGTGCGACAGTAGGAAAAAAAACTAGTATTGGGATAAATATAATTGCGCTTTTTTTTCCTTTGCTAACTCGTGTCTACAATGATATACTACGGAAAGAAGACAATAACTAACTATTGCCTTGGTCGTGCATCTCATCTTTCCATCTAAAAGAAGATACAATAATAACAAAATGAAAAAGAAACAAACAAAAAACTGGCGTGCAGATCATTTTCTATTATCCATATTACTAATACACAAAACTATGTCATGTTATTATCACTATGTGAACAGAGATCTGTGGAAACAAAATGTTCACACATTGATTAGTAGCGACCTCTGAAATGTGTATGAGAAAATAAACTATAATCCATTTAACTAATCTTTCAATCACTAGAGCTTGAAAATTCACATTGTTTCAAAGCATTGCCTGTGCTATGAAGTAAGAAGACATATCTGAAGAGTTGCTAGGGAACAACAATCTATGTAGAGTAGCAAATGGTATGAAACAAGGTACACAATTTTAAAGGACTTGCCGTAGCTGACGATCGAAAGTAAGAAATTCAGGGATACGATAGAATGTCGACTTGCGAAAATATCATTGATGAATGTCTCGGCAAAATAGACGAAAAGAATTCTTCAGATATTCCTATAACATTCTAAACAGATACGATAATTACGAAAGAAATATCCTTCGCGGAAATATTTACTCAAAAAAGAAAACGACCGAGATCAGATCTTTAATTGTTGCTCTTTTGTTTGTATGTAGAAATTCGGCATCATGAGTGGAACAGCAAATCGTATACAGGCTGAAGGTGTTATAAAGAACATTATTCGAGAGATAGTTCAAGAATGCGCAGCACGTGGCGAAGGTTTGTTTGATCAAACTGATCCTTTCTTTTGCATCGTATTAGTTTGCTTGTAAATTCGTAGGTGTATCAGAAACATTAGTCGCTTTCATTGTCAAAGCCGTTGTACTCGATCCATATAATAATTTTCAAGTCGATCGTGTGTTGGCGTCAGAAGATGTTCAACGTCTCATTGAACTATGTGTGAGACGTTTACTTGACGGCAAATCTGCATCGTTGGATACGATTAAAATGCAAGTTTATTTCGATATGAACTACACGACACGTGAAGAATTTCTAACGGAACATCGACGTGTACTAGGTGAGCATCGAATGCAATGAGCTTTCTTATTCCTTCTTGTGTGTATTTGTATAGAAACTCGTCTTCAACCAATTACACGTGAAATTACCGACAATCGAGCAACAACAAAGGATGAACTCGAATCTCTCTACCGAAAGATAGTTTCAAGTGTTCTACTTCGATCTGGACTTGGTTCGCCCACCGGTATCGTTTCTACATTACAAAAGCAGAGGTAAACGCATATTTCTTTTCGATTTTCACAGATATCTCGGTTGTTCGTGAAGCTACTGCCGCTTTACAAAGTGTTTTCCCACAAACTGAACTAGGAAACTTTCTCAATCTTTCGAAGCGCGATAAAGATCGACAACTGATTGAACTAACTCAGATTGTAACTGGTATTCGTCTATTCAACAAAGAATGTGGCAAAGGTGGCGAAGGAATCGATAATTTACCAGGTAAAGATAGACGTTAGACCCATGAAAACGTTTACTCATTCATTTCTATTCAGCTATCTTAAACGAAGCGATACCTGCCACATTGAAAGAAATTCAACAGCAGACAGACGATGTTGTTGACACAAGTGAAAAGTTTATTGCTGTTCTCGATACGATGACAACTCTGTCACAAAAACAACTAAGTAATGAGACCACGAAACAGAAAATTCAACAAGCAATGATCAACTCTCGACAGCTCGAACTTTATCTAAATATACTAGCGAACGATGCACGACAAAGCGCACGTGAAGTGGATGAGTTATTGTCACAATTCAATGCTCGTCTAGATCAATTGAAAACTACCATACAAAATCGAACAGCGTGAGTATTTCCACACTCATGAAAACTAGATGATGTTGATTATCCATTTAGTGTGCCGACAGCTCAAGTCTATCCTCAATTTATGCATTTAGCTGTCATCTGGTTTAGTTTTCAAGACGAAATGGTTCTACTTAGTGTTCTGTCAAACATATGTAAATAGACTTCACATCAAATTCGTCTACAATGTTGTTTTTGATTGATAATTCCCTTTAGTATACAGTCTTGAGCCATATACAGTCAATACGAAAGAATTACTAGCTGACGAAGCGATCAAGAAGTATTTAGCGAAAGTTTCGATCGTCACTGACAAACAACGTTTACAAGCGAACAATAGTGGTAATGTTGTTCAACCTGAAGATCGAAGCGAAGGCACATGGTACTATCCAGAAACGACGAAGAATTACGATAAATTGCCTTTGATGTATAAAGGTAAAACATTTACTGCTGAAAGTATTTTTCGATTAATAACGAATGTTTATTTCTAGGTTTTTGTGCCTATCATCTAGCTTTGAATGACTTCAAATTAGTTCACGGTGATCCACGTATTGGTGTTGTACAAGTCAATGACCGGTTTTACTCATTCAGTGAACCAAAAGATGCGGTTTTATTCTGTCGAAAACCTTCAACCTACATCGAAGCTATCGCTAATAATGCCAAGTACAATCCTGAATTGATTCAGCTGCTTGATCTACATGCACATTTTTCCAATATTGCGCCATACGGTGATTTAACTCAATCATCATCCAAACCACATTTGAAAGCTGATTCGGGCACACAAACAGACACACATTTTCACGAGAAAAATATTGTCAAAGATTATGAATGGAATGAATGGGAACTACGACGTAAAGCTATCAAATTAGCTAATTTACGACGACGTTTAACCAAGTCGATTCAAACAAATGGGAGCAACTTTCGACGTGAGAATGCTACCCAAGTTTATCTACCAAAAGAACAATACGTTCAAACAAAACGAGATAATTATACGAATGTTCCACAGCCTAAAGTGTATCTTAGTGGTATTCGAGGACATCAACGTAATGAAGATGGCGAATTTCTTCCAGCAGATGTTAAAAAAGTTGATTTAACACTTGACATTGATGAATAAAACTCATCGGTCTATGAACTTTTGCTTCTCTTTAATAAATATTTTATTCTAAGAAAGAATCTTCGACATTTGGACATTATTGCATTGCGATCGTGCGCGCTAGATGGCGTTGGTGTCTAGACTCGTCTCGAGAAAATATTTCGATAATCATCTTGATCAGTTCGAGATATTTTTCGTTAGTTAAAAATTATTTTAAATTATTTAAAAGAATTAAAATTTTGTTTCTTGACAGTCCATTGTGATTTGTCTCAGAACCACAACGACCACAACGAATTATCTTTTTGTTGTCATTTGTTCTACTTCTGCTCTCCATTCATTCGTATTAGAAAATTTAACGTAAAAATCCATCAACTATGGATGATTATGATGATTGCGATCGTGGTGATCGATCACGTGATCGATCTTCACGAAACCGCCGCCGTAGTCGTGACGATGACGAAGATAGTTCTCATCGATGTAAGTTACCTTCTCGAAAGACAAATAGAATCATCGGTTTATTTGTTAAATGAAAAGCAGCTGGCAGAGGGCACGAAAAATCAAGCTCAAGCGATCGATTATTTATCGGAAAGAAAGCAGCGGAAAAGAGTGGTGGGCTCTTTTCACCAGAAGATTGGCAATGTAAAAGGTAGAGATATAGTCTATCTCTTGTGCCATTAGAAACAGTCCTTTTTCAGCTGTGGAAATGTCAACTGGGCACGTCGTTCGACTTGTAATATGTGTAGTATGCCAAAATTTCAAAAGACCGAAGCACGAACTGGTATTGGTCGGACGTTGGTATCGTAGAGTAAATGAATTGGAGAATTTTAGGTGCTGGCGGAGGATACAACGAACGTGATGATGTGGAATACAACGAAAATCGACAAGAATCCGATGGCGAATACGATGAAGTAAATGCTCTGCTACTGATCTTCCATCTTTTTTAAATTTTATTACTATAGTTTGGACGAAGGAAAAAGAAGTTTCGCGCTGTAAACAAAGATGATGACGATAGCAGAAATTCCAATGATCGAAAACCAGATTCTCGATCGATGGGAGAGGTAATATTTGTACAGTGAGTATTTAGAACAGTTTTTTTCTTTTTCATCCTTGATAAGAATATATTTTTCTGAGAAATCTGTTCTTGTTTATTTGCATAGGATAACAATGACGATGAAGATGATGATGACGATGACGATTTTGATGCTAAAAAGGTTAGAGATCAAAGGACTGCGTATAAAAAAGATAGAGTTCTTTATATAAATATTTTAGTATGCCTTAGACAGCGACGATAACGAAGATGGTGATAATAAAAATCGTCATCAGGCGAGTTCATCTAATGGTGACAAAAAATCATCGAGCAATCGCCGCAGAGAATCATCGTAAGGACTTGTTCAATCTCATGTCACTTAAAACTTTTCTCGTTTCTAGACGTTCAAGATCTTCATCATCGGGTAGCCGACGCTCAAATGAAAAGGATCCGTGAGTAGTTCCATCAATACGTTCGCACCATCATTTTTCTTTCTTATTTCATTAGCAGTCGACATGATAGAGCATCCTCATCAAACAATCGTAAACGTTCGAACTCACCACGCAGTTCCAAACGTTCGGATGATTATCACGAACGACGACGATCAAGGTGCACTGTCCATTTGTCTCAAACCTAATGTTGACTTCTTTTTCCTGATAGATCTCGTTCACCTGTTAGTTCATCTACTCGACCAAAAAGTCATCGTCATTAGATGAAATTCCAATCAAACCAAAGACATTGATCATATTGAAAGCGAATAGAAGAATGTATCTTATGTAAACAATAAATAGAGAGAGATGCTCAAGTAGTATGATTTTGGGATTGTTCAAACAACTCGACTAGCTCAAAAGGACACTTTAATCCCAATGATCAAATAGCGGACAGTTACGCAAACTGTCACTGGCTTTTCCATTAAAGCGAGTCGTTTCTTTCGCTTTGATTGATTGATCATGCAGAGAAGAATGTCCAGCGCACGCTTTAGCTTTTATTTTCAAAACTTTTCATTCCTATCAATTCCATTAGAGACGTTTCTTTTTCTCTTTCTCTATTCTAATCAACGTTCCTATCAAATGATAATATTTCTAATTTCGTCAGTCATAATGAGAAAAAAATAGACGACAACTAATTGCTTTCAGTAATTTGATATTCTCTCAAGTAATCAGTCACAAGGTTATAAGCTTTCTCCAACAAGATCGGATTTTCCAGTCAAATTATTCGTCATAGACGGCAAATGAAGAAAACCATAGTACAAAAGTGCCGTCCTTTTGCGCCAAAGACTTGATTGAATTGAATCTAATGGTCGTATTATATAACAAATTTTTACTTTTACATCAATTATCATTCATTATTTTAATGTGAAAACTGACCCATTCATATTATTAAATTGACTGAAAGAATCTACATTTAGAGAAATATTATATTCATCATCATCGTATTGCCGATTCGAGTCTGTGTTGGTTACTGTTTCCTGCTAGGCTTTAGTTTGTCCNCGCCAAAGACTTGATTGAATTGAATCTAATGGTCGTATTATATAACAAATTTTTACTTTTACATCAATTATCATTCATTATTTTAATGTGAAAACTGACCCATTCATATTATTAAATTGACTGAAAGAATCTACATTTAGAGAAATATTATATTCATCATCATCGTATTGCCGATTCGAGTCTGTGTTGGTTACTGTTTCCTGCTAGGCTTTAGTTTGTCCATGAATTTCATATAATAATCGTTTTCCATTTCCCTTTACTGCCGGTAGCACAACTGCCCGGTGAGTTACTATTCTGTGCAGAAAAAGAAAGGAGAGGAGTACCGGTGACAGGAAATGAATGTGCGCGCACGATTTCATAGATTGCATTGACCATAGAAGCAATTACTTTGTCGCGACTAATCTCCTCATTGATGGACGACGAAGCAAGAGGGGAAAAAAACGGAGAGAAAGGTTCAATGTCAACTAAAGTAAAAAGCCTTTTATGTCATTCACATTCTAATGAGACATTCTGTCTTTGATATGATTGACATTGATTACGAACTCAGCAAGATATAAACTGTTTCTTCACCTTTTTCCATATGCACAAGGATAGAAAATGTCAGACACAAAAACTGATTGCATAACGTTTGATATCATTGACGTTCATCTTCACTCATTTGTCGACTGCTGAGATGTCAGAAGAATAGTGATTTGTATATCTACAAATCGAATGAATTTGTCAGTAAGTACACGCGTGTGAAGTATGTATACATAAATAATCAAAGAAGTAACTGAATTCCACTGATTCGATACGAAATGAGCACTTAAAAACACGTCAGTGTGCACCGTAAACATTTTCATACGGATCTCAGTGAGAAAAAAAAAACTCCTTTTCTTCGTACGTCCTTCGCTGATCGGTATGTGCTTGAAACATCTGTTGCACCACCCGTGAGCGAGTTATGTCGTAATTAGAACTGGCTATGCTATATATCAATGTGAAAGATAAACGATGGTAATATTAACGAATGCAGGCGAATCTGTGAAAACACATCATTAACGTCATGTATCCGGTATTGCTATTGCCATTCTATCAAAGAAATGTATGAACTATCATGATGTGTAAAGAATCAAACCGACAGACACAATTGAACAAACAGTCGCAATAACGATTAGACCGTTACGACTGCTGTGTATGTTTTTCTAAGCATTATTCAATTCTATCTTGATGGACAAAAGACATGATCATAATTCCATGTGCTCAGTATAGAGATGTTACCATGCGTGATGAGAATTTCTTCATATCATTGTCTCGAATTTTACAAATGAAGACATACACGTACGATCAGATAAAATCAAGGTATTCAGTTGCATTAAAACAGCAAAAAAAGGAAAGAATGACGAGCGAAAATGTGCTCATACACACATGAAAATTACATTGATTTTTTTATTTGATATTCTTGCATCATGCATAGTCTAACTAGCAATTATCCTTGTTGAAGATTTCTCTTTTCTTCATTCCCTCTTTTTTTTTATGCTTTACGTAATCATCTCGAGAGGAGCTGTCAGAGAGTAAATGAGTGAGAGACGGATACTTTTTTNGGTCAAATCGATCGAGAAGAACGCTCGACTTATGAACTTGATATTATCGCATCCGATCGTGGTCAACCTCGACCTTTATCATCGCGAGTTCGTTGTCTCATTCATGTAATTGATATAAATGATAATTATCCCATATTTGATCTATCGGAGTATATCTTCGAAATACCAGAAACATGGTCTCATCTTTCACCGATTGGTCATGTTCATGCCACTGATATCGACGAGTACTACGGTGAATTATCTTATACATTAGTGCATAATGAGACAACAATGACAGATGAATGGCCATTCGAACTGACATCGAATGGAACGTTATATTTGAAGGCAACATCTGCTGGTAAATATCTCATTTTAGACGTATTTTACAAGTAAAATATTGCTTCATTTAGGTTTAGATTACGAACATCGTTCGAACTATCAATTCACGATAATAGCAATCGATAACGATGGATTGAATACGAGCGTATCTGTGACAGTGAATATTCTTAATCGAAATGATTATTGTCCTGAATTATTAAATAATTCGACAGTTTTATTCTATAATCTTGATCTTTGGTCGAATAATTCCATTAGTCAATCGAATCAATTTCGGCTCGACATATTCGACGGAGATAATGATACATGTACAATTGAATTACTCAATTTTAATGATATATTTCGCATTGAAACCATTCAACAGAATCAATTTGTCCTGGAAGCACACAAATTACCTGAACGCGAGTATTATATACTTCAATTTCGTCTCCGTGATTTAATTAATGAAACAATGGACCAGTCATGTATACGAGAAATCGAATTAGTTCTAACAACAGGTACAAATGAAACTAATCAAACAGTTGCCATGGACACAGCACGTGAATATCTCGACGCACTGCATCTCATCTCCCACCACAAGCACTCATACTTTGATTTGACACTGCTGAATTTCATCCTGATTTTCATTCTACTGTCAATTGCGATTATCATTGGTTTAATCTCGATTAAATTAGTTTATCTGTCAACCAGCTCTCGACATCGACGAAAATTACGAAATCATCGAAATGAAACGAATTTTCTCTATCGTTTACAAGGCCCAACGGAAACTCAATTGCCACTGCTGGCTAATGGGCCTGGTGAACAATCGTTGACGTCATCATTGATTATCTCGGGCAATAAACGACTTAGTCAAGATGAAAATAGCAAGAATTCTTTTCCTAATGATGATCACCAACAACAGGTAAGAAGAGAACAGATGGTGCATGGACAAATTCATTTCGAATGCCTTTCTCTCGCTTTTTTCCATTTGTTCATTGATGCGTTGAGTGAACCAGCAGTAGCCGAAGAAGAATGAACACTTTTTTTAATTAAAAAGTTGTCTTTTTTTGATGGATACGACACGTCAAATGATAACGAAGCGAAAATGATGAGGAGAAGAAGCAGAAGGAAGAAAGCGGCTATATGCTCGAATTTGTCAAGTGTGAACGAGCAATAGGAGAACAAGAAGAAGAATGTCGAAGACAAATTTGATTAGTTGTTTAATGTCATCAACCGATTAGAATGTCTCGCTTTTGGCAGCTAGAATAATCGAATTTACATGTAATCGTAGCAAATAGTGATGTATGGAATCGAATTTAGCGCGTTAAGATTCATATATCAATCGATTAGGCGTCGTTTAAATGCTCGCAGATTTTAACGTGCATGTTCTAACGCAACTCTTCGTCTTTTAGACATTTCTTTGTCAATTAAATCCGAAAGTTTCAATCGCGAAAAGCAATGAATTCAAAACATTTGCGACGAAGTCCAACAACAGTGCTTACGATATCATCGGAGATATTATTCATACGAATGTAAATAATGAATATGAATCAACATCGATAAATCTTGATCAATCACGTTTGATTTCGTCGGAGAATCCATCGAATGTTTCTCTCTCACCAGATGGACAATTAATAACAGTAACACATCTCTCATCACCCATGCCAACGGAATCAGTTTCAACATCAGCATCTTCAAGTCTGATAAGTCGAACTCTGAAAACATTCTCCAATGGAACAAGTAATGCATCAAGCAAACCAGTTGTGCCACGACTTGCCGAACAAGAAGTGATTGAAGTTTAGTTTTTCTCATTATTGTTGTTCGTTTTACTGTTGTCTTTGTGTTTGTATATGACTTTCTTTGTTCATGTTTATTTCAATATGTATATAGAGACAAAAAAAGGGCAATAAAACTTTCGGATATTTCACCAAAGATTAGATACAAAATATCTCGTTATTAGCGTATCGCCTTCTGACTTAGAAGTGTATTCCAAACATCGAAATATTCCGTTACGGACCGAGGCGTGACATCTACTTTTGTCAGGGTTGTTGTTAATGATATTGATTGCGATGGTGATAAAAGTAGCGGTGAAGTACAAAATAACAAGCTTGGATCTCGGACAAATGCATCTTTGCATGCTCCACTGCGTACTTCATAACGAAAGTATTCAGTTGATGTTGCTAAATTTTTCACTTCGACATGAGACGCTTTCCGAAGGATTCCAGTAACAAATGGATCGCCCGGTTGTTGAATATTTTCGACATTTTTCATTGTATTCAGCATACTATTCCATGCTTGCGAAGTAACTATGTAAAATGAGCCCATGGCGTAAGATAGATCCGCAGATGATGGTGGAACTACAGCATTGATAAACCGCTGATAAGTACCACGATCGATATTATGTTCTCGATCGAACCAACCGATAATTAAATTTTTCGTTAAATAACTTTCCATACTTGGTAGAAATTGTTTGATGATCGCGTTGATATTCATAATAACGTCGTCTTCAGTCTTGATATAGTACGGAGTGTGTGGTAAATAGGTCTTCATCCATAGCATTACGGATAGTTCTTTGTACGCAAAGTAGGAATCACAATCGGGGAGAGAAACTTGAATAACATCATCGAAAAGTATCTGTTCAGTATGAATACGTTTAACAAAGAGATCATCGAGACCAACAAGAAAGAATATTTTGTATTGTATAGTAGCGTTTCGGTGTAGTCCATCGAAACCCCAAGTGCGTCGGATGGCATCGCGCACTTCGATGTCTGATGCTTTCGAAAGGATTATGATTGGAATAATCACGGGTAGTTCAGATGATAAATTCAGGAAAGGAGAATTGGTAAAAGTGAAAGTGGATAAGAAATCGGTGGATTTTTTATCAGATAAATGTGCGATGGTTGGTAGTGGTTGCAGTTTTGACTCGGAACGTAGCCGTGATCGACTTTTCTCGAGTGGTCGTCTAACAACAATTTGCTCATTGAATCCAATCGGTGCAGAAGATTCAGTCGACAGAGGACTATTTTGGTATTGACTTAGAATTAGGAGAAAAAGGCACCCGGCAGCGATCGAAAGTAAGAAAACTTTTAGTCGATGACGACGACGACGAGAAGAGTACCTTTCGAGCATATTCTAATGTTTCTCCTACATGTGAGTAATGGTGTGAATGTTGGTGTTTCGCTTCATTGCATACTGTCTCAATTTTTTCGTTCTGCATCTGCATACGATGTTTCATCTTCGTTGGTGACATATTCCTCGAATGGAAACACCGAAACTTTCTTCTTTGTCTGTTTTTTTTTTGTTCGTCATAACCCTTATGATTGTATAGAACTCGAGTAAAATGTCTCTCCGAGACAAAATATTCATTGAAAAGTTGATCACCTATCACGTACAAAGTTCGTACAACTTCTCTTACGAAATTATCTATAAATCATAATCAGCAGTTCGAAGATGCATATTTTCCCGCTAGACGTATCTTTTGATAAGAGCACGATAAGTTTTGTGTACTTTTGTTTTCGCTAGGCGATAAGATATACCTTGTATACATTGAAGTATTCTTCATAATCACTGACACAGAACGACCTTTCGGCCACAACTCCTTTTAGCAGATTTTATTTCAAAATGAATCACTCTCGTTCAAGTTGACCTCACTAAACTATCATCATCTCTCGTCCATTCTCCTCTATTACATAAAACATACTGATAGGAAATATCGTTTGTTGTTTGAATACGATTGAGAAGAAAATCTGCATAAGTTAATGTTGTCTGTAGTTTAAACATCAGCATTTGTCGAAAGATTCCTCGGCAAACACGATAAGCCATTGTGTCTGTATCGAAGTCCAGTTCAACAGTTAAATTCGAAGATAATATTCCTAATGGTCGTAAGTACGTTTTTTTACCAAAAACTTGCTCCGCATCAGGTCCCACTTGTATCAGCTGATGCTCAACTGAGGTCGTGATGTTAATGAGACGTATTGGCACCCAGTTATCCGACTTAATCACCGTATAGTGATAGAATTTCATATGCAGACAAGTATGATTTCTCCATGTATCGTTAGTTGCATCAATCACCAAAGGATTTTGTAGAGATAAATGTACAGAGCGGGGAAGAAGCACGGCAATGACAGCTGCAGCAATAAGAGCACAGAAAACAATTGTTAAAATAATCCACCAGAATGTATGTCGACGTTTTAATCGAACGTCGTCAACTGGAATCAAAGCAACCAGACCGGAAGATTGACCAACAACACCGCTTCCTCGACAGGTTGGACATCGACGGTTCGTTGAAGTAGGTTCATTACTAGATGCGTTTAGTAGAGGCTCGTCTTCGTTATCCGACATGATCACTGGTGAGTCCATTGTTCGCGTTTCAAATGATTTGCTCGCTTATTCATCTGTTTTATCGTCGTTGTTGTTTTTCTCGTTCTTTCTTTTTCGTTCGTTTCTGTACCTATGTGTTCTGTTTATATTTCGTACATATTGTGTCGTTCTGTCTTCTCCAATAGAAATCTTCGTTCGCTCGTTTTGTATTGTACATTTCGATTTGCATGTTGATTCGTCCTCTCGTAGTTTCCCTACAAAGATATACATGCAAGATTTGTTTATTTAGAAAAAGATGATTAGTATCAATGTCGTCACAAGATTTGCAGTATATTTTTTTTATTTGAAATGATCATAATCGATCACAAGATAATGCATATCTCTTATGATTACAGAGAGCTAACTATTGGATGTTAGATGTCGCTGACTTTTTATTCGAACCGAATGGTTTTCGTCAGATGATTTTCAATCATCAAGAATGTAATAGCATGAAAAGCTATATTTGATTATAAACAATCAAGACGTTTTGTTACATCGCTCTTCTTCACGATGAGATAATTCGTCTGTTGGCAGAAAAGCAAGCGTGTTGCACAAGAAGAAAGCAATCTTGTTGAAGTTAAAACCAAGAATACGCGATTTGCGAATTGTAAAGCCGCAAATATATCTCTCGGTACTCTCTAGAGATAGTAATTACCGATCTGGCAAATGTCAACTGTACTAAAAATACACAACTAGAATCTGACTTTTCAAAGCACAAATATTGTTCTCTATGTCAGTTGCTATTATTTTGGTACAAAGTACAGTGATAGCCTGATTGGATATCGAGATTACCTTTTCCATCTTGATTAGTTTGACATTTCACGCTACTGACCAGCTTTACTTAGAATATTCTCACCCATTATTTCAATCCTTGCTTTCGACTTAGCAAATATCAATGAGGTATAGCCATGCTTATCATATTTTCTCTGTGATACTCATTTATCAAAATATACTTTCTCTTAAAAAAAAGAGTCCCTCTGTCCTTCTTCATTCCAGATGTAGATATCAATAGTAGATTATACCACATACGACGCCATGTATATGTACACATACATATACATATAAAAGCGCTACTACTCGTCTTCTTCTCTCTCGCTCTCTCCATTCACTACACTAGATAAATAACTCCTCGACATACTTGCAAAGAAAGATGGCGAATAATCGCGTACGTTCTTTGATAGCGGCTATCGTTTTTTTAATTTTATTAGCTTTAATCATCGTCGCAATATTTTACTTCGTTCGTCGTAATCAGCAACCAACTATTTCCGACAAGTCATGTCCACGTCCGAAACAGTTTGCGACTGACTACGATTTTGATTACACGACAAGATCGAATGAATTTCAAAATCTCAATAGTACAATTAGCTATTTTCGTCTCAGTTTATCGTGGTCACCATCCTTCTGCACATACAGCAAACAAGGACCAAATCTATTTCAATGTCAAAACAACTTTACCTATATCGTTCATGGTCTATGGCCAAACGCATATGGTCCACCTGGGGAAAAACGTTCAATGCGTCATCATCCCAGAAATTGCCGAAACGAACAAGCAATGTCCACTGATACAATTCATAAATATTTCTGTCTCATGCCATCAGAATCATTAATGCAAGCGGAATGGGAAAAACATGGTACATGCTATTGGGACAGCCCGGAAGATTATTTCGAACAAATCAATGCTCTCTATTCTAATTTACAGTTACCGAAAAATACGGAAGAGATTTTATCGAATACAACATTAACAAAAGCTCAACGACGTTCAGGCATATTTAACAGTTTCTTGGATATCAATCCGCAATTGGCCCGAGATAACATGCAAGTTATTATGATTCATAAAGGAAAAGATTTGAAGGAAGTAGCGATCTGCTATGATCTGAATTTCAATTACACAAAATGCGGTTAAACAAGAGATCCTCAGACACATATTTTCTTTCTTGTACTAGTCATTTTATCTATTGACATCTTCTCTTTTCTTTTCAATAAATATCATTAGAATGATCGAGTTTGATATCTAGATTGTTAATCGATTGTTTATGTAAACAAGCAAAGTCGTTCGAGCAGACTCTCAGAGATCCCGAATATTAATGGAATTTGCTGTAAACGATAGACATCAATTAATGTTCCGACGTCAACGAAAAAAAAAACTTATTATGGTGTTTTTTCAATAGACACGTTCTTTACATATGTCTTTTATCTTATTCTTAGATTAACCTTGTTTGTGTATGTCCTGTCGGGGTTTATATTTTTTGCAGATGTATCACAACGACGGAGACAACAGCAGATTTGTATGCGATCGATCAGTGAAGATATACCATTACAAGGCTAATGACGCCGTCCGTCGTGCAGTGTTTCATGGTTATAAGCGAGAATGACTATCTCAAGTTAACCGACTCTATTCGGTTGAGAATTCCGATTGTGATTACATTGTGGATCGATGATAGAAATGAATTTGTATATGACGTGCTACTGATGTTTGGAAGAAAAATAACGCAGTTTTCCTCGTATGGGGTCTATATAAATTACCTGTCTTGAAATTCCTTTGCTGCTCGGAGAGATTTTTTTGTGCATCAATGCTTGAAAGAGTATGTAAATAAGGTTTCTGTGCAAAGAAAGAAAATACTTATGATTTGTTGAAGGTAATCTGGGCAAAGTCTGTATGCTGTTGTAAAAATCAATACGTTAAATGGTGAAATTTGCGAGATGAAACTGAAAACTCAGAGAGAAACAACGAGACAAGATGTCATTTACATAATTGAAAATGTTTACTTGATTGTGTCTTTAGCACATCATGAAATTTTTCTAGACATTTAAATATTACAGTCAAGGCCGAGAAAAAAAAAGGAAGAAAAAACAGAAATTGTTTATGTTAAATTATTCACTGAAGAAATGCTGTTGTAACTCGTTTCGATGGCATTTGAGTAAAATGTAAAACATCCCTGTGATGATTTATACATATATTCATAAATATTACAAGTTGTAATTTGCTTGAATTCATCGTTTTACGGTTTTGCAGATCATCAACAATGCTGTGGATCGTTACGTTCATGTTCGTTGCGCCTGCTTGTATCAAACTGTCGTATAGTCAAATCGTACAACCGAATTTTCGTTCATCGGATGTTGAATTACGTAAATGCAATTTTCGACTTTTTCTATCCAAGTGTTTGTCTCGATGTTTTTTCGTAGATCCGAGTCTAATGGTAATGAATTCGACTAGTTATGCTCATTTCTACTGTACAAATTACCATCCTGAGAATTTACCGCTAGTAGTGAGTCTATCGAGGAATATCTCGAACAAGCTTTTGAAGCTGTCCACGTATCAAGTGAATGAAACAACCACGAAGATTATACTTCACTCGAAAAGATTCATTGGTATTTTCTACTTGTTCTGTTACAAGAAAGATAACGAACAGCGCGGAACTCGCGCTGATGTTATCGTTAAAGGTATTTAATCTTGAAGACTCAAAAAGAGAAAGAAGTTTCCTTCGTTTGTTTCTTCTAGCGGATGCTGGCCTACTTCGATTAGCTCGACGGTGTCAAGTCTACCATCGAAAGTATATTAAATGTACTCTTCGAGCGTCGACATTGGCGCGTGCAATACAAAATGGTTTTTCACCAGAAATTGAATTTATTGAAAATACAGAGGCGTAAGTTTAAACAGAAGAGTTGAATGTAAATTGACGATATCCGATTCGTTATAGACGATCCTATAAGGAAGATTATGAATTCTTGAAGAATGAAAGTACGAATAATTATTTGGTATTCAGGCTAGAGCCAATGGTCGAGGGCCAATTTCCAGCTGGAGTGAAGATGAATATCAAAATAACTTTACCATACTTCGGTACATCACAGTATCGTTTTGATATGACCCCGAGTAAGTATTCATCCATGCGGTCGACCGCATCTTTTTCTCATCAATGACTGATCCGTCTAGCACGTGTTAGTTATTCGAGAAAGAGCAAGACTGTTACATAGGATTGTCTAATTATAGCGTTCGTGATTCAACCTAATTTTACTGCACACGCTGTTTCGAAAAACAAGGTCGAAATTCACCTGATCCCTAATTCTCCACCGGCAATCTGTCAACAGGCAATTCAATTGAAGTCCAATGCAACTAAAAAACCGGTAAAGCGCACTCGATTTCTCATCGAAATCTCATTGTTTTTTCTTTTCAGGCATGGAAAATTCTCCATCCGGGTCGCACTCAATACTTCATAGATAAATCTCTCCTCCGTACCATTTATCAAGTATGTGTCAGATGTCGACAAACATCAAATGAGTCGTATAGTCAAGAAGAATGCCAAGATATCGTTCTATCACCGAAATACAGTAAGAGAAATCAAGTCGAAAGAGAGCACTCAATCATCACTTTCATTCAAATGAAGATTCATGGAAAAACATTGTCATTCCGGTTGGCATCATTCTATCAATAATTCTTGTAATTCTCGCATCGATTCGACTTTACATGTAAGTGATTGATGAGCGCATACATTTGACTGTTTATTTCTTTGTGGTAGTTGGATCTCCGAGAAAAGAGCCGAAAAACAGGTAATCAGAAGGACAAAAGATTGTTCCTTGAGTAAACATTTTTGCGCTTTTAGCCAAAACCTACTCAGTTGGCTGCAGAAACATTGGTACTGAATAATGGCAACATCGATAGATGTTCGAAAGTTACCGATCGCTATGATCAAGTCATATTCGATAACGAGTCATCGTTCATAACTGAAACGGAATCACAGTTAACACCGGACACGTATCAACCATTGTATGTCAAATGATCTCACTGGATATAGTTTCGTATTTTTCTGTTGAAATTTGTATTCAAATACACTCTTGATTTGTGAACGTAGTAGTGATTAATAAATGTGATATGTGAGATGTAAAAGCAATTCAATTTCTTGAAATACAAAAGGGACATCTGTCGTGAGAAGATCCATTGGTACTGTTATCCATCTTGAATGAATCATTATTATTGTTCTGTTCTCCCTATCCCATATGCGCAGTCAACTTTTTTCGATTTAACCCGAACATGTCTTGGCTATTGAAACATGCCGAAGACATTCTAAATCGAGTTGACCAACAAACAAATGCTGTCCTTCATCAACACGATCATCACCCGCCACAATCAAGAATACCGTTGAGACCAAATGAAGTTGAATTCATACCGGAAACATCTTCTTTTACTCCGTCAACGCCTTCTGTACCACCTGCGTCTGATCGGACTCCAGCAAATCGTTCATCCATCACTCCAACACGTCGTGTTAAAGAAGACAATGAAGCTGATCTGATCAAGTTTTTGAATAGTCCAACACCGGTGAACACGAATGAAACGAAGAAAACCGTTCGTGTCCAAATGTCTGACAATAATATTCGTACAGATAGTTCATTGAGCAATCCTTCCGAAAATTCTTTCTCACTATCATCTGAGCCCAGAAAAAGCGATCTTGTTTTAGTAAGAGAAAATTCTGCTATGCATGTAACTTAATATCGCTCTCGTTTAGAATATTCCTTCATCTGTCCAAACTGTCGATCCTGAAGCTGTTTTGTCACTTCAAAGTCATATTCAGAACTTAATGCAAGAGAAACAACGATATGAAAGCGAACTGGAGTTGTACAAACGTCAACAAATTCAATATCAACATCAAATTGCTGAATCAGATGCACTACTACGTGATCTGCGTACACGAGAAGCAGATTCCGTAGAAATTCTATTAGCGAAAGATTCTCAAATAAGTTTACTTCGGAATCGTTTGATTGAAGTCGATGGTTTATTGCAAATGAAGGCAAATCAATCTGAGCATTTACAAAATCCATCCACAACTCCATCCGAACCGTTGGATTCTTATAAATCTCGATTGACAGAATTAGAGCAGGAGTTGGAAAGAAGTTCCAACGAAAATCAGCAATTAATTGAACAACTGAAATCGACCGAACGACGTTTGAATGATGAGCATTTACAGCTCTATGAACAACAGCAACAGACCAAACAAGCAAAAGCACTCGTTCATCAACTCGAGCAGGAAATGTCTGATTACAAAACAAAAGCTCAACGAATTTTACAGACCAAAGATAAACTGATTGGTAAATTGAAAGATATCGCACAACATCGCAGTAGCACACCAACTATTCCAGATCAACACGGTTAGTCTGAACGTGCAAAAATCTCATTTGAAGGCTGATTTAAACTCTTTCTAGATGTTGAAACAGTCAATACACACGACGATGGCACTCTTCTCGATGTCAGTGTGGTTGGCAATAATCCTTCGTCATCGAATTGGGCAGCTGTACAATACGAAGAAATGAAAAGTGAAAATGAGTTATTCAAACAAGAATTACAAGCTCGTGAATTGAGCATACATAACCTACGAAATGAACTTCAAGAAGCAGAAGTACTTATTCAACAAACTGAAGAACAATCCCAAGAACGAACTAATCGATTGAATGAACAGTTGAAAGAAGAGCATGGACGTCTCTTATTAATTGAACAGGATTATCATGGTTTAAAACAGGAACTAACATTAACTATAGAGGATTTTCAGAAACAAAAGCAGACCTATCAAGGACAATTGAATGATCGTGAACATGAAATTGAACGTCTTCGTTTGCAGCTAACATCCAAAACAATCAATCATGTCAATGATGATGAACTAGAAAAACGCTTACAGAATCTAACTGAATCCTTAATTCAAAAACAAACGCTTATTGAAAGTTTACAAACCGAGAAGAGTTCCTTATCTATGCAATTAGAACGCTTGGAAAAACGTCTCGATGATTACGAGACGATTGCATCGAAAAGCTCGTCCCATCATTCATCAAAACATCATTCAACTACATCCATACCTATTGATGACAGCGAACATTACGAAAATTTACGCTATCGAATGCCGTTACTACGCGAAACACCTTACGATGTGGACTTAACGAAGAAAGTCAAACGAGCAGCAAATGAGCTGGACAGACTCGGAATCCGTGCGACGATGTTTCTCCGACGGTATCCGATGGTTCGACTTGGTGTCCTTGTCTATGTTGTTATTCTTCATTTATGGACGTTTATTCTTCTTTTTACACATGCACCGGACAGTCATAGCAATACAAATTCAATTCATTTAAAAGATAAACTTTGAAATGATGTTATCATTCGTTGTACATGAAATCTTTTTTTTTCCTAAATAGAGAGTTATGAATCGTTGATTCTTTTTTTTCCAAAAAATACATTTCAGTATATTTTCTTTACATGTGAGTGTTGTTACTATTTTATATTTTTCGTAGAACTGCATAACGAGACGAAGTGGCGAATAGTTGCAAATAGTAACGACTGGAGATTCTTGAGGCCATTCATCTTTTGTCAGAATTAACGATAGAGTCGGAAAGGATAAATATGACTGAACCGCTTGAGTAACGAAATATATCAGAATACCAGACAAAGCGATTGTTGAAACCATCCAGAATATTCGATTCGGTCCAATCGTTGAGTCAGCCCTAACTTCAATCGTGTGTATGAAAACGAATTGATACTATTCGTACATATATATGTCCTACGAGCAACGAAGACATATTGTTTGAATCAGATAAAATGGCTTTATTTAATTCGTGCAGATGTTTTCACTCAATGCACTCATGCATGTATACATTAATCTATGCAAATTATTCATGAATAGTCTAAACGCTATGTTTTCAAGGGATGCAGTCAAGAGTGAGATGTACACTTTCGGAGATCCACACGCTAGCATAGTTTCTCAAAGATCTTGCTCTAATAGATACAATTCATTGAATTAAATGTACGCATGTATTTTCATTACAAACGTAAGAACAAGCAAGTTGAAAAGAACGGAAGTCATTATAAACGAGTATTATTATTATTACTATTTCGCATCCGTCGTCTAACAAAATAACAATGATAACGCAGAAGACGATATAACATTTCTACCAACTCCATCAATGAGAGAAAACTAATTCCGATCCATAGACCTGTATTTCCTCCGATATTTGAAATAAGATCAACAGGACCAATCGAAGGATCTTGTGTGTAGGTTTCGACGAGATTCGTTTCAGTAACAATATCAACTGATATGTAGTCTTTTCGCATCCAATTTATCCATGATGTCGCCCAATCTGCTGGTAGCGGCACACTCATATTTTCTACTGCGAATTTATATATATAGGCATATTCATTGGACAGTGTAGAAGCCGAGGATGGTGTAATTGTAAAGTCGGAGCTTGTACAAGCTTCCGAACAATCGGAACAGTACTGATTCCAAAGGGAGTCAGTGTTTACAAGTCGATCGGCGGCAGCCGAATAGCAGGGGTCTGAAAAGTTACAAAGTGGCGCTTGGAAAACTTGATTCGTACCTGGTCGCATGATCGTTCGAGTAGTAAACTTTTCCGGATGTACACAATTGCACTCGTGATATCTAAATCAATTGAGTAGAATCTCAACTACCAAGAGTTTCTTCTTACATGAATGTTTGTGTACATATGGAATAGCATATAGTCTGCGAATAACTATAATCCGCATCTCCATATCGATCGAATAGTGCTTGCATGGGAAGGGAGATTTTATCAGTACATTCCGAATAGGGTGCTGGCAATAATTGGTTGGTGCGCTTCTTATAGCTCAGCTTGTGTCGACCACCACTCGCCAGTTGTATGCCTTCGATGTCGATCAATGGTAATTGGTCATTATCATGAACCATGATCACGATACCGACCGAGACATCTTAACAAGCAGTAGAACAGCAATATGTTGTTACTTTAAAAATTTTCCGAAAGATTTTACCGTCAGAAACAAATGGTACATATTGATTGCTATGTGCATACAGACGCAATTGAAAGACGCCACTACTTCCGCCTTGAGTAGTTTGTCGAATTGTCTGATTACCAGACCTGCTTTTTGCATTGAATGTATAACAATATCCATGCACGGGTGAAATGAATGAGCTGAAATCAGATTTCGAGCAAGATCCTCCATTGTAAATGCATGCTAAGAGCATGTCATCCAAAGTAAATAGATACTGTGTAACAGATTGACCTGAATTGAATAATATTTGTATAAAGTCACGAATATATCCACTCTGAGTAAACGTTATAGTGCTCGTGTCATTTGTATCAGTTACGTTACGAGAATTTGTATAGTTGATAAAAGGTCCAATAAATTTATCGAATCTAATTGGTGCATAGTTACAAAAGCTAACTGCAGGGAATGGTTGAGTACGTTGAACAACAAACGACACCGACGTTTGAGTTGGATATCCGAAGTAAGCTATAATAGATTGAGTGATGAAGTAGATCATAATGCCCGTAAATATTATTGTGCAAACAGTCCAAAATATCCGATTATGTACACTCTCACTTCGTGCAATACCAGGAATGCCATGAGTAGACGTATTCAAACTAAATTCTCGAACAATCGAACGCCGCCGATGAAACTTTGGATCGGGTTTCAGCGCATCAGCACTGATTGGAAAAACAGTCGCTATATTTCGAACCGTCGAGTCCGTCATTGTGCTACTGATATGAATAATTCTAATCGGGATATTTTGTAAATATACCTTGAAGAAGAAACCTTTGAGTGTTTTGCATTTACATTCAATACTTATATTGAAAATCATTCGAAAGGGTAGTTAGAGCAAAAACAAATCATCGAATACTCACTACATAGAACATACAAATATTTGCTCTATATTTAAAGCTAGGATTATGTTAATTTTGTCGACTCTTACTAATTCTCATTCACGATAGAGAATAGTTTTGACCTAAAGTCACAACCAGACGAAAAGCTGAGTTGCGCTAAATATTACGTTCGATGAAGATTTGGGTCTTCTACCGGTTGATGGAATGTTATCCAATTAAATATCACACTAGTAAAGCATGACTTACCTACCAGAATTGTTCTTAGGTACTTTTGTTTTATCGAGTGCTCTTCACTAGTCGTGATATAAACGTTGATGAAGGTCTGGTTGCTAAACACAGAATTGATAACAATATTGTACGCCTTATTATCCTAAAATATTTGTTAAAATCTATTTCCTTGAAGGAAAAACAACGCGCCTTGATGGCACTCATCGTTCGGTGAAGTTTTACAATTTCATAAGTCTTCTAATGTTATAAAACTAGTTGTTTTCTTCTTCAATAATCTTAATGACTGATGGAGTCAACATACTCGATGTATATGTATTTATTTTTCTCGCTTGATCTCACCGACGAACTTGAAGTTATATTAACCAGTCACAGGTTTTACTTTTTCGAGTTAGTATAGTGAATCACTTGATTAGTTAACAAAATATGCTAATATGTTTATTCGACTGATGAAAAGAAAGAAATTTTCGAGGAATGTTTTATTTCGAAAATAGAAATCCGTTTGACAACAAATCAATTCAAATTTTAAAAAAAAAGCAAGACAAACCCATTCGTGTATCAATTCAATTATTCATAAGACATCATTTATCAGGAAATAGCCAAGATACGATTGATCACTCGTTTGGATTCGGCATCAAATGAACACTTCTTCGCAAGCCGTTGTGCAGACATACTTTGACATACGTATTCGGCGCGACTTGAACCGGATAGCAAAAGCCGGGAATGTAAGCACCTCGTCGGTCAAGACGCGATGACGGTGGAATAGGCTCTTTGACCGAAGATGTTGCCGTTGCTTTGGTGGACGTTCGGAATGATTTGTAATAACGATAAAAGATATTGTTGTCGGTATTTGATGCACTACTTGACGATATTAATAACCAGCAGATAGATAAAAACAACAACATGGACACAGATCGACTGAGTGCCATTGTGAATTGAAGTTTATTCGAAACGTGAGTAAAAAAAGTTAAAAATAATCTGAAAGCCAAGTATTAGTTTTATGAAAATCATCGATAAACTGCACATTTATAGGGGCTTGCTATCGCTAATGACGCAGCATTTGCTTTTTAAAAAATCACGTCTTCGTGTGCTTCTTATGAGCAATTTGACTTTGATCGATTGAAACTTACCGTGTCCTAACTCATTCATCAAATAATATTCACTAATCGGTCAATGTTTTCATCAAGTCATGTCAGTTAAAATGCGGTTAGCAAATATTACCGGTCAAAGTCTAACGATCTCAATGGGTCGCAAGATTCGAATGAAGATATCGTTTGATTTATGCGATCTATTACTCCTACAACTGAACAGTTTGAAAAAAGCGACATGTTTTCTACGAAAGAGGTACAATGACTTTGATCTCATTTATATAAGTAGTTATGAAAACAATGTCGTAAAAGGATGTGTAGCGTCGTCTAATGTTAAGAAATCTTCGACATTTCAGTATTTTAAAAATGAAACAATGGAAAACTGCATCAATGTAATAACAATTACTTTTCTACGACATTTTTTCCTGGAAACGCCAAGCCACTTCGAGTAATTTCAACATATACCCCTTCTATCCAAATGAAATGTACAAAGAGTTTTTAATTGATGAAAAACCATTTGTTTTAGATCAGTTGGAAATGATATTACCACGTATGCTAATGTATATATATATATACTGATATATTTATTTGCCTTCTATCCTTCCATGTCGTATATTTTTTCCCACAAACATTTATCTCTGGTTGTATATTTCAAGCGTTTCCCACTTCTATTATTCATTTACACTACTAAGTAGTACAATCGGAACTTCGCAGAAAAGCAACAAGTAATTCCGCAAAGTTTTCAAATAGAAAACGAAATTTCCTTATCATGTTACTATGAATAGAATCATATACAATTCATGCAGAACCTCTTTGTCTGTAACATTTGGAAAAACGATGGATGTATTTTTAATCATTCTACCAAAATTTCCCCTCATCAGTATTTGCCACGTTGAAAACCAAACTATTTCTGTCAAGTCAGGACTTTGCTTTTTCAAATATTTGTTTCACTTCTACTCTGACTCTTCCTCCTCGGAAGCTTCCGGACTGGTTATCTCGACTTTTGCACGTACTGTTTCTGCTCACTTTTACTTCAGATATACAATGAATTTATTCAAAATAACAATCAATCAGTTTTCAAACGATTGAACCGAAAACATCGTTTTCTTCTGCTATTGGTGAAAACCGACGCTCCGAACAAGATTTTCTGTTTGGATCATCATGAGATATAGCGAAATCGCTATTTGGTATATAAGTAACTTGAAACCAATCAGATATCTAATGAATTTGAAATAGATTAGAGCAGATTAAGTTGTCAAATATCACTTACAAATCGTTTCAATGAAAGAAGCCATTCGATAACACCGAGAATTGTGGAACAAGTGAAATATTCTAAACTGTAATTAACGATGGAGGACTTCGGCGCATCGAATGCAATATGAATAGTAAAGACAATCTCACAACATACAATTATGATTGTCCAGATATACATGGCACCTTCTAGAAAATGAAACTCGTCGTGAACTGACTTCAACTATTTCAAACTCTTTACGTAAAATGATGATTATCGAAGTTGCTGTGTAAAATAGGCAATTATTTAACACAAAATGAATCAATTCCACCAATAGATTAACAACGACTAAGATACACATAACACGAATAGGCCAAAATGAATCTAAACTAAGAGATATATTTCAATCGATATGGCATTCGTCGTTACCGTTGGAAACACTTCGTTGTTGTAGACAAGAAAACGCTACAAACAAGACTCCAGTGAGATTCAGTGTTTTACAGATTAGAATGTACGCTGATAATCGATAATTTGGCACGAGGTTGTTATCAATCATGACTGTTCTTGAAACCATTGTGTTGCACTTCGTGGCTGATAGCATTTATTTATAGAAAATGATTTATACTTTCATGTATGTCATACGACACACAGATGGAAAACGGTACGCATTTATTTCAATAGAACTTCCCGTCTTAATGAATTTCTTTCAAGATTAGAAAACAAAGTCCTTACAGTAATTTTACGCGACGTAGCACCGATTAATTATGAAAGGTGAGGTTTAAGTGTTTCGAAGATAAATTGTCCCAATCGGTCGTATCCTTGCGGTGTAAAGTGTACTTCATCATCCCAGATTTGTTCAGTTTCATGCGGTGACAGTGAATAGCGTGGTAAAAGTCGTTCAACGTCTAGTACGACAACATCCGAGTACGCTAATTTCAGTTCTTCTTTCAGTAGTCGATTAAATTCTTGTCGTTGGAAATCTAACGGGAAATCCTTTGGATAAACTGTTTCTGGCAAAGTCATAGCTAATACGCGAGCTCCATGGTCGTAACATTCATTAATTAATAATTTGTATTGATCGAAAACTTTGCTTGCTTGTTGTTGGTCACGTAGAGTATCGTTCGTACCAGCTAGAATCAAAACCCAATCGAATTTGTGTTTCGCCAAGGACAAGATTTGTTTCAATCGTGGCAACATAGTCGAACTGAGAACAGCTTCACCACTTATGCCAGCATTCTGAATCTCGACGTCGGCAATTAACGGACGAATCAGTTCCAGAAGTCGTTGTGTATATGGATGAAACTTTGAACCACCAGCATAGTAACCTTCAGTCAATGATGCACCGAAAGCTAAAGTTCGAAGGTGACGTACGGAAGACATTGAGGAACTAAATGTGCATGAATACGAGCACAGGTGTAACTGGTTTTAACATTGAGAAAGAATGATCCTCTAATTGGATGATGCATGAACGAATAAAACTTCATATATGATAAGCGCACGCGCGCGCGACATTACGTAAATGGATTTTGATGTGCAACAAGGTTACATTATTTTCTACGATCACAAATGATCGGCAATATCATAATGCACTCATTATGGTATAATTTATTTTGTTCAATTAATTTACAAAGCATCATGCATTTTTTAAAGTTTATTTTTTCAGAAATGAAAGGAAAAAGTACATCCTTCGCATCACCTGAAGCGAGAACATGTACGGAGCATGTCTTTTAATAGAAAACTCTTCGTTAACGTGCAATACTTTTTCCTACGAGCGAATATGACGGCAGTTTTTTAAGTGAAATAAGGACGGGAAAGAAAAGAAAGTCTGAGCTGTAAAAAATTACATAGATGTTTAAGGACGCAGGAAGATAAAATGGGAAAAGGACATCATGAACAACTCGCTGACATAACGACGTTTTTAAGTTCTCTTATTTTTTCGGTGAGGCGTTTTTCTTTGTTTGATGTTGTGCTTCATCAGTCTGTTGACAAACTAGACGTGTTGTACTCTTAAAATGAAGCAGTATATGCAGCTACGCGTAATACTTCTTCTTAAAATTGCTGTAAGTTATGTATGGAGCCAGACTCTATATACTTGTTCAGCTAATTCTTCATGCGGATGTTCTAAGAATTCCGCTATATTAACACGCATTGTCGGAGGTGAATCAGCTACGGATCAAACATGGGGATGGATGGCATCCCTTCGTTATTCATCTACTAATTCACACTTCTGCGGTGGCTCAATTATATCAAAAGATCATATTCTGACAGCTGCTCACTGTGTAGTTTCGTTATCATCACCGTCTTCGATTCGTGCATACGTTGGATCAGTGAATCTTTATAGTGGTGGGCAAATATGTGGTATTTCGAACATTTTCGTTCATCCAGATTATTCTACTAGTACATTTGTCAATGATATCGCTATTCTGAAATTATCGTCGTCACTGGATCTTACCCAAAATGCTCTTGATAAAATTTGTTTGCCAAACGTGTCAATAGCAATACTAGCTAGTCAAGAATATCCTGCACCGAATACAAGTGTAAGAAAATTTTCACACTTTTGTTTTATTCATCTTGTCAGCCGCACCCAAAATTCGCGTGTTGTCAGATCACCATTCACATATGAAGATAATATGACATAGATGAGTTTTACCGTAAAATTTGCCAGATAGCAGTAAATCATTCATCTCGAACTAACTTTTCAGAAGCCTCACATTATACAAAAGATTCTCTTTTCTAGTTGGTTGCTATTGGTTGGGGTTACTTATCAGAAGGATCTGGTTCCGTTTCTTCTACTCTTCAACAAGTCACAATCCAGGCAGTTGCTGACAATAGTACATACTGTACAAGGCTAGGTATAACCGATGCAAATACACAATTCTGTGCAGGAGTCATGCCTTTGGGTGGGAAAGGTAAATGAAACATTAGCTTGATCTTTGATGTTCCCTACTGCAAAATTTTCCATAGATACATGTCAAGGCGATAGTGGTGGTCCATTGATGATGTTCACTTCAGCGAATGTCTGGCAAATAACCGGAATCACATCAAATGGAATTGGATGCGCAGAAAAAAACCTGCCTGGTGTTTACACTCGTGTAGCAGCCTTTCAAACATGGATCAACGATACTATGAACGACTCCAATCCAATTTATTCATTTTCTAATACAATCTTTACGTTTGTTCTTGCATTTTTTTTGTTACTTCCCTTCTAAAGCACGTCTTTCACGTTTTAATAAACATGCTCGTTTGTTATTTTATTCAATCATTATGCGAAATATTTGCCCAGGTTGATCGTTATCGAATAGAATGATATATGCATTTTCTGAAACTATCATTGGAAAAACTCGAAATGAAAAATCTATTCTTTTACAAAACAAGGCTACGGTTTCTAGAACTATGTTACTTCATTCAATCTATGCTAGAGGTCATGATTATTGCCAGTGTCAATAGACGAATAGTTTTGTTTTTCGTTTAATAGATTTGCTTCATTGATTAATTTTGCATATTTTTTGTTACGTGTGCATACATTAGTCATATTTTGTACCTCGGTTGATACGTCTTCTACCCAGTTCTTGTTTGAATCGAATGTGATAGATTCCGTAGCCTATCGCCTATTATTTAGTTTATTATCTCTTCAAGTCGAACTCGAACAATTGTTTGAGTTAGAGTGTATATTTCTTATGATATTTTTCAATGATACATTATTCTTTATTTATCTAATGACGGCATGTAAGAAGGAAGGAAAATCACGCCTGTATGTAAATGTCGTTATCTTTTCTCTTTTCATTTCGTTTTTCTCCGTTCCTACGACACTATTTTTCATGTGTTGATATTGGCAAATCATTGAAGCATATCGTTTCGTTATTCATCGCCATTTTACTTATTTTTTTGCCGTTTTTTTTTCTGGTGCGCACATCTTGTGAACGGAGAAAACAAACAACTGGAACAAGATGCTATTTAAACGTGCACGTGAGCTTGTCTCGGACGTGTACTATGGTTTGATTCAAGGTACTATACGAGACGCTGCTAAATGCAATAAAATCATTAAAGCAATCGATGACAATAACATCGATGAACTGCGAGCGACGCTTAGTCAATTGAATCGCAAAGACGTCGAGGAATATCTTCGACGACCGATCGATTCCATGCGACGAACACCCTTACATTATGCTGCCTGGGCAGAAAATACGGACATATTAGATGTTCTACTTGGCTATATCAACGAACCTGATGTCGAAGATAAGACAGGTGCAACGCCGATGATGTTCGTCGTTGGAAGCGGGCAAGATTGTTTGAAAAAAATGACTCTGTTGATCAATAAACATGCCGATGTCAATCGAAAAGATAAGTCCGGTTGGACATTGCTTCATGCCGCTGTTCAATCAAGAAAACGAGGTGAAGTTCACTTTTCGAAAACAATATCTCTATGTACTTTGATCGTTCTCTAGACATTCTAGAATTATTGGTTAATAATGGTGCTAATCTTCATATTGTTGATGGTGATTTTCGTTCATTGTTACACATAGCGTGTGATAGTGGCGATATATCGATTGTAAAGTATCTTGTTGAGAAAGGTGTAAGTTTACGCGCAAAAGATAAGAATGGCTGGACGCCTCTACACATTGCTTGTGGTCCGGCCGACGATTATGAACTTGTTCATTATCTAATTCAATTTGGTGCTGATCCATACGCACGCGACATGAATCATTCCACGCCGTTAGATCTAGCAACACAATTCAAAGCCAAAAACGTTGAAAACTACTTGAAAGCTTTAACGAATCAAGATGTCGAGACAGATGTTGACGATTTATGTTCGGAAGGCGGACTTACATATGATACATATGAAAGCGATAATGTCTTCGAATCTGAGCCAACATCCAAACGGGTCTCACAGAAATCGAATATGTCCTTTCGAATGGTTGATATGTCTTCGAACAAACAACAAGCTGTTAAACTTTAATCTAATCAGAACATTTCCTCTTCGCTTTACAAAAAAAAGTGAAAAAAGAAGAAACAGTTTCTTCTTTAGTTTTTTTTATTCATTTGTATCTATGTTGCCGGTTATTTGTATGTCACTAAACACACATATACACATGATGATGATGATAATAATGATAATAATCCGTTTTGTTCTCTTTCTTTCAACCAGCTTATTTCTCTCACACCTCCGTACGTACATTGTCAAAATATCTTGACCGAATAACATGCTTTCATTGACAATTACATGTAGAACATAGTATTGAACGAATTGTTCAAACCTCCAACGGAAAGACAAAACAATGGCTTAAGTCGGCAATAATTATTTGTTGACTAACCGTTTTCATACCTACTAATCGTGTTTTTTCTTCTTTGTTAACATCAAACAAAATTCGTGTTAGAAGATCAATGGGACACATGGCCGAATGAATGCACGGTCTGACTATCGTTAAATCGCTTCTTGTGCGAGTGCTGCTAATCACACATGGACTTGTGTGCGCATGGCGTGTCGTTGATACCAACGATAATCAATACTGTTGGGTCATTCTTGTTGGTTTAGGTTTTCTTTTGGTCGAAACGGGTGTCGTGGTTTGGCTGCGAAATGGACGAGAATTTCGAACGTATTGATCGAAGAAGCTAATTAACGAAGAGGTTTTCTTTCTTATTTTAGTGTCGCCTTTTGTATCATATTCTATTTGACATGTACAGCGCCATCATTCTGGATTATTCATGCGAATACTGCTAACCGGAAGCTGTACCGTTTAGCGGAGAATAAACTCAATTCAAGATCAGCGCTTCCCTCGCATCATCACCACCAACATCGACATCACTCATCAAACGAAACGGTATTTCTACATGATTCTCAAAATTTTCAGCATGTATTACCAGCAACTACACCACTTATCCTTTCCGTTAGACAAATTGACTGTCATGATAAAGTACGCTCGTTCTTCTAAACACAATTTTCTAGCGAACTGATGTTATCTAGGCTTGGTACTATACGGAAGAACAACAATGGCTTGATGTTATTCAAGAAACAGCGCTCATCGTTTTGTCTGTCAGTCGTTTACTGATAAGTCGTGAACATTTGACTATTGAAAAGAGTGGCATTGTTTTAATTGTCAGTCTGATTAATAGCGCTGATCTTTTATCAATTTCGCATTCACTTCAATATCATGATGTTATCATTGAACGATTTTGGATGTACATTGGTCTGGTTCTTCTAACGATCGGTTTGTTTCAAATGGCCTTTATTGACACAGATGGTTTAGTACCGATATCGAATACAAAGTCTTCAACCTATCGTTCGAGACCTTTCAGAAGACAAATCACTCTTATTCATGATGAGAACTTATGTCCACTTTTCCGAGTAAAATATTTCTTTCGAGATTGGAATTCAGGATGAACTCTGCTTTTCTTCATAGTCATTGTTTCTCCACGACGGTCTTCTACTACTGTATCGTTCGTTTTTAGCAGCTAAAGTTCGTTGCAGTAAACCATCGATTATATTTTTCATGCTTAAAAACGTTCTCATGATTACATTTCAATGCTATCGTGTCTACAACATCGCCCGAGTTCATGAAAGGAAACGAGTTTTTGCCGCGTATGAACATCTTATCAATACCCCCATGTCGTCACGAAACGATCGACAGCTATTGGAGAAATATGACCGGCAACGAAACATCAAGCAAGAACAAAAACTACTACATCGAACGATACGTCGATCATCATCGATTTTACACCGACGAGCAGTGAAAACGCCGCGAACACTCTATAATTACACACCTCAATCGATTTCATATCCCTTTGCACGACGTCGAAACGATGGTGGTCGAGCACGGACTGCATTTGCGCTGTACGGTTTGCCGTTTCGTACACCTCAGTTTCCTCGGCCGACTACGATTTCTTCTAGTTCCAGTCTTCTTGCTAAAGCTTTTGTACATTAAATTAATCTCCTCTTTTGAATAAAAGTTCTTTTTTCACAAATATCGACGTGATGATCAGCAAACATTCGAATGGAACACCCAGTGAATTTCTCCTTCTTTTAGTTATTTTATTTCTCGTTATTATATTAAATCAAGAGAAGAATACATACATAAGCGAATAAATAAAAAATAGAATGTGGATAAATTACAAATTAAACTTTTGAATTGTACGGAATAGAAAGGAGAACATCGATAAAGTTGTTTACTTTTTAAAATAAGACATAAGCGTGAGAAACTAAAGAAAAGAGAATAGATAATGAGCACCAATTAAATAAGCAAGTAGAGAAGATCTTGTACGAAGAAAATATGAGAGACAAAATAAAATTGTAAGAAGATTATGAGAGATGGTAATACTATGTTAAATGACGCACACATAGAACATTGATGAGAACATTTAAATATGAGACGAAGAGAACGAGAGGAAACAAGCAGGAATTTGTACGATTGATGGTCGGAATGTTTTGAATCAACAAAATAAATTCACTTGTTCAATTATTCGTCGATTATTTCGCGGTGTATAAGGTGATGTAACTAAACAGAAAAGAACGCCTTTCTTTTTTAAAGCTGGAAATGGACTTTTGGGTGAATGAGAGAGAAGCCAGTGAGTAAATGCCAGCTAAGTATTCGAAGCATTATGAACTCTTACTTGAGATATTATTTATCATTTAAAACACCTGGAAGTTAAATTAGAAAACGAAAAATCGAGTGCTCTGAGGGTTTACCTGAAGTGTTCGATGGAGATGTTGTTGGCTTCTTTTCATTTAAGGTCATCGGAGGTATTGTGGTAGTCAACATACGAGCTCTTTCTTTCACTGATAGACCTTCAAATACATTCTTTATTAAGATGATTGATAGTTGAGAAATCGAATATCTTACGTTTATACTGTTCATTATCAGATGTTGCTGGATCACCACCAGCTGAACCTGGTTCGGACCCTGTTGAATTCTCTGTCGCAGTTGGATTAACTGAAGACAGTTGCCCAATTAATGATCGTATCAGTATATAATCATTTGCTCTTACCTTTTTTCTCCGAGGAGAAGTGTCTTAATTTAACTGGTGGAGCTTCTCCATTTGGTTCGAGTGCTGGTAATACACGTGTGCCGATAGTGGGCTTACCAGATCGATTTAATACCGGTGGAACTGGTGATATAACAGTGTCTGACGCAGCACCTGCTTCTTTTTGTTCGTCTTTGTTGGAGAGAGAAAACAACGAAGATTTTGTTTGCGATGGTTCATGAATCGAATCTGAATTGATAATTTGTGACGACTCATTACCGGGCCCCGATGCAGATCGTGACATTGCGTTACTGGCTCCTAAGGGTGTGCTCGTTTGCTGTTGAAGATTTGATGAGCGTGCTTGAAGTGTTGGTAGATGTTGTTGAGTTTTGGCTGGAACAGGCGGTGGAGACGGTTCGTCGGCGTTTGACTTCATTGGTTTCAATGCTGATTTGAAGAGTTTGGTCGCCGTTCTAAACCAAGACGAGAAACAATGAAAATAATGATCTGTGAGGAACGCTTATGACGCATGCAGCGGATTTCTGGTTGAATTATTGTGAGGTCAGAACGAAAAGCAGGTCATTAGATGAAACATTTGCGTTTAGGAACTAACTTTTTCAAAATATTCGCGTGTCTAACCACAAATAAGATGTTTATTTCGAAAAAATTCTGTTCGGAATAGAGGGAAACAAAAAGTATTACTCACTTCGGTGGTAATTCTGATGTTGAAGTATCAACTGCTGTAGCAGCTGCCGGTGTTTCTGTTGTTGATATCGAGGATGTCGGTGCTGGCAGTGGTGGTGTGTCCCCAATGCTATTATCGTCATTGTCAAGTCCTCCATCGGATGAACTATCTTGTGCAGCACCGTTCGTTCCGCGTTTTACCGGTGGTTTAATATTTGCACGGCGAGGTCGATCTTTACCTGAAAAGAATTGAATAAGAATATGAATGATAATCCCTCATTCTACTAATCTCTATTTCATACCAGGATGAACTAGTTTGATCGAGGATTCAACATCGATGTCGAGGCTATTGTCTTGTGCTACCGGTGCTAATCTTTTCTTTGCTGGTATAGCTGGTGGCGTGTTCTTTTGCAAATCTTTCTGTTGTTCTTGCTCGACTAAATCTAACAGATCATGTTCAATCAGGTCTCCCTCATCTTCTATCGGTGTATCGTTCTTCGTAAGACGAGTCGCCACCGGTACATTATTATAAATTGCATCAGCTGTAGAAGCAGTTTCGGACTCGTTTGTATTGACTAAAACTGATCGACGCCAACCGACGCCTGGTGGAGGTGGTTTCGGCGATGTTGGAACAGGCAGTGGAGATCCTTTGTTTTGTGCTGTTGCCAATAGACGATCGTCTTTAAGCATCGCTTTAACAGGTTTCGGCGAAGGATCTAGAATCAATCATAAATTGAACTAATAAACACTTCGAAGACGTTTTACTTACCAGTAAGACATTCATTCGAGTCAGACTTCTTCAATGAACGGTTGGCCGTTGAGTCATCAGCTGTTTCTGGTTGACCATTGCTATGTTTATGCGTAATACGATAAACAGCATTTGCACCACGATTGACAATACGATCAATAGCTACAGTCACAACACAAGATGTACTAATCAAATTCGGTACGACTGACTTACTCGATGGATGTTGTGTGCCATCAGATACTGATATCTGAAGGGCAGCATTTTGAAGCATGCTTGCTTCCTAAGATGGACAAAATATGATTCGTTTAATATTCATCTTTCATTTGTCTTACTAGTTGTTTTTGCATTTCTACAGCCATATCATTCGTTGTATCATAAGCTCGTTTCTGTAAACAAGTGGCGACATTTATATAACATTCTCGAGTGTAAGTTGCTAATCGAGCAGGTGTTTCTTTTTGCAATAGATGATCGATGTTTTCCTTTGAAGCCGTAAAATATGTTCGAACTTGTTCTTGTAATTTCTGAATAGAAGACAAAGCATTCGAATTAGAAATCCAATTCAATAGTTTATTACATCATCATAATTGATCATCGTTTGTTCTTTGAATAATTGATAGAATTTCCGTGATAATCGTTCGTTTTTCTCTATTAATTTCTCCTCGAATGCTTTACACATTTTCTTCCATTCTTCTTTCAATTGATCTTCTTCGTTCGTATAAAATTCATATAATTCCGAAGAAATCTACGAAATACAATTCGTCGAAAAAATTCCAGTCTCAACCGAAAAGCTTTCTCCATACTTTATCAATACGTGCTGTTCGCGACAGAAACGATTGAACTTCTTCCTGTTTACTATTTGGCCGATTTAAACATGAAAGAATATATTCCAACGATGTTAGATCGCCCATCAATTGTCGCTGATGATCGCATGATTGGCTTCTTTCTCGTGTCAGATTCGCTGCAGTTGTAACAAGTAGGGAATCCGGCGACGAGATATTTTCTTTCAATTCTTGATTTTGTGCACAAAGAGTATCAAGCTAATGGCAAGACTAAGAAGAAAAACGAAAGGTAGATTAAAGAAAAACTTACCTTATTCATGAGATATTGCAGTTTTTCCATACGATCTTTTTCGGTTTTCATTTGTACTATGTCTGTTATTGGGACAGGTAAATATTGAATGATAGAGTTTCTAAAATCAAAAATTTATTGTCATCGTATGTCTTACACTACTTGAAAGATGAAAGAAAGATATCTTATTTCACTCGGTTAACTAGTTACGAGTACCTCTAGGCATGAGAGAAACTTTTTCTGTCTGATTGTGAAATCATAAGTCATGGTCTATACGTACTCTTCCATTGCATTGACAATTTCTTCGAAATTGTTTAAAGAAATCGAATTCCGATCGAAATATATTGTATGTAAATGTCGATTCATTTGCAGTATATGACTCAACACACGCACACCTGTATCGCCCATTAAATTACCCCTATGTATTAAATAAATATTTATACAATATCATAAAAATAGATTCGTTAGTCTCGTTTAACTCTTGTATTCTCTTACCGTATATCGAGAACTGTTAACGATGTGTTGTAAATGACTGCGAGCAAAACATCCGCGAGGTTTTCTTTCAACTTGGAATCACTCAGCGACAAGTATTGCAGTTCCTGAAAGGCAAACAAAAGATTAGATCATGTTCTATGCAGAATGGGAACATTTACACTTTCGATAATAAGTTCTCTCATCGAAGAAATTGTTCGTGACATGTTCCTACAAACGAAATCAAATCGGAATAGGACGAGAACGGGCAAATGGTCTACTTTGCTTTTGTATTTGTGAAATTTCTGCCGAGATGAAGTGATTTCAATTTGCGATTCTTTTTCAATTCAGTTAATAAAGTTGCAATTTCGTTATCCAAATCTAAAGATAAAATTATCCTCTTTTTTTTCGTTGTACTTTCGAATTCGACGTACCACAAGCGCTGAGGTCCAAGGCAGTTAAACTTGGAATCGTGGCAAATCGATGTGCGTATTCGCGAACGAATGATTCTAGTGAATTTCCTGAGAGACGTAGATCGAGTTTATTCAAATGAATATTCGAATGCAAGCCATCACATAATTCTCTAGAAAAACAAACAAGCGATTCATTGAATTTCTGACTAATTATCTTTGTTTTACCTGAGAAATTCCAGTGACAGATTGGCATTGGATAATTGTAAAATTTCCAATGATTCGTTCTTGGTAAAAAACGATTTTACACCACCTGAGCTTGTTGTCGATGGACTTGAAGATTTTGTTGATGAAATGAACAAACGTCGAAGGTTACACGACAGTGTTGCCAATGAATTAAAGAACTAGAGAAGAAGTTTTCATTCGTGAATGATGAACAACATTGATCTTACCGATTCCAAACTAAATTCAATGTCACTTAAGTGTAATTCTTCTAAAACATTATCACTGTTAGAAAACAGCAGGGTGACACACTAAAACAAATCATTCGAATCGAATTGGATTTATTGAAAATCGAACGTACGCTTTCTTCTTTGATTCGATTGCCGGAGATATTGAGAATTCGAAGATTTTTCAAGATGAAACTATTGCTGATCAATGCCGTATTGAAGATTTGTAAGCTTTTGTGCGAAATTGAACACGATTGAAGATTCAATGACCGAATGGGCAATTTACGCTGTTGTAACGATGAACACAACGCGATCAAACCTAACAAAAAGAAGCATCATCACCAAATCTCAATAGAAATCTCTCTCCTACCTTTATCTTCGAGTGGATTGAAAGATAAATCAAGATTCTCAATCAGAGTTACGGACAAACAGTGACTAAATCGTGTCGCAAACTCCCTAAAACATCAAATATTCAACATTTTTCATATTCCGGCTGATATCTCACTTGGAAAGATTGCAATCGATCAAACGTAGATCATTGACTGCTCTGCATAAACGCGTCACTGTACACAGTTCTTCAAGATTCTCCGATGACTTAACAGAAAAACACAACTCACTGAAAGTACAAGCATACGTTCTACATACTAATTTCACATGCTCTATCGATAATTTGGTGAACCAATCATTATGACGTAATGCACTGATTATCGGTAACCAATCTTTTTGTGTGAATGATTCAAATTCGCGAAATGTGAATTCACGTGATGTTCGATGAGCAAAGACAGTATCAACGAGCTAAATTGAAAATGAACATTCACAAATAAATCTATCCGGAAAATCTTGCAAGAAAGCATTCCTTTGCAACCAACACTCGAAAACCATGCAATTTACCGGCTTAATGTACTTCGTGTCTCGTAAAAAATCGACATGTATTAACGGGAAGTGCCGTTTAACTTACACTTTGGACAGATCTATGACATTGCGATTCAAAGAAATCACAGGCGCATTCATAACGAACAGAAAAGCCACCACACGGACGAATATCATTAGTCATATCTTCATAAGATTCATTTGATAAACGTAATAATTTATCATATTCATTCTCGGGACGAATTTCCACTCTATGAACAAAAAGAAAACACTAATCTTTAGAAGTACGCATGACCACTTACATCGCTTGCAATCTATGAGGAAAAACAGCATGCAAACTTCGGATAAGAATTATGAGAAATGGTTGCAAAGATGCTTTTTCATTGAAACTGTATAACGAATGAGTTTGCTTTTCATCTGTTTCGATGATAACCTAGATATATTCAGAGTAAATAGCACGTTTTACTGACATGTTCGTACTCACATGAGAATCACTTGATCGATCGATTAGTTTTATTGTTAAGATATTGAATTGTGATTCGATCTAGATGATCAAATGAAGCTTGGTAGAGGAAATACGTTCCACTTACTTTAACAGGCATTTTTGTTGAACAGATATATACACGAAATGCATCCATACACTAAAATGAAAACAGAGTTGAACTTTAACTAATACAGATCTTGTCCTTTTTTTTACCAATAAACGTTCTTCAACTTTTTCACCCTTTGTGCCATAACGAATGCGACCATTGAAATAAAATGATGAACGTTTTGTCACGTTACGTGCACTCCCTGTCGAAGGCAAGAATCATCGATAAAAATGCACTAGAAATTTGTATTCTTACCAATTAATTCCGAAAAATCGTCTCGATCGCTCATCTAGAATTCGAAGAAGAAGAAGAAAAAAGAGCGTTGGTATACTTCAGCTGGATCAGTCTTCTATTCGTTGATTGATTATATAAGAAAAAGCTGAAGAAGAAATAAAATTTCTTCTACTCACCTGATCGATCAATCATTGGCAGTATACATGACAAGCACAGGTAGGCAAATAAATAAGTCAACAAACAAATGCAAAGAAATGAATCATAAGACAGATAAGTATAGACTACTATACAATGTAAAACATAACAACAACCATGTATATAGAATGATGAATCATCAACAGAATCAAAGATTTTGTACTCAAGCGACATCTTTCCAAACGATACGAGTGTGACTTGCACATCAAGAACGAAGAGTGAAAACATTAGTTTTTCGTTGCCTCGATATGTATTTAAATAAGTATCCAGACGCATTAAATGTCTCTAATTAGATTCCCTGGGAGGTCATATCTGGTCGAACAAACACTGTAGTTCGTGTCGCTGAAACAAGGTTTTACTTGAGAATCACAATGTTTATTTCAAATGTACATGGCACTTCTTATATATATGAAAAAAAGGAGAAATTTTGAGACTAGACTGGTTCGTGAGTGACAACTGAAGTTGCTCTTGGACCTGGACTACTTTTCGATCTCAGTAACTCTTTATCCACTCCTGTATTTTGTTTCATATATTTCCTTTCTCCATCTGTTACGCCGCTCCGTGCACCCGCCACATACGAATAGTGTGGATGTGATCGACTTTTGTGTACATGGCGACGATCATCTTTTCGATGGCTATAATAATCTTCCTCAGCCATGATAGCATCATTGTTTCCATATCGGAGCGCGTAGCGTTCCCACAATTGTTCAATAATTTCTTGCACGAAAAAGTCCGATACATTGAGAGTTAACATTCGAAGGATGAAGTACCCATCGGGTTCCAAGTATTCGGTGATGAATGATTCAACGAGTGCGGCGTGAACGTGTTCGCCAAGAGTACGTGGACAGTATTTAAACTCCATACGAAAACGCGGAATATCTGGACGAGATATACGTGCTAAACGTGTTTGTATATATTTCTCCCGTTGGCTGTATGTCATGAGACGCCCGATCCAAATGACAAATGAACACGCATTGGAGATAAAGACGAAAATATACCATATCCACAGTAAAGTAAATGTTTGCTAGAAAAAGATGAAAAGAACAAAGTTAAAAGTGAGCAAAAACATCGTATTCTACTTGATTAAACAAATTAACCGTTAGAACACATTGGACAGTAATTCTTTGTAATGGTTCTCCGCCTCGTAGAGGTTCTCGAACTTGAAAATCACAGAAAGTTTCTCGCGGGAAGTACTTCGATTCCGGTTGATTTAGGCCATAACGAAATAATTTGACACTTTCATAGCCAAACTGTAAAAAATTTGTGTCAAGAAATATATTCAACAAGCAAATTTGTAGAATAACATTGAGTATATACCAAAGTCTAAAGCGTAAACACAAGAATAACTCTTTCGACAAGCAGAACATGAATTTACTTGATGAACATATAAAGTGTTATGAAATAGTTTCCGAGAAATTTGCCCGTCATACAACAAACCAATTGAAATAACTTTACTATCAACGAGGCTTGTCGCGCTTCGGCATCACTTTGTCGACGTGCATCATCGACGTACATATCGATGGTATCCACAACATAGCTAATCAATTGATCGCGCTCATCAAATTTTTCCAATTTCTTTGTATCATCGGCAGTTTGAACGATGTCTAAAAGATCAATTCCTGAACGGATACTCAAAGTACGCCAGATCAACCGTGGAAGATAGAAAAACAATGCCATCAATAAGATTATAAATGGTGTCCATTGGTAATAGTTTAATTTGCTATCCATTCTATAATCATAAACATAAAGATATGAGTCTCAATTGTGAATGTGAAGACAAGTACGTGTTCATGAGAGAACATAGAACGAACATTTTGTAATCAGGAACTCCCAGCAAATATTGTCGATTCTTTCGAGATTATGCTGCATAGACAGGGTGAAATCAATATCCAGTGAATCTGATTCGTTTTCATTGTTTACATTTACTCAATGCCGCACATATATCTTATCAATAAATCGCGCCCTGATGATGACGATGTAGATAAGAAGAGAGAAGCACGTATCAAGCTACCATTCATATCCAGTTTGACATTCGCCGCATGGCGGAATCGCTCAAATGTAGGAAATGGCATCTTAGTCGAAGAGAAACCAAATGATTCATTTTCTCTCCCTGTACATTGTGTCAACTATCTACGGTCAAAGGTTAATCTGATGCTTGACGAGAAAAAAATTTAATAAAAAAATGTCATCATTTCCGTTGTTCTGTGTGGTTTCTTTTACAAACCCTTCCAAAATACGATTTCGATGCAAGTGATTCAGTGAAATAAAACGCAAAGGAAAAGGCAAATATAATCTTTTCTATAGCTGGATACAACTATTGTAATTAGTATTCTAACAAGTAATACTTTAACGCTTCATGGCAAGTAAATGTATATAAGCGTTAAATTGAATTCGTACGAAAGATAGGACAAACCCTGCTCTGAATGCATAATATCATCTGTTTTCGACAGTAGACATCGATTTGTTTTTAATTGAAAGGCAAATGTTAGAGTCAATATGTACTCACCGTTCTTGTACATTTTGTGGAATTGTTTGGTTTTTATCGACGTAGTATGTGGAAGATATGTAGCAGATTTGGTTTGTGTATTGTATATACGGTCTGATAAAATTAGCTCGATTCCAACATTCGATTCGGTCTTCATCGAACTGCTTGGTCGCAGTCAGAGTTGCAAAAAGAACTAGTAGAGCGACGGTATATTTGTAGTTTATTTTATCGAATAGATCGTCATCTGATCGAAGTGATGATAGCAATAGAGTTGGTACTAATGTGATAATATAGAGTAGATCGACCATTGGTTGTTATCAAGCAAAAATCATCTTCAAGAGGAGAGAAAGTTCAATGAAAGTTTGAACAACAGAAGAAAAAAAGAGAACTTGTGTACTTGTCTATTCCTATACTTAACCGATAGCAATATTTCTTGTGGTTTGCGACCGTGTTTGACGCTTCTTTTTTTTCCACACGAAGAAAGAGAGAGAGAGAAGAAAAAAAAGATGTTGGCATAGGAAAAGAGAAAAAAACGGTCGCAAGAAAAAAAGGCCATGTTCCTTCATCTATTACTTTCGCTCGTACTATATAACCACACATGCATTGTATGTGTGCCTCCGTTATGCAAGGAATACAGAACCACGACAAAAAAAAATGAGAAGCAGTAAAACACAATAGGAGCGCACAGGCATTTTGTTGAGTAGGTATGTGTATATACTTGTCATTCAAGGTTTAGTCAGTTAGAAACAAACATGAAAGAAAGAGAGACCTATTCATCAGATAACTTCAAGTATTTTTTTGTTATTGAGGCAAATATCGAAACAGAAAAAGAACAAGGTTATTTAGTTCAAAATCAGTCGAATACAATCTTAAGCGAAGCAGTTGATACGTATACATCATCCATTGACAAAGCAATTATCAACGAGAAACAAAAGAGAGACTTCCGCGCCTTGGCAGAAATAGCAAGGAGAATTCGAGTGGTATCTGTCGGAGTAATATCACTGCTGATCTTTCCGCCAAATGTATTCTTTGTAAATCGATGAATCCAAGCGTTTTCAAATGTCTGGGTTTCTTGTCCTTTTCCAAATGTTTATTATAGAAAAATAAACTAGATTTTACGTAGGAACTAATAAACAACCACATTGAAAACTAATTAGATTTGGAGATTGTTACTGATTGTGAACAGTCGACAGATCGTGGTTTCATCGCTGATAGAAAACATTCAGTATTCATTCGAGTCCACATTGATTTACACAAGACACAGAAAAAAAAGAAAATTATTTTAGTCAAAAGAAACAAACCAATAATAAGAGTGCTAAATCCGATTATAGAAGTGTTTAATATCTAAGAAAATACAATAGTTAAATTAGAAACAAAGTTTTTGTCAGCGCTTCTACCTGTAATAATTAGGTTTGAATGGTCCAGCCTTGTTTACACCTAAGTATTTGCATTGCTCATCACTCAGTTCTGTTAAATGAGCATCAAATGCTGGTAGATGTAGACTCGCAACGTATTCATCTAAACAAATTTGTTTATCAATCAGTACATTCTTGCCTGTAGTCACTCCTTACCCATCTTCTTCGGTAATAAATAGACATCACATTTATAACGATTAGGTGGAGCATTATAAAGTTCAATCAAAGCCAATGCCTACGATAGAGATTCTCAAAATATCGAACGATAATAAAGAAAACAAACCGTACTTGTGTAGCAGCAGTAATTGATACAACAAACGATGGAACACTTGAACAACAAAGATTCATAATTCGACCCTAGATAATCAAAATATTATGCTCTGCTTTTCCAAGGATTCAATATTGTTTACTTCAGCAATTAGGACGATTCGTTTTCCATTCGGCCATATAACATGATCGACATTACTTCGAACACGTTCGACTTGTAGATCATTCGTCGATAGATCGCGTAAAAAGCTCTATCAATTGTACGTTAACAAAAACCAAATGACCAAACAAATCAATCTTACCACATCGATTTCAGTATTTGAATGTCCCATATTACAAACTATGGCGCCATTTTTCAACTTATCTAGCGCTTCTCTCGTAATCGTATGTTTACTTCCCGAAGCCGTTATGATAATATCAACTTGTTTAACAACTTCTTCCAGTCGAACAACTTTGTAACCTTCCATACTAAAAGCAGCCGCATAAAGACGAGTAATTAGAAAATTAATTTAGAATGAAGACCTACCATGCTTGTAGTGCACATATGGGATCGATTTCAGTTACATAAACAAAACAGCCCATGCCACGTAACGCTGAACAACATCCTTTGCCAACTTCGCCTAAAATAATTGTCAAAATTTTAACAACTAAATTCGCTACGGTATATTCATGAAGAAAGAGAAAACTAAAATTGTCCGATAGCATGACTTCTCTTCATAAAATGATATGAAGAAAACATCCTGTCAAACTGAATACATGAATAATAAGATTATAAATACACATACCATATCCACAGACCACGGCTTGCTTTCCTCCGAACATGATGTCCGTACAACGCTTGATTCCATCAATAATCGATTCTCGGCAAAGATATAGATTATCGAATTTCGTTTTTGTTACGCTATCATTGACATTCAATGCTGGCACGGGTAGTGTTTGTGCGCGGCACATTTGATACAGACGATGAACACCTGTAACGGATTCTTCAACGATCCCTTTGATCGTTGAAAACAACGTTGAATAATGTTTATGACAATAGTGTGTTAAATCTCCTCCATCGTCAAGGATCATATTCGGCTGCCAACCTTGCTCAGCGCCAATAGCCTTTTTAATACACCACCAAAAGTCATCGTCCGTTTCACCTTTCCATGCAAAGATCGGTATGGATTCTTCCGCGAGCGCTGCGGCAACTTCGTTCTGTCAAAAAAATAGATTCAACTTCATACGAAAGCGACATGCTAATGGATGGATGAGGTTACCTGAGTAGAAAATATGTTGCATGCACACCAACGCACCTGCGCGCCTAATCGTGTTAATGTGTCGATTAAAACCTAGTTTATTTTAGAGAAAAAAACATTTAAATCTGTTGAGAATTACGAAAAATCCGGCACACTCACAGCGGTCTGTGCCGTTATATGTGTGCACCCAACAATCTTTGCTCCTTGTAATGGCTTATCGTTCTCAGCACGACGACGTAATGCCATAAGGCCGGGCATTTCTGAAACGAATTCGGATGTGTATTTACACTTATTATATATTAATCAAGGAAAGTAGAAGAAACAAATTGCTTTCCTTGCACGATCGTTTCTAAGCTGAATGGTTTACTGTTCGATGAAAGTAAAATATTAATCGTCCTTAATACTGAAGTTGACATATAAGTTTGAAAGGAAATGTAAGAACAGTCACTCATGTGTCTCGGAAATACTCCTATTGTAAAGTCTACGAGCTCATTATGAAGTCTATTCATTTTCATATTAATAAAGAGAATATTTTCTTTTTTTGTCTTTTGCCATTAGAAATTTATGTAGTCTAAAGTTTTTTCTTTTCTTGAAAACTTGTTTAATCATATAAAACAAACCTTGCTCAGCAATCTCAATTTCTCGTCGGCCATATTGCGCATGTTTTATACGTCGAACAGCGAAGTCTGTGAAGCCGGCTGCATTCTTCTATAAAAGAAAAATTCATTAACAAATCAAATCTTTTATTGAAACTGACATGTTGTATTTCACGGATATTAACACCAGTTCCTTCATCGGTTTCGCTGTCGCTATCACTTGCAGTAGCTAGAAGATAAAAGGAAAGAAAACGATCGTTCTATAATTGCTTTTAAGCAAGATGAAAAAGCAAAAGATAAATGTATGTGTAGCGCTTTCCATGTGTTACAAAAGAAACAAGTTTCTCACTATATTGTTGAAGGTGGTCTAAATCATCGAAGTCAGTTTCACATTTTGAATTGATTGATCCTAGACGTTGTGATTGCGATTGAGCTGGTTTATCATTACCGGATGATCGTCGTCGAATAAGATTAATATCAATGAATTGAACGGATGCTCGACGATCAGTGCGGGATCGCGCTTTACCCTCCTCATCAGTATCCTCCATGTTCGACATGGATCGATTGATAGAGAGAGCGTTAGAAAACAAACTTTCTTAGATGACAAAAAATACGTCAATAACAATAACACACATACACGCACCAACGAAGAAAATAGAGAGAGAGAGAGACGATGAGACAGGAGGTGTTGGTGCCTCTAACGTTCTTCGCATTTGATAGAAAAACGAGAACGAAGCATAATTTTCTCTCGATGTTGTCTCCTTTTTTTCTTCTTCCTATATTGTGTATATAAGTATATCTATCTAGCAAGATATTTCATCGGTTGATGACTAATGCGGCAGAAAAGCACCCAAAGAGAAAGAGTAGTAAGCTTTTCACACTCACACACGCCTTCCGGACCGTTTATTGGACCATTAGAGTCATTGTTGTATTGATTTGATAATGAATGAATGAGTTTCATATCAAGAATTTGTAATGACGATCGTCGTCGATCGCGATGTAGTTGTTCTTCTTGTTGTTGTTCATCAGATGACAAATTTGTTTCATCGCTGTGAGCAACTTGATGCTGGTGTTGTTGTTGCTCGTTCATTTGCTCCTGATAATAGTCATTGACCTGCTCGAGACTACATTTCGACGTTGACTCAAGCGCGTCCCTATTCGATCTCTCTTGTTCTAACAAGTTACTCGTTAGTGACATAAGTTTGCAACTGATGTAAGAGATATGCTTCGTAGTAGAAGAAAAAAAAGAGGGGCTCGCTTTTCAATAGAACAACATCAACAACAACAAGTCTTTGCTTTCGAGGATAGACAGTCGATGGATGGATGGATGAAATAACAATAATTCCAATATCTGTTACTGGCATGTAGTGTATGTCTATATATTTGTACCTTATATCTTCTTCCTGTCCTTCATGACAATAACAGGGCATCTATGTATAAACGGATTTTTCTGTCGTAAAAATAGACATCGGATGATATTCGATGATGCTATTAAGGCGGTGTAGTTCGGATGACTGTTTGCAATTCTAATAATTCGTTGGTTACTTACACACTTGTTCTTGATCTTTATTAGAGAAACGTCTCTCGATTATATTCACATTAGTCCGAGCTCGATCATTGTAAAGTGTTGAAGAATCGAGAATTAATTGTTGTTTCAATGGATAATAAATAGTCTTAGCATCGTCATTATCATCCGGACTGGTATGGATTAATGAAGTTGAATAAATGCCCGGCGGTAGCTTGTTTAGAACAGATTTCTCCATGGGAAAATACGATAAAGACTACGATCAACGCGCAATCGAAGAAGTGAACGACATTCAGATAAAGTAATGTGCATCATTTGATCCCTTTTCTTCTTTTATCTTTTTTTTCACATGAATGAATCATTCTATCATCTACGCTTTCTTACGGCATGCGAATGAAACTTATTGAGAGGTATTTCAATGCTCGAGAAAAGTAACTTACTTCCATCGGATAAGACTGAACTTTGCGAGTAGGAGTATTGTCGACGGGTTGTCGGGTCGAGGCAGATGCGACGCTAGAAAACAAAAAAATATTTTAATCAATCTTTCGATTTATGACAGAGCGAACAGAAATTTAAGATAGTTAGATTAATTATTGAAGAAGTGTCAGATTACCAACTGTTGGTTTTCCGCACATTTCCATTAAGTCCTTTTCCTCTTACTTTGGTCTTCCCACACCTATTATCGAATGGAAACAGACAAGGTCTATAGATTTGGAAATCACACAGCCGGATTTTTTCTATAGATGTCGCCTTATAAGACAGAACTTGATTACAACGTGCTCAAGTAGTAATCTAATCCTATGATAGGAATTAAAGAGCTGTGCTTAATTAAGGGCCGAGGGGCAAATTAACTCAGAAGAGTATTTACGATTAGAAACAACTATATTCGAGAATCAGCCGTTTATTCCAAAAACAGGTTATTTGGATCACATCAAAGATCTATCAGCAGCAATCTCGTGAGATTTCAGTGTATAGGTTTGACAAAGTTACTAATATAAAGGAGAAACAAAAAAAGCAAATGATATCTCTAGAGATTTGCGCGTATCGATTATTGTAATAGAGAACCGCGAATGTTCATCATTGAAAGAAACAATACATGTATTCATGTCGTTATTCTCAATCGCGTGTTAGTCAAAAAAAAAGACAATAAACGCTTGTTGAAGGAAAAACCTCAAGCCACTACCGATCGTTATTCTAGACCTATCAAGTAGAATGACTTTATTGTAAAACGGTCTCAATAGGTCTCTCGCAAATGGCTCAACTTCTCACAGATGTGTTTGTGATACAAAAGAAGCATGTTATTAGAAAGTCAACGTATAATTATCACATAAATACCAGTAACAGAAAGAAAGTATCTATTCTCATAGATCGTAGGTTGTTAACATTGCATATTTTCTGTACGTCATCAATCGATGTAGAGATTTTCCTCGTCACTAGCTTCCAAAAGGTTGAAGTTTATTCACCCACCGGTTGGCGACCATTTGGCTGATCGTTCGTACCAGCCGACGACGGGGATTCGTCATCAGGTGGGATTAGGTCCGCCGTATCGCGTCCATCAAGACTAAGAACAGGCAGTAGACCATGTGACTTATTTTCTGGGATTGGAGCAATTTGAGAAACACTTGGAATATTGTAAAGTACTTTGGAGTCGATGGATGAATTGGTTTGAATTGCCGGACTTTTGGTTAATTTCCTTTTCGCTTTATTTGAACGTTTGAAGACAAACATGGTTAATGGCAGTGGGATATTTCTCGGAGATTAATATGTGTGTTCATTCGCATGTCGCTGGTTATGTAAACTCGCTTTTCTTCTTATTCTCGCTGTCTAATATGGAACCAACATGTACGAACTAGCTGCCGGGCGATGAGTGCGGAAGCAAAGAAAAAGAAAGAGAAAGAGAAAATGCTTCCATTAAGTCTCCTCAAGAAATAGAACAGATAAAAGAAATATTATGAATATTCTTAGCTAGAGAAGAATAATAAAGTTGTATTCGGCAATCTTCAACTAACTCATCGGTCATTCCACTAGCGAATATTTTCTTTTAACAGCTAATCACGGTCATTGCTGATAAGAGAGAGCTTGAATTATTAATATTGAATTTCGATTCGATACTGCTGTTAGAATACAAAAACTTTCTTATGTAAATGCGTTTTATTTTACCTCGTTTGCCGAATTTTGCTTCGAAAGGGCTTTTCGGCCTGTTAAAGACTTGATTGAGTGCCTCGTCGGAGCGCGACGACGTATTTGCGCTTGCTGATCATCTTGCAGGCTGTCTGTTTGAAATGATTCGACATCATGTTGATTACCATTGCTATTTAAAACGGATGATTGTTGCTGTCGTCGTTGTTGTTGTTCCTCGAGAATGATTTGCGGAAGTTCATGCACTACTTCCGATCGTAAATGATTCATTATACTGCAAGGAAAGTAGAAATTAAAGCTATGAATAGAAAATTTTCTAACGGTGGTTGCTTTAAGAAACGTTTCGTTTACATCTGGAAAAGATCTAACGTGTTGTTGTTTTCTTGTTCTTGATCGAGAAGTTTTCAGTAAAAAGCGAAGAAATGCATCAATACAAGATAATTCAGTCTTTCTATTTGTCGATCTAATCAAATGGCGAACGAGAATCTTTAATTACTTTCTTTTCTCTTTCGAACGCGAAAAACATTTAATCAAAAAGCTTCTTTATAGACCTGGAGATTTATTATCATGGAAGTCAATAAAAACGATAGATGACTAGTAGACGACGTTCTACGAAGGGAAAACTAATACGCAAAACCAATGTGAATCTCAGTGGAGAAGAAAAAACGTAATAGATACAATATTTTCATCCATTTACTCGGCAGGTGTCTCCGACTGCAAATGATAACATCGCGAGATGGAAAGTTTTCTAACCTTGACAACTGTTGTCCTCGAAGAAAGTCATCGATGACGTTGGTTTGATATGTCCTGTACGACGCGTTTGTTTGCGTCGTGCCTTACAGCCTTTATATAGCACACTCAAATGTTAGAAAGCATCAAATTTAGGAAATAATCTCCGACACGATTAGTTGATCGATATTCTAATAAAAATCGCCCGGAGATAAAATCATCTAGACGTCGAGAAGAAAGTCGTGCGCTTATTGATGTTGAAAACTAAAGATGCAAGATCAAATAAGAATTCTACCTATTTGCATTTACCAGTCATGGGATTTAGATCTGAGATGTGAACTTTGAAGTATTCTTTTTTTGGTTAACGATGTCATTTCTTATTTTGAGAAAATATTTCGACTGCTCAATCAATTGCAAGAACGGGTATGAAAACCTGCTTAGTATATCTAATCCTCTCAATACGTCTGTTCTCTCGCACGCAATTGACATACAATTGTTGACTGAATTTTCTGCAACAGAGATATCAAAGAGACGAGATGAATCTTGGTGAACTTGTGTTTCTTCTTTTTAATAAACGGTGTCATATTTTTCAAGGAGAAGCAATGCAGGAAATGATTGCATTTCCATACATTTCTTTTTTTTCAGAACCTACGACATTCTGTTTAGTTCCTTGTGCATTCTCTTCGGATTTCCTGAATGTGTGACAATAATACAAATGAATCTGATCTTGCATAAACAAACGACGTAGTCTCAAATGAGCTTTCAAAGCTAAAAGATTTTCTACCATCAAACCTTGCCATATGCAAAATCTTGTTTTCGGTGATTTTCTCCTGGTCAGACGACTGTAAACAAGACTAAATTATTTATCAATTGATGTGAATTTTTATTCATGTTTAAGAATTTCCTATTGTAAATTCAAGGAACTCCCTGTTTGATCGACATTGATTGAAGTAGTTTTCATTGAAGCAGATGTCACCTGTAATTCTGTCAATCATGAAAAAACCCAATGAACAGAATCATTCTTCTCACATTTATTCCTCATGAATCAACTGCAAGTCAACTATTCTTATTCATAGGATCGACACACCACACCTTCGTTGATTCGTTCTGACTTGTATAATAGCAATCGACGTTAATAACAAGAAGTAACGTCGATGCCGTTTTTTTCTTCATTCCAGCTGTTGCATGTAATCTTAGACATAGACCAGAGAATGGAATAGAGAGTAATAGGCGTAAGGCCCATCTGGTGATGTTTCTTCATTCTCGTACCCACGTAAAGTAGTAAGAAAGAGAAGAAAATCATTATTTGCCTTCATACTGTGCTCTACTACATTGCCTTGCTCTCTCGTGAAAAAAAAAGAAAGCCCAATAATTGTCGGCTGTGTGTGTGAGAACGTGTACGAGTGAGTGACGGAAGACAGATGGGGCAACGACGACAACAACAGGAGTGTGTTACTAGTATACGTTGTTCATTTGACGTTCTTCCTCGTTCGCAAGAACAGCATTGCCACATCTGGATCGATCGCAATGCCAATAACAGCCAATATTCAAGTAGATACATGCTCTAATTGTATTCTCATCGGCAAACAAATCTCATTTTCTTGTAGAAACGTGCTCGAAAATCAGTCGCTCCTATTCGACCGCAAATCAATCCACCACCTTCAACAAACTCATCCACTGATGGAACAGTGTGTCATCTATGCGGTTACTTAGGTCGAACAAGATTATTATCGATTGAAAAGCACGGCTATAGTTTTTTACGCCATTTACCGCCAGCATCTGGTGCTCTGTTTGTGAACGAAAATACTCAGCATGTTCGTGCCTGTCATCTTTGTAGTTTATTGCTGGATAAACAACGTGAACTTAATCATACGTCGAACAATTTCTTTTTCAAAGGATTTTTTCGATCAGCAGGCTCATGCCACAATAACGATGATTTACCGGTAAAACGATCATCAAATTCTACCAACGAACAGGAACAACCGAATGGTACATAAAAACTCACGTACACTTTCAATGATGTCAGTATATTATTCATTTAGAAACGGAAATATCAAAAGAGATCACACCGTTATCCGATAATCCGCTGCTCATCACAACTAAAACGAATGTATCGATGCAACAATCTGGACGAACAGCACCTCCACCATTGCGTAAAGCAGCTTCTACTGTCATCTCTACTGACCTGTAAGTAGTTCTACCATTTCAAACAGCTCTAGTGTAAAAAACATTTCCTGTCACTAGCTTCACCGACTTATCTTCGACTGATGACATCAGAGCATTGGACTCATGTCTATCATCGATTCATTCGCGTTTTCTCTCCGATTATACTTCGATTGTATCTTCCTCGAATCAAGCATTCTACAAATCATGCCGTTTATGTTTATCGGTTAAACCTCACGGCACATTTTTCACTATCTTCAAAAATCAATTCAATTTTCTTTCTGCACCACAAATTGACGTTTGTACATTATGTTATTATAATTTAATGGATCAGTACAAGAATGAAGTGACAACTTACCGTCGTCCACGACCTCAATGTTATCTCTGCCGCTGTCGAATTCATTTTGTTGATTGGGAAGTCAAACTATTAGAAACTGAACACTTTCCTTTCTTGCTAAAACTAGCAAACGAAAATCGAATTCTTCGTGAACAGTTATACGATAGTCAACGTTTAGCACTGGTATGTGATTCATGCTTTTATGCATTACTTTTTCAATACATTGACCAACAGCGACAAAACATCGCAATAGAACGGCGAAGTTATACTTGGCAAAGTACATATTCGTACGAGATCGAACATTCTTTCAACGATTATCAGTGGGCCTATACATCGGACAATAAAACAAGTTGAAATCTATATTTATATATATATATATATATGAATGAATGCTTTAAAAAAGAATTGTACAGATAGGAGAATAGGTTTGGTTTGTCTTTATATTGACTAGATGAACATGCTGATGGACGGAGGTTCATATAATGCTCGTTTTCGATTGTGAATGAAGCGAAAATGAATTAGTAGTATCTAGGACTGGATTACCATTGTCATTGAGAGATCCATCAGCTGTTAATGATGATCGATGTTCATCTTCATTTTCATCCATTTCGTAGAATTCATCTGTTTCGTCAAACATTGGTGCTGGGCGTCGGCCAACAATCAGTGTTAAATCATCCGGTGAGGATGACAATAATGGGACAACTTGATTACATTCCATACGCGTGACATCGATATTATTGACCTAGAAAGGAACGCGATGTTTTACATTGACAAGTACAAAACGATAAATATACTTTATAAATTCTCATGCACGGGATTAATGTTCCTTCTAATTCAGCTGGACCATTGGGTCGAATCTTATTTACATAGACACCTGTGCCATAAAGACGATCAGATATTGAGAAGCCAAAGTCAAGTACACGCTTATCACGTTTAAGTATTAATGTAACTGTGTCAATCGCTGTTCGATATCGTGCATAGTTATCATATTTAGTGTCGTAAATATTTGTTCGCATAGCTTTCTCGGCGAGACCACATGTCAGTGAACGATCGTTATCTGAATGACGTAAACGACTAACTGTCGGTGGTGGTGTACGATACGATCCAGTTGTCGACGAACTCATATGAAGTGGACGCGAATGATTGACTGATGACATTGAATGTGTTCGATGTTTAAGAACGAAATCGCCTAAAAGAATATAGCAAATTGACACATTCGATGATGAATATCAACTCACTAGGATTCGCATTAGGATTCGGTATTTGATAATGTTGATGTTCATTGATAATTATATCCTTTGTTGCTATCTCACCGTTTTCACTTAGGCGATTATCTGTGTATGAGCTACTCCAAGAATCGATGGCCGAGTCTACTGATGGTGTGTAATCTTCTGAAGCAAAACGTAAGAATGAACGACTATTTCAAAACGAATATTATCTACGAACTTTGTTGCGGATGAAGCAATCGAGATATTTTCAATGTTATTTCATCGCCGCTTGTCTGAAGTAATTTAATTGCTTGATTAAGTCCTTTACCACGTAGACTGACATCATTTATTGCTAAAATTCGATCACCAATATGAATTGCATTTGTTCTAAATCGAGTTCAACAGATTTTTCTTCAATCAAATCTCTTCTCCACGTACCTGTCAGCTAATCCACCTTCGCATAAATCCGACACAATAATCGGTTGAAATACATCTTCACTGCCCGATATTGTCAAGCCAAGTGGACCACTAAAGAAAACGTTTCTCATCGTTCTCAGCAAAGTACCTTCTACAAGCATACCCCTGTCGAAGTAGTTGAACTTTGTAGACGACAACATTTTCACAAAGATTATCTTCCGAATAGACGTCATCTTTCTTGATGCGTAATCGGACGATATCATCGCAAGTTTTTAATAATGCATGAATATCACTGAGATTTTTGCCTCGTAATGAATGCGTGTCAATAGATAACAGATGGTCACCTGCTTGGATCATTCCACATCGATAAGCGATACTGCCTCGTTTGACGTCACTGATGATGGGCACGTCTTCGGTACGAGAATCTATCATAAGCAAAGCTTCTGCTAAAGTTTGCTTTCGAGAAAAGAGAAATACTCACAAGTAACTGATAAACCTAAGTCCAAATTTTTACGTAAGATTTTCACTTGACATACGCCGGAGGACAACATTACAGAATCTAGTTAATGGAGCAAAAAGAAATCAAATTCAAGTTCAACAGATAATATACCTGCAACGTCGAATTCGATATCAAGATGTAGTTGCTGAGTAGATGATTTAATCAATAGTCGAGCATCTTCTAACGATACACCTTCTAGCGCTTGACCATTAATTGCAAGAACACGATCACCTAACTGAAGAATACCAGATCTAAATCGATGGAAAATATACGTTTGTGCGAATCTAACTGATCTTTTCTTACCTTTCCGCAACACCTCCGGGAGCCAAATATCCAATGATTGGCGGCTGTAACAGTAAATCAGATGCATATGAACCATTTTGAAGTGTGAACCCAAAATTTCCGAGTGCTTCGTCATCAGGTGAACTTCGATTTGATGATAGCGAATCGACTTGAAGCGTACATTCCATAGTTTCTGTATGGCACATTTGATTGCTTAGTAAAGTTTGATAACATGAATTAAGCGAACCTATTGCAAAAAGAAGGCAAATGAATGAGATAGTTGGTGAGATAGGTGCAGAGAATGATTATGATGAAAAGATCAGTGTCAAGTGTAGACATTCAATGTACAAATCAACGAGCAAGACTTTGATAATGATATCGTTTTACCTAATTCATACAGATTATACATTTTCGTAATTAATGTTAGAGTTTTATTGGACAAATCATTCAGTGAGTGAAGACCTAGATCATAAGTTTTCGTTTGTTTATTTTCAACAACAGAGTTCAAATTCTGATATGAAAGAGAAAGAGAGAGAGAGAATATCTTTACAACTTACTCATTGAGTTTTGCCGTGCTTTATTAAGTGATTTACGACTTTGAGTATGATAATTACTGCGTGTCATCGAACTATTTATCTGCACTGATGGTCGGTACAAAGACGAATGATTGTTATCGTTGATCGGAGCTAGAAATGAAAACAGACTTCAATCCTGGGCGTAAAAAGAAAACTTCAATTCACCTCGACTCTGGGGCTGTTCAACGATCATATGTAATGAAGCCAATGCGCTCGAAGGTGTTACTTCAATATGACAAAAGTCGCCTGTACATGCTCGAAGGATGGCATTGGCTTCGATTAATGAGATTCCATCAAAAGATTTCTTGTCTATAGCATTAATTTGATCGCCACTATGCAATGCTCCACAACTAGAAGTTGATCACATAGGCGAAATTGTCGTGTTTTCATTGTAGAAAAAAAAGGACTTACCGATCAGCGATACTCGCAGGTTTAACGTTATCAATGACGATGATTGATCGATTACTGCGAATCCATTTTTGAGTGAGATTAATACCAATGGTAGATCCAAGAGACTTTTCAATTTCAATCAGTAATGGGCCAGTGGCGTGTTTAACACTCTCTGTTCGAACGAAAGAGAAAAGAAAACATTTCGATATTCTGTTGGTTTTTGATTAAATCAACTTCTTCAATGTACCTGTGCAGTACTTTAGTTTAAAAACTCTTAAATCTGTCGGATAGGAAGGTCAAAGGAGAACAAAATTTCATAATCAACTCCATATGTTCAATCTATACTTCTGCTTTTCATCATATATGACATATGCTTATTCACAGTGATATCATACCTGTCAATAAATCTGCTGACCTTCAGAAAGTCACTCTCGCTTAGAATTTGTCTACGTATGGTAATCTATCATAACGCAAGACACACTTCAGCAAACCTTGCCGGTTTTTTTCTTTGACAATTCCAATTAATAAATCTTACCGACAATAGCTACGTCATATTCAACGAGAAATAGCGTTGTACCGCGACATTGCCTCATGATATTATGAGCATCTTCTAATGTCGCTCCGCTAACGTTAATTCCATTAATAGCTAGCACTCGATCGCCAATTTTCAATGTTCCTTCTCTGAAAATGAAAGAGAAAATAATTAACACATAAGTTTAGTTGTAAATGATTCGAGAAAAGAAATCATTTCTCACTTATCAGCAGGCCCTTGAGGTCGTATCTTTGTTATAATAAGTGGTCGCATTCGACCTTTATCATCTGAATGTCCACCACGAAGAATGAATCCATAGCTTTGCCCTTCTTTTTCCAATTGAATCTGTATTGTTTTCGTTTGAACTGTATTCACAGCGTGCAAAGCTAAATAAGCAATCGAACAATGTAGATTCGACTCAAAGAAGTTCTACATACGCCATTTTGGTAAATCATATTCGATGTCTAATGTTAGTTGATCTTCGACTTGTTTGATTAAATCGATGATTTGCTCGTGTTTCAAACCAGCTGTTTTTACACCATTGATTCCAATGATGATATCTCCCGTTTCCAAAACATCAGCTTTTTGAGCCAATGAGCCCGGTTTTAATTGTGCTACTCGCGGTTTGCCATCTTTGTCAATACCACCTGATATGGTTAAACCAAGTGGACAACCTTCCTTTTTTATCAATTCAATTGTCGTTTGACCTTTGATGGCTATGAAGAATAAAGCAAAAAAAATTATTTGTAATTAAGTCGAAAGATACGAAGACAGTTAAACAAAAGACCTTGTCTACCGCGCGGCAATGGCGCTGGGCTAGGTGCGCTCCATTTACACATTGATATCGCTCGTTTTATATCCCATATTGATCCACTACTTTCACAGCTCATCTTGACGTCTTTAGTTTAAGTATTTATGAAGGTGCAAAGCAATGAATGGTAGTAGGCGGGCTCAATCCATGGTTATATGACAAAGAAGAGAACAAGTGTCACTTCACGCATTTCACTCTCCCTTCTCTCTTGTCTTTCTATATTGGCATCAAGTGTTTTCTTTTCCCCATTGCCTTTTTTCTTTCTCTTTATTGTCTTTGAACTCTTTCTTGTTCGCTTTCATTTCTTTCTCTACGATTGCGTACATGTATATGTGTATATAAACCACTGTATGTTCGATAACACACACACACACACACATTCTTTTCTTACTACTCATTCGACATGCTATACCGTTCTGCAATGTACTACATTATCAAGTATTACCATCACTATCCAAACACATACATCCGATTATGTTTGTACATATGCAACGGCATGCAAAGAGAGAGAGAGCGCTAGAGAGAGAAAGAGACACACACAAGAAAAAGAGTTGATCTTTGGAGTGTATTGCATATGCGTACACACACGCACATATGCTTCGAAAGAAGTAAAATCATCATATTGTGCAATGATCTATCGTTTGTCGAAGTATTATTATAAAACTGTCAAGGTACTTTGCGTTTCTTACGCTAGATTGATTATGTTAATTAATCTCGGAAGTCTTGCTTATCAAAAGGTTAACTTCGATGAAAATATTACTTGACTATCTAATCAGATTCTACCTCAAAACTAGAAAAAAAACCTGCGTTCTCTATCGCTTCAACATCAATTGCATTGATATCGTCAGAAATCGAATTTTTCACTTACCCTTTGTAATCCAATCTATTCGCTTAGATTGACTTCCTAAATCAACCTTCTTTTTTGATTTTCTTGTTGAACCACAAAACATTTTCAAATTAAGTACCATTTGATATACGAAATGATAATAAGAGAAATGAAAATATTCATATTATGTTTGACACTGATCAATCGATCACTATCGATGTTCACTGAGCACAACGAAGAAAAAATAGAAGGCGTAGTAAAGGTCATTGTCAATACAATCTTCGTTTGTAGCACATAGAGAAAGGTGCGAATGAATAGAGAAGAAGAAGAAGAAGAAGAAAAAAAGGAAGCTGATGCGTATGCTTCGTTTTTTTTATCACTTGATATGACAGTCCTTCGACAATCATGATTGATCATCGACATAGTGATCAAGACATTGATTGCATCTTATGCTTGTAACTAATTGCGACTAACAAGCACATTTTTACTATTGTGTCGTCATTTTACAGTACAATGACAAGTGTCTCTTGGTCATAGGTACTCACATTGATGAAGGCAAAACGAACGAACAACACAGGCTATTTGCCATTAATAGTTGTTTATAGCAATCGATATGTCTGCAATCATCTTTTCTTTCATCAACAAAACTAAGGCGAGAAGAAACAAAAATGAGTTCGAATTACTTAGTTACAAAAGAAAAAAATCTATTGACCATGAACACTTTTATGAAGTCAAACTGTGTGTCTGAAGGAGTTACGCCTTATTATCAACAAGTGATTTCATTTGATAACGTATAATTATTGACACTTGTCTACTATCATAAAAAACAATATCGAGATACTTTTAAGTAATGAAACATTCGTAATTGTCCCTGGTCATAAACGAGACCTTCGACATCATTTGTTTACGATATTTATGAGAACATGTTCTACGAAGAGAAAAACTTACCGAATTCATTCAAAGAACGAACAGTCGTGTGTTGATTGGATTTCGGTGGAATACGACGTCGTTTCGTAAAGACACACGTACGTAGAAAACGAAAAGATAATGGATTTGAATAAGGCAAATTTCGTCTTTTTATGACAATCTTTGGGAACATCGACACTCGTTCGAGTGTCGAGTACGATGATTTCCAACTCATTCTACTCCTATGCTCCAAACTGTGTTAGTTTACTTATGTAGATCATATCGTACAACAATCACTAATATAAATAGAGAGTGTATATCAATCACCGTATGTTGTACAAGGTTGGTATTACCCTCAGTACATATGCAAACATAATGCTTCGTCTCTTGTCGTTTTTTTTTTATTCGATTGACGATCATTTGTAGAATACACAAACATAGCTAGGGAAAAAAGGACGACGACTGATCAGTCATTAGCAAAATCAATAGATCGCTAGAGGTGGTCTGGTATTCTGTCTTCTTCTCGAGAACTGACGACAACTCATTTATTCAATGGACTATGCTATACCTATCGTATCTGGTATATTGATCTGTGCTATTATATCATCAGTCAATGATTTGTTTCTTTTCTAGATTTCAATTGTGATATTGAAAACAAATATCTTACAAATTGATGAGTGATGAGTTTTGGACGAAGGTAGATTCTGGATATCAGTCGCCGACGTTGACGTAATCGAAGATTCTAACAAACACAAAGATATTTCTCTTTAGTAATCAATCAAGACAACATCCTTTGAAACTCATTGACAGTTACTCATTTACTGCTAAAGGTTAATCGGTCATTTAATGAGACATAAACAAGATCGATGATCGATCAATCTCACATTAACAAACGACTTATCTCGATCATTTACCTGTGATTTCCGATGCATTCGTTTCATCCGAACTTTTCAAACAATGTATTTTCCAGTTGGGCATAGTCGTGAAGTGATCTAAAAGAATTCAGAAGAGAAATACACATGCACACATCATGCTTGTCACTTAATGAACGAAACAATACTCACATGATGAAAGTTACGAAGACGATGATCTGATGTAATATATAACTACGATGAAAAAGAAAAAGACCGGTGAATGTTCGATACGATGAAAACTAAAAGCATGAATATGTCTCGAAATACGCAAAGCTTTGATATGTTCGTCTCTGTTTTTGCGCACAGAAATGAATTTATCAAATGACGATATAGGGCGAGAGAAAAAGAGACGAAGAAAAAAAAGCAATCGATGATAATCGTTTTTTCCTCTTCCCCCCGATCAAAATGACCAACGAAGGATTGCAAAAAAAAACACACAACAACTCGAGATGTTTCTTTTGTACGATCGTACAACATCGAAATAACCAACTGACATCGAAGCAATTTTTGCTACATTTCATCGAGTTAGACAACAATTATATTGGCAAGGTGATACACAATGACAATGACAATCGAAATTAGATAGAACGTCTGATAGAGAACTGTGACGAAATGATGAAATGAATTCTTGGTTTGTATAATTGAAATATACGACAGAGAGAAGACTTTTTTTACGCCTTGTAAATCTGATCGTTGTATTCGTCAACGAGAGTAAAATAATATCGATGACATGTTTTTTCAGACAATCTTCAAGCGCATGAAATGTATCAGATTTACACTTCGTGCATAAACGTGTCTTCTGCCGACTAATTAAACTTGATTTCTCCTAACATGAAGTTAATTGACACATTGGCCTAAGCTTATTCTCTTCATGGCGAATACACCTGTATCGATTGCTTCACAATGTCTCTTCGCTGCGCTAGATTGATTTTTCTTTGCAGGGCGTATCCGGATGCATTTGTTTTGTAAATAAAATCGCGAACGGACACACATGACTGACAATAATTTCGTTGAGTTTATAATTTATATCTATGATGACCAATCGTACCAAGAACAACATTTTCAATTTGTTGACGATCTTCTTTGTCTATTAAACGATCAAACCGACAAGACGAAGGCTTGTTGGATCGAAGTGATCAACCGAAGTGACGTCGAATTACCAGCGAGTATCAAAACATTATGCGAATACTTTCATATTCATCCATTGACAATCGAAGATATAACAACGATCACACCAAATATGAAATTGGATTTATTCCATGATCAGCCAATCTTATATTTACTCATACAGATCATTTCATGGAATGATAAACATGTCGAACAACAACAACTCTCGCTCTATTTGAAATATTTCGAAAATATTCTAATTACATTTCAAAATCAATCGACTCGTGGGAATGATCTTTTTGATGAGATTCGAAATCGACTGCGACGACAAAGAATTCATCCTGGAGATGAATCATTCTTCTCTTCACATGGCCGATTAAAACAAATGCACGTTGATTACTTATTCTACTGTTTACTCGATGCTATTATTGTGAAGTACGTATGATTCAGATCTTTTCTTTCCCAATTAAATCAAATTTATTTAGATATATGGACGTCTTAGAAGACATTGCCATACATGTCGATCATTTCGATGAACAATTAATGACAAACAAAAGATCTTTGTCTCTTGATACATTCTATCGTATCTATCGTGTCAGACACGATTTACTTCATTTAAGAATATTATTCAATCGATTGAAAGAAACGATATCTCGTCTACAACGGACAAATTCCAACACCAATGCATATCGTCGAACCGATCATACCTATCGTATGCATTTAAACCACCGTCTTGTCCGGCGACAAAATACGATTTTCCGCCTATCACCACAAACATCCTTTACTCATTTAAGCGAACTGGCCGACAATACGAACAGCCCGCCACCGAGACTGCGAAGACCATCGATTGTTTTCAATGAGTACATCTACATGTATTTAAATGATTTACAAGATCATATCAATCAATCGATTGACACCGTGGAAATTCAACGTGAGAGTGTGGCTGCGTTAACATCGCTTTGGATTAATTTGAATAATAATGGAACACAAGAAATCTTGAAATTACTCATGTTGATCACCGTTCTTTTCATGCCGTGCATTTTTCTAACTGCACTCAGTTCAACTAATTTTCAAGTTCAGCCACAGCTTCAATATGAATATGGATATTATATTATTCTGACTGTCTTAGGGTCAATAATTGTCTCAATGGTGACATGGTATAAACTTAAACGGTGGATTTAAGTTCTAAAATTTCTTTTTTTTTGTATTGAACGTTTGACAAATGCTCTTTGTATGTCGACGGAGTACAAGATTGAATAGTGAGACATTAGTTTACTGAAATTTATAGAAATATTACATATGAAGCCAAAATACAGCTTTCACTGATATCAGAATAAACATATTTTAATACACAGGTCGTTGATGTCTCGGCGGCGCACTTGTTCGTGGCCGTTCGATGATATATCTCGTTCGACTTGGTCGATTATTTGCAAAAGTTCTTGGTTTTATTTCAGGCGGTGCTGGTTCGGATTCAGGGACGTAATTTGGATTCGGATGTTGATCTCGAGCCATTCGCCGCCACCGTTCTAATAATGTATAAGCACTGTATTCAATTTTCTCTTGATCTTTCATCGAGTCTAGTAGACCACGGTGTCGACCCATTAGCATCGTTGATATAAGTACAATTTTCGATGGTACAGACAATACTGTTGCAAATGACGATTTTAAATTTGGATAACCTGTTGTTAATCCCACCGCGCCAAACGCAGATACAACTTCGAAAACAATCCGAAAAAACGTGACGTTTTCGTCAATAGGTGTTATATGGTACGATTCGAACGCACAGATGGCGAATATAAATATGAATAACCATGTGCGCGTCCGAGTTAATAATGTAAATGAATGCGATAACATTCGACGCGCCATAAGAAAAATAAAGAGTCGAAGTTTAATTTGAATGGTCTTTCGCGTACGACTTGGACTACGATTTAGACGGGCATTGTTGGGGGCGAAGTATCGTTCAGCGCGTTGTCGAGCATCTAAACTATGATTTCGTAGATACCGATGTAAATGGCGAATGGGTAAAACATTGGAATTTATTGATAAATCATCCATAGAATCAAGTGATGACTGTCGACGTTCTGCTTCGATGAAAACCGTTTCTTTGTCTTGAATTGTTTGCCATTCTAATTCAAATGGAGCTTTGTCTAATGCGCAGAGCATTTGAGGTTTAACAGCCATAAGTAGAACATAAACCACAAGTGTGCCTTGAGCAAGTAGAGTTATATCAATTGTCTGAAAGCCAGCAAATCGCGCCTGAACAGTATGAAATGCAAATATCAATAGACGTTTACCAGCTGAGTAACTTGCAAAACTTTGAGAATTAAAATCAAGAATAAGTGAAACAATGATGCTAAGTGCGTAGAGACCGAATGTCACAGTTAGATACATTCGTGTTTGTATAGTAGGAAACAGAACCGTAGACAAACGATGATTGTTTAAAAGAATATAATCGAATATAATCTTCCGATGCCATGGAACAATCCAACGAATAAACATGATGACATTGCGAAATATAAATGGAAAAAATGTATTTCCACTCATGACTAACTAGAATATACATCAATTTCAGTTATAATTCGCAAAGAGAGAGAGAGAGAGGAAACATCTTGCACTTACTAGCATGACAAATATACAAAGTACTGTATCATCGACAAATCGTATTAGATTATCTGACCATGGTGTTAATCCATTCTGATTAAAACCAGTCACTGTGATGATGAATGCTGCATACCAAGGATTGACGGGTCGACCATCTTGTTTCAAATGGTACGGTTCATAGTGGGATTGAATCCAACCACCAATGCAAAAGTAAGCACCAAGATAAATTGTTATACAGGTCAAAGGAATCAGTGCTAAGCATGACAAATACGCTCGATAGCGAAGTTCTTCCGCAGTAGGCAATCGAGATATTTTCTCCTCAGCTTCGAATGAGTATTCACATTTGCGTGCTGATTCCGATAGAATACGGTAGGCTAAATGATCATTGTCAACCATAATGCCCTGTTCGCGTTTGTGTGTTCGTGCTTTGATAATTAGCGCTGGCAGAGTACTAACAGTTATACCGCTGGCTAAGGTGAAAAGCATCAAAGCAACTTGAGAATAAGTGGATAGACGAGCGAAATCTAGTGTTGATAAACCACAATTATAAACGCAAGATGAAGCTATAAACCAGGCATCGATATATCGAACGCGCATTAATCGATTTGGTTTGATATAATTTTCTATAATGACAACGACCAATCCACCTAGTAAGCCATTGAAAATGAAAATAAATATATGAATATAGAAATAATCTCTCATATGCCATCGATATCTTTTCCACCAGGACCGTTTTCCGCTGGGCGAGGCTGATGACGATATATCAGAAGTTTTATTATCGCTTTCATCAAGTATTCTATGATCAGATCGTGAATCCATTCATCTGTTATGTACGCATATGAATGTGCAAGGCAGGTTACAATTTAAAATCGATTGCGTAAGGAACTGTCGCACTTGGTGACTCGATTTTTTTTAGGTATATCGTTGAGCATGATATTAATGTATGGGTATATTTATTCATACACACTGTAAAAGATTGTTTGTACAAGGAGAGAATGTGAACATACTACAATTTGATTGAATGACTCTGTTCTTTCTTTTTCAAGCGATTGAACGGAGAATAGGCAGTTCTGATTATAAGAAACTATTTCTCTTTCTCTGCTTCTCTTCTTTAGGTACACTGATGAATTTAACTTGCCCGTCAATGCCATAGGTACGAGGTTGAAAAATCAAAAATGCAAGAATTATGTTTACTGATGAGGTAAGGTCAAACAAAAGCGATATGTGTCTTTGTTCAGCGTGATTAAGAATGAAATAATCGCCATGATTGAACAGAGCTGTTTCTACTACTTCGATCGAGTGCATTTTACGTTTAAATTTCAATTTTTATCAAGTAAAAATCACGAGGACATATATGCGTGTGAGTGTGTGTGACACATTTTCAATAATTAATGAAAACTCTTCAACCATCCGATTTTGCGGTCAGCATAAAAATTCATTCAACTGTGCTCGTAATCAACAGTCCATAAGAAAATGATCCAAACAAGAGAGAACAATCAAAAAATTTGAATACAATCAACAGGTTGGAATAACGCAGACAGAAAAATAATACGTAATAGATGAGTTACAACACACTTGTTACAAAACCGGCTTATTTTTGATCAATGCAATCACACTTGTATTCAGTAATTGATTGAAATACTCCTTGCACTGCGTGTCGATCGTATGACTCAACATTGAATGTTCAATCACGGTGTTGGCTGATGTGAATCTACATCATGTCGTTTTTATTGACAATCGATGAATATGAAAGATTGCTTCGGTACATTTTCGCAATCTTTGAAGAAAAACTGTTCGAAACAAGCGACTAGTCAGCGTGTAAATATAAAACGATTTGGCATAGTTACTATAGTAAAGAAGCGTTGTAAATGACATTAGAAATGATCCAATCATTTTGTCATAACCCTTTAGTGGTGGTCCGAGAATATAATATGCATAATAGATCATTCGTGTTAGTGTTAATAATGAACTTAAACCAACTTGAACTAACATCATCTAAAAGAATTAAATAGACTGCAATTATGTTTCGAGGAAATAAATTACTAAAATTAATTGCCGTTCAGTTTTATGGCTGGGCCGAGGTGTACTTCGATTGCTGGTTGTAATTGTGTCTATTGGAATTTCCATAAATTTCCTTTGTCGCACGCGTTTGATATGCAATAAAGTAATAAAACCGAAGATTAGCATAAGTATATGAGGAATGACTCCAAGCCAAAAGACGACAAACAGACCATCGAATATCGCATAAGTTCCCACAAGTGTTGAACATCTTGGTCGCAGATCGTACGTAATTAAAATATGAGAACAAGAAATTAAAGCAACAAGAATGGCGATGATAACTGAACGATAGGCGTTCTTTATACGACTAAACGAACGTAAACACGCATGAGTTGACGATGACATACAACGATCGATAGCTGATAACAGTATCAAATAAGTGGCAATCAGTGGAATAGCAGACACAAGATAAGCTCGCAATTTACAATAGAATCGATCTGTGTTCTGTAGATTGCTACCTAAATGATCAGCAGCTAAGCGAGAAATCAATCCGAATGTAATCGAAAGAAATTCAAATACTGATGCGCAAAGAAAATAGAACGCACATGAATTTTGACGTAGTTGGCGGGATGTGAATGTAAGAAAGTTGCATAAACAACCGAAAATGCCCACAATCAGGAGAAGAACCGGTCCATAATAAGTCATCTGTATGGTGACAATTTGAATTGTTGCTCTTGTTGTTAGATCACGAGTCGATGACGACACATTCATATCACACATGATAAAAAGATTTTCGCTTTTGAATATCTGACTCAGATTAAATTTGTATCGAAATCACCAGCTGTCAACGTTCTCACGATGACAACTACTTTTCAATCTACGTCGAAAAGAAACCTTTGTTGGTTTATCGTCACTCACAGATCAATCTGAGAAATATGCGTAGTCACTATGCTCATCCTTTTCTATTTGTCTTCGTTGATGCATGTGATCTTTGATGCGAAAGAACGGCTGACGTGATTTTCTCCCTTGCCCATAGGAAGTCACGTTATCAAATAGATCGGTTCTTTATGTTGTTCTATTAAATGTATTTGCATATCCTAAATAGAAAGTGCTCAGACTAATAATTGGTGAGCAATATGGTCGAATCGTATCGTTCATTTATAACTCTTTGATTGTGAATGATTTTAATTATATGTTCAAAGAGTTTTAGTATTCGATCGAATCTATCATCGATCGACGAGATGAGAGAATACTGAATATTTTCTAACAACTCCAAATCGGTATATGACCTTCGTACTTGGTTTGATTAACATAAACATAATTTAAGCTTTTTCCATACTGGACTGCTTCTCGTGAATTCCACGTGAGAGTCGGATGTAGACTGTTTCAATCTGTTGATTAGTTGCATTTCAATTATGCTAAAAGCCGTCTCACAATTGAAAATCTATTATGTCATCATCAGTAACGTATGCTCTCCGTGCTTCGATAAATAATTCAAATTTTCATACAAATGAACCATTTTCAAGGCAATCGATTCGAGTAGAAGATCTTTTCAATGAAATCGTGGTAGACAAAGCATTCGTTTGACATTCACCAGCAGATGTTGTACTGATTGACTATTTATAAGTTATGCAGATATAATAAGAACAACTGACTTTTATCCTGAACTCTTGTATTTTAGTTTAATCTAATCTTGACAGGAAAGTTTCTCTTTAGATTATCATCTACTTCCATGTCTTTTAGTTGAATGGAAATGAAGATAAAGTTTGACGCATTTTTTTCTTTTGTTTTACAACACTCATTTGTGTATTGCACACATAATCCTTGATGGTTGATCTGATACTTTAGAATTTGGTGGTGAATTGATGGCCTTGGCTTAATATGAAATTCGGTACAGTCTATTTTAGACAGAATAATATTTCCCTCAAAATGTTCGACATCAAACTCTGTTGAGACAGTATCCACAATGTCTTTTACCTCGCCAGCACTAGACGGATGTTTCCTTGACGTATTTAGTTACTTTGAAACGAGATCTTTCTTCACTAGCAACAATAACAGAAAAGTAAAAGAGTTGAAAAAACATTCAGTACACATGTGACGACCTGCACCGTGTTTTTCTCTCGGTTACAGAAATACCTCGGATACGGCGACTGTCTGTGTAAATTCTTCGACATAGATGACATAGAGAAGAAAGAAAGACATTATTTTTTCTTATAAAGAAACTCAAGTAAGATTCAATATTGTTATTTTATTAAAAATTAAGTGAATCAATAGAGTGTCTGCAGAATTGTTCGTAGAGTTTAAAGAGAAATGAGACAAATGGAGATGTTATTTCATAGCCTAGCAAACGGCAATTAACAGCCTGATCTAGTTCTTTTTTTAATCAGTAGTAAACAAAAGAGATCTTATGCCATTGCAACACCTTATACGATTGCACTCGCGTGCAGTTAGGCCGTCTTCTCTCTCATGCGCTCAAAGAGCATCTTGAGAAAAACTAGGAAAAGAAGCGATCATTTTTTCCATTAAAGAAAATAAGTCATTTCATGTCTTTTAGTTGAATGGAAAGCGACTTATCATATCATTCCAATTCATCAATCACGTGTATAATGTTCGACTCACATGCACTTTGCGTCGTTTGTGGAGCACCTGCCATAGGTAATCGTATGAATCTTATAAGAATTTCGATGATGAATTAGCGTGATTTAGGACGAAATTTCGATGCGTATACTTGTTTATCTTGTAAAGGTAACAAATACGAATATTTTTCAAAATATTTGCTCCTCTATTTCTTGTATATAGCATTTTTCCGTCGGAATGCTTACAATGATCAGGTAAGTTAATTGTTGTCAGGTTTGATCTATATAAAAATGATTCATCTTTTCGCTAGGTTCGTTTTACTTGTCGTTCATCAAGATCATGTGAAATAACAATATTGACTCGACGACACTGTTCGGCGTGTCGTTTAAATAAATGTTTCCAACAGGGAATGAAAAAGGAACTTATTCGAAGTTTAGTAGCGATTAAACAAGCTACATCAGGGACGACATTTCATCGATCTCGTCGTGAATCTCAATCTGCTCGATTTACCACGGTTCGTTCATCATATATGAAAGATACTTCAATTTCAAAAGATTTTTCTTTAGATCAATCACGGTGTTGTTGATGATCAATCAATTTTATCGTTAGATGATTGGAATTTATTAACTAACATTCAAAATGCTTATGAAGAATATTGCATTGAACGATTCCTTGCCTCTCACGAACGAATACCTCTGGTAGTCACTACTCAACCATACCGCACACGAATTAAACTCCAGCGTTTGATTGATCTAATCAAAAAATACTATTTCATTGTCGCTTCTTTTATAAAACGTATTCTCGAATTCGATCCATCGACTGAACATGATTATATTTACATTCAGAAGAATTTACGAACACTATTACTTCTAAATGTTAGTGAACTGATGAAATGCAATGTTTTAAAACATGTACCGTGGGAATACGATCGTTGTTTATTCGAATTGGTTCTAACCGAGGACATACTTCAACGCTTTGAAGAACATTTACATATCTACCAAACCATTTCACCGCACGATGTAGTGACAATCAAGCTATTCCTTATCAGCCTTGCATTTTCTTCTCGCGTCTATCCGATCTTTAAGAAAGATAAATATCATTCAAAGGATTTCTATCCATTTCCACAACGGCTTCTTCTAGCTCAAAATTATTACATAACATTACTATGGAAGTATGTGATATACCGACTAGGGACCTACAATGCTATTATCTATTCAGTCAGATTTATTCAACATTTTCTTCGTCGGCAAACACTTGATGCTGACGTCTTGGACATAATCTACAATCGAGATGATCATGGACAACTAGTTGCACTTATTCGAAGCGAAATTAGTGATAATTAGTAAGAGACGAAGTGTTTCCGATATTGTAATTGATGTTATGAATGGTTATATAAATATTTCTGTATTGATTCAATAGAGTTTTGGTCAAATCCTTACATAGTAGATTAATCTTTCACATCTCTGCTTTCCTTTTCTCTATTCCACTGCAGAAAATGCACTTACATCGAATCAGAACACTCCATGATCAGATTTCACGGATAATCTGGATATGATATAACATGAAATTCTACCTGTTCAACTTATTTCTACACATAGAGAGAAACAGAAAACTAATTAAAGGATGTAGTTTACAGACGAAGTCTAACTTTTCTTTTTCTTTTATTTAATTTAATGAAGGGTAATTTTTTCCTTTTGTGGCATCATTAATGAGCTTACCCCATTTTCCATAAGCAAGAATATGTTGGAAGGTTAACATGGCGCATTATTTATAAACGGCGGTGTTGCGAAAAATCAAAGTACATGTCAACTTTGATATAGCAAATGTTTTTTTTACCCACTTCGTTTTAGACTATCCTTTGTCAAGATTAGAATTCTCTTAAAAGTATGAGTGATTGAAACAATTATTGCATATAAAGAGGTATAATAGGTTTGCCATCATGATCAAGTGCGTTCTTAGATTTTTAACGAAGTATTTCATTCTCGTCACTCACTCCTAATTAGAATTTCAAAAAAGTCTATAAGAAACTCTTTGCAAGCTATCGAAATGAACGTACACTTGAACAGGGACAAATATTGAATTAATTATGGATAAGAAGAATGCAAAGTAGCCTATCTGATGATTTGATCATGTTTTTGAAGTATCAACAAAGACACGCTATACTTGTTTGGTCTTGAATGCTAAAGACTTTTTACTCGAATGACGTCAAATTGACTTTCTTTATACAGAAAACATACGCTCATGTGGCAGATTTGGATTAAGAGCATGCATATTCGATACGTTTCGCGCGTAGGAGTACAATCTGATTTTTCTGCCGGTGACACCGAGTCGTTATATTCATGACGAACTTGTCTTCGTTTGTAGTTTTGATGCTACTCGTAAAATAGTGAAATTAATCAATTTACGAATTGGATCACAATCATCAGAATTCGTTGCGTACGATACTAGCGACCTACGTGTGGTTGATTGGCCGTACAACAAGAGCCAATCATCGAACTATGAGTCATGCGATTCACTTACACAGGTATTATTCATTGGTTTGATTGATATACTACTTCCATTTTCATGCATATTTCTGTTATCATAAATTGAGAATGTTTAAAAGTAACAAGTCTAATAAACCTGCAAGAAAGTCAGGCGGTGGAGCGGCTCTCATGCAACAGGTCTGTGCGATAACAAGCTGAGAATTTGTGTTTGTTACTAGTTAATTTTTCGAGTAGATGGGTTTTCAAATGCCAAACTTTGATGAATCAGGTACGGGTATGAATGACGACGACGATGATGATGATTTGGAAGCTGAACTGCAAAGATTACAGCAAGGAATGGGTGGTGATTCAAGAGGGAAAGCCAATCAACGAAAATCAGGTTGGTAGACATTGAGTGATTAATTATATTCTCTAAATAGAGGATATATTCGCTGTTGTGATATAGGTGGACCGGCACAAGATCTCAAAGCATTTCATAGTGATGTACATAAACTTCTTCAAGATATTGATCGGCCGGTAAATGATGACGAACTTTCTGATGTCGATGACGATGAACTGCTTGTAAGTCTACATGATATTCAGTGATTGCTATGAACGAATTTCTGTCGTAGGCTGAACTCAATGAAATTACCGAAGATATTGAACACGATTCGCACGAACCACCAAAACAAGCACAAGCCGCATCTACTGGAAACATCCTGTCCTTACTCGAAGGACGCCAGGATATGTATAATAAGGCATTAGCATCTGCAAAGGCTAGTGGTGATGCATCTAAAGCGAGACGTTTAGACCGACAATTAAAAGTACGCTTTGCAATATTTCGTAGACTAGTTTCCATTATTGTGTTAAATACATAGACTATTCAAGAACTGCTTCACTCGGCTCGGACCGGTGCACCCATCAATGAAAGTGACATTCCGCCTGAAGTATTCATTGCTCCTTCGCCAGGGTCTGTTCCAGCAAGAGCTCCTCCTACAATTGAACAACCTCCATCGGCACCACAACCACGTGCCGTGCCTACAGCGCCCCAACCTCAAGCAGCAGTTGTACCTCAGCGACCTTCGCAACCACGTGCTGTACCATTGCCACAACCGACTGCCGCAGTAGATCATTCGGTAGTCTATCGAAGTGAGTTAACTTCTCAAATTTCGATCATCTAATCGTCGATGAACATGTATAGCACAAGTACCTCCGACTACAACAGATTCAGATCCAGCTGTTGCTCGATTGAAAGCTTTAGCTTTACAAGCTAAACAACAAGGAGATATGGCTAAAGCAAAAGAATATATTATTCAACTAAGAGTAAATTTGTTATTCTACGATTTCGATGATACTATTGACATTTTAAAATAGACCTTACAAGGCAAAGCAAGCATTGCTGCTCCTTCGACGACTCAAAAAGAGACATATGATAATGTCCCCGATGATGATGCTCCACCACCACCTTTGCCACGTGAGTAAAAGAATTTGTTATGATTTTGTCAATTGTTAATGCTCTTGTGTCTGATGTGCAGTAAAAGCTCCAGAACCAAGTACAATTATGGAGGCGTTACAACAACGCCATGAAGAATTAACTAAACGTGGTGAAGAGGCAGCTACTAAAGGAGATTCATCGAAGGCAAGACGAATGGAGCGATTGTCTAAGGTACTGTTCTCATACGTATATCGCATTTATAAACTACGCATTTTGACACCAATAAATTTGATTCGTATTCACTCTGTCTTATAGCAATATGAAGAAGCTATTGATGCTACCCGTAAAGGTCGTCCATACGATTACGCTGAACTACCTGATCTACCAGGTTTTGCTCCTATTCCTGTTCAGCAGGGAAAACCACAACCATCTGGTCCAGCTTCATCAAATTCAGCAGCGAGACCATCACCATCGAATCCACAAGCTCGACCATCGCAAGGACAACAGCAGCAACAACGTCAAAATCTTCAAGTAGTAGCATCTTCTAGCGCAACAAGTAAATTACTATTGACATTGTTTTCTTCATTTTGTTTCGATTCGCATTCAGGCGCAAGGAAAAGCCAACAGGCCCAAGTATTACGTCTTAAACAAGCCAAGTTTCATAAACTTGCCTTACAAGCAAAACAAAAAGGTACCTTGACACATTTTCCTTCTTCGCTAACTGTTTTTCTGCCATCTTAGGTGATCTTGAAACAGCAAAAAAGTTCCTTATCGCATATAAAGGACTCGAACAAATGATTGCTGCTGCTGAGGCAGGCTTACCTATTGATATGGGTCAAGTATGCTAGTTCTCATCTAATCTGAAAGAAAGTTCCGTATGTATTCTTTTCAGGTACCTAAATTACCAGATGATGATAACAATGACTTAGTGACTGATGATGATTTAACACAAGATTTAGCTAATGCGGATCGTGATACTGTTTTTCGTCGCTTACAAGATGACCTTCTTCGCCAAGTTCAACTCTGTGCACGTAACGAACAAATCTATGCCCAAATGGAAGAACCAAACAGTGCCAAGCATGCAAAAGAGTATAAACATCTCGAACAACGCTGTGCACATGATCTTGAAAAGTTGAGAAAATGCTTTCAACATGGTTTAAAGCCACCACTGTTCCATTATGAACGACGACAAATGAATATAATCCAAACAAATAATGATCTCGGAGAAAATGATCTTGAGGTAACTTTTGAGAATATTTTCAACATCAATTCGAAATCTGTCGTAAATCTCTTCGCTTAGGTGATTATTATACGTGGTATTAATCTACCTGTTCCTTCGGGGATTTCTTCGTCATCACTGGAAACTTATGTTGTTATCGAATTTCCTTATCCCACGGAAACTCCTCAAGTAGCTCGAACTCGTCATACTGCCGGCTCTACCAATGCTGAATACCCTGAATCCGTGCATAAATTCTATATCAAACGTAACGATGCTAAATTCAAACGATTAATGAATCGAAAAGAATTGAAACTCGGCGTTTTCTATAAACCTGGTTTTCTTCGATCAGATCGCCCATTGGGTGTTGCATCGGTCAAATTAGCAGCATTGGAACAAACATGTACCATGCATGAATCCGTTGATTTATTTGAAAGTGAACATAAGAAAAAGATTGAAGGCAAACTAGAAGTGAAATTACGTATTCGAGAAGCATTGGGACAAACGAAAGCATCGGATATCTTACCACAACGATGGCTAGTTATCGATAGTTTCGAAGAACTGGTAAGTTTCACAGAATCCACACTCATATCTTCATTCTTTCACATCTATATTGTAGCCGCAAAGTCATAAATCATCATCGACCTCGAAGTATGTTGGAAACCTTTTTTCCGATAAGAGTGCACTTATTACTGTTCGAACTACTAATTTACTCGACAATTCCCCCTACGTTCACACCTAATTCAGGTCGTCATCTTCTGGCGCTGCTGCACCAGCAATAACGGCTATTGCTCGTCTGGTTCCTACAGGCGAAGCACTAGGCCAACTGGCTATAAGTATGGCAGAACCTAAGGATAAAGATGAAGGAGTAACGGATAGCAGGTATCCATGTGCTTGAGTTTCGGAAATGAAGTATTGCATTTGTGTGTGTATGTGTGTGTGTTATCCCACAAATCCATGCATGGTTTGCACCCTGTATTAGCTCTATTTGACATGTATATATTTTTCCTCAATTGTTAAGTAGTCACCAACAACGACGAAGCCATCAACCCCAACCAGTACCTGTGCCAGTTTCAACGACTCCACAAAGTATCCAAGTGCTTAATTACGAAGCATCACGTCTACAACAACAGGTTAGTTGTCGGCTTCATTGAAGAAAGTTGTCTTATTTCGTGAGTAGATTGAACAACTACAAGACCGTCTTACAACAGAACAACTTCACCAGTTACAACGCAAACTTCGTGAGATCGAAGATCAAAGTGATCGATTAGTTGAATCGTTACGTACGGGAGGAAAACAGGTTCTAAATGGTACGTTTCACTGTTGTTTCTTCTTTTCAAATCGATTTTTCTTTCCTGTAGAACATCTTCGTAGTCTTGAGGAATTGATTGATTATTACGATCAAGAAGCACGTGAATATCATCAGCGACATGATTCGAAAAAAGCAGATGTTTGTTTGACTAAAAAGAAACTCGTCGAAAAAGAAGTAAAATCTTTCGTAAAATTCGACTTGTTCTATACATGTTTCTCTCTTTCAGATCGGTACGTTAACAGGGCAGCCATCGTCGACAACTACGTCAAGATTTTAACATTTTCTCATCATTTATTTGCTTTTTGTATTAATTTATTGTACGCTTTTTTTGCATTATCGAAATACCAGCGAGAACGATGATTTTTTTCCGACAAATAATTAAATTTCCTACGATATCTAAGTATCATATAATTAAAAAATCAACATCCTCAATTCTTCTCTCCACTGTCTGTTTTTTCCTTCATTTATTCCAATCAGAAAACAAGTAACAAATAGACCGCTGATCGTTAAATTAATATTGTAATTCACTTTCGATTAATTTCTTATATTGCTCAAAACCGTACTCAAGTGAAGTCACACTACCATTCCGGCAAAGCCAAGCTTCCGTACAAACACGTTTGATCATCAATTCATCGTGAGAGACAAGTACCACACCACCTTGGAACTTCTTGATGGCTTCGGCTAAAGCTTCGATTGTTTCCATATCTAGAAAGAATCGTACGCATACCAAAAATGGAGAAGATCTATAGTCACAGTTCTTACCGAGATGATTGGTCGGTTCATCTAGTACGAGAATGTGTGGGCTAAACAATGGGAAACGAAGTAATTATGTCTGATGAAAGAAAGCATTCATACTTTTTCATACACATCAAACTGAATGCAACCCGACATTTTTGTCCACCAGATAAGCTGAGAACAGATTGTAGAGCTGTGTCACCAGTTATACCAAAACGACCGAGTTCGGTACGATATTGTTCGATAGTTCTACCGGGATATCTCGATTGCAAAACTTCCACCGAATTGATATTCATTGGCAATTGATCGACAAAATGTTGTGTAAAGTAACCAACTACTAAATTTCGATGACCATGCCGTTGTCCTTTCGTTGGTTCTAATTCTTCCACTAATAGTTTCAACAAAGTGGTTTTGCCTGATCCATTTTCACCCATAATACAAATACGTGATTGAAGATTAGCTGAAAGATTGACGTTATTCAATATCAATCGGCTATCTTTCGAATAAGAAAATGCAACGTCATCTAACTGCATAATGGTACCATGTAGTGGCTCAGGATCAGGGAAACGGAAATGAACTTCATGATCCTTTTCAACTGGTCGAAGAATCGGCCTAGTTGATTCAAAAAAACAAGGTTTGCGATGTTGTTACATTAGTCTGTATTCGTTTAACTTACAATTTTTCTAAGAGTTTCAGTTTACTCTGTACTTGTGCTGCACGATTAGCATTGTATCGAAAACGATCGATGAATACCTACAACAATGAATATTTCTCCTAGAAACTATTGACTTTCGTTCTACCAACCTGAATATGATCGCGATATTCCTTTTGTGCTTCATATTCTCGTTGTTGGTTTTTCAAACGTTCCGTTCGAGCAGAAACAAACGTATCATAATTGCCGCTATGAAAACATAAGACTATGAAGAGAAAAGAGTTTTGAATAGACTCCTACCGATAAGAATCGAGTTTTTGCGAATTCAAATGTAGAATATCAGTTGCAACAGTATTAAGAAATGTTCGATCGTGTGAAACAACTAAAATCGTACTTTTCCATGTTTGTAAATAATTCTCTAGCCAAATGATTGCTTTGAGATCTAACATATTTGTCGGTTCATCGAGTAAGAGAAGATCAGGTCTAAATCATTCGTACCAATAGAAACAATTTTCACTTCAACTAAACAATATTTACTTGGAGAACAGAGCCCGTGCCAAGGCTAAACGCATTCGCCAACCGCCAGAGAACTCTCTATTGAACGAAGGAAATAGAATTGATAGAAGCCGAAAGTGAATTGACTCTTACTTAGTCGCCATTGCTTGCATTTGTGACGTAAATCCGAGACCATTCAAGATTACAGCTGCTCGTGACTCAGCTTTATGTGCTTCAATGGCTTCTAACTCCGCATAGATGGCTGTCAAACGTTTTGATATAAACGAATCTTGAGCAGCTGACGAACCGCTACTAGAAATAGTGCTGGATGAGGATCAAATCAGAGAAGTACGGTATGTTTTACCTTGTTTGTACTCTTTTATTTAATTCTTTTTCTTCATTCAACAATGCATTTCGTCGTTCATCACATTCGAGAACACTTTGAAGAGCAAGAGTATCAGTACCTTCAATCTCTTGTTCAACGTGTAATATTCGAATATGGGAAGGAAGTACAAGATTTCGACTACAGAATGTACGAAAGAATTATCTTATTTTCTCTATCTCATCAAAAGTTACTTAGCAATCACACGCAGTAACGTTGATTTACCCAAACCATTTCGACCAACGAAACCATATCGACGGCCATAGATGAGATCCATTGTACCACCGAGAATTAACATTCTAATAGAACAATAACAACTAAATAGCGATCGAATATGATCATCTTACTTGTTTCCGTAGGACACATCAAAATTATCAATATGAACGTCGTATCTAATTGTATAGACAAACAAATCGAAATCGAGTTTGATCAATGGAAAATATGAACTTACGATCGGCTTGCTGAGTCGCTATTTTCGCTATCTGTTAGTAGTTTTTTATTAGTTGCTTGACTAACAACTGCTTCTTCTAATCTCGCTTGTACTCTAGAGATTCGTTAACGAAGTGAAAATCTTCTGACAAATATTTTTCTATACTTGTTCTCTCCATTTGTTCCTCCATCTCGAGCGCGTTTTTCTTGTTTTTCTCGAAGTTTCGCTTCAGCTTTTTCAAGTTTTTTCTGTGAAACTGTCGTAGATTCGTTCAATGGTTTGATCAATGAACGATCAGCTACATTGAATAAAGCCGACGAAACTTCTTCGAAAATATTTCCGGAGTAATGACCGATGGAAACTGGTGTCGAAAGTTTTTTTGGTTCATCCGTTGAATCATTTCCATTGGATAATGTTTCTCTGGAAAAGAGGTGGTGAATATTGCTTTTTCATGGAAATTTCAACATACAATTTCAATTGATCACAAACGAATTGGCAGAGATCAGCGATTGCTGCTTGTTCACGTTCATTATGAGCAACTTCTTCAAAAATAGGTCTGAGTGCATCGTCGACTTCTTGAAAATCAATATAATCAGATTTATTTGTTTCCAGAATGTCTACAAAAAGTGAGAAATAGTTCGCGAAAGAAAATGAAAGATAAAACAGACCAGTGATGTAACCCAGAATATCATCATTAACTGCTGGTAAAGTAGAACGAATTCGATTGATAATCGCTTCCATTTTTGATTGTTTTCTCGATGATTGAAGTAACTAAACGAGAGAAACGACGAAAGCAAAAAGCAAGGAATGATCAACACGAATATGTAGCTGATTGAGGAATGGAGCGAAAACGGTAAAAGAAAGTTAACCAATGAATGTACCGTATGGTAACAGTCATGATCTGACATCTCGAGGATGAGTTGTGAGCCAAGATTACTATCAGCAAATGTTGGCGATTAAAGTTGGTTGATTATGTACTTTATGTTCCATAATAATTCGAATAGTTTTGTTACCATTGAGTGACAGTGTACTGGGTAATGCAATCGAACGATCGGACAGAACTGTGACTTAAGAATATACACAAGAGTTTGATTAATTTCTATGTAAATATGATGGAAGACAGTTCATATAGTTGCTCTTTTCGTATCTATAAACTCTACAGTAAATATAAAGGTAAATACCAATTCTTATGCGAAATAGAACGCAGGTTCGAGCCATAGGAATATAAATACACTGAAAAGCAGAAACTATATTAATCATTCGCTTCCAGATCAAAATAAGTTTCTACACACAAATACATACATAGGCAATGAACGTCTCAAATACGAATAAATAAAAGCAATGCTGAATGTCATGCCCTATATCGCATCTTTCTTACTAATTACTATTCTCTACCAATGTTTTGCAAAAACAGGTAGATATTCTCTCGTCACGCACTATTTCGTTTGAAATTTATACCATCTGAATATTGATGCTTCTGTTGTAGTCAAGAACAAGTGGAGGAGTTCTTCTTGGCGCGGTGATCAAGCTGGTGCTATGTAAAATCATAACTGAACAAAAATTACATGTCGGATATCATTCAATAGTACTACATGTAATCAAGGATTTGTTTCTGTCTTAGCAATAAATGCAACGTTGCCCAAACATGTCCGAGCAACTATACAGCCTTCTATTACGCATAACTCACGTCTTGTGATAAAAACTACTGAACACGATTATTCAGATCTGCCCACACCGTGTGGGGTTTTGCTTCTTCGCCTGCATCATATGAAAAATCGTACGCTAATCAGCAGTTGGGCATTGTGCACTGGAGAGAACATTTTGAATGTAGTTCAAATCAGTGCTGGTATTCAGCGGGGTGACGTCTATTACTGATTAGCATCGTATAGTCTAGTTACAATTGGTGGCGCATCAGCAACTGTTGGTGCAGCTGACAGTTTCTCGCAATGCGGTGGATACGGTTCATTTACACGATGGCAAGGTATGCCAACGGATCAGATTCTTGAATTTGATGTTATCTTACTGGATGGACGACGAGACAACGTCAATGCTTGTTAAAATACCGATTTATTTTGTGCATTGCGTGGTGGCGGCGTTGGAGCTTTTGTTATAGTACTATCAGTTGTCCTACGTACTTATTCGTCACCCTCAGTTGTTGGCAGTTTTCAGTTTTTCAGCGAATTTTGTTCGATCATTGCCAATATTAGCTGATGACGGACGGGCTGGTTATTTCTATTCGACAGTGAACACACTTATACTCATACTTTTACTACACAACGGTAACCTTGAGGCAGCAAATTCCCGCCTGAATCCATTGTTAAATGACCATAGTGATTTTAATTTCACACAAACATATGCATACATCTTTCCTAGATTTGTAGATCTCTTTCAGACAGGTCTAAAACCATAAAATCCAACAGGTGATAATGTTATACTCGATTCTCGACTTATTCCCAGAGCGATCATCTGTACTTAAGCGCAACAAGTAGCCGAAGTCTTTCTTCAACAGTGCCAATTCTGCATGGCGAAATGCTCTACTGCACATGATCTATTCTCAAAGTTTGAATGATAATGCATCTCAAGAAGATCAAGATAAACTTGCAACAGTTGTTGCCGACAAAATAGCACTTTTGAAAACTATCTTTGGTGATTCACAATCGACTGCATATATGATTAAAGCTGATTCAAATGAAGTCAATTGGCAGCAGAAATTTTTTGGAACGACAGAACTTTACAGACAATTGAAGACAATCAAGGATAAAATTGATCCCAATGACCTTTTAAGTTGCAAGAAATGTGTCGGCAGCGATGATTGACTAGAAGACTTCAATTGTCCTAAGACATCAAATGCAAACAAAGTGGATTCATTCGCGTTAATTTGATTGAGAGCAAATCTACTTCGTATGCTCAATATCATACATCTTATCGTATGAATAAACGAAAGACAAATCATGTTCAATTAACTTTCATCGTATTAGTCAGTTTCGATGGTAGAATGCACACGTGCTATTCATCATAATAACTCACAGTAGCTTTTGATATATCTAGAGATAAGCGTTCATTAATACAGTTAGATATGAGACAAGATATTTCATTTCTCTCAAAGCTTAATTTATCGTCAACTTTTATCCTAGATCATGGTCGTTTTGAAAATATGCACCTTGAATTACGCGGAGATGTATAAGTAGCCATCAGACAAGTTTTCAATTGAAGAATTTCTTTGTATATTCATATTTGCATACGAAAGAGCTCTGTCTCTCTATCAATTTAATCACTGGAGGCAAAAATGAATTTAAATTGAAAACTATGTAAATATATACATGATATACATTTTCTATCAGACAGGTCCTATCGATAATCTTGAAATTGTTATCTATGTTCAAAATTCATATCTTTCTCTATAGATTCTACATGTGATATCAATACATATGACTCATATGAGGCCTTGGTAGTTTGAATATCAAGACTGATGTCCATGTAACATATTGCTTTGTTTCTAATTCAATATTTATCAAATGAACTACATTCACAAAATCATGAGCAGAAAAAAGAACGAGTGGAAAAGTATGATTCTATTGTTAAAAGTCTAAAACACTAATTCCATTGATTAGGTTGTGTTGATGATTCCGAATGAGCAGCTTTTGCCTAGAATAGGAATGAATGATGTTTTCAAATGGATTACATAAGTTAGAGTTACAACATACTTTTCGTTGGGTCATTATATCAGTCACTTCACGATCTTCAGGTAACATCGATGGCGATACAGGTGGACGTTGCTGCTGCTGCTGCTGCTGCTGTTGTTGTTGCTGCTGTTGATTGGATTTAGTTATTTTACCTAATTTAACTAAGATATGAACAAGACGTCGAGCAGATAATGCCTCATTCACTACAAATAATCGAATGAAAGATGAATTAGTGATTGCAAAGTCTCTTACAATTGTATCCAAGCTCTTTTCCAGCGGAAGTAACATCATTTTCTGTTAATGTGATACCAAATCGCTGTAAAACAGCGGGTATTGAAGTATAGGGTAAGCGACCTGATGGATCCATTTGCATAAAAATCTCTACAAAGACACAGTTGTTAGAGAACTTTTAAGTTTTCGATGAAAGAAACAAACCATTGAGTTGACGAACAGTTAATTTCTCGCCGGTGCCGACAGGTGGTTGTTCTTTCTACGAAGAGAAAAATTAGACAGTTGAATATCCTCATGACTCGGAAAAAATGTTCTTACCGATACAACACTTTGCTCTTTATTACTTGATACTGACTGGCCAGTATGATGAGAACGGTGACGGTGATGATGATGGTGATGATGATGGTGAACTTTGGGTTCCATCACAGGAACAGGTGGTTGCTGTTGTTGAGGCTGTGGTGCTGGTACCAGCTGCTGTTGGAACATGTTAGGTACACGCATGGCTGGATTATGTCGACCACCTGTGTCAACACTTCGCGCACGATCTCTCGCGCCTCGTTTTTGATCGGCATAAATGTTGTTGTTTGGCATCATGCTGGCCATAGGTTGGTTGGGCATGTTGGGCATGTTCGGCCATGGTGAGTTGAAGGGGAAGGGAACTTGTGGTGGGTACGTTGGACGCAGGGTGGCATGCTGTTGTTGGTTGGAATGAAATGTACGAAATGATGGTGGAAGTCCCATAGTATTTGATGCAGATCGAGATGACGTGGCATAGTTATGGGTAGAGTGTAATTTGGCTTTGCCGACAGTTGATACGGATAGTGGAGGGTAGGGAGGTTGTCTAGAATAAGGTTCAATGAGAGAAACCAAAGAAATCAAATATTAGTTTACTGTTGTGGTTGCTGGTAAACAACATGAGCAGATGGCTGTTGTCCATAGTAGAAGGGTTGTCGATAGATTGGGTTTTGTTGTGGAACAAAGGATGGAGTCATGAACAAATTCGATCGTTGCTGTTGTAACAGAGGGTTGCTGAAGTAAGGTTGAGCAGGTCGTTGCTGTTGCCAAAGATTGCCAGGATTGGGAGCATTGGGAACATAGGGCATCATCATTTTGGGATATTCTCTACTAATCTTATTTCCTTGTTGTTTACTATACGATGCCTTACGTTGACTTTCACGTGAATGACTACGATGATTAGTCGATTGTTTTTGTTGTGGTGTTACAGAAGTTTCACGTTCTTTCGAATGTGTGCGTTGATGATCAACTTTAGGCTGAGTATTACTTGTCATACGAATTGAAGATATTGTTGTATGAACAATGTTACCCGATTGGGAAATCGTTGTGGTTGTCGGTGCAACACGATCTTGATATTGGGCTGGACTGCGTGAACGTCTCGGGCTTCGGTCTTTTTTCGTGTCATTATCTGGTTCAGTTGTAATGGAAACATCNCAAGACATTGATTGCATCTTATGCTTGTAACTAATTGCGACTAACAAGCACATTTTTACTATTGTGTCGTCATTTTACAGTACAATGACAAGTGTCTCTTGGTCATAGGTACTCACATTGACGAAGGCAAACGGAACGAACAACACAGGCTATTTGCCATTAATAGTTGTTTATAGCAATCGATATGTCTGCAGTCCTCTTTTCTTTCCTCAACAAGACTAAGGCGCGAAGAAACAAAAATGAGTTCGAATTACTTAGCTACAAAAGAAAAAATCTATTGACCATGAACGCTTTTATGAAGTCAAACTGTGTGTCTGAAGGAGTTACGCCTTATTATCAACAAATGATTTCATTTGATAATGTATAATTATTGACACTTGTCTACTATCATAAAAAACAATATCGAGATACTTTTAAGTAATGAAACATTCGTAATTGTCTCTGGTCATAAACGAGACCTTCGACTCATTTGTTTACGATGTTTATGAGAACATGTTCTACGAAGAGAAAAACTTACCAAACTCATTCAAAGAATGAACAGTCGTGTGTTGATTGGATTTCGGTGGAACATGACGTCGTTTCGCAAAGACACACGTACGCAGAAAACGAAAAGATAATGGATTTGTATAAGGCAAATTTCGTCTTTTTATGACAATCTTCGGGAACATCGAGACTCGTTCGAGTGTCGAGTACGATGATTTCCGACTCATTCTACTCCTATGCTCCAATCTGTGTTAGTTTACTGATGGAGATCATATCGTACAACAATCACTAATATAAATAGAGAGTGTATATCAATCACCGTATGTTGTACAAGGTTGGTATTGCCCTCAGTACATATGCAAACATGATGCTTCATCTCTTGTCGTTTTTTTTTGATTCGATTGACGATCATTTGTAGAATACACAAACACAACTAGGGAAAAAAGAACGACAACGACGACGACGACGACTGATCAGTCATTAGCAAAGTCAATAGCTCGCTAGAGGTGGTCTGGTATTCTGTCTTCTTCTCGAGAACTAACGACAATTCATTTCTTCAATGGACTACATTGTACCTATCATATCTGTAATATTGATCTGTACTATTATATATTCATTTCTACTTGCTATTATATCATCAGTCACTGGTTTGTTTCTTTTCTAGATTTCAATTGTGATATCGAAAACAAATATCTTACAAATTGATGAGTGATGGGTTTTGGACGAAGGTAGATTCTGGATATCAGTCGCCGACGTTGATGTAATCGAAGATTCTAACAAACACAAAGATATTTCTCTTTAGTAATCAATCAAGACAACATCCTTTGAAACTCATTGACAGTTACTCATTTACTGCTAAAGGTTAATCGGTCATTTAATGAGACATAAACAAGATCGATGATCGATCAATCTCACACTTCAATCACACATTACCAAACGACTTATCTCGGCCATTTACCTGTGATTTCCGATGCATTCGTCTCATCCGAACTTTTCAAACAATGTATTTTCCAGTTGGGCATAGTCGTGAAGTGATCTAAAAGAATTCAAAAGAGAAATATACATGCACACATCATGCTTGTCACTTAATGAACGAAACAATACTCACATGATGAAAATTACGAAGACGATGATCTAATGTAATATATAACTATGATGAAAAAGAAAAAGACCGGTGAATGTTCGATACGATGAAAACTAAAAGCATGAATATGTCTCGAAATATGCAAAGCTTTGATATGTTCGTCTCTGTTTTTGCGCACAGAAATGAATTTATCAAATGACGATATAGGGCGAGAGAAAAAGAGACGAAGAAAAAAAAGCAATCGATGATAATCGTTTTTTCCTCTTCCCCTCGATCAAAATGACCAACGAAGGATTGCAAAAAAAAACACACAACAACTCGAGATATTTCTTTTGTACGATCGTACAACATCGAAATAACCAACTGACATCGAAGCAATTTCTCTACATTTCATCGAGTTAGACAACAATTATATTCGCAAGGTGATGCACAATGACAATGACAATCGAAATTAGATAGAACGTCTGATAGAGAACTGTGACGAAATGATGAAATGAATTCTTGGTTTGTATAATTAAAATATACGACAGAGAGAAGACTTTTTTTACACCTTGTAAATCTGATCGTTGTTATTCGTCGACATGTTTTTTCAGACAATCTTCAAGCGCATGAAATGTATCAGATTTACACTTCATGCGTTAACGTGTCTTCTGTCGGCTAATTAAACTTGATTTCTCCTAACATGAAGTTAATTGACACATTGGACTAAGCTTATTCTCTTCATGACGAGTACACCTGTATCGATTGCTTCGCAACGTCTTTTCGCTGCGCAAGATTGATTTTTCTTCGCAGGGCGTATCCGGATGCATTTGTTTTGTAAATAAAATCGCGAGCGGACACACATGACTGGCAATGATTTTGTTGAGTTTATAATTTATATCTATGACGACCAATCATACCAAGAACAACATTTTCAATCTGTTGACGATCTTCTTCGTCTGCTAAACGATCAAACCGACAAGACGAAAGCTTGTTGGATCGAAGTGATCAATCGAAGTGACATCGAATTACCAGCGAGTATCAAAACATTATGCGAATACTTTCATATTCATCCATTGACAATCGAAGATATAACAACGATCACACCAAATATGAAATTGGATTTATTCCATGATCAGCCAATCTTATATTTACTCATACAAATCATTTCATGGAATGATAAACATGTCGAACAACAACAACTCTCGCTCTATTTGAAATATTTCGAGAATATTCTAATTACATTTCAAAATCGACCGACTCACGCGAATGATCTATTCGATGAGATTCGAAATCGACTGCGACGACAAAGAATCCATCCTGGAGATGAATCATTCTTCTCTTCACACAGTCGATTAAAACAAATGCACGTTGATTACTTATTCTACTGTCTACTCGATGCGATTATTGCGAAGTACGTACGACTCAAATCTTTTCTTTTCCCAACTAAATTAAACTTACTTAGATATATGGACGTCTTAGAAGACATTGCCATACATGTCGATCATTTCGATGAACAATTAATGACAAGCAAAAGATCTTTGTCTCTTGATACATTCTATCGTATCTATCGCGTCAGACACGATTTACTTCATTTAAGAATACTGTTCAATCGGTTGAAAGAAACAATATCTCGCCTACAACGGACAAATTCCAACACTATTGCATGTCGTCGAACCGATAATACCTATCGTTTGCATTTAAACCACCGCCTTGTCCGGCGACCAAATCCGAATTTCCGCCTATCACCACAAACATCCTTTACTCATTTAAGCGAACTAGCCGACAATTCTAACAGTCCATCACCGAGACTGCGAAGACCATCGATTGTTTTCAATGAGTACATCTACATGTATTTAAATGATTTGCAAGATCATATCAATCAATCGATTGACACTGTGGAAATTCAACGTGAAAGTGTGGCTGCGTTAATATCACTTTGGATTAATTTGAATAATAACGGAACACAAGAAATCTTGAAATTACTCATGCTGATTACCGTTCTTTTCATGCCGTGCATTCTTCTAACTGCACTCAGTTCAACTAATTATCAAGTTCAACCACAGCTTCAATACGAATATGGATATTATATTGTTCTGACTTTCTTAGCGACAATAATTGCCTCAATGGTGACATGGTATAAACTTAAACGGTGGATTTAAGCTCTGAAATGTCTTTTTTTTTGTATCGAACGTTTCACAAATGCTCTTTGTATGCCGACGGAGTATAAGGCTGAATAGTGACATGTTAGATTACTGAAATTTATAGAAATATTACATATGAAGCCAAAGCACAGCTTTCACTGATATCAGAATAAACATATTTTAATAGACAGGCCGTTGATATCTCGGCAGGGCGCTTGTTCGTGGCCGTTCGATGATATATCTCGTTCGACTTGGTCGATTATTTGCAAAAGTTCTTGGTTTTACTTCGGGCGGTGCTGGTTCGGATTCAGGTACGTAACTTGGATTCGGATGTTGATCTCGAGCCATTCGCCGCCATCGTTCTAGTAATGTATAAGCACTGTATTCAATTTTCTCTTGATCTTTCATCGAGTCTAGTAGACCACGATGTCGACCCATCAACATCGTTGATATAAGCACAATTTTCGATGGTACTGACAATACTGTTGCAAATGACGATTTTAAATTTGGATAACCTGTTGTTAATCCCACTGCGCCGAACGCAGATACGACCTCGAAAACAATTCGAAAAAACGTGACATTTTCGTCAATAGGTGTGATATGGTATGATTCGAACGCACAGATGGCGAATATAAATATGAATAACCATGTGCGCGTCCGAGTTAATAATGTAAATGAGTGCGATAACATTCGACGTGCCATAAGAAAAATAAAGAGTCGAAGTTTAATTTGAATGGTCTTTCGCGTACGGCTTGGACTACGATTCAGACGGGCATTGGGGGCGAAGTATCGTTCTGCGCGTTGTCGAGCGTCTAAACTATGATTTCGAAGATACCGATGTAGATGGCGAATGGGTAAAACATTTGAATTTATTGATAGATCGTCCATAGAATCAAGTGATGACTGCCGACGTTCTGCTTCGATGAAAACCGTTTCTTTGTCTTGAATTGTTTGCCATTCTAATTCAAATGGAGCTTTGTCTAAAGCGCAGAGCATTTGAGGTTTAACAGCCATAAGTAGAATATAAATCACGAGTGTGCCTTGAGCAAGTAGAGTTATATCGATTGTCTGAAAGCCAGCAAATCGCGCCTGAACAGTATGAAAGGCAAATATCAACAGACGTTTACCAGCTGAGAAACTTGCAAAACTTTGCGAATTAAAATCAAGGATAAGTGAAACCATAATGCTAAGTGCGTAGAGACCAAATGTCACAGTTAGATACATTCGTGTTTGTATAGTAGGAAATAGAACCGTAGACAGACGATGATTGTTTAAAAGAATATAATCGAATATAATCTTCCGATGCCATGGGACAATCCAACGAATA